CGCGCGCGTTACGCGCGCGCGCCGCGCGCATGTAACGCGCGCGCCTTATTTCGCGCGTAACGCGCGCGCGCGTAACGCGTTATAACGCGCGCGCGTAACGCGCGCGCGCGCGTAACCCGCGCGCGTAACGCGCGCGCGCGCGTTACAGTTTTTGCACCTTAGAAAGATGAAAAATTATAGCTTAATAATAGATTATCACAAAAGTAGATAATTACTTGCCTGACAGACTTTTCTTTTTTCGGTTTTTGTTTTTTCTAGTTAGGACTGCTTTACCAACACTATAATGTTTATCATGCAAGGACTGAGAAGGATGCGTTCTTCACGCAAGAAGAAGGATCAAAAGATACGCTGTTCACACAAGGATGATCATGATTACAGCTTAAATAATCAGTTTTTTAGACCAAGGGTCTCGATTTTTATTCTTATTCGGAACAAAAGGTACTTTGGAAGATCTTATAGTATAAACTTTATATGTGGCGCTTTCATCCCTCTAACAAAAGGCTGCTGAAGAGAACGAGCAAGAAGGTGACCTTGGACTGGCTGCCTGCGAACATCATGGACAACGCAGATTCAAAAAAGAAGGACGAATTGTAGACGGAGGGATGTTTGTTTTGACGTGTTTGTTCTTGTTTTTGTTGTAACAAATCAAAGGAAGGAGTTGTACTGCTGACGACAGGATCTTCAATTGCTCCTTCATCTTCGAGGACATGAATTTATACCACTTGTTATGTTCGTGCAGACGAGGACAAGGGTGCATCGCTCACGCGCGAGCAGCATCAAACTTCACTCATTTACATATGAAATTTGATTCAGGAAGATCTTCAGAATTTGTCATAAAGTCCAGCAAGACTCAAAAATAAAGATAAAGATGAAAGACCCTGGCATTAGAAGTTGATGCAGACGTATCACGTCGCAGTTGGAGGACGCACGTGCGTCTTCTACACCCCAAACCCAACAAAAACCATTATCAACCCCTCAAAACCTGAATAACGCGACGCATCCCTGTAAAATTTTCGAACCCGTGCGGTTAGGCTTCCAATGAAACAGCATCATGCGCTTGCATACGGAAGACATCGCTCAAGGCCAACACTAACACTGGAGTTGCGTTCGTGGAGACGTGTTCAATATCTGTTGCAATACGGTGATGAATCTCTTGCGCCCCTAGAGGTTTTGGTTTTCATAGACGTCTGTGAGAGGTTTATCCGCAAGAAACGGCAAACTAGAAGCGAAAACGTCCTCATTGTTGTCTTTACTTAGGATATGCAAGAAAATGAGAACAAAGTGCTTCAGTATCTAGGCCTACTTAGTTGATGGACTGTTCTTGCTTTTTGCCATGATGGTCTTCCTTGAATTTGTGGAAATTATGCCGTGATAGGTGATTCATTTTGTATTCACGCCATGGACACAAAAACTGTAAATTAATCTTCATATTAAATTTACTTGGAGGCATAATCAATATAATCAAAGAGACAACTCAACATCACAACCACTATGGCCGCAGTCGTCGCGCCAGCGCCTAACGATCAGGCGCTGCTAAAACAGCAACGGAAGGATGCTTATGAAGCACTTGCAGGACCACTGGAGAAGCTCTCGGTGAAACAAATCGTAGACTTCCGAGAACAAAAAGTAGTGTCCAAGACGGTCACCGCAGTCACGACCGCTACTTTGAGCATTATTTTACGGAAAAAGCGCAATCGTAAGTAAATGTTGGTGAGCATGTTGACAGTTAGTAAAGGAAAAATGAATGAAATTGAATGAGATTGATTCCCTTATATCGACAAGCAGAATATGGTATGCATTGCGACGATGGACCTTGTGCGTATATTCTTGAGGCAATAATGGGATACACATGAAAACCTCTCTAATCACAGCAGAGGTGGACAACACATTGCTGATAGATGTGCGCGCCGCAGCAGGAGGTCGAAGGGATGGCGTGCCGATGGGGTGGAGTTCGGTAGCGATTTCTTCGTGAGATGTAGATACAACATTCGTGGTTCACAGAATACAAATTGCAGTAATTCTACTTCGGCAGGGACAAGCACACAAGCTATGATTTGAATCTTGAACCCATACAGTACGTGCAAACCAGCGGAGGTGTAGTGTCAACACCCACTCTTGCATTTGATTAATTTGCATCTCCCCTTTCATAAATTACAGGCCCAGACAGTAATGCAGAAGCCAGGGCATTACATCAATGCCATGCGGAGGTTTCCTTACGCAGTGGACAGTGGTAGGATACCTGATACGGCTATCTCGGAAGCGAGGAAATATGTAGAGTCCGGCAGCGTGCCAGAACCGAGTGCGCATCCTGTAGCCCATCAAGCACATCAATGGATACATGCTGCGTATTGAATTTTGAACCAAGCACGTAGCAGATTCATAGAAGTAGTTGTCCACTCATGACCTCGCGATTGTTGTTATCGAATTTTTAACTAGACTTCGGTGATAGCCTGACTCTTTCTACTCTAGTCACTTTGATTTGTTTCAAACAAGAGTTATAATCGCGAACTCTCCAACAGGTACAATTACTTTCAGTTGCGACGAAGGACGAGCATGGCCAGAGGAAATGCTGTCGGCTCACAAGTTTACGCTGCGCCAACAGGGAATAGAGTAGGTATAAAGTTCTTTTAGGCTCAAGGAGGTTGCAGGCATGCGGTCAGTTCTGTAAATTTCGTCTCTTTGAATTTAGAGAAAGTTGAAGACCTAGACGAGGACGTCGAATCCTTTGGCATCTATTTGGAGAAGCAGACTGCGAACAAAGAGACGAAGTCGGGAATTGCAGTTGTTGCGCGTGCGCACATTCCGGACCGTGTCGAAATTTAGAGACGAAGTTGGGGCCTGCGCCTTGCTTTTTTCTGTTCGGGTTTTTTTTTTCTGCCATTGTCGAGGCGCTCGAGAGTGGCGCAGGGGGGCGCGTCACTGGTCGGCCGCCATGTGCGTCGCTGGGCGACATTGCGACCGGACAGCCAGGGGCACTAAGTCAGCAGCACTGGCCGGGTGCTTGCTCCATTCTTTCGGGGGGGTGTGTGGCTGGTCGCTCCTTGCGTCACAAGTATGAGGAGGGCAGGCGGCTGCAGAGTGCTCAAGCCTTCCAGGCATGTATGACCCAGGGCTTGGCGGGTGTTTTTTTCTTTGTAAGCGCAGCATCTTGGCGCCCCTTCTGCGTCGGTCGAGCGCAGTTCGGCGGGGTGTGTGCTCGCTGGCTTTCGTCTCATTTGCCGACAAACATGCGCAGCAGGCACTTGCCTGCGCGGCCAGATGCCTGGGGATTTGCGCCCCCCCCGCGTCCTTACCTCTCCCTCGTTTGAGAGAAATGAACGAAGCGCCATCCTTGTGTCGTCTTATCTGTCTCGCATATGATCCTACAAAACACAGAGTCCGGCACGAGTCGGTCCTCTGCGTCCTCCGGTAGATGGCAGAAGGGCTTTGGTGCAACCCAATCAACGACGGCAAGTTATGAATAAGGTCCATGCTTTCTCCCTTGTTTCTACTTCCTCTCTCGACTTACAGGAAGTACTTCTATGAATACCTGGGTTCATCCTGAAGCCGTAGGTCTAGCTGTACGCCTGATAGATAGTCTCCCTAGATTAGAAAAAACACCCACATTCATACAACTGGTTTGACCGTGCCGTCATCCGGAAGCGGCCTGACCATCCCAGCATCTGGCTTTTCCTCTGGTGGTTTCTCATCGTTTGCACCAAATAGTCGAACCGTCGGAGGAGTTGGAGCTAATGTTATGGATTTTTTAGTACCGCTCATAAGGTTGCTACACTGTAGAAAACTGACATTTGCTGTTTTTATTCATCCATGAGGAGAACTTCTAGTCCTAAGGATTAGCAAGTGATCTACTTCTTCTGGTACAATAAATGCTAAAAACAGGTATCATCTCGCAGTTCTAGTCGTGAAACCACCTCTAGCATCAACCTTAGCGTCAGCCCTCACAGAGTTCTTCTCCTGGCTCTTCTAACCCCAGTCGTAACAACCATGCAGTCCACCATGTGCACGCAGCCCCAGTGCAGATGCCTAAGAGTATGCCACCAAAGACGACTGCAGGGTCGCGAGGACCAGCGCAAGCGACTGTCTCGGCTCGACCTGCATCTGCACATCCGAGAGCGAAAAGATTCAGCAGCAGTATGGGAGGAGGAGGAGGATTGTATAGTGACTCTTTTCTTCTTAGGGTTGTGACTCTTTTCTTCTTCGGGCCTTTGACCAGTGACTCTTTTCTTCTTCAACCTAGATTTGATACTACCTTGGTTCAATACAGTTGTAGCTCACTTGAGAGAACTCGTTGTTCCGTCACCTATAGACGACGTCTTACGGTTCTTTAGGGTGCTTGAATAAACAACCCCCATACTAACAACTAGGTCGTCGACCCGGTCCGAGCTATCCTCGAATATTAGTACGGATGCGAGGAGATTTGTCGGTTTACCCGATTATGAAGTCGAGTTGGAACAGATGCGGAGGGAGGTCCGGGAACTCAAGTCACAGCAGTCGAAGGTACTAGAAACTTCTAAAATTGTTTTTTACAACCAACCAACCAACTGATTCCGCATCGAGTTTTCGCAACTTCCTTCGTTATCTCTTTGTTTAGTCTGCTTTTATTCTGTTGAAGTATTTCTGATCACGGCTGTGCTAGGCTAGTTGATGGCTTTAGCGTTCTTTAGTTCACTTGAGTATCCTGCTCCTTCATCAGTCTTTCTATAGCTTTCTCTTTGTGTCTGTGAAGTGTCTGCTTTCTCTGCGCCCACCGCTGCTGGTGCGTCGAACTAAATGGAAAAATTTGTAATTGTAACTGTAATTAAGTTTGTGGAGTACCGTGTCACAAGCGGAAAGACCATCATCTTCACCTCCACTAGGCCCAATGGGACCTCCGCAGACAGGAGAAGAAGACAGTAGCGAAGACAAAGGCGGACGAATTAGAGGGTATCCGGGAGTGGCGTGCGAGTGAGCAACGGGCGATGAAAGAGCTAACGGAGCAACAAAAAGCAGAAGCGAAGAGACGTGACTTGATAGAAAGTCGGGACTTTCAGAATTTCAAGAAAGAACGCAAACGAATGGAACAAGAAGCTGAAAAGAAGTTCTTCGCGGATCAGTACTAGATGTTGTCTCCTTCATGCTTAAGTATTCAATCATTGAAAATAATCAACGCGACCATTATAGATACTACTACAGGGAAATGAAAAGATCACTTACTAACTACTAGGGTTTACAACTTCAATATAACATACTATAGATACGAATACGGTAAAGACTTTGCTGAGTATCGGCAAGCTGTGCGGGAAAAGGAGAAGGCAGAAGAGGAGGACCGCGCAAGACAAAAGGCAGAACGCGTTGCCCATGAAAGAGCACTCAAGAAACAACAGGTATTTACTTCTATTTTATACTTCTATTTATGTTTATCCATAGATTTACCACTACTACCCACTATAATTCTTATCTGTTGTGTATTAGTAATTGATGTGGCGTACTAGCTTGCAACTACTAATATTAACCTGTTACTTTCTTGTTCGTGACTCCTAATTAGCCATTTTGGAAAATACTACTTCCTAAGATAGTACAGCTACAGGGTCATTATCCTCTTCGTAAAAAATTGGTAGTTCTTGAGTTATCCTCTTCGGTCATTATCCTCTTCATCCTACAATCCATCCTACAATCCATCCTACGTCCTCTCTCCCCATTCCTCAGGCCCTCTTGGAGAAGGAGAGAAGCGAAGAGTCGCGCCAGTTGGACCGCAAGTTGGAAATCGACAAGATGAAACGGGATTTACTGAAACAAAAGGACGAGCTCATGTCCCAGATCAGCTATTCTCATACGAGAATGCAAGACGTGGTAAACTCCGACGTCTGGAGAACGGTTGCATGAAGATAGTAGCAATGGTTGCATGAAGATAGTATAGCAATGACACTTCTAGCGCTTGCAGGGAGAACGAGGAGGAGGATGAGGAGACTCTTTATGCTGCTGTACTTAAAACCGACGCTGTTGCAGGTGGAGCCCTTGTGTTGAGTTTGATACTCTAATTAATAGCAAGATTATATTACACGATTTTAGTGCTAGGGCATTAAGAAAAATGAGCTACTTGCATTAGCGCTAGCTAGCTTCATTATATTGAATTGTTTTTCCATTTACCAAAAAGTTGGCTAAGTAAGGTGAAATCTCTCTTTGTCATATTAGTCTTACTTATATGTTGATGTCGTTACCATCAAATATCTGATATCGTTTTTTATCATATGCTATGGTCATAGATGAAGTACTGTAGTTCATCAGTTGTGCAATCAATAAAAATTGTAACTGAAGATTTGGCTCCCGCTCAAAAAAGAAGCAGGTCACTTTGTTTTTGTATTTTCTGTTGTGAAGGAGATAACTAGGGGGAATCAAGACATACAGGCTAAGCCTTATTCCCCAACGGCCGTTCAAGTAAACCTTAACCCAATAACTAATAATTCTAAATGTGATTATATCGTTTTTAAGCCAAAAAGGATTGTACAAACTTATTGTCGCCTCAATATGAATCAAAGATGATTTTTTCGCCGTGAGAAATTTCGGAGTCGCCCGTTTAGAGAAACTATCAAACGAAGAGAGCTCGAGAATTCTGAAAGCAGACATGTAGTTCAAGATTAATAGCAACAGGTAGTGAAAAGATTATGTGCCTATTTGAGCATGGAAATTTCTTCGAGCCGTACCCACGAGAGGACGCATGTGAAGCACGAAGACTCCTCCTGCATGCTACACATTGAGTAAAGTGGCGTCTGCTAGGTAAGAGATCAGTGTGTCACGCGAGAGAGTCTAAGATTGAGAAACACAGAAGAGAGACCACGTAGAGTTCTTTGGAGAATAGTGTTAGAGCGATAAAGCAGAAGAACTCGCCACCAAAAACATCAGAAAATGTGGTAGCTATAACGAATAAGACAGTCGTCTTTACCGACTGCTTAGTCTTGTACTTCTAGACATTATAGACCTTCCTACAGCTTCTACTAAAAAGCAAAAAGCAAAATTCTAGTCAAAGAAACTCCAATACCAAAGATGGCCGAGCATTCTGCAGATAGCGACTCGGACGGTGGGAATGAAGGCATTCTCAATGCGAGTTTTGGTGCGGACTTTAAGGACATCTTCGTGCCACCAGAGAAATTGCGCAGTCTCGGTAGCAAAGTAGAAGATGGCTCGAGTGCGAGTGGACGAGAGAAGGCATCTTCAAGTACTAGTACAGACCCAGGTGGCGAACTCGGAGGTATAACAACGACACCGGAATTGGCACGGAGTCTCTATGGGGATTTGCTTTCCCCGACGCAACATTATGGGTGGAGTGCTAGTTCATCAAATGACTCTTCTAGCATGTTGAAAAGTAGTTCTGCTAAATGATTAAGTCTAAGCTCTAAGAAAGGGACCAGGGTTCTTCCGGACAAAAAGAGGCAGCGGAGGAGTCACCACCTATATCAGATGAGGCTGCGGGAGCAAAAGAGCAACAGACCAGTAAAGATCAGCAGTTGCATGAACCAGGCAGTCCACCTGCACCTTCTCCGCCACGGAATCAGCAAGTATCTCCCACCAGACAAGATGCCAACTACTCTCCATCCCCAACAGCATCCCCACCGCTGGGGCCTCCGCTGTCGTCGCCAGGTGGTAGTAGTAAGCCGTTTTCCCCCCATAGCGGTAGGCCGAAGCCGGTCTCGATTGACACTGCGACGGTGCAATCGTCATCGAAAAACAGTTCGATGCCTCCGAGTCCTAAGCATGCTTCCCTCTCTGGCTCGAACTGGAACCTGCCGAAAATACCAGGCCTACTCCCGCCAGGTGCAAGAACGCCTCTTATGATCATGTGGAATAATTAGATAGTGCTATGATTAGTAATTCCAACTCTATCTTCTCTGGCACTTATCTCGAGCTTCTACTGTTATTAGCCTGGCTACCTGTGAATTTGTTCTTGTTGTGAATGTTTTCCAATTGATCTTCATGTACAGATTGGTTTCAAACCTGAAGTACATGACCATGACCATTGTTGACTGTACCATCACAGTACTACCCTCACATCATTACTTTCATTCCCAGCGAAGGCGAGAGTCGAAAAGCGGTCCCTCTGCCTGCAGCACAACAGCAAAGCGACCTTGCCCTTCCACCACCGACTCCGAGCCCTAGCGCCAAACGCAAACGTCGAAGACCCAGAGGAGAAGAGAACGCTGGTGGAGAAGACGGCTCCTCCTCACCCGCATCGAGTAGCCTCTCCATGAGTCAGACGACGTATGGGACGTCGACTCTGGGTCATTCTTTTTCGTCTTTAAACCGAGGAGGGCAAGGCGAGAGCATGTACCAGCGCGCACAACGAGAGAGGGAGAGGTTGCGTAAACTGAAGTCTGGTGTTGGTGGAAAAAAGACATCTTCTCTCCAACCCACATCCAAAGGAGGGAAAAAGCAACAAGAAAAAGAAACCCCAGAGACAACAACTAGTTATGTGGCAGCAACTCCACAAGCACAAGTAGTTGAGCACTTCCAGATGGCGTCCGATGATGAAGACGACGTGGACGTTTTGCCGAGTCCTACAGCACCGCAGCGGAATTCTGTCGCGAAGATTCGCGAGTTGTACGAACAAAAGTCAGGAGGCGGATCGTCACAGCCGTCGTCGAGTAAAGGGAGCACGGACGCACCCACGACAGTCATCAAACCTCTATCGACCAGTAAAGACCTGCTCGCGACGAACGGCACAGCAGACGATGCGACTCCTATGGTGACTCCTCGATCAGTAGCGTCTTCAGCACGCTCTACCCCTCAGGTCGTATTACGTCGTGGACGCGTGATGTCAGGTACGACCAGCCCGATGACTCCAACCAGTAGTACAGCGTTAAGGGATTTCCAAAAATTTCGTGCAGAGGAACTCTCGAAACTCGCAGACGCGGGAAAAAAGTTGGCAGAGTATCAACGCAGCAGAACGGGACCAACCGCCAATTCTGACGAACAACCGGATCATGACGACTCCCATCTCCGCGAAGATGACGAAGGAACTGAGGATGGTTTGAGCGACGTTTTTGATGAGAACCTAGAATCCGAGTTAGGACAGCTCCGTGAAAAGTACAAGGCAAACAAAAGTACAGCACAGGATGCACATGGTAATGCTGCACATAAAAACAAGAACAATACTGCTACGTCAAAAGGTGGTTCTCCGTCCACTGATAGACGAGAATTTGCTATGACCCCAGAGGATGACGGCTCACCTCCTTTTTCGCCAATCGATGGGGACGCGGAAACGAATTCGAGTAAACCACGTAGAAAGTCCTTTGATCCTACCGCCGCTTTTGGTACATTGGAGTCGTTGCGGAAGAGTGACCGTGTTCCTAGGTTCGGCCAGTCCCCTGATACAAGTGGAATTCAGTCTCCGATAGATCCACGCGAAGGAGCGAGTCCGCAGAGTTCGGCCTCTGGTGCGGAGAAGGCTCTTTCGCCGCTTTCAGGTCCGGATATCAACTATCTTCGACATGTTGGGGATCCAGCTGTAGCTGCAAGTTCGAGAATGAACACGGCCAGCAGTAGTAGTACTGGTCCAATTACCACTGAAACAGATCCTGCAAAGGCAAAGGGTTTTGTGCCACCTCCCAGACCGCCTCCTATCAGCGGTCGAGATCGCATTTTGAACGGGGCAACAAGTGGTACAGGAACGCCTTCAATTGGAGCAGGACCATCTTCCTCTCTCTTAGACTATCAATATGGCGGGAGCAGCAGTAGTACGACAAGGCAGGTGCTGTCGGGTCAAGCTATTGGGAGCTTCGCAAGCCCCGGCTCTTCGACTTTTCAATCGCCGTCACACGTCTCTGTCACAAGCAACAGCCCTTCGCCTACCATAGGAGCACGGATGAACAACCGAAGTGAACATCTCGCTCCAGGACAAGACGCACTCGCGAGAAGACCGCACCCTGCTCAGCAGAGTGACTCGAACGCTGTTAGGCATAATGACCCCTATGCTGCTGGTCAACATCACAATTACCCTTACACTGGCGGCGATCCAGCATACACCTACAACGCCGGTCAGAATGTGCAGATCGACCCTGCAACACATGCATCACATCATCTTCCTGTTAACAGTATTAACAATGCCGCTTCAACATCTCCTGTCTCACCAGGAACTACGCAGCAACCCAGTTATATCATTCCCCAGAATCTTCCACCATCCTCGTATACTACCCCTCAACATGGTGCCACCCAGAACCCGAGAACCTCATATAACACCCTTCAACAAGGATTAGAACAGTCAACATCTTCAAATGAGGATCTTCTGCCTGCCCACCCAGCAGCTGGTAATGATGAGTACTTCAACTCTGTCGTCCAGCATAATCGACTCAGCGGCATGACACCCGAACAGCAACAAGCATATCTACAGAACACACAACAACAGCAGGAGCAAGACCAAAATACAGGGCGACTGCCGTCGGCATTGCATCCTCCGAACGCAGCAGCCTCTCCGTTTGTTATGGCAATTTTATTGTCTTAAGTTGTCACGACTAGCATCCTTTCGCCTAAAAAAGAGTGCTGAAGAGAAGATTTTCATCAGACGTAAACGTACTACAAAATGCACTCAAATCAAACTAATATATGAAAATACTTCGGCTAAATCAAACGACACACGCCGCCACCTTTCTAATGAGTATCAACAGCAGCATGGTTTAGCACCACAGAGTCCAGGACAGCTACCCGAGTGGCAGGGTTGGATCGTCACCCACGATGGCCAAGGAGCACTTTTTTTCTACCACGGAGAGCGCCAAGAAAGTACTTGGCATCAACCGCCAGAATTGGCAGATTTGTTAGGAACGTGGGAGTTTGTGGCGCAAGGTAGCGATTTTGGAAGTTTTGGTTTCAAGCTGAACATGAAGGTTTCTTGACTGAAATCAAATTAAGGTTTGAGCTTACCCCCGCAAAACTCAATCATCATCAAATTTTCATCTATGTTATGTTGTCGTTTCATCTCCAGCCCATCAGGTGACGGCCCAGACGCAGCTGGCTTCTGGCGGAATGAACGTCTCAAATTATCTCTTTGGAGTGATCCCCGCGTCTGTTCTACCGTATTCAAGGCTGCGTTGGATGGCAATCTGGCCTACTTACAGCTTTACACTCACTTCTGTGCAGACGCTCTTGATGTACGGGATAACTCAGCTGCGGCAGGTGCGACGAATCAAGCGCCAGCAGCAGCGCCTTTGTTACGGAGTATGGAGAAGAAATCTCAATGTCTTACTGCCTAGGTGGTAAAGAACGAAAGCGTTTTTGTTGCAGCGTTTTCGTAACAAGAGTACTTTAAAAACTTGAAACAACTAATATGAAGTAAGTATGAACGACGCACCACTGTTGATTTGAACGTCCATTCGACGCACCACCGGCAACGGCGAAATGGACGGCTCCACCACTGTCTAATCCTAGCACGTGGAGCCGTCCATTTCGCCGTTGCCGGTGGTTACAACCAGGCCTTGGAGATGTTACTTTTCGCACGTGCCGATGTGAATTTGCAGGATGGTGAGGGCGCGACGCCGTTACACTACGCCTGTCGATACGGTTATTCAGCCTGTGTGCAGACTCTACTTCTATGGTCAATGTGGATACGGTTATTTGTAGTTGGACTGGTGGACTCTAATATTAATACCTTTTGAAGCAACTAGTTCCTCAGTGTCTCCCCTTTTTCTCTAATCTGTGACTCCGGAGCTGACTGGACGCTGCGAAAGTTCGGAGCACAGCAAGTTTTACCGACCGTCCTACACGAAGCTTGCGGTCTCGGTCAGTTGGATGCAGTGGCCTGTCTGATCTACTTCCAATGCGACACGAGTCTCCACAGTGAAGAGAATGGAGAAGGCCTTACACCATTGCAGGTCGCATCGAGGCTCGGCTACCACGAAATTGTCCGTTTGTTGGCGCACAATTTAGATGCCAATGCTCAGAATATAGAGGACTCGTCCTCTGACGATTCCGATAGTGATCAGCCTGTTCTGCGCGTCGAAGAGGAGCAGGATGAAGGACCGCTCCTAGACTTAAGACTTCCGGAAATCTCCCCCATCTTCAGAAGCTGCATCTCGGACCTCCCGTGGCGTAAGGGGAAAATGGGTCGTCCAAGATGTTGATTCTCAACAAAGTGGGAGATTTCCGGAAGGTCTAATAGACGACGAAGAGGACGAGGAGGACAGTCTTGCCGGACAAGCATCACAGCGACCTTTGACATCGACCTTGACGTCGCTGATGAGAACAGTACACAAAACTGTGTCGCAGTTGTATCCTCAAGAAGCTGCTTTGCCAGGTGACGATGGGAAACTACGATACGACGCACAAAGAAAAGAATGGGTTCTTATATCGTGATGCGTTACCCTACCTTGTGAATTAGCGACCATGAAGATTCTAAGCCTATTTTTTTAGAACTTTCTTTATCCAGCATCTGCTTCTGGACTTTGTTTAGTTTCGTAATGGATTCGTTAATGGACTTTTGTTAGTTTCAGCAGTTTCGCATGGATGGCGGTAACTCTGAATGATAGGACGGAAAAGAAGCCTTCGCTTTGATACATCAAGTTTGACTAAGGGAGGAGCTCCAACAACCTCATTCTTCGCTCACGCTTTTTAATTTCAGCACTATGTATTTCTTGATCCCTTCTCAATGCCAGGGTGTTGGTACAGTGCGCAGCGATGTTGAATATACTAGTATTGTCCTCCGCTGTTGAGGTGGTTATTCCGTGTCATGTTGTTCTGCAGCGTGCTTGTCGGTGAACGAAAGTCGTGCTCTTGTGGTCAGTATCTATTATGATTAGATTTACAACTGTGTGAAAATGTTGCTGCGTCGTACATGCGTCTCTAGCACCTGCACCACTGTTCATCGAAGCGATCCTGATCTAGTAAAAAGGAAAGACTTCTTTCATGTCTGATCTCTTTCTTGAGCGCCGTTTATTTCAACCATATCTGCAGCTTTTAGTTTTTTTATTTTACAGCCAATGAATATGTGATGCTTTTAGCCAATAAGTGAAGCAGCTTGTTCAACAGCATTTTGATAAAGAACAGTTTTTTTTCTTCAATGCCCATTTTTGTTTTTGATTTAGATGTGCGGATCTTGTCGTGAATTCTAAGACTTACCGCAAAAAATTGTTTTTGTTGTTCCCTTTCTTTCAGACTCGCTCTTACTCGAGGCTAACTGCCTCCTTTCGCACCAGTGAGTGTGGTGGAAATAAGATTAAGAAGGACAAGAGCGGTTACTACTGTTGTTTTGATGAATTTTTTTGTTGTTTTAACGTTTTATGATGAATCGAAGAAAATGACGCAGTTTACAACACAAACGTCTGCTCGTGGCTTGCATTGCAGCAGGTTTACTTTCCTCCACCTGTCGATTTTTTTCATGTCGATTTTTTTTGGTTTCACCGAAGCAACAGAGGCGCCGAGTAAGAACATTGGTGTTGGAGGTAACATTCTTCCGAATACTGGAGGCGGTTGCGGTGAAAACGAACCCTCGTCGAGTAGTTTTTCTTCTCAAACTACTCCTCCTCCAACTACCTCCCCTCAAACTACCTCTCCTAGTTCTTCTCAAACTACTCCTCATCCAACTACCTCCCCTCAAACTACCTCTCCTAGTTCTTCTCCTACTACTCAAGGGGGTCGTGATGTTGTATTCAGAGAGTCGAGTTTCGGAGCAACCAAGGAGAAGATCAAGAACCAAGTCGAGGAGTTTCGGAAGCAACATCGCGATTTACAGGACGAAGACAGAAAATTGCAAGCGGAGAGGGAGCTTGAAGAGGAGAAGCTCCGTGAGACTTTGGATTATGTCCTCAAGGAGTCTCGATACTTGATTCACTTTGATGTTCTGCTTATAAGTATTTTCGTACTTAGTGAGGTTATAGTTGGTTTAAGCCGTTGCTTCATGGTTGCAGCTGCTTAGAAGAGTTTCCTAGGATCCCGAGGACACTGGGATTAAAGTCCTTTTCTCAAAATATTCTGACCACTGAAGATATTCAGTTACAGCCTCATCTAAGTGGTGACCAGATACAGCCTCAGTTCAGTTACAAATTGTGTAGCCTCATCTAAGTGGTGACCAGATAATAAATACTCTCTTACAGTTGTAAAAATAGAAGAAGTTGTGTAGCCTACGTCTTCTGTGGATCTTGTCACATCGATTCGTCCTGCGTGTAGGTCGTGCCATATGCCTAGTACTTTAGGGACCACGCACAGCCAGGCACAGAATAGAATCTAAGCTTACAACATACAAATGTTCTTGTCGCCTCATCTAAGCAGTGAACGGTTTAGCCGAGATCGAAGCGAACCTGGCGTCCGCAGAGTCAAGGCATCACGCCCATCTTGCTCGACTAGAAGTGAAACACAAAGCGACCCTCGCCGCGGCAGAGCGGGAATACGGTATCGCGGTTGCAGAAGCACGTGGGGAGAGGGACGAAAATTATGGAGATTGATTTGTTTCTTGTGGGTCCTTGATATTGTTTAGTCTCCCAGATAGTACATGTAAGACTATGTGAGACTCATGCCATGCCATAACTAAAAATGGGTGTGCGTTTTCGTTTATAGAAGCCTGCTTGTGAAGCCTTATAGGCGCATGAGCAGGATTTTCATGCCTTGAGTGTCCTTCCTCCTCCTCCTCTCTGTGAACGAATGTCACCCTATCATCTTCTTGTAAACGTCCTGTGGTACTACTATCATGTTGACTCGCCAAGTATTCCTCATCGTCATCTTCACCTTCAAGATCTCTCTAAGACGAAGTAAAAGTTGCCAACGAGGTGATGCAGGCTCTATTGGCGGTTGAGGATCTTTCGCTTCGTGATATGTTGCGACCTAGGGCGGAACAAGAGCGTAACTTGACAGTGAAACGGGAAGAAGGCAAAATTAACGATGTTCTTGTAGCGGCCACTCTCAGGCGTGCAGAAGCAAGAGAGCAAAGTGGGATAGATGTGAGAGGAGAAGAAGAAGAGCTCAAGTCGTTGTTGGTTATGAACAAGGTTCCTTTGTGAATTGTGAATTAGTTGGCTACTTTTGGTTATACTTAATACTAGTATATGGTTCGGTCATATTGCTCTTCTTTTTAGAAGGTACAACTTGACTGAAAGACCTCACATCCACTTGGCCACGCGGTAAAAGAGGGCACATGACATGACATTGTGCTGGAAAAATATCACATTCACCTGAATGATCATTGTTTAAAAGCCTCCACAATCAAATCATCCACTATCCACTACGCCCTTTTGCTAGTACTAAGAACTTGCGAACTATTGAGCAAGTCTGACCTCACCCAGACCTTGTTGTCCAAATCTGGTTTTCCAACATAGCTCTTCAAGTGCTGCACTATTATCATCTTTCTTTGGAAAACTTTGACGTAATCAACACTAAAACTAATGGTTGTTCCTTAATCTATCCAGCAGCTCTAATCTTCCAAGAGGAAAATAGTTGTCTTCCATCGGCTCTAATCTTCCAAGAGCAAGGGATCAGGCCCAACGGAAAAAAGAGACTTTGCAAAGTACGTTCGACAAAGACCTTGCAGCCTTATTTAAGCGCGAGAAAAGTCGTAAAGCGGGCATTCAAGCAGCAAAACAGGATTTGCGTACTGAAATCGAACGCTTTCACGCTGAAACGAGATTTCACGCTGAAACGAACAGACAACGTCCTCTCCTTGGTCGTGAGGAATCAGCACCAGCACCAGCACCACCACCAGCTCCACCTACTGCAACATCTACCATGTGGTCACCTCCAACAGCAGTACTACGCGATGATCCTGTTCCGCGACTGGTGTCTCCCTCCTCCTCGTCGTCCAGCAGCAGTTCTTCTTCACAAGGATGGCAAAAGTCCAACTACACTGTCAACACTAAAGCTGGAGATCCACGCATATTCAAACCAGTTGGACTTGAACGGTTTATCGGGCGCGCAGATACAGAAGTTGCTCCTCGAGAAAAGGTTGCGCACGAGAAAAGGCTGCGACGCGTCGTCGGGGAAGATCAAAATACTACAGCCGCTACAACCAATTCACCACTGATTCAGGAGGTGGACGACCCAGAAGACCACAATCTTAGGGACAACATGGGAGCCGACAAAATGGGAGAAGATCATGAAGAGGGGCCTCCCGCTCGTAAGAGGAGAAAATTTCTTAGATGTGCTGGAGGTGACGAGGACTCTGGCGTCGAGACGGAAGATGAACCCAGCATCGAGGAAATGATTATGGAAGAGAGGCCAAAGGAAGATGAATCTTTGAAGTTTCTCTACTTCTTATAAGTGTCGACACAGCTTTTACTCTATCTGGAAATACTGACTTTGAAACGTCCTCGTCAAAATTAGAAGAACTCACAGAAGATTCACTGTAAGGGATGGCGACATCCACTCTAGTGAAAATGTGACGCACTCGTTTGGAATGAAATCAAGCCTGACTATAAAAGCGAAAGCCGCTCACTAATGCATTAATGATGTAGATTTAGATTTCTTGATATCACAATTCTAGTAGTTTCGTGGTCCGTGTCAGAGCACCAGCACCTGGAAATATGATGATAGCATCAAAAAACCTTGCATTTTCGTTTGTGATCGAACAAAGGGCATTTCCTACTCCTCTTTGCGGTTGCAACTTATACTTGTGAATTATATCTTTTTCTGGTGTGATGTCACGTTTGACATCACCTGACAGACTTTGATTCACGGTGCTGTGGAGATCAGAAAAGATCTGCCAAAGCCAATACAGCATCCGCTAGGACGCAATGGAGCAAATGACTAAAAACAGCGTATGCACATGCAGCATGTGCCTTCTCTTCTGAGGGCGCAGAGCATCGCATAGTCTAGGTGCTAGTCCGTTTGCTAGTGATAGACTTTGTGGAATAGAATCAGGTTGACGCGATGCTTTGTCACTTATAATCGGTTTTGAGGATTTTCTTCGGAGGTACCTCTTCACTGAGTGGCCTCACGCATGGTAGATGCGCAATGAATGCTATACAAGAGGCGCCATGACATGACAGAAAAGCAATGCTGCCAAGCAGCTTCGACAGCATGTTCAACATTTCTTCTCCTCTTCTTTCTAGGAGGTTTATGTGAGATGATCTACGACTCACTCCTGGTGTGGTGTACTGGAATGAAACTGGGTATTTCCAAATAGATACCGTCTTAAATGTCAACAGCAAAGCAGGACTAATATTGCTTGATTTGCAGCCTACGCGAAGAGATACGTCATTCGACCTCAAAATTCGTGACCCAACGTCAAGACTAAGACTTGGCGATCGATAGAACAACCAACCAACAAACCAACCAACGAACCAACGAACTAAATCGTAAAAAATGAAGTGTTGTAACTATCAGCGCCTATGCGCAGCTTTCTCAGTCTACAACCCTTGTGCCTGTGGGCTGGTGTCGGGAAATCCGTCTCTCGTGTGGCAAATGCAGCAGCCCCTACGACAGCAGCCCCTCAGCAGACTGGAGAACTAAGCCCTGAACAAGGTCGAGTTACTGAAGTGAACCCTGAAGTGAACGCTGAGCGTGGTGCTGCAGATGGAGCGTTCTGGGGAAGACGAGGTTGGAGGTCAAGCGCAGCACGCCATTGAAGTAGAGGAGGAAGAGGAAGAAGAGCTAGACCCTGAACAGCAAGAAAAGCGTTTTCAGCTTGGCCTTACTGCCACTAAGGAGTGCCAAGAAGCGGATCCGAAGAAAAGAAACGAAATACTTGATTCGTTGGACAATCTGGTTAATGACCTAATAGACGCCAAGGATCCTCAAATTACTACCGACGAGCAGGTAGACGAGCTGGTGGAGGAATGCAAGGGACAGCGGGATCAAGCAGAAGGACAGCTTTTTTGCACTATGCTCCTAAGGACACATCGTTCACGGGAGTGATTCTACATCTGCATCTGGTGGAGGTTCTCGCTCTTCTGGCGGCGCAGCAAGTTCTTCTGGTCCTTATGCAACAGGGTCTTCTGGTCCTGATGCAACAGGGTCTTCTGGTCCTGGTGTCCTGGTGCAACATGGTCTTCGTCTAGTGGAGCGCCGAAGCAAGCTCTTCTGGTCCTGATGCAAGAGGGTCTTCGTCTAGTGTAGCACAGTGGCAAGGAGCTGGCAGTTCTTCTTCCTCTCCAAGGCATCTGACGACTCTCAGATCCGAACATGGCTAGAGGAGCTGAAACAGTTGGAACTCGAGAGCCTGTAACATATGCTGCAGCCTTGAGGATTCGGAGAGCGAAACCTTGAGAATAGGTAGTGATAGGGTGGCTCACGTTTGTTGTTGATGCTCCTTCACTCACGTTGTACCTTTGAAATTGAAGTTCGTAGGCAATTAGTGCACAGTAGTGAAAGGAGGTTAATGTTGGACTCCACCCGTCGCCGGCAGGCACGCCGGATATCACTGGGGTCGCCCTTCCGGCGGTTTTGGCATACAAATGAAAGTTGCAGTAGCATTTGAGCCTGAAGCTAACATAAAAAGTCCGTCTAGCTAGGTCTTTGCAGAGGAGAGCTGGGATGAAATTGTGAACGAGAAGGGAGTCGCTTTTATTTGCAGAAGTTCTCTTTCGAACCGAAAAGATGCGCATGAGATGCTGACGAAAAAAGGACATGTGTAAAATGAAGGAAAAATAGTCGTGCCGCGTGTACTTCTTAGCTTCTACAATTATAAGGAAGTCAACCGCGTTGCAAATGTGCAGTAAAACATAGCAGCTGCCAGTGTGGCTTGACAGAATGGAAGCTGATAAAGTTGACGAATTTAGTAGTTGATGACTGCAACTTCTTTAAACCTTGTTGAAAACTGCATAATTAAGCCTTATTTTCCTGGTTCTGTTCCACGTGTTTTACCAAGGATCAACAAGACACACGACTGCCACTGCGATTACAGGCGCCATGCAGGGTGCACTCCTACAAAGATCCCTGGTTGACTTCTAGAAGATCCAGCAATTTTTCGAAGATCGTGATCCTTCATCAGTGAAAAGTTTCACGGTTCTCCACTAGAACAGATCACAACGAAAACACAAAAGGCTCCTTCCTAGATCGCTTCATCAGATCGCTTCCGAAACATTTTCGCAAGAATCTAGCTTAAAATCCTCACAATCTATCAACTTTCAATTACTTAACACAAATCCTTCTTGTTTTGGTCCTTATCCTTTCTTCGCCTACCTTTTCCTCATAACTCTAGGAACTTTTCCACTCCGTGTGTACTATACTACTACAGCAAGAAAGAATATCGGATATCCTCCGTTATCATAAAAGAAGCAATATCTATCAAAGAACGACTGATATCCTCCATCATCATAGAAGAAGCAATATCTATCAAACTTTCTCCATCAGATTCAACATAGAGAAAGAAAACCAAGAATAATCTAAATCTACTAGAACATAACCCAGACCTTCGAGCTTTATAACAAGGAACCATGATGGTACAGGCCATTGAGAAAGATTCCCATCATGGTCCTGCTCGTGGGCGTCGCATGCATTGTGCTTCTAAAGTGAGCTGGAGGCTTGTGGCAGGTTTCTGCTTTGCCGTTACCTGCTCTGAGGTTGCCAATGGGGTGGTCTTCAACCCGGGGTCATCTTCGAGTGGTGGAGGGTCTTTTTCGAGAGCGCAGGAGTTGCAACTGCAACAGGTGAGAAAGGAGCTTGAAAAGTTGAATGAAGATTAAGGCTCAATATATTTCATTTCTAAGAGTCATTTCTCGCAGATTCCTTCTTAGAATTATGGAGAAATGAAGGCAAGAAATGGAATGCTTTGAGCTCTAAGAAAAGGAGGCGAAAGAAGAAATGAATTGGAAAGCTGCGCAGAAGGCGATCAACGAAGAACAAAATAAATTTTTCGAAGCAGGGTTTATCATCGAGGATAAGTATAGACTTGAACTTAAACGAGCGCTTTGCCAGCGCGACGAGGAGTGGGAAGCTGCTCGTAAAAAGAACGATGAACGTGCACGTTATGTGAAGCAGAATTATGCGGCGCATACCCCTGAAGGAGACAACAAATTTGCGCAGATGCAAGTCGAGTTTGATCAGGAGTGGAAAGCCGCGGAACTGAAATACGCCGACCTCCAACGGGAATACAGCGAGGAAAACAAGCAAAAGGCAACCGAGCAAGGAAGGCAGAACTACGAGAAAAAAGTAAAGGAAATAAAAGCGAAACTGGATCCTCACTATTATAGCAAGCGGAAAGAGGGAGCGAGCAAGCGCGTGGAGCTTGAGGCAATGATTAAACTACTGCAGACGAAGTTGGAGCGTCCGAAATCTTTAACCGAAAAGGAAGAAAAAGAAGCAGAAAAGGACAAGAAGCTTGCTCGAGGTTGACTTCTGCCAGAGATTAATGACGGTGCGACAACAATCAAAAAGGACTGACTTCTACGGCTCGCGCTTCTCGAAGTGCAAAGGGCGAAAAAATGAGGACTAGAACAGCTTGCTAATTAACTTCTTCTATACCCCATGAGTGGGTACCTTACTACTACTACTAAGAGCTTGGAAGAACTCTGAGTAGCCAAGATTCTTAAAGACTTTCTTTAAGGTGCTTCAATCCGTTGCGGTGTAAAAACAGGCGGAAGATGAGCCCGTGAAACGTTTCCGGAAGCTTCCTAGTTTCTACAGACTTCGGGAAAAGTAACGACGGAAACTATCAGAATGGCACGTCTATGAATCATGACGAATCACGTCCGCACGTGCGCAAGATTAGAAGATATTGGAAATATAGCATTGAGGCTTACTTTTTAACAAGATTCTTCTTTTCGAAAGTTTATCACAAGATGCTGGATGATAAGATTGAGGAGTAAAGATTCATTTGATGAACAGCAATTCTCTTGTCATGGTATGACAAAGTTGAAGGATGGTTCTTTCTCAGTACACAGCTGAGGCGAAAAGCAACAGCAAGATGCTGAAAAAGAAGAGTTCTGATCGGTTTTCAGAGAAGTTGATTCGCAGGACTGCTGCTCTTCGTGCTGCTGAAGTGAGGCCATTCTTTGATTCTGGAACACTCCAAAAAGACGCGCTGAACATTTGGTAGCCACTGTCGAAGTTGGGAGTTCTCCAAAGTGCTGTCTCATGAGTAGAAGACGTCAGCACTAAAAAAAGCTCTATCTTCATTCGCGTGTGAAGCAAACTGCCAATCGGAACAGGAGTAAAAAAGTATATTTTTCATTTGGATATAATGCACAGTGATTATAGCATGACAACACGACTCGTTCTACTCGACTGACGCCTCGGGAGATACTTGGGTGTTTCACAGGTAAATCAATACTCGAAGTCGATTTTCCAACAATAGTTCAGCCAGGTTTATGTAATCAGGAAATAAGAACGAGTTGCAGCGCTTCTGCGCAGTCGCGGTTACCTGCCGCGCCATCGCAGACCAGCCACGCACTCACGACAAGTGCTTCTTCGTCATCGTTGCCTGTGCCACTACCGGCAATGAATAATCAACATCCCGCATCATCAGTGGCAGTGCCAACGGTTCTTGGTTCGCAGTCGCTACCTGTGGCGCTACCGTCAATGCTGAACAATCAAGTACCTGTGATACAACCACCAGGGATTTTCGGCTCGCCATCCTTACAACATGTTGCATTACCACAGAGCAACCCAGTGCCGATGATAACAACAAGGCACGGCTCGCGGTCATTACCTGTTGCAATGCCAGGAATGCTGAGCAATCAAGTGCCGACGATAGCACCGAGCCCCTATGGGGTTGGCTCACCTGTTGCACTACCGTCACTGAGCAATCAAGTATCACCTTTTGCACTACGTCCTCATGCATTCAGAGTAGAGACTCTCGTGAAACAAGATGGCTCACAAGAATGGCGACAGTGCTCTCATCCGATGTAGCTCATCCTCATGCCCAAGCGACGAGGACTGACTTGTGCGTCCACGCAAGACATGGCACTGTCTACCGAGTGCGATGCTTTGCAGAAAATGGCATCAGAGCATTCGTGACATGCCACTTCGATAATTGGTGTGTCTTGATGAGAGAGTCCGAACATCTACCGACTTGTAGTGCTGATAAACCCAGAGAGTTCGTCGGATTTGAAACCAGCAAGGAGTTCGACCCGACCACTGGCTGTCGGATCACGGACTGCAAAGAATTTGTCTTTCAGCTTGAAACTGCGGCATCTCGAGGAGCTGCCACGTCTTCGTCGGGGTCTTGTTCTCCCCCATCTTCCTCGTCCTCTTCCGATAGCTTGTCGCCTGGAACTGGCCCATCAATTGTCGTAAACTTCTACAGCATGCTGGAAAAGAAAAGTGGCAAGGGCAAAGGCAAGTGTCAACACTTCTACAACAAAACCATTTCACACTTGGCGGATCGCACTTCCAAACGTTCTCGGGAGAGCGGTCGGATGCGGCTTTGGGGTACCCTAATGCCTCTCCAGAAACTTCCTCGACTATGGGCAAGAAGAAGAATGAAAAGAAGGATGCTGGTTCTAGTAAAAAAAAAGGCATTCCCAGTCTTTTTTGTACAGGCTTGGGCGATATGGTGCAACAAACTAGCGGAGGAGGTAAAGGCAAAGTCAAATGCAAGCTTTCTCGTGGTCCCTTGCTTCATACCGTAATCGTCACTGCGCAAGAAGAGGTCATCACCTGGCATCATCAGGCTTTTCTCTACGACGACAAAGTCAAGATCGGAACGACGACAAAGTCAAGATCGGAAAAATTCCTACTCCTGTTCTGCCTCCGTTGCCAGATCAGGCCTCAGCAGCTTCTTCTAAGGCCCTTTCATAGTGTTTAGTTCTTCCTCTATGATAGTCGAGATGACGATGGGGATGAGACTGGTCATCTGTCTTCGAAATTATAGCGAACTTTCTTCTAATGCTTCATCTTTAATTCATCATCTTCGACGAATCCTTTTCCACAGACAGATGTTGGCCCCCTCGTAATTGTCATTGATGCGGCAAATGTTGCGAGACATAGTGCCGTTCCAGCAACGAGTCCAGCAAGTAGTGCAGCCCCATCTTCAACCCCTGAAGAGCTCCCTCCGTCGGATCCTAAGTTTTAAGGCTCCTCAGACAGTTTCTCCAACTTGAGAGGCATCTTGGCTAAGCCGCGTAATTCATCTTATAAGAAGTATGATCCTGCTGCTGACAATGATTTTCATTGTCTAAGACCCATCATTCATCTTGCATTAGGTAGATGTAAACTAAAGTAAAGATGTAACAGCTCTAAGAAAAGCTTCGACAGGTGGTGCAGTTTTTGCAGGAGTTGGTGGTCACGAATTATGCGGCGAATCGCTTCCTTTTGACGAGCACAGCTTGGATTGTTGTCGGTAAGGCGCAGGTCATTTTCATTAGCAGCTATCGTTCTTGATCAAGAATGATTGATGCGACGAACAGTATACAGAGAACACTTCATTCAAGAAGAGATAGCACTTGGTAACATCAACAATCGACAGTGGAGAGAATACGAATGGAGTTAAGACGGGTGGCATTTGCTGCAAGTTGACCTATTTGTCGTCATTAAAAGCATATCGATCTTCTCTGACCTCTTTAGTTCAAGGGCAGAAGGATCGACAAATTTGTGAGATCTAAGATAGGTCAACCGAAAGCACCCCTAATCCAGTATGGTTTTCATCCTGGCACGGGCAACGAGATGGAAGCCCTCGTTTACGCCCCTGGCTTTTGGGATTTATATAAGTACTTGAAAGTAGCAGGAGGCGACATTGGAAGCAAAGACCATCTAGTTGAGTTTCTAGCTGAAACGCTTTCCGTGGTGAGTCATACCACAGCCACGACGCCTTGAGGGTTGATGCTACTTATAAGACTACGTCTTGAAAATTATAGGTATATAAAAATTTATACCAAGGTGCTGCCAGTAGATGTAAGAGATTTTTTGATACCTGCCTACCCTACTAATTTGAAGTACAACTCCGCAGACTGAAACGTGAACTTTCTTACTAGCTGGGTAATCCCGTTTCGATTTTCAAAGTTTAATCGCACCGCATCGATTAATTTGGAGAAAAAGTGGGTCATTCAACATATGGATGCCAAGTCTTCAGATTTACTTTCAAAATATATTCCCATGTCTCCAAACTACTCCATCTTGATAATCGACCATCTTGCAATTGAGATTATGCGGAACAATCACATCTTCCACTTTTGACACTATACTTGCGCAGATGTCCTCTTCAGAAGATCTCGTGCTGGTTTTGATGCCATAAGCGAAAAAGTAACAGCATAAGTTTCGTTCTTATAATGGAAAAGCAGCCATATTATGGAAAAGTCGTGTTCCTGGAAAGAGATAACTTGACCATGTTGTTGAACATCCTTTGAAGCTGCCTGATTCTGATAAATCACAATGACAGGAGGAGAAGTCTCCATTCGTTGCTTCTTGATGACCTTCAAGTGGTTGCTTCGACGTGCATCCATCGTAACATGTGAAAAAGTCGAACAAAAGTTCTATGATGCTGCTGCATATTATCCATTCTTTCAACATTGCAGAATCAATTTGATTCAGACTTGATGTCGTTACTGGATGCGAGTAGTCTCTCCATCGCATGCTGGTGGATGCTGGTTTCTATACCTTTCTCTTTGTGTCTGTGAAATGTTTGCTTTCTCTGCGCCCACCGCTGCTGGTGCGTCGAACTAATCGACAAATTTGTAATTGTAATAATTATAGATGCGAAAATTTCGTGGGTAGTGCTCGCTTCATGTGTGGTTCTGGTCCAGGACTTCTTGATAATTGTGCCTGGAAATGAGTCTGAAGAACTTCGAGATGTCATTTGCGAATTTCTTTTGCTAAGTCTGTACTATTTTTGGAAATGCAAGGAATCATAAATATTTTTTCGCCGACTTTATACTACGCCGGGAAGATCATTGAAGTTGAACGCTATAAGTGACAACTTGATTTCTTCAAGAACGTAGAAGGACTATCAAGAGAATTCTTCCAATCTTTACTTGCCATAATTACAATATAGAGGACCGTTTGCAGATAGAAAAGACGTGTGTGAGTGTACTAGGATGGCTGCATCAAAAGAAGGTTAACCTTGACAACAAAAAGAGGGTCAACCAAGAAGATGATCAAGATGGTGTCTGTTGTTCCACGTCTGCTCCTGCTCTGCTTCTTCGCAGTAAGTGCTGCAGCCGAGTCAGCCTCGGATGAATATGTCCTGAGAACGGCACACTGGGCGATCTGTGAGCGTGCATTAAGGGGCGAAGAAGAACAAGGACCGAGAAGTCGCAGTAGTCGGATATCAGGATTAGAGTCTTCCAATGCCTCTTGTGCAAGTAAGCCATGTGGATGTGCAGGTTGTCTTGTCAGCGCTTTAGCAGGAACGTTACAGAACTTGCAGCTTGATCATGTCAAGAGTCGCAAAGTAGATCACGTCGCAGAAAAAGGACAAGAACATTATGTGAGGAAACAAGTAGTACAAGACCATAATTATCGAAGAAGCTCTACTGGTTCTGCCGCTACTGCTGCTGCTGCCGCCTCTTCTCCACTTCCTATGCAGACTAAATTGGAAGCTATTGCGGTCAACCACCCATTTTTTGCGACGACTTCAACTTCCACGACTTCTACGACTTCTGAAAAGACCAGCTCAAGATCACCTAGAGGTAGACGTCTGCCACCACCAGCATTGCCCTTCAGCGATGATATCATTCTCGCTCGACGTGAAGCTCGCAATGCCTGGCTGAGCATTTCGTCAGACAAGGCAGTTCCCAAGGGAAAGAAGAACGCCACTGCAATTCATGCCAAGGTGCTAGGCAATGGCGGACAAGCTGTGGTGTTGCGTTGTGTGAAAACGAAGTTGGTCCAAGTGAGGCGAAAGGCTAGAGCTTCTCGTTCTGCGTCTCCAGCCGGACCTATCCGACATCCTGAAATAGTTTTCGCAGGTGCTTTCGTGCCTACTTACAATTATTAAGGCTAACTTGGTGGGGGGGAACTGACTTGGAGGGGGTGCTCCTTTTCAGTCTTTCTATAGCTTTCTCTTTGTGTCTGTGAAATGTTTGCTTTCTCTGCGCCCACCACTGCTGGTGCGTCGAACTCGTGGGTCATACTATTTTTATTTTAGTATACCGCCCGCCATAAAAAAAAAAAAATTCGCAAAACTTGTAATTGTAATTGTAATAAAGAATTGTGAAAGCGACCCCCCTTCCATGACCCCGCAGGAGTAAGCTCTAATACAATGCAGCGACATTGGGAATGAGCAGTACCAAAAAACCTGAAATGCGGAATACATCGAGGTTCCAGGGCGACTGGGATAAAGTTGGTTTCCGGTATGAAGACTACCTCGAAGATGTCGGGCCAGATGATGAGGAGATTCTTGATGATGTCGACGACGAAAAAGAAGGGAACAAGCATGCACATGCACACCATCACCAAGGAAGAAGAGCAAGAGATGCTACTACTAAAGAAAAAGATGTTGAATTGAAAGTGAAAGTCGTTGCCTCCGTAACGGTGAAGGTTTTTGACAAATGTTGGGATAATTCAGCGTCTAGTCGTGGTGGGAGTGACCCGAGCTATGGATGTTCTTTCGAAATAAAGGAACCGGTTGTGCAGCAGGAGGCGTATCATCGAGCCAGGTATCTCGCAGAGCTAAAGAAGCAACAAAATGCAGCAGCTGAAGAGGCGCGTCAAACTGCCGATGAGGAAGAATGCCAGAGCAGAAGTCCTCTCCCTCCTGCAGGAGCCTTACTAGCAGGTGGAGGACTGCAAGGAGATGCATCAACGTCTTCGAGTGCTGGTGAAGCTTCAAATGGTGGATCTTCTACTACGCCTCAAGTGAAACGAAAATCCACATTGGGTCTTCCAGAATTCGGTGTTTCGAGTGTTACTGGCAGACGTGATGGCAAAACCGGCTTACGCGACGGCAGATTTTTTGGCTTTCTCCGTCGGCGCATTAGCATCGGAGGCACATCAGTCACAAGCTCAGCAGGCACTAGCGATCCACACTCTCCTGCAAGTGAGACCGGAACGAGTAGTGGCTCACCAGACGACGACGTGCTAGGGACTGATGTGGAAGAGGCCTTGTCCGGAAGATTCAGGATGGGAAGCAAGGCACCGTCATCTAAATCCCCAAGAGGGCAAGAACAAGCTGTGCTCAATTTCCAAGTAGACGAAGGTAGCGCAACTTCTCCTTCTTCTAAAGTTGACACCTCTGTAAGCAAGGCGTGCGAGGACTCGTCAAGTATAGTGTTAACGGCAGAAGAGAAGTTAGAACTGCCTTTTATGCCGGTTCTAGGATGGAAGACCGAGCAGGAACCTGGGAGTGAAAGTGCAGCTTCGTCGTTTAGTGCAGAAGAGGCATCACCTGCAGCAAGACGGTCGCAAACAAGCAGTTCTTATTCGGTCACAGTCACACCACCGGTTGTAGGTGCTTCTCCTGAAATACCAGTTGATGGTGACTTCGCTCTCGTTGCCGGGCGTACGTGGAAGTCGCTGAGACAAGTTGACGACGCAAGACGGGCACAGAAAAAGCGAGATGAGCAAGATCCAATCTCCTGCCTATCTGGCGCCATCAGTTCCTTCATGACTTCTGTCATAACCTGTAGAACGGCAGACGGAGGCCTGCCAACATGCTGTCGACCGGTTAATCCGTTTCTAGAACAAGGAAATGAAAATAGTCGCTACCAACGTCCAGATGAACGTCCAGTAGTACCATTCGTTATGTACAAGACCGCCGACACGCGAACACGGAAAAGCCAGGATCTTCTGTACTTCGTGCACGATTTGAGCCGTCACTTTCAGTCAGCCTTACAGTTAAGGGTTTCCGAATTACATTCCTCACTACCATCCTTGGCTCCTTTTCAAGGGGGAAATATTATGTCAAGGATGTTCTGAAGAATGCAACTCGGCAACCTCTAATACAGGATGCAAAGCACTCGCCAGAGGGGTCAAGCATACTCGCGCAGGTGGACGAGACAGACCCAGAATTGTTGGGGATATTATGCTGGGGTTCCTTTGCTGTGGAAAATTGTTATTCTTGTTTGCTTTAGACTGGTGAATCACGCTCATGGCGTTTGAATGTACTGTATCAATCTATTAATTGTTTGATGGCACAGGCCACTTTCACTGAGTTTTGATGTTTTCAGAAACACACAGTCGTGTCAAAAATTTTTTACTCGTCAGAATTGCCATCTTTCTAACTCTGGAGGCTCCTGAAGCCTACAGAGTGAAAAGCGAGCTTAAGCAGATATCGGAGCGAGTGCAGAATCGATTGAGACTGCAACATCGCATGCTCTCTCTTTTAGATCACTTGTTTCTGCAGGCTGTGGAAGCACTGGCGTCGTTGCAAGAGGAGTTGCCTCCGCAAACAGCTAATGCTGCGGCTTTAGGATTGCTTGTTGCGGGAGTCGATGTCGACGAACAAGGTGGCTATGCTTCAGCAGTTGTGGAACAGTCGAAAGCAGAACAGCCAGTGGCTTGTTCGTCGTTTTCCTCACAATCTAGTGTCCTGAAACCTAGTGAGGAAACAGTAGTTGCAGGTGAAGACCTTTACTGGATTTCGCATAATGATTTGAAATTGGAAAATCTTCTTGTGTCTGAACCAACGTGCCCTGAGGCGATCCATCAGTTTTTAAGTGGTGATATGAGCGGGATTTGTTCTCGTTCTATGCAGACGAGTTTGGTGGACTCTTCCGACGCAGCAGGAGACGAAGGATTGGCAGCACAGACTGATGGCAATGTTGGAGTAAGTCAGTTACTTTCGAGGAAAAGACGCGGCATGGAAGAAGGACAATTACAGCAGGATCAAGTTGTACAAGGATCGATAGAAGCTCCACTCATGCTTCCACCAGCTGCTTTAGTACCAGTGTCCTCTTCAAAAGCAGTACATCAACCAGTACTGGATGCAAAACCTTCATCAAACACAGAGCAAAGTGAAGATTCTTCTGCCGGTTCTCCTGGGGCAGCTTGGTCTGAAGCCAGAGAAGAAGCAAGTCCAATGAACGGGCCTCCACGACAGACTGTGCGAGACGCTGGCTCCCGTACACACCAACATCCAGTTCATGACAACGATGAGGGTAACAAAAGCAGAAAAGCACGAAAGAAGGATTTTCCTCCTGTTCCACAGTTTCCTACGGCGAAAAGAACTGGCTATGAAGATGCCTCCTCATCTTCCGCATGTACACCTTCAACTTGTGGGAGTATAGGCCGCGGAAGTCCTACTTGTGTGACTGGAAGGCCCTCACTCTCAACGCTGTTACCATCTGCGGCGTCGCTTGCGACTCGATCAGAGCCTCAGTCTCCAGTTGTAGTTAGGCGGAGGAGGAGCCTTGGTGAAGATAGTAAAGATAATACCGCGGGACGAGAAAGAAGCCGTGGTGGAGCAAGTGTTGCGCTAGATTGTGGCAAGGACGCTCAACAGCGACAGTCCGAAGTTGATGAACAAAAAGAACAGTATGCTCCGGCATTGTCTCAGGGCCAGCTTTTAACTCGAGCGCTTTCCACCTGGCAACTAAAAATGATTGATTTTGGCTTTTCACGTCTCCACCATGCACATATTCCTAGTACAGGGACGAACACAGGAGCAACAGCAACTGCAACGCTGAAAGGAAAGTTATCCCCAGCACTCTCGTCCCTTCCGAGTTCTTCATCGTCGGAGCACCATCCACTGTACCATTTGCCAGGTGGAGGCGTGGGTGAAGAAATGACGCTGGTTGGTACACCGATGTACGTTGCCCCAGAAGGAAACGAGAAGCGCAATAGCGACACATGGGCCCTCGCAGTAGCAGTGATACGAGCTTACTCGAGTCTGTGCCATTCTCAAATGTACAGCAACATTTTCAACGACGAAGCAAAAGTGGCCACAGCACTTCATCAAAGAGCATCCGGCCGCGGTAATAGAAGTGGTGCAGTATTTGCGAGAATCGCTGAGAAGGCCCAGGCGCAGGCACTGGCTGAACGAAGAGTTAAGGCAAGCAAGGCTAAACAACATTTCCAAATCTGTCAAAAGAAGACTATGCATTGGATTCAAAAACCAACCACTGTCGAGGCATCCTCTAAGAAGCCAAGTCGAGGCATCCTCTAAGAAGTAGTGACAGCCAAGTAGTACTACAGCAGGCCTTTTAATTATATTTTTTCCTGATTTTCGCTTGCCTTACTAAGTAGCTAACTTCCGCCGAGGGGCGGCTGCCAAATGGGCTGTCGGGTTGTCTGAATTTATACTATGTATTATAGATGATTCAAAACCAGGTGTAGTGACAGCCAAGTTGAGGCATCCTCTAAGAACCCAGCTGTACTCCACGAAGCGGCACGCAATCTTTCGGTGCGAAGAGCAAAACTCCTTGTAGGCATAATGAAATCCCGTCGTGAGTTGATGCGGTGGGAGGACGCTCGGCGTGATCTTTTGGCCACTTGCACACGTGGCACTATGGGTTTACGTGAGTATCATTTACGATGTGACAGTGGAGAGTGACAGTGGAGATGTCGATGGTGTAGAAGTTGTCATTTCAGTTACTCTAAATGCATTCTCCTTTACCTGGTAAGTTGTACCCCTTAATCTCGTTTCTCTAATTCGTCAAAAAAAGCCTTTGCTTGACGAAAAAATAGAAAAGGTGGAGAAGGAATTGCAAAAGGCGGAACAGCGGCACAGAAGTCTACGAATGGCGATGTCGCAGTCTCAAAGATCGTGGCACACGAACGTTCGAGAGACATTTGAGCCCCTTGGTCTCGAGGCGTCGCTCGATGTCGCCGCTTTTTCACTAGGCTTGGGTGAGAGAGAGAAAGGAATGAATGCCGAAGTTCTCACAGATTTGAGGGAGATGTTCTTTTTTGAAGCAGTCGAAGTAGATGACAAATTCATTCAGGAGCTCTTTCAGGCTGTGGCAAGCAGCAGAGTCGCAGAAGAAACGCCAGGACTATGTCTTTCCCGAGACCCAATACCAGAGCGAGCCAAACTGAGACTCGAGGTCATGCGGGGAATGTTGTTATGAAAGTGAAAAGCGTTTTTTACAAAAGAAAGAAACAATTTGCATTCTGAACCCTAAACCCGAAATAGATACTAGTCAGAAATTATACCCCACGGCTGGGCACCACTACTACTCCTACTACGAGTCCTATTACGACACTACTACGGAACTACTACGATACTACTACGATACTACTACGATACTACTACGATACTACTACGATACTACTACGATACTACTACGATACTACTACGATACTTCTACGATACTACTACGATACTACTACGATACTACTACGATACTACTACGATACTACTACGATACTACTACGAAACCACTACGAAACCACTACGAAACCACTACGAAACCACTACGAAACCACTACGAAACCACTACGAAACCACTACGAAACCACTACGAAACCACTACGATACTACTTCTACGACACTACTCCGACTACTGCTACTACGACCTACTACCTACGGCCTACTAATATTACTATTCCTACTACTACTAGTCCTACTACCGACGTGGGTTCGATTTGCAAGACTGGCAAGAAAACTATTTTCCTCTAACCCGCACCGTGAATCCTGGAGACCGCATGACAGCCGCTCAGGCTGCCGAAAGGATGCAGAAAGTGGCTCAGTTGGCCGAAACTGATGAGAAGGGCTGGAACATGAATTTGGATCCACTTTTCGAAGTATCAACGGGATTGATGGAATAGTGCCCTTCACATTACAACCTTATTCCCTGCGTTTCTCAAACGACCTCAAGGTGGTATTTCGATAGGAGTACTGATGTGGTCAGTGAGACCCTCTTTGGTTTACATTATCACTTATGATCTTGCCCTCACACTGATAGTATCTACCCCAGATACAGTTTGATTGCGGGTAGATTCTCGTTCTACTTCTATTGCCACTTGCAATGCTCGTTGCGTAATGATATTATCTCTAAACGCTGATTTGCTATTATTGTGGATGTCATAGATTTCAAAGTCGATGCTGATCTCTTACGCTTACTTTTTGAGAATATCGTAACTCGTGTCTAGTTCTTGAGCTACTGTTTCTATCTTGACCTCGAGAGGTTCGGTATATCTATAACCTTTGAGTTGTATCTCCAAGATCAAATGCAACTTTTGGCTGTCCCACTTGTTGATGTCTCTGCGGCGCCGTCGTCTCAGAAATTATAGTCGTGAAGCACAGCGGCTGAGCCGAGACTTAGAGACGCAACAGGAGATGGAAGATGATGTGCTCGCTGTGATCATCCGTCCGAGAAGATTTCCTTCGCTCGTTCTTTTTGAAATCTGTTGTCCGGGAAGAAACGCACTGTGACTAAAAAAGTTTGGCAAAACGAAAATGGGCGTTTCCAGTATCGTTCACAGAATTGGCCTTGGGGCAATGATGTTTTCGTTCTTGTAGGAAAAACGGGACTGATCAAAGAGAGCAGTGTTTCTTTGTTTGATAGTGAGTGAGAGAGAAGCTAGCGAGAGCATCGTCTGAGAATGCCTGGTAGAGACAGAGAGAGAGATGAGCAAGTTGAAAAATGACCGAAAGTGAAAAAGAGCGTCGAGAAACAAAATTGAGATGCAAAAAACGCTTGTTTGGAAAAAATAGAACTCGAATTAGTGGTTTTCGGTAGTTGTCGACCATTCACTCTACATCTTTGAAAAAAACAGAGGCTCCGAAAAGGGCAAGTGGATTTGTCAGAAGGATACGAAATCGTAGAATTTAGTCGTTCTAAAAAGGATGAATGATTATAGTGCTAGTTCTAGGTCTCGTCGTTGTCGATCTATCTATACCCACCGGCTAGGAGGGATGGTTGCTCGTAATGTGCAATCCTCCTTTTGGAGCGTGTGGTAGAATAAAGACAGCTGCCTCGCTATGCATTGCCGTTAATATGGTCCCCTGAGACCGGTGATGCACAATGGCGTTGGACATTCACTGATGCCTCGTTGATTGATGTCGCTCGAAGAAGGGTTTTAAAATCGTGCCGAGGCTAGATCGTACGTAGTCTTCTTAAGTCGCCTTCCATTTTGAGCAATTGTTGTACTCTTAGACCACGAACAAGGAAGAGAATGTTGGTGCACATCTAAGGAAACTGAAAAGTCCATGGCGGCACCTTTATCAAAAGTCCGTTGTCGTGCCTAGGCGCGCGGGCGGCAGCATTTTTCGGAGGACACGCTTGACCTAGGATTCGCGAAGTGCCGATAACTTGGCCGACGTGAAGTACAGCGGTCCTGTGCGCATCAGGACAAGGAATAGTCTTCCACAGCTCATCAACCTTTCCTAGGAACGACGCCTACTAGAGGGACACGACATCACCAAAATGACAAAAGACGGCGAAGGCAAGGGCTATTTAGCCGACTTGCAGGATGAGGACTACGACGATGCGGTTTCACGACGTCGCCAGCGGTCGTTGGCGGGCAAGGTGTGCCAGGATATGTGCCTTTTCGGCATATTCCTATCCGCATTCACCATCGTCGTTCTGGCGTCCTTGTCACAAGATAGTTCTCTGTTAGTCGCAAGAACGCAAGAAATAATGGCCATGAAGAACAGCACAGCACCTTTGGAGAGCGTGAACAGCGTTGAGAGCTTCTACGACTACGTGGAGAACTTCTTCGACGTCCTGTTTACCAGTACGGCAAAGGAAACGGGTCAGTTTTTAGTCGTTCTTCTCTTCTCTTCATATGATAGTCGTTGAGATCATGAATACTTCATGTGTGTACACCTAGCAATTTTTGTGCGAGCTTGTTGTAGCGGAAACGCATGGTCCCAAAATCAACCCCCCTTTCATTTCCCACACGACCGACACCGAGCTGGCGAAAATGCGATCGCAGGTGATGCTGCCGCTGGACACGAGCAACAGGCTTTTCGGCACGGTTCAGATGCGGCAGTGGCGAGTGACGAAGAAAGAGGGATGCCAAGTTGGCACCATGTTTAGTGAGTACATGACGGAGTGTTATCCGGTCTTTTCCACAGGGGTCGAAAGTAAGGAGGCGTACGGGTCTACAACTAATCCGAATGATCCAGAGTTCATTTATTCGGAGCCAGATCCGTTGCAGTCCGAATCGGTGACAGGACAAGTGAGTACGTATCCGGCAGGCGGTTATTTTCTCGCAATATCAGCGAATGCGACGAAGGCGACCGCGTCTTTGGCAAGAGCGAAAGCACAAAAGTTCATAGATGTGCAGACGAGAGCGGTACTTCTTGTATGGGCGTTTTGGTAAGATCTGAGTCGATTGTTGATCCCTTGTTATCGAGATTTCACTTTTGCCGCAAAAGGACTCGCAGCTATTGATCGTAGTTCTTCTGCCCATCATCTCATGAGATTTAGTACAATTACTTGAGACGTAATGAACGGACATCTCACGAACAAACGCCCCCCCGCCTCAACAAACGCCCCAAGCCACACTGCTTCCTCCACGACAGGTCGCCCTCACTTTCGCTCTTTGGAACAGCAATTTGGACCAGTATAGTGCCAACATGATACTTTTCGAGTTTCCAGCTGTTGGCAAGGTGCAAACGAAATTCACGACTCTAGTACTTACGCAGCGGCAATTGCAGATATTCGGAGGCTCCACAGCAGCAGACATGATAGCCTGGATCATGGACTGTGTGGTGCTGGTGTTTGTGCTCTACTTTATGGTGGGCTGCTGATGTGCTCTACTTTTTGTTGGGATGGGACTAAACTCACACATGGAGATGGACAACTGGAAAAAGAAGTTCTCTTCTCGTGCATATTTATAATAAATACTACAGTTCTTCGCCATGAGGACGGAGAGGACCAGGTTTGGTCTCCTTATTTCCTATTGTGTAATCCAAAAGTGTATGAAAAGTATTTCCTAGAAGAACCCAGAAATGAGTCTTCCTAGAACCCAAACGAGTAGTGGGAACCTTCTAATGCCCACATCGCGGAAGAGTTATCCGAAATCTCGATCGAGAGGTGGGCGTATCTCGAGGACGGATGGAATATTCTGGATTGGATCAACATGGGCTTGTTGTTAACGGCGTACACGATTCGAATGACCGCGTACATGGAGATTGGCAGCGTCGGCCAGCTGGGAGCAGCAGAAACTGTTGGGGGACCAGGAAGATTCGAAGCCTACACAAATTTGCAAGGGATTGCAAGTACGATCGGATATTTTTATAGACGACTGACTCCTGACCATCACCTAAGATGACTTCTGAAGAAGACTAGAGATATTATCTGATAAGCACATATAAAAGTGGTAGTGTGAAGATCGAGAGCCACTACGACACGACTTCCTAGTACATTTGCATGACGCCGGAAACAAAAGGAACCAACTTGATAAAACAAAACAGACAAAGTCGATACCTCGCGCTTGATTAACGCGATAAATGCGGTGCTGCTGTGGGGCAAGTGCGTGAAATACATCGGCTTCTTCCCATACATCCACTTCTTGTTTAACATCATCCAGGACAGTATGGCCTATTTCGTGTATTTCATCTTGCTTTTCGCGATCATCCAGATCGGGTTCGTGATCTCGTTTGTGGTCTCCTTCGGCGATGTGCTGGCGGAATTGAATTCTGTATTTTTCTTTTTTACTCCATAGAAATACTGACTCTGAAGAGTCCTAGATAAATCTCATTATTATTTGTAGACACTCTAGTCCACATGCAATATTTGTCAGACACACACCATGATCGTGTATCCTATGCGCAAACCCTAAACCCTAATTCCATCCTACCCAAAGGTCGCCGCTGGCTGGCTCTACACCATTCGATCTGTCTGTGCGGATATCGACGTTTTGCCGATTTTCGAGAAGGATGCTATTGTCGGAGCCGTCTTTATTCTGCTTTATTACATCGTGGTTATTCTGGTCTGCATCAACGTCTTCTTCAGCATCATGGCAGCGACGTTGATGGAAGCCACGTATGACGCGAGGAAAGGTACTCTATTTCGCTGCACATGTAGTAGTGGTCATGTTTGAATTTCAGGGAAAGGGATTTGAAATGCAGAAATAGTTGAGCGTTCGTCTCATTTGGCCGTAACACTACTCAAAAAACTCCACTTCCCGCCCGTCCTTCCCTTCCAGCCGAGTCCCAAAAGAACGAGAAGTCCGAGGCCATCGTTGTGGTGATCCAAATGACAAGGGAGTATTTTGGCAACTTGTGCCAGTGTCAGAAGCGAATAAGGCAGTTGTCACCAGCACTTGCAGCAAGAATATACGGCGCTAAAAAGAAGGCAGTAGAGGATGGAGACGTGAAAAAGAATGACAGGCAAGGAGCGCTTAAGGATCGAGGAGGCGCGCGGGAGGAGATGGATGCTACGGGGGCTAAAGACGACCTGCCAATGTTGGGATTGAGGAGTGCAGAGAACATGAGCAAAACGATTAAGGAGTTTACTCCGAAAGAGGTACTGCTCGGTTGCCAAGAACATTGCTGCTGGCCTTCCATCTTCCATCTTTCTAGGACTCTTACTTTTTGAGGAAGCTCGTCTTCTGAGAGACATGTAGGATAGGGGCCTGTATTGATCTGACCCCTCCCACAGGTGATGCGCGCAGTCGAGCATCTCGCAGGACGAGTGCTGTCAAAGATTCACGCTTGCGGCATTGAGATCCGAATTGAGGTTTTGCGAGTCCAGGAATCCTTGGGGCAGATGGTTGGTGTCGCAGAAGCCCTGTCTATGAGGATGGACAAGATTCAGAGATCGCAGAACAAGTTTCTCAAGGACTTTGCTGGCTAAGATGATCTATCTACCTCTCCAAGATCCCAGTAGTGATCCCCAGAAGTAGCCCTTTACTCTTTAGATCTCTCGTTGGTACTATTTTTGCATTTCCGCCAGTTCTCTTGCTTGCATCGAAATTAACTGTCAATTAGAAACGAAAGCTTCTGTTATACCTGTGCTTCTAAATTTTACTGTTGAATTCGAGAAAACCTAAAGACTCACACCACTTCAATTTCACTAATTGCCTTGAAGTCAAAGACACTAAGTCTCTGCTAAACGGTCAGGAAATGTGATGTGTCAATTAGTACTAAAAGGATCGAAATGATGTTGAACTCCTAAGATGTTGGGCAGATTTTTAGATGTTAATCAAAAATGCGATTACCGAGGGGAAAACCTGAAATCTCCATCTTGTTCAATTTTGGCCTAGCGTCTGGTGTTCATTCAAATCACTTGCCTCCGCGGCTTAGTCTAAGATCTCCACGATGCGCATTACTGAAACACGCTTCGTCTGAACAGAGATCGCGCTCTACAGTTCTGGCATCTCAGATCGTCTTGATGATACATTTTGATCCTAGAATCTGTAAAGAAAGATGAGCTAAGCGATCCGAATTCTAAAACAGTGTGGGCACTGAAATAAGCAGAACAATCATGGACACTGAAATAAGCAGAACGATCATGGGACACTGAAGTAAGAAGATCAAAAGAAGCTCACACTGAGATTTAAAGCTGAGCCTAAAGATTCTGATATCGAAATCCTGGAGGAGTTCAAAATATCCAGCCACGTTCAAGGACTCGCGTCCGAAATACTTGAGACGAAAACTAAGAGAATTCGATCTGTGCTCTCGTAGTTCCCTGAAGTATCTGAATAATCCGCCTTCGGCGATCTCCACAACGAACAACCTTGCTTTCTACAACAAACAAAAATCTTCCAACTAACTAACTCTAACTAACTTTCTAAAAAACTAAACTGCAAACAGGGAAACGAGAACAGCCATTTTCAATTGGCCCGTAGTCCATAGACTCTTTGACTAGAGTAAATACCTAAGACAAGATGGGAGAAGGCGGTTTCGGCAAGGACGGCTTCGGCAAAGGCAAGAAGGGCGGAAAGGGAAAGAAGGGCGGAAAGAAGGGAGGCAAGAAGGGTGCCGAAGATAAGGAATGGGCCCCGTGCACCAAGCTCGGACGATTGGTCAAGGAAGGTATCCATAACGTTAGTGTTTGTTACAGCTCCTTATGATGAAGTTGGTGTGATTTAGGTGAGCAGTCGGAAATCTAAATCTTGAGTACCTTGCCGCTTGGCTATAATAATCTTTTCAGAAAAGGTACTTTTGTCGATATAGCTTCCCAGAATTCATGCTTTGTGTGCAACTTCGCAGCACTTGTCATCCTCAAACGTCCTCTCAGCAACCCTTCGCTCAACTCCAAGCAACTCTCAACTCCAAACTTCAGGCAAGATCGAAAAGCTTGAGGATATCTACCTTCACTCTCTGCCGATCCGTGAGTACCAGATCATCGATCACTTCTTCGGTGCCCCAGCTGGTCAGCCAGGTGCCCTGAAGGATGAGGTCGTCAAGATCCACCCAGTCCAGAAGATGACCTCCGCTGGTCAGCGCAACCGATTCGTCTGCTACGCCCTTGTCGGTGACTCCAATGGTCACATCGGTTTGGGAAGCAAGGTAAATCAACGTTACTATTTTCTTTTGTGTGAGTACTTTTTAGAGGGTTGTTGTGAAGAAAATAGTAGTGGTTACAAGCCTCTTGGTTTGGCTGTGATTTGACGCCGAAGTCCGGAACGGCCTCTGATATTCTCGAGTTCGCATCAAAAGTGCGTATGGCGAAATTTTTATCGTTGTCGATCCCGCATGGAACTTCTGCTTCTACAAAAGACTCCCGTCATGCACTATCAAGTATCTCTCATCTTAGCCAAATTATCAAATCTAAAAACCACTCAACAGGTCGGCAAGGAAGTCGCTACCGCTATCCGTGGAGCCGTCATTTCCGCCAAGCTCGGTTTGATCCCGGTCCGCCGTGGTTACTGGGGAAACAAGATCGGTCTGCCGCACACTGTCCCGATGAAGGTGACCGGAAAGTGCGGTTCCGTCATGGTCCGCCTCATCCCGGCTCCCCGTGGAACCGGAGTCGTCGGTTCCATTACCTTGAAGAAGTTGATGAACTTCGTCGGTGTGCAGGACGTCTTCTCCTGCTCCAGCGGCCACACCCGTACCAAGGGCAACTTCATCAAGGCCACCTTCGAGGCTCTCCGCAACACCTACCGCTTCATCACTCCGGACTTGTGGGCCCCGACCGCCTTCAAATTGAACCCGTACCAGGAGTTCTCTGACTTCTTGACCGATGTCAAGACTGCGGCCTAAGTCACTCTTCTTCTTGCCTGTCGAATAAGACACGGTGGAGTAGAATAAACATCTCACTACTAGAAGCTTTTGGTCAGCAGCCATGCCATTGTGCGGAGCCACAGCATCTACGAGGCGAGCAGAAGTAATAAAAAGTAGTGAAGACGTTTGACTTCGAACCGGGTTGAGCCGAAGCTGCAGTCGCGGACTGCCGGATGTGGATTTTTGGATCATGTGATGAGGATTTATCTGAGGTGTGAAATTCTCTAAACTTCTGAAAGCCGAATCTTGTCATCTTGTAGAAAAGAGGAGTAAGGACTACAAAACAAAATGTGGCTGTGATTCGCGGGTTTCGCACTTTTGGCTGATTTGGAGAAGTGTTCACCTTGGAGACAAGAAAACTGCCGCTGTCTCTGTGGCAGAGAGATGTGAATGCCCGAAATCGAAAGAAATTCCACTGCTGAGAGAAGAGATTGAGAGCGACTCATGACACGTTATTGGCTGATGCAAAACGAAACTAAAAGTACTCAAAACGAAGCCAGCGATAACAAATGTCGTTGTACCGACCCCTTCACTTCTCAATGAAAATCGACGCACCGTGTGTATCCACACCATTTGCATGACAGCTAGATGGTGATCGTTTGACAACTGAAGAACTGAGTCTCTTAAAAATGTCGACATAGTTTTTCGACGCCCATCCGCAACTGCGGAGAGGGTGTCTGTAAAGAAAAAAATCATGTCCTTTCACTCTTTGCGGCGTGGTGAGGTCCTGTCACGGATCATTCTTCTGAGCTGTGTCCTAGGACTAATTCCCCGAGTGGTCAATGCATTTTCTTTTCCGAATATGCCGTGGACCGGTCTTTTCGACGCCGAAGCATCTGGTACCACGAATCGAGTTCCTTACTGTGTTGGTGCGAATCCACATGGCCATCGAGGAACAGGTGGCGATGTTTTCAGTTTCGTCCTCGTATCAGATTACGCCGGTGTGTCGTATTTCACCGTCGACCCGCATCGGTCAGGTCCTATCACCGATTTTAACCAGAAAAAGCGTCTGGTAACTGGCGCTCCAGAATTGCCAGGCGGATATGCCGGAGCTGTTGCCGCTTGTTGCAATTTCCTGTATGTCGCAATGGCGCCACCGTCTGAGGCCTTTGCGCATGGGTCTGGACCCACTGTAAAGCCGCAACTGTTACAGTACACTCTGGCGGTAGGCGAGGACTTGGAGAACGTTAACAGCACTGCTACGTTGGCGTCATCGTTGGCTGCGGTTCATTATGGGGTGTCGTGTAAGTAGGTAAAAGAATGCTCTGTATTGAGTTTCAGAGCCGTGGAGAGTTTCAGCTTGGTGATATTAGATTTTCTTTTCCCAACCAGCTGCAGTAATCCAGTAGTACTACAATTCACTCTATCGTAGCGTAATCGTGATTGCTAATTCGCGTCCAGCAGCTCTATCGTCGGATCCGCCGAGCAGCTTCCGCCGCCTATCTTGAATAGCGCACCAATTGGTCGACTCAGCGTTTTGGACGAGCCTCCGCGGATTGTCCTCGCTGAGAAGAAGATCACCGATTTATCTTGCGGTCGCGCTTCGGGAGATCTATTCGTAGCAACTGAAGATAGTGCTGCTGACGGCAAAGTCTGGCGCTATTCCGGCGAGAAATTGGCGAAGTTTAGCGGACAAGAAATTCGCGCTGACGAGTTAGAGCCGAAAGTTGCTTATCTTCCTGGTACTTTCCATAAGAATACATAGCGTGACCTGCTGTACCACATGTGCCACTCGTCTCCACCTAGTATTTACATTTGATGAGAAACAAGCCGGAACCAGGCAGCTTCGAGTGAGTTGCTACGTGGTTCGAATGAATGAGTGGAACTCAATCTGCCTGCGTGATTTCTCAGAAGTCTCAAAGCTTCTCTAGTCTGACATCATTCAAATCCAGCTTCCACTAGTCTACCCACCGGTGTTTCTAGCGATGGACTCGATGTCTTCCTGGTAGATAAAGCGGGTGGCGCAGACCATATCCAGAAGGTCCTTGTGGATGATGCGAAAGAGGACATTCCGCTGGCAAAACAGATAGACACCATCTCCGGCCTTTGCAATGATGCGCAGAGCGTGCTGTATTTGGCACCACATTTATGATGCATCACTTAATAATTGTAAGCACATTCGTGATACTAGAGATTCCTTGCCGGTTTCCTTGAAGAAGATTACTAAGAGTATAGCAGCTGATGTACACTGACGCAAAGGTCCCGGAGAAGCATCGATTCCGTGAATGGACACATTCTAAGATCCTGTGTCGCGCCAAGTACCTCTACCACGGATCTCGCGACTGGTGCCTCGACAGCGCCCACCTGCTCAGAAGCCTTATGGGCTGTGTCGAAGTTTGCGGCTGTGGGGAAACCACCAGCAAAGTTCCTAGCAGAGGTAGAGGAAGAGGTGGAAGAAGAGTTACGCGAGTCATTTCATGAGTGATTGAAAACTTGGTGTTTTTGTTTGTGATGAATAGTACTGGTTCATAAAACCAGTTTCGTTTTTCTCCACATCAAGCAATCAAACCCGTGAAAATCTCGTAGTAATTTCACCCATATTTAATTCGAGGCTAAGTGTCACCACCCCTTTTCATAACCCGAAGACGCAGGCAAAGGCCGCATGCTGATGGACGGCTTTCAAGGATCCAAAGGGTGCACCACTGACGGCGAGAGCACTGCTTTTGTCTTGCACCAGAGCGCCAGTGGTGACTACAGGATAACTCAAGTCGTACCAGCAGAAAATGCCTCTACGTTGTTGGAGACAGATAGTGGCGTGGCAGGAACAATGACAAGAACAAGTAGCGCAGTCGCGACCGATACTGCGGACTCGGAAAACACTCTGAATGCTGCTGCGACTGCTGCAGATGTCTTCGCAATGAGCGCACCCGAGAGCACCATAAGCTTGCTCGAGGAGCCGCGAGGAATTGCATTTTTTGCTGCGCCGGGGCTGTGAGGATTGACGCTTGCGGTCGGACTGTCCGAACATTCATTGTCCCACGGCAAAACGATCCCAATTTTTTTTCCATGGCACTGATTCTTTTTTCCGATCGAATAAAAATTTCGAATTTGAGTTTGGATGTGATCAATCGGCGGCCAGGGTAACCAAAAGTGTTCCGTGGACTTACCACCTTCCCAAAAATCGCCCGCTCCCAAAATTTGGCGCGTTCACCTGCAAGTCTGATAATCAAAGAAAAAGAATCTGGACAAAAATGTTGGATCTAAGTAGCTTTCGAGAGTAGTAGATGGTACAGTAGGGGGATGATTTTTACGGCGAGAATGAGAGACAAGACCGATGTAATAATCACGAGGAGCTTTCTAAATCCATTCGAACAAAGGGCGGGGTGGCATAGTATTTGTAGTGGGGACGGCGGGGATTTCACATGTTGGTAAACACTGGTTGAAGTTGACTAGCGTAGAATAGGACATTATTTAGAGTAGCATCTTGCAGCATCGTGTTTGGTAGCATCAGCGTTTTTTGGATTTTTGACTACTTTCGCGTCGCAGCGAAATCTTCATTGCTCGAGCCCCGCTTTAGAAGATAGAGGGAGCCCGTCTTACCCACATCAACACTCCTACTACTTCTTACATTCCCTAAGCCAAGAGCCCTAAGCCTAATCTCCATTAGTACCTTTGTCTCGCTTCAGCGTGATTTTTACTCACTAGCTTTTAGAAAAAAAGAATCTAACCTAGTGGAGGAGCTAATCACAATTAGCCAATAACACTCCCAGATTAAAAGTACATAAAAAAATGGCCATGGTCGGGCACGAGAGCGAGAACGAAGCGTTGCTCGCTGAGGTCGAGCGCGCGGATGTGAACGAGAAGGGCTTCGTACCTGATGAGCTGAGAACCCAGATTTTCCGGAAATTGAGAGCCAGACAAGAGAACCGAACCTGCTTCGATTGTCCCGCGAGAAATCCAACGTGGATTTCACTTAGTCATGGGTAAGGCAAATTTTAGATGGAAAATCACATGGTAGTAACAACATCGCTATCAACGACAGTAAGTTTTAGGAATAAAGTTCATGAAGCAGCGAACTCCTAGTTTCGAGCATCTCTTTTTCTCTCTCTACAACGAACTCCGACAACCCAAAAAGGTGCTATGTGTGCCTGGTTTGCAGTGGTGAGCACAGGCGGATGGGTGTGCATATCAGTTTCGTCCGCAGTGTGGAACTAGACTCATTTAACAAAGAGCAGTTAGTCCAGATGATAGTTGGCGGGAATAGCAAGGCACGTGCTTATTTGAAATCCATCGGCATTGAAGGCAAGAGGAAAGATACCGACTCCGCGGGTGGGAGGAAGGTAGTTGCTTTTTGTTTTAAGTTTCCAGGTCTTCAGTCTTGTAAACGAATCCTACAGTGCAAAAAGGTGAAAATCAATGACCTAAAAATCTACAGTGCGACTACGGTGACAAGAGTTGTCTCAAGTATCGTCAGGAGCTCGAGAAAAACACGCACGCACAGTGTAGAGCGTTAGGGATCCACGTCTCCGGTGGATCAGCAGCTAGTAGTGCCGCAGCAGGAGCCTCTTCCTCGAGTAGACAACCCGCATCAGACCCCTTTGCCAATGGAGGTGGAAACTCAATGCCGTTTGCTGCTGCTCCTGGCTCTGGTGATGCCTTTGGCGCACAAGCTGGAGTGTATCAGAAGTTAGAAGTAGGAACAAACGGAGGTGGAAGTAGTAATGGCGCAGCTGGAGGAATGGTTAGTAATGGAACAACATCAACATCACATGCTGCGGAAGACCTAGCGAGCGAGCTGTTCAAAGATTTTAAAAGCTTCCAAAACCCAACACCAGTAGCTGCTCCAGCACCAACTAGTGACATCATGTCAAACGGTCGGGGAGGAGCAATTTTTGGTGGTGGCTCAGCGTCACCGAACCGGCCTCATAGTAACAGTAATGATGGCCCAATCTTTGGCGCTGGTTTTTCCTCGGGGCCATCCTCAACATCAACGCACTTCGCCTCTAGTAGTGGGAATGTGCCTAAAGCAGCGAAGGCGACAGAGCTCGTTGATGACTTCGATTTCGACTTCTTTGAGCAGGTGTCAACATTTTCAATATGACGTAGTTTTTTAGGTTTCTTGATAACCATCTCAATCGTCGGAACATTTTTTGGTATCAGATTTCCCCGAAAGAAATCGAAAGACATCGTCCCTTGAAAAATCTGTCTTCTCGTCATGCCAAACAGGAGGCCACCCGTGTTGTCGAACCTGTCGCTACTTCATCCCGACCTGTCGAAGGATCTTATGGCCTACCGGATAACTCTCCAGCAGAGCAGTCGGCGCCATCGCTAACAGCTCCTATACCTGGCAGTGCTGAGCAACATAACACACCGATTTTTGGCTTCGGTCCTCCACCAACTAGTTCAGGTTCTGGATTTGGGTCCCAGCCATCTTCTTTTACGCAGCCAGCGGCTTCAATCAATAACAATCTGCAAGCAAAAAAGGCGTTTGGGTATAACTTTTAGGGTCTATTAACTTTTAGGGCTTTTACGACTTGTAGGATTTCGACTTGTACTAGGATGTAACAATTCGACTTTCTAAATGAAACAGGACGTTTTCAAAAAGCAACATCAAGTTGATTTAGATTTTTCCATCACATCAGATCTGCTGACGTTTTCGCCAATGCCAGTGCCAATTCCGGTCCAGCTTTAGACCCGAATTTGCGAGGTAAAACCGCCTTTGGATCAGATGCCTTGTTTGGGCGTCAGGACAGCGGTTCGAGCGATGGCGGCGGCCAGGCGAATCAGCTCTACAATAAAGCAGTAGAGAAAGGGCACGAGTATGCCCGTCAGGGAGCGGAGAAATTGCGCGGTGTTTTGGATAACTACCTGAAGCGGTAGGTCGCGGTGATGGAGCACAACGATTTTAGATTTTTTGGACATTTCATAGCACCTTTGTGACGATCCCAAAGAGGATCGCTTCTCTGTCGCAAAGTAGACGAGGAACTATAACTATTGATTTTTTGAAAGCCCTAGGGCTTGGGAGGGTGGTTCTCTGCCCTAAACACATTTTATCCTAACAATGAACTCAGAATTAATCTGAACTTGTACCGAAAAAATGAAAATGTAAGGTAGATCTGACAACTTTCAACATCGTAATTGTATCTAATCTTTTCGTCTGAGTAAATCTCCGTCTATCAGTAGACTTTTGGTTTGGGTTTTAATAATTGTATTCATTGGAGGCATGGATCCAGCTCTCTTGTTTTCATATCCACGACACAAATTGGATCTAAAGAAGCTAAAACAGTCGAATTCACCTTGAATGGAACCACGATTCTAAGAAATATGTCAGCCTTTTTGATGAAACCAGAACATCGTTGTGTCGTTTACCTCAGCCGCGAGGCGTGTTCCGGCATTCACAGAAGTAGGAGAAATTACAGACGAAGACTCAACTTCGCAGATCAGGATCAGTGACAGAACGCTCAAGACCACCCACTGTACCTTCTAAAGGAGATCAAACCAGCGATCCACACGTAGTCGTAGATCCACGTAGTTGGTTTTGAAGAAGTTCCACAAAAGCACTCTCAACAGAAAAATTTTGACGTCCTCGTGAGATCTAAATCCAGGTGGACCGCAATCTAAACTAAATCTAAGGATGAAGAGACGAAGATCAAGTTCTACTAAACTACTGAGATCTAAACTGGATCACAACTTGAAATATATTCGAAAGCGATCCTGAAGTTACTTACTAGGAATCGTTCTAGCATATGCCCATCTGAAAGGCGAACTACTATCTGGGCCTGTGATCAAAAAAATTGATTGAAATGACTAAACTGTACGTACTTTTTGGATTGAAATGACTAAAAAACTGTACGTACTCCTGCTGGAGAAGCAATATGCCTATCATCTGATTCACTAAAAAATGACAGGGAAACGAAGTCCTTCTCGAAGAGGTCTTATCGTTGAGAAAAAGAAGGCCGAAAAATGAAGTTCTCCTCTACCGTCTCTTCTAGTCGGCGTACGTGCCGCAAGAACCACTTCAATGCGCCGTCTCACAAGCGCCGCATCATCATGAGCGCCCCGCTCAGCAAGGACCTTCAGCAGAAGTACAACGTCCGCTCCCTGCCCATCCGCAAGGATGACGAAGTCCAGCTCAAGCGTGGATCCGATAACGGACGCGAAGGAAAGGTATTCCAGTTGATTTTTTAGATGGACGTTTTTTCTGATTGATGCAATTTTGATCCGTCGGAGTAAATTCGGAGTCGTATACAGTGGCAATTACCAGCCGAGTTTCCATTTTGGGTTTCTTAGAACAACGAGTTTAGGCTAGGCATGCAACGACGTCAGAGTCCATAGAAGCAATAGCAAATCATAAAACGTGCGCTTGGTCTTCCAACAGCATCTCATAAACCCTATTATCTTCGCACATAAAAATCCACACAGGTCACCGGTGTCTTCCGCAAGAAGTGGATCATCCAGGTCGAGCGTATCCAGCGTGACAAGGGTAATGGTCAGACTACTTTGAAGCCGGTCCGTCCCTCCAAGGTCATGATCACCAAGATCAAGCTCGACAAGGACCGCAAGGCCCTCTTGGAGCGCAAGGCCCGTAAGTAATTTGCTTCTACTTGCTATGCGGATTCCTGAGGAGATCTAAGCACTAGCAGCTACTTCTGGCGAACAGATTGGGACGGCGACCACAACTAGTAGCAAGAGGCGAGGAGTTGTATGAGATCGACCTGATGATCAGAAGTAGGGAAGTGGTGTCGCAGAGACGAGGAGAAACTATCAAGGGCTTTTTGTTGGCTAAACGTCGATGGGGGGCATACCTTTGTGCTCTTGAACGCTTCTGGAAGTGATCATTTGACACTATGTTGACAAGAATTTCAGTATATACCTTCATTTGACGTGAGCTAATCCAACGATAAAGAACAAAGGCCCACAAGACTGAGGGTTTTGGTGACTCGCTTGCGCGTCCGACTCGTTGATTTGAAAAACGTTGTCGTGTTCCATCAGGAGGAAAGGTACCGGATAGGGACTGACGAACTCTGCTTGATTTTTTTCGGCGAGTGCAAGTGTCCGCTTTGAACGATCTCGGTGCTGCGTCAGGCGCGGGAGAGAGAGAATAAGGAAAAGAGCGTTACCTGTGCCTAGGTCGGTGCCTGTGACACTACGGTACGAGCGCTAAATACCGTAGTAGGTGTAAGCGAGCCCTCCTCCGCTCACCCTCCTCCGCTCACCCTCCTCCGCTCATCCTCCCTCTCTCTAACCTTCTTAGGCGTTTCGGCGGGTACGCTCTTTGGAGTTTCGTCAACTATCATCTGTCGAGAGCGAGGTAAGAAAATCTGTCGCTGAGAGCATGCCCAGTTCCGGAGACGGATAGAGACGACATCATATCTCCAAGAGAGAAAGATTGAGTGCGTGACCCAAGCTAGTCGCTGAAAAGAGTTCTGCATCTTCTGTTAAGTGTTAGTGTCACATCTTGTTGCATACTGAGTGATGGATTCTGTTCGGACTGCCGAGCGTGAGAGGGAAGATATGTTGGGGGAAGACTTGTATGTTTCAAGTCACTTTTTCCTTCTAGGCAACAGACCAACAGTTTGACGTAAATTAAGTAGTCTTTTGTGGTCATGTCCCTCTTCTTCCCTGCCCTGAACCCTTCTGCCCTTTTGATCGATTTGTTACATTACTGCTTAGACTTGAAATGTTCACTCGTCATCCGGCTGCATCTTTCTAGAGTTTGGCTTCGACGAAATTCTGAAAGCGTGAAGAGAAGCGCAATAAAACTGGCTAGTAAAAAGAAGTGATGCGATATGTAGTTGCTCGCGTTGTTGTATATATATGAGCACACCAAGATGGGCCCTCCATCTACTCAACAAGAGCAGTCGAACAACCTGCGTGACGAAGGATATGACGAGCGTCCAGGACATTACAGGGGAAACGTCATGGCGGCACGTGAAGCGTCATCCGGTGCTACGCCGCCTATTCTGTTGGGAGAAATACCGTCGCATAGTGACTTCAGTGGAGCACCTGGCACTACAAGCATTACGACGACCACAAATGCTGCTGCGACAAGTTCGTCACTAGGTCCACCTAGGACTAAAGGCAACAATCGATGTTTTTCACCATCGCAAAACAACCCGAACCCTTTCAAAGGGGCGCAGCAAGGGAGCAGTGCGAAAGGTGGGAAAAATGCTAGCCTTGCTGGAGGTGTGCATGGCGACAATATTATAAACGACATTGATAGAGTCAATCGTAATAGTCCTTTTCTGGAAGAAGATCGTGATCGCAATGCTCGTACTACTCATACATCAATATTATCGAATAGAATAAGCGGCACTTCTGCCAAAGAGCGAGGTCGTGGAGACTTGAAAAGCGACACGTCTACGACATCTTTTTCAAAAACCTCGATCAAAGATCAAAGAAGCATAGAAGAAGATGAACAAATTTTGGTACCTTCAGCGCTGCCCATGGTGTTATTTCAACAAAGTCAAGTGCCGCAGAATAATACGCAAAGTAGTGCAGTTATGCGGTTATCCAGACCTCTTGGTGGCGCCACAGCTCGGACACCACAACAACGGCTTGCTCCTGGTGTCACAGGAACTACGGCAGCATTTTCGTATCATGAGGAGGCTGCTGCAGAACTACAAGGGGATGTTGGAAAGCGACGTCGCAAGCGCCATGGTGTCGATTACAAGTACGGAGACCCAGGTACGTGGCGGGCAGTAGGGAGAGATAGTCGGACTTCAGCTTTAGGCAGAGAACAGCAGCCGCTCACAAGTGCTTCTAACGTCAATACCTATGATAATGAAGATGAAAGCCAGCTCTTTTTCCGACAACAAATGTTCTCGTCAGATGCACAACAAGATGAAGGAGGACTTCAAAGCGACCACAGTAATTCTAGGACAGATTTCTATGAAGATGATGCTTCTAGGACAGATTTCTATGAACAGGGGCTTCACCAGAATCGTTACCACTACGAGCAGCTTCAGCAGAATCAAGTGGAGGGCAAAGCAGTCGAGCCCCACCGACAAGGTCAACACTTGTTCGCGAACCCTCCTTCGCAGAAATTGAAGTCCCCGCCACCGACGGTGCCTCCGCAGAACCTCCTAGGCTATCTCACGATCGATCACGGCGAAGAGGCACTGCATTTGAGTCGCGGTAAAAGTGGTGTCGCCAAGGTAAAGACAGGTACAAAGACGGGAACGTCCGAAGGTAAGGAAAAAAGGATACTATTAAACGACACCGAAGAGAAAGATGATACTCGAGATGGACCAAAACTAGCCGGTGAAAATGATCTGGGTGAGCATGATGGTGATGAACAAGAACCTGCCGAGGAGATGAGAGGTGGAGATTTGATGTCACTTCGTCCCTTGATCGTATCTAGACCTCCGGGAGAAGATGGTGTTGAAGAAGAGGAATCAGTTGTGGCCGACGTGGACAAAAAAATGCGGGGAGTAAGTCCAGCACATCAAAAAAGCCTCATTGCTCGTGAACAGCAAGCGCAAATATGGACTGAGGCGATGAAAAAGATCGAGGCCTTTGTTCTTGCGGAATCGCATTTGGTGACAGCTTGCGGATGGGGATTGAACATGAGGAACACGCTTCTCCTATTCTGTTGCTCCGTGTCAATGGCAGGTTTGCTCGTTGCAGTTGCGTTTCTGGTTCACCAGGTGACCACGGACACGACAAGTAGTGCACTTCTAGGAAGAGGAGCTGCTGCATCAAATGCACTAGGAGCAGCTCTCGGTAGGTCGGGTTTGGGCGCTGGCGCTTCATCGTTTATCACGACGAAGAAGAAGAGGAAGAAGAGTTTCCATTCTATTTCTTCTCCGTATCCACAACCATCCCCAAAAGCGGTAGAAGAGAACGTGGAGCAGCAAATGGACAACGAGGGGCTCCTGGAAGCGTTAGCAGCGTCCTGGAAGGCTCACGCGGATGGTCTAAACATGATCCACGATTTTCAAGCCACTTTGGATGTTCCAGAGGACGAAGAAGCAAACGGCACGGGAGTTCTCGTACTAGGAGATCATAGCGAGGACGGAGGCGATGATCATACATCAGAGAAACTGAGAAACACATTTTTAGATCCTCACCCTTCTGGTCAGCAATCTCTAGTTCTGCTTAGCAATGGAGAACAAGTTCCAATTGGCGAAGCTGAGGACAGGGCGCCCTTGGGCGCAGGCGAGGACAATCCTGACTACTTTGAATCGACATCTTCTTCAAGGTCAGCGGAACAACAACTACAGGGTAATGTTGAGCAGCAAAAGGAAGATAATAGATTTTTTATAGATCATACTAACCCCTACTATATGGACTGAGGTGGACCACATAGAAAAAATATTCATGGAAGATGATGCTAAGATACTTCCACTGAATTCTTTGACATTTGACATATCAATCTTCATGGTACTGCTTGATACTTTTCTTGTCTCAAAATATGTCCGCCATATTTGTATTTCTGATTTCTTTATTATCCCATAACCCTACATGCGATTCTTGAAAAATGTTTCCCCTCTTCTGAAATGAATCCTTTCGTAGTTCGCATCAGAACCTCGCAGGATAATTCTGCGCAGCGAAAATGGGGCACTGCTGAAGAAGTGTCTGAGTACTCAGCGGAGAAATCTCTCATACGTTATGCTCGGTTTCCTGCATGTGCCAAACGTACGTCTAGGTGGGTCTGAATTGTGACATCATCTGACGTCTAGAAGTTACTTACTTATCCAAACACCATCCAAGCTTATCCAAAATCAAAAGCACGTACTGGAGGAATCAATCGCCAAATTTCGGTCTTCTTCGGTAAGCCTAGAGGACATGTTAGGAATCTGCAGGGAGCGAGAGCGATAAGAATTTTTGTCTCCAAACAAAAATGTACAAAAAAAATGGCCGCAACGACTTCTTCTGCGTCCAACAGCATATCATTGTGCGTGTTCACCGGCGATGCGATGTCCCAGTAAATCTACAAGACAGGAGGAGCAATCTGTGACTTGATTGGCCGTAGAACTCGAGAGCCCGATCCTTCGGTTGCATTTCAGCTAGCTCCTCGAGTAGTACCTGTCCGGAGTTGCCTAGCACGAGGGCCCTCCACATATAAGAATAATAATTCGTCCAGTTCCCAAAGAAGAAGTACAAAAAAAATGGCCGCAACGACTTCTTCTGCGTCCAACAGCATATCATCAAGCGGTACTAACGGTCCACGGGAGCCGACGAGAGAGCCGGAGTTTGTGGTCCTTTTCGTGGGTGATGCCAGAGTAGGCAAGAGCTCTTTGATATCACGCGCAAGCAAGGGACAGTTCTCAGAACACTATTTCCCGGGACCGATTGGACAAAATTTATGGCCGTTGATTAGAGCTGGTCCTTAGTAGATTAGCGGCATTCACACTCACGTGAGGAGATAGAGAAACTCGAAATGACTAAAAGAAACATCTCTAAGAACAACGGGCGCAACAGCCTCAAGTGGCAGTACTTCAACAAAGAGCGTCGCGTCAAAGCCTTCTCCGGGTGACGGACGGGCAACGCTCGTGACAAAAGATGGCCGCTGTCTACACCTGGTCGAGACAACGGCGGCTGACATTTCTTGGCCGGATTATATACCTCATTATGTTCTTGTCGGGGAAAGTAGTTGTGTACTCATAGCATCATCTACGGGTACTAGGAACGGTGCCATCAGGGATACATACATACATGGACCGGAAAAATTGGGCCTCCTGTAATATAAGGGTCCCGGTGCTTTTCCCCCTTTAATCGGACCGGGGCCGCAAAAATCCCGGGTCCTTATTTTCCCGTCCCGCGGGGTTCCTTATAGTTCTGGCGGGGTCCCCCAAAAAATGGGGCTGATATTTCTTGGCCGGATTATATACCTCATTATGGTAAAGGTACAAGCACGTTATCTATCATTTTTATCGTCTTGGTCACGATCATCAGTATAATGAGTACACAACATCCTCTTTCCCCTGTCATACTCACGCCATCGTATACATGTACGACCTGTTAGAATCGGAGAGCTTCGAGAATATTTTAGCCTACTGGGACTCAGAGGTGGAGCGGAGGTACGGGCATCAGTTATGAAAGAGCAGATGGCGCTTAGGTTTTCGTTTGCAAACGAGACGTGATTTAAAATTTGCGTTTTTAATACTTACGGTTTAGTTGATGTAGACGCTTAGGGCTTTACAGTAGGAGCTACATCTCGATCTTCCCCGCTGGAAGATCTTGAATCTCGTATTATTTCCAGTCTGTTGCAGAAGCAGATGAAGGATGTACCACTATCTAATGATCGTCGACAAACAAATCTTATGCTGTGGCAGATGGAGACAGCCGCCAAGACGACCGAACGATTTAGCTTTTCCAAGAAAATTTGTAGTGGCAAACAAAAGCGACCTTTTGACACTCGCATCACCCTGTGTGCCATTTAACAAAGCGGCGGAGGTAGGATCCTGCATTTACCTATAGCTTTGGGCAACACCTCTCGAACAGGTAAATGAATGAGTGAATAGTTAGTAGAAGTGGTATTGTTCATATAGACATGAATTTCAATTTTCACAATGATAATGCTCGACGAAGGTTGACATTGAAAAGAATAAGAATCATAGCTGCAGCACCACATCCTTCTCAACTACCTCATTTCTAAAGTCTATCAACATTAGTACCTTCACTAGCAGGTGTTTAAAAGTGAAATGGGTGCTCCTTTGATTGAAGTGTCCGTAAAATGGAGTTTGAACGTCCAAGAAAGCATGCAAATGCTTGCTGAGGAGATCAAGGCTGCCATCCACGCGCTAGACCTGGATCCGTTTATTCCACCACCACCTGCACCACCACCCAAAACGCCACCTGAAGAGCCGCCTAGGTATAGAAGATACCCTGTAAATTGTTGATGTGTGAAATTCAATCTGGATAATTTTTAATTTCTAAAAAACTGCAGGACGGCCTCTACTGTAAGTCGTGATTGATGACTTTGTTTCCCCATCGCCCCAGAGATTATTTGTTTTATCTCCATCCAACGATAGTTACTGTTTGGTAGTCCCTCTGAGGCTACGCATGTCCGCTCGAGTATGCAGGTAGAACTGTGGACGGCGGGCCAAATCCTATCCTATCCGAAGCTAAAATCGTATCCTAAACGCACTTAGAGAAAAAAAATGTCATCATTATCGCCATCGCCATGCTCACCTCATGATCGATCTAGCACTAGGTCCGACCCCCGATATTTTGCCGAAAATGATCCGATTTACCTCGATTACAATGGTACCACGCCTATCGACGTGGAGGTGCAGAACGCGATGATGCCGTATTTGACTGGCCCAGGAGCATGGGGAAACCCATCCTCGTCTCACATATTTGGCCGTCGCGCCAAAGAGGCGATGGATGCAGCGAGAAGCAAGGTTCTGAAACTCCTAAATGCGGATCCGATTATGGCTATAGATAGTACCCTGACTTTTTTCAGCAAAAAGTTCGTACTACTTACTCCACGTGATCATGACGGCTTTGGGTAGATATGCGTTTCAGCAATAGAGAGGACAAATGTACTTAAGTAGATGTACAACTCCATTTCGAGGGGTCGTCGCATTGATGTTGTCAGGATAGATTCCAGGAGTAGGTACAGCTACTTGGAGTAAAATGTAGGAGAGATGAAGGTGAACAGAACGTCCTACCTGGAATAAAGACTTCTGACCACGCGCACCTCCTACACCGCTCTAATGGAAACACGGACTCGCTTATTTTCATGGGAAATGGCAGTGAAACCATCACACACACGTTTCTGGGTTGTTTTCAGAACTACTACAAACCATTGGAGGACGACGAAACTGAGTTCGTGTCTCTTCCCATTGATCCACCTACTTCAAGTGGTGATCCTTCTAGTGTACCTGCAGTACCAGAAAACCGAGGCCGTGGACATGTGATCACGCAGAAAACTGAGCACGTCGCAGTTCTAGAAGCCTGCAGGGGTTTGGAGCGACTAGGAGTCGACGTCACGTACCTCCCAGTAGATCCAGAATCAGGAAGCGTCAGTGCGGAAGCGGTGGAAGCAGCTCTCAGAGCAGACACATTTTTTTAGGCACTATTGTGACCACAAGCAAGAATTAAGGGTAGGTTAAAGGTGCTTTTCTTGCCGCTTTTTATGCCTCTCCTAAGGGAGAAAGGCATAACAAGCGGGGTAAGTGAGCACCAAAAACCTACCTCTAAAAGAACTTGGAAATGAGTACTAAACTTCTACGATGATTTCGGGCATAAAACTTTTTCAAGTAGTAGAGCATCTTTTATCGAGCCTCTTTTTCAAAACAAGCATTTGGCATTTAATTCCTAACAACTTGTCATCTAATTTTCAGTATCCATCATGCATGCCAACAACGAGACGGGAGCTGTGATGCCAGTGGAAAAAATTGGCGAGGTGATAGAAAAACGAAATTGTCAGATGTATTTGGCCGCACATGATATGGATCATCAACGGGTCCCGAGCCTGTGGCGGAGGGCTTATATCCAAGCGCCTAGACTAGGTCGTAGTAGAGTCAAGCGGCAGGAGGAACGGCAAAGGCAGTTAAGAACTTTATAATAGATCTTTGTGAGGATCTTCACATCATTCTTGCTCTTATGATCTCTATCAGGTACTTAGAAATGTTGACACTAGTTGCCGTCTAGTAGTCTTCCTTTCATCATCATAATGGGCGAAGATTTCCGGCAACAAAGGTACCACAAGGGCTGCTCCTACCAGCCTCCAATGAGTGAAGAGGTTCACATTCTTTGGTTCAGATTCAGAATTGATAGTACATCTAAGTCACCTCTCCGGTTGTTTTCGTGGCAGGCCAAGGAGCCCGATGCGTGGCGTACAGCCAGGCCACGTAGTGGTGGAGGGTGGCGTGACGGTAACGACGTCGAAAACGAGGTCTCACTCGAGAAGTAGCAGTCGAGGGCGGCGAAGGGCGTCAACTCCAGACTATACGATCGAAGCAAACAACATTATGGCTTCCCCCTACTCATCTTCAGAAGCATTCTGGAGGGGCTTTTCAAGAGGAAAAGGACCCCAGGATGGGTCTTGACATGAATTTGCGCGAGCCCTAATATTAGTCGTCACACCGACAACACCAAGAGAAACTACAATCCTGCGACGTTGCCCGTCCGTGAGTATTTGACACATTGTTATTTTCATGTCGATGCCAGTCAATCTGTCGGCAAACTGCCGATAAACGTTAGGGATGAATTGAAGTGCGACTATTTGACCATAGCAGGTCATAAGATCTACGCGCCCAAGGGCGTCGGCGCCCTCTTCGTACGGACTAGTCTTTTGGACACGTTACCGCAAACAATGCATCGATTTCTTGAGGCTGTTTCTAGTTCTCCAACTACAGAACCAGCGACTACAGTGCCAACTACTACAGAACCAACTACTACAGCACCGACTACTCCACTTTTGACGACTGAAGACAGCATTTCAAAAATCGGGCAGAAGATCGAGAGAACTTTCCTGGAGAATCAAGCTTTAGCGGCCTCTCAAGATGCAAGGGGTCTAGAGGATGCTTTCGCCTTGCTTCCATTAAGGCTTTTACCGTAATTCATCTTAAGTTGAGGCTCAGAGCATCTTCATCTTAATCTTTGACCTGACTTCCTTAGTGTACAGTTATTAGGGAAAAATAGTTCAGAGATTGAGTAGATGTAGATTGTCGCCACTGGCGGTGGAATAAAGGAAAAGCAAGGGTGAACAGGGCTTTGCAATTTGCATTAATATCAGTCGTAAGTCTTAGTCTAAGTTCTATTTCTAATTCCTCGTGATGACTCTATTTTGATCGCGAATTGCTCAGTCATCCTGCCGCATTTGATCCGTGGAGCAGGACAAGAACGTGGACTACGCGCATCAACGGAAAATGTGCCCTATTGTGTGGCACTTGGAGCTGCGAGTGAGATCATTTAAGGATTGTCGTAATATCAACATGTATCTTGACCACTCAGGTATCACAACATCTTTGATCATCCAGGTTTTCGTGAAAATAGAGAGTACGAGCATGATGAGGGCTACTCTGTCCCAATCATGCAACATCTCGAAGGAAAGGAACTTCGGCATTGCGAGAGAGATCGCTAATCCCCTTTTTCTTTATAAGGATAGGAAAACACGTACACGGAAAAGATTTGTTGAGATGGGACTCTAAAGAATGGGCAACTCTCTAGATACGACTTCTTCCAGTTGTGGACGAGATGAAGGAGAAAAACCAAGTAGTAGGAAGCTAGCTGACCTGCGAGACCGGTTTGAGGAGCTTGTACTGGCCGGAGTGGGAAAGGACAGAGTAATTTTAAGGCAGTTGAGGACCCGTGAGGACCTGTGTAAGTTCGTTGAGCTAAACTCGAAAAGCATCAGGAAAAACTGTTCAAGAACTGTAGTCACGCAATCATAAAAATTCTACGAATCGCCTCACGAAATAAGCTTCCAATCATCACGTTCTTTAGAAATACAGGAAAAAAGTATGTTGATGTTTGTTACCCAGGAACAATTGTCTTTGTCACTTCTAACACTAGTGAATGCCAAAGACGGAAAAGGCTCGACAAGACTGCCGAACACCAGTTCGCTCTCCTTCCTAGACGTGTCAGACGCACGAAAGTTTTTGAACGATCCTAAGTATCTAGCTGGAAAAGTCGCAGCTTCAGCTGGTGCCGCATGCCACTCAGACGGAAGCGCAACCTCGCATGTATTGTTATGACAAAAAATATGCAAAATTTGATCTATCTTCCTCTGGTCTTTCTTTTTTCTAGTTTTTAGGTCGGCTCCACCACAATTATACCACAGGCCTCGACAACAAACTCGCTTGCATTCCTCTTGCGTAGATCCAAGTCCAACGATATCCACAGATGCAAAACTCGCTTATCATGTTCCTCTTGCTGACGTTCCTCTTGCTTCGTCTTGTTCTACCTACTCAACCACCCTAGTCTGGTTTCCTTGCTTTCCTCTTGCGTCTTGTTTTTCTCCGATGCAAGAAAGTCTTGATTATATTTCTACCATGATCATGTAGTGCCAACTTGATGTACGATGATGATGATGTATAGTGAACACCTCGTACAGTGAACCCTAGAAAAGTTTTCTAATGAAGCAAGCAATGGGACGAACCTCAAATGAGATGGCGGGCACTGTGCGCTTTACTGTAGGCCGCTACAGCACAGAGCGGGAAGTAACTGAGGCTGCAGCTGAAGTCGTCAGTGCTGTAGCGAAGCTGGTGGAAAAGAGCTCGAGGGACGAACAAAGATTTAGTTGTGAATAAGGAAGCCTTTGTACTACGAGCATCGACAGTTATTTCGGAATACACTGAATTTGGGCAGCCTGCCATACGTAGGCCACGAGGAACATCTCTTAATAAATTTGTGCTCCTTGTAGTTCTCATAAATTTGAGAGCACTAAGGACGTCGAGAGCACTTCTAAAAACTGGACATCACCAAGGCGAAGTAGTTCAGCGAATAGGTATTCACTCGCGAATTTATTCATTACACTTGCGGTGGTATGATGTCAATCTTCAAGCCCTTTTCATGGTACAAGACGTATTATATCGTACAACTACATCATCCAGTACTTCAGTATTGCGCTTTTGATTGGTTACGGGATTAAGCAGCTAGAAGAATCGGTGATGTAAGTGAAAATGAAGGAATGGCTGGCTTGTCTTTTTCCATGCTACTTGCTGAGTAATGAAATTTTAAGTATTGCGACAATGTCTATTCGCTACAAGAACAGCGGACACAACATCAATCACGTCAACATTTAATTGGGTGGTGAGGGCTCATTTCTCTAAGCACAGTCGCCTCCTGAAGAAGGGCCGCATCCTTGTTCGCAGTTGCCTTCTGAAGAAGGACCACATTCTTATTCAACCTCTGAAGTGGAGTATTTGTATTCTGCACAAGGTCAACAAGCGCGCTCTGAAGTTGAGGGGTCTGCACGCGAGGGTGATGAGACTCCTTTGCCACAAGCAAGTCCAGATGCGACACTCGCCCAATACCTGACACAAACAGCAAATGGTCCCGCCATAATGAGCTCGCCAAAAAGGTGATTCCGAATTCTAGAGAAGAAAGGCGTCTTCCTCTTACAGATAAAATCAGGATACCTGTACAAGAAAATAAAGTGTGTTCTTCATTCCAGCGGTCTGACCAAGAAACTGACACGACAGCTTGACGAAGAAGATCTTAGCGTTGTTGCATTGCTCTTGAACCTGATCTACTCGCGATTGACACAAGCATGAGTACGGGGCAATAACCTATCAATCCAAGAGCATGTTGTACTATAAGACGACGTAACACTTAGACTTAGTACATGTTAGCACAACTACTGTAGAAACCGTGGGGCGCCCTCACAACTTCAACATCAGAGAAATCTGTAGAACTCGAAGAAGGCTCAGGGAAGTCGTAGGTCCAACCCGAACCGACTAACATCATCAGTACACGTTAGCACATAGCCGACGAGTGAGAAACTCAGCAGGTCTTCGAGAGAAAAAATCCGAAAATCGACTTTCACCCCTGAGTTTTTTTTAGTGAAGAATAAGCTGAACAAAGTGTCAGTGTGAGGCGACGTGTAGGAGTTACGATCAAGATTACGGTTTCCTGAGCGTCGAAAAAGTACCACGAGACCTAAGAACCTAAGCACCCAGAAAAGCCTAACCTATGTATCGATAATTAAAAAAGCGGAAGTTTCAAAATCCTACGACTACGTAGAGTGAAAATGAGGTATTGATGACAAGAGCCTCTCTTCCCCTTTACCTCTCAGCTTTCTCCGGCACTTATCTCACGCTTACCACGTTTTTATTGACCACAACAAGAGCAAGACCCCTCACCACAAACACAATAAGCACGACCATGTTTCAACCTGTAGTCGTTGAAAGTTTGCCTCGTCTCCGCATTGACGTTCCGGAGGACACGACTAGTATAGCGAAGCCCCGCGACGATGAGCTGTTAAGCGTTGCCACATTGCATTCTTCACTACCATCCTTGCCTTGTTTTCCAGTAGGAGAGAGGTCAGGGATGATCTGAAGAATGCAGCTCCGCACCCTCTAAAACTGAGCGCTTTCGACCATTGGAAATGCCAGCTGTTCGGAAAATTTTCCTTGCGTTGGTGGAAAGTCGACACTTTGGCACATGCGCTTTCGGCGATGCAACGACCGCCGGATTTCTTGGCAATACGCTGCCCGAGTCGATGTGATCATCGAGCGGGTTACAATCCGGAAAAAAATACAGTACTCAAAATAGTGGATATACGTCACTTGAGAAGCGGGTTACAATCCGGAAAAAAATACAGTACTCAAAATAGTGGATATACGTCGCTTGAGAAGCGGGTTACAATCCGGAAAAAAATACAGTGCTTCTCAGATAGTATTTGTGAGCAACATGATGATACCTGCGATTGATAGATTCAAGTAATTACCCTATTAAAATATCAAATTTGTTGCATTTCTTCTATAGCCATAGCCAGAGCAAGAGCATACAACAACTTATGCATAGGCCAACCAGGTATCATCCATCCTTTATAATCCGCCAACGCTCGTCCTACTAAATCAATATGAAGCTTTAACTTTTGCAATAGAACTCCAACTTCTGTAACTACAATCAATCACAATCGAGTTTCAGGTGTGGATCTGTGGAAATTTAGTTCACAATCCCTGGGAATTCCGGAGGCTCGTAGCACACGAGTTAATTCACGCCTTCGATCATGCTCGATCCGAGATAACGACTAGGGAACAGAAACTCTGCAGTGAAATTAGATTATGGACGAGGATAAGATGAAGCTTTTTTTTGTATAAATTTCAAACATTGTATAAATTTGAAGCAAGATAGGTGGCTGCGGTACGAACCAGGCGGAAAACAAGCAGAAGATGCTGTACAAGGCCAAGATTATAAGATCATTCACATCTGGGGAACAACTTTATATCAAAGCTTGTTTCTATGAGTTAATAATGCAGCAGTGGACATAGACATGATGACTATGCGTTTTCTTCTTGTTTCTGCTTCAGCTCCTCGAGCTGCATCATCTATCATTATAAGGGTAGGGGTGAAAGGTGCTTTTCTTACCGCTTTGTATGTGCATTCTTGGTCTCTTCATCTAAGTGCCGCGTGGAACTTGAGTGGGGAATGCGACTTGTGGCGAAATGCGTGGGCTTTTCTTGGCGACGACATGGTCGACCGGAAACAGAGATGCATAAAAGAAAATGCGCTCTTGAGCATGCGCAGTAGTGATCGCATAAACAAAGCTGCGGGTGCGAGTCGGAGCTTCGATGAAAGTGTAGGTGGTGAAGATTCAAGTAGAGAATCCAGCACATCCTTCAGCAGAACAGCAACATCTAGGGATAGGATTGACATTAGATTCAACAAAAATAATGAAATTCTTCTAAATGAGCTTGATCGTAGGACCACTGAAATAGACGAAAGTGTTTTTCGACAATGTTTTGACGACCACTGGCCATTCACTGCAAAGGCACACCTTGACACTTCATGGCGAAAGCCAGCGCGACTGACATAAGGGCTTTTGTGGTTCTTCTACTTATTTGGAGATGTAATTAAGTATCCCAAATTCGTCCGAATGTTGAATGAAATAGAAATTGATGTTCTTTGACCAGCCTAATCCCCTGAATTTCAAATTTCTCGAAGTTTTCTGAAGAATCAAATGTTGGTATTCTTGGATCGTGCATGACGGAGGAGTATCGAACATAGTGTTCAGAGCTCCTTTTGAACTTGAAGCTACTCCCTAAGTGTTCATCTATGAAATCGCTGTTGTATTCTTGTCCTCAAGATAGAACATCAGTAGCTCGTCTTGTGCAAAGGTCTAGTACTGATTGTTTCTATAATAACATCTTCATGATTTTCCATCTTTGAAGATCAGTATAACTGAATATCAAGAACTTGATAGCGTCTCGTAGTGCACTGTGCGCATGCCCTCAACATTTTGAATTCAGGCCAGGCTACACCTTCTTTTGTCATGTACTAGTAAGTCCGCCTCCTCCAGCACGACCCTTGGCGTCTTTATAGACCACAGACGCTTTCTAAAGCACATTCCTGTCGCATCGTTAAGATCAGAGTTTTGTTTTTTGATGGTAGGTAAGTAAGGACTACGTCCTCCGTGACTGACACGAGTTGTTGTCTTACGACCAGCAGCATTGAGTTCGAGTTCTTTGTTGAATAAGAAACAAACTCACTGTCTGTACTGATGACATCATCACAATTTGTTACGCATTTATAGAGTTGTAAGATGACATCCTCACAATTTGTTACTCGTTATTTAAGTAGTTGAATGGGAGGCAGCATGTAGTCCTATGGGAAAAAAAACGACGCAGATCTTGTGCGAGTAACGAGTGAATGAATGCATAGAGTTGTAAGAGTCCCTTTCGTCAAAAGGACTATAACAAGATGTTCCCACCTGGTATGCAGATGCCTGCTATGGGCAACTTTGTCCAACCAATGATGCCTGGAATGAACGCTCAACAGCAAGGGCAGATGCAAGTACCAGGACAGATGCAACTACCAGGACAGATGCAAGTACCAGGACAGATGCAACTACCAGGACAGATGCCACTACAACCAGGACAACAAGCAATGCAACAGATGCAAGCAGGACAACAGGGGATGCAACCAGGACAACAAGCTCCACCCAATATGGCAGCCATGATGCTGATGATGAATCAGGCAATGAACGCATCAGCAGGAGGAGGCGCAATAAATCCGATGAGTGCGATGATGGGGCAAGCAGGCGCAGGAGGAGGAGGTGTAAATCCTATGAATCCAATGCTAGCACAAGGAGCAAATGGCGCTAACAATATGATGGCAGCTTCGGGAGCTGGATCGCAAGTTGCTTCACAGATGGCTGTGCCGCAAATGCAACCGCAGATGACACCGCAGATGCCTCAGATGACACCCCAGGTGCCGCAACTACCGCAACAACAGGTGCAGCCACAACAGATGGCCACACAACAGATGGCCACACCACAGATGGCCACACCACAGATGGCTGCGCCGCAAATGCCCCCACAAATGGCTGCTATGATGAAGCAAATGATGGCGTCAATGATGAACGGAGGAAGAGCGACGAGTAGCACGTCTAATCTACAGCAGGGTGGAACGAATTATCCTAAACCTAATGTGTCAAGTGGAGGTGGTACCAATAATAATACTTCTAGGGCAAATGGCATGACATCAAAGATACCTGCAGCTGCTGGTAAGAAAATTGGATCAACAAACGCAACAGCATCAAGTACTAGAACTGCAAAAGCCAATGCAGCGAAAAAAGAGGATGACGATGAGATCAAAATCGCGCCTGTAGTGGGGGGCGAAGCAATAGGTGGAAGCGAAAGCTCGAAAAAGGCTGCGAATAGCAAAACTGCAAATAGTAAATTTAGAGGAGGTGGAGGTAGTACTACAAGCAGTAGGGGACCGATAAGTCATCTTCCACCATCTTCATTCAACGGACAAGGCGGGATGAATGCCGGTGGTGGAGCTGGGATGAACCCTATGGCAGCTGGAAATCCTATGGCTATGATGGCTGCGCAAAACCCCATGATGATGCAGATGGCCCAGAACCCCATGATGATGCAGATGGCTGCGCAAAACCCCATGATGATGCAGGTGTTTACGCAAATGCAGAAAATGAACCAGCAAGGAGGTACTTATTATTGAAAAACGATATTCATCGTTTTTAGCTTTTTACATAGCTGCATGGCATCGGCTTTTTGGTGCTGGTCAGCTCTTACTCTGAAAGTTGTAGATCTTGTAGTTCTTTTGCCGCTGTAGAATAAGTGATAGATGGCAACATTCTTTTTCACTTCTACTATATCCATTATATTATTCCCAACAGGTTTCTCAATACCAAGAATGGGAGCGGGTACTCCAGGTATGATGGGAACCCCAGGTTTGCTGCCAACAAAGCCTGACGACCCAGCACAGGAGAGGATGCAGAGACATTTGATGCAGAAACAAACGGTATCTATAGATACTTTCATCCTTCGTCTTCAAGAGCATCATGCAATGAATCTTCGTTATCAATCCTCCATTGGTTCCTGCACCTAGAAGTTCACTGTATCATTCTACTTGTGTCGAGGAGTTAATATTTCATCACTACTAAGTATCTACTTGTACTACACTCACGTCATTTATTCAAGCGGTAATCCTCGGACACTTCATCTAACAGGAAGAGCTAGAGCGGTGGCGTGAGAGCGAAAAGAAGAAGCGCATGGAGCAAGTGAAGAAGTGCCATTTGCACACGAAAGCGGTTCCGCGTAAGTGTAAGTTCTGCAAGCGCTACGAGGACGATTTAGCCAGGGTCAACGAAGAACTTACCCAATTGTCTCAGAAAGCTCTCGAAATGAAGAAGAATTTGCTGCAAGCAAGCGGTTTGGCGCAGAGGGATTCGACACAGGAGTACACAAACCAAAAAAGCTTCAACTTGCCAGTTCTGCTACTGGGGCAGATCGAGAAGGCCTCGTTTTTCAAGGAACTGGTGGACGGCACGTCAGCGGTAGCAGCGATCAGTGTCGATGTGCAAGCGGCAGCAGAGCAGGCGAAGCACAATAAGTGCGACACGGTGGAGAAATTAGTAGCCAAAGCTACAGCCATGATCGACAATTGTGATGTGTATCTCCACAACAGCATGACGGAGACCTCGACGTTCATGGCCTGCTTGTTGAGGCTCTTCATGCTGCGACCGACAATGGAAGAGCTCAAAAGAATCGTCACGGACACGGACAACGTCTACATTCGAATCATGGGCTTTCTCTTTATCCGGTTTGTCTTCGACTTTGACAAGTTGTGGGCTTGGTACTCACCGTTCTTTCTCGACATGCAGCCACTGCGATACACACGAGGCGAAAATCTCACGGTCGGAGAGGTACTGTTTGACATTTGAGTAGTTGTCAGGTTCCTCTAGTTTATTACTAGATCATAAGTATGAAGATGTACTGTGTGATATAAAAATTTTCCATTTGTTGAGTAGTTGTTAGGTCCCTGTAGTTCAGATCATAAGTATGAAGATTTTTCTGAGTCGAAAAGTCTAATAGACGCTGCTAGTAGTCACGATCACGTTCACGCACCATGGAAACCAAGACAAACTCCTTTCATTCGCCTCCCAACTAGGTTGTCGAGCGGCTCTTCCTGGAAGATCGATTTGGTGATGGTGACTGTGTGTTGCCTCGTATACCCCACTTGTCTAGGCAGAAAAAGGGACTCTTCGTGGTCCGGTTAGAAACGCAGAGAGATCGGTATCAAGAACACATGCGACTCCTCCGCGACGATCCAACGACCTTCACCACGGTCGGACGCAAGATAGAGGCATGCAGCAATGGTAAGACTTCATTACTCTGATTTGCATTTTCGCAATTCAACATCTACCAAAGGTCTTTTTTATTCTACTCCTTCACCATAGGATGAAAAATGCAGGTTCTGACTCAGAAGATTTATCACTCGCTTGCAAAAAAGATGAAAATGTTGTGAAGAAAGCAAAAGATGAGACTTTACTCTTCTCACGACAGGTGACTGGTTAACTGGTACTGTCGTTTCCGCAAATGAGTTTGGCGGCAAGAAGGAGCCTCGCAGTGACCAAATCGACTTCTCGTTTGATGGCAAGGATATCGAGACCTGGCGTGAGCAGAGAAGACTGTTTGGACAGCACATCCATGTCCGATTGGAGGATGAGAGCTTTGAGGAAATACCGCTGGGGAAAGTCATCCTACTGGATTATCAGATGCTTAGGAGTGCGGATCCGGCTGCGAACCCAATGTCCATGGACATCGTGAACATTGACCCCATGAACATGATGAATATGGGTAATATGGGCACTGGAGGTAATCCTATGATGGCAGGGAATCCTATGGCAGCTAACCCTATGGCTATGGCACCAGGCAATCCTATGGCAGCAGCAATGAGCAACATGTTTCCCTTTGCCGCAGCAACGAATCCTAACGCAGCAGCTGTAGTACAACCACCAGCACCGCCAGCGCCACCAGTAGACAACGACGATGTCAATGGAGGCGCTTACTTTTCTTCTTCTGGCGCAGCTGCAGTAGTTCCTCCACCCAGTGCAGAACAAGATCAAGTAGGTGGTTCTCCTGCTAGAAGTAGTGGAGCGGGGGACACAACGAATGATGTGGCGCCACCACCGCCTGCGGAGGAGAAGGATGTGAGTATGACTGGAGTTGGACAAGAGGAGGCCATTGCTGTTGGTGAAGTTGCTAGTGCTGCTAGTAAAATGGACATGTCAGCAGTGGATGTGAAGATGGGAGAAGCAGACGGAGGCGTGAAACAAGGACCCCAACAAGCAGCACCCCGAGAAGGTAACCCGCAGGATGCCAATGATCCTGCAACGACTTCGCCTGTTGAAGCTCCTGCTCTAGTTCCACAAGAATCAACACAGGCAACCACAACTTCTGCCCATCCAGCACCACCTGCTGCTCCTGCACCAGGCCCAACAGACCCTCTACAAGCGATGATGGCTGCCATGGGAGGTAAGGCTCCAGCGGGTATGGATCCTCAATTGCTGCAAATGATGCAGATGATGCAAGCGGGGATGATGTCTGCTGGGCAAATGGATCCCACTGCTCTAGCTGCAATGGCCCAACAGACTGCTGCTTTGGCTGCCGGTGCTGTGGGGGTGAATAGTAATGCCAATGTCAATAGTACGGCAGGAGGTGTTGGTAGTGCCTCTTCCAGTGCTCCTGCTGGTGCTAATCCTTTTCATCATGGTGGTAGTGGTGATGTTCCTGGTGGTGAGGATCATATGGGTACTAATGGAGGAGAAGACAATTTTTCCAAAGAGCAGCAAGAGGATGAGGATGATGACCGTGGCAGAGGACGGCCTAGTCGTAGCAGGTCCCGCGACCGGGATCGCAAACGTGGTCGAAAAGACGGCGGAAGAAACTACGACAGAGATCGAGATCGCGATGATAGAAGAGGTGGTGGAGATCACCGTGATGACAGAAGAGGTGGTGGGGATTACCGTGATGACAGACGAGGTGGGGATCACCGTGAGGACAGGAGTAGAGGAGACCATAATAGGGACGACAGAAGAGATCGCGGGGGTGATCGCGATCATCGTGATGACAGGAGGGATCATCGCGACTATAACAATTATGATCCTTCCTCTTCTTCATCTTCTAGGAACCATTATTACAGCAGCAGCGGTAGGGACCACCACGACAGGAATCGTTCACTGTGCTTTGAGCGCGATAAAGAGGCGACTGCCCAAGAGATTGAGGAGTACTTCCAATACCAGAAGAAGTTAGTGCTGGCTACTGGCAAAGCGTACTCAGTGAGGCCGCACGACTTCAAGTTGGCGACGGGAATGAGTGGCATTGGAGCGGAGGAAAGACGACTGCAATTCCAGAGCACAAGCTATCCAAGCAGAGACGTACTACGAAGACTAAAGAGTTTGTTTCTACTTAATTTTTGGACTTGGAGATGGTTGCTGTATCTTTACGCAGAAGTTTGTAAGTAAAAACGTAATTTTAAGTCGTGCTTTGAAACAAAAATTGTCCTCGAGTTTCTGCTATCGTCCGTTGAGATGTTATTCATTGTCGAAAAACTATCCTACAAACCAAAAACTACAGGTCGTCTACGTGGAACAAAAGCCAGTGGGAGGTACCAGACGGCCAGAAATGAATGCGGAGACACAGGCTGCCGTCGTCGAGCGCTATACTGGAGGACTCGGTGGCGCGCCGCCGCCACCATCCTATGCTGCTACCGCTCCCAAGAAAAGCGACGTGGATGGACCAGAAGTCATCCGATTGGGCGCGAAGAAATAAGAGAATCGGAAGAAGAACTTTTGGTTTTGCCTGCTTCATCCTGCTTCTTCTCGTTGCCTTTCTGGGCTATTTCTATGTATTCCTCATTCCACCTGGTACTACAACGAACGCTGTCTGCTTTTCAATACAATTTCCTCAAACTACTGATCGTGCTTACTCAGGTTCAGATAACCCTGCTCAACCACTAACTACTACTACAGTTCCCATCGTCTCCCCTAAACGATACTCCCCCCGTGACCCCTAGCGGGACCTTAAGATGGTTAATTTGTATGTTCTATACGCGCTACGCTGTGATGGTGATCACTACGAAACTGTGGATGATCATGTGTTGTGCTTTTATTGGGTGTTCAAGATCACGCGGTACAGAAAATAGCAAGAAAGAGGAGGAGGTAGAGGCAATTACAAGACACCTGAAAGGTGAGAACAATTGGCAGACGAGAGAAGAACAGCAACAGGAGATGTTGTGATTCTGAGCGAAGTCTTCTCAGGCAATTGCTAGTACTGCCTTGGACATGTTTCTAAGATTGAGAGATAGGTGGACGTGCTGAGGCAGTGTGCTCAAACTGATGTTTCTTTCCATCAAGATTGGTTGAACATGATCGCACAATCGTGAAGATACTCGTCAATTTTTATGCGAACGACGAAGAGGACGATGCCTGTAGCGTGTACAGTTTTCATAGTTGCATAAAGTAGATGTGAATATCAACCTGCATATGCAAATATTGAATTTTTGATTTTGTCATAAAAACGTTGGAGGCAGAAGCTGCACCACACGGACATAATGAAAGCGACGTGTGGCGGAATTTATTGACATTATGCAAGAACTGCATTGATTGATGCAACATCAACATCAAGCTCAAGAAGAATAACACCAATCAGAATAATAATGGGAAAAAGGAGTTGCACGAATCCACGCTCGTGTCGCATGTTGATGCGGGAAAAATTACTGAAAATGTACATCTTCTATTTGGAGGGTTAGAAATTGAGCGAAAACAGTAAAGGGGCTACAGCAACGTCACATACGCAGACACTGCTAACTGGTGAAAGTAGAACAGAGAAAAAGAAACATCAAGGGAACAGGTGTACCCCTGGAATGGGTTTACTACTACTACTAGGTTTACTAGAGGAGCGAAAACAACAGAAAGGGCATCGAGGAGTACTACTCCAACTAGCGAACGCGGAAGAAGAGCGCTTTGAACCAGCTCCAGCAGCATGGGCAACGCTATCAAGCACTCGCTGGCCAAGTGCCGACACAACCGTGATGTTCTGCGGATGCGGGAAGAAGCCCTACTCTATGGTGATCCAGATCGAGAAATATTCGCTGGGAGTGGTGTGGTGCCAACTGATGTGAACAGCAAAATGAACACTTCTGGTAGACAGCATGGTGGGGACTCTGCTAGTAGTGTATCTGGTGTTGATAGTACAAAAGCAGGATCTTCTTCATCTGGCAGTAGTACAAGTCCTGATCATGGGTCAGGTGCAGGTGGTCCGCCTTCGTCTTCGACAATACCTCCATATCGGACGAGAGATCGCCAAAGGGAAAACACACGACGCTGTACCGAAATAGTGCACAATGTTGATGATGCAGTTCTGGATGATAGAGAGGATGCGTCAACATCCAAGAAGAAGTACAACGAAGGTGGAAGGAGGCCTTCACAAGCACGAAGGATCGACCGAGCAGACAGTCGTGCAAGTGTCTGGGATTTAGCTGCTGCAGAAGACGGAGTTGATGTTGTCCATTTCGAAAGTAGTGGCAGCCCATTTAGTGGTGAATTCACGACAGGCGATCCTGGGGATGGGGAAAGAGTTGAACATTCTTCACATTCTTCTGTTATGGCTTACTCCTTGACTGTTTTGGAATATAATAATGCTCGTTGATGACTTCGAAAGAACGTTGTTGACCAAAGATCTCAACCAGAGTACTAGAGTTCTTTCGTTCTTCCTCTCCGTTTCTTCTCTCCACACCCAACATCTAATCTTGAATACATGGAGAACCAGTTGGCAAATAGTCGTCGTCTACAGCAACGGCGACAAGAAGCAGAAGCCACTCGAGCATTTGACCAAATATTACAGAATGCTGCTGCAGTTAAGGCTCAGCGAGATTAACAAAGAATTTCTTGTAGCAATTAAGGACGTTCTGAACGTGAATCTTGTTTCCTCCGCTATAACGTTAGTCAAGACGTAGCACGATGTATCATGACATGACACCCACTCCGTCTATCTTCCGTTGCTCAGGTAAGAAAGTGAGAAGATGGAGGCAAGAAATGAAATACTTTGCGCTCTAATGCAGAACAGAGAACAAGAAACAGCAATAACATCATGAGCAGCGATGAAAGCAGCGACGACTCTAGCAGTTCCAGCTCTGACGACTCAAACAGCTCAGACGAAGAAGAGAGCGAGAGTACTATGATTTATCGTGAGAGTAGGTTTTTTGAACCGATAATGATAATGAATCTCATTGTGAGTCAGACCGCTGACTCCGATGTCGACCATCGTAACATGACATGAAGCTTGAATCATAGGTATCAAGAACGGAAACAATCGACTACATTATTTCGGTTTTTCCCACTGCTCACAGCTGTCCCGCCGCCTTCTAGAAAAAGCCGTAAGAGCAGTTTGCGTGGCAGTCCACCTACAGATGGGGCAAACCATCTCGCACGAAATAGTAACTATGGTGCGGCAGGCGTGCCACCTGGTGCAGATACAAGAGCAAATACATCAGTGGTAGAGATTATGACAGACCCAACCAACTACCTTTCTTCATAGGAAATTGTACTTATTATGACAGGTGGTGTATCAATTTCAAGTTTCTAGGTAAGGATATACCAGATGCAACCAACCTTTCATAGGAAATAGTACTTTTTGTGACGTGAAAAGGAGTTGCCAGTTCCAGCAAAGTCTCTCGAGAAGATATTCTAAGACAAAGAGGAACAGCAAAGCACTTCGAAAAAGCCGGAAACAGTCTGTGGTCAGCAGTAGCACCGCAGCATCAAGCGCCTGGAAGAGCCCACTTAGTGACACGATGTCCTGCGCAACGACCGCAACGTCAAAAACTACTTCCACCTGCTCTTCTGGCGCATCCACAGCCCTCAGAGGTGGTGGGTCAAAAGCATCAACAATATCATCTAGTAGAGAGGATGGTCACAGCGCATTTGGCGCATTCCCTGCTGCGAAAAGATATCATGAGCCAGACGAGCCTTTCGGATTTCAAGGTGTGTTTCACGATGTAGCACCATCGGCGATGCGTGCAGCGATTCTACGATATCGAGATGTACCTCTACTTGATGACATTTTTATAAACATTTTTTCTTTTTGAATGCTGAATGATGATAGCTGGGATTCCAAGAAGAACGATAATCGACGAGCATGTGATTCTTTGACTCAGGTGCTGATATTTTTTCATCTAATTGAACACACAGTAGTACCAGGAAGGTGGCATTGTTTGTATAGGCGGCCAGGATAGCACTATTATTCAGACATAATTGCCTTCGGCTTCCCCATAATTGCCTTTTCTCGTCTTCCCAGGCTCGACGCAGTGACGAGTTTGTGTCGATCAATGATACGTGGAAAGGGCGCAGTCTGCTGATGCAGGCCATACTAGACAATGAGGTTGATGTTGCGAAGTATCTGATAGTTTCTTCGGCTGCGGCGTCACCAGGAGTCGTGTTTGAGACGTTTCAGGTATTGTTCTTGCTTGTCTTTATCCTGGTGTCACTCAGCAGGTACATACTTAATCGGTGTAAGTAAATGAAAAGCAGCTTTGTTGTAGTATACCAGATTGTAGTCGTGTTGACAGTTAGTTGTTTTTGGTACCCCCAGCAGCTCTCATTGGAGATTTTCTCACAAAACAACAATAACAACATCAACCTTTTTCACAGCTGATAAACCACCGCGACAAAATGACTGGGAGCACATGTTTAACACTTGCTCTCGAGTCCAGACATTGGGACGTTTCGGAATTGATCCTTCGTCATCCGCACTTCACGCATTTGTCCGGCAAAACACACGGCCAAGACCCAGTCAGTCTAGGGTCAAAAAATGCGAGGTTTCTTCGAGCACTGGAGAGACATCCGAAATTAGCGGCGCCGGATCGGAGTCGAGTTGAGACATTCCTCGGACAACTGGATCAGGGATGAGCCGCCGCGAATCATGATGGCAGAAAGGCTAGGGCTCTCTTCAAATCTTAAGTTCTTGTTTCTTTCTCCGTGTCTGGTACTGGTACTGTTTCTTGTTCCAAATAGCAGCTAGCTGCTGCAGAGAGTGGTTGTTTCTAGAAAGTCCACCAAAACACCAAAACCAAACATCTAAGTCGTCTAAACATGTGTCTACTTCTATTTTCATAGTCAGCCTCCAATCCGCTGTTGTCGATCTTATCGAAGCATGGTGAAGTTCCCATCCTATCGATGAGAAGGCAGCTAGCGCTTCTTGAACCTCTTGTTACATTTGAGCCATTGGAATTCGAATTGAGTTGTCGAAAAAAAGCTTGGACGAACGACGTTGCTGGACCCTGTGAGTTTGAAAATGAATATGAGTCCACAAAAAACCTTTCCTATTGCCACTGATTATGCCGTTGGCGCGGAAGAGTCGGAAAAAGGCAATTTTACGAGCAATCGAAGAGCGCCTAGTACCTCGTCGTAGTCGTGCCTTCACATTTCTTGAGCAACGCATGCTGGTTGTGGTGTTCACTCTAAAGTATGTCAACGCTGGTACTCTTCATCTTTCCATGCAACGATGTCGATGTGTCTCTAGGTCTAGCCTTCGGTGATGTTCACTATCAGGTACAGTTTCGATTGGCCCGGCTCTAAAGCAATCGGTACAAAAACGAAAACGAAGAAACTTCAGGAATGAATCGGTTGTGAAAAAACTTTCTGTGGCGTGTCCAAGACGATTAGACATTTGGATTGTCCACCCCTCCTTACTAGTCTAACGAATTGTCCTCAGGTAGCATCCTAACTTCAAGTTAGCCTACGCACACGCACGAAGTAATTATATCGTAAGAACAACACCTACTTAGTGTTGTTTTTATTAGCTGGTGTTTGTCACTACACAACTTGATCATCAGGTAAATATGGAAGGTCTGGTTGTAACATATCAACATTTGAATTGATAAGAACAACACAACTCTAGGCATTACGGATTACAACAAAAAAGATGCATCAACGGCGCAATCGAGCTTCCTTGTCCTCTGCCCCCACTGGGTTCAGCAGTGTCGTGTATGCTGGCAAGGAGATCCCCATTTTCAGCTACGACCAGCTGTCCCACCTGTCGCAAAATGGCTTGCTGGCTAAGATCCGTCTTATTGAGGATTTGACGGGATTGAAGGCGCAACCGAAATCACGTACTTGGATGATGATGGCTTAAATTGCGCAGATTTTATAGGATGAAAGTGTTCTCATAATTCTATCTCTGAGACAAAATCCATTACATCGTCGATTACGTTTCTAGTAATCACTCGGAAGTACTTCTGAAATCCAAAGTGAAACTCAAAGTGCAGCAATTAAACTAAAACGTCTTCATCTACTACCACGCCACCACCACAACCAGGCCAAACCGTCTCCCTCATGAACGAAGTGATCCGTCTGCAGAGTGAGCTCTTACCTCAAGAGCATCTGGAGTCTGGCAAGGCTTTCGGCAGCGCTGCAAATTTGCATCTCCATGCAGATGACGATCCAGAACTGGACGAACTGGCAGCTAAACTTAAGGCTCAGCTTTCAATGGTCATTGGGGTTGGTCACTGAGATCGAAGAAGCGACCTTCCCCTGAGAGTAGAACAGGGGAAAAGGAAGGGAAAGGGGAGAGCTTTGAGGGGGGTCTCCTCCGTTCAGCACCAGTGACCATTGAGTGCTGAGCTTTAATAGATACCATGCCAAGCACTGGGAAACCGATAGGCAAATGGCGTTCGACGCCGTGCGATCAGCGGATAGAAAAGGTGTGACGCATGAAATCAACCGAACTGGAGACAGGAAAGTCCCCCATCATCACCCACGTAGCCCCAGTCCAACTCCTGGGGCGACTGCTGGTTTATGACGAGATCGTTTTTCAGATTTGTATTCGATTTTGTTGATTATGATCTTGGAATTATGAGTATGAGTTATAAGATTGAATCTACAAGCATACTATTGAAAATTGAATTTTGTGTTCTAAGCGGAGCATGCTCACAATCTGCTGGACTCCATAGAGACCGTTACGCAGATCCTGAGGAACTACGTGGAATACGGATCAACGCTCACACTGAGGAAGTCACCAGACGCGATCACATGCATATGGGGGCAACTGCTATGGTCTTGGTCTCTTAGTTATCTGCGGTTATGTTGTGTATAGACGTTGAATAGATCATCTTGATTTTCAGGTGCGACAGAAAGACCCAGATACTAGATCCTTCCATGACCGCGAAGCTGAGGTTCCCAAGCAAGCAAGCAAGCCTAGGGTCTCCACCTTCCACTCTTTCGATCAAATACAGTAGATTCTAACGCTAGTGTCGCCAGAGAAACGCGGACGGTACGTCCTGAGAGAGCCCATATTCCGGAAGAACACGAGGAGAGTCATAGACCTGAAAGACGACATGTGCCGCAGGCTAAGGCGGATCATTTTGGACCGGAAGGTACTCTTCTTGATTTACACAATGGATCACTCCTATGATTGATTTACAGAATGGAATTATTGATTAGTTCTTCTTGATTTACACAATGGACCACTTCTCCTATTATTTTTCACTTCTATAATGGAGAAGAAGACAGCCACCCCTGATGCTGCGAGTAACTACGTTTGATCATATCTTCTCCGCATTCGAAAACTCCATTCACAGGTCTCGGCATCGTCCGCGAATCGGCTACGTCACCTGATGAAAGGAATATCTTTGGGGATGGGGCGCGATCTGGTTTACAGTTCGTGAAGGGTGCGGTTGCTGGCAAGTCGCATCTTGGAGGAGACCTGATCGGCACAGAACCGGAGGGCTTATATCGTATTGAAGATTTACGTTGATGTTTTCGAAATTTATTTGAAGTTGTTAAGTATCTTTTTTTGGTTGAGGATCAAAAAAATATCTTGATTCTTTCCAACCTCCTCTAGATTTGCAGTTTATGATGTCAATCAGCAGTATCGACTTCACCAGCAAATGAGATACTTACACATTTGATAATTACTGTCCTCTATTACTTGCCTCGTTTCCACCAAAACTATCTCTTCCCTAATACCTTGCCTCCACCAATAAAACTACAGCTCACAAGCGTCGATTGGACCAAATCGCTGTGCCAGTTCACAATGATAATATCTCTGCTGACTGGAAGATTCCCGATGATGAGCCACACTTGATGCGACAATTCAAGCAATTTCCGGATCAACTGCAACCGACTGAGGATGGGTACTGTGGAGTGAACAAGCCTTATGGAGGTGGCGTGCGCACAGAGGGAGTCCGAATCATCAAAGAAGAGGGAAGCGGGAGACTGGTAAAACTTCTATTGTGATTTTACTGTGTTTTTTAGATAGCGTTTGATAAACTTCAACAGTAGAAGTTGCATCGAGCTTGACTGATTTATGAATGACTGATTCATATATATAAGTGACTGATTCATATATATAAGTCTCCTGACCCTAACTCTTAGAATGCATAGCAAGCATGATGTGGATTCCGCTCTATAATTCAAAAGCTTCACCTTGTTGTGCAACTCGATGTTGTAAGTCCCACCTTAACATCAGCCCAACTGCGCCTATGACCATGTCGAGGATTTGTGGCATCATCCTGAGAGAATGGGGGTGGCAGATGCGGCTCGGAGAAAGATGTGTCTGCATAATATCTCACATGTACCTGTCCAGATCCAAGAAAAGACAGGAGAGAAAAAAGTCCTATCCTTGATATCCTCACCTCGCGGAGCGAGTGGGCCTCGCGGCCGAAGGCATTTCAACCAGGCTTACATGTGATTAGTCTACTGATTAAGTAGTCTAGTGATGTCACATAAATTTTAGTATGATTTGATAAGTGAACAGGCCAACGCCTAAACCACTTATCAGGATTCTTGACTAAGTAACATACAAGAGGAGTCTGTCACGACATAAATTTTAGTATGATGATGATGTAACATAGTACGAGAGTAGGGTAGTCGAGATGAGCAGTAGCCCTAGTAGTAACTGAATTTTTCAAAAGTAAGAAGCATCAAATGCAAACAGAAGTAAAGGAAAGAGAATAGTCAATACAGTGATTGTCGCCTTGTAAAAGCAAACAGAATAGTCTAGCAGTAATAAATATGATTACGAGTAAGTAGCAACAGACTGCCTTCACCTGTACCGAGCAATTTCCTCAACATTCATCATTGCAAATAAGATTGGATGCAGCCAACAGGACCACGACTTCTAACACCATCATACTCATAGAATAGACACAGGCACATTGCCGACTAGTCCATAAAAAATAGCTTATCGTGTAGAAAAATAGAAAGTAATGTTTTGGGAGTCTATCAATCTTGGAAACGTGTGCTCCGACTACTAGGGGGAGATGAATGATTAGAGAATACAGCGAATTATGAACGATCGAGAAGAAGAGAACGAAAACACCAGTGAGAGAAAGACGTAAAGCACCATGAGCAAATACTACGGAGGAAAGTAAGTGCAGCGCCGCCGAGCGTTGATAGCAGAAGGCTGGCTCCATTGATCTTTACATGATGTAGTTGTTGTTCTCCGCAATCTGAAAAAGCCGTGAGTTGCAACAAGCGATCTTTGTTGCCCAGAAGCTGTTGTTGACAAAAGCGAGGACCGAGCGACATGCAGATCCGTTTTCCCTTGTAACTGTGTTTCTGTTCAACAAAAATCCCATCGACGACTATGGTGCTTTCTTTTCAAATTTTGCTGCATACTCGATTCAAAAAGTCTGTCATCTGTCTGAATCATCAGCACCATATTCATAATGCGTAGGGAGTATGCAAATTTCATCTAGTACCGAAAAGTTCAACTTCGACCTTTCCGTCTGGAAGCGAGAGTAGCGTTCGTCTCTGAGGTCTGCTAAACGTGCCCCTCTTGGTGGGCAGTGCGTGAGTACTGCTCCGTCTACTTCTGACTCTTCGGCACTAGTCGCTGGCTCTTGGACCAAGAGCTGCCGCAGTTGGGAAAGAATCAGAGATACCGTAATACTACGTAGGTGGCGCACATCCTTGTGGACTTTTTTCCTTCAACTATTCAACACGGCTTTGGGGGAACTGCCCATTGTCCTGCGCTGAGGCCTACACGATTTCTTGACCAGGAGTCGACTGACCTTTCGAAGTGGAGGCACCTGAATCCTGTAAAAACAAGTCGAAATAAAAGCAGTACTAATAGTAGTTCCTCCTCCTTCTTCCCCAAGCCCCCCTTTGCTTCGTACTTCCGACATCCTGTAGTTCAACACATTCCAATAGCGTGTTCAAAATGGCGAGTCCAATATTGCAACTTTCTCCTACGAAGGAGATAGTCTTTACGGGGACCAACTTCGCGGATAAGACACATAGCACAGAACTTAAGCTCACGAACCTCTCAAATGGGAATGTGGCTTTCAAGGTACTTCTTAATACACTTCGGAATTTTTCAAGTTCTACTGGATTTTAGCTTGTTCAAGGAAATAGGTATGGCTAGATTGGCCTCATGATTTTCGTCGTCCTAAATTTGAACACCTGGTTGTATCGGGTTTTATTTAAGGACCAAGACTATTTTGATCATCGTCATGATCCTGATCATGTCCTATCACGACGAAAACAAAGGTAAAAACGACTGCGCTAAAGGCATACTTGGTGCGGCCAAGCAGTAACATATTGAAGGCTGGGGAGTCAGTAGATGTCCAGATTATGCTCCAGAGACTGTCAGAAGTGCCACCGAACAGTAAGCACAGGTAGTAGTGTTTGGAATACGTTTTGGTTTTTGACGAGCAAGTTTGTATAAGTAGCATTTTGAATTCTCATGATTTTGATTTTTCTAGTAGTTAACTAAGCAATAATTGAAGAAGAAACAAGGCTAGGTGGCTTACCCCGCAGTTCACTCTCTGTCTCCAAAAAAAAGACATACAACCAGTATCCCCTTGATATTCACAATAGGTTTTTGGTGCAAGCGGTGGAAACTACCGAAAGTTCATTAGACAGTCGAGAGAGCTGGGCAGAACTGGTAAAAGACAAGGCGGTAACAGAGTTCCGACTGAGTGTGGTTTTCCCAGACGTAAATGGGACATCAGGCGACGCAGCAGCAGAAGGAAGGACGCAGTAAGACAAGTTTTCTTCGCTTCTTTTTTCCAATCTCTTTCCGGTGTTGCCACCTGTCGCGGTCGCGCGTGTTGGGTTGAATCACTGCGCGCGAGGCAGTGACTCACTGCGCGGGTGGGGTAGCTTCTAGGGGGTCCCGTGTGAGCCAGAGGAGAGTGGAGGCCAGACACTACGGAAGCCGGCCCACGGCGACCATGCCGCGAGATCCCGGCAAGGGAGCCACCGTGGGCGGAAAAGCGGGGGGCGGCTCTGTCTGGCTGGGTGTGCGTGCCGACGATTATTGTCGCGGCGCCTGCCGTTGAAAGACTGCCCACACCTTGCAGGCGGCCGCCGGGGGCTTTCGGTGTTCATCTAGCTGGTGCTTGGTGCAGTCAGTGCAAACACCTCAGCGGCACCACCTCGCCGCGCAGAGAGAGGCGGCCGCGCAGCTGGTGCGTGCGTGTGTTTCGCGGTTTCGTTTCGGTCGTGTTCGGTTTGTTTCTCCTTTGCTGTCTTGCTCTTGCTGCAGGCCTTTGGCTTTTGCGCCTTACTTTTCGTGTGCCTTTTATGTTCTTCGGGGTTCGCTGCGCAGGCTGTTGCCGCTGCTCTCTCAGCAGCCTTCTACGCTTCGCTGGTGTCGTTTGTGCTGAAAGCTGCGCTTCCTTGGTCTGGTTTCTCCTGCTCTCCTTTCATTCTTGACCGCTGCCACCGTAATCGAATCAATTCGAAGATCGCCACTTCGACTACTCGGAGCTGATGCACCTCAATTCACCCCAGGTAAGGGTCAGCGTGCTTCTGTTGAAACTGTAACTCTTGGTGGATCAGCACAAGAAATGTCCCCCTAATATCACACTCATAGATACTCAACAAGCGGTGGCTCGCGCGATATTCAATCAAGATATGACGAGTTGTCGGAGTATACAAAGGCCCTGACAGAACGAAAGAGCGAACTTGAGCGAGATATCAAGGCGCTAAAATCCGGGTCGGGAGGAAAAAAGGGGTACTTACTAGTTCCTACGATGTTGATTTGCCACTGTTACAACTCTAAGGAAAAAGCAAGCTATTGATGTGGCTCGCACTCTTCCCTTCTTCAGACTACAGAGTATAGAGATCTCATGACTAGTTCTCACACTGTTTCTGACTTCAGCAAGAAACAACACCAGGTATCAACTATTCCATGTGGCGATTGCGATTGGCGTGGCTTTGGTCCTGGTAAAAGCTGCAGAACACTTTCTCTCCGGATCTTCTGGCACACCAGTCGTTTCGGTGACGACGCCCCCTGCCACTGCGAAGACAGCGAAAAATTATGGCACTGGCACTTAGAGTCAGACTTAAAACAAGTTAAACGTATATAATTGTTGAACTTGCATGATGCTGATAGAGTACTTAAAAAATGTGAGAACCTACAACATGCAGTTTTGTCAGAAAATGGAAGCACATCTGAATCTACCCACCTCTAAAAAAAAGCGCCTGCTGCAAAGACCGATCCATCAGAACCCGAACTCACGGTGAAATAAAGAGGACAAGCTCCAGGCGACAGAGGAAAGTCGAGCGTGTTGAAAGATTGGATGGTCGTGTCTCTGTGTAAACTACTTGCAATTAGTCTCTTATTCGTTGTATGTGATTATAATCCATGATCGTGATGATGTACATAATGGTACATCATTTACCATCACCCCCAGACCATCCGAGATGAAAAAATGGGTCATATTATCCTACAAACTTGTTACTAGATGATTGAAGTAGTCACTTTTTGTCTATGGAGCATTGTTTCTGAAGTATATCTTCAAAGATGTTGTCGGTCGAAATGGCCATATCTGTCATAAAACTATAGTTTTTTCCCTCGTCAGAATTGACTGAGACAATTTCCTATTTCGATGTATACTTCCCCAAGAACAAAATTCGTGGCGAATGCGAACCCTCCCGAAGATCGGATGACTACTTTCCCCATAATTAAGAAGAAATTTGTCGTGTAAACATGCGATTACAACAAGTAGAGCAAGTTTCTCTCATCTGAGCGGCGCTACTAGCAGGCGTTGCCTGTGCCTTGTGAATCAAAAGCGGCAGGACTTGCGCAAACAAGTAGTTCTCGTTTGAACTTTATTGGCTGCAGGCAGCAACAGGAGATATAATTATAAATACAGGTCGTGGCACTTCCTCCGGTCAGGGAAAGGATCGAGTGCGTATTTGTGTGAGGAGATGGCAAACTTCTTGTATCCTGTCCTATACTCCTATCTCGTCCTGAAGTGTTCAGCTTCAGTAAAAATGATCATTGTCCATTCGTTTTTGAAGCAGATGAATAGTAGTACGTGGATCCAGTAGTTACGAGTTGTCGTGATCACTTGTTATAAAAATTAACTAAAAAAGTATACACCCAATCCTGTTTCTGCTCCGGGTATATAGCATCATCAATTATAGATGTCGAGGTAGCAAGCAGCTCCTTCTTTCGCCGAAATGCTACTGCACCAAGTGAAGAAAAGATGTGCGTTCTCGCAAGACGGATTCTAGCGAGACTCCACATGATCCCACTCTGCTGGGCGGCGGCAGTAGTTGTCCTACTTCTATACAACACTCCTGTTCCGGTAGAAGCATGGGCTTCGTGGAGCTCAGGATGTCCGGAACATCAGAGTGCGATGCTAAGGCTCTCTCGCATGATCCGGAGAGTGATGGTGGAAGAGGATCATGGTGCAGCAGCAGTAGGTTAAGGCTACCGCTGAACAAGCATAAGTATCCTTATAACATAATAGTTTTGTTTTTCTTATAACATAATAGTTTCGGTTTTTGTTTTCTCTAGTTAGATATGCTCCACCAACCTTATAACATAATAGTCCTTGGATCTTCTTTTTCTGCTTGAAAAAGACGCCAACGAGGCTCCCAAAGATGTGGTCAGTGCGGTAGCAGCTCTAAGTACTAGGGTTGCCTGGAGGTTCTGTGGGGCAAGAGAGCGGAATAAAGGAGGTGGAGAAACTAGAACCAGCGAAAGGATATGGAAAAGGAGACGTTGGGCAAAAGACTACGGTCAGCAAGCCTGGTGCTTCAAGAAAGCAAGCGTTCGCTTCAACGTTAAGGCTTCCAGAGATCCATCTTCGGTAGCATCCATTCTGAGGCCGTGTTGAAGGCGGTAAAAAAGGTTCCAGGATGCTTTTCAGTAGAAGGGACTTGTGGATGAAGGTCTAAGAGCGATCAAGTACCCAGCCGCGCTCGACCACATCTGCAAGCATGAGTGGCATTATCGTGTGGAGATTTCGATGACGCGGATGGTGTGGGATTGCATGCCCTTAGGTCTTGCGGAGTTGCAATTTCAAGCCCTATGCCGCGTGAAAGACAATTTGGGTTCTGTGTATGCCGATATGGTGTTTCACTCCGCATTACAGGACGTCTTCCGGTTTGTCAGAGGCCACTTGGACTGGTTTGCGATCTTGTTGAGAGGAAGAGGCAACCGTGTCCAAATCGCGAAGAGGGAAGTGGAACTGTTCTATCACGTGGAGCAGGAGGACCATGAGCATAAGAAGCAGGAGAAGATGGTATTGGGCATGTCAGGAGCAAAGGCACGCGCAAAGCTGATAGAAGATGCTTCCTCGAGGACAACTAATAGTGCGACGTCAACAAGCGCAACTACAAGTACAACAGGAGGCTCAAGTAGTTGTAACGGAACCACGACATCGAGCTCTTCTATTCCTCCTGCAGCAGGTGGATCCAGCCCCAGGACGACAGCAGGTGGCTCCAGAAAATCGGTGGAAGAAGAACGGGAGGAGGCGCATCATGCTTTTCGAGAAAAGCGAAGAAAGGGGATTCTAGAGGACTTGATAAGCTCAGACACGAGAGTACTTGGGGGTGCCGGACTCTTCTATTTTGCCTTGGTGACGCCACTATGTGGTCTATATCTAGAGCACAACGAGAGACTTCAAAGCCGTCACGCTAGAAAACGATGGATGCCTGAGCGGTTTTCAAAAATGCAACATACTTGGAAAAATAACGATGCGGAAGAGGAGACCGACAAGAGAAGTATGATTGAAAAAAACGACGGTCAAGACGCTAAGAATCACGTGCATGAAATTCAAACACGGCATGCCGCGTCAACAAGTGCTAGAACACTCAGTCTCTCTTCTTTACAGTACGTGGTGGGTGAAGAGGACACTCGTACGAAAGTATCTGCAGGATCGGCAACGTCAACATCCTCTTCGTCAAAGGAGCTAGAGGGGAGAGCGCCACAACCGACTTCAACACGACCTCCCATGAAAGGAGCCTCCTCTCCGATGAACATTCTTGGCGCCACACACGAACTGGCGGAAACTTTCATGCACCAGACTTTTTCCTGGGAAAAGCATGAGCATCAGAGTCCTCTAGACTACGATATTTTCGGCGGCGTTGTCGATAACTCCATCGGGTCTCAAGCAGATGACGACGTGCTTGATCTCTTTCGTGAAGTGGCTGGCTTCGACTATCGTGCCTGCATGTTTTCATTGGTGTATCCGAATGCGGGAATGTATGGCAGAATCGAAGAATGCACCGTGTATGGACGTGGGTATAGGGATCCAAAGACCGTAGAAGCCCGTAGGCATGCGGCGAAGGAAAGCATCGACCTCGACAAATGGGCGGAAATTAGCGGACAGATAGAGAAAAGTAGCTACTTTCAATTTGCGGAAGAGGATGAGGAAGGCGAAGATTCGTCGAATGGCGATGGTGAACAAGTAGAGGATGGAGATTCAGACTCCCCGCGCGCGAGGCTTAGTAGAAATATAGCTAGGAGAGTAAACCTAGCAGCACCGAATGTTCGGGATTTGATGGCTCAAGTGGAGTTGAGACCAAAGTGGAGAAAGAAACTTCGAAAGCAGTATGAAGATGATGACAACCACGAGCGCAACCAGAGATGGATACCTGTAACTTGGCCTCACGAACTGCTGCTCCGATTAAAAGCACAGAAAGACGCCACTTGTACTCGTTTGTGTCATTTGTCCAGTGCCTTTGCACATCTAGTATTGGCAAACTTACATCCAAATGCCGGAGTCGCATACCAGGGAATAGAGCGTGCACAACTCGACAATGCTCAGTGGTACTATAAGACAGCGCAGTATATGTGGAAACAGTTTGACACTGAATGGGAGGTGGTCATGTCTGACCGGTTTTTGACACGGTTTGTGAGATATAGAGAGAGAGGAAGCCGGCGTGCTAGTGGTAGTGAAGACGATAAGAATAACAAGGACAAGAAGAAAAGGGTAAGCGACCATCAAGGCGTTAATGTGGAACAGAACGGAATTGCGGCGGAAAAGGTAGCTAAACGCCCAAGAAAAGTCGAGTATTTCGATGCAAGTCGTGGACACGTTCAGGACGATGCCCTAACAAACTTCTGCGCAGCTGTGAATGAAGTGCCTATTTTCGCCTTTCTGTCCGGATTATTTCATTACAACTACGTCTCGGATGAGGATGATACAGAGGCGGGTGAGGTACTTGGAGAGAAAGGTCCAAGAAAGGGCAATAAATCCGATGCCGGTGGTACAATGTCTACGTCGACAAACAAAAAGACCTCCAGGACGGCCACAACATCAGTATCAACAGCTGCTCTCGCACAAGGTGAGGCCTTGTCACACATAAATGCTTTAGCCCTGACTAGAGCTAGTATAAGACCTGTCCCCTATCGGCACGGGGATGTTTCCAGCTGGAGTTTTTCTTCGATCGAGGAATCCTTGGAGGGCAAGAGCTTTTACCCTGGTGCCGAGACTGGATACCGTGGCTTCGACAACTACCTGAAGCGATGGCCTTTCTTTTTATCTCAGCCAGCGCGGCGGCGGAATGAGGTGGCAAGATACAACATGCGCGACCCGGTTTCCGCTGTTGCAGAGGTTCTGTCGGAAAGAGGACATCTTCATGTGGCGGCTTTTGTCGAAGACGGAGGTAGCATCATGGGTGGTGCTAGTACAGGTGTCTCATCTTCTGAAACAGAAGACGTGGAAGATGATCCTGGAGACGCCGACCTACTCTCGAAATTGCGCTTGTATCGGGAAGAAGAGTTCCGAGATCCCTTTGTCGTCGATGAAATGCCTCGAAGGAATGAGATGCTGCTTCAGCGGGTCGCAGCGGCCGTGAATGAACGCGTTTTTTCACCAAAGACGTTGGCAGGGGTAGAGAACACGAAGACACGACCACTACAAGTAGAAGGGCAAAATGAGGACAAGAGGACTCCCCCGTCTGGTTCACTAACCAAAGCAGCCGTAGACGAACAACCTAGCTACAGTCTCACAGAAAATCAAGTCCTCGAGGAAATGCCACGAGGGCCAGACTGGTGGCCGCGGAGGCTGCATAGGATGCCAGCGCTGATACAGCCGAAGGTGGTAGAAGAAACTGAAACGCAAGAAAAGTTGAATCCGGACCACACTGATCTTCCGCAGTATGTTGACCAATGCCGAGAAAAGTTTTTGGAAGATAATTCTTCTATCATGGCTTCTGGTAGAAGTAGTGCAAAAGCGGAAGATCTTGGTCCATCGGTTTACTGTAAAACAGCTCGGAAAGGAGGGAAACAAGGCGTCGCAGGCAGCAAAACAAGAACACTTTTACCCCGCGAAGACGCCTATCTTGTGTCACAACCTGGAACAAAGGAGACTCAGCATTTCCTATTCAAAAATTGGATATGTCGTGAAGCCGTTTGCCCTGAACGGAGGTGGCCTGAAACTACTAGTACCAGAAGAATCAAGAACGCACACGAAGATGAACAGGATGAACCAGCACCAAGAAGTAAAGGTATACCTTCTCAGCCTTCTCGTAGTCCTTCTAGTCTCTCTTCTAGTAACAGTAACAGTAACAGTAACAGTAGGCCTCGTCCTACACCAGTAATACCGATCCGACAACACCAAAGCACGGTGAGCGATGTCCGGCAGCTTTACTCTCTTGTGCATCACGTTGGGCGAGCGCTAGACCGCTTCGGCGTCGTTTGGTGGGTGTCACATGGCTCTCTGATTGGGACTCTGAGGCATGGCGGCCACATGCGACAAGACGTGGACGTGGATATTTCCATCCCCTACGACTTCTTTTATCTCTTGTCACCAGGATCAGCGTTGGACCTGGAACTACAAAGATTGAACATCCACATCGCGCGTTTGTATCTGCCTAACGACTCTGTTCGGTTTTGCAGCAAGAAAAACCTCTCCAGATACGCCAGGGTGATGAATTTGGTCCGTGCTGCGCATCTCTTTGACGAAAGCTTGACCTGTGGAACGCCTTTCATCGAAGTGCATCCTGTCGAAGTCGACAGCGTAAGCTTCCGATGGTCGACTCGCGTTGCTGGGAGACAATCGAGACTTCGAGGCAAGGAAGGCGCTACACACTTTACACCCGCATACAGCGTGTATTTTAAGGCATTGTAGTTCTGGTGCTCAAAAAATTCATTCTAAGAAAGAAGCATCTCAAACTCAATCTTTTTCAAAGGGTATGGATCGATTATACTCGTCGAAGATGCTTCATTTCAAGACGAATTTAAGCTGCAAGGACTTCTAATTATCACTTCAACGTCACAAAGTTTCGGTTAGAGTCCTCCGCGCTTTCGTCTTCTTCTTCCAGTGTAGACCGCAGAGCGGGCAAGTTGTTGGATCCCCAGCAACGACAAGCTTTAGTATCTCAACCACCGCTCTTCGAAGTCCACGACTTTCGGAAAAAAGCGCCCTTTTATGGATGATGTTTCATATTTTTTCCATCCCCAATCAATCAATCAATCAATCCTATCGACCATCCTGTTCCTGGCATTCCATCATTTCAAGGGTCGTAAATAAAAGTGCCAGGGTGGTCTGTTTGTTATGCCTATACGCTCACCTTGTCGCAGGTGAGCCCACTCCTATCCTATCCTAGTTCCTGTCACCGTAAAAAGTGCCAGGGTGGTCTGTTTGTTATGCCTATACGCTCACCTTGTCGCAGGTGAGCCCACTCCTATCCTATCCTAGTTCCTGTCACCGTAAAAAGTGCCAGGGTGGTCTGTTTCTAGATGGGAGTAGAAAAAACAACATCCTTCATACTTTCGGCGCCTACACCTGGGTTTGGGTACCTCCAGAAGGAGAAAAAGTCCTCGACTCCTTCTACGGGTCCGATTGGGTGACGCACATTCGTGTCCATAATAACTCGAATCTGGAACAACAGGGTTCGCTCAGCAGTATTCCCGCAGTGCAGATGGCAGGAAGCAACGACGGACGTTCCAGTGTGTCTAGCCTGAATGTGAGTAAAGTTATGGTGAATGAATTTAATGAGAAGGTATCAACAGGTAGTGTCTTGATTTTAGGACGAATCTGATCAGATCAGGGCATGTTGCTGTCTTGTGATATTGTTTAGCATCTTGCCTATTAGACTATTCGTTTACTATGTAGGTACCACTGCAAAAGGAGAATTCCTGCGACTACGAGCACCACTCTTCTAAAACCTCGCTCCTCGATGAAGCCGAAGAGGAACCACTTTTCCCAGCCGCGGCAGCAGTCGCACGACGACGCGCTGGGAATGCAACGATGGCGAAGAAAGCATATAGCTCGGCCTACATGCAATTCGAACCCGGTGAACTTCTTGGAACCTACGCAAGACCTAGCGGCCCACTCTTTCCGCACTTCTTTTGAAAATTTGCGCAAGACCTAGCGGCCCACCGCACGTCTTCTGAGTACGATATCTACCTGTTCTTCTGATGTAGTACGATGTGTGGTTCTTCATCTTCTGCGGGAAGATAGAAACGAGTAATAGAAATTGTAGAGACATGTTGTTCTTATGATGGAAATACGATATTATGTTGTGCTTCTGAGAATAGCTTTTTGAGAATAGGATACGACAGCTGCTTTTGCAATAGCTTCTTCTGATTTGAAAGTCAAGACACCCCGAAAATCTGATAGCAACTTTTTCTGAGAATAGAGACATCAAGATGAGCAAGCCACTTTCGTTGAGTTGTTTACGCGATGCTGAACAGTTCACCATTTCTTAGGCGAAGGTTACTAACTTGTTCTTAACATAATTCAAATCAATAAAGGACACTTAATATTCAGCAATGTCAGCGTCGGTGTCTTCATCTGCGGAGAAGAGATACTGTATCTATAGATCTTGAAGCTGTTGAAATGATAAGAGAACAGATGGGATGACTAGACCATAAATCTGTCGAGAAAGTTCTGTCGTGAACGTGAGATCAAAGATCGAGAGACGACAACATTTGCTGATTCTGTTTTGGTGAGAAGAATTCTTATGCTCCTGTATGTATAAGGAGAACAAGGACCAGCGCATCTAGATCAACAGAGGAAGAGAAAGAAATGGACACGGATCTTGTAGGGGCGAAAGAAGACGAAGCGGAATCGATTCGTGAGGCCTTCGAAAAGGTGCACGCGATTCGAAAAGGTTCAGGTGCTGGAATCGCAATCTTCGAAGTCAGAACGCGTGTCGAAAAGTTAAGTCCTTGGTGAAGTAAACAAGGTCTTGAATATTCACTCCACCAAAATGGGTTTTAGTTTTCTAGTTTTAGGTTTTTGAGTTTTTAGTTTTTTTTTCTACGAAAAAGTATGCAGCAGGTTGTAATCACAAATATACTTGATAGAAACCAGGAGCACTCGCATACTTGTCAAGTAGAAGATCAAGATACTAAACATACAAAAGTAGTTGATGTCCCGCTCACATGATGAGGATGTTGTTGATGCCGTTCTTAGTAGAGGCTTGCGTGAACAGCATCACAGGCATGTTGCCGTGCTAAAGAATGAGGACGATCTTCTTCTTCCTTCTTCCTGTTCACCTATATAGTTTTTCGCTCTAACGTGCTGCTTGAGGCCTTTGCGACTGCGTTGTTGTGCGATGCAAATTACGGCCTTTTCAGTACCCTACGTTTTATCCGAGCCTGGGTTGAGGGGCACTGGTTGCCCATCCGTGATGCAAATGACTATGAATCAGAGCAGCTGAAATGGGTGCACAGAAATGAGCTCTTAGTGACGTGGCTTCCGAGTGATTTGATTCTAGAGCAGCTCTTCCAGGACGAGCAGGACCGAACGATTTCAGCTGTTCTGGGTGATCCACGAGTCCTACGGTGGCGTAGGTTCCATAAGATGCGGCCTCTATCATCTGTTGAAGAAAGGCATGGCCCCGCCTATTATCTATCTATGGAGATGGGGAACACCCCACCAGCAACCACAGAAGAAGAAATTGACGCTATGACGCTAGAACTGCCTTCGACGCCGACAGGTGACCTGAAGGAGCCTCTATTCTGGGTGGAGGCCGCCACAACCATGACTCTGCGACCGTGGGCGGACCGTATCATTCCAGAGGCGCGCCGTGTATGGAAAGATGTACGCACCATTTGTGCTAGAATTACGACTGAAGAAGTAGACAGCTTGTTGGGGGGCCCGGACACGGCGGCTAATGCGGAACTAGAGGACGAAGGAAGCCCGCATCACAGGGGTGGACCCAACCTTGGCAAAGGGGGGGGACTCGCGCAAGAAGGTTCCAGCAACGGCTATTGGCTCGGGGACGGCTAAGATTGATAAGGCAGAGAAAATTGGGGGACCACAGAGCCCAGGAAACAAGGGAAATGGGTTCGCATCGGCGGTGAAGAATCTTAGACTTGCAGGCGAAGGACTCGCCGCGGCATTCCGACCGTCAGGTGGCTCATCGGCTTCATCGCCGGGGCAAGGCCCTGCTCCAGTTGACTCCGTCATTCAAAGTGATGCAGCTAGCGGGTCTTCATCGAGTGCCGCATCGTCAAACGGAGTGCGTATTGCGCAGCTTCATCAAGTGGAGGATCTGCGTCTGCCGTCTCAAGCTCAACTCCCGATTTTTCTTCTACAACTGCCAACAGCGGAGCAGGACCTCCTAGTTCTCCTAGTTCTCCTAGTCAACGACAGCATGGTATCCGCGAAGTGATTGCGTCAAGTAGCCCGTCTTTTGGTGATGGTACTAGAAGCGATCGTCATCAGGTGGACCAAGAAGACCCAAAAATCCCAAACGAAAAGCAAGGGAACCGCGGAAAAACAACGCCGTTGCGTCCGTGGCAGAAGGCACTCGCAATTGTAGTACCAATAGTTGTCATTGTTCCTGCATCTTTTGTAAGGTCTAAAACAAGACACTTCTGACGAAATCTATGGTATAGTAACATCAAGATAGAATTGTAGTAGGTGCCATTGAACTAGATAGATACACATAGAAGTTCTTTTGAGAATTGAAAAGACGTGGCACTAGACTGGCCATGAAGAAGCACATAAGAGGCACACTCATGACCACATTGCAAAGACAAATATGTCTACTACTGGAATCAAATTGATATTAAACAGGACTACTTCATGTTGCCATTACACTGCACACTTGACACACTGCCGGAACTGTTTTGTTCCGCCATCAGGCTTGTAGGACTAACTGGGACCACACCATGATGATGATTGCCATTACTGCTTAGGAGAATCATGAAATGATGTGTGAATTTGAAGGATGATCTCTTGCTCCTGAGGCCTCCTGGTGTTCTCCAACCACTTGGCGAGTACAAATTCAAATCTTGAGACCAGATCGATGAACATAGGAATGGAATCAGATAATTCTTATCAGGTATCGGCTCTAGTTCAGGCGTGTCTGTGTGGAGTGCAGAAAAGTGAGACGAACTACAAGAACATCTCAACAAGACGATCACTTCTACGGTCCTAGTTCATGGATACTGGAAAACACCATGATCAAAAGTGCAGAGGCGTCTATACTACGGAATGACTTGTTTGCTAATGCGATTTCCAATGAGAACAAGATATTTGTTCCCTGACTTTTCGGTGTAAGAAAATTTGATGTTGAAGCGATCATCCACCTTTATGCGATCATCGATCACGTTATTTAGTCCTAAGCAGGAGTAGTTGATAGGGAAAAACGAATTGCTTTCACTTAGCAAGAACGTTGACTCTCAAGTAGAAGCCTTAGAAGAGTTTTTCTTTTTGCTTGATCCATATTCCTCAAGTAAAACACTTGCTCTCCATGAACTGGAACACTTGTTCGTCGTTCTTGAAGAATTGAAGCAAGCACATCACAATTCGAAGATCACAACATTCAACATCCAGTCCATCTAGTACACCTTCACCTAGTACAACATCTACTAATACTAGCACTCATTTTTAGAAGAAGCAGGAAAAGCAAAAATCATGGTGACCACAGCTGGTTCGAAAGATGGGGACTATTTCTCCCTAAACACGGCAATCGTCCAAAAACTCCCTGTTGGAGAACATGCCTTGGACTCGAGCAAGGAGTATCCACTGTTATGCAATCACAAGAATGAGTTGACCGATTAATTTTGTCCCTCTTTTTAGTACTCCTCTTCTGGTGAAGATAGGAATGAGGATAGGAGTCGTCCAATCCGAATCAAGTATCATTATCATCATCATCATCATCATGATCATCATCATCATCAGTAATCGGAATCAATATCAAACTCAATCGCACTTTTTTTGTGCAAGAATCGTTGAGTACTTCGGGCTCATGCACCAGTAGGGACTAGCACTACTAGTTGCACCTACTTCATATAGAAGTATTCACTCAAAAATATCTAGCAAGTACTAGAGACTTTTATTTAGCATTAACAGACGTTCTTCTAATATAACGATACACCTGGATTCTCTCGGAGATGACAGACACGCAGAACAAAAACAAAACCGGATGGGACAAGGATGGCATACACGAGGTGCAAATTTATTTAACCGATCATGCTTGCCCAACCACATTCTTTTTTGATTTTGACAAATCTAATTCGGGAATACTAGCTGAACTCTTTCTGTTACAACCCTAAATCATAGACTAGTTAAGCCCATTTTTCATCAACTTCAGGTAGCCAAAATCGATTCTATTAGTTCTTTTTGGAAATACTGGAATTTCCTGCCGCAACCTAGTGAGCTGCTCTTGGGCAAGCGACTTATTTCTCAAAGAGACGGGACTAGTGCAGTGAACTGCGTCATGCTTTTTAGGCAAAACATCAAGCCAGCATGGGAAGATCCGTTCAATGCGGTACTGTTTACGCTTTTATTTGTTTCCACCCCCCGCCTTGCAAGTCCGAGCAGTTCTTTTTTACGTTGTAGTAAATCGTCCAGTTCTCATGTATTAAATATCATGATGGTGTGTCGAATTTAGACAAAGAGATGAACAAGCTCTCGAACACTTCCACAAAAACAAATGATGCTACTTACTAACCTGTTCATCTTGTTCTTCATGAATTAGAGGCAGGTTTTTGGTGCTCGCTTACCCCGCTTGTTATGCAAGAAAAGCACCTTTAGCCTACCCTTAAGAATCCTTCTGAATTATCTGAAAACAGGAAGGAGGTGAGTTCCGAGTAAGCATGAAGAAAGCGTCTTTCCAAGAAGTCGCGGGTCTCGCGGATGAACTTTGGAACAACTTAGTTCTCGGTGTCCTTGGAGGTACGATTCAGCCAGCTAGTATGATTTCTGGTCTCCGGTTGGTAGACAGACTGGACTACTCAAAAGCTCACTCTGCGCTACGAATTGAGGTGTGGTTTACGGACCGATCACGAGCAGACCCGAATGAAGTGGGGGATAAAGTTAAGACTGGCTATAATAATCGACTGGTTTTTTTTCATTCACTTGTTTTTCTACCTTCGTTCCTGTTTGAGTGATCAATATGGGAAAAAATAAGCCTGTTGTCGGCCGTTGTCTTTTTATTCAGTCCCCTTTTTGAAAAGTAAGTCTAAGCACCAAGAAAATCTTCGATCTTCTTCTAATCTGAATTTTTTGGCTGTAGTAGCGCAACTGAAAAAGAGTGTGGAAACCTGCATGCTCACAAAGCTGAACGGCGAAAAGCGCACGGAGAAAGCGGTATACGGAGAGATCGCCACCAGTTACCACGGCCAACCTGGGGGACACTAAAACTAATATTAATATTTACACCTAGAACTTCTTCCTAAATAATATCGCAGTCAACGTGAAGAAGACGGGGGCCACTAAATCTAAAATTTAGTGAAGAAGAGGTCATGCCTAAAGAACTACTGCGCTTCTACATGATCGCATGATGAAGCCTGTTCTTGGTCATCTACAACACGATGAACTTGGACTGGGACTGCATCCAGAAGAACTTTACCTTTTTAGCTCCCACTAATGCATTCGAAACCTTAAGCACCCACTGCTTGTCACTTCCCGACACAAGTATGCCCCTCAGATTGTAGGAGGAATCTAAAATGAACACAGCTATGTGGTAAACTCTCCCAGCTTTTATACGGATGTTCTCCCGTGTACTAGTATAATACAGGTGGATGAATATTTTGCATCATACAAGAAAATAAGTGTTCGACTAGTAGAGGATGCCATACTAGTAGTTGCAGTAATGCTAGAGCGCAGCTTTCTTCATACACGAAAAATCTGATTGTCCTCGTGTTGACAACTCTCAGTGAAGAACTCAAAATGGACCTCGACGAAAAAGAAATGGAAAAGAAAATGTCGGTGCAGCTTAGTCTGATACAGCAAGTCTTTGATGATCGCGTTGATGTTACATGGTCCCGAGTGAAATGATCCGCGCCACGTCATTGTGTAAGTAGCCATCCTGGAGGTTATTCCCCTGAACGCTCTAAAGCGTTAGATAAACACGTAAAACGAGGTATCATGACATGACATCATTGTGTTTCGTTTTCATAATACAACTAGTCAGGGAGAAAGTCAAATCGAAAGAGCCTAGTAGTTTTGCTCCATGACCGCAGTGGCAAGGAAGCATTTTGATTATAATCTAGAGCGCCGGGGGCATCTAGCGCCAGAAGAATCGATTAGATCAGTACACTATGATGATTTGTAATTTGACATAGTTGAAGCTACTAGAAAAATATGGATAACTCCTTCTCGTAGGAGGACTTTGTGCCTTCGCGCTCTGTTCCTCGCGGTCCTCAACGACGCGACTGCGGTTAAAACTGCCATAAGTACACGTTGAAGAGTCGGCCTTTCTCCACTCTCTACGCAAGAACCCGAATCTTGTCACCGCTGTGCTGGTCAAGAAGAGCTTGAAATAGAAGATTATAGTGTCCAGAAGAAGAACAAGTCCCTTAGAACCTAAGTCTCTTCTTGTCCCCAAAAATCTCAAGCATCAAATTCCAGACAACCAGAACCGCAAACAACCACATCAAAATGGCGCTTCAACTTGCGTCGCACAAGCTCGATGAAGCTACGTGCTGTTTTATGACTGGGAGTAGCAACCCAGAACTAAGCAGAGAAATTCTGGACAAACTAGGCGTCCCAGCAAAAGAAACACTGCAAGTAAAACGGTTCGCGGACGGGGAAGTACTTTAGTTACTCATGTTCATGTTCTACTCTGATCCTGGTCCGTCACGGCCCGTGGATTATTTTCCTCCGGAACCTGTGTAACTAAGAAGATGAACATGAAGCGTTAAAGATAACGCCTTTCTGTCCTCTACAACAATGAATTAGGAATATCCGTGTCCTGAAATACACTGCTGCCCAGATCTACGTCAAAATCATGGACACGGTAAGAGGGAAAGACGTATACGTGATCCAGTCTACGTCACCTCCGGTGAACGACAATCTGATGGAGCTGCTCCTCGTCGTCTCGACCGCAAGAAGAGCATCCGCCAAACGAATCACGGCGATCATACCTTACTATGGGTACTATCGTACTGATGAGTAGTAAATATGTAAAAATATTGTTAGAGCAACTGGAAAAGAAATTCGTGTTTGATTGGATGGGTGCATTTATTGACTGATTTGAAGGAAAATGAATAGATAGAGCTAGTAGTTAGTGTATTCAGAGGTACACTACTCTGATGATGAAAATTCAAGGTACGCTCGCCAAGATAGGAAAGTGGATAGCAGAACGCCAATATCAGCAGCTGATGTAGCGAAAATGATCGAAGCCATGGGCGTCGACAGAGTTGTCTCAGTGGATCTGCATTGTGGGCAGATACAGGTATTATGCGACTAAGGGTTTCTTTTAGTATTATGACATGCGAAAAAATTTCTATGGATTTGTAGGTAGCATGCAAGATCTATTCGATAGAGGGAATCAAACCAATTTTTACTCACTTGAAGCAATAGAAGCACTGTTACCCATTCGAGTACGCTACTGAAAATTCTAGTGACGTCGACAACCCTACTCACCCACGTGAAGAAACCTACCCACTTCAACAAACCTGTACCTGTAACTTCTATACCTGTAACTTCCTCATCAGGGTTTCTTTTCTCCGACAGTTCCTATGGACAACCTGGAGTCGCATATTGTTGCTCTCGATTGGATGATGCCGAATATCAAATTTTCCTCCAAAGTAAGCGTCGTCTCACCAGATGCGGGAGGGGTGTATTGATAATTTCTATGCGTTAACATTGTCTGGCGTTTGTTCTTTGTGTAACCTACTACTAAGGCGGACGCTGACGCATTGCGCCCGAGTTCCCCAGCGGTGGAGCCTCCTGCGATGCAGGCGGGGCCACATCCTTCAGGACGGCCACGAATCAGGCGAATGACTGGCCGCAGCCTCGCGGTAGCCGCGTCCTCTTCGATGCAATAGCCGCAGGCTGCGTCGCCACCTCTTTCCAAACGCCGAGCAGGGCGGGGGGACTCCCTGAAACGACGGCAGGAAGCTTCGGGGCCATGGCGTCGCTAATGGAAATGATTGCCCCCCCTCGGCGATCTTGGGGGAACATGGCACGGCTTACGCAGAAAGCCCGAAACAATACGCAAGGCCGAACTTTCCACTCACTCAGCGATGGTTATCCACTCGTGGCACACAGTGAATCGCATGGCGAGAGACTTGAGGCAAGCGCCGCAGACCATGACAACGGAGGAGGGGGGGCCGCTGCCTCATTGCCCGAGATTCACGCGCCGGGTGTTTGCGATCAGGATGGCAACTGACTACCCGCGCGCCCTTTATCTCGATGCGCTTCCGAAGTCCGGCCTGACTTTGCTCCCGCTGGCTCGTCTCTTACAAAGCCGGCAGGAAGGCCCTGGAGACCCCCCGGGAGTGCCGCAAAGAGGTGCAAGCCGCCACGCACATACATGCGTGACCGGGTGGGGGCGCCAGGTGCGTGGAGTTCGCTCGGGGATGGTGCCGGCGGGTCCGTCTGGTTTGGCTGGGGATGCTCGCTCTTCTGACGGTGTGCCCCCAGCTTGCGCGGCAAAGAAATGGCAAAGGAAGGCGGGCCGCTTTGTCGTGGTGTGTGTGTGTGTGGCTTGACGTAATTAATCGGGGGGCGTGTGTTGTTCTCTTTATTTTGTAGGCGGGGCCCGCGCGGCCGCCTGACGTGGTGCCCCCCTCTGCGTAGGGCTAGGCCTAGGCCCTTGCGAAAAAGTAGGGAAGTTTGTTGTCTCTGGCGGTGTTGTTCCTTAGTTCTCCTCAATTGATCTCCCGCGCCGCATTCGCGCTTGCATTTTATTCCACCTCTTATCGATCCGCCTGTCAGTAGTTTTTTGTTTTTCAGTCGTTTTCTTTGTAGGCTTGTCCCTCGAGCCTCTATGACGTTCGCGCGGCTGTCTGTGCAAATTGATTCTTTGTATTCCATCGTAGTGCATTGCGCTATCGCATCAGATGACACCTTCCTTGAATTCCGATACATAGCGGACGACCCGACCTTCCAGTTCCATCTACCAATCCCAGGTATCGGGCGAAAAAATTTCAAGAAGCAATGATGTCAAGAGGGATACCGAATCCTGGTTTAGCGATGTTGATTAAGCATAGAAGCAGGCCAAACCAAATCGAGAAGATGGATCTAGTATTAAGGCTCAATACAATTATTCATTTTTACAAGACACTTGCATTTCTCTGCTTATTCCCTTCTTACTTTGGGAATGGGTATGGGAGAAATCAAGAAAAGAAGTGAATTGTTTTGAGCTCTAATAATAGGAGCAGTAGAGGGCTGCGATTGTCTTATCATCGATGATATAGTAGACACCGCGGGCACTTTATGCGAAGCGGCGAGGCAACTGCGTATCTATGATGTTTTTCGAAAATCTTAGCACTGGAGGTAGTTTCGTTTCGATTTTACAAGTCTGTCAGATTGTTCATATCGGAGATACATACTCTACCCTCCTAGCCCTAACAACGCTTGACATCAAACAGGTCTAAACGGTGCCACGCGAGTCGTCGCTTTTATCACGCACGGTCTTTTTTCCGGACCTGCGGTTCAGAGAATCACTGATAGCGAACTCGAGACCGTAGTCGTCACCAACAGCATCGTGGGTCTCAATGACGAGAAGGTGAAAGCCTGTCCCAAGATCCAATCCGTCTCGATAGGAGGCTTGCTGGCTGGAGCGATACATATTATGCCACCACGATGATCAAATATTTCTTCCTCTTCTTCCTCCATTGTCATTTTCTAGTTCGTACCTCAATCTCACCGTTGGGGTCCATGTTCGACCATGTTGTTATCTTGGAGATGGACAGAATAGGAGTATGTAAGTATTCGATAAACTGAAATATGCGAGCAGTAACTACTTACAATAAGCGAGATACTGAACAAGGAAGAGTAGCCCTGTCAAAGCTACCTCCCTTATTTCAGTCAGTAACTCGGTTATTTTCAGTTTTCGAGTAATACTAGGCAGTGAACACGAAATGTAGGAAAACTGCTCTTCTCTAACACAAGTATCCAATACAAGCAGAGCATATCCGCTTTGTGGGGGAGTAAAAAAGCGGCAAAAGCTCCCTGCGGCGCCTTACCCGAGAAAGAAGCGCCAGCTTGTCAAGCCGGATCCATGCCCAAGGCTGGAAGCCCTATGCAAGAAGAATAAGAAGGAAAGGAAATATATAACTGTGATAGAAAGTGACTGATGAAAAGAGTTTTAGAGTAAACAAACAACAAAGGTGATATGAAGAACGTGTCAGACATAATTTGGTGTCATGGATAAGTGTTTTGTGAAACAAGGACTGTTTTTGACGGTGCTGGGGGAGAAGTTAGTGATGTGGGGAGAAACTATGAATAATTATTGGGGGAGTAAGTTGATACATTAGACATGAAGATAGAAATAGTTTTTCTGCTGCTACTATGAGTAACTCAAACTCAGATATCTCTATCTATTCTGCGCGATGATATAAATGTCGTTTTTCAATTTCAATCATTCGAATTGATCGTTTCTTCTAGTGGATTCAAATTCGATCCCCATGCCTTTGTGTGCAGTAAGTGATAGGGTAGTGGCAGAACCAAGTTTTTGCGCTAGGGAGATCTAGGATTATGAATGATCAAAAAGAGATAATGATAAGACTATTCACCTATTAACACTAAGTGATGTAGTTGTAACAAAAAATTCGGAAGAACAACCCTGGCGTTTGCCGGCATTACTTAGGACCCAGGTTGCGTGTTCGCATATGATGTGGTGAAAAGCTTCGAATGAATCACTGTCACACTTCTTGTTTACAACTTAGAGAACCATGCCACTCAAGCGGCAACGAAAAAATATGTTGCTTCTAGACCTGCAAGAATTTCTTCTTGGAGGTGTGTCCGCATTGCCGCAGCAGTCACTGTCGCAGACGATGTCGCCGCAGGCGGAAACGACTTTCATCGAAGAAACAAAACAGGGGTCAGAACTTGCTGATGACGACGACGCCGGTTCGTTCCAGAATGGCCCCCACAAGGAGGCGCTAATACAGCTCCGGCCTTTGCAAGTTTGTCTTGGCCTATTACCTCTTCTCGCAGTCTATGCCTGCTGCCTATACCTCCAGCTCCCACAGATATCTCGACCAGTCGCGGTAGGCGGAGCACGGAGCCTCGTGCAATTATTGATTTTATGGCGTCGGAGTAATGCTGAATTTCTACTGGTGGTGATATTATGACGAACGTGCCTTGTTCGATTAATACATTTACAGGGAGGACCAACAACAACAAGGACATATTAGAGTTGATGATCACGATCATCAGGTCGCTAATCACCGTCGGTTCTCTCCTAGTCCCAGTCTTTCATGCTGGAACTGAGCACCCGGAAGTCGTCCTCCTGTATATCATCGCTATGACGCTGGTCGCCAGTACTGAAGCGGCTAAGAGGTGTCAGAAAAGCAGTGAAGGCTTGTTGGATTATGCGGAGTTCAAGGTGGATCCGAACCTGTCTGGGAATGGTGCGCATGATCACGCAGCACCCGAGACAGTAGTGGAAATTAGGTTAAGGCTTTGAATTTCAAGACTTATTGTATTCTACTACAAGTAATCGGACGAGGAGGACTTCCACCTACAGCTATAATTAGAAGCTAAGAGTGGTAGAGGTCACCTCTACGCAAAGAGCGGCTGGTGGAGGTGAAAGAAGCTCGGAAAGCTCTAATTTTTAGTGCTCCCCCCGTCAAAGTTGCTGAGGGGAGCGATACGCGTGTTCTTGAAAAGAAAGCAGAACAACCTGGAGGACTCCGCGAATCACAAGAGCACCAGCACGCGAGAGTCGCAGAAATTGAGGTCTCTTTCTCGCCCACAACGACATCCTTGGAGATGAGGACGAGCGGCACTCGTACCTCCTCGTTAGAAGCAAGTATTCGAAAAACTACATCACAGCTAAGCTTCCTCCGCCTTCCAGGATCCCGCTTAAGCCGTCATTTATTTCTAGCCATGCTAAGCGCAATCACAATTGTCGCTTCCTTCGCCTTTCTTGTGGTCCTTCAACCTTCACCCTTTTGGGATCCGCGATACACAATTCCGATTACTGGCATGTTACTGGGAAACGCCACTAGCGCTCTATCACTCTCAACCGACCTTTTCCTTAAGAGTGTGGGAGAAAAAAGGACTTCTGTGTTGGAAACCTGGCTTGCCTTTGGGGCTCATCCGTCGGAAGCGGCAGTTGACTTGATGCGGGAAGCGATCCGGGTTGGACTGACGCCGACGTTGAATACCATGGCAGTGTTGGGCGTCGTGACGATTCCTGGGATGATGACAGGTCAGATTCTTGGTGGCTCGTCTCCACTGGAAGCAGGTCTATATCAGGGACTAATCATGTACTTGATCTGTGCCACGAGTTTCGTAGCAGTCGGCGTCAGCCTGGTCCTGTGTCTGCGGGACGTTTTTGTGAAGACGCAAGGAGGAGGGTACGTGCGAAGACGAAGCGCAACTGCGGCGATGAGCAGTCTCCATCAAGAGGTAGATGGCGCAGCAAAATCGGAGGAGAGTGGCGCCGCAAAGTCAGGACGAGGGACATCAACATTGCAAACGCCACTGCTTACAACAGTGGTGCCGGAGCTATCTGGAGAGGAAGTTTCACACACTGTGAAGCCGCGTTTGGCTATTTTCGAATCCCGGAAACTCTTACAACATCATGATCCTCCACATAGATATGAGGTTATAGTACTAAGCACTACGCTCTTGCCCGTCCAGCAGTTTAATGAACGTGCAGTTGAACTGGATATCTCAAATGAGCTTGGACAGGATCTGAAGTTCTACCGCGGTCGTCTGTATCTTGTCGATGGTCCCTCAGGTGCTGGCAAAACAACCTTTCTACGCTCACTAGCGTTGTTGGATCCCATTAATAGTTTCATTGGGTCGCAGCTTCGGAACTGTGGATGTGAAGTGGTAGACGAACAGGAATTGACCAAGCAAGACACATATGTAGACAGCAGTACAACAAGTCCACCTTCGTGGCGCTCCTTGGTACGATTCATATCGCAGAGTCGAGTGGGACTAGAAGGGAGTGTGGGTAGTTTCATCGATAGACTTGAGATGTTAAAGGAGAGGCGAGCTGGAACTGGTTCGTCAAGCATTGCGGTGGTAAAGTTAAGCTTGTTAAAGACAATGATGTTTCAGTTTTGATGCCCTGCCCTACTTACTCGAAAACTCAAAATGAGCGAGTTACTGACTGAAATAAGGGAGGTAGCTTAACATCAAGGCTACTCATCTTCCTTCTCATCAGTATCTCCCTTATTTTCAGTAGTTACTTGCTTATTTCAGTTTTTCGAATAATTAAGTAGGTGGTAATTGAAGGATATGGTTATGGCGGCATTACGGGTCTTCTTGAAAATGGTCTAGTTTCTAATAAGGCTGAACGCGAGCCCATCAATCAACGACGATGCCTTCAAAGCCGAATTAGCCACTCTGCTTTGCGACTGGGGTCTCTGCAAGAGCTCAGAAGAGGTGCCTGACTTCCTCGACAGGCGTGAATGGAAGTCACTTTCGGAAGGGGAATCTCAAAGAGTTTACGTAGCTATAGCACTTGCTTCGCGCCCTTTGGTACTTTTGCTGGACGAACCCACAAGTGCTTTAGACGATAAGACCAAGCGAGTAGTTGAGAGAACTTTGAAAGAGTATGTGAGAACTGGAAAAATAGCAACGATTTTGCTCACTTCGCATGATGAAGGCCAGAAGCAGAGGCTTTTGCTGGGAGGTGGGGATGGTGACCGTCAAGATTGTCTGAGCATGTGAATAGTCTACTACCACGTGAACAATACTATCAGTCTTTAGACTGCAAATTAGATGTACTCGGATGGAAGGAAGCTTTCCTTTGTTTCCCTCGATTGACTCAATGAATCCAGCTTATGTTCTTGATGTTCTTGGTATTCCAACATGGTCTTGGTCTTGGACTTGGACAGAAAAAGAACAAGCTATGGAGAAATTTTTGTAAAGATTTTGAACGCGGCACATTTGACTTCTCAGACTAACTCGCAATGTGAACTTCAATCAACGTGCGCTGTAGCGGAAGGTGCACTCCTGTGTCTCGTATCAGATGTGGGTGGACTAATGTCGACTCATATATGTCACTTGTCTCACATCTTGACCTAAAGTATGTAACTACGTATTGCACACGGTTCCAAGAAAAGTGGAAATACAGCTTTTTTTTAGAACGTAGTAGAGACAGAGAGACCACAGTAGAGACGATCGTGATATTAAATGCTACTCGCTGCTGTTTGAGATTCAGAAGTTGAAGTATAAGCAAATGAGCAGTTCATCATCAGCCAGCCGTCCGAAGAAGCGACCGACGTCGGTCTACAGTTACGATGGCCCAGACGATTTCGGACACGTCAGACCGCAACTGGCACCACCAGCTTGGCCCGAAGAATGGCGGTACGAGGCTGTAGGTTATGAAGAGGAAGCAGGAATGAAGGACTTTGACTTTTTGTCAAGAAGTAGGCGTAGAGGTAAACGCCCACCTCCAACTAGGAAGTAACATGGAAATATATTTGACTAGAGAATTTGCCTCTAAGTAGGTGGACCGGAGTTGAGCGCGATAAGTTGTCGTTCCAGGAGGAGCGCTGCGGCAGGGGTGAATGTAGGACTCGGTGGCGCTACCAGCTCCAGCATTAAGGCAAGAATAATTGAAATAGAAATTAGCTGATTTGACTTCATCACTCGCCTACTTTCAATGTACTTATTTTAAGCAATAATTTCTAATCCAGGCAGCGGTTGCAGTGGTGTCAAAAAGCGGAGGCGAAGTGACGATTTACCAGCGTGGCTGAAACCACAGACGCCATCGTCGTACTTCGTACATAAAAATATAGCGCATAGACCACTACGCAGTCTGCTTCACAACCTCCCAGAAGGAGCAAGTGCAAGTAGAGGACAAGATACAGGACTAGGCTTACTTCAACCAGACCCAAGAGGAACCACGTCAGGCACACATATTGCCGTAGGGCATCCCGTTCCTGGAGGTATAGAACAAGGACAATTGGGACAAGTTGAGAGTGGAGGAGGTTTGATTGGTCGTTCCACGTCAACATCATTTGGTTTTGGCGGTGCTTCCACGTCAACACCATTTGGTTTTGGAGCTTTTGGTGGATGTGGGACGCTTGGATTCGGAGGGCGCATCGAAAATCAAAGCTACAGTCATCAGCATCAGACTCCATGGGCACCACAAGGCACTGAACAACAAGCTTATGGAAATTTCAATTTGTGCATGCCGACGACTACGACAGGTGGTCCTCAGCAGAGTCTTGGAGTACTAGATCCCTTTCCTCCCGCCCTTGGTGTTGGTGCCGGTGCAGCCACTTCTTCTACATCAAGACCACAACAAGGTGTATTCTTGCAGCCAGTTGTGGAGGGGTCCATCAACGCCACTGGGTACCACCCTCCAGCTCCACCAACTTCTAAAGCTCGGAGTCTTGCGTCAATTCTAGCTAGCTTTCATCGCACACTAAGACGCTTGAATAAGCTGAAAAAGGCACAACAAGCATCTTCAAATAGAGCTGGGACTCGGCGACATGTTGCATGTGACGAGAATAAAGGCGACGACACATCATATGATACCATCATGAAAGATTTGAAAGCAGCAAGACGAGCAGGACTGAAGAGTTGTTTTACTCTCGGCAGTGCCTGGAATCCAGATGGAAAAGTAGTACCAGAAAACTACACTCGTGAAGAAAGTGATGGCGAAGATGATCAAGTAGTAGCGGGACAAATGCAAATGCAAGGTGGTGGAGGTCACCAGGGTAGTAGATTTGCAAGATCATCACCATCAGCGGCAGCGAACTTGTCGAAGAATATCAAAGATTGTGGTGCTCGTACTATAGTTGGACATGATGGTGCCTTTTCTCCTGTTCCTCTCCGACCCGGAGAAGACGCGTGGGCAGAAATTAGACCGCATCTAGTGGCTAATCGTCTGATCCGCGAATTCCGACTGATACCTCAGGTTTTTGGCTATGTCGCTTTTCTAAAACGCTGTGACAAATTTTCAGAGGTGGTCGTAGACACAACAACCAGCTTGGAGAAGTGTTTGGTGTTTCATAAGAAACAAAAACAGCAAAAACGCGATGCAGAGGTAGAACACGAAATAAAAGGCAACGTTGCAGCTGCCTCAAATACAAACAAACACAACAAGGACAAAAAGAATCGTAACCATCTTCACATTCAGAAGAAGAACCTCGACCACGTCCCTGACTTCAGTCCTCCAGCTGCAAAGGATTATGGTACCAAAATAGTCTTACCACCAGAGGTACGGGAAGCTGTCGAAAACGCAAGGAAAGAGAAGGCTCGACGGTCCTTTACTCTGCAACAGGAAGAGATCTTTGGAAGAAGTGACATATGGAAGTATGGCGAGTTTCTAAATGAGTCGTTGAATCCTACGTTTCAGTGGTTACAGTTTCATTTTGAGGGGTTCTTGAACTGGATCGCCCTTTAAAAAAAACGGTGTAGACTATGACTCTTTTATCTAACTACTGGTCTTCCCTCGTGTCGTGAATGATCTTTAACGGAGGTAGAGTCAGAGCAGTACCGTCTATTCATCTCTCTAACCCGAAGAGGACCAACATGGACGTATGAGTTCTCGTGTGGCATTTCCTGTACCGAATCGCCGCGTGGTTCATTATCGCAATGAGCACGATTATGAACTGGAGCCTTTAGCTGGAGGTGTGGTTGTGCCAGAACAGAGGATAGAATCAAGGGTGCTCGTACCAGCAAGAAAAATTGTTGAACCACAACATGACGGGAAAAAGGAACGAGTGGATGAAAAAAAAGCTGCAGACAAGAACCTGATGCTGGTTGAAGAATCCGCGTCCACCAAAATCAATAAGCAACAAGACGAGTTGACCGCAGAAGGAGCAAAGCGGACGTTGATGTTTGAGGACGATGACAATAAAGAGACGAAAGACGTTGAAGTCGAACTTGCTGGAAATCAGGATTTGAGTCTCGCAAAGTACCAGCCCTTGAACATTATGGCTTCACATGTGATTGTTGCGCTCTTCACAGCACCGCGCGTTTATCTCTATACGTAGAGTTTTTCTTTTCTTTTTTATCAGATGATACTAAAAAAATGTTACATTAAAGCTTTTTCCCCTCTAAATCCACCAGTACATCAATCCAGCAGAACAACAATACGAATGGCAATGGCACCAAGAACGCCGTGCCTAAGAAAGACCGTGACGAGAAACGGGGCCATCCATTAGATGGCGTCGATTTAGGGGATTTTGTGAAGATATGGGGCAAACGGAAGACCGAAAAATGGTCATCTCTTGACTGGATCAAGACAAGAGTTATGATGGTCGTCCCCTGACACTCATGAAATACGTATGGAACAACCCCGGCTACTTCCAGTACAAAGTCTCTTCTAGTATAAAGCTTTTAGCGCTCAAAAGGGTCATCCTCGAACACACCCACTTGTAAGTTAATATGAGTACTACTCCATTGAACAAGAACTAAATGATTCTTCCTTCTCTAACCTCAACAACAAGCTGGTCGTCGCAGATGTTCTCGAAATGGATACAGACCCGTTGGCCTTTGTGTATATGGAGATATCGCGTTGGGACTACAAGAACAAAATGATGTCCAGGACTTGTAATGTTTACTGAGGAAGGACAGGGATTTTTGGGAACAAGATCATGTCGAGGTGGACATGTTGTAGTATTTACTGAGTTTGAGGGAAAGCCGGGTCGGATGGTAAGGGGTTTGACGCCTCGACACATTATAGGACGTGCCATGATGTTGATCTTTGTCACACAGTTGGAGTCGAAGATCTGAAATGACGAGCAATTTGCGCCCCTCTCATTATACGCACATATTCTTTGTTAGCAACGCATATTGTACTTCTTAAGTTCTTCAGACTTTCCTTACGCGGAAAAGTCTAGGATATTTGCATCACTGAAAAAACAGTTCCTATAAGCGCGGCAGGCATGTGAAGGTTTACCGCCTTGCCGGGTCACGACTGCATGCAGCCAAGAGCCACGACACGCATGCAGCCAAGAGGATCGTACGAAGCCAATCACCCTCTATTCTTGCAAAAGTACTCTTCTGTTTTCTCATCCCAGCAGTGCTGAAAGAACGTTGCGAGTGGCACAATTCGGTAAAGTCTTTATCTTCAATCAAGTGAGAGGGCGAAAGAAAAGGAGTGACACGAGACGTTTGTGAGAAACTCTGTCTAGCGATGAGTGAGCGAGAAGTCGGAGGTACAACCAACTTAAGTGTACAAGGGCCGTTCCGCAGGACCACTAGGCTATGAAAGAATCTCAAGATTCATCTGCTTCGTAAAAATATTGCGTCTCAGGAACGACCACGATTGCTGGACGTCAATCATCCCTATGCAGATGTCAGATTTGATAAGGATTTCACATACTTATTCCCTATTCCTGCTAAGCATCCTGCTTCAAGCAACCCGAAAGGCTGGAAGCGGAAAAACGCCTTGTTTGTCTCCATCTCCTCACTCTATCTGTCAAGTTGGCTCGAGGAGGTGCGAGCTTGCTTTCTATTCTATGCGAACCACTGAAACTCTGCAGCTAAACCACAAGCAACAGCAACATCCAAAGCACGGGTAAAGACGTAGACTATTTTTTCAAGAAGTTTCAAGATTCTTTCGACAAAATAGGGCATGTTGGTCGACCTAAATGAAGCAAAATATATGAGATAGATGAAATTAACTCGCATCCAATTCCAACGGCCGATTCCGCGTCAACGAAGAAATACAAAATACGAGCAACCGTCCTCTTGGAAGTACGTGTATTCAAATTTTCCTCCAGCGACATATAATGTCCACCATCGTCAAGAAGTTGCTCTGCCCTCTCGCCTTCGAAGACAGCGTAGTCAATCCCCTGATGACGCAGAAGAGTAAGGGCGTGAGCTGCCGCTGTTGCTGGAACAAACTTTAGTAGTGAAATGCAACCACAACAACCAGTAGTACAAGAATTCTTAGAGTCCTGCATTTCAGGAGAAGAAGAACCGCTGCTGCGATGATGAATAGACAAGCGTACTCCATCAGCTAGACATGGATGGAGGGATTTTTCAGCCAGCAGTGGCTTTCGTTTCCGACTGCACACTTCAGTCCAGCAGAATGTCTCTTGGACGGAGAGACATTGCAGGTATAACCAAGAACTAGGCCTTGGACAATGGATTTAATGTTGAAGAAGCACTTTCTAGTCCTTGGACTAAGAATTGTGGGCTAAAGCACTTGACTACCTCACCTCGCCTATCATCTCTAGAGATGATGATCGACCATTTTCATTATCCTCTCTTCATTCTTCATTCTTCTACTGTTTACCTGCACACCAGATGCGCGCCAGCAGCGACGCGCATTTTTTGGGCATCGAGAAGTTGGACGAGAGCCTAATCGTCTATCCTATTGCGATTATTGGTCCACGCAAGAGCGGCAAGAGTGCTCTCTTGCATGCAGTTGGAGGCACGAAATTGTCGTCTGAGGACTCGAATAGCACGCCGTCGACGAGAGGAGTCTTTTTCAGCTACGCGACACATCGGAATAAGGTCTACGTGCTACTAGAGTGCGAGGGCTTCGACTTCGACGGTGCAGAGACGAACCCAGCTGTTGCAGTGCGGAACAAACAGATATTCGCACTTGCGACGCATTTGGCAGGGGTCATAGTGTATAACGACTATGCAGGAGAGCAGCCAACAGGAGCGGATGACGAGGAGGAAAATGCAAGCAGTCGGCCTACGCAGGGTGCAGTGCGGCAATTTGCATCGCTGCGATCGCTTGCACTCGCATTGGCGGATACGTCCTATCTCACAGTCGCAAGACACCTCATCTGGTGTTTGCGAGGACTATCCGAAGATGTAGAAGAGGAGCAAGGCAGGAGCACACTGAACAAGCACTTGCACAAACTTGTTCCCTTACAACAAGGAAGTGTCTCCGGTGGTGGTGCAGGAGGTGATGCCCACATGGCCAAGTCGAAGAGTTTTCTTGGGAACGACACACCCGATGGTAGTAGCCGAGTACTGAGGTCGGCGATAGCAGAAGCTGCAAACACTACGATGATGCGTAATACAACTAGTGCGCCTCATCTGCTTGGATCGGCGATTGGGACTGGAAGTGGATCACAGCAGAATCGTGACTTGGTTCGCTCAACCACCACTAAGAGCGAACCAAGTAAGCCTCCTCGAACAACTCTTGTCGACCTTTTTCCGAGGCGTAGCGTCCACGCACTACTGCAGAAAGGGGAGGAAGAGACAGGGGTTTTCGAATTAAGGGATCGAGTCTCTAGAAAAGCTATACCTCTGCGATGGCGGCTGAACGCAGGCCCACTTTCTCTGCGGCAGTGGCTGCAGATGGTGCGTTTGCTCTCAGACGCCGTTGCGTCCACGTGCAAAGCAGAGCTGAGAAGCTCACAACTACCCGGCAACATGGTGAATAACGGTGCATCTACGACATCGCCCACCATATTCCATCAGGAGATGTTCGGACGACAACAAGATTTACCTCATCCATTAGCCAGCGGAACTGTGATAGGAACTCCGATAGGGAAAGGGTACAACCAAAACCAGCAGTATCTCTACGGTGGACCGCAGATACGGGGGGAGGTGGATGATTGGGGCTCTCTTCCATCAAGTGCAGTTATTAAGGCTACAAGATAGTCTTAGGGTTTGGCCGTTGTGACACGGTCTTCTTGCTCTCCCGGTATGTAAGTTTTTAAGGGGTTATGTAGGTAGTTGAATGGGAAGCAGCATGTAATCCTATGGGAAAAAAATCCCCCGCATCTTGGTCCCGTTTTTACAGGGAAAACGAACGGGAACGGAGACGAGTCCGAAGATGGGCTTCGTCTCTCTCTGTTCTAAACTTCGTAGGAGCGTCACCGATGACGGCCACCTCAGCGACATGCGGTCGGGCGCAAGAGTTTTCCTATCTCCTCCACAAATCGCGGCCGCCTCCCGTCGCCAGGCTTCGTGGGGCAACCCTGAAACAGATCCCTGGGCAGCCTTCGCGAGGGAAGAGAATCAAAGGGCCGTAAATGCTGCGAAGAACTATTGGATGCGTTACGAGGGGTTTGTTCTTTCCATTGCGCAACAGAAATTCTACACTCGCAGGGCACACATTTTAGACATGGTTGCAGCTAGAAGAGAGGTGACGCGACGAGATGTTGAAAGCTCCGACGCTCCGATGAATTTTCGAACTTCGACGTATTTTTCCGGTGCAGACCGCTTGCCCACTGTGTTTTCGGAAATCAGTATCTTTTCCGGTAATCTCACACTCGGAAGTAGTGACGCAGATCTTCTAGGAAATCATCTACATAACAGCAGCACGCGCACAAACGACGACCATCTAAGCGGTACAAGTCTGGTTCCTCCTGGGATGGATGCGGGAAGTAGTTGTAGCAGTTCTAGTGTACTTACGGGAAAGATGAGAAAGACTAGCAGCTTCAGACCTGCACTACGTCTTCATTGTCTAAAAATCACCATCAAGAAGTTTCGGTTACTTTGCACTTCCTCAAGTAAGTTGTAGCGAAGTAAGCGACTTGTACCGACCTTGCGTTTGCATGATCACTGTTGAACAAAGCTCTAATCTGCGTGCCCCAAGACAAAATGGGGTATCGCATGATCATGCGCATGCTCCACATGCTGAGGTCGCTTCTACAATATCATCATCGTCTCTAGCCATCGCAGCATCCTCCAGTCCGGACCTCCTGAGACCGAATATCCGTTTAGATGACGTCCAGGTGAATGTTCAGACGGTTATGATGATGACAAGATCGACTAGTTTGAGTCAATTGGGATGAAACTCTAGGTTGATCGTGGGACTTTTAACTATCTTCATACTTCCAGGCAGAAGAGGCAGCATGAACATTAATGGTTCCGCCCTCCGTACTATCTCCATACTTCACCCTCTGCTCTAATCCCACCAGCAGCAAACAGGGATCCAAACACGAAGAAGATCCTACCTCCTCTTCCGACGATGATGATCCTTCCTCATCTTCGTCATCGGAAATATCCTCTGGGTCCTCTGAAAAATCAGTAGGGGAGCGGGTTTTTGCCTCTTCGCTGTCAGAAAACGAGCCTCCAGATACGTCTGACGGTGGTCAACAGGATTCTACTCTTCAACGCGGCAACAAATATGCTCGTAGTACCAGTGGCTCCGGAGGAGGGCAACTACTAGAAACGATGTGGAGTGCCGATTTTCTAGCGAGTGCAACTGCGTATCTTAAGGCTACTGCTAAAGCACCCCCAGCGTGATAACCTTCGCCTCCTTTCAAGACGACGGAGCGCGCCATCCTTTGCCTCAATTTTTTAAGGGGAAAGAAGTGTAATTTAAGGATGCTATTACGCTCAGGGAACAAGATGCGACGCGGTAGCTCTAAATATCCAAGAAAGCGGACTTCCTCGAGACGTAAAAAACAGGGCAAAAATACTGTTGCTGCAGCAAAGAACCAGGTGAGTAGCAGAGGAAGCTCATCAACAGTAGATCCAAATCTAAGGCTACTGCTCAAGCATGTTCTTATAGCATCAAGATTCTTGGTCTATCTTTTTCTACTTGAAAAACGGACCAAGAAGAATGCACTCAGTAGGGATGCTTAGCTGCACGCGGCTGCTCTAAGACCCTCTCTAAGACCTTCTCTAGGAGGTTCCTCTGCGCCTACCTTTCATTAAGGCTGCCTCCAGTCTGTGCGGATTCCTCTTCCATATCCTTCCACAGGATATTCTTGAGGTATTCTCACAGGGATGAACTAGGGGAAGCGCTAATTTCTGCGATCAGATTCGCGCTATTCTGGAGAAGATGTGGCTTCGAGTAATCTATCTGAAGCGCCGCCTCGAGATTTGGACGAGTATGCATCAGCTGCTTATGTAGGTCGGAGTGTAGCTTTCACGGCGACGCACAAAGAGGTAGGACTAGGAAGCACGAAACAAGCAGATGGTGAAGTTATAGGCGGTGGAAGTACGGCTTCGGGATTCATTAGTAGGGCGATTGCAGGGGACGCTTTTGCTACGGGTAACAAACCATCGTCGTTTTTGCCAGCACCAGTTGCGTCGAATTCACAAAGAGGCACGTCGTCACCACCAGCACCACAACATTAAGGAAGAACTTATAGGTGTACTTAGGTATTATTTCCATGATCATCTAGTGAGCGCGTGACTCAGGATCCATGACAGATAGTTCATTAGAAAGAGCCATACCAATTCTCTTCACTTGAACTGACTTCAGCTCGGGCTCCTCGTAAATAAGGGACCCACGACTTTGATGAGTTGTCAGAATAATCATAATGATAGCACCATAACAAACTCCCATCGCCATCTCCTCTTCGACCTCTAACCCCAGAATCAGATGAAAGCTCACGGAATCAGTGGCACTAGTTCCCAAGTGTTATCGGAAGTGCCCACGTCCAAGAGCCGGAGCATTTGCCCGGATGCTCCCAGTCTTTCTCCACCGACGATCAAGGAAGCCTCTCCGAGAAAACACCGGACATGGCTTGAGCGTCGGCAACGACGGACGTTTTTCAGCATTACAATCTTAAGAGCGCAAGGACGGATAGAAGCAGGTATACCATGCATTCACATTTCCTCGTCTAGAAGGGTGGCCCCTTAAGATCCCCTTAGAAGTATTATCCCTTCGTCTCCCCCCAGCCCCACTTCCTCCAACATTTCGCCGTCTCTTCCGAAACACACGAGGGTTGTTCCGTGCCCAGTGCGTAGCTGCCCATTTCCGACGTGATCCTGCAGCCGAATTGCGGTTCTTCTGCAATGGACGGAAGTTGATAGTTAAGGGTTGAAACATTTCATTTTTACAAGTCTTGTTCGTTTATTAAAGAGATTACTACTAAAATGTGACTTGTTGTTTCAACCTTTAAAATAGTCTGGGGCCTCTACCTAGAACTGGTTTCCAAACTGGCGGATGAGGAATGTAGAAACGTGACGCTTTTTTTACGCCGTTTCAAAGGAGAGTTGCGGCGTCTGATCGAAGAGGACACTTTAGGGCTGTCGCACGAGCAGTTACTGGAAGCAGAAAGAGGGCCTGTCGTCGTTGTAGGCGCATCACCTATGGCGCTGTTGGAGCGGACTCGATGGGGTGCGTCTCGTTCACGGAGTCTCTCACACAAAAAGAAGCCTAACGGACCATCAGGAGGGATGATGCTGTTCTACCATGATAGGAACGAGCGGACGCGGAAGAAGAGAGAGAAGGAACAAGCTGAGAAATGTTACGAGGCATCAAGATTAACCTGTGTTTCCATTTCGAACAAACGCAATCGAGGTTGAATCTATCGAATGAGAATACCGTGTTGAAAATGACCCAAATAAAGCGTATTGGTATTCAATTGTGGGTCCACGTCTAAGACATGTGCAGTAAAATTATCGAACAAAGAGACGCAGAAAAACTTGAGGGTCAACATGATGATGTGTCACAGCTGGCAGAAGAGGATGTTAAGGGAAAGGACGAGCCTGTAGGTACGCAGAGCGAGAGGGACACGGCAAGCCAAGGAGAGGAGACGCTTGTCCGACAGAATGCATCGAGTCCCGCTTTCAGTGAGGCATCTCAGGAGGGGCAAGATTAAGGGGTGAAAGTTGAGCTCTCTGTAAGCATATCTATGACCTTCTCAAGTAGTAGGAAAGTCATAGATGTGCGACCTAGATCGGTCAACTTGCAACCCCTAACAAGAAATAAGCCCCAAGATTCTTCCAGGACTTGAGGGCTCTCACACCGCAGCTCCCAACCCCCTGGGAAAACCGGAGAAAGCTTCATCAGGCCTGTTAGGCGCAACGAGTAGTTCATCTTTTCGAAGCCCAGCGACTCTTGGTTCTGGTCGGGCGAGGAGAAATGTATGGAGATGTTTTGACTGTAGTTAGTGCTGTCTCGTTTTTTCTTTACTTCTTAGTCATCATGTTTACGTGAACTCACGTCTTAGCATCGACGGACACAAATAACGCATGCTATTGCTAGCGTAGCAGGTGAACTCCCTTCCCCAAAGATTTCCCTCTCCCCAACGCACGTTTCATACCCTCCCGGTGGTACTGCGTCTCTATCAGCAATGCGGCACCCTCAGCTCAGGGCGCAGCGGAAACGACTAGGGGAGGCACGGACGGCGTTTTCAGGGCCTTCAGAGTCTCAATCGTGGGCAGAGCATAGTCAAAAAGCTGTAGATTTACGCAACAGAAGATTCTTCTTCGTCTCAGTAGAAGTTCAACTTGTAATATTATGTTGCCTTTGTCCCTCTTACCATCCTCTGGTGTTCTTTTAGGAAGTGTTTTGTCTTGCTGATGGTAGAGAGTGAACATTTGCGACACAATGATGACGGTGATGATGATGATGATAATGTGTCGTCGCTCTACTTGACTCCCACGCTGTCCGTGGAACAATGGACAAGGGTATGAATTCATCCGTTTATGATTGTATCATCTTTACTGTGTACTAGCAATGATCTTGATCATGTTATGCAACGTCGGGAGGTCTGCTCTGTCTTCTACTTCTATTTACAGAAAGTGATAGGCTTCACCGTTCTTGTAGCTCTTCTAACCTCCCTGATCATGCGACGGGTCACCTACCGGACATGGAAAGTGGTCGTGGACAATTTCGCTCCGCTTTTTGACCCGTTTGAAGCGGGCAAAAGTAGTTCCGTAGGCGGTTTTGGCGGCAGCGCTTTTGGAGGAGGGCAGCAACTTAATGAATGGCTACTGCAGAAAGGTATTTTTTTAATTTTTAGGAGGATGTTCAAAGCTTGTTTACCTAGTACTCGTAGTTCATCTCTTCTACTTCAAAGTAAGAAATTCGTAGAAGAGATGAACTACAAGTACAAAAGGTTGTGTATGTACTGAAATGTTGTTGTTTATGTACTAGGGGAGATTCAGGAGCAGGATGTGCGATTGACAAAGTCGCCTTCGCACGCTGGGTTCACACCTATTCAGGTTCGCTGCGATTGATAAAGTCGCCTTCGCACGTACACAACTATTCAGGTGTACCTCCCGATCTCGGTCACGAACGCAGTCCCTCTAGTAGGGATTCCGAGTTTCTACCCCGTCTCGTATGGAATGATGTGATAGGGCAGGAAGGCGAAGACGCTAAGGGGAGAATTGGAGGGACTAAGAATTATGGAGGTTACGTGTAGAAGTTCAGGTTTAGAAAAACAAAAAGAAGAATTTGGAGTTCTATAATCTCAGAGGTCGTTCACATCGACATCAGCAGCAACAGCGAATTTTGAAGAATTAAAAAACACTCACAGCACTACATGAGAACTACACTTCTGAATGGTTCTGGTATTTGGTAACCTGATTTCGATCATAAGGAAAACAAGAACAAGAAGAGAATCCTTGTAATCAAATTCAGGTTACCAAATACCAGAACCGTACAACTTCTTCTTTCTAACTAACGAGCCTACACCTCTTCTTTCTAACTAGAAACCTCGACGAGCACCAAGTCCACCCTCAACGGGGCATCTGGGCACTCTAGCAGCAAGGCTTCTTCCTCCGCGGATCGAGGAGTACTGGAGGAGGAAGAAGCCTTGCTGCTAGAGTGGCGAACGATTGTCGTGCCTGTGCTCAAGGAGATGCGATCAGAGTTTCAGCAGAACTTGGTGAAATTTATGAGACTCTTACGAGATGAAGGTCTAAAATGAGAAGGGAGTACGAGATGAAGGGAACAACATGAGAATGAGATGAAGGTATAATGGTACTAAAATGGAGTAGAAGTAGATGTCGTTGATCTTCTACTGCCCATTGGAGGTATACAATGTAATTATATCGAGATTCATCTCTCACTCTCTAATATCTTTGCGAAAACAAAGGGAGGGCAAAGAGCAATTTTGGAGGTTTGGACACCGTTGCCGAAAGACGGAAAAACCATCCCCGAAGGCGAATCGGTGCGGAAAAGATCAAGCGGTCAGACAGAGTTAAGTGAAGGCAAATATCCATGAATATAAACTGTGATTGTTGATGTACAACCGAATGTAGATGAATGTCAGGGCTGCTGGTGCTTCACTTCATGTGCAAATAGAATCTACCAACAGGAGGATGTTGCTCTTAAGCAGTTGCCAGTGGGCTTAGTGGTTTAGCTTTAGGCGTTGGCCTGTTCCCCTATCATTTCTCTCGCCCACTACTAAATTCATCTGCTCTAACAAACGAGGGCGTCCTTGAAAGTGGTGCCGAGGGGCAAGACCAGCCATCGACGAATGCTGGAGAGGAGCCGCCACCTAGAAGGAGGCCTGCGTTGCCATGCAACTGCGCAATTCTGTAAACAGCGACTACAACATGAGCCAACTATCAGTATTAGTTTATTTTGTGATAGAAATTAATATACTTCTATGGTATAATTTTGATAGGTAGCCTTTTCTTTTTCTAACTTTTCCTGGTTGTTGTTTTTTCCTAGTTAGGTCTGGTGGTGCTCCACCCGAAGTATTAGTGTAGTTCAAAACAACAAGTAGATCTATCACTAGGAATACACGTTCGTTACTATCTTGTCTTGTTAAATATACATTGTTCGTTACTAGAGTTAAATCGTACGGGTTAGAGTGCAATCGATGTCGATCAGTCGTTTCTCGTTTCTTGTTTCTCAAAGGGTTTTCGTGAATGGAGCGTACTAATGAAATCTATGTTGAACCGAATTTTTCATCGTTCGCATTTTACAGCTACAACTTGGACATAGACCACAGGCAGTATCTATGCCGATGTAGGTGTATTTCAGGTCAACAAAAATATCGTGTGTAAGTTTAGACTACTACTTTTTTAGACCATAATATTCCTCGCTAGTCATAGTTCAAACGACACTAGTATCTATAGAGTTAACACTTGTTTCTACGTACTTGCTACGGCGGTCAGTCTTCGATCGAAGAAAGACAAGAAGCTCGTTGTTCCTTTTTTTATTGGCTTATCTCGGTAGCGCCGGTAGTTACTATTACCAGCTGAAAATGGATTTCATGAAACACGAACCATATTTTTACGGCCGCACTTGAAGGAGAAGTGGTAAGGCGCTCCTGGATGAACTAGCCTATTTTTAGGTTGTTGTATCTACCTATTTTTCTAGTTAGGTCATTCTTTTTTCTAGTTAGGTCTGCTCCGCCACGGTTATTGTATCTACCTATTGATCATGACCAGCCCTACAAAGGAGAATGATGGTGTCTTTTTCGTGTATAGTAAATCCTGACTAGAATTTTTAACTCATTATCTCATGTCGTGAAGTAAGATTACAAAGTTCCAGGTAGCTTCTGGCACAGGTTCGCGATCGATCGCGCCAGTGCTAGGGACCAATAGAAATGAACAGATTCAGATTCATTGAAGAGAATTTTACCATCATAATGAAGAAAAGTAAAAGCTTAATGCTATCTTGATGGTTACTGCCTATAGCACTCTCTTCTAGTAAGTTTCTACGAATTAGAAGTGAATCATGCAGCTGTCTTTGATTATACCTTTGTTCTTTGTTGTAGTTTCGAGGATGTATGATATCCATCTTTTTTGTGACTTTTGCACACTTAGCATAATCTGGAAGGTCGCTCTAATATGTTTAGACGCTCGTAATATGTTTGAAATTAGTCACCACATCGCTCGTAATATGTTTGAAATTAGTTCCATTCTGGTTGGCTGCCACTGCCTAGTTCTTCACGTCCATTTGACAAATCATCTCCGTGTCCTGCTCTTTAACGAACTTGCTTTTATCTTTAAATCTTCAAAACTTCTATGTACTGTACCAGAAGGTGCATCCTCTGTTGTAATTATAGTGAAGATGCGTATCGAAATCGACAATTGCTACTCTCTCTGTCTTGGCGGAAAGTTCGTTGTATTGAACGAGATCGTGTCGACGGAGTCTCAAATGTTATAAATATATCATCGAGGTTGAAAATGGAAACTGTTAGAGGAGGGAAATACTCTGTCACAGGAGAGGAGCGAAGAGAAAAATATTGTCACCTCGTGTCTCGAGATGAAAGCGGAAAAGAACCTTGAATGGATTATTCTCGTCGGCCTTACAGGAACATGATCGTCACTTCCAAACAGGTAGAGGATACAATGAAAGTCAGTTGACATTAACTCAGTTTTCTCGAAACCGAAATAATCGATGTTGAAAAAGTCGAGTTTTAGTCCTGGTTGAATAATGAGTTTTTACTTTGTTCCTGTGGTCTATCTATGCTCATGAATATACCAAAATCTTCTCAGCAATGATACTATCATGCTCGTCATAGAACTATGTCCCCCACACCTTCCTTTCTTCCTCCTTCCTCCGCGCATAGGGAATGAGATCAGCATGCTGAATAATCGCATGACTAGTCCTCCTGCCCGAAGGGGATTGTCACCGAGTCGCGGAGAAATACGATCCAACGACGGTGGTGAAGCGACTCCTCGTCTCCCTGTCCGCCGACGAGCAGAAGGAAGTTCTCGATCGGACGAAGGCTGTTGTAGCAACTCTACGTAATTCAAGTCGATTGCCAGCGTAGCGCCAGATTTTTAGCGGATTTCCAGCGAAGTACTCCTCTCCAATTACGCTATAAAATCTGCAGCCTACCGTGTAAGTAGTTCTTTTCGCCAAGAAGAACCCAGAATCCACCAGAGAATAAAAACGTTCGTTGGCGTCCTCATCCAGAAGTCGAAGTACCCCTTCGCTGGAGATCAAGCAAGAGAGAAATCACGACGCCAACTGCACCTGCAGGGTTACCTTCTACTGCATGGACGGGGAGAACGCTGCCGCTGAAGTAAGCAAGAGACTCATCTCCTTCTTCGTATTCGTAACCGGGTGAAACGACACATTCTGACAGCGACTCCTGAAGAACTAGAGACTAAAAACTACTAGACCAAAAACGATGTGCTACACCCAGTACATGCGCTACCACACTTTGAGCAGCACGTGCACGCCCTAGTGCCGTCAGCTGCCTCTAGCAAGTAGTACAACCCAAAACTACAGCTGAACTGCTCAACATCAACAACATCAGCATCAACCATCTTCTACTAGCTACTACTTTTGTTCTGTTGATCACTAACAGTTGTACCCCAAAGAACAACATCTACAAGTTACTACTTTTCTGTTGATCAGCCCAAAGAACAACTCCTACAAGATGCAGCGTTACAAGGTGTCGAAGATGCTGGGTGACGGCACCTTCGGGTGCGTCATGAGGGCTAGGAATCGACAAAGCGGAGAACATGTGGCCATCAAGAAGATGAAGAAGAAATTCTACTCATGGGAGGAATGCATGTCTCTTCGCGAAATCAAGTCTTTGCGGAAGCTTGTGCATCCGGGGATTGTGAAGTTGAAGGAGGTACGTATAGTCTGATCGAAAGTTGCTCTCTAGGATTAGTTAGGATACTTCTAGTTCTAGGAGAAATCTTTATATCCAAACGTGAAATCAATGAGTCATTCCTTCCGCTGCCCTCTCAATCAGAAACTCCCACTTTCATACCAGGTCATCAGAGAAAACGACGAGCTACATCTGGTATTCGAGTTCATGGAAGGCAACCTTTACCAGTTAATGAAAGACCGAGTAAAGCAGTTTAAGGAAGGGCAAGTGCGAGCCATGATGTATCAGACATTGCAGGCACTCAGTTACATACACAAGCATGGGTACTTACGTGCTTTATTTTTGGTTTTGTTGTTATCATTGGGTAGAAGTAGAAGCCTTCCGTGAAGGACTTCAAAAACGCTTTGTACCTGAGCCATCATGCGTCAATTGCAAATGTTCAAGAACACTCTCCAATCCTGGAGGTATTTCCACCGAGACTTGAAACCGGAGAATTTACTAGTGTCAAACGAAACGGTAAAACTTGCGGATTTCGGTCTTGCGAGGGAAATTAGGTCAAGGCCACCATTCACAGACTACGTTTCGACAAGGTATCTATGGGTCTCTTTAGACCTAAGCACTTCACTGTCGTAGGTGTATATGAGCAGTGTAGTTCCTTGTTTTGAAGAAGACGCCATGTGGTCGGTACATTTAAATCATGTTGAAACTGATTTCTCGCAGATGATCAATTCGAACACAACTGCACGCATGAAAATTTCTCCCAGGTGGTATCGCGCGCCAGAAGTTCTATTGCGTTCACAGAGTTACAACTCGCCAATTGATATGTATGCGCTTGGTGGCATCATGGCTGAACTCTATATGCTCCGACCCCTCTTGCCGGGAAGTTCAGAGAGTGATCAGTTGTATAAGATATGCAGGTACTTCTTCTCGTAAATAAGTGATATTGTTGAGTTTTCGTGAGTAGCTAGTTGTGTTTTTCATTCGCATCAGCTGTGACTAGTGCTTGATCCTAGGATGATGTCGAATACATAGTTGAAGATGAAGATCATTTATTTACCCACACAGTGTTATGGGTACGCCGCGGCAGTCGGAATGGCCAGAGGGATGGCAATTGTTATGGCTGGCGATAGACCTCTACATAGCATACCATAATTACCAATGAATCACTCAACAAGTAAAGGCAGAATGGGTGAAAAAGATTCGAAATACTACTCATTTTGATGCGATACAAACGCCTTCTGAACAGCAGCACAACCATCACGACTGAGAACTCAAACTCTTCTAATCCCTAGCTCAAAAATCGGTTTCCGTTTTCCGCAGTTCGTCCCCACGCCACTAGAGACCTTGATTCCTTCCGCGTCGGCTGAGGGCATCCACCTCCTACAGCAGTTACTCCAATGGAACCCAGCACGGCGGATAACGTCACCTCAATGCCTTCAGCATGGCTACATACAAAACCACCTGCAAGAACTGGCCCGCTTCCGCTTTGACACATCAGTAAACCCAAGTACGAGCTCTACGAGCAACATGAATCCGGCGCCAGCTGTCGGAGGTAGCAGCTTTGGCGCAGGAGCTCCAGGGTCAGTTCCAGGACAATTTTTATGGGCGGATCAAAGAACCTATAATTTTGAGCCCTAATAGGATTCGCTTGTATTTTTAGAAGGTGAACATCCGCTCATTTGAGATCTTTTGTATGAGCTGATGTTCCCCTTCTAATTATACAAGCAAATCCGCCTGGAGGACCCGGGGCAGCAAATCCGCCTGGAGGCGACCAGTCAGGCCGCCTACGTAGTGGAAACAGAGGAGGCGAATCCCAGCTGCCATCCCTTGGAGGGTCAGGCGGCCCATCAGGCCCTTCCAAACCAGCATCAGCGAGGAAGCGAGCAGATATGCCAACCTCTGGTGGAAGGACGCCAGCAACTTAAGGCTTGCCCTAATCCATCTTCCCTAAACCCTAACCAAGAGGCTTCTCAAGGGGAAAAGGCACCTCCTAGGACGCATTTCGGGAAGATGGATAAGGGTCGTGAGCTCTTCTAAGCAACGTCCTCACGCAATGGCCCGAATACGGGAGGGGCGTCTGGAAACGTTCTTAGCGGCACACAGAGCAGCTCCTTATTTGACCAGTTGTTGGACGACATACAGAATACAGGAGGAGGTTCTGGGCCTAGTACAAGGAAGAACACTGGGTCCGGCAAAGGCGGGAGGCGGTATCTCAACATGTCTCGCTACCACGCTGGAGTGCATTTGACGCCTTTGAAGACAGTTATGCACACTAGATGTTGTTGAAGTATCAATGTGATGAATGTTTACTTAGTACACGTACAGTACTGATACTCAACCAGAACCAGTATCAAAACTGCAACGCAAGTAGATCGACGATTAGGTTGATTATCAATACTTATGACCAGATGCAGATTTTTTGCAATGCGTTCTGAGTTCTCTTGGATTCCAATTTTGTGTAAGTAGTTAGGTCGTCCGCTAACACTCGTGGCACAATACCGCAATCCGGAGGAATGTCCATGCCCGCACAGCCAGGCGGCTTAGGTCCTGGCGGAGGTCTGGGGCCTAGTAGTGGTATAGGTACTAGTAGTGGTATAGGGCCTATTAGTGGTATAGGTCCCGGAGGCGGTTTGGGACCAGTTGGCGGCCTCGGACCACCGCCCGGAGGGAATGGCATGATGAGTTTTATGTCTGCGAAGAGTTTGACTTTGATTTCAAAAATGAAGATGCTTCTTTTGAATCTGAATTCCACCGACATGATTTTTTTAGTCAGATGAATCCTCCTCATCTTCTAAGATATCTGGTGCACCACCTGGAATGGGCGGTCCTTTCGGAGGTGGCGCGAAACCTAAGGCCGCGCCACTGTATTCCGGTTCGTTTGGAGGAGGGAAGGAAGACTCTCTGTCAGGCCTCCTTGGTTCTTAAGGTTTTTTTCTCAATTTACTTTCTTTGTGTGCGTGGTGCATGATCTTTGTTGAAAGGTAGAAGTATCTATGGGAGAGAAAGAAAAATCATAGGGGAATGCTTGCTCCCGTATATCTATCAAGGATGTAGCGGAAGGAGGAATTGCTGAGAGCTCTAACTTGGAGGAGGAGGAGGCCCAGCGCCGCCACCTGTAGCAGCGTATAAGCCAGGACAGTATAGTCAAACAACGCCAGGACTCCAGAGCTTGCCAGGAGCTTCGGGATCGGGATTTTCTATTATGATGAACGATCACTTCTTTATAACGGGGGGTCGACAGTCTATGTGTTGCTGAACTTTAATTTTTATTGGTTGTGATAGATCGGTGAAACTTATTAAACTCAATATCATCTACAAACTAGTACCTACTTGTCTATTTGTCCTCCATCTACATCCTCCTCTCCCTTCCTCTAAAACATCCGGCGGCGTCGCCTCCTCGTCTGTCCTTGGGGGCGGCAATCTTACAGCCGGGGCATCCACATTGAGCTACGCTCAAGGCAACATCAAGCGTCACGGAATCGTGCCACCTTTGGGGAGTAATGGAGGCCTTGGAAACGGACCAGGGATGCTCGAGAAACGAAGTAATTTTGGCGCAGCGGCAAGATCAATGTTCGGCTAGTGGCTTCGTGCAGAACTTCTTTTAGTGAGTATGAGTAGTGACTACAACTAGTCTTTTTTTGGTCTATGGCGCAGTCGACTGGAGCACTATAATAACTGCGCCTGCAAGATGAACGGGGTTTGCAGTGGATGTCGCACGTCTTCAAAATCTTGCCTAGCCGTCTATCTTTCCTAGTTAGGCTTAGGTCAAGTTACTTATTCATCTGTTTTTTGCTCAACTAAGCTACGAGTCAGATATTTATCATCAAGCGCTTAATTATCGAACGCAAGAAGTCCAGTCTTCTAGTCTGCTTGAGGTAATGAAGGATAAAAGCGGTTAATTACATCATGGTAAATTGATTTTTTTAGCAAGTCTCTCGATGTCATTGTCTTAGAACTTTCTTTTTCGCAAAATGGACTTACTCAGAACTGCCAACATCTTGGTAGCACGTAGTTTTAGATTTTTAGTCTATCTTGATTTTCTCAACGCAACAATTAGTAACGCAGAATTTTGTTCCCTATCATGCTAGGATTGAATGATAAAGCATTTCTATTTTTCGAAGGTATCATCGATGGTGATACATCTACTTACAGATCAGATAACAGATGTTTCCTATGGATCTTCTATGCTGGACTACACCATCTTGTGTCAATCTCTAAAACCTAAAATTACAAATTAGTATCTTTTCTTACGCAACAAGCTGTCCTTGTTAGGTCTCTCTTCGCTGCAGGAGTATCTATAACCCAGAGGAGTTCGTGCGCGTGGAGGTTGAGCCTTCCAGAGGCTTCATTTGACGAAAAAGTGTTCTATAGTTGCAACTTCCGCTTTGACCCTTGGGTTCCACTTTCTAGTGCTTTATTATTCTCGTGGAAGATCCCTGACGCCGAAGCCAAACAAGGTTCATGGTAGAATTGTAAGTACATGGTAGATGGATTACTTGCAGGATGCGCAGTACACAGATCAATCTTACAACTGCGCGAGTTCTTGGACGGGGGTCGTCGGCGGATCTCTTCTAGAGGGACTTCTACTTAAATGGGAACTTGTGCATCGACATCAAACTCAGGATCGAATTTTCTGTGTCCTTCTGCATTAACGGAGTTTAGAAGAGCTTACTTGCTAAGTCGTCATCTGTCTCCAAGCAATTCCTTGATTCTTTCTTACAACTGCATTTGAGACCACTAGACGAGGCGGGCTAGAAGATAAAAAGTATTATCTTACGCGTTAGCTGCACCTTCCCTGTGACTCAACGTCCAAACTACAGATCAAGCAAAACAACAATGTCGTTTTTAGTATCCTCTCTTGCGCGTTACGGCAGACGGCCTTTGCAATCAGTGGTGTCACAGTCGTCCAGTTCGCGGCTGCGAACCTCACCAGCGCTGACAGCAAGAATACCAAGAGCAAGATGTTTGGAGGAAAGAAGGTATATTGGATGAATGATTTATTGATGTTACTTAGGCTTTTTTGGAAAACTATTGATCTGTTGATGGAACAATTCGATTTGCCTCTATAACAAAACACAAAACCAAGAATGATCTATCACTATATCAGGAGTTTCTCGAGTGCTGCGGCACAGCAAATGGCAGCAGCAGGACCAGAAAGTGGCGCAGGAGGAGCAGCAGCGACACCAGGTATTTTCGATTCTAAATTAGCACAACATCATTTTATGGATTCTTATCCGGATGATTGACGCAGCCATCTTGTCGTTTTACCAACAATGTCGTCACACTTATGATACTATTCCATATCCATCAGCTGACGCTAGCGCAAGTGCAGCAGCAGAAGCCAGTGAAGCAGGTGCATCAAGCGAGGCAAGTCCAGAGGCAACATTACGGCGGAGTTTGAGTCGATCTTAATCTTCTACATCAGCTTATCATTTGCCTGTTCAAAACCTATGTATAATGCCAACATTGAAGTGCTTATGTTTTCCCAAGAAATTCAAAGTCACAAATTTCGAAAACTCAAAATAAGCGAGTTACTGACTGAAATAAGGGAGGTAGCTTAACATCAAGGCTACTCTTCCTTCTCATCAGTATCTCGGTTATTCTCGTCTGTTACTCGCTTATTTTAGTAACCAATTGATTCATGCCCCGACAAAGACCCCCTCCCCTTCATCCCAGAACTACGCCACTCCACTCTATCCTCTCTAATCCCAAAAGAGAGCGAGCAACTCGCAGAATTACTCTCCAAAAACGAAGAGTTAGTGGAAAAAGCGGAAGAATTGAAGACGAAATTGAGGTACAACATGGCCGACGCAGAGAATGCTAGAAAGCGACACTTAGTGGAATTGGAGCAGGCGAAGACGTACGCAATATCCAAATTCGCCAAGGACATGGTGGAAGTTGCCGACAATTTGCAGCGAGCGTTGGAGAGTGTATTTGTGTTTGGTTTCGCTTCTAAGACTAGAAGATCTTGTTCAGTGTTCTTATTCTTCATGAAGATCCTTCTTTTTTGTCCTCGAGGTGTTTTTATTTGTGGCACTTGATTCGCAGGCATAGAAAAAAAAACACAACAGTCGCTTTATCTCTTTATCTTCACAATCACAACACACTAGAAATATCATTAATGCCTTGCTCATCTTCTTTATTTCAGGTACCAGCGGCAGACGCATCAGTAGACAGGAATGCGGAGGAAGATCTGACGAAGCTGTCTGAGGGCGTCAAATTGACTGACGACATCCTGTTGAAGACCTTCGCGAAATACGGGATCGAGAAGATACAGCCGATGGGGGAGAAGTTCAACCCGAACTTTCACGAGGCAATGTTTCATTATGGATTCATCTTGATCATTTAGATATATCACAAGTAAAAATGTCTTTTTATTCTGCTTGTTGTACTTGTACTTGCATCAGAGACTCACATCCTCAGGCACTACTTGCATTAGAGAAGTGAAGTAAGCCTTTTTTCCCCACCTCTAATGCCTGCTCGACAGCGAGGAACCGAAGGATACAGTGGTCTCTGTGATGCAGAATGGTTGGAAGATCAAGGATCGGATGCTCAGAGCAGCTCGTGTGGGGACGAGTAAGGGATCGGCACCTCAATAAAAACATAGAATACCCAAACATTAGCATTTTTGATTGCCATCTCAGAATGCCGTGTTTCCTAGTTTCTTGTTCTTGCCACTTTCTATCACGACTAAGTAGATGATTTTTTTTGTTGATATCTATGCATGAAGATTCATTTTTTGTCAATTATACACATCTTCTCGATCTCAAACACGAAACTATGCATTGTTAATACACTTGAAGCACTTGATATGAATTTGCGCAGCGGGGAAAGGAACTTCATTTTGTGCAAACATCCTCCTCATGTTCCTCCCATATGAAGATACCCAACGGGAACCCTGCTCCCACAATCTGATCTCCGCGTACCCCGCTTGAGTCCTAAACTCCATAGGCGAACCCAACCCCCTATTCTCAACAACTACAACGCAACTATATCAAAATCAATCAATGGACACTGTGTCACGCACATCATGTACTAAAAAGGCTCGATAGTTTATTTTACAGCAGAGCGCGCCTTGTGAATCCACCCTACCAGTTGGCGTGAACCTGTTCTCTTCCTTGATCTTTTTCGCTTTGGACGATAGGAAGATATGTTTCTGCTGACAAGTTTATGTCAAAAGGCTCAGAGACGAGCGAGGTTCCAGGTGACGTCCTAGGTCTTGTTGAAAGTATACTCTGACTAGTACGTGAATGATCACCTGGCGAAAAAAGGGAGCCACAATCTACCTAAATAATACATACCAGGAAGCGACAATCACAATCGCTTATAGGTACGTTTTTACGTAGCATGAGCAGTCAACATTTTCAAACTCTCAATATCGGGAACGCAACCAAAACTATCGATCATTACTGCGTCCCTCTACTAAAAACTCTCCATTAGCTACAACTGAGGACAGATTTTCAAAAATCAGAATGGAAGTGTTTCCACCGGATGCTGCTTGGGCATCTGCGTACAGTCCACTGGGTGCGTCAACGCGTCTGCAATGGCTCTTGTCTGGGCGGCCGGGTGGTAAATCTGAAGAGGTGGATCCAGCTTCGACATCAAGAACGGCACAACCTGTAGTAGAAGACAGAAGCGAGCGGACCGCAGTCGCGCGGTTACTGCTACGTGTCTTGGTAAATGGGACTAGGGATTTGCGAGCTTATACGACCATTTCCACCGAGTTTCCAGAACTTGTAACCGCAGAGTCAGAAAATTGGGCTGCCTCAGCTAAGGAGCAGAGTACGACTAGAACTGGAACGGACGCCGCACAGAACAAGGCAACATCAACGGCAGAACAACTTGTTGAATCTGGAGAGTATAGTGAGGCTGCGCTTTTACTCGTAGGGAAAAGCAGCGCAACAAGCAGTACCAGCACGAATACTTCCAATTATAGCGCGGCTAATGGCGCACATTTTGGCTATTCGATTCCAACCACAACGGTACCATCTTCAAAATTGCTTGCGCTTTTGCTCTGGTTAGGCCGTTATGAAGACGTTGCTCGACATCAAGCTTCGACTGCGAATTCGTCAGTGGATGTCTCCTGCGCTGTTGGCATCGCGCACTTGGCTACAGTTAAGTGAGTCGACAAGAAAGTCCATAACCCATATGAAGCAATATCAACCACACTCTGTATTTCTATTTGTGTTTCCGAATTATGAAAAGTATTCTTTGATTAAATATGAGGTACCTCAACACTCAGTGTTGTACCCTTTCTAACTGCAGCAGATACAAGGAAGCGAAACAGAATTTCGAGAAAGTGAAGCCAGAACAATTGAAGTCCTGTCTTGAGAACGCAAGTGCGACGGCAGTTAAGGATCATGCTTAGATTTTCACTGCTTCTTCTGCTTGAGTGAAAGATCACTGAGATTGTGAAGTTGAATCCGGATAGTTTTGTAGACTCCGCGCTAGAATCGGCCTAAATCCAAAGCTCCGTAGTGGTCATAAGTACTCGCACAAAAAGTTACCGCAATCTTCATGGTCCAAACCAAGACTGCGACTGTGACGAGCCTCTAACACGCCCGATGGAACGCGAGAAGCTGCAGCATCGACGGGAGGTAGTTTGTTATAGTATATTGTAATGAAAAATCTCTCTGGCTGTGGGCGTGGCTGCTGGTTCTTTTTTAACGAGGTTATTTATTGAAGAAATAGGTTGTAGTTCTCGTCTTCGTGATTCCTAAATCGATGATCATCCACTACTTTCATCGTGCTATGAAATCCACACTATTCCAGATATTGCTAGCCGAGGAGACATTGCGCTGTATCTCTTTTTGAGCTGCCTTGCTACTTCGCTCGAAAACAATTTAAGGCAAGGAAGTCCAATTTTTCACGCCGAGAAGATTTCCACAACAAGCTAGAGATGAAGAATAGTATGTTGGTAGAGAAGACCCGCATTTAATTGGGGCATTTCTCTAGTGTACTAACTTGTATTCATCCACATCCTCTCTCCACCTGCTGGTCCTAGAGTATAAAAAACCGTTAAAGTAGAACAAGCATACGAAAACCAAGCTCTAAATCCTACCACAATTGCTACGTCCTCAGCGGCATTAGGCGACATGTCAGCAGCGTGGGGAGCAGCAGTGGGACGCGAGCTGCCAGAGGTGAGTGCTTCTTTGAACTGCAAGAACACAGCAAGTAGTAGTGTTGATGTAGAAATGACCGAAGCCGAAGCGGACGCTTCATCCAACATGGAAGCTTTAGGGAGATCTAGATCTTCGACGCAGGTGGCTGAAAACGTAGCGAGTGTCCTATGCTTAAGGGTAAGGGAATAGCATCTCCAAAGTCATCTGGAAGCAAGATGAAGGCAAGAAGAAAAAAGCACTCAGATGAATTCTGAGATGCATTTCCTACCCCTCTAATATACCGAATCGGTATGAGGGATCCCCACATATCCGGAATCCTTCCGTCCTTGCTCCAGTCTTTCCAGCGCAAGGAGTTGATCCATTTCGTGACGCCCTACTCGGTCGTACGACTAGCCACGCTGAAGCCTTTCGCAGTATACCAAGACGTCGAGCTCGAGAATAATCTTCTAGGTGTTTCAAGACCACCGGCACGACAACAACAACATGATGAGAAGCAGGGAGACGGCACAGCAAAGAAGGGAAGTCAACAATCTCAAGATGCAAAGGATGCAGAACTTGAGTTGCTGCGAGACTGGGCTACGCGACCCTTTGGTGATGAAACTACCAATGTCCTTGCTTCATCAGAAAGCAATTTACAAGAGCAGCTTGCTAGAGTTCTTCACTCGATGGAATGCAGTGGCCGCATCGACGAAGAGGAGGGTGTTTTTAAGAGCAACTTACATGGTGAAAGTGAGAGTGAGATGAATGTTGTACTTATTAGATAAAGCAAGTGACTATTCAGTCACACACATATTGAGTACTTATTTCTATTTCTATTTTTATTGTACGTACTCGGATAAGAACTCAGATAGAATTGTGTTTCGCATGATATCCATCTAAGATCCAGTAGCACCTTTTCCGAACAGAAAAATAAAAATCGAGGCCCTTGGTCTAACACTGATTTTATTGTCCGCACTCCTATTCGTAATCCGCATTCTCCTCTAAGAATGTGCGTCGACTTGAGGGCGAACCTACTGACAACACTAAAATCGCTCGCGTGCATCGGGCTTTGCATCAGCTGTCGAACCGTGCCGAATTTCTGCTGCGCCAGGTACTACAATTCTACTTGCAAATCAGCTCCACCCATTGCCGCTACACTCCAGGTGAAGATGCCTCCTTATTGACGATGAAATCACACACATACACAACTTAACTTCTAAGATAGATCGTGATAAGCTGCGTACCAAGAAGCCGTGGAGATGCTACTTACTCACTCGTTCTCTTCAGAACTCATATTTACATATACATATCTATTTATTAGTATTACACTTTCCTCATTATGACACTCAAGATCTCATGTTACACTGAATTCTGACTCGCCAAAACTCATTCTGACTCGCCAGGTAGAGAATCCTGAAAAGGGTAGGATGTTGACTGCAGAAACGTCGAGTCGGAAGCGGGCTGGTGGAGCATCTTCAGCGGTCGAGACTGAGTCTCTCCTAGCAGCTGGCAAGTACGAAACGATGGAGGATGTAGTTTTCTGAAGACGAAGTAGATCTAGAAGATTTACTATTGCTTGAAGGAAAAGTTGTGGTGGGAGAAACAAGCTTTATGGTGCAAGCTCAGGATTTGGGAAAATATGAATAAAATGAACAAGTTGTCATGATGACCTTTCTATTTCAAGAATGATGCCATTGTCAGCGTCTATTGTTCAGATGAAAATAAGTTGTCAGTGGAGAAGGAGTGATGGGTTTTTTAGGGTAGACTGACTCAGCAAGCAGTGTGGAGGAGGAGAAGCACTCAGCAAGCAAAAGTGATGGGTCAGACGTAAAGAAAGCGAGTGCACGAAAGACAATGGCGAGATAAAGAGTAGATGTTCAGGATGAAATTGTGTTCTGAGAAGATGAACTGAGAACCTGTTTTTCCTCCTTCGTTGCTCCTCAACAACAGTCGACGGGTCGTGTCAGCAAGTCGTGAACGAGTGTGTCTGTCACTTAGGCAAAGTTGTATGGTTGTCAGCATCTTCAAGGAGAGAAGGATCGCAAAAAGATGTGAACGATCGCAATCGAGGTAGTGGCGGCTTGAACATAAGACGCTAAACCACGTTTTCACCACTGTCTCCTTAGGGAATTCTGATTTCTTTTCGGACATGAAAAGATTATATTGAGTATTCTCCAACAAGTCCTCGTCCTGATCCTGTCTTTACAAGTGATAGACAGTAAGATATTGAGTATTGTGAATTTAAGTCCTCTTCACTGAGTGACAGTAAAGATGCGCGCTTGCCGGCTTCTGCTTCCGTGTATGGCGACTTGCGGGGTTTTGGCGTTGTCAGAAACGAAAAAGCAGCATGCTCTCGCTGTGGACGTGGATGGGGAGACCACCAACGTGACTCCGCCAAATAACAAACCGATGTTTGACATCCCTTTCCTGATGCCGCAATCAGTGCCATACGACAAGGATGAGGGGGCGGCGCCGTTTTCGGGGGGAGGGGTAATACTAGTACAAATAGTAGATTGGTGGATAGTAGATTTGAAATAGAATGTGGTTCCAAGTTCTCTTCAAGGTGATTGATTCGTAGGTAAGCAAAGAAGCTCGCATTGGTGACTTCATCTTTGTTTACCAGATACTATTCAGCATCATGCTCATGCTCATCTGTTAGCCTTAGCACAAAGTTTTAATGTTAAAGAACATCTTTACGCTTCATCCTCCAACGCTTAGGCTCGCGTGAGTGCCAGCTCAAGTTTTGTGGAGACGTCGCGGCGTCAAGCCACGGCATCAGCCCAAGGCTCGTCAACCGTTCCTTCGGGTGTCATATGCCAACCCCGGTATCCTCAAGTATGCACATTATACGAAGAGGACAGCACCACTGGAGACAACTTAATGTGCTTGCACAAATACTCCGGTTCTTCCAGCTTGAAGCGTACGGATTTTAACCGAGAAGACTGCTACAAGATGATTAAGAGTCCATGTTTTTTTTTCACTTTTCATCGACCGAACATAGTCAGAATCTCTGCAATTAGGCATTTGCGTATGCACTTTTTGCATAATTTAATGATAATCATGATAATTAGGCGTGACGTGTATAATGGTCGGCCATGTCTGATTATGATCTGAACCCTCTAACGTGGCAACCGTCCAGAATTGTCTGGAAACATATCGTCAGGACGAGTGCAAAATAGAACGCGGGGGAGATGGGTAAACTTCCAACACTAAGATGCTAATTAAGTAAGATCTTGAAACCTTCAACGCCTCAGCAGGAGGCCGCGCGAGATCCGTAGAACTGTTCAGTGCGCCAGTTAAAAGGCCTGTAGACTAATGGCCACCAGGACGGAGCTCCATGGATCAGCATAAGAAGGCGAAGGACCTTCTGGGGCGGCTGTTCCGCTCTAGGTCCTTCGCGTGGCTAAGTAAGTAGGTAGAAACTTTGGGTCAAGGATACAGGTGGCCGATCATTTCTAGGATTTATCTTTATGCACCTGGTTCAAGTTGTTGGATCTCCAAGGGGATGCAAGTTCTCAAAACTTGCGTTCGTATGAGAGGCAGACTCGACGATGACCATCAAAAGCCACCGGCTTCCCATGCTTTCTTACTTTTTCTTGCTGCCGTTTGGCTCAAGACTTCGGTCAGGATTTTATTGCTTTGAGTGGCGTGGTGGTGCGTAAAGCTCCTCGCGTGGAGTAGCGTCGCTGATTGTTCTCGCCCCCGCTTTCTCTGCGTCATAAAACATATTTCAAGAAAACGATAGCGGTAGGCGTCGCAAGTGGTGGACCCCCGTGGCAAATGGCCGAGGTTGGGTCATAAAAGTCCTTCCTTGCGTGTCCCGCGTGGTTTTTGTATGGTTTAGATATAGCGGAGAGCTTTCGAGCTTTTTTGGGGTGAGTTGCGCTCTCTTAAAACAGAACAGAACCCCAAAACTTGTGGTTAAGAAATCATGAACCGCAGCGCCCTGAAGATCCTAAATTACTAACTTCTGAAAGTTCTCAAACTTGGCTCAAGTGGTTCGCCAGGAGGTTGGAGGGCAATAAATTTATTAACTTTATTTACATCTTCATGGTGGTTCGGATGATCAATGTGATTTCTTTTAAGGAATCTCGTGCGGGTCATGCAAATTCGTCCAAATTTGCACGACCTCCCCGAAGAATTTGAAAAAATCTGACGACTTTCATAGATCTGCATGGGGTTCCGTCTTTGCAGTTAATTAGTTTTCTCCTCTCCTTTTTCCTATTAGCCACTTGGAAGCAAGAGGTCGTAGCGGCTTTCTCATTTCTCCTTCTCATGTCGAGCCATTTTGGCTCAAAATTCGAAACCGTTTAGACAGGACTTGAAAGCGGGCTCGGCCTAATTGCGTTTGATATGAGATTCGAAACATGACAACGCAACTCGAGTTACCTCAAGAGAACCCCAGCTATCCCCTTTTCTTGAGCGTGTGCGCTTTTTTCGTGGTAGTAATTTGCGGCCCGGGAGGCTGCAATGAAAAATATTCTTTCACTTTGGTGAAGAGCCTGAGCATAAATCTTGCTCAATTTCATATCCCCGACCCCCTAGAGCTCGGAATAGTGTAGAACAAAAAATGGCGCCGCAAAGCCAAGAAAACGAAGGGGAACGGCCCCCCCACGACGCTCAAGGAGGAGCGGCAGAGGGTGCCGAAGCTCAACACGGTGGGCAGCAGCCGGCCTGCGCTTCCTCTGCAACGTCTTCCGGGCATATTTTTGACGTGACTCGGCGCCGATTTCGTCGCGATGGAACTCGTTTTGAGCATTCGCAAGAGCTACCCACGGCTGAGGAGGTCGAGCCTTCGGAATCGAGTGTCGGCGCAGCGAGTGCCGGCGCCGAGTCGTATCGTTTGGAAAAGAGCCTGGGGAACGTGCTGTGGCGGCAGGAGAAGCAGCCGGGCACGCCGTAAAAGCGGCTGGAAGCTTCCCCCAGGGATTTTATGCCACGTTGACCAAGGAGGAGCCGCAAGGACAACCGCCACCGCGGCGCCAGCAAGCTGCGGCAACTGCCTTCGATCACACACCGGGCGAGGCGGATGAGCACTTCAGCGAGCGCTACAACCGTCAAACAAGCCCGCTTTTCACGCCGGAGCGTGATGGCCGGAATTTGATGGAGGGAAGTGCCTTGCGTCTTGGTATGCATCAGGAGCAGCAACAAGAAGAGCGGCGTGAAGACTTGCAACCGGCCGCAGCGCCGGGATGCATGACACGAACAACCGACGAAAAGCCTTTGGCCGTCGTCTTTTGGGCCGACTCGTAACCTGTTCTCTATGCCGACCGGAGACGCCGGCGCGGGTCTCTCCGATGTCTTTACGAGCATGGGAAAACGAGCCGAGGCAGCGTTCTTTGAGAAGGAGCCGAAAGCGCCGCGCCCCTTCTGCGCCGAGGATCAGGAAGAACGCCGCCCCGGAAGCGAAGCGGTCTTCTTCACCAATTCCCAACAGCCCGCGAAACGCTACAGAGAGCCGCAGAACAAGAACAGCGCTCCTACCATCCGCCGGGAATGATGGACATGGGGCAGCAGCACGAAGAGCAGTCCAAGAAGCAAGAGCAAGGGGACGGATTTGAGCAGGATCAACAGCGCACGCACCTGGGCGAGCACTTCAACAAGATGCAGCAGAAGCAGAAACGAGGCAGCAAGTTGCAACACGGAAAAACCACCACGAAGAAGCCGCCTTCGGTTGGCTTCCAGTTGCCTCCAAGGTGGACTTCTGAAATCGTTCGGGAGCTCGACGAAGTGCCGGGCGCTTTGCCTGATATTGCTCGCACCATCGACAGCACCGGAAAAGCCGGCGAAATTGTTTGGGCTGGCTTAAAATGTGGGGACTTCTCGGGCTTAGCTCGGGAGCACATCAAGGAAAAAGCTCGGAAAGCCGTTTCGCGCGTTTATGGCTCTGGAAGTGTTCGCGTGGAGTTGCGTGCCGGTTCGTTGATCGCAGACTCGCTTCGAGGAGATCCGCGCGACTCGTCTGCAGCAGTTGAGGTTGACGGAGATGGGCGGCAACGAGGTGGCAGCAACTTGCGTTCGCTGGTGCAGCTACTGGCCGCGGCAATGAAAGACGCAGGAAACGAAATGGCAGCAGTGGAGCTCTCGCAGAACCTCACCTGTCGCGACTTAAGTTAAAAGCGGCCAGACAGGCGGAAGCGGTGTCGGAGACTGTGGAAAACCGTCAGCCGCTGAAACAGTACCAGGCGGAAAAGATGCCGCGGCGCGCTTGGGACGGCATGCAGCTTGGGGACGTCGCCAACGGCATTAGAAAGCGCATCGCCAGAACGCTTGCGAACTTCGACGCGGTACGAGATTCCGAAGGGGTTTACCACGCTGCTTTCGATGACTTCGCCGACCAACTTCGTCACGAATTCGGCGCCACAAACCACGTCGCGACCATCTCCACACTGGCGGGGCTTTTGAGCGCAGGCAAGTACACGACCGCAGGGAAGAAGCAGGGCGCGGCCCTCGTTGCCTTCGTGAGTTCTTATCGTGTCCACTTCGAAAGGCTCATGGAGGAACGCAGAGAAACCGGCAGCACGTTTGTCACCTTGTCAGATGTCGCTGGCAGCGACATCGAGCGCAAGAACATGGCGAACAATTTGAAGTAGGTACCGCAGCGGCTTACTGATTTGGATCGTGACCAAGACCGGCGACTACTCTACGCTGAAGCGCTTCGAAGCAGAAAACGCCGCCGGAAGTGTTGGGCTTTATTTTTTAAAACGGCACAGGGGAGGCCAGGAGGGTTTCTTTTTTATTAGTTCCCGCTGATTGGTGGCGGGCTCGTGGTTGGAGTAGGTTGGGAAGGAGTTCAGGCCGGCTCTTGGTCTTGTGTCTGGCGTGTGTGCGGGGCAGGGGTCTTGGAGGCGTTGGGGAGGGTGCGTAGCCTGGCCTTGTTTGGCTTGCTTGCTCGTGCTCGAGCAGTCGCTCCCGGGGTTTCGTTTGCTGCTGCGTTGGGCCCTTTGTGTTGCTCTGACTGGGGCCGGCTCGATCGTCTTCGTGAAGGTTTGCCCTCAGTTTCGACGGAGCTCGCCTGCGTAGGTTGCTGCGGGTGTCTGCTTTGGGAAAGTTTTCAAAATATAAAACCTGCCCAAAACCAAAAGGCTCGGGTCTTTCTGTCTGTGGGTTCTGTGGTAGGCTATGCGTAAGGGCTTCCAGGCCCTTGAAAGTTTTTGGCTTTTTGCAGTTTTTTTGCCAGAATGTCGCGCGTTTTTTTGGCTTTTTTTTTCATGCGAAAACTTCTTGGGGAAAGTCTTGAGCTTTTTGCGGAAGTAGAAAAAAGGGCAGAAGCCTTTGGGCCTTTTCTTGTCATTTTGAAGCCCAGGAGGGTTCGGCGGGTGAAGTGCGGCGGCCGGTTCTCTGGTGTTGTGGGTTGGTCCTCTGTCGTATCCGAGCAGGGTGGGACGTGTTGCACCTGGTTAGGAAAGGGCGGAGGCTCGCAGGAGTTGACTTGAGAGGGCTGACCGGCCCGCGGGAGTTGGGTTTCTGACTCTTTTTGGGGTTGTTTTGGTGGGCTTGTGCTTGTGGGTGCAGGCTAAAAAATGAAAAAAAGTCCGCGCATTTTTGAAGGGCGGGCTCATTTCGAGGCGCTTCGGGATAGAGACTACTTCGGGGACCGCGGAGACACGCTTGGGCTTGAGGAGCAGCCCTTGCAGGCAATCCTATGTCGAATTGCGATCACCGGCCAAGCAGAGCAAGCGAAACAGCAGCAGCAGCGCCCCGCCGGCATTCCGCCGGAAGCAACGCCGCGAACACTAACAGGAAACCGAAACGAAGAGAGCAAGTCGGGAGCGATGACCCCGCGGGCAGTGTTAGAAGAGCAGAACAGGCACACGACAACGCAGACGCAAGCAACGACCTGGAAGCAAGGAGTGAGACCGGAAGGAGCAGCGTGCGGCGGGGACCATAGATACACCAGACCAACCGCGCAAAGTTCAGCAAGCGCGTAAACGCCATCGAGCGGCGCGCCGGAGCCTTGCACGCAGTAGGTTTCTGCCGCTATTCTTGCCAGAAGCACCACGCACAAGACCACCGGAGACCCCGCCGGCATCCTCTGCCCCGACAAGATTGCCGCCGGGGATTGACGTGAGGGGAATGGTCTGCGCTGTAACATGGTTTGCGCCCCGTATGAGCACCGAGAAGATTTGACCGAGATGCCTACGCGTCGTCTCGGTGCAATGAACAGCGAGCAGCAAGACCAAGAGCCGCAACAAGTGCAAGCGCAAGAGCAGAAAGGAAGCCGACGGGCAGACAGCAACAGAGCAGCAACAGAAACAGCAAGGCGACAAGCTCTACGGCGAAGCAGATGCAGAAGGTTGGCAAAAGGTTTCGGCAGGTGCGCAAGGAAAGTGGAGAGCGAGTGGGAAGGGCTTTAAGGCGATGGACAGCCTGAAGGCGCCCGCGGCGGTTTTTCTGCATATCGCCGAAGACGAGCTGAAAAGGTACGCAGGTGGAGCGGCGACTGATAGCCGTCATGAGTGGCGTCCCGTCTTTTTCGAACCTCGTGAGCTGCTTGCCTTCACGTTAAAAGTTTGCACAGCATACGCGGAGCAGCAAGGAGCGTTCGCGGAAGTCGACGCGGCTTCGGGTTCGTTGAAGTTCTCGCGCGCGTTAACGTTTGAAGAGGTTTTCGAGATTCGCAACGCAGAAACCGGAGATGAGAAAGAGTTCAGAACGAAGACGCAGGGCCGCCGGCTGTGGGTTCTTTTAAACAGCTGAAGGAAACGAGAAAGCCGCTGACCCCGTTGGGCGTACCGTAGTGCACGTTGAAGGGGCTGCAGTTGAAGCTTTCTTCGATGGTTGTTGTTTGGTAGGAGCTGAGGAAGAGGGTCAGAATCTGATCGATGAGGCCTTCTTTGAACAACTTCGAAAGCGCAGCCCTGACGCAGTTCGCAATCTTCGCGAAGTTGGTAGAGACGTAGGCCAGCTACTTAGGAGCCGCAGCACACCAAGTTCCGTACGTTCGTCGGCGTGTCGAAGTCCTCACCACAGTCGCCGAAAGCAGCAGTCTATGCGGACTCCTTTCGCGGTGGGTCCGTGGCGGTGTGTTGGTGACAGCGTGGCGTCTGGCCTTCGTTATTTCGATGAGGTGCTCGGAGTGAAGTACGAGCTGAAGGCGCTGAACCTCACGAAACTCATCCTCTCAACCCCGAGAGGAGTGGGAAACTACGACGGAGCCCCATGGATCAGCATAAGAAGGCGAAGGACCTTCTGTGGCGGCTGTTCCGCTCTAGGTCCTTCGCGTGGGTAAGTAAGTAGGCAGAAACTTTGGGCCAAGGATAGAAATGGCCGGCCATTTCTAGGACTTATCTTCACGCACCTGGTAGAATTACAAGAAAAAAGCCCCCAGTTGGCGCACCGTAACGATTTGAAACGAAAAGAGACCCACGCCAGCGCAACGACAGGAGCACCGACCCACCGCGGCCCCGCTTGCGCTGCGCCTCATCTGTTACGCCGCCCGAACTCAGTCAGTTTCGTGATAGAGTACCAAGCTGGGCCATTTGGCATGCCCACGCGCAACACATCGCAAACAAACAGCCCCCACACTATGAAGAAACCACAGCAAGCTAACCAGCCGAGCCACTGCGGGCGGCTATGATCATCACCCAACCACAGCAGACAGAAAATCCGAACCACCCCCGGAGCAAACTGACGCTCGTCATGGGCTTTAAACCAGCCACACCTGTGCACTCCGCGCAGCTCGCCGCCGCCCGCCTGCTGGCTGCTCGCTGGTAGCTGGCTTGGAGATCTCACCCGGCTCGTCATCATGTGGCTGGCCGCTGCTCTTCATCCCTCGACACGTCCCGGCGTGGCGTCCGCTGGGGCTTTGCCCCAGCATCTGCGCTCCCGTGATTTCATCTGCCGCATGTGTGTCCAATTCTGCTCGCTGCCAGGAATTCACGCGCGCGCCCAGTCTGTCGCCCTCTCGAAGCTTGTCAGGTGGCGCGTGTTGTTGAGTTTATCAAAGCAAGCGCTGCGCGGCGGTGAGGGGCGTCCGCCATCCACGCGGGCCCCAGCGAGCTCAAGGGGCTGGCTGGGAACTGTGCTGAGGTGAAACCGCCCACCTCGCCGAGAAGTGTCAGCCTGCCAAGCCTCCAGCTTCCGCGACGAGAGGACGCCTCGCCGTCTTCGTCTCTTGCTGCTCCTTCTGTTGACTCTTGGCCCGCGAAAGAGGTTCGTCTGTGGCTTCCTTGCGGGCAGCAAAACAGTGGAGCGCCATGTCAGTCCGGCAGGGGGGTCCCAAACGCGTAACACGAAACAAAATTTTTTTTTTCGTTTTGTGTTATTTTATATTTTTAAGGGGGGCGCCGGTGTGTTTCAAATCGTTACAAATCGTTACAAATCGTTACAAATGATTACAAATGATTACATCTGAACTACATCTGATTTACATCAGATTACCATCTGATTACCATCTGATTACAAAACAAAACTTTTTTCGGAAAAGTTTTGCTTCGTAATCAGAGGAACTTTCAGACGGGTCAGACGGTTCGCGCGCGTTGTTGATCCAAAAAAAAGCCCGGATGGATCACCAGACGACGACCCGAGAAGAGCACCCCAACCCAAGGCGCGCCCACTTTCTGTAGCCTACAACTTTGCTGAAGCGTAGGCCTAAGCGTGAAGATGTGCCTTGCCCAGGTCTGCTCCGAGCTTGCCACCCGAAGAGGAAGGCAAGCCTTTCCCTGGCTTGAAGGCGGGACGCCAAAGGCAGCCCGCTGCAATCCAGGAGAGCTTGGGGGCGAGCACCACTCTCCACCGCCAGCAAGATGCGACAGACCTGGAGGAAGGCCTCTCCTTGAGGGGCCAGCGGCGGGTCGTGACGTCTGGGATGCTTGAGGTGGCTGGCATCTCCGAACAAAGGCGCACACGGTGGGAGACAGACACACACTGACGCACAGGAGAGGGACCTTGGTGACAAGCGCCCCCGCGTCAGGTCCAGTTCTCAGTTCTGCTTGCCTCTAAATATCGACATGCCGCGAGCCCTTCAGCAGGCCACACACACCCAGCACCAGGGTAGCGCATGATCACAAGAGCCCTGGGGCAACGACTGCAAGCCCATGCAAAGGAGAAGCCCTCAGCCAACGCCATCCGCAAAACATGACCACGCGCCCCCGATGGCGTGCAGCCAAAGCGAGGCGCCGCGCCCATGGGGTCCCGGCGTCAGCGGTCGCCTGTCTTCAAGAAAGTGACAAGCGCGCGCACCTCCTAGCGCCAGCCCTTGCTTGGCAGCTTGGGGAGGCTCCACCCGGAGGCGGAGAAGCGCAGCCTTTTCACAAGTAGCAGCCCGTGGCGGCGAGGGTTCGGCTCTTGTTTGGTGTGTAATCGGTAGAAAATCGAGCAAAGACCTTTGCCTCTTTTGGTTTCAAATGATTACGGGGCAGGTTCTGGGCAGGTTTTTTTTGTAATAGAAGTTGTTGGATGTTCAAGGGGATGCAAGTTCTCAAGAGTTGCGTTCGTATGAAAAGCAGACTCGACGATGACCATCAAAAACCACTGACTTCCGTGCTTTCTCCCTTTGTCTTGCTGCCGTTTGGCTCAAGACTTCGATCCGGATTTTATTGGATTGGAGTGGCGTGGTGATGCGTAAAGCTGCTAGTACGGAGTGGCGTCACTGATTGTGTTGGTCATGTATGGCTCAAGCCTCTCGGATGCCGTGTTGTTCTGTTCTCAGTGGCTCAAACTAAGCCTTGTGTTCGACTGTCATCGGGATGATCTCAAAGGACATGAATGCCAATGATCATGAACGCTACTTCCAATGCTCATTCATAGTGATCAACGGATAGACTAGGTATGGTTTTCCTGATCCTAGTCGTATGATGCATGTTCAGTCCGGTCCCTTCTGACATGCTTACGTTGATGATGGATGCCTCATCTTACCCAATGAACCAAACAGGGACTACACCAGCCAGTGATCATAAGTCACAGGCAGGCATACTGAGATTTGCTTGCTTTCAAGATTCAAGCCTTGTGTTACCACTGAGAAACGAACTTGGCGCGGAGGCCTGTGTTCTTGTGGTCCAACAGATTGCCCTTTCCCCCGTTTTCCCTGCGTTATATATTAATTTCAATAAAACGATATCGGTAGGCGCCCAGCAAGCGGCTTTCTGCCCCGCATCGTTCGCAACCCATGCTGTGCGCTGTCGGAAAGGGGAAAAAAGGGTATCTATGTATAATGCATTCCATCTTTTTCGTCCGATGTATAACTGACTGAAAGATGTTGATAAGCAGATAGCCTCCTTTTATGCACATGCCTTATGCGCTACTCCGATCCTCTGCGTTGCCACTCTACTTTGTGATAGATCAGAAAAACGGATGAAGCAAATCGTCTCTATCCATATCACCAAATCCAGAAAGCAGCGCTCAAGAGAGGCTAAAAAAAATGCGCAATATGGAAGCTCTCAAGGAGATTGACAGGAAGACGAAAGAGATGGAAAGCCAGTTCAACCGTGTGCAAAGCGATGACCAATTCAAGCCCAAAATGCAGGCGATTTTCGAGCCGTTGAAATCGCTTCAAGGTGGTAGAGGAGGGCTTTTTGACATTGAGCCGGTTGAGAATCCTCTAAAGCAAGCAGAAGCGAAGTCGCTTGAAGGCGAAGATTATGGCTAGTATTGTTGAGAAACGGGAAAAATTAGCGGCCATGGTATACTGTCCTAAGATCATGAGTCGCAGATGCATGATAGGTTGTCGTAAATCCATGATCTCGTATGTTTAAATTATGAGAGCACGCTAACAAGAAAAGTTAAACATCATCGACTCTAATTACTACGCAGTAAACTCGTGGATATCGCATTCAATGGCCTTGACGCTTGGGAGGCCCGCATAGAAGAAGAGAAGAAGCATCAAGATGAGGCATTTGAAAAGGCCAAGGCGCTGGGTAACGAGTGGGCGAGCGGGAAGATCAAAGCCGCGCAAGAAAAGCTGGATATGGGGGCCGCGGGTCGAGGTTACGGCTCTTGATAATTTTCATTCTCCAGTCCGATCTCGTCACGAGTCCAGTGGCTTCGTTTGCGACTTAGCTGCTAGTACTTTAGTTTCACCATACGGATATGGACGGGGGACTCAGCTTGTTAGAAGCAGTCTCAAACTTTTTTTGCGAGACGTTCATTTGTGCGTACTTGAGCGCTCTAACAGAAAGGTGCTGGCAAAAAGAGGGCTGTATCTCTAATAGTGCTTTGGTTTACTTCCGTGTAACTGCCCTAGAAGTCTGAAAACTTACTGCGAGAATTGTCTTATTTACATTTGCGTGATCTAACTACAAAATGCTGCCGCAGTCAGGCTTCAAGGATACCTCGATCGCGCCACAACCGGGATGCAGAACGGAGATTACGATGGAGTTGGATTGGAGATCGATGACTTCACGAGATATCTCAAACGAGTTGGAAACGGAAGCCCAAGCCAGTAAGTCCTGTCGTTGAATGAAAACCATCTTCGCTGGAATACATGTAGTCGTATTTGCGGTGATGGAACTAAAGCTCAAGAAAAGTTGGACCATGCCCATGATGAATAGCACCTTTTTTCCGTAAAGTTCTCGCTTTTGTCAATGTCTCTGTCCAATACAGAATGGATGCAGGACGAACAATCCATTTGCTGACAACTCAACTCACGTTCCCGGAAGCATTCTTTGTACTTGTAGTGGTTTCATAATTGATATATTTACGGTGTATAGATAGTTGTCGTTGTGTAAGTCTTCATCCCCTGGGACTCTGAATGCACAGAGTCTATTCTTTCCTGGATGTAATGGACCCTCAAGCATCTCTCTCTTCTGTGCGGCCTGTAGTTTGTTCCATGAAGCTATGTCAAATATCGGTTTGTTGTCAGACGTCTGCAGGTCGTGCACTTTGCATTATTGAGTGCGATGATATGTCTCACCCTGGAGAGGAAGCGTATGATGACTCACCGTGGAGAAAGGGCATGATTGGTTCATTCTATCAAGATTAGTTAGCGTTGCCCCATCTGTCACGGTCTCCGTTTTCACTTCGGTACGGTGAACAACTGAATTCATAAAAGAGAGGGCGAACAACTGATGGAGCCTTTCGGTGAAATGCGTGCAGAATACCTCGATCCAGCCTTTTTATGGTCAATTGTAGTGTGTCCCTGACCCTGAAGATTGTCATAACTAGTACCCTGGAATGAAGCTACATTCGTTATTTTTGTGTCCCTGATGATGAAGTTTGTTGATGAAAAATATGGCCATACTCATACTCTGTATAAGTACAAATTTTCTCTTTATGTTTTGCCAAGAACAAGTAGCTAAAGAAACTCTAACTCAAGATAGATTCCATGCTTCTTTCCAAAAATTGAGGCTCAGAGCTAGATCCAAGCTGTTGCGCCTTCGCATGCCGCCTCATGTACTTCGCCGGGTCGAGTAGCAGTTTCTCGAAGAGGTCAGTGGCCGATCGAAAGTGCAGCAAGTGCGGAAGAGAGACTTAGTCGTGCGTATAGAGGCTCCACTACGATGCGACGGGGATTAGAAGATGAAGAGCTGTTGACGTTGAAGCGGTGGAGTAGAAAGAGGTGCTCATCATGTTGACGCAGCATACATAGGATGAAGCGTTGTTCTTGTTGTTGACGTGGTGGAAGATGAAGGAACGTCGGAAATGACGAAAGGAGCCCTAGAATCACAATTATGAACGAAGATCGTACCAGAATAAGGATCCCTTCGCGGTCTGCCTAAACCTTCGAGTTTTCTGCCTAAATTAAGATGAAGGACATGAAATATTCTAATTCTTATACGACAAAACTTAAGCAAGTTCCTGCACAGATTGGAAAGGATGATAGGAACCCTAGGATCACGATAAGTACGCCGTAAGTCAAAATCCCATCTCTCGAAAGGGTTCGGCACATTCTCCTGGCTGTCGTCCTCCCCATTGTGATCCGGGGACACCACACGAAGGTCGAAGTCTTCGATGCTTGTCATGCCACGGTAAATGTAAGACGCAAGTTATTATGCTTAGGCTTTACTAGAGAAAATGATATGAACAGGTTATCATGATGACCTTTCTACAACTTCAAGAGTGGTGCCACTGTTAGCGTCTATTGGTCAGCCCCGAGAAGATGAACCGAAAACCTCTTCCTCTTTCGTTGCTCCTCAACAGTCGACGTTGACTTCGTTCTCATAGTTCGTGTCAGAAAGTCGCTCAACAAGGCGAGTGCATCATCTGTCACGACCGAGGCAAAGTTGTAAGAGTGTTAGCATTTTCTTCAAGGAGAGAAGGATCGCAGAAAGAGGTGAAAGATCGCAGTCGAGGTAGTGGCGGGTTGAAGATAAGACGCTAAACCACGTTGTAAGATGCTCGACCATGATGTTTTCACCCCTGTCTCCTTAGGGAATTCTCATATTTTTTCGGACATGAGAAGATTGTATTGAGTATTCCCCAACACCAACAACTGAAGTCTTCCTGTCCTTACAACTGAGTGACAGTAAAGATGCGCGCTTGCCGGCTGCTGCTTTTGTGTTTGCCGGCCTGCGGGGTTTGGGGCTTGTCAGAACCGGAGAAACAGCCTCCTCTCGCTGCCGAGGTGGACACGGCTGGGCGGGAGGATACCGAAGAGAGCCAAGTCGATATCAATCTAATGCTTCTTGATACCCCTACTTTCCTGGCATCGGAATCAGTGCCGTATGAAAAGGATGAGGCAGAGTCGCAATTGCCGGGAACAAAGGTAGTATTTCGATTTACAAAAGCAAATATTATTAGGGGATTTCGTGTTGTAGTCTGTTCCGAATTCTTTCTAGCTTGATATTGATTTAGAGACAAGCAAAAAACCTTTCATTGTTGCTTTCTTTGTTATACTAAATCATACCGGATATTATTTTTTTAGCTCTATCTGATGTTGACATAATTAAACAAGCTTCAATACTATTTACTTACAGCAGAAGTAAAAAGAACACCATGCTTAATATTTTTCATCCCCGCCAACAACTCTTAGGTTCCTGGTGTCAGTGCCCCCTCAACTTTTGTGGAGAGTACGCTACATGCAGCGTCCTCAGCGTCTGTGGGCAACGGAGACACGACCGGAACAAATGGCATTCCTGTTCCTTGGACCACTAGTAGCGCTAGTGGTCAGCCTCATAGTAGTGCTGCTGGTCAGTCTCAGCAAAATGGGAATTCGCGAGTAGAGGAAAGTACAGCTAGAGCAGCCTCTCCGGCATACAGTGCGTTGCAGATGTCGAGGTCCTTGTTTTGCGCTCCACATGGAAACGCCTGTCGTGGCACCGCAGAACTGGGTACAACAGTACCACATGAGGAAGAGGCGAAGCTAGTAGATGCAGAGGTGGAGCCAGCACCAGCAGCAGACCGCGACTTGGCTGCTTCGCCACCCGCGATGGCAGGGAATGCTAGTCCAGAAGCGCCTGTAGGTGCACCTTTGCCGACTGCGGCGGAGACCGGACATACTGCTGCAGTCTCACCGTCACCGTCTACACCTCATCTTCCAGGTAAACAAGAGACGAAGTTGGACTTGGAGGCGATATTCCTTGTTTATATATAAAGAACTTTTGCGTGAATGCGCTGTGCGCGAGGACGATCCTCTGTAATCACTTTGTCTTAGATCAGGATAGAAAATCGTTTTTATTTTCAAAGAATCGTCATCTTCATTCTCAAATCATCTTTAACCTTATCACCAAATCCAGAATTCGACTTGTCGGAACGAGAGAAAAGGGCACAAGAGGCCGAGGCTAATGCGACTAAGCGCAGTAAAAAGCTGAAAGAGCTGAAACGAGAGTTCAACAAGAGTGACTACTTGGAGAATAAATTTGAGATCACAAACCACGAGGATCTCAAGTCCAAGATCCAGGTAAGTTTCCGGCAGTTGGAGAGAGCAAAACAAAAGCGAAAGGACCTTTTTGCGAGGATCGACCAGGAGACTCATTATGATTTTCAATTGAATTTCGAGTATGAATTTACCATGGGATAGATCAACAGTAGACTTTCGGGCATCAGAGTTCTTACTTGCTTCATTTATTACTCGCACTGCCTGGTCTCTTAGCTTCAAAGCTTATTTACTGAAGTAGATATTGCGCAACAGCCTGGCGCTCCTCATGATCATGTTGCTTATGCCTTCACTTGTTGTAGGTATTCATAACTAATTACGTTCTCTTTCTCAAAAAGCCCAACGTTAGTCGATGTGCTAGAGAATACTCGGTCGTGCTGAAGGGTCGCATACTGATCAAAAGGGGGTAGATGAGCATGGGTTGTGATCCATTGCGAACGTTGATTCTTACTTCCCTTGGAATCCGATTCCGAATGCTTCTGCTCAAGCTGTAAATGATCAAAAAGATTCGGTGACAGATCAGGAATGATTAAGATTAATATCAATCAACACCGAGGGCCTGCCTTCTAATCATTACCCGGAGCGTCCGATAAGCTCCTGGAGGAATTGCAGTCCCACATGGAAGAAGAAAAGGAGGAGCAAAAGCAGGCCTTTGCAAAGGCTAAAGTGTTGGCTGACGCTGCGGCTGAAAAGTGGATTGCCGATGCACGACAGAAGTTGGCGGATCTTTTTTACGATTCTTGATACTTTTCATTCTTCGTGTTCATTTCCAATTCCACCTTTTCCGGAGTGTAGTAGTGCTTTGGCTTGCTTCCCCTAGGAGTCTGGAAACTGACTGCGAGAGTGCTCTATTTAAATACCATCAAGAATTCCCGAAAGCTTCCCTCTTTAAATTTTAAATGCGAACACGGACGCCTGTAGTGTGAATGCTAAAGGACCCCCCTCCCGTTTCATGTGAACACTAGCGGACCCCTAAGGCGGACGCTAAGGGGCCCATAAGTCCCTCCCCTTTTATGTGAACACTGAAAGACCGCCAAGACCGCGCTAGTGTGAACATTAGAAAACCTGCAAGGCGCCACCAGTTGGAAAAACCGCACAACAAGGACAAGGAACAAGACACCACGAAGAAGACGCCACGAACAAGACACCCGCCCCGAACAAGATGCCGCGAATGAGACCCGATGAACAAGACGCCACGAACAAGACCACGAACAAGACACCACGGACAAGACACCACGAGCGAGACACCACGAACGAGACACCACGACGAACGAGACACCACGAACAAGGCACCACGAACAAAACACCACGGGCAAAAGACCAGGAACAAGGCCCCGCGAGCAAGACCCCACGGACAAGGCACCACGGACGAGACACCACGAACAAAACGCCACGAGCAAGACACTACGAGCAAGGGCCCACGAACGAGACCCCATGAACAAGACCCCACGAAGAAGACACCACGGACAAGACACCGCGGACAGGACACCACGGACAAGACACCGCGAACAAGACACCACGGACAAGACACCGCGAACAAGACACCACGGACAAGACACCGCGAACAAGACACCACGGACAAGACACCGTGAAGGAGACACCACGAACAAGACCCCACGTCGAACAAGTAGCTCGACACCACGAACAAACTAGACACTCACGACCGTTAGCAAGACGCTACGACGAGCAAGGCCTTACGGACAAGACACCACGGACAAGACAGCACGAGCAAGACACCACGGACAAGACACCACAAGCCTCGCACGACGCTGCAGGCTTTTGCCCTCGCGCAGTCAGCGCAGAACCTTGGCACGCGAGAACAGAGAACAGCAGAAAACAACAGAGGACCACGGAAAACAACAGAAAACACGACAAGAAACGACGAGAAGCAACAGAAAACGACAGAAAACAACAGCAAACAACAGAAGACGACAAGAGACAACAGAAAACAGCAACAACAACAGAGAGAGAGACAGGGACCCCCCTGATCTGGGGAGGGCGGTCCCCGGGCCCGGACTTGCCGGCACTGGCGCGGAGGCAGTCGAGTCCCCTGGAGTCGAACCAGCGGCCAGACCCTCTGGAGCTGAGTGCAAGCACTTGCCCACAACAACAACGAGGAACAACAACAACAACAACAGCGCGCGCCGCTTGGCTTTGGCGCGCAGAACCCCTTGCGAGCGGGTTGCACAATGAAACAGAGGCCCCAAGAAAAAACCACGACGGGGGTAGAGACGCGCGCGGCGCTGAGCCTTTGCGCGCGGGACCCCTTATTTTGAACGGGTGGCGCAGACAGTGTGTGGGGTGAAAGCCTGGAACAGCCACGACGGCAGCAGAGGAGCGCGCGCCGCTGAGCTTTGGCACGCGGAACCCCTTGCGAAAGGTGACGCAGTGGAGTGAAAGCCTGAAACAGCCACGACGGCAGCAGAGGAGCGCGCGCTGCTGAATCCTGGCGCGCGGAGCCGCTTGGCAGCCTGCGAACGGGTAGCGCAGTGGAATCGAGGCCGTAAAAAGTCGCGACGGGGGTATAGACGCGCGCGGTGCTAAACCTTGCGCGGAACCCCTTGCGAGCGAGTGGCGCAGTGGAACAGAGGCCCCAAAGAATCACGACGGGGGTAGAGACGCGCGCGCCGCTGCAGAACCCGGGCACGCGAGGCTCCTCGGCTGCGAGCGGGTAGCGGAGTGGAGTAGAGGCTTGAAACAGTCACGACGGGGGCAGAGATGCGCGCGCCGCTGTGCAATGCGTGAAACCCCTCGCGAGCAGGTGGCGCAGTGGAGTAGAGTCGTGAAACAGTCACGACGTGGGTACGTAGAGACGCGCGCGCCGCTGAGCGTTGAGGACTGGCCCCCACTTTCTTCGCGATGTCTTTCTTTGGGGCTCCGCCCTCTCTGGGCGTTCCCGCGGTCTCTTGCTTTGTTGCTTCGTTCTTTTGTTCGCTATAAGTCGGGCACAGTGCCACGAACAGAAAAGAGAGAAACGAGGAGAGAACCACAAGGACCCGCGCCAGCTATGGCGGCCAGCGCGTTGAAAATGGTGCCCACGACGTTGCGCATTTTTTAACTGCTAGTCGGCGCTGGCTACCATCCTGGGAGCTGGGTCGCATTTCTTTCGCCACATCTTTGGGGCCCCTTGCTTCCGGCTACCGCGGGGCGGAGGGGAGTGCGCGCCCTTCGGGCGCTCGTTTCACCTCGTGAAACCATTCATGCAAACCCACGCCATTAAAGCAGCTTTTTCCCCTTCTATCTTCAACGCCTCCCGGGGCACCCCGGCCCGGGGAGTTGTCTTATAATTTACATTTATGTGCTCTAACAAAATGCTGCCGCAGACAAGGAGAAGGTGGATCTCCAGGAGGATGAGCTTCAAAGCTACCTCGATCGCGCCAACAGAGAAATGCAGGAAGGAAATTACTATGGAGTTGAACTAGAAATCTCTGACTTGGAGAAAAAGCTGAGCAACAAACAACAACTTACTGAAGGTCCTGTCGTTGAATGAAAACCATCTTCGCTGGAACACGTGTAGTCGTACTTGTGGCGATGGAACTAAAAGTTGGGCCATGCCCGTGATGAATAGCACCTTTTTTCCGTAAAGTTCTCGCTTTTGTCAATGTCTCTGTCCAATACAGAACGCAGGGAGAACAGTCCATTTGCTGACAACTCAACTCACGTTCCCGGAAGCATTCGTTGTGCTTGTAGTGGTTTCCTAAGTTATTATAATATCGTGTATAGGTATAGAAATAGATAGTTATCGTTGTGTAAGTCATGCCTTGTGAATCTGAATGCACAGAGTCTGGATGTAATGGACCCTCAAGCATCTCTCTCTCTTCTGTGCGGCCTGTAGTTTGTTCGATGAAGCTATGACAGATATCGGTCGGTTGTCAGAAGTCTGCAGGTCGTGCACTTTGTATTATTGAGTGCGATGATTTGCTCCTCCCTAGAGAGTAAGCATATAATGACTCACCGTGGAAAAAGGGCATGATCGGTTCATCCTATCAAGATTACTTAGCGTTGCCCCATCTGTCACTGTCCCCGTTTTCACTTCGGTACGGTGAACAACTGAATTCATAAAAGAGAGGGCGAACAACTGATGGAGCCTTTCGGTGAAATGCGTGCAGAATACCTCGATCCAGCCTTTTTATGGTCAATTGTAGTGTGTCCCTGACCCTGAAGATTGTCATAACTAGTACCCTGGAATGAAGCTACATTCGTTATTTTTGTGTCCCTGATGATGAAGTTTGTTGATGAAAAATATGGCCACACTCATACTCTGTATATATAAGTACGACTTTTCCCTTTATGTTTTGCCAAGAACAAGAAGCTAAAGAAACTCTAACTCAAGATAGATTCCATGCTTCTTTCCAAAAATTGAGGCTCAGAGCTAGATCCAAGCTGTTGCGCCTTCGCATGCCGCCTCATGTACTTCGCCGGGTCGAGTAGCAGTTTCTCGAAGAGGTCAGTGGCCGATCGAAAGTGCAGCAAGTGCGGAAGAGAGACTTAGTCGTGCGTATAGAGGCTCCACTACGATGCGACGGGGATTAGAAGATGAAGAGCTGTTGACGTTGAAGCGGTGGAGTAGAAAGAGGTGCTCATCATGTTGACGCAGCATACATAGGATGAAGCGTTGTTCTTGTTGTTGACGTGGTGGAAGATGAAGGAACGTCGGAAATGACGAAAGGAGCCCTAGAATCACAATTATGAACGAAGATCGTACCAGAATAAGGATCCCTTCGCGGTCTGCCTAAACCTTCGAGTTTTCTGCCTAAATTAAGATGAAGGACATGAAACATTCTAACTTTTACACGACAAAACTTAAGCAAGTTCCTGCACAGATTGGAAAGGATGATAGGAACCCTAGGATCACGATAAGTACGCCGTAAGTCAAAATCCCATCTCTCGAAAGGGTTCGGCACATTCTCCTGGCTGTCGTCCTCCCCATTGTGATCCGGGGACACCACACGAAGGTCGAAGTCTTCGATGCTTGTCATGCCACGGTAAATGTAAGACGCAAGTTATTATGCTTAGGCTTTACTAGAGAAAATGATATGAACAGGTTATCATGATGACCTTTCTACAACTTCAAGAGTGGTGCTACTGTTAGCGTCTATTGGTCAGCCCCGAGAAGATGAACCGAAAACCTCTTCCTCTTTCGTTGCTCCTCAACAGTCGACGTTGACTTCGTTCTCATAGTTCGTGTCAGAAAGTCGCTCAACAAGGCGAGTGCATCATCTGTCACGACCGAGGCAAAGTTGTAAGAGTGTTAGCATTTTCTTCAAGGAGAGAAGGATCGCAGAAAGAGGTGAAAGATCGCAGTCGAGGTAGTGGCGGGTTGAAGATAAGACGCTAAACCACGTTGTAAGATGCTCGACCATGATGTTTTCACCCCTGTCTCCTTAGGGAATTCTCATTTTTTTTCGGACATGAGAAGATTGTATTGAGTATTCCCCAACACCAACAACTGAAGTCTTCCTGTCCTTACAAGTGAGGGACAGTAAAGATGCGCGCTTGCCGGCTGCTGCTTTTGTGTTTGCCGGCCTGCGGGGTTTGGGGCTTGTCAGAACCGGAGAAACAGCCCGGTCTCGCTGCGGAGGTGGACACGCCTGGGCGGGAGGATACCGAAGAGAGCCAAGTCGATATCAATCTAATGCTTCTTGATACCCCTACTTTCCTGGCATCGGAATCAGTGCCGTATGAAAAGGATGAGGCAGAGTCGCAATTGCCGGGAAGCAAGGTAGTATTTAGATTTACAAAAGCAAATATTATTAGGGGACTTCGTGTTGTTGTTCGTGTTCCGAATTCTTTCTAGCTTGATACTGATTTAGAGACAAGCAAAAAATCTCTCATTGTTGATTTCTTGGTTTATACTAGCTTATACCGGATATTATTTTTTCAGCTCTTTCTGATGTTGACACAATTGAACAAGTTTTAATACTATTTACAACAGAAGTAAAGAACGCTGGGTTCTCACAAGATGCGAAATATCTTTTGTTTTTTGTTAGAAAGATCGTTTCTTGAATTCTAAGGCTCTCGAGATTACAACAGAAGTAAATAGAGCATCAAGAGGAAGAGAAAAAGAACACCATGCTTAATATTTTTCATCCCCGCCAACAACTCTTAGGTTCCTGGTGTCAGTGGCCCCTCAACTTTTGTGGAGAGTCCGCTACATGCAGCTTCCTCAGCGTCCGTGGGCAACGGAGACACGAGACGACCGGAACAAATGACATTCCTGTTCCTTGGACCACTAGTAGCGCTAGTGGTCAGCCTCATAGTAGTGCTGCTGGTCAGTCTCAGCAAAATGGGAATTCGCAAGTAGATGAAAGTACAGCTAGAGCAGCCTCTCCGGCATACAGTGCATTGCAGATGTCGAGGTCCTTGTTTTGCGCTACACATGGAAACGCCTGTCGTGGCACCGCAGAACTGGGTACAACAGTACCACATGAGGAAGAGGCGAAGCTAGTTGATGTGAAGCCAGCACCAGCAGCAGCAAGCGAGTTGCCTGCTTCGCCACCCAAAGCAAATGCTAGTCCAGAAGCCGATCCTCCTGTAATATGCCAAAAATCTGAAACGTATGACGCATGCCGCGATTCTGAAGAAGAAGGCCGAGAGGGGGACAGGGACACCACAGCGTGCTGGAGTACTTATGCCAACCACGGTGGCCTGATTCGCGAGGATCGGCCAAAAGACTGCTCCGCGATCATTATGAGACCAGGGCTTTCATTCACTTTTCGTTTAGTCATCATCTTTGCTGAGTAATTGTTTTTATATTGATTCGCAGAAAAGAACTACTCGGAGTTTGTAAAGTAGATTGTCGGTCATCCTTGATCTGAATAGATAACGGCACGAACGTAGATAGCACGCCGTGGCAGTACGAGGCAAGTGGCAGTACGACTCTAACTTAGATGACGTGCGCGAGTGTCTGGCTGCGCGGCAGGACCGGTGCACCAAAAGACCACTCCATCAAATCGTCCCAGACCGTCACGGAGTGCATGGCGATCTCGAGATTGTCAGAGTCGCATGCTGTACGCTGACAGAAACAGGACAAAATAGTATTTTATATTCAGATCATTCTGTACGCTGACAGAAACAGGGCAAAAGAGTATTAATTTAAATTCCACCTCTTAGTCTTATTCTGTTTTCACCTACGACAGTTTACCTTTACTACAGTGCAAGATGCTTAGCTTTACTACTAGATAACCTCCTCATTTTGCGTGAATGCGCTGTGCGCGAGGACGATCCGCTAGCATACTGTACGCACTTTGTCTTAGATCTTCAGGGGAGCAAATCGTTTTTATCCCCAAAGCATCGTCTTCCTTCTTAAATCATCTTTAGTAATCTTATCACCAAATCCAGAATTCGACGAAGCCAAAAGGGCCCAAGAAGCCTCGACCGAGGCTCTTAAGACTCTCCTTGGAAGGCTGGAAAAGATGAAACAACTCTCCAAGGAAAATATCGAGGCAACAGAAATGAAGAAACTGAAGTTTGCTTTCAAGGACGAGAAGGCCCAGGCTAAGATCCAGGAGCTGTTGAAGCCGTTGGAAAAGGCACAGCCTAACCGAAGTGAGAAGCTACTTGAGGAGATCGAGACTCGACTACAGAGTGCAATGGCTGAACCGGAGGTGGAGAATTATGAACTTCAATGTGAGTTTTAAGTGCTTCCATGAATGGATTCACACCATGGGTAGCTAGAGTGACTACAGACTTGCGAGCATTATCCATAGTTCTTTATTAGCTCGCAACGTTCCCTTAGTTTCAACGCTGATTCACTGTGCAACAGCCTAGCGATCTCTTTTCTATTGTGATTTTAAGCAGAAAGAAATGCGAGAGCGCGGTGATAAAACATCACTGACTTTCTCTAACTACTGCGCCAGCCGCTCGTGTTGCTCGTTCAGGAGGGGCTTAACGAATTGCAGTCGCTAATGCAAAAAGACCAGAAACAACAAGACAAGGCCTTTGACGATGCTCGAAAGTGGGCTGAGGAGGCGGCTAACAAGTGGATTGCTGATGCACAAGGGAGCCTGCAGAAAACTGGGCTTACAGATTACGGCTCTCAATAAAACGTTTGATTTTCAATCCCATCCCGTCACGAGTCCAAGTGCTGGCTTCGTTTGCTAAGTACCTAAAAACTGCTTTGCGTTTCATCCCATGGGCATAGACGGAAGATCTTGTTTTCAGAAGTGATCTTGTTTTCAGAAGCAGTCTGAGAATTAATTACGAGAAAAAAGCAGGAACCAGTCACAGAGGACGTACAACTACAAACTAAGCTCAAGCGTTCCTCTAAGAAAATGATAAGCAAAGAGAACAACTTGAGCGGCATCTCACTCGCGCGCAAGAGGATTTAAAAACGCGAGATTACCGCAATGTTGAATACGAAATCGACCTGCTCACGGGGAAACTGCCCGAACCATCGTCGTAGACGTGGTTCTAGTTTTGATAGTAGAACTAAGGTTCAAGGAAAGTTGGGCGTGGGTCATACCCATGAATAGCACTTTTTTTCCGTAAAGTGCTTGCCCTCGTCAATGTCTATGTTCAATGCATTCGCTGATAATTTAACAGCTCGATTTCCCGCAGGCAGTCATTGTAGTGGTGATATGGTGTATAATAAGTAGATAGTTGTCGTTGTGTAAATCATGCCTTGCGAATGTACAGAGTTTAATATGCCGACGTTTATTCTGAATGTAAAACTAAAAATGGGTCTTGCGCTCTCTTCTGTGCGGCCTTTAGTTTGATGATGTTCGTGTCAGAAGTCTGTAGCTGCACTCTGTTTTATGGAGTGAGATGATTTGTCTCACCCTGGTCCCTGGAGAGTAAGCATATATTATAATGACTCACCGTGGAAAAAGGGCATAATCGGTTGATCCCATCAAGTTTACTTAACGCTGCCCAGTCTGTCTCCGTTTTTTTACTTGCTTAGTCGGTACGGTGAACAACTGAGGTCATAAGAGAGAGGGCGAACAACTGATGGAGCCTTTCTGTGAAATGCGTGCAAAATACCTCGAAAATCCAGCCTTTTTATAGTGCGTCAGTATTTCTGTCAATTGTGGTGTGTCCCTCTGTCAATTGTGGTGTGTCCCTGACCCTGAAGATTGTCATAACTAGTACCCTGAAATGAAATTTACATTCGTTATTTTTGATTTTGTGTCCCTGATGATGTTCAGGTTGATGAAGATGGTCATGCCCCTGTAAGTACTTTCCTCTTTATTTTTTGTCAAACACAAGTACAAGAAGCAGAGGAAACTCTAACTCAAGAAAGATTCAGTGCTTCTTTCCAAAAATTGAGACTCAGAGCTAGATCCAAGCTGTTGCGCCTTCGCATGCCGCATGATATTCTCATGTATTCCGCCGGGTCGAGTAGCAGTTTCTCGAACAGGTCAGTGGCCGATCGAAAGTGCAGCAAGTGCGGAAGAGAGACGTAGTGCGTATACAGGCTCCACCACGATGCGACAGGGATTAGAAGATGAAGAGCTGTTGACGTTGAAGATGAAGGACAAAGGAAGTATTTTTATACATAGGACACAACAAGTTGCTGCTTCACTACGATGTTAGTACGGAAGGATCTTTGTTTTCTAAACTTAAATGCACAGTGACATTGGAAAGGACAAGAGGAGTCCTAGGATAACAATAAGTAGGCCGTAAGTCAAAATCCCATCTCTCAAAAGGGTTCGGCACATTCTCCTGGTTGTCCTCCTCCCCATTGTGATCCGGGGACACCACATTAGCGCTCAAGCCCTAATCCATCTTGAGGCGCATCTCGGATCTGTGTTCATCTTATGGTACAGCTTCGAGATGCTTCCGGAGATGGATTAGGGGACGCCTTAACCACACGAAGGTCGAAGTCTTCGATGCTCGTCATGCCACGGTAGATGTACGAGGCAAGTACCACTTTGCGAGGTAGGAGGATTGGCATTCCCATGGCGTAGAACTCGTAAAAGCGCATCTGTGACATGTCGTATGGAAAAAGGACCAAAGCATCATACTTGGCGAACCCGCTGTAGCTTTTATCCACTAGATCGTCCGTGGATGGTTAGAGGAAGGGGTGGGAGGAGGATAGCTGCCGGAGGAGCAGAAAGGCGCTATGTGGAAGCAAGAAGGTGCCTTGTTGACGAGGCATGTCTACGCTACCTGTACGTGTAGTTGTATCCTGATTGTGACTTGGAAGTCGCATTGTAACTTGGAATAACCTTCCGGCCATACTAGTGAAAACGAAGCGGCAAGTTGTTCACTTTGGCGAAGAGGTTGAGAATGCAAGTGTCGTCCCAGAAAACGGATGGTTGCCGTAGGACCAGAATCTGCCTAATAAGTGAACGCGCAAAGGACGTGAATCGATGGACATAGTTGTCCCAGAGAGTGTCCCCAAAGATTGTACTAGTGTCCGGGGACAAGGGTGTATTGTTATCCGACTCCGAGGACAAGAGATTTAAGTGAACTTCTGCATGACTACTCCTGCCCTGGAGGTCCTCTTCTCGTGCATCACTACTGCTTTTTTGTCCCTTAGATGCTGTACCTATTGAACGTACGAGCATACGAAGGTCCTGTCGCTTCCGGGTCTCAGCTGCGTCACTGCTCGCATCAAGAACAGCGTCATTATTTTGTTCCTCGTCTCTGCTCGCGGCATACCTTTCTCTGGGACATTAGCGTGGTTGTAAAAGAAACAAGAGGGGGTTCTGGGCGACAAAAAATGTGCCCAGAAATATCTTGCAGTTGAATCAGGAACAGACGCGAGCAGACGCTTCAGTACTACGAGAATTTTGATTTTCGTTTTCGATCATCACCAACAGTGACGCACCTCATCAGCCTTTCATAATCTTCATCCCGGTTAGGCGGAAAGTTCTCGTGGCTCTGCAGAATGTTCCAGTTGGACACACGGCCCAAAGTCGGCGGTGCCCACACAGTATCGACGTACAAAGCCAACGGGCGCTGGCTACTGACGCAGTTTAGAAGAAGTAGAGGACAGATTTGTTGACGAATCGATTGAGTTTGAGAAGGTTGAGACTATCCCTATTGTGTACATCTTCTATGGCTATCACCTTTTAATCATATTTGACATACTGAATATCCTCCAAGGATAAGGTCTACCTGTAGCACCTCTTGATATTACAGTTTTAGTATTTTTTGTCTTCTTAGAAACCGACCGGTTTGGTATTCCATTTGCTTCGCCAAAAACCTGGTACTAGCAACCGGAAAGAAATTGGACAGCAGATCTCGAAAATAGCGAAACCATGTTTCCAGATATGGTGCCGGAACATATGCTGCCAAAGGGTTTCCGAAATAGCCAACCACAATTTTCCTAGGATTCGCGATCGCAACCGGCAAGCAGAGAACAGCAGGTTCGGTACACACGTGAATGTCCGCAGTGTCTATGCCTAGATCGAAATGTGGTTGGTCTTGGACCTGGTGAAGACCTCCCTGTTCGGTCAGTTCGGATTTTGACATGCCGCAAGAGGCCGAATGTTTGTGTTGATTGCTCCTGCTACGCTCTCTTGCAGAAGTAGACTCAACACCTTCTACTTCTTCTCCTGCTGCAGTTTGATCTTCGTCGGCGTCCTCGTCTAATTGACAAAGAGCGCTGCCACCTGTGTTGGGTGCCTGCGAGAAGCCGCGCACTGAGTCAAGCCTTTCTCGAAGCTCTGCTAACAAAGACTCCTCGTCCGCTCTTTTCGCAGCCTTAAGAGGTGATGCCAACTTCTAGCTGAAAGGAGTTATCTTCGTTGTGAAGCAACAGCAACGTAACTGGGATCAACATCGACGTCATGAAATTGTGTCTGTGATCACCTTCACTATCTCTGTAAAGAAAATGAGTCAAGTCTCACATCTTCAAACGATAACGAGAGATAGCTCCTCAACAAAAGAAAGAAGTAGCAGATCTGATGTATCGAAAGCCATACGGATCTTCGTCTTTGGACTTGAAGAGGAAGACCCATTCGTTAAGCCAAGCCTCGAACTCAGGAAAGCCAGGGTTCGCGAGCCCTGTCTTCGGTAGTGTCACCCGCCGTAAAAATCGCTTGTTGAGGTGCAGCAACCGACTGTCTTTGGCACAAACATTGAAGTACGAACAGAGACGGAAGCCACCGGATTGGGCTTTCTTGCTGTTAGAGGTTGTCTGTGCAGACGAAGACGAAGACGATGCTGTACTATCCTCTACCCCTTGTGCATTTGCACCTCCTGCCCCGAACCCACCTTCTTCTTGTACAGCTCCACCTCCATCTCCGTTAGTGCTACTGATACTGCCACTACCACTACTGGCGTCTACTTTCCGATCTACTCCGATGTCTCCTACGTCGTCTGCTCCAGTACCGAAATGACCTCGAGCGCCGTCAGCGAGTTTTCCACCAACTAGCTTATTGATCAAATGGAAGTTTTGGCCATTAGTCACAAGCTCGCTCAGTTTGTTGCGCTCCGTTTCGCCACTAGATTAGAACTCTTCACAGGACTGAGGACAACAATTCACCTTCTCAAAAATTCAGAGGTTGTAGGACAACATCTTTTCGAAACCAGAAGCCAGCCACGGTCTGATCATTAGGTCTGATTCGAGCATCTTCGCAGAATCTAAGAAAGAGGGGGTACTTAACCAAGATGAACGGTCGTGAAGATCAAGATTCTAAAAGCAGGATAACAGCCTCAATCAAGTGTCCTGAGGAGCCTTAATCAAGTGTCCGGTCTAATTCGTCGTCTATGATACTCGTTGTGATTCTCACATTGAGTCCGGGTACGATTTCAGGCAGCAATTCCCACACTTTGACGATTTCTAGGGCCAAGGTAGCGTGGTACCCAACAACGGAGACGCGGAGGGATTAGAGAAGGAAGTTGGATTTCGAAGAACTGGAAGAGCAAGAGTTGTTAGTAATTATACTTAGTACTGTTGTAAGATTATGCCGCGAGCAGAGAATTTCGAGACATCACAGTATAACGGCAAATGCAATCTAAAAACTGCAAACGTGCTCCTCTCCATAAAGAACGTTTCGTTCTGGGTAGTAGTCTTCAGGAACCTGCTTGTGAGAGTAAGGTATGGAGGATGAAAACTTTCGAGGAAAAAAGTATGCTAAGTATGTAGTAGGCATGCAAGTGGTATGTGGTTTCCTTTTCTACGATTATGCGCTTGCTCACAACTCGCCTAGGAAAGGATTGTGACTCATCTATCATTTCTAGTACCCGAAACAATATCCGTCTACTCCCACCGCCACTACTTCCACCTCTGTACGTCGTCCCGGGTAGAAGCGTCGAGTCATCTTCTCCAGAACCTTGTTGACTCGAAGAAGCAATCGGGCGAACGGTGTCTGTGGTGTCGGTCGGCAGGCCTCCGGGTTGGAGAATACGCCATGTAGAGTCAGGCCAAACACTCCGGATCATCTGCGCGTGATCCAGAGGCCACCCACTGAGATCCGCTACATTGCCGATATTTGCTTTGTCCATCAGCATTCGCTGGATCATCTGGGGATTAGAGGCTTCTAGTACCCAACAGGTCAGGGTCAGGAATAAGGATGTCGACTAGTACCCAACAGGTGGAATAAGGATTCACTATGGAATCAGGGTCAGGAATAAGGATCAGGGTCAGGGACTAGCACCCATCAGGGTTAGGAATAAGGATTCACTATGGAATCTTCAAGGTACTAAAAACAAGTTCTTCTGGCTCATATTGACGAGAGTATCGCGTTCTCGATTTAGCGCTGATGCCGGATCGGGTTCCAACATGCGGGTACGGATAGTTGCGGCAATGTAGTAGCCCCAAAAACACATGGGTGGGTTCACGTTGTACGGATCCGTGACCCTTTCTCTAAGTCGCCTCTTGTACGCATCTAAAATTCGTCGGTGCGAGAGATAGAATCGAGGTGTTGAATCTTGCTCCCCTCCTGAAGTAGATTGTGAAGGAGTATTCCCGGTTCTTGCACTTCCAGGCGTCTGAAATATTCTCGCCGCGTCTTTTTCCTCTTCCAATTGCGACTTGTAGAGCAGTTCGTAGACGACTTTTTTCAAGGCCATCAGAAGTTCCTGCCGTAGCTCGAGAGGGACCACGGCTCTGCCTTCGACGTCGAGCCGATCTAAAAAAGTGGCTATTCCGCCTTTGCTATTAGAGAATGAACCTGGTGGAGCCATCTTTATTACCCATCAGTCAACATTTCCTGGAGGAATTCGAATACACAGACGCAAGAGTACTAAAAAGACGTCGATGTTCTAGATGGAAATGCAAATAACATGTCGGTGTTTTAGATAGTGTATGGAAATGCAAATGAATGTATGTGAGAGCAGGGAAAAGAGCATTATTTAAAGATGGATGGCACTAAGTCACTATTATGCTAACCGTATTATAAGTAATTCTCCTTGCATCTTAAGTTTCAAAAATCTCAGCAAGTCTCTCCCCGTCGGCCGAAGCATCCTCACGTCCAAAGCTGAACTACGTTGACCAAAGCGCTTGCTAAAGCGGCTAGAAATATCTGCTACTGGTGGTAGTTCCACTACTGTGACAGCTGCGTCATTAACCTCTGCAGAGGATGAAGAAACTTCTTGATCTTTTCCTTGCCTATCTTCTTCTTCGTCCCCTGCTCTACCTCTTTCTCCATGCACGTGACGCCACATCCCAGGTTGTAGGATTTCTTCCAGTAAAAACCGCTCCAGTAATCTCTGCTTTGCTTCACTAATGTTCTTGATCGGCTCAGGAGACTCAGAGACCACAAACACAGAGTTGCCTACTTGGCCTTGTTCGTCTCCCACGACCTGTTCCTCTAGTACTGCCGTCATACTACTATGAGACGGAGAGTCGCGGCTTGAGCCTTCTTGTTCTTCTGCCACGATGTTATTAGATGACGACGCATCTGCCTCTGCCTGATTCAGTTTCCTCACTTCCTCATCCTCCGCTTCGACCGTTTCCAGTTCCTCAACCCAAGCTCTTTCGCCACGGACGTCCTCCACAGACATTTCCCAATCTCTAGTTTCCCATGCACACTCTATGAACATCCTCTTCGTGTTTTGTGCTACCATGAAACCCTTCTCGTGTGCGTGGAGCAGCTTCTGAGCCTGAGTTGTAGGGCGGACTTAGAAGAGATGTAGGATCTAATCAATGATCATCTTCAGTATCAGTTACTACATCTTATATGTATGGCATGTAAAACTTCTACGAACTTGTTACAAGTATCCTTCGTCATGACGGTTACGTTCTTAGTTGGTTTAGTTACCACCGATAACCACTAACACGCAGTAATTTAGGATGAGCGCGCTCAGCACTCAGTCCTTACTTCTCACTCTACCGACTCTCAACCGAGAGGCTTCAGACCTTGCAATCACCGACGTACTTTCGCCAAATATTGCTTAGACGCCGGTATTTGACTTTTAGTCTAAATTCCTCCTACTTTCCTCGCGGTCGTCCTGGCTATATTTTCTACCCTTTCCATAAGGGGGGCGAATGCGAGGTGTAGTTCGTAGGTTTCTAGACGGTAACGAGAAGTCTGCTAGTGTGGTTTTTCATTCTACATTTGCAGGGCTTATTTCATGGCCTGCGACAACATTGCAAAGATGCGATATATGTCTTATTTGTATTTTCAACGTGTTGCTTTTGCCACTGGGCAGCCTACTCAAGGGCATAGTCGTCGACTATTCGCCGTTTTAGTCCTACCCATTTTACAGATATATCAAGGTGGTCGCCATTACTAGTTTGGGGTAGTGACTGCTCCTGTGTGTCGAGTCGTGACTGTAGTGCAGATTCTGACACTGTCGAGGATGAGGGTGCTTCGTTTGCTTCCCCAACTCTCTGCTTCTTCAGCGGTGGCCACATGTGTGCTTCGTAGTATTCCAACTCTGCTTCTAGGTCAGGCTTTAAAGGGTTAGCTTTGATGACTTTATATCAGCCAGCTGCGTTTCCTGCTTCTCAAGCATTCTGATACGGAATGAATTGCTTGAGAAGTGACGCACTGTTTGTATAAAGTGCGTCGTGGCTTAAGCTCAGATACTGGCTGTTGTGCTCCAGGCGCTTTTCCAGGCGGTCGACTTTTCTGCGCAGTCTAGTATGTACTAGTGCGGATAGCTTCCGGCCTGGTGAGTGAGGTCCATACTCACTCGCCTGGCACGGTGGGCGACGCATTGGAGGTGCGGACGTGCATGTTCGGCGGATCATCTTTTTCTCATGTGTTGCTTATCTTCCGCACTTCCTACGTTATTCTGAATTCAGATCGTTAGCGTTTGTCTAGTGTCACTTTGGCCGAAGGGCGCTTTAAGATCTTTTTGATAATTTTACTCACGTTATACATAGGAACACTGGCACGACAAGGCCGCGCTTGATCTTGTAGCATGATGTGGACTTCGTGGAGGCTTGGTGCGATTTTTCTTATTTATTCAAGATCAATTTCCATGGATAGGATGACTTTGTCCATGCCAGGGGGTAGATCTGGGCGCAGTTTCTTGACTTCTACTTTCAACTGTCCGCAGTGGCAGGTGAATGTTGCAACATATTGGACTTCTTCTCCTCTTGTGAGGCCAAAACGGATCGTGTATGTCCAGCCGTACGGTGATCGCAGTAGCCTGGTGTTAGTTCGGGTTCAGTATTGGTTGCTCTTATTGGTGTTGTGCTGTTCGGTCAATAAGGTGTTGCGCATGTGTTACCTAACTGCTGTATTTTCTAGCGCCATGCACAAGTAATACCAGTCTTCGACGCGGGGCCCGTCTGAGTCTGCAGGGATTATCATCCTTGTGGAGTTTACTGGTGCACAGCGGTTACGACTATTCGCAGTCCCGGCAGGTTGGGAGGTCATGCGTTTTTGTGAGTATTGAGCTGCGCTTTTTTACGTGTGTCGGTATATCTAGGGCCTGTATTATTGCTAGCTACTATCTGATGGGGTCATATTGGTCAACGAAGGGGAGCCACTGGAGGACGCATGGGAAGAGGAGGTCGACCCGTCTTCATCGAAATACTTTAGGATTTCACTATCGACCATGTCCGCGATGCGTTGCGCAACATGGGGAGGCAGTGCGGCATTTTGTCGATCTTTAGCGCCGTTCAAATAGTCGATTTGCAGTGTAAGGATCCACGTCCCTTCAGGCGCATCTTGATCTAGAGCTTCTGGGGGTGGTACTGGTTGGAGTTGTGTTGGGACTGTCCCACAGTTGCAGGTGGTGTCCTGGTGGCTCGTGCACCTGACGAACACTGGGCCGTCTGCTATGTTGGAGCTCTCGGGGTGTGGCATGTTGTTTGTTTTGAATTTGATGTGCTTACTTTGTGTTCGCATACTATGCTTAATGTGTTGAGTTTTTCGGCATACTATGCCTAATGTGTTCAATTTGGTTCCGCATTAGATTGGGTCAGGGTTTGATGGCAGAGGTTTGAGCGTCCACTTGTTGGGTGTGCCTTGTGGCTTAGCTTTGTTGCATGTTAAATACGTCATCAACTCATCCGGGAAGAAAAAGGAATGGTGTGTATACAAGTACCAGTCAAGTGTGTAGTTATTAAATTGGTTCACGGCCGAGTTTCTTGACCACGCAAAGTGGTCTGCTATGCGTGCAATTATCTTCCACGGGACCGATGACACAGTTTGGATCCCTAAACTCAGCAGGACGAGTCGTATGGCTAGGGCTGCCGTTCGGCGAAACCCGTGCGGTGTTGTGTCGGCTTCTCTCGCTGTTGCTCTACATTCCCTCTCGTCGAGTCTGAAGGCAGGACTCGGCGCATATTTTGACGGTATCACGTTGGAAAAAACATCACTCGCATCTGGGTTGTATTTCATTTTGGGCAAGACAACCACCGCCCATTCTGACGCGTTTGGGAGTGGCTTGACTAGATTTGTCTCTATCGATGATATTGATGATATTCGGTATGCTCCTGCTATCCACAGTCGTGCTCTTATTTTGTGCACGTTGCTCATCATCTGGAGCTTATTCCAGCTTACTGGCCTTGCTTTTGACCTAGAAAACTCGTCCCGTAGTTTGTTCAGCGAGTTGAGGGTGTTTTTCTCGAGGTCTTTCGCGAAGGGTGAGCCGACTGCTAACCGGTTGAGGCATTTGAGTCGTTGTATTACTGTGGCTAGGTAGATGTGGTAGGATGGGGATAGATCCATGTCAAGCAGGTGCTTCCCAAATTGGAAGATTTGCACGAAGGTCATCTGTGGCACCCGAACCTGGGACGTGTGCTGTACTAGCTTTGGGATGATGATTTTTTCGCTGTGGTTGAGGTTGTACCAGGTGACGAATGACGCCCAGTGGCCTCTTCGCCCTGCCATCGTTTTGTCTGATTTTCCCAATTCTTGCGGCCAAGTGTTCAGCTCCTGCTCATGGATTAGAGTGTCACTCTGATGGGTGGTATCTAGTGCAAGCCTGTGCATTTAGCTACGTAGTTCGGTATTGTAGCCATAAAATTACGAGCCTCGTCGTTGGGTCTCGGAGCAGGTTCTTCGCCCTGGCGCGTTTGGACATTCTGCGGCGTGTCGTTGAGTGTGCACCTATTGACTTTGTCAATTATTTCGTCTGCGATGTTGGTCATTACTGAGCTGCGGGCTTCTGAGTCACTTTGGGCGATCGCTTCTGCGTTTGTTCGTAAGATGAAGTCACGGAAGTGCTCACTCCTCGTGAGGGCGTCTGCGGGGTTTCTTTCGCTCTTGATCCATTTGATTGTCATAGTGCACACCTGCTGCTGTGCTGCCAGGATGATATGTCCTATCAGAGATGCTGAGTAGATGCACCCAGTTTGGCCTTTTAGGAGAGCGTACCCAGCCCCTAGGTTGTCGATGTAGAAGACTGCATTTTGGTTGCTGAGGTAGTCTGAGAACAGTTCGAATGCTACGTGCACTGCTAGAAGTTCATAGAAGTAGTTCGTTTTATCGCGGAGCTCGATAGGTTGTAGCTGGTGCGGTTAGAGTTACCCCAAACGACGTTACTCAGTGAGGGGACTTCGGCTTTTTGTTTTTAGGTTAAGTGTGTCTAGGGGTAGCAGCCCGCTTGACGAAGTCCCTTCTCTCAGTAATTCGCGGATCCGTCGCGCTCTCTCATACATGGGGCCTCTTCTCATCGAGTAGTTGAAAGAGAAGCACAACGGCCGCGGGAGGTCGACTGAAAAAACCACTCCACCGATCCATAGGTCACCCGCCTGCGTTAGTGATGCATCTGTAAATACTTCACTTGTTTTGCGACCGAGTCTGATGGGGCATATCAGTAACCCAGGCATTCTCTGGAGGGCATTGTTGGAGTCTTTGAGTAGACGCGCTGTTGTTCGTCGAAGAGCTCTGGACTTACACAAGTGGCCGAACTTGCCTTCCGCAGTGTATCGGAAGAGCATAGCGACGAACGGGCCACAGCTTAGGCATTGCCTCCAGAAGAGGTAGTGGTTGAGGATCCCTACTGCTCTCTGTAGATCTCTTAACGTCATGCTGTTTGCTAGGATTTTCGCGATGGTAGCTTCTATGATGATTATGGCGTCTTCGATCTTGTTGCTTGGATTCATGATCTGGATGGGTGCTTCACTACTTCCAGGCGATGACGTTAGTATATTCAGTCCCAGCGTTTCGGTTGCGGTGTCGAGTGCTCCGATGACGTCTTTCTTGTCTGCTTGAATTAGGCCAAGCGATTGCAGGAAGCGTTTGGTAAAGGCGTGCTCAGCGGCCGCTAGTTCGGGTCTTGAGATATTGACGATATCGTCCACTTGAGTTAGAGGGGCGCCGATGCTTGTGGCGGGGAGTGTTTCTGGAGGTGGTATACATATGCTATGCCATAAGTATACTACCACGATAATTCCGAATACTGTCTGCAGGGTATGCTCGATGAGGCGGCTGATGCTGCCAGTGAAGTTGAAGACGCTGTGGATGTTGCCAAAGGTCATCGACCTTGTGGTCGCGAGTCTCATTGTGTTGGTATTCGGATCCCAGTAGGAGAGGAGGTATGCTCCTTCGCTGGAGTCATTTGGGAGCTGGAAGTATGCACTAGACAGGTCTATTTTACTGACTACTGGAGTGAATCCAGGCTGGTCTTCCGACGTTGTGGGCTGGGATTCCCATCCGCCAGTTATTGTCGTCATGTCCTGCCACCGGTCGACTCGCTGCCTTTCTTGGTTGACTTGATCAGATAGGTGCCGCTTTGTCATCGTTGCTGGTGCGTCGATTAGTGGCGCGACGCATTTTTGGAGGATGTTTAGGATGTGCGGGACATTCGGGAGCGTTAGATGTTCGCTAATAGCGGAACACATTTTGTTGTCTCGTTTCTCGTTTGCTATGTTTCTTACTTTAAGCCAGGAGTTTACGTTGTAGCAGTATTTTTGTCCGATGGAGAAAATTGGCACGAGCCTCTCGACTTTTACTCCTTCAGCTGTGTATAGAGTGCCTTGGTTGTTGGTGGTGGGTGGAGATGTGGGCGACAGGAAGCCCGCGCTGACGCTTTCTTGCATTGTGTCGTAGCCCCTTTGTAGTTCTTCAGGGGTTTCAAACTCGTAGGGGCCGCTCTGTCGGATTTTTACTTGAGGATGGCGCTGGTGGAGTTGGCATGCTCTGAGTTCGTCGATTTCCTTGTTCGTTAGGGGCTTTGCGTTTGGCCACACTCCATATCTGTGATGTGTTTGGGCGTTGCTAATGATGTCTCGCTTGGTTGTCGTATCTCGATCAGTGTATTGAGTTGCACCTTTGTAGGCCATATGTCATGCTAGTCATGTTATTACCTGAAGACTGGGCCTGTGCTTGGGAGTCCTTTTTCGAAGAAGCCATCTGGTCCATACACTGCCATCCTTCTGGTTTCGTCCATGAAGTTTGATACTTCAGCCCAGTATAGGAACCTACTAGCAGTTTTGCGGTTGTAGTTTTCTGGCCTGGGTGTGTCGTAGAGTGTTGACGCTTGGCGTGACTCTCTGCTCCGGGACTCTGTGTCTTGTTTGGTCCAGTGTGGGCTTGATTCGTAGAGGCTGTTGAGGGTGTCGAGTTTGTCGTGTAGTTTTTTGGCATGTGCGGCTGAGGGCTGGCCTAGTGTCGTTGCTGCGTAGTCACGCACTAGCTTCCGCATGGGGGCATCAAGGTCCGAGCTTGATGCCGTAATTGTGTGGTCTTCCATGTTGGTCCGTGTCTTAGGTGCCTCAAATGTCAGGGCATCGCGTAGGGCTATTCCCCGTTTTGATTATTACTAATATATAGGCTGGGGCGTGTTAGATGGTCGGGCTAGATATGTTACATGTATAGGCACCGGGTGGCATTTACTTTTATATTGCAACTCGTGCATCGGTCTCATTTGGGGGAAGAAGAAGTCTTTTTTAAGGGGGGGGGGTTAGTACTTAATTCACCGACTCGATCAGGACGCCCTTGGTAGATGTTAATGGCCATGGATGCTCATGGTTCCACTTATTTGAACACTTGGCACATCGTGTTGTGCGTATTATATGCGACTGCTGTAGAGTTTTCCCCTATTAATTTCAAGGACGTCATTTGCGTTCTTATTATTTTCAATATCCTTCGGTATGTAGTTTCTGCTAAAGAGGGCAGCTCCTTTCTTCATGTATTCTGCTAAAATTTTGCAGGAAAGAACGACTGCCAAGATGATTAGAATTTATCTCATCTTGGTTGGTATCTCCCCGGTCTCACTGGAACGAGGGAGTGCCTTGCTGACAGCAAGACTTTGCCCCCACTGGCGTGTGCTGGTTGGTGCTTGCCTTCTCGGGTGCACCTGGTCCAGCTCCACAGTATGCACAGTGAACCACAGCTCTACCACATTCTGTGCAGTATGGTGTCAACCGCACACCTAGCGGCCGTCCTGCTCCTGGGAACACTGTGCTCTGTGTGCCACTTCTGCCCCGAGGTATCGGCGGCCCCGCACATGCTGAGGATTTTGATTATGGAGATTATAAAGTTGATGGCCTATTTCAAGATAGCTAAGTTTATAATATAGCTTCAGTATTATGCTCCACGTGCTCAGTTCTGTTTATTTTCATCCCTTGATACGGAGCACAGCCATGACATGTGCGATAAGTACTCTAGGAGTCTCTTTTTCCGGCTCCTGATCCCTTCGCACCTTTTGCAAGCGCTTCAGTGGTTGTGTGGTCGTGTCCGTTCTTGCAGTGTGGTGCTATCAATTCTCCGCTTTCGTTCAGCACTGTAAGTTTGAGTCGGTTTGCTAGATGGAGGGGGCACAAATGTGTAGCGTGTATTTGATTTCGTGTTAGTGGCGTGCACTCGGTTATCACATCAATTGTTTTGCAAATAAGGTTCGCGATACCTCCCTTGCTGCCTTTTTTGCCTTTGCCTTTTCCTTTCTCCTTACCTTTTCCTTTGTTGTGTTTCCCATGGTCGCCTCCTTTGTACAGACCCCCATAGGCATTGCCTTGGTAGTTGTAGGCATTGACTCCGTTCGCTGATTTGCCTTTTGCGTTTCCTTTTCCTTTGCTCTTTCCTTTTCCTTTTCCCTTTTTCTCAGCTGGCTGTGCTGGTGCTGTGTCTTTGATGCGGCGGAGGATATCGATGATCTCCCGTTTTGAGAGTTTTGCTGTCTTGGATGGGTCGCACTTGAGGTCACTTGCCAAGTGCGAGATCATAGCAGTCTGCTTTAGTTTCCAGAGTGCTGCGCCTAAGCCTTGGACGCATTTCATTGCATCTCGGAGCTCGGTAAACTTTTGGAAGTTACTGCCGAGCACTTTGGCAGCGTAGAGCATGATGAGGCAAGCTCTTTCACCTTTTGCGACTTCGAGGAGCTTTTTGTGGTTTTCTGAGTTGAAGTCATTGACGTGGTCGTGCATCGTAACTACTGACTGGAGTACTTTCTCGGCTGCTTTTACTGCCCTTGAAAGTTCATCTGATTGGAGACCGAAGAAGCTCGGAGGTATCGAGTATCCTGTGAACAGGCTGGATGCTCCTAGTGTTTCGATGATTTCTCGGAGAGAGGCTCTGAGGCTGACAGTGGCGTGTGGTGTCAGGTGCAGTTCGTTGATTACTTCGTCCGCCTTCCTGTTCAGCATGATTGCTGGGTCATATTGGTTGATTGAGAGGATGGTCAGTGCGTCCGCAAATGTGTCCAGTGTTATTGGTGCCTCTTTCTTTGATTTCACGATTTGCGCCGCTTGTTGATTGTGGATGAGTGCAAAGACTGGGCTACTCTTGGTCGTGCTTACCGGTGCTTCCAGGTGATTTTCATCTTCTGAGATGATGGCGTCGACGCACCTTCTGACTTTTCGGAATACGAGCGGACTCAGGAGTCGGGGCATTGATTCAGCTGCGCCTGGTCTGGCTGCCATGAAGCAGTACAGGTGTAGCGCGTAGGGATTAGAGAGGAGAGAATTGCTAAGGTAAATGCCTGTGCTAGATTTCACTCTTTGCCACCAAGCCTGGCGGTAGTACACGCATGGCCGTAACGAGTGACAGCGCTGCCTCCGATCCGTGGCCGCACGCTTCTGCCATGTAGTTTGGAGGTAGCGGGTCCTCATAATGAGGGTAACCCCATGGGCATTTCGACGACTTTGGTCCATGTTGGAGCGCTCTGCCGTCTGCTGTCGGAGGATCCCACTGGTCAGCGCTTCCGTCTTCGTACTCCCATCCTTCCGGACTTTCCGGGGAGTCTGGTTCGATCTCATGACCGAAGTGGCTTCCAAAGGCAGACCTGATTCTTGCCTGGTTGGCTGCGGATGCTTTTTGCTTTTCTGTCTTGTGTTTAGGTGTCCGCTTGGCTGGCGAGACAAAGGAGACGGACTGCGTTTTCGCCTTCGGCTTTGCTTCATGCTGCTCGCCATTTATCTCATCTAGGGTTATTTTTCCGGCGGCGAGCAGGTCCTGGATGTCCTTCGCTGGGTTTTCGCTGTATTCGTCAGAGTCTTCAGTTGGAGAGTCGTCTTCTGCTGTGCTGAGTGGTGTCCACTTTTGACAGTCGATTACAGACGAGGCAAAGTAGTTGGCATATCCCATGTCGACGCCTGGCCACTCTGCGCATGAGATGCGATACTGCTCCGAGATGCCTGGGACCTCTTTGATGCTGTTATCCTCCTGATAGTTCGCCCATGTTTTCTGCTTTTGTTTTTGGCACATAGCCCAATTCTGCTGTTGTGCCATGGCTTGGCTGATCGTCTCCTTCAGTGATCTCACTGGGAGGGGACTCTCCCAGTTACCAGAGTGGAAGGTGTCGTCGGGCCGGTGGTAGCACTGCAAGAGTTGGAGGACTGCTTCAACTGCTTGGAGGATGTCCGGATGGATCCCTCTGTCTCGTTCCTTGGTATTCTCGGAGAGCGATTTTGTTCCACCGATGATAGCGTCCCAGATCACTTCTGGAAGGAGTCGGTGCTGGTATCTCGCGTGGTACAGCGAGTAGCGAAGTTTCAGGATTGTGTTCTTCACGATTGGCGGTAGTGTGTCGAACAGGAAGCATGCTGCTTTTGGGCAGTTGTTCGAGCACCGGTATGCTGTTACTAGTTGGTAGAAGATCGGCTCGATGAACCACCCTTCTGCTATATAATTCTCTACATCTTCTGCCCTGAGTTCTGCTGATTTGTAGGCGTTTCGAACTTCTTCGACGTTGGTGATCTCTTGCCTGGGGACGTCTGCCAGGAGGCTGCCCTGCTCCGGCGATCGTTCCCTAATGACCTTATCCGGTAGGAGTTCGGCTGTGAGTACTCTCAGCGCGAATTCTCGCGGTTCTTTGTTGATTAGTTTTTGGACAGGTGACGGCTTTCCTACAGCTGATCGCTTAGGGAAGCACTTTTCGAGCGCGAGCTGGTTATTTTCTTGCGCTATCGCGTCGCTCGTTTGGAAGAGTAGGTCGAGCCACTGGACGAACGTCTTCCCATTAAAACTTAGCCTGTCACTCGTAGCGGATGGGTGTTCGTTGAAGAAGTCAGAGATTAAGTCGTACTCAGTCATAGCTATAGTTGCGTCGCCATGACTTCTCTCGATGATGAATTCTAGCGGTAGTGTGTCCTTCATACATTTCGGTCTCCCTTCGTATGGTTTTGGTTCAGTTGTGACCTTCCGGAGTTTGGGCTCCTTACTGTTTGTTTCCGAGTTGGTGCGTTTGCTTGATGAGGAGTCTCCCCTTTGTTCGTCTTTGGTCACGTGGTTTGGGGGTTCACTGGCTGGCAGGTCTTTGGGCTCTACCACAGTGTCCTTTGAGCAGTCGCGCTGCTCGGCGGGCAGCATTTCTGCGTCGCTGTTTTGCTGGCGGTTGTCCATGCTGGCCTGTTCGTGGGTTTTTGGTCACCCATTAGGTCACTTGTGAGTTTTCCGTTTTAAGTCTTACCTGCAAGGCCCTTTACCGCACATTACGTCGGATTTCAGGGTGTTCTTGCTCTGTGTTGTGTCCTATTTTCTACGTACAGGCTATCAATAGAGCTAAGAGCGTTCCTTTAAAGATCTACTTGTTAGGGTACCTATGCCGGGTGCTCCTTTGGAGAAGGAGACCCGGGAAGCGTTTCGCTCCTTTTTGAGGGCTCCTTTTAGTGTTTCGTTCTGCGTTGCGAGAACTTTGTTCGCCTTTGCGAGGCTGTCGATACTTTTCAGTAGTCGGAGCCTCTCAGCGTTGTGTGGTGGTACTGCTTTGAGGTCACCTACGATGGCCTCGCAAACTTCGTGCGGTGCCGGCGCTAGTAACTCGGTCGGTACTAGGGTGGTCGCGTCGCAGTGGTCGGCTAAGGCGATGGATATTTCGTTTTTCGGGATGCCTAGCCGCTGGAGGCGTAAGACTTCGATGGGTGTCTCTTGTTGGATCGGGCTTCTCGGCGAGGATGGACCTGCGTGTAATGGGGGCGATAGTCGTGCTAGGGGTACAGGTTCAGAACTTTCATGTTGAAAATCGTCCTATTTTCTTACTTCTTAGCCACGGATAACTAGGGTCTATCCTGAGCTTTACCTTCTTCTTGTTGCTTCTTATCACATGCTCGCTGCTTCTTTGCTGGGGGTTTCTTGACAGAATCCCCTGATTGCAGTTTCTGGCCACTTTTGCTGCGGTCTCGCTTGTGATGCTGTAGAACGTGGGCCGGGGTACTGAAGGTGCTTCTCTGTTCTCCAGAGCTGCGTGGAGTTGCTGCTCCGTTAGGGAGGCACACGGGTGTACTACCTGGGTAGTTTTTGAACACATGTAAGCTATTGCTGTCAGCTACTCAAGTGCTTTGATAGCAGCTCCCCATACAGTGGTGACTATGGTGACTATCAGCGTCGTATGGTGATTGGGGATGTCTGCCTAGTTTGCTATCTCTCACTATGAAGGTGCTAAGAAAAGACCGGACCGCCCTAAAGTAATCATTGACAGTCGCTACTACTACATCTACTCGCCACCTGTGTGCAACCTACATCATTGAGTGACTATCGTGGCTCTATTCTTGAGTGTCAGGAGATGGAGATGGCTTTTGCTGTATCAAGGGCGCGGTCTCAGTGAGGCTAACAACACTACTCGGATGCTACATGATCAATCAACCCCGGAGAGGTTCACGCTAGTCCTATCGTATGTCTCATCCTAGCTCCAATCTCATGGCATACAGCCAGCACCTGCAGGCGTGTGAAGGGAGCACGATGGTGATGGTGTCGATGCGGCGGGCAAAGCCCTTTCCGAGGCTAGGAGGAGCAGGTTGCTACGGGTAGCTGCTTGCTGTGGTGTGAGCTGGAGGGTCAGGTTGTCGCTGGTCGTCGTTTTTGGCGGAGTTAACGGGAGGAACAAGTTGCTAACCGACGACGAGGTTGATCGGGATGGTGACGGTGGATCTGCTTTCGGGGTCACCGCTGAAGTACCTGGTTGATTTTTCGGGTAAGGTGATGCTTGATGAAAGTCAGATGTTTACTATTGTTGGCGCACAGCTGGCGAGGGTCCTGCCTCTTGAATTCATTCATTACAGAATTAACGAACACCTGCGCCAGTTGTGCTATGTTGCTACCTTCGTTTCTAGCAAGGCTCTCTCTATGTTTATCACAAACCATGAATAACCTGTAGAAACCTTCTTTCTCTTCGTCAGTTATCTTGGCGATGGCGGCGGAGTAGGAGAATGGTTTCTTGTCGAGAGCTGGTAGGCCGTCAGGGTCAGGAGTCTCGCCGCTCACTGCAGGAACTGATGTGAGTGTTGGTTTCGTTATATAACAAGAAAGAAACGCGCGTGACGTGACTTTCACCTGATGCCGGTGGTGAGTCTCCGGTCTATGACAGTGAGTAGCTCATGTTCGTTACATATACTAGCGAGCAGTCTATTCAAAATCTGAGAGAGTGTGTGAGTTATTGGAGATATGAAGCCAAGTCATCGCAAGTACCCGAGTGCGCTCGACGTTTTGGGAAGGCTTGCAGCTTGCCAGAGGCTGAGGGCATCCTTGTGCTTCTCGATAGTGAAGAAATCAAGCTTCTACGTTAGGGTGTGGTTTGGAATGTATGACTTTGGGATTTCGTATAGATATATTTGTGATTCTTAAAGCAACAACGTAATAAAGCAACAACAACGTAATAAAGCAACAACGTGTTACGTTTTACATATTTAGGTATGTGTGTGACATGTGTTATCTCATGGCTACGCCTCTCAGTCACGGTGTGCATGCGTGTGCATCTCGTACGGTGGGTTGTCTCAGTCAAGGAACCGACTGTTTGTCACCCGATCCTATCAGACAAAAAAAGAGAGGAAGAAAAAACCGCATACCGATACTTTCAACCGAGGACTCATTGCCATACTGTGGGCCATACTGTGGACCATCACCATTCTATCAGTTCCTTGACAGATTCCTTTGTTCGACTCAAGCAACCGACGAAGCGGTTGCGTTTGCTCCTTTCCTTTATGATTTCGGATCAGGTACATCGATGAGGACATGCGGCATCCTGCACTTCTCGCATTCACCTTCTTAGGGGCGCGATTACTACTCGCAAATAGGAAAATGAGGCACGTGCTTGCGTTATATCTTGCGTTATATTGTGGTCTTGTTATAGTATTAGTGATGATTTCATGTGTCATGCAACATGCAATATCATCACCTTGCGCACGGCCTGTTGTAGTATTGAACAGCGCAACTCAGCTAGGCTAATAGACTGGCTATCTATCAACCCAGTCCATGTGCCATGTAGTCTTCTGTCATGTGCGCTCCACGGTCTCCCCTTAAGGCTCATACGTCTGCCGCAGTCTGCTCCACTCGGTACGTGCATACTCGGATCATAGGTTAGAGGCCTTGTGGAAATTTACAAAAATTACGACCGAAAAAATACCCCTACTTTTTCGGTCGTTATTTTCAATCATGGCCGTGTTTCAAAAATTACGACCGAAAAATTACCCCTACTTTTTCGGTCGTTATTTTCATCCATGGCCGTGCTTTAAGGCTCATGGCCTTTCTACATTGTAGCTACTGTGAGTCTGACATATAGGGTAGAGTGAGCCTTAGGCACATAATCAATCCAAGCACTCGCTTAGTCGGTTAAACCGCGGGGCAATGTAGAGGCCTTTCGCAAGAGCCTGCGATGCTGCCTTTATCTCGCTTGTGGGATGCGGTTTCCCGTAGTTGAGTGCTAGCACTGCTTCTTCGGCTTCACACTGGCACTCGATCGCACGGGCGATTCGGCGGAGCCAATAGAAGATTTGGCTTACTTCCATCGCGATGATCGCGAGGAAAGCCACCAGTGCTGCACTGACTGGCTCACCACCTGCCAACTTGGCTGCGTATGCTGCTGCCACTATCGGCATCGCGACTGCATGCTCATACGCGATTAGGTCTCTCATTCTTCGAGCGGATCGCTTGACGATTGTCATCATCTTGTGCTGATTGTGTAGTAGATTGTTTGTTCTACCGTGTGCTTCTATGCAGTCAGCTTATTACTTTGCACTGTGTTCTTTTTCATCTAGGTGATGTATATGCACCTGTTTCTTTGCTCTTGGCTTTTCTATGCCATTGGCGTTCATCGCAATTTCCTCAGCTGACTCTCAGGCGCTACCTGCGGAATTGTCTCTCGACTGGTCGGAGAGTTTGTGCACAGTTGTTTTGGTTCACTTTGTGTAAGTCTGACGCATCTCTCTTGAGCGCGCTCACCGTTGAAGATGATGTAGTTAGTGTGATGGCTTCTTGATAGTAGTTCAAGAATTTCTCATCTAGGACGACGCCCAATGGTTTTCCTTTACCTATGGGCGATGGGTTTCACTCTTGCCCGAAGTTGACGATTGGTGCAGATGGATACTGCCCCAAAATCAATGCTACTTCGAGGCTCCATTTTGGAGGGGAATTTCAATTGCGCCAGGTGTACAGTGGTATCCCTGTTCGCAGAGAATTTCCCAGAGAAACTCAAGATTCCAGCCATCACACATTATTCCATAACTTCACCTTACTCCTCATCCTACTTAATACTTCCCTAATAGACCTCTGTAGACCTCAGCATAGCATGATCGACCTCACCTGCGGCGCAGACAACGGTAAGAGCCTCGAGGAGAGCCTCCTTTGAGCTCTCTCTTACTCTTCCCTCCATCTATGAAAACATGATTGCAAAATCCTCCACGACAACAAGTACATGTATTTTTAAGTTAGTATGATAATAAAGATAAATATTAATGATTGTAGTTCAAAAATTTAGGAACTCCACCTCCTTCCGTATAACAAAATTGTGGACAACTTCTTCTGAACTTCTCCACTTATTATCATTATACAACTGTTCCTGATTTTTAACAATTAAATCGTAGATCATTCCCCGTAATGAATCAATTAGCACCTCTCCCTCGCGACGTACGTCGAATACGAAAAGCTTGCTAGCTAGCAGAAGAATAAAAAGACACAGTTCTATCCTCATAGTTAGTATGACCTGCACCAGCCTCTTAGGCGTTAGCACTAACAGTGACGTCCCTCTAGATAGATTCAACCTCGTCGGTCCGTCTCCTTCTCAGAATGACGAGGTCAGGTGGATCTGGACCGACTAAGCAGCTATGAGATTAATTATAAAGCAGACAACTACGCGTTGCAACCAACTATACCAGTGCGATCGAATTTTTACAAATCACACAACTATGTTTGTATAAATATATATCTCTCATATTCAGTAGGTTTAATATAGCAATCATAGTCCAGTAATGTTGTAGCGGCACAAGGAGAATGACAACGAACAGCAAGTCGAAGCCAGAAGAAGCCAGCATCTCCATCGCGGTGCTGTCCCCCAGAGAGTACTCCAAGAATTACTTAGTCACTTATTTTTGCAACTCTACATTGTAAATTTTCTCCTTAATGGAGATTCGCATCTTCTCTAGTTTTTCTTTTAAAGCCAGGGCTTTCGGTATGCCAGCGACAGGACTAGAGGTCGACCACACCCATTCTCTATAGTCACCAGCAGCGTCAGTGACGCGAACTGGAGGTTTTGGCGTGGATGCCGGATCATCATGAGTACTGCTCACTAGTGTTGATAATTCCTTTTCAAATACCTCCAAAAACGAATCCGCTAGCATGAGCGCATCTTGGTCGAGTCGGACGGCATCTGCTGTCGAAGTCGAAGATGCAGCAGCCTCGTCTCCGCCAATTCCGAAGATTTTGGCTTCATTGTCATTGACGAATGGAAAAGCCAACTCAACGGGCAGAAGATACCCACTCTTTTCGGTGCGACGGATGGGCACAGCCTCATTTGGATTCAAAATGCCAGTAAACTTCGGAGTAGCGGTCGTACAGGTGCCCTGCTCTTGCGCTTGTAGAAGAGACGTAGTTGTTGGATACCCGTCCCCGTTCATCTTAGGTATCTTATTCGTAGGATGTGTCCGACCGCCCTTCCCGATCCTAGATACCACCACAGTGGCCACATTTGAGAAGCCACCTTCTGCCATTTGTCGTTGCAACTTCTCCACGGTCCTTCGTATAGGCTTAAAACCCTCACTCTCACAAAAGTAAGAGTTCTTCCCGGACAGCAGACTGTACGCCACTGCAAACGGAGAATTTTCAACTGCCACCCGCTGGAGTTGTTAGAAGAAGTGCAAACAAGAGAAACGGGTCGTGAAGATGTTAGGGAAGTATGTGTAAGAAGATGCCCAGGACTGTCCTTGATTGAGGTGATGTTAGTGAAGAAGAAGAAGAAGAAGAAGAAGAAGAAAGACGTGTCGTGAAGGTGTTAATAATCGCCTAGGTGGATCGGTGTAATGTACAAAACAATAGCAAACAGGGGTCGTCGTCGTCGTCGTTCTAGTTGGGGCTGATAAATCTAAATATTTTTGATATCTAGGTGGACAAGACCCTGACCCTGACCCGTTCCCGACCCGATATATTCTATGAAGTAATAAAAGGATACTACGTATAATATTGAAGACAGAGAGACATCAAAAATATTAAAGATCCAACTTATGAAGAGATCTTCAAAAGTAGATCAAACATATTTATTTATAAAGGAGGTAAAAACGCCTTAAGAAAGCTGCTCCTCCACCTGAGAACGTGCTGACGCAGACGTCGGGAAGCAAGTAGAGGCAGCTTGGACTTTGCGCTGTTGCATCTCCTCCAGGATTTGATGCATCGAGAGCGTCTCGAAGTAGTCTGGACTCCTGTTTGCTAAAAATGCTTGTCCACCAAGAGTATCTTCAACTAGCCTTTGCAGACGTGGGAGGCCACCCTCACCGTCGTGGAGGTACATGTTCAACAGTGCATTGCCCACAAAGAACCAGCGCTCGTCTGTGACTCCATTTGCACTCCAGCATCTGGACCCAAGATAGCAGCAACCATCCTCATCATCACAGGTCTTGCTAATTGACAGCTTGTTTGTAAATGTGACTGTTTTGTGGTTCTCTGTACTGCTACCGTGGTCATCAGTTCTTGCTGCACCTACGACACGACCAGCGTCCTCCGACGCGTCGTTCAGAATCCTGTATAGAAGATTCACTTCGTGAGTGCTTGGAGAAGACGGACTTGCAGTAGCCGGCGCTGCAGGTCGTGGGTATTCGAACGCTCCTCTAACAGTCCTGCTCCCCTGCTCCTGGTGACTGAGGAAATTCACGAACGCAGTGAGCAAGAAGTGATTATTCAAAAGGGTATTCTGGTCTCCAGTGGACAAAGCTGCATCGTGCGCATATTTTCGTAGGATCACCAACGCTGCTAGCACGACTCTCGTGAAGTACGCGGAAGCCGATGTTGAGGACACAGGAAGACCAAATGCTGATGAAGACATCACACGAAGGCCTCCTCCATCAAGACGACCTCCAGCTAGAGACTGTTTTTCCTTGTGATGTTTTTCTCTCGTTTCCTGAAGCATCTTTGGCAATACCCTAAGACCTACCTCGTGTAGCTGGCGGAAGGTTGCTATGCTGTTGACAATGGCATTGGGTCTTTCGTGGATGCACAACTCAACTTTGAAGGCCGTCTGCTCTTTTCGGCCAGAGGGTGTCTTAGAGTACGACGAGTACTAGGCAAGAAAGTACTTAGTCTAAGTTACCACTCTCCTCCTGAAGTAGGAATTGGATGCAATTCATCTCTTAGCAAGCCGACCTTTTCAGTTGTACATAGACGTAGTACTGAATTTTCATGAGCTACAGAATAGACATATATATTTATAAGTAAATAAAATAGTACTTGTACTGAATCTTCATGAGCTGCAGAATCTCTTCTAGTATCAAGATGGAGGATTGAAATGAGCCATAACATCTGAAGATGCATCAGACGAAGCCGTCCTCTGGCCAGAGGCATAAGACTCCTTGTCCACTTTAGAGGTTATGGAGTTACGTTCCTCAGATGAGCATCTTCCCTGGCTTCTTATTCTCTTCTAGAAACAAAAAAACCAGGGAAGATGGTCTAGTACAACTGTGGAATGTAATTACTTAATTTGATGGACAAATCGAAAGTAATTCGATAGAAACTCAATTCTTAATTTCTACGAGTTTCCAAGAGACACAAGGGATGTTTGCTCCGGCTTTGGTGGAATCGAATATCATCACTTTGTCCTCAAAGACGTCTTCAATCATCCTCGCCATCTCCGGTTTTTGCATGCTAATCACTTCACCTAGTCGAATCAGGATCTTCTGTTTCGTCTCCTTCGATAGCGTTACTGCCTTACCCGTTTCACTATTCAAGAGCGCCACACCCAAATCAGCGTCACTTTTCGAAGATGGGAGACGCAAGAGCAGGGAACCATAGAGAAAGAAAACCCACTTGATGCTCCCGTGTTTCGGCAGCCCAGCAAGTTCCTCGGATCCCTTCAATTCAGAGAAAGCTGCCTCGATTAGAGCTCCTACCGCATTGGCATCTTCCTCGTCCTCTCATGTTGATCTAACAGTAAGTACTCAATAATACTATCATGATCTCTAACAGTAAGTACTAATACTCTCATCTAACAGTCTAAGTACTAATACTATCCTTGGCAGGACAAGGAGGTTCTTCTTTTTCAAGTAGAAAAAGCCGGACCTAGGATCATGGAGGAGATACTTCATCGGTTGCCTTATCTTGAAACCGGATTCGACCAGCCTATTCGTGATCAAGGCCACAAATTTCTGCAATACCCGTTGATCTTCAACGCTCATCAAATTGTATTAGACCTACTTACCCTAAATTCATCTTTCAGCTTCAACCTTGAAGAGTATCAGGATGGAGGTACTCACTCATGATACTTTGTTTTCAGGGATGCGTCGAAAGATGAATTACCTACACCTACAGCCTTAATTGTAAGGCGGCGGCTGCAGGGATTGGCTTCTTTCTTCGGAAAAAGCTGGCGAAGTGGGTGGCTCCGTAGAATTCGCCTCTGCAATTCTCGAAGCGCTGCTCCAGCGTTTGTCTGTTGTAGAAGGGTTGAAAGATAGTCTAAGTAGACCGAAGAATTTCATTATTCTAGTATATCATACTGAGTATGAAATGACTCCAAGAATCAATCAAAATAAGAAGCTTTTTGATGTTCATTCATTCGCGTCTCAAGTAGCACTACTATCCACGGTTAAGGTTGTAATGTCAACAAGTATTAGAATACTATTGATAGCATAGGATAGTTAGGCTTACCTGTTAACCTTAGATACTCGAAAAAAATATTTCACATCCCGAACACAGGATGGAGAGGCTGCTTCGCTGCAACAGGACATTTTTGTTTGTTGTGTTCTGCCTATGACGTTTGGTTTGAAAGATTGAGGATGGCTAATATGCTTGTGTATGAGGAAGAGTCTAAGACTCAAAGACATTATAGAAGGAGATAAGCTAAATTAGACCTAGTGAGGACTTCATATAAAGGAGATGACGAATAGGACTTAATATAAAGTCCCACCAGGAAGAAAGGGGAAAGCTAGGTGCTCGCGACGATATCGGAACGGAGTCGTTGACCTTGCCTATGGGTGCTAGCTCACCAAGGTCAACGTCCGACATCATCCGTCAGGAACGAGCGATTAGCTTAGGTTAGGTTGTGAATCCTGCACATCGAAGCCCCCCTGCACCTGGCTCGACTCCGAGGATGAATCGGTGACCTGAACGAACACTCTATTATAACTATATAAATTCTTAACTCCTCCTTTATTCCCCTGCTAATGCTCGTTCTTGATAGGATAGAATAGGATAGAATATAGGATAGAATATAGGATAGAATATAGGATAGAATATAGGATAGAATATAGGATAGAATATAGGATAGAATATAGGATAGAATATAGGATAGAATATAGGATAGAATATAGGATAGAATATAGGATAGAATATAGGATAGAATATAGGATACATGCCCAGAAAGCGGGCCCATCAAGGGCCCGCTGCGCTGGGCATAGGTTAACAACTAGACAGGTTGACTACTAAGAGACAGAAAGACAAACGAAAAAAGTCGCCAAGTCTGCTCGCCAAGGCTGTGAAGCTGGCCCCCACTGTGGCGAGGCTAGTGAGGAGACTACCGCTATGGCTACTGCCTTGGCCAACTTGCTTGCTAGGGGCAAGCCAATGGGCGCCAAGGCTGGCCCGCTGAGCGTCATGGAGTCCATGAGAAGGCCACGCTTGGACATATGTAGGCACAGAGGTTGGGCCCTTTTGAGTGTGATCATGTCCAGGAGAATCCCAAAGCATAGCATACCCATGGGATGGCAAAAGGCTGACACTGGCGAGCGTCATGGTTGGACGAGGCCCATGAGAAAGCCACGCCTGGGCATATCTATGCGCAGAGGCAGAAGCTGAGCCCCAACCTTCAGGCGCGGGCATGTGTCTATAAGCTTGGCCGTTTCATGGACATGACGCAAGACGCCCACCACGGTCCGCGCCTCAGACATGCAACCAATGGCCCACATTTATCATTCTCACACACAGGCATCGACGTCCTCAGCCTTCAGCCTTCACCGACGGAGATGCATGCGCTTGGCCTTCTCATGGACATGATGACGCCCGCCAGGGTCCGCCCTTATCTACTTGCTCACAGAAATCGACATCCTCAACGGCTTCGACTTTCACAGGCAAAGCTGTACACCTTTGGCCTTCTCATGGATGTGATCGTGATGACGCTCACCAGGGTCCACCCTTCAGACACGCAAGTGCTCAAGGCTATCACTCTCACAGACATCGACACCCCCAACGGCTTCGACTTTCAAGCGCAGAGATGTATGCCATTGGCTTTCTCATGAGTATGATGACGCTCCACAAGGTCCACCCTTCAGAACTGCAAGTGCTCACGGCTATCAGTCTCACAAGCATCGACATCCTCAACGGCTTCGACACTCAAGCGCATAGATGTATATCTTTGGCCTTCTCATGGATGTGATGACGCTCACCAGGGTCCACCCTTCAGAGATGCAAGTTCTCACGGCTATCAGTCTCACAGACATCGACATCCTCAACGGCTTCGACTTTCAAGCGCAGAGATGTACATCTTTGGCCTTCTCATGGATATGATGATGCTCACCTGGGTCCACCCTTCAGACATGCAAGTCCTCACGGCTATCATTCTCACAGGCATCGACATCCCCAACGGCTTCGACTTTCAAGCACAGAGATGTATACCCTTGGCCTTCTCATGGATATGATGACGCTCACCAGGGTCCACCCTTCAGACATGCAAGCCCTCACGGCTAGGGCTATCATTCTCACAGACATCGACATCCTCAACGGCTTCGACTTTCACAAAAAGAGATGTATGTCTTTGGCCCTCTCGTTGATCTGATGACGGTCACCAAGGTCCACCCTTCAGACATGCAAGTCCTCACGGCTATCATTCTCACAGACATCGACATCCTCAACGGCTTCGACTTTCATACACAGAGATGTATATCTTTGGCCTTCTCATGGATATGATGACGCTCACCAGGGTCCACCCTTCAGACACGCAAGTCCTCACGGCTATCATTCTCACAGACATCGACATCCTCAACGGCTTCGACTTTCACGCGCAAAGTTGCACACCTTTGGCCTTCTCATGGGTATGATGATGCTCACCAGGGTCCACCCTTCAGACACGCAAGTGCTCACGGCTATCATTCTCACAGCCATCGACATCCTCCACGGCTGCGACTTTCAAGCGCCGAGATGAGTGTATTTCTTTGGCCTTCTCGCCGATCAATATGATCACGCTCGTCAGCCTCTACCTTTTCAAGTGCTCACCCTCTCCCTTACAATTCTCCCGCTTTTGTGCTGGTTAGAAGTATACTGGTCAACCATCTCCAAGGGCTGCCGCGCGCTCCTGTGCCGTGGTCGATTGCTGTGCGCGGAAGGTAGTCGCGGAAGGGGAGCGAGCTAACTTTTTCCCAAAAACTTCGGGGAGGTCGTTCAGTTTTCTCTGTATTTGAATGACCTCCCTGAAGTTTTTGAAAAAAAGCGAAGGCGCTGGGCGATATATGACAAGGGTAACGGTTGGCAGTTCGTTGGGGCGATTCGCTAGGGGTGGGCGCGTAGTGTCTTGCTGCGGGTGTGGCTGGTGTACGTGAGTAGCCTACAAACTAACAGCCGCGAACACGCTAGCACGTTCGTGACACCTTTGAACTCGTAGCACTAGCAAGGTCCTTAAGGAGCCGCTGTTATTAGCCTAAGTTTATAACAGCTTGTCCTTAAGGGAGCTCCTTAAGGAAATTTTTTTCCTCTTAAGGAAAGTTATAATAACTTTTTATAATAAAAATTCTTTAAGGAAACTGATTTCCTTAACGGAGCTCCTTAAGGAAGCTCCTTAAGGCAGCCCCTTAAGAGATTTCTGGCAATTGCTAATACTATAAATACTAATATAGGATAGAATAGGATAGAATAGGACAGAATAGGACAGAATAGGATAGAATAGGATAGAATAGAGTAGCATAGGATAGAGTAGGGCGCCCACGTTTCGCCGCCTATTGGTATTGCTGTTGGTGTCCTACATACAAGAATTACAGCATCATCAAGAAGAGAAAAATATACCTCGTAGTTCTTGCTCTCCTGTTCTCTTGCCGAGGTCTGCTACGTCAAAAGCATTATGGCCGAGTAGGTTGTAGCTCTGTCTGTCTGGCCGAGCATCAAACAGCACGTTTATGTTATATTCTTGGCGATCTTTAACATCAGTCGATGGTCCGAGAAAGCGCGTACGCCGTCTGATCCCAAGGTCGCGCAGATCGCGAACAAGAGCATATCTCCAGATAGCTTCGAGTTGCACTAGGTTTGTATTTCGGTCGAATGTTCCCGCGCTAAAACCAAAATGGGTGCCAACTAAAATTAGTAGAGTAGAAAAGAGGGTACGAGGGCCACCTCCTGCTTGATCATGCGTAGTTCTAGCTCACGCGTAGAAGTTCTTGTTCTAGGTCTTTACAAGAATAATTACAACAGGAAGGGAAAGGATGCATGTTCATGTTATTGCTTCTACATAGGGACTTCCACCTATGCAAGCATTCTGTAGGGAGGAACCTGCGTAAGGCCTCACAGACAGCACGGTAGGGAAAGAATACGAAGTAATCTTGCATCTAAAACTAAAAGACATGACCATAATTATAAATCGTAAGTAAGTAGTATACCAATGGAAATTGAGGGAACGATAAGGATAACTTCAAGTGATCAAATTCACTAAGAGCTTCGATCTGTAATAGATGTAAAAGCTGCTCGTCCTATAAAGTTGTAGTTGGACTACATTGGAGTATAGTAGCACAGACGAGAAGCTCTATGAGTGCCTAGATGTAGTGATTAGTTTTCCTATCACTATGGATCCCAGTTTATCACAACCGAGAAATTATGATGAAGAACTAGACTGGAATCCGCAGGTAGGAAAAACGGTTTTAAGCACTAGACATAATCAATATGACGCTTCTACCACCATAAGATCAACTCCTGGAGGTGGCTCAATTTCTTCCATGCCCAGCGGTTAAAAGCGAACGTTTTGTCGAAATATTCTTCACGGGTTGTGACCAGATTGGTGTTCTCCGCAGACTGATAGGAAATCCACCCAGGAAACATCTTGACGCCCACAATATCATTAGAAGATGCTGGCTTTAGAAGGCTAGGCTATGTTAGGTTATGGATCCTGCTGCACAATGAGACACACAAGATGAAAGAGAAGACCCACACGACAAGATGAAGAACTTGATATTATAAAATGAAGCTATACTGCTTGAGGCTCTTGAGTCTTAGCGATGCCGCGCAAGCATAAAGTATCTATGTAAGTAAGATAAAGATGAAGAAAAAGGGACCTAGATGAGCTGGAACGAAGATATTAATCATATCATCTATGGAAGATATTGAAAAATGTACCCGTTGTCCTACCTAGATGAGACAAAAAATAGAGAAAAACTCTAGTAGTCCGATACCTACACTACTACTTCCGAGTCCTGAGAAGTGTGCCATAACTTCACTTTCTACCGGATTTCTTTTATGAGCGGATTTGTCTTCGTAAATGAGCAACTGAAAGCCCGTCCCTTCCCAGTCCGGTGTTTGATCCATGCAGGTAACCAGGGCAGGCAAATACTGATTAGAACGCAAAGGAACGCATTTCCCACGCTCAGTCCTGCAGATTCCCAAGAAGGAAACAGAGGAGAATGACCATTGAAGATGAATTACTTCAAGCCTTAAAATGAAGTATAAAAGCATTCACTTCATCTCCGTCTGCATCTGGGAGGTCTTTGAACATCTCTCTCACTCTCGCAGATATCGTTTTCTGGTGTTGCGACATCACGAGACCCATACCGTGTGGATTATGAGGCATCATGACACCCATACTGTGTGAAGGCATCATCGCACCCATTCCGCTCACAGGGTCGTGTGAAGGCATCATACCACCTGCCCAAGGTGGATGCACACCACCTGAAGCCATGAATCCGATTCGAGGAGGCATACCACTCGTAGCCATACCATAAGGTGCAGGCATTGGAGGGTGCATCATGCGGTATCCGTATGGAGCTGCTCCTGGCACCATAGGATCGATGTCCATCATTCCGCGTCCGCCGAAAAAATTAGAAGAGGATTATTAGTCTCATTTAGTTTTTCCTTTTAATTCTCTCTATGTATTAGAAGCAGTTTTGTGGAGGTGTAACAACAAGTAGCATAAGAGCCTCCGCATGATTGAAGATTCTCGGATTCGGTAGATAGAAATCTGCTGATGATTCGAATCTATTCGGCAGCTGCGTCTCTAACTTTTCCCTGTGGTAGCCGTAGCTGCTAGAAAGAGATAATATAAACTAACTCTCCTAGGTAGTATAATACGAGTACTTTTGTATTAAGCCTTAAGGTAGTCTGGTGACATGTCAGCAAGACCAAACCAATTATCTCGGGAAGAAGAAGCAGCACCATCGGATTTTACCCGCCATTCGTATTCTGAAGGTGAGGTACTCAAAAACGCGTCCTTTGTTTTTTCTGCTTGTGCTTTAGCTTTCCTTGATTCCTGTGCAGCTTTCCCTTTGGCTTTTGCTGATTCTCTCGCAGCTTTCGCTTGTGCTTGTTCAGTTACAGCTTTCGCTTGTGCTTGTGCTTGTGCTTGTGCTTGTGCTTGTGCTTGTGCTTGTGCTTGTGCTTGTGCTTGTGCTTGTGCTTGTGCTTGTGCTTGTTCAGTTGCAGCTTTCGCTTGTGCTTGTTCAGTTGCAGCTTTCGCTTGTGCTTGTTCAGTTGCAGCTTGTGCTTGTTCAGTTGCAGCTTTCGGCTTCGCTTGTGCTTGTTCAGTTGCAGCTTGTGCTTGTTCAGTTGCAGCTTGTGCTTGTTCAGTTGCAGCTTTCGCTTGTTCAGTTGCAGCTTTCGCTTCTGGTGTTGCTAATGTTAGAGCAGGAGCCGCGATATAGAGACAAAGACTACATGAAAGCATACAGGTTAAAAACCTATCTAGTAGTTGCCTATAATTATGATAAAAAAACCAATCAGATAGTACCTACGGTATCATGGTGCCTATATAGGAGATTGAGATGTACATTGTAGATTTGAAGATTGTAGAAGATAAAAACAGGATTTTTACGTTCGCAACCTCTTGTTCTTCTGATGATAAGATTGTAGAAGATAAAACAGGACTTTTACGTTCGCAGCCTTTTCTTCTGATGATAAGATTGTAGAAGATAAAACCAGGATTTTTACGTTCGCAGCCTCTTCTTCTGAAGAAGATAAAAACAGGATTTTTACGTTCGCAGCCTCTTCTTCTGATGATGAGATTGTAGAAGATAAAACCAGGATTTTTACGTTCGCAGCCTTTTCTTCTGATGATATTCTCTTTACATAATTTCAACTGCCCTTGAGCCGTTTGTTGTTCTGCGGCCTCATCGATAGCTGATCCGTCCCCTTCTTTTGACTCCTCATCGACCTCGTCGTCGACAGGATAGAACTCATCTGCAGAAACCACTACATCTTCATAAGCTGACTCGCCCCCTTCTTTTGACTTCTCCTCGACCTCGTCGTCGACAGAATAGTACTCATCTGCAGAAACCACTCCATCTTCAGAATCTTCCTCTTTTTGTTCAACTACTTCTTCAGAGCAGTTAAGTAGAGCACCTTTCTCGTCACCCTCTGAGCCAGTCGGTTCAGGTTCGGGTTGCAGCGAGCCTTCGCCTATAATATCCTCGTCTGTAGTTTGCTTTCCAGATGAAGTCTGTTCATCTTTCTCCTCTCGAAGTCGTTCCGTCTCTGGAGATGAAATACTACGTTGAAGATGTAATTCATCGTTTGGTTTTTTCGTCTTTTCGTCTTCAACAGTTGCCGTGCGTGTTCCTGGCAGTGGCACTTCCTCAACGCCATTCATCAGTTCATCTCCATCAGCCATTGGAGTTGGTGGAAGTGGAATTTCCTCAGCGTCCATCCTACTGGGTTCTACTTCGACCACTTTTTCATTTTCTACTGCTTTGACAGGTGTAGTGATCGATGCCTCTTCCACTTCGTTCACAACTGCTTTGACAGTGGTCGTTTTAGAACTGAGTACTTTCTGTTCGTTATCCCGAAGATCATGAACATGTACTCGTCCTGCTTCCTTGATGAGTGTAGAAGGACCACTTCTGAGTTGTCCCGAACTCGTCTCATTTTTAGGGCGCTGGATTCCCTGCCTTATGTACGATCTAATACTCGTGCTAGGTTTAACGTGCCCATCCGAGCCACGGGACTGGTGCATGTGCCAACCAGGGGTAATAGGTGAGCGTGAGTGGTGCATGTGCCAACCAGGGGTCATACTATGTGAGCGTGAGTGGTGCTGCGTCTTCCAACGAGGAGCACTCTCATGACTATAGGCGGCCGGACGAGGATGAACGTTTGCAGTCTTCGTCCACGAATCATGGTTATTTGTTTGCCAACGCCAACCATGGTTCTTTGGCTCGCTTCCTTGATCTGTTCCAATACCGCCTTCTGCTTGCCACTTCGGTGCATCAGAGCCGGAGCTGGAAGCACACGCGTGGCCATTACCTCTTGTACTACTTCTAGAACCATACCCGAAATTTTTACCTTCATAGGAGGACGCGCTCTGGTGCCAAGAACTTCTCGAAGGAGTGTCATTCCACGTTGTAGTACTGCTCGACGAAGTGTCATGTTGCCATGCAGAACCGTATTGCGAGGTCGCATGGTGCGGCTTATACGGAGGACGATAATTCGACTGGTATGATGCAGAGCGATCATCTTGTTGCCAATAATAATCACGTGGATAGCCACGACCTTCACGTCCAGCCTGAGCGCCACCGCTGTCTTCATCACCAGTAGGGGATTTGGCTTTCCACCAAGGCCTCGCAAACGATGCGCCATGGCACACAGCCGTAGATGCAAAGAGCAGAGGCAAAGAATAACTGGTCCGCGCCATGGTGGCCATCTTTCTCATAATACCTTTGAGCTAGTATCTAAGTTTGTCTTACGTGTTTTCACCGAGGTAACACCTGCCAAACCTGGACGAGGAAAGGGAGCGAATATCATGCACGTTCACCCTACGCCGGTCTTGTGTCGTGCTTGTGCGGTTGTTGTTCGTTCTTGCGCTTGCTTATGTAGTTAGCTAAGTAAGACGCTGACGCTGCGGCGCGTGATCAGAAGACTTCGGATTTCTGTGGGGAAATGGATCAAGGTTCGCAATGGATCAAGGTTCGCAATGGATCACAAGCTTGCTCTACAAACCTCTTGAGCCGAAGGTAGATTCGTGTTTTAGGCGTGCACATGCTTAACTTAACACATTCATCTTGCCCATAGAGGTGCGCGATTACTAATTATCATTATTATGTTCGCGCGCGACATTATCGCCTCACACGTGGCGCGCTCGCGGCGCCCTTACTGATGTAAGGGCACAAAGGACCTTCCAGGCGGCGCGGCGCTTGTTGTGTTTTGGGTTTAACGGGGAGGTTGCGTGTGTCTACTCGCTACTTTTATCTATCTTCTATCTACTCTATATCTATCTCCTACTCGCTGCTCTGTCCGTCTTCGCCCGCTAACTTAGAACACATCCCAAACATCCGACTCCTTCACCAGCTCCTGTCCTCAAAATATGGTTGCGAAGACATCAAAAGCACATGTCTGACGTAGGACTGACATCAAAACTAACCGGCCAAAAATGCTTCTATACAAGTATCGAGTATATCTTGGAACTTTTAATGCCAATTGCTTGAGGTTTCATTAGGCCAAACATCAAATGCGATAAAAATACAAAAGATTTAGATTTACTTACTAGAAAATAATAACTATAGTAGTTTTACACGTTTCGTCCTTCACCGTTAGTAGTTGTAGTTGTAGTTAAGAGACTTCATCATATTGGCAATATGCTATTCTAAATCGGAAAGCCTAACGTGCAAGTTATAGTAGAATTTCAAGAATTTGATGTTGACAGTATGCTCTATGAAATGACTCATTTGTGCTCGGAGGATGCTAACATGTCGTGAATGTGTGTTCATCCTCTCATTATGCAGCTATGCATTTCTCATAGCAGCACTATACATTTTTCATTTGACTTTTTCATTATAAACTATGTCTTCTAAATGTGTCAGTTTCTATGTGACTGTGACAGACTACTACGTCTCGTAAACTATGTTGGGAGGGAGTCTTCACAATGCCTAGAAGTTGTCCAACGAATATTATCATGATCAGTAGTTTCATGATCAGAAAAACCACATCGATCCTCGGTCACAAGAATCAGTTCAAATCTTTGGTCTAGCAGGCGCCGTAATGATACCAGCTTCTTGTTCCGCCGCCGTCTTCAGCAGTGCTTCCTGCACCAGCGCTTGTCTCGTGAGTCCCCTCAATTTGCTCGATTCGTCTACCTTCATCATCGCCTTGCGCCAGACGAATTGGCCTCTCGTCTTGATCATGTTTCCGCCTACATTTTGGCCTAGAAAGACTGCAGCTAACGCGAAAAGACAAGTCTGCAACACGGGTTCTGACTTATCGTTATCCGGAACCACAAAGTCCCAGCTTCGCTCCTTGGTGTAGAGCGAAAAGCAGAGCCATGGCTTCAGCATCTTGTACATTTTGTTACCTTTACTACCTGTTCATGTTTTGTTGATTGAGATTGACAAAAAGACAATTTCAATAATTATGTTCAGAGAGTGAGAGATCCTGCAAAAGATTTTCATCGTAAAAAGCATTGCATCCGCATACGGCATGAGGCAAAAAACAAGTCTAAATGTGAAATGGAATGTTCTTTACCAACCGCATAAGCTCGACTTTGTTCTCCCCATTCCATATGCATCACTTCCTTGAGGTTGACTTCCGTAAAGCCGCCTCTAGGAAAACCACGACGATACTTCAAAACAGCTTTGCTCACATCTATGAAAACCGTCTTGCCAGGTTGCTTCCCGTCTTTCTCCGATATTTTGTCGATTACTATACCGTCATTCGCGGCTGTTTTTACCTGAGTTTTGGTGGCGGTTGCTTGGAAGGGGAAAATCTTTCATCAATCTTCTGAATATCGTGTTTCGTAAGAAGCCTCCAGGGGAAGAAGCAGATTGATAAAACAGATCTAAATCAAACATTCAACAAAATTTCTCAACACGAGCGATTCTATCTAGCAAACCCTATGAATATAAAAATAGTACCTCTCTCGCAAAATTGACATCTCTCGGATTTCTCGGTACGCCTTCATGACGATCATGAATCCGGTTCATGGTCCTTTTGAGGGCTTCTAGTTCGTTTCGCTTCTCCTCCAGTGTCTGCTCTACGCGCTTGTTTTCCTCTTCTGCTTCCCGTTTTAGCTTTTCGATCTCGAGATTCTGCATGCTTCCCTTCTCCCGTTCCTCAGCCAATCTCGCATTCAGGTCAGCCGTGCTCATGCTCATCGCCCCCTTCGTTTCGACTAATTCGTTCCGCAAGTGCTCCACTACGGTTTCCAAGACAGAAATTTCGTGTCCGTTAGAGTGTGACGTGATATTATGGGTCGTGAGGCAATAAACGGAGGAAGCGTGCTGAAAGAAGTCGTGACTCTTGCAGTATCAGAAGATGAAGTGTCACTCTCCCTCATTCTCGTCCTCCTCCTCCAGGAGTAGTTGAAAAACCCCTGAATAAGCGAGCTACCTGAATGATCATAACTTTGACCACCCTCAAGCTGCCCGTTCCCAAGGAGTGCTTGTCTTCCACTTCGCTAACAAAAGTCGCATACTCCTTCGTCTGTTGGGCGTACGCTCTCTGGAGTTTCAGAAAAACACTCCGCAAAGGATCGATCAGTTCGCTCAGATGCCGGATCAATTCGTTCTTTTGAGATATGAAAGCGGGATACTATAGAGAGATGGAGGGATACTATAGGGAGACGGAGGGATACTATAGGGAGATCATGAAGGGATACTAGTACATGTCATGTCATGTCATGGTACCTCTTGTGTAGCTATTAGCGTCTACTTGCGAGGCCAATTATAGGGAGATGGAGGGATACTATACATAGGGAGGACGCTGTCGTGAAAAGTATAAGAAGGCAAAGAAAAAGATTAAGGTCCCACTACAACAAAATGCAACAACTATCCATCTCTATCTTCCGAAGATGATAAGTATGAAGAAATACAAATGCAATATTGTTTGGATGAAGAAAGAGAATTCATCATAACTTTCGTTGCCTTTTCCAAGTTTTCGGTTTGTTGCACGCGCATCTCCGCTTCTCTTCTTGCTAGTTTTAGCGAAGACTGCATCACATCCAGTTCAATCTGTGCTTCTTGAAGACGAGTCTCCAAATTCTGCTTCGCGGCACGAGCAGCCTCAGCGTCGGATTCCATTTTGGTGTATTGCTGCTGTAATTGCAGGTGGTTCTGTTCGAGTTCCTCTACTGTGAGGAAGTAGCTGTCGCGTTCTAGAACGCGCTGTTGTGCTGCGGCCTGAGCTGTTTTTAAGGCAGTGGCGGCGGCCTCATTTTCCTTGCGCAAGGAATCGATTTGGGAGGCGTAAGTGCCTGAAGGTTGGGTCGGAGTAGAAGACATAGAAGTATTTGTTGGCGTCGTTGGTCATTTGCCTTTCTTCAAAGGAGAAAAAAAAACTGAATCTGACCCAACCACTTATCCCTCTACAACCCGTAGCAGTAAAGCGGCTCAAACTCAAACGACTCAAAATTACAGTACCAATCTTCTTCCTCATATCCTTCTCTTCGCCATCTATTATGCTTCGCGCCAACCCTTTAGGATCCCCTGATTTAACTGCCTGTTCCAGTTTCTGCACCTTGGACATTAGCTCCTGATTGCTACGTTCGAGCTCAAGAGTGTGTTCCTTTTGTTGTTCCACATCGGCTGGGATTAGAGAGGCGCAGGCGGAGTTGAACTTGAAATTATACGTTCACACTTTGAAGTAGCTTTCGTTGAATCTTCTGCATCCTAATAGCTGCGCTTGAGGTTAAGTAATGGTAATCATGATAAGGTTATAAATTTACTATGAAGTAGACAATCATAACTGCAAGACGCTTTTCTCTTGCTCGAGACGTGTGATATCCCTGTAAAGCTCTTCGCCACGTTCAAGGAGCTCCTGTCGTTCGTTCTCTGCCCTCACTGGCGAGGACTCTGCTGAGCTTGCACTTTTGGCCCCCTTCAGACTCAAAGTCTGTCTATTACCTTGTCTAGTGCTTTTCCTTGTACTTTTCCTCGCATTCATCTGCGTGTTTGTGCTCAATAAAGCTTTGGTGGTTGTAGAAGGACTTCTCGAAGAGCCTCTTGAAGATGTGTTGGTGTCATCTATTCTGATGCTCACTGTATTTCCCGGTCCCGCCATGCTCTTTTTCTTAGCCACACTAGCTGAAAACCGCGACTTCATAGGACTACTACTCTGCGACGCTCCTGCTCCAGCTATGCTTCTCGCCTTACTAGTTGTACCACTAGTACTTTTCGACAGGGTGATACCATTTTCCACGTCCCTGGATGGTCTGTGCTTCTCCGCCATCAAATCCTCAACCAGATCGCTGGAAATGATGGTGCCTTTTGCTCTAGCAGCGGGAACAAACAAGTCGTCGGCAGTCGAGGCGCGTTCTCTGTGGTACTGGGTGATAGACTCAGCCTCGCGCCTGAGGTCATCCAGACTCATTCGCATCTGCACACTCGTCATTTTTTCTGATTCTGCCTGATAATTATGGATGATCTAAATCAGGTTTTCTTACCAAGCCATATCAAATTGCGACAATGATGCTGCTCGACGTATCATGACGTGAAAAACGCCAGACGAGGTTAAAATGATAATCCGAAGGGAAAAGAGTCGTGTGCGGCTACTACACTTTAAGAATCCAGGGGACATGCGAGACGAGGCTCAAATACTAATTTCGTGCGTGGCTACTACACTTTAAGAATCCACAGCACAACATCAACCGATTTTCTGTTCTACCGAAGGAAGCGCCAACAGGTGAGATCAATACGGACCGATGCCACAGTGCCTTAGCGTCGTTGTAACAGATTCTGACTCACCACAGATTTTTGTCTAACACATTCTGTGACAGCAGATGAGATACACTTGGACTTGCTCGGTAATCATGATTTGTCAAGATTACAAGATTGTCCCCAGTAGAGCACACACACTACGATGCCAAGGCCAAGGCTGGCAACAATGTTTCCACCTCCCTTGTTTTCCTACTACATAGCAATGTTGTTGCACTGCAATTATTCAACATAGAAAGTTTTAGTTATTTTGCTGGTATTGTACAGCGAAGGATTCAGTACCATTGGTCATCTAGTCGTATGTTCCTCTCTACTCGTCCGTGGCCACTCGTCATTTTGCAAGCGCACGTAGCTAGACGCTATGAGCGCAAGTAGCCGCGAAATTGAATTCCGTTATCATCCGCGCAACTCATTTTTGCTTTTCGCGGTCTCGCCTGCGCGCGGTCCCTCCGATCTCTCTACCTTCGGCATGCATCAGAAAAAACGTGCATTTAGGGTAATAAGCGCGCGTCCACTGAGGCACTACCTGGAGAACCCGCTATGCGCACTCTCAAGAAGTTCTGTAGGAAATAAACTGAACTGTTGCTGTTCATAGAAGTTCCTCCCATTCAATAAAATGGGACATGCCTCGGTTGAAAAGTGCATGTGCAGAACAACTCCGCCTTCCCCACTAACCAAGGTCTGCGCCAGCAAATAGAAGTGCAGAACAACTCCGCCTTCCCCACTAACCAAGCATCATGACCAGCGATGCAGCCGCAAGGCCTGCTACTGGTGCCATTCCGAGTGCAAGCTGGGTGACTTCTGATCTCAAATCAGCGAAAAACAAAGAGCTAGTGACCGCAAGGAATAGCTCCGAAACTAGGAGAAAATAGGCCGTTCCATTTATGTAAGTGTCCAGATTGAGGACGGAAACTTAGAGGGGGTGTGGTCGTTGGGCCTTTTTAACTACTCGAAGTTAGACATCTTTTAATGTCCATCGATCTGGAGAGAAACGCTAATGATCCTTCAGGCCATCTAGCAGCCAAAATGTCTTATTTGGTTCTTCTTCCTGCCTGCCATAAAAGATGCTATGTCGGAAGAAATAAGCGGGTATCAGTGTCTGCAATGCGGTCAAGATGCTGCTACCGATCGTGTAGCGAAGATTCTCGGTTTTATTCCCGACACGAGTAGCGTGATATCGTAACCCTTGCACAATAGGACAAGCAAGTAGCAGCAAAGCTTCGTTTAAGGCACGACTATGGCTTACCTGAAAGTAAGAAATTCTGAATGAAGAACATGAAGTTATTTATAAGTGAAAGGTAGGATTGAGTGTTAGAACAATGTGTCATGTCATGTCATGGTGCCTCTTTTCAGAAGAAGTGGAAGAAGAGCAGAATCGCAGAGGTTGTATGTATATATAACGCATAAGAAGAAAAAGAAATACTTATGTTCATCATTAAGTGCTTGCTTTAAGATCTGCGTTGACTCCACAGAGTGGGCAATTTCCAAGCTGAGAGAGTCTTTACAACGAAAAAAATGCGCCGCTTAGTCTTTCAATAGAAATAAAGCACCAGTCCCCCATGGTTATACAAGTTCACTTTGCACACAAGCGTGATAACGTTGCAGAGGAGAAAGAGGCGGAAAAAATAAGCCTGAACTTCGGAAACCAGTGCCCATATCAGTGAGCTTCGCGTAGAGTCCAAACCGGCTGCCATTTTCTTGGGAATTTGACTTGTCAGGAGGTATTTGCCATCTGAGGAGGTATTTTTGGGAATCTGACTTGTCAGAATTTGACTTGTAGGAATTCGGAAAATCCTTCGCGCCTGCAAAAGCGAGTATTCTCTCTGATATTGTTTCCTCGCTCAGTTCTCCAGACGAATGAAAGAACAACGTTTTCCAAAGAAATACCAAGAAGCCTTAAGTACAAGCGCTTGTCTGATCCTCTCTTGCTGGAAAGAGTCTGCTGAGAGTCTCGTGACTTGCGCTGCAGGCCCCTTGTGACCTGCGCTTGTGTTGAAGGGGAATGCCCTCCTTGTTCTGTGCTCTTTTCCACAACAATTCAATAATTGATACAGAGTTCTGACGCGTGATAATGCGGCATCTTCAATTACAATTTTTCAAAACTATTAGAGTGTTCAAGATGAACCAAAACAACTGAAGCTCTGAGCACATGATTCATCACGTAATTTGATTTCCTTAACGACCAAAAGTCTGCACACATGAAAAACATCCGAATGTTCGAGACGATGATGCCTCGACATGGTCTCGTAAGGCTAAGAAGTGGATCATTATTTAGCAATATAATGAGTGCATGATGAATCGATTCGTTATACCATCTAGTGTAACTAGGAAGTACAACTGCACGAGCCGATTTCTGCACATTCGATTGAATTCTGAATACTTAAGTAAATTGAGAATGACACTATTCTTATTCACACGTTGCATTTCTGGCATGCGGGATGACTGGAAACTTCATACAGAAAACTCATAAAATAGGAACTTCAACTACTCGTCTACTTGAGCGGCATTCACTAATACTGGCTCTACTACTGACTTACTCGAATACTGGACGTACTACTATCAATTTTCACTGTTGCTTATGGTCCTATAGATACATAGATTCTACGCACTGTGCTTGTGATTGCACTGCTGGAAGCCAGGCAATTGATCCTTGTATGCTACCGATTCAAATGCATAAAACTACTCGACAAGCGTTTCTTTTTCTTGGAAAGAACTAAAAAATCCAAAATTATCCACTTACAACCTCTCTATCTCTAACACTCTCTACCTCTAATAGACCCCTAAACGACCTCTCCCCCGTTACTCACTGCAGTAGACGCCTCTCCGATCGATACGTCTTCGAAACGGTCGTCGTTGATTTTCCCCTGTGCGTAGTAGATGGCCATTTGATCCTTGCTGGTGATTTCGTGTTTATCCACGCCAAAGCCAACCTGCTGGTGTTTCTCATCCACCTTACCAGTTACGATGAAACCATCGTCAACACGCAACTCCTCAACGCGATTGGCGTTCATCTCAGACTCCTCATTTGGTGCAACGTCTTGGGTGAACCTTCTACTAGGTCTGCTGACCACACCGCGACAACGTTTCATGCCGAAGCCGCCAAAGGTAAAGGCCATAGCCATCCCCATGAAGATGCCGGCGCAGAGGGCGACGAGAAAGAAAGGGATTAGAGAGGATGATGTCGACCAGGGGGTGCGAGTTTGAGCTATTTTTTGCTCCTGGTGTTGACTGTCTATTTCCTCTGGAAGAAACAACAATCTCCCGGAGGCATCAAGTCTAAGTGCGTGGTAAGAACGACATCATTATTATAAAAACATGGCCATAAATCCAATCCACCCTTATCCATGCCATGTTCGTGTCGCAATACGTGTGCGCACATGGCGGCGGCTCCACCCGAAGCAGGCAAAGCCCAACTTTTAGCAGCGTAGCCATCGATGAGCAACTGCACATCGAGAGAAACGGCAAAGCACGCACCACAAACCGAAGCCCACATCGCATCCGCTTTCTCCTTCTCCCCCATCTGCACAAATAAACCGGCTTTGTAAGAGAGAGCAGGGCAAAAATCCGGAATCAAGGCGAGGGCTTTATCGTAGTATTCCTGTCGTTGAGCGGGTCGTGGTTGAATGTTCGGACGATGATGATGTTGACGAGTAGAAACGATTAAATATACCACAATCACACGTGAGTCTCACGGAAAACGAAAGCTGAAACATACCAACTTTCTTGCTTTTTCTCTGAAAAACAAAAACTACCTCTGCCTTCGCAAAATCCGGTGTCGGCCTCTTCCGAAATGCGTAGCCAATATCTGCCTCGATCATAGCTTCGCAGAATTTTGGACTATTCTCCAATTGCCAACTAGGGAACCAGTCCGCACACCCTTCGGCATCCGCATGGGGTTGCACGCACCACAAACGGTACTGTGCGGTCTCAGCCAAAGCATCACTCGTGAAGCCATTGTTGTAGTCAGCGTCAATGAAGTAGCCGGACATTACCATGCTGTTTTAGATTTTGATTGTACTTGTGGAGGATGCGTAACTGATATGCTAAGAAGTAGTTCCTTTGACAGCTAGTGTATGTAAAAAAATGTTCCTTTGATTGTTGTACTAGGTTATTGGCTTGGTGACTAGATTATCTCAATCAAAGCGACACTTCTAGTACCTGTAGCTCCAGTGATTCGCTTGATAATTCGGATCCGTATTAAAGGTTCCACGAAGGGTAGCCGTTTTGCTCATGTCAGTGACTTGGATACGCATGCGCTGCAGCTTTTCACCTTGGTCACCAGTGTGGGAATGGAGATTGCGACGGACGAGGGCGTTGGTTCCAGAAGCAACTGCATCATCCGCTATATCTCTATCTGCTGCCGCAATTTCATGCGGAGCTGCAAGCGAGTTTTCAGCGAAGAAGAACATTCCCTGATTTTCGCAACTAAACGTTGCTTCTCCCTTCTTGCTCCATCCGTGGAGTTGGACAGCTTTGCTGAAGTCGTCACTGATATACTCGGACTCGTAGTTCTGGCGGGAGAGACAAAAACGTTTTGTAGGGTGATCCCATGTGAACCTCACTTTGTCGTTCATATCGCAAGCTAGCATGCGCAGCTCCCCACTGGGACCGATGGCTGGAGCGGCCCAATCGACTTCGTGCACGTGCGAGACGACTGCCTTGGTCAAAGATTGAGGTGCCACGTCGGTCACGGTGACGTAGGAGAAGGAGCAGGGAGGTGCGGTTGTGGAGGTCGAAGAGGTCCCAGAAGTTGTAAGGGATCTAGTTGATGCAATTCCGGAGGGATCTAGTTGATGCTTTGGAAACACTTTCAATAACTCACTCACCACTTTGGTTTGCAAAGCAGTGGCGAGATCAGCAGCCTTGAGACCAATTTCATCTGCCAATGGTGTAGCTTTGGAGGAACTAAGGGCATCCGCAGACAGAGATAGTTCCATATCGACCCGAAGACGAGGCCATTTTTCGAGGCATCCGGCTTTGCCCTCTGCATGTCCCAGTTCGCGTGCCTCACAACCCAAACCCTGCTGCGTGTGTCCGGCGCTTAGGTTGGCTGGGATTAGAGGTGTAATAGTAGCTAGGTTGTAGTCTAGTGGGAACCATAAGTCATCATTTATTTTTGCCATCGTGGAGCTTCCTTTTGTTGCTTCGAACAAAGCACGACTGGTATAGTTGGATACAACCACTTTGTGTGCGAATTACAATCATCTATCAAAACTGAGCAAACTCGAACGGCCTTAAATTTCTGCACTTGCTTTGCTTATGTCCTCCACGAGGCCCAGACTCCTCATGGTCTCCTCCACGACCGTGATGTCCGTGGCCACCATGGTGATGTCCGTGACTATGGTGATCCAGTCGTCTCCCAAAGGGTTGCTCTAACTCGTCCTCCAAAGTGCAGAAAACTGTGGCCACCTTGCAATCCGTAATAGTCGAAGCGAGTGGAGCTGACAACACCTCCGTAGCGGCAGATCGAAGTGCGGTGCACAATGCGGCTGTTACGTCTGCGTTCTTGTTTCTTAGAGAAGGTAAGCATGGTCATTCAGTCACGGAAGAATAAAATCATAGAAGATCATACAATTTTCGCTGACTCTTTTTGCCCTGCTAGTGTTGATAGTGTGAATCTACTCGGCGATATGCCTAAGATTTCCCTCTTGCCCTGCTAGTATTACCGACTTGCGAATAGAACGACTGAAATAGAAACTCAAGCTCATTCGCGTTGCGGCCGACATTATTCCCTCATTCATTTATACCTAGTATGAGCAGGTACGAGTAGTTCAGGACTTAATTAGGAGGCGTTAGAAATAGCAAGCAAGTAGAAGTAAGAGACGAGAGATATTCGTTTTTTGATCAAAAAACCTTGTTGGTAGAAGGTGACCACATGCTCAAAAATTATCACCAAATGTCTTAACTCGAGCTTCTGCGGAAGATCAACATGATCTTGACCACCTGAAGAAGCAGGACTCTGAGTCCCAGTCGGAGACTTCAACACCTCAAACGCCAGCAAAGCTGGAACATTCACGACCGTAGTAGCTGGCGAAACAACATCGGGAGGCGCGTTGGTTTGTGTTCCAGCGTGTGGCGGACCGTCGCTTGCTACGATGTGTGCTCTGACCATAGGCGTCCAGCAAATTATCGCAACAGTTGTGACGAGAGATCGGGAAAGACGCGAGGGGCGTACGCGTAGCATCTTGTAGATGACTTCAGGTACTATGATAACGAATTTTTGTTCTTCCTAAAGGACAAGAATGAGATCTCTCTTGACAGATGTATGCTCTATTCATTCTTCATGCATCAACAAGCTTCTAAAGCTGTTAACTACCTGACGCAACAGGTAAAGGCTATTCATCTGGTGTCCAAAAATTGTCTTCACACGCAGGACACCGGTACAATTATATCTAAAAAACAGGAAAGAACAACGTGAGAGGATGCATAACGGTGAACAAAACTCTCTATTGTCTTGGGAACAATAGAAGCCACTACCTTGACCCTGGGCCACATTTGAATGTGAGTTTTCCTTTTGTTCTAGCATACTAGTGGTTCAGACATATTAAGTACTTGTTGCTCTCAAGGACAACTCTCGTTTTTACATGCCCTTGCTGTCAGAATGAACACCATGCGACCTTCTCGTCCTCGTCTCTACGGCCTTGCGCTAACATCGTTGTATTCCAATCTTCCTTTTCATTCATTCATGCACTTACCTAGCACGCGGCACTGTCTCAAGACTTAATTAGGATGCAAAGGCAAGATAGATTTCAGAAAAAAACCTTCTTCTTGTTCTTGTGTGAAGATGTCTCTATCTATTCTGGTAAACCTTCTCGTTCTCTGTGTGGTAATTAAAAATCATCACAGACGGAAGTAGAGTTCATCCCTTTCGCATGGTGTTCTTGTCAGTCGCTTCTGCCACGAGTGCGCTCATCTTCATCAATATTGCTTGACTTTTCTTATTAGCGTAACCCTTCTATGTCAGCCCCCTTGGTCAGCTCTCCCTTTTTCTTCCCCGTAAATATTAATATGTCTATACTCATACTATAATGATGACCACAGTACACTTTCAGATCCTCCACTCAATACAACTGGTCAAGTTTAGTTGTAATTAACTCTAGTAGCTGCAATACAATATTACAACAATACAGCACAGTTATAGTCTCGCACTAAGTTCAGTGCAGACTACCACAGGGCGTCGTAGTGTTTCGTAGGATAGGATAGGAGGTGGCTCGCCGTCCACAGTGTGACCTGCATCATCGAGCGAACATTTGCAGCCACAGAAGGACTGCCAACTTTCATTTACTGTTCAACTATCATCTTCGCTGATCTTATAACACCACCTCTACCCCCTTCTATTAGACCGCATGACCGATATAATGCGCTGCAGAGGAACGCATGACAGATCCCGCGGTAATCATTCGACCTTTCCTTCTTGATCCTGCTTCGCTAGTGCGATCCGTCCTGACTGATTATCATTGCAATTATATTGTCTGTCATTGCTCTAGTTCTTCTCTCTTGTCTCAGTTGAGTACTATATGTTGGACTTCGGTACTACAACTCGTCCCTCACGCAAGATATTACTTAAGCTAGTACTAACATCGAAAAGGTCCAGAACTGGGCTGGGCAGTTGCAACTTGTTCGAGCGCTACACTTCAAGTTAAGTGCAATACCCTTCAACACGTCCCTAGTTTGTGAACATCAATTGTTAACTTGATGATTTTCTCCCTGTCAGTTTGAAAACATTTTTCCATCCTCGTCGTTGTTCCTTCGTTGATAGAATGCTGTGCATCTAACTAATTACATCTACGGATTGGTACTGCGTGTCGGTAAAAAAAAACTTTAGAAATTCCAATTCATTGACTAGTTCCTTCTGATCTGGAACTCTCTTCTTGCCGCCTACGAAGATTTGCGCGGCTTGATTTCATCTAAAGCGTAAGGAGTACAATACAATACAATTTATCTCGCTTTTTTTTTTTTGTATCGCGGGCGAGTTCCGATATATCAAAACCTACCTGCGTATTTTTGCAAGTGAGCACAAAGTTCAGTGCAGACTGCCACAAGAGCGTCATAGATGATACAAGAGAGGGTGCAAATCTCACGAAGGTGCAAATCACTGATGGATTGTAAAAACCATTGATTCCTTGTAGACTCCTCCTCTGTGGTATAATAACTAAGCAAAGGTTCCGTTACAGATTCAAGTATTAGTCTGCGTCTTAGTGTCCTTCTCTACAGCTGAGCTGCTCTAATCGTGCTCTTTTTGTTTCTACTCCTGAGTATGTTGACGAAGAAGATTAATTAAGTAAGTACTTAGAAGATGAAGATTTCAGAGATAGACGATTTCAAATGAAACGCCACTAATTAAGCATCGACAGAATGAAATTGTTGCTGTTCATTCAAGTCTTCTCTCAGTTTTTTGAAAAATGATACGAACAAACATTATGCTTCGATAAAAAGCGCCCCATGTTAATACACCTAAGAACCTTCTTTTATCTACATTTTCTCGCTTACAAATAGCTTGCTGGTACAAGAACTGCAAGAACTTGTATCTATGTATAAATATTGCCACTTCATCTCATGAATTGTTTTGCTCCTTATGGATATGGCTTATGCGCAGCAACGACTCACCCTTCGTCAACGACGTCAAGTACCGTCCAAGTACTCACAGCAAGTGATGACAACAAGTACCCTGCGGAAGATTTCACACAACGTCAAGTACACTCACAGGAGCCAGTAAACACCCTGGCCCTGCACAAGATTTCCCACCACATCCTGCGGCAACACTACGTCCCTTCCATTTGCTCCGTAGAAGTTCCGTTCCGAGAATATGTAAAACCAAATCGCCAACATAGCATGCTCTCCCACTTCGGAAATCTCTGTAGCTGGCGACCCTTGTGCTTGTAGTCCTTGTACCATTCTTTTCGCGGCGTGTTTCAAAGATGACCCACTACTTTCTCCACCATCTTCTGCAACCAATCCGTTGGCCTTTTGGTGCTCATAGAACCATATTTGGGACCAATCTCGGAGCATTTCTCCCTCATACTCTTGCATTTGCATTTTCAAATCACGTCTGTGATGACGCCTCTGCATATCTCTGTAATTCCAAATCGCAGCTAAAGCGTGGTACCTTGCCTCGTACGTCGTTTTTCTTGCTCGCTCCCATTGATTCAATAACAGTTTCCAATTTCTGATAAAGGACTCTTCCGTGCTTTCTCCCCTTCTATGTGCAGAAGAAGGTGAAGAAGGCCCTAGAAAAGAAAGAACTCCGCGCCCCGCGCAGCTACTTTTATGGTGCGCTACTTCTGAAGGCTCCTTCTGTTCCTCTCGTACAACTTCTTCCCTTGGCTCTGTCACATTCAGACTCACTCGTCTCAGCATCCCAACACCAGGTTGGTAATAGACTTTATCTGAATGAGGGTCCCATTCCTGATCGCCCAGTAAGGGTTCAAAGCTATCGAGGATGGTAGAGAATTCATGTTTCCTCCTCTCCTCCCACAAAGCAGCTAAAGTACGGTATTTCTCTGCCCATGTACTGTCACCTTCTCCTGAGCGCAACTTCTTATAGTTATCGATTAATCCCTGGAGCCGAGGATTCGTTTTTAGGGGACGTTCTACTTTAGGGGAAGCTTGTTGTTCTTGAGAAAGTAGTTCTGAAGGAGCAGCTTGTTTAGCAGGTACAGGTAGTTCTCCTGAAGCAGCACCATGATTAGCTTTAGCAAGAGGGGCAGCTTCTTTAGCGATGGTAGGTCGTGGTCTAGCAGCGTGTCTAGCAGCTTCTTCAGCACCTTGCTCAGCAGCTTTTTCTGCGGCTGCTTTTTCTGTAGCTTTCCTAGCACCAGCCATTGCAGCCTCATACTGCCCTAACCAACTGCCCACAGAGTAAACATCTGGAGGTAATTTTTCAAGGTATGCTCGAACATCGTCTGGTAATTTCAAATAGCCTCCACATTCATCTTTGCCGTACCTCCAAATCATGACGAGAGCATTCTGTTTGTCTTCGTGACTCTCACATTCTTCGAGTTTTTTAACGAATCCGCGGAGCTTTTCCTCTCTCTTGCCATTTTCAGTCCCTTTATCTACGATCCTATAGGCTTCGCGTCTGTTTCCCCTTGGTTCGAGTGCGAAACCAGCAGCCAAATCCAGTCGAGCTAGGCTAGTGCATCTCCGTGTTCCATCTGGAAAGGAGACGGAGCACCGCTTTTCATCTTTACCACGACCACGAGAATAACTTCCAACATCGCCTTCTGGTCCCCCTTGTGCTACCTCTGGAACCCTTGCTGGACAATCGCCTCCTGAAGGCCAAGGAGTTTGTTCTTGTACCTCTTGTCTTTGTACTTGGACGCCTGTCTCTAGATCAACAACATCTAGGTCTCCTTGATGATTCTTCCCTTTGTTCCGGTCGTTTCTTGTCATGCGGCCTTCTCCCGGAAGCATCCGCAAAATCTTTTCTATATTTTCTTGTTGTGCTCTCGCAACTGAAGAAGGTCGTGGTACTATACTATACTGCTGTCCTGCTTCTGCGTCCTTTCCTCCTCTTCCAAATAAATCGGCGTTCTTCTCGAAGAAGTATGTATCCGTTTTTTTCCGGAAGTATTCCACCTGCTCTTGAAGGCGCGGATGACCCCCTTGCTGTCCCTGCCCTTGTCGTCCTTGATGTCCTGTTACCTTCATTTCATCGATTTCTTGCCCTAATAAAACGAGAGGGCAGACCATGTGACTGGAAATGCGAAACCCAAGTTTACTTTTTAGCCGACCCTGTTGGGGGTCCACTTTCGTCTCCAAAGAGTACGACCTTTGTGCTTCCTGCTCTCGATACGCAAAAACTGACATAGTTAGAACTCACTACAGTTGTCCATCTTTTTCCCGATCTACATCTACTGTGTCCCTTTGCCTTTTCCTACTTGAAAGCAAGCCACAGATGGAAGAACTAAAAGATGGAAGATTAAGCGACGTCGAGGCCTTAACATTGATTTACCACGCACCGCCAGCGCCATCTCGGAATCGTAAGTGAGAGCAGGAGTCTCGAGCCAGTCTATAAAGATCTTAGGACCAATCATGTTGTTCACAAATGCTGCACTTCGTTCTCCTTGTTCTTCCCCTTCTTGTTCTTCTTGACCTTCTTCGGGCTTTTGTTGTCGCCCCCCTGTGGGCACCAGCAAGGGCTGCTTACGACGTCGCTGAACTGCCTCGTATAATCGGGCTTTTGCATCTTCACCTTGCACCATTCTTGGCGCCGTTTGTGAAAACTTTTTTAAAAAGTACGTATTGCGCAGCCAGTTACGAAACTCAGGAGCCCTGTTTGCCTTCGTCAATGCGTTCCACTGGTGGACGATCCTCGACCGCGTGACCCGTATGTTCCAGGTACTGTAGAGTCCGGTATCGCTTTTCAACGTTCTTGTCAGACCGCGGCTTTTCAACGATAACAGTTGCGCAAATGCACCCGCGGCGCCGTCTGTGACGTGCGCACTGCAAACGAGTTGTTGTGCAAGGGCAGTCATTCTCCCTTCCATAACGTCTCTAAAACTATTATATTCGAGCTCAGCTTTTATCAAATCGTTTGGGTCACCGCTGTGCAAATTGATCAAGCGGTCGTCGACGATTCGACTTGCTTTTTGCGCTTCTGCTTCTCCTCTTTCCGCTTCGGTTAAAGCAAGTTCTGGTCTTAAGACATTATCCTTGGCGGGTTCCACCTCAACATCGTAAAAAATCTCGTACTTTTCGTCGATCTGTACGTTCCTACCAACAGTATTTACTTTCGCCACGTCACTCGGCTTCTTCGGAAGAACATCTGGTGTTCTCCCAGCGACAGCACCTTGAGGTCCTCCCGACGCAGTGTAACGATAGTGACGAAGCGTAAACGCAATCACATCCACGGCGAGGCGAAATTTCGAAACATACAGCATCCTCACCGGGACTTGGAAGTTATCTGTCGAGATGGGGTGTAGCCTCTCTAATTCATTGAAGTGAAGGAATCAATTTGACCACAAGGTATGAACCTTTATCTTACTTATGAGTGTGATATGAATCTTACTTATGAATGATTGAGTGTGAATAATTATCTAAAATGTTGTAACTTGTTAAACATTTTGTGCAGAATCCATGATCTAACCTAACCGAAAATGTGCAGGATGATCGTGATCCATACTAGATAACCTAAGACTGTAAGATTGTGCAAATAAATTGTGGTGGAGCCGACGTAACTAGAAAAAACAAAGACCAGTAGAGGAAGATAGAAAAGAGAAAAGAGTAAGTAATTATCAATATCATCAAGTACGATCCTCCTAAATCTGCTAAAACTAAAAAGTGTTAATAAATGTCAAAACAATATACCTCCTGCAGCAACCTCTTCCCCGTACGCGAGTTTGAGATACTTCAGGACCGTCTGGAACATAGCCAGACGACGGCTATTCTGAGCTACATAAAACCATCCTTGATAGGGATTTCCTGGGACACATACTTCTTCAATCAATCTCCACAGATCGTCCGAGAGCATCTCCTTCTTAAAAAGGCCTTCGCTATCGCTGAATATCTTGTACGGGTACTTTGTGTTCACGTGGTGTCCCAAATTCTGCAAACCCTCGTGACCGCACAAAGGCGTTACGGTCACAATAAGTTGGCGCAGAAAACGGTGAACTGGTCTCAAATGTGCGAAAGCGGTCTTGTCCTTGGCGTCCGCTTTTGCGAACCTCTTGACGTTCGCTGCGTTAGAAATCTCCCCAATTCATCTTCCCTGTGGAAATCCCTCAAGAATATGCGCCAATATCTCGTCCCTTGTTCTTGTGTTGGGAGGCATACTGTTCTTGAGGGGTCATCCCTACAGAAGATGAAGAGATGAGTTTTTAGTGGCCCCATCCTTAACTGCAACGGTCTCTGTGGCGACTGCTTCCGCAGTATCGAGTACAGAAAATTCCTCGAACCTCTGCCTGCTGAAGTCTTTCCCCTCAATATTCTTGGAGGGACCTCCCTTCCCTTTTACGCGGCCCTTGAGTGCTTTCGAAAAATGCGGGTTAATGTCATTTCTGGCATGCAAGATCCAGCTAATTGGCATCCACCAGATTTTCTCTGCAACCTCCGTATCGTCCTCGTCCTCTAGTGTCGCAGCACGCTCTAGCAAACCCTGTTCGAAAATAGTTTCATCAGCTTTTGGGACAAGATGTTGATTCACCGTTCCTCCAGATGGAGCCGCAGTTCTTGGTCCACCCAAAGCAGCAGACGTAGATGCAGCAGACGTAGATGCAGCAGGTGGAGTGACTAGACCCACTGGCAAAGGTTTAGGAAAAACAGCATCCTTTTTAGAAGCAGCGCTCTTTTTAGAAGCAGCAGCGAAAGTAGAGGCAGCTGCGAAGGTTGCCTCAAAGAGGCCAAGACCGGTAGCCATCACACGGACAGAGGCCGACATCTTGTAGTTGATAGGGTCAGATCAGAAGGCGGAGTTGAAGATAGAGGTGTTAGGATACATAGTAGTATCTTCTGATCGTATCTACTCTATAGTACGATATCCTATCCTACTAATGCTAAGCCTATCCTATACAGTCAACTCCTATCTTTCTATCCACTTTTTAGGGTAAGATCCTATCTACTCGTATGTGGTTAAAGAGGTGTTAACAGGATAGGAGTTCTTGACTCGCCGTCCACAGGGTGACCTGTACCGTCAGAGCGAATATAAGGCTAATTTCTACTCTAAATTATTACTGTAAGGATTCTCGGTTATCTATGAATGTATTCTGATACTGACTTTTGAAGATAAAAATCAGCACGACTCGTAACGACCATCAAATTCAAATCTAGTATAAAGATGTCCTGGTCTCATCCCATGCCATGAAACGTTTAAATAAATACGACAACAAATAGCAGGGCTAGTAGAAGGGTAATGAGAAAATCGTCTACAGAGATAATCCGTCTTTACAACACATCTTCTAAATGATGTATCACTACTTTACTAATGCAGGAGTTGAGGCGATTTTTGCCTTTGCGGACGTGTGTAATGCTTTTGCTGGGTAGGTACAGTTTTCAGGTTAATTGTGGTTGAGCTCCAGCTCCTCCCGTTAGAATGAAATTATCAAAATCAATGAAAATGATTCCTTTGAATTGAACGTATGCAATCTATCAAGTTTTCGAAGTTAGTTCCTTGCTTTTTCAAACTATAGTCCTACAAATAATCTTTGAAGTCCTGTATCGGTAATACTGACTTTCTTTTGCTGATGCTGAAGTCTTGTTAATATCTATGGTAAAAATAGGTGGCGAAGTTGGTCTCTTCGTAAGCGGTTTTTACTCTCGGCAGATCGAAATCTTTTGCTTTTCCTGTCAAAGTCGTTAGTTTCACATGATGAAAAATACAAAGCTAGACTGGACATCGCGAACAGGAGACTGTGTCCTCTGCTTCAAGATCTGGTGATTTTAATAATGATCACAGATCTATGAGCATGTCTTGCATAGGGAAAAGGAAACAAGGATCTTCAATCGGTTATGAGGTAAGATCTTCAAAAGTCCTCGTTTAGGATCTCCATATCATGTTTCTTTCATGCTGCGTTTCACAAGAGTGCATGAGGATCTACTCACAAAAAGTGAAGAAGATCTCGACTTTGAACATGCTTGAATTCCATGTGTAGTAACTCTACGAAATGAGTGTGAAGGTGATGAAGCTCTACACTTCATTCACAATCCTAAGGAACTGGAGATTGGGGAAACGGCACAAAGAAAATGAAAACCTCCGTATCCATTGAATATTGCATATGTTCCTTCTTTCGGACATCAGCATAAGACCCCACAAATATGGAAGCATTAAGAGAAGGGCTAATTGGTCGAGCATGCGAACGCGTGTAACATTTTTCATTATTGTCCCGCCTAATTGGTAGGCATCGATCGACGAGATTGTTCAGAGAGAGAACCACAACCAACTTCTAGCCCTGCTCTAGGAAAAAAATGAAATTATTACCGAGGACTTTTCAAAGTCAACAGCATTTCTATGGAAAATAAATAATCAGAGCGGAACGGCAGTACTACTTTTAAACTGATCAGAATAACCGAGATACTGACGAGAAGGAAGAGTAGACTTGGTGCTAAGGAGCTACGGGATGACAGACGAGTCAGTAACAACTCGGTTATAATTTTGAGTTCTCGGATAGAAGAAAAGGCGAACCATGAAGTCGTACAACCAGCTAAGACGACGACGCTGCCCTTCCTCTGTCGGCCTTCTGACCATTGAATGCTGGACAGAAGCTTTTAGTCTGTTGCTGGGCTCCAAGTTCAGTGCATTGATGAAGCTGGATTTCTTATCCCCCTTCTTGCTTCCTGGAAGAGCCTTCCCTTTTGCAAGCTGCGCCAACCGAAGAACCTGGACAGAAGCTTTTAGTCTGTTGCTGGGCTCCAAGTGCAGTGCATTGATGAAGCTGGATTTCGTATCCCCCTTCTTGCTTCCTGGAAGAGCCTTCCCTTTTGCAAGCGGCGCCGACGGAAGAACCGCCCGCTCTGTGATCATTGGATGCTGGCCAGAAGTTTCTGCAGGAGCAGCTTCACCAGCTCGTTGTTGAGCACCAGCAGTCAGTCCACCAGCGACAGCACCCTCAGGCAAACCAGCCACAGCCTCCTCAGGAGCATCGGCTACAGCATCCACAGACGTTGCTTCTAGTTGCTGCTCAGCAGGTCCTGTAGGAGCAGATCATTTTCTCTACGTAGGACAAAAAAAGCTTGCTCATATTTCTTCTGGTACTGTACGTAGAATGATCTGAAGAAGTAGCTGTAGTTATTTCTGCTGAAAATTTCTGCTGAATAGTCGAAGAAGTTGAAGTAGTTACTTTTCCTGATGCAATAATTGAGTGTAAACAAGCGTGTAAACCTAGGTCAACTCAAAGTCTTTTATTACTTGAAAGAGGAAGATAATGAAATTGCTTTTCCTTACGCCAAGGGTAAGATAAGGTTACACTAAAGCATGCTCAAGAACTTGAGGTGACCACCGTAGATTGACTTACTAAAGAAAGTACACCTAATGGTAGTAGTACTACTTGTACTTCAAGGTAATCATAAAGAAAGTACACCTAGTAGTAGTACTACTACTTCAAGATAATCACAAAGAAAGTACACCTAGTAGTACTACTACTTCAAGATAATCATACAGAAAGTACACCTAGAAGTAGTACTACTTCATCACGATATAATTAAGGTAGGAGGAGGTTATAAATAAAATATAGATTTATACCTTGTACTAGTTCTTGGTTTGCTATCCCTCTGACGAAGACGAGCTCGAACTGGTCGCTTTCTGGCGGCATCACGAAACCCGTTTCACCCATATGGTCACGCGAAGGCATCATACCAACCATTTCCGTAGGGTATGGAGGCATCCCACCTGGGCCTCCCATGGGAGGAACCATACCCATACCACCCACACCCATACCTGGATAAGCCATGCCGAATCCCATGGGAGGAACCATACCCATACCACCCACACCCATACCTGGATAAGCCATGCCGAATCCCATAGGAGGAACCATACCCATACCACCCATGAGCATTTCAGGAAGGGCAGGCACCATCACGTTCCCGCATGGAAATGCTTCGGTTTTCGCTTTGGCTTTCGCTTTCACTGGTTTCTTTTTATCTCCTTTCGCTGTGGCTTTCGCTGGTTTCTTTTCCTCTGCTTTCGCTTTGGCTTTCGCATTGGAGTCTTTCCCCTCCCCTGTAGCTGCATTGGCTTTGCGTTGTTGCTGACCCCAGTCATGATCCGCCTTTGAGGCGCCAGATGAAGACGCAGTTGGTACACCAAATGCAGGAGCAGGTGCAGCAGGAGACGTAGATGCAGCAGCAGCGCCAACTCCATCAAACGCAGATGGAGTGACTAGACCCACCGGCAAAGGGTCACGAGCAGCAGCGAGAAAGGCAGCTGCGCAGGTTGGCACAAAGAGGCCAAGACCGGTAGCCAAGACACGAACAAAGGACATCTTGCTGATTGTAAGAATGTCGTGATTAGGTAAGGTCAAGATAAGATAAGTATAGTACTAGAATACGAACACAATAAGGCAGCATTTCCGATGCTGCTCCGCGTCGACCCAGATCCAAGTCACACGTTTATAAAATGTAAAAGCCTAAGACCCTAATCCTGTAACAAGGTAGGTCTTCGTCTTGAGGTTCAGACAAATCAAGAAGATCATCAAGGGGGATCCTTCGCTTGGGATCTTGTATCTTGATGCTCTTCCTGGTCATCAATTCAATTCAGTGGGCGACCGCGGCTGCCCCTCTAGTGGGCTTCTACTCGCCGTGTCACGACAGTCGTGCCTGCTCGAGTGAGGTGCGAATCCACGCCCTTTCGTCGAACAGGGGGCGACTACTGTTAAGCGGGGAGCCAGGGGACTTTTCATAAAGACCATAAAATGCAGTATGACTTCTTCTATCGTGTCCTTGGTCTTATGGTAAAACCACATGATGAAAAATACAAACTTCGGAATGGAATTTTGCTAGATTGGTATACCTTTCTCTGGACATCGCGAACAGGAGACTGCGTCCTCTGCTTCAAGATCTGGTGATCAGATCACAGATCTATGCGCATGTCTTGCATAGGGAAAAGGAAACAAGGATCTTCAATCTGTTGAGGTAAGATCTTCAAAAGTCCTCGTTTAGGATCTCCATATCATGTTTCTTTCATGCTGCGTTTCACAAGAGTGCATGAGGATCTACTCACTAAAAGTGAAGAAGATCTCGACTTTGAACATGCTTGAATTCCATGTGTAGTAACTCTACTAAATGAGTGCGAAGGTGATGAAGCTCTACACTTCATTCACAATCCTAAGGAATGGGGGAATGGGGAAACGCGATAAAGAACTCTGGTCCGTATCCATTGAATATTGCAGATGTTCCTTCTTTCGAACATCAGCATAAGACTCCATAAATATGAAAGCATTAAGGGAAGGGAATAGGAAAACCTTGATCATACTCTGAGCAACCTTCCTCATTCAACAGCCCCAACCTTCCTCATTCAACAGCTCCAACCTTCCTCATTCAACAGCTCCAACCTTCCTCATTCAACAGCTCCAACCTTCCTCATTCAACAGCGCCTCCTCCGCCACCCGAGCTACTTGAAATTGGTCTAGCACCTCTACTCCGTCCACGTCCACGAGCATTCTGTCGCACTGTATGAAAGCTCGTGTCTGGTGTAGGTTGTGGCGCTTGTAAAGCTCTTGATGCAGGTCCTGGCGTAATCATTTGTGGAGCGGCACTGGGTGGACCAACGGCGCTTCCTATTCTTGTAGTTGCCATTATACCACGACCTTGCGCAGAAGCACTTCCTCCATGCTGTTGTTGAGTACTAGACCCGGCGTTGAAGAAGTTATTATATGCTGGTGCCGATGGTGGTTCTTCTACGGCAATCCCAACATTAATTCTCGCGTCGGTCGTTCTTGGTACTCGTGTGTTAGGGGATACGTGTGTTCCTGCTGCTGGTCCATTCGCTGATGTGTCATCTCCACCTCCCACAGAAGCAGAGCTAGAAGCAGTCCCATCTCGTCCACCAGTCGAGGAGCTTCCTCCTTCACCAACACCATTTGCCGTAGTTGCTGTTGCATTCATCATGTTCATGTTATTGATCAAGTTGTTAACTTGTTCTGTACAACCCGCACCTCCTGGAGGACCTGGTGGCGGAAAGATAATATTCGGATTACCAGCTGCGTCTTGTCCGCGAACAATACCTGCATCCCCGGATCTTCCAAGATTCTTGTTGAGGTTAGAGGTCGTGCATGATCCCAAGACGAGTAGAACTACAGAGCTACAGAGGACAGCACTGAGTCACTACGACTTGTCGTGATCGACATATTTTTTACTCACCACATCCACATCGTTCTATCCATTCTCCTTAACTTCAATGATCATCCCTGTTGGAATATTTGCGTTCGCCGTTCCCTGCAAGGCCTCAAACCCACCCGCAGAGTTGAGAACAGGTTGTCCGACGACTAGTGTTTCGGTTACAGGCGCTGTGCGACGCGCATCCTGATCAGCGGTCCGTGACACATCCCGCTGTCTCCGTGCAAACCGCTCAATGCCGACACAAATAAAGCACAACACTAGAGTGCTGGTAAGCATGAGGGCGAAACCGAAGAGCCAAGAAGTGAAACCATCGTCGGCGGCGGCGAGGGTTAGAGTATTCAGGTGCAAAAATTAAAATAAATAATCATAATAAAAATAACTTCTCTTTTAGTACAACTACTACCTACTGACATACAGTTCACTGATAGATGAATGTAACAACTCTAGAATCAGCTAGAATTAGACATCTGAGTGTCTCTATGCAAATAATTGCCAGTTCGACCATAACTTCTTTTGATTGCTCACGCCTCCACCATTAGTTTCGCCTATCGCAATAATGATCGAATTCGTATTATCTCCATTGCCACTTCCACCAACATTGACTGGCGTGCTACCATCACCACTACCAGATCCACTACTTGAAGACCAGGCATCACCCCAAACTCCTGCTAGACTAGGATTTTGACCAACCAATGTGGGGTTCTCTTCGTTCCAGATAGTCATGGCCTCCATCTCGAGCCTTGAGCGATATTCAGTGGCAACGTCTTCAGCTGACTGCGGGAATTCCTGTGGCTTCGCACTCGGACTATAGACGTGTTCACGAGACACTGACTCTACCATTGACTGGTAAGTGCTAGCCAGTTCCGCTCTTCGCGTCTCCGGAATGCTCAACCGTTCTAGAATGCGTTCGTAGCCCGTTTCATACCGCTTGTCGATTTCTAACTTGAGCTCTGCATGCCATGCGTTGTGGATGCCTGCCATGTCTAGCGGACAGCCTCCGCAGTCACACTCATAGCGCTGACTGGAGATGAGCCAGTAGACTTTATCACTGGAGCAGAATCTAGGACACCACACGTTGTCTCGGGTCTGAAAATTGAAGTCGGAACGGCTGCAGCAACCGCAGGTGTTAGAAGAAGTAATGATCCTGGAAGTCCTAATTCAAGTACAGTGTCTTGGCTGAATGTGAAGCAGAGCACTCTTCACTACTGAGAATATGAATCCCCTTGGCACATTTATTGACCCTACTATCTTCATGTTCATCACCGAGCAGAATATTCTTGCATCAAAATCTATGAATAAGAATAAGAAACTCACTCCTGCTTCATCCTTCTTAACATTTGTCGGCTGCGTGGTCCCGTCATCGCACACATAATTGTGCTGCTTCGCTACTGGCGGACATTTTTGGTACTTGGCGCAGAGGGAGTCCTTCTTGTAACAGTGGTTTTCGCATTCTGGACTCATGATCGAAATATGATTACACTTCTGAGCACACTCCGTCAGGCATTCCTGAGCTTCCCACGTTCCACAGTGTGCTGCCAGATCATCGCACTGACTTCGGACGTCATTGGCGCAAATATGGGAATAATCGGGAGAGCCGCAGCAATGGGTGGAATTCAACGCGGTAACCACATCTGTTAGTTTTGAATAAGAAAAACGGGCTATGGTGGTGGTGGTACAAAGTTGTAAGTGCTGACTATCAACTTCAACATTATGTTTATGTCGTGAAGAGATGATCCTAGCTATAAGTAGAAGTACTTGTAGCTATAAACTGCTCTAACTAACCCCGACATTGAAAGTAGAAGTACTTGTACGTATACATATCAAACTGCTCTATCCCCGACACTGACTTGTAGACCTCCTAGTAATCTGCTACAAGAGTACCATTAGCACACGCGCACGTCGCTGACGCCTGCGTCTGCTCCCACCTAGTTGAGTGTGGATACCCTGAAACGCATGCGATCCAGTTAGCGGCTGCCTGTGTCCTCTCGAATGCTTGCGTGTCGCAGACTCTCATACTAGACCCAGAAGTCGTCTCCGTTTCGGCATGGGCGAAAAGGCACTTCACCTTATCCCAACAGCTGGCGCAGTCGCACGAAGCACCATCAACAAGAGACTCGTGAACATTAGAGAAGTGACTGGGTAAGTTCAGTCTGTTATTAGTGACCAAAGAAGGTAAGAACCAGCCGCGTTAGCTGAATATTCTTTCAATCATCTCCACATTTAATCGTTCGTACATACATTAGAGACGAGGAAAGAGGTGTTGAAGGAGAGCTGATGTGGAGAGGAGGCGAAGAGATGATCACGAGTTGTATGACGCGTATGCCTGTTTCCTGTTTCAGTCTTCCTTTCTTTTTCCTCTATCTTCTTCTAGCCAGAGATGATGTGACAATAATTCGTAATCAATTGATTGATTGATTGATTGATGTACCCATTCACGGGGTATTCCCGCATCTTCAATTATGGGCGCGTGTTCTTTATCTAAATTTCTTCCTTCTTTGTTCCATAAACCCCGTTGCCAAACACAACGGTGGACATTTCGTTTTGCATTCTTGTGTTCTAGCATCCGTGCAATCCGGGTTACAGTCTAGACTGCACATGTTATCCCACACAGTTCCTGCGCAACAGTCTACAGCCGCATTCCAAGTTGGGTCTCCCGCATACATGTCCTTCCATAGTGGAGTAAGGTTGTTTTGGCACCAACAATCGACGTGGATTTCTTCGCCGGCACCTTTGGGTCGTCGTGATGGTGTATTATACTATTCTTGAATAGTTGTACTTACTATTCTTCTGCCGCATGTTCTTCTTCTGCCGTAGATGGACTAGCTCAATGAAAAACTTACCTACTGTAGGCCATCAAATAAATTGAAACAATAACGGTAATTACCCGGTATAGTAAAATCAGCAGTAGCCCATGCTGCATCGGAACAGTCGGCGTAGGTCTTGTAGGGTGCAGGTTGATAAGCGGTAAGCCAGAAAGAATTGCACCATGCTGCAGCACCACTGGCAAGTATCATGTTGCTACCGCACGTCAGCCAAACGAAGAAGCATCTTGTCAACCTTGACGCCACCTTAACGGGTTCGACCCCTTGACGACATCTCATCCTGAGGGCTTTGAGTGTTGACTGTTTCCTTCCACGATGCAGATGCTCGCACGATCCACGCGAGCAGTTGTTCTTTCCCGTGCCGTTGATTGTAGTGCCTCTGTATAGCGGAAGTCTCCACTTACTAGATTTAAATGACTCTTACGGTTACTTACACGATGAAGAAAAATATGCACAGCTAATTAAGGTGAGATTTTCATTCATCTTTCACGTACGACATGTTGTTACAAGCACGTGATTGGAGTTCCAAAACAGATACTGCCTGAAAGGTCCGTTTCGTGCATGGGTACAAGCATCTACGGATAGAAAAACAAAAATAGAAAAAGAAAACTGCAAAACACTGACAGTAACACACACATGAAATTCCAGTAGTACTCCTACCTATGGATATTTGCTTCATGGAACGACCAACTGAAAAACCAATATTTTTTTTCATCCACGGGTCTACGGGGGTTCTTCTATCTAATACTCCTCCATCGGACTATGACCATAACCTGTACGATGATGATGATTGTACCTATTCTAGAGGTGTTAAGCTGATACTGCTTTCTACTGATAAATGACGACAGCTCCGATCAGAGAACCACATGAATAACACAACCGAAGAAGCAAGTATACAACCACAGAGACAGATTATTTTTTGGATTTTCATACTCGTTGAAGTTGTGGACCGTGGAAGAAGATGAGAAGAACATCCATTTCCAACTAATGCCCTCGTGAACAGACATGTCAACGTTGTAATACCTGCGCCTAGTACTGCTCTCGTCCTATTCACTCCGCCCTCTCGCTCTCTCTCGTTGAAGATGTTGATCTTGGGTGAACACGGATCTTCCTGAGAAAACTACTGGGCTTAAGAACTACCACTGTAAAAAGAGATCACGACATCGTTGAAAACGTAATGAGACTTCTTGCTAAAAAGCGAATGGTGTGGGACTTTTTCAATCCCTTACCGTTCCTTCTCCTCTGATATCGCGAAATCTGATATATGTGAGCTACGAAAGGACAATGATTTCTCGGGCAAGATTCCTCATGTTCGGACCAAAATTTTCGAATATTCTCATGCTGAAATCTTCATAGCTGTAACGATAAAAACTGTACCATGCTGAACTTCTATCTAAGAATATATAAGACATCCCTCATAACAATCTCTACACATCTTGATTTTTTCACAACGGATGACCTGTATGTAAGACATCTTCTATGATTGACTGGTGGTGTTCTTCGAACTTACTCGTTGAAAGACAAGATGACAAGTACAAGACAACTTTTTTAATACCATGAAAAAGAAAGAATAGATGCTGAAAATAATAAAATATTAAACTATTGATTCTACGTACTTCGATCTACTAGTACTACCTCATGTTGAACTATGATTCTACGACGTACCTAGATCTGGATCCTCTACTATCCATCACGAACGACTCCTGACTCTATGAATGAAAACCACAAGAATGTTGTAAATCTGAAAGAATAGATACTTACTCGCTGAAAAAAAAAACGAATCAGAAGAACCCACGGAGAACAGGAGAACGCCATGAGCCCTCTGAATCATTGATGAGAAAAACACGAAAACGAATATCACAAACTCTACAAACACTACCTCTATACTTCCATAACCAAGACCAGGTATATGAAATCATCGCTTACATAAAAAAACACCTCTAGTAGTACCTTGTAGTTCATTCAATTCAATTCATACTTCTTCTATGTATTTGTATGTCTTACTTTTAAAAAAAGAACGGATTCAAGATCAAAACTACTTTTACGTTAGCCTAAAAATATCAATATCTTGGATGGTTGTAGAACTCAAACAACACACTTCGTTGGTTCTGCTCTATCGGTAGAACATGAATGCGTTCTCTGTCTATTATAGGTATCCTAAAGTACACGACGAAATTAGATCAGAAGCTGCTGTAGATACTAATACTTGTTGCTGGTGCAACAAGTATTAGTATTAGTATTTCTTTCTGTTTCAGTGAAATCTAAAATCTAAACATTAGCCTCTCACTACGGGGACGTAACAAAGAGGCAATATTGAGAGATGAAGATTCACAAAAACGCATAACACACCACCTCTTCTTCGAAGTACAATTTCCCAATGCAAGCTAATGTTGATATTAAGATAGCCGACGTGGAGGTACATACTTTTAGCACAAGTTGGATGAGTGAATGAATGTACGCACTTCAGGGGCATAAAAGAAGGCTACACCACTACTCCCTTCTACAACGCCCAAAGCACATACTCGTTCTTCGAACTATCAAATCAGAAGACTGATTATACCTCTTTGACGAGGATTTCTTTCATACAACTTCCTCATCGAATAATTGTAGTGATTTTGATCGCGATGACTACCACGACTTCGAAATAAAACTGAAACAAGCGAGTAACCAACCAGAATAGACGAGATACTGATGAAGGAGGCTAGCTCTACTCTTATTAGAGTCCGCAACTCAGTCATTTCAAGATTTCGAATAGGTCATAGATCATCGTTCTTGCAAAGTAGGACACACAAGCAGGCCTTGTTCTAATTTGCAGTCGAGCCTTTACCCTAGCTGTTTGGAACCGCCTCATGACGTCGATGATACGTCATGTTTTAGTTCTTGGCACCGTCAAGGCAAAGTCGGGCCTCCCTGTAAGTATATTGACTCGGGCCTCAGGTCGGTGCTCTTTTCTCACAGCTACACTAGAGCTTTCTTTTTTCAAAAATTGTAAAGCAATCTCAAAGCTAGCTAGAGGGCCTTGCTGCTGCTCCGTAGATCTGATCTGAACAGATCGAGATCACTGAAGAGGGAGCACGCTATTACGGCTATCTTAGCTAGTATATAGGGTCAGAGGGTCGTGAGTGAGAAATAACAACATCAACCAGCATGTCTGTGCGGTTGCGAGTGAGTCTCGATCTCACTGGTGTTGAATTAAAGAAGTTCAAGTTCTTGTTCTTCATCTACAACAGCTTGCTACATATCTTTTACAATTATGCGCATTGCAGGTGAAACAATAAATTCGTCTAAGTAGATTTTCTATAGTACAATTTTCGTTCAGAAACTCCATCAGCAAAATTTTGTTGTCCTCCACCTGCTTGCAAATTAATCTAAATGCTAAGATTTCGAAAACAATAGATCCGAAAATTCAGAAAAGTACTCACAGAAACCGCCTAAACCTAGGTTAGGATAGGTGGAGGCGCACTAGGAAAACTAGCGGACGTAATTGGCTGCTGAAGAGCCAACAAACCAGACTACGACCTAGAGCTGGTGACGCTACGCTATGTTCTATATCACAATTATTTGATAAGTGATGTCCCAAAAATTTTTCTTTTTAATAACGGACAGTGGCCACTTCATGCAGAAAATTTGCGTAGCCAAGGTTCTTCGTTCGTGAATATGTCCACATCAGAGGAAGAGGAAGTTTCAAGTTGAAGAAAATTTAGATCTAAGAAATCGAAATGTAAGAACCAATGCAAATATCGACAATGAAAGAAGTGTCGAGATGAACAACAAAGAAGTACCACATTCCTCTACTCCAAAATGATTAGAATATTACAAATTCATCTTCTAGTACGGAACAGCCAGGACATTATGCTGTTTATAAATTTAAGAACATGCTGCACCTGCACGTGCACAACATAAAAATCTTATTAAGAAATATAAGTACAACTTCTGTGATCTTTAAGACTGTAAAGAACAAAGAACCATTTTTTGGTCCAGTCTCTCAACTCATGCTGGATATATTATTATTATTAAGAACTATGTAATCAAGAAAGTCTGTGCTAGTATCGATTTTGATATGTAGAAGAAGAAGAAGAAGAAAAGTAAAATTAATGGCCTGTGTAGTTCTTTGTACACCTGTGTGTTCAGAATGAGAAGAATTTTTTCCGATGAAGTAGTTGAAGAATCATTTCTTAATCAGACATGCCTGACATAGGTGCAAAGCACTCAGTGCAGCAAGTGCTCTCACAATGATTAAATCGCCCTCGATCAAACTAAAAATGCAAAATGTACCATGTGGACCTAGAAGCAAGTACATCTTAATCATTCCCCAAAAATGGTTATAGAGCAACACTGAAGAAGAATCAATGTTGTAAGTACGCCAGACTGCTATTCATTTTCTACTTCGTGTCCTCTGCCTTCGGTAAGCTAACGGCGATGTCTGCATAAACCTCAAAGCAGCACATGCCTTTGCGTCGTCTGCTTAGAAGGATGCGTTACATCGCGAAAATCGTTAAATCAGCTGCAGTGGTGGAGAAAGTCGACCACACTTGTCCTTTCCATCCGATAACAGGGATCGTTGCCGAGAATGCGTGGCCGTCTTTGTTTTTGTATGAATGTGAGTAACTAGATGTTACTAGATGTATTAACAATTTTTTCCATATCTTGATGTCGTGAGTAAGATTTTTCTTCCATAAAATCAAAGACGTGGAGGGAGCCGAACAAGGTAGAAAAACAGTTGCACATGCATTAAATCAAGACCTATACCAAGACCAAACCCAAAGCTAGCAAACCCAAAGTCTAGTAGTAGTTGTAGTATACAATAATAAAACAGAAAGAAGTACAAGTAGTTCTACTACCTCTCCCTTCACGTTCAAAAAGTATCTTTGCCGTGCCGGATCACGCGCGACGACCGATCCGGAAGCAATGTCGTCCACGTTATCGATGCCATCTTCTTCGATCCACTGACGGACATCACGTTCGATGCGAAGACACTTCTCGCTCAAACCAGGAGTGTTGAAGCCCTTCGAATGCACACGAGCGAAGTCGAGTAAGGCTTGAAACAGCAAGAAACGGAATTGGAAATTGTGGGAACCTGCCGTTCGTTTTTGGTGAAAAACTTATTAAATAGATAGATCATACTCCTGGATGTGGAACTGGGTTCAAAAACTACTTTAGGAACTAAAACTACTTTGTGGAAGGAGGATATCAAAACTTCATAGTACCAACTTTGTAGGCGTTTCTTCGATTGTTCAGCATCTCGTGAGCATCGTCGACGTAGCCACAGAAGCACATGAGGCGAATCAAAGCAGCGTCAGCATGCGCGTTATAGTATGCGCTCTGAGGACTCGTGAAGGTGTAGAATTGACGCAACAAAGTGGGATAGTAGAGATCCGCGCCTCCGTCCGGACGATAACGCTCGAACGCGGAGCACATCATGCACCAAATACGGGAATTAGACCTGAGATGGTAGTAGAATGGTGCGCATCATAAGTTAGGGTCTGCTAGATTGCATCTCGGCCCCCTCATCTTGACCCCTTTTACCTTGTATTTCACGAGAATACACGGGAAAAGGGGACCAAGATGCCGAGAATGATGGAAAAAAGCTGACCATAAATAAATTAGAAATAGAATTCCTATTGATGTCGGGATTAACGGTATAATGATGAACAATGCCAAGTAGAGCTACTACAAGACCATTCATATTATGATCTAGTAATTCAGCGAGGCTAATGAATAATCATCCATCATGGATCAACATAGGTTCATCCTCAAAAGTACGGAATGGCATGGCATGAGTCTCACGACATAGTCTTACATGTACTATCTGGGAGACTAAACAATAAGTACGGAATAGTATGTCGCTCCATGTAGTCCACGAGTTGCCAGAGCATATGCCAGCATTCTTGGTTGTCGATCTGAGCGTTGATCTTGTGGAAATAGCGGTTGATCAAGAACGAGGTAACATGCAAGACGCCAGAGGTATCCAACTTATGGCTTCCCAAACGTTGACGCTTCTGGTAGAGGCCAATCTGTTGACGAGTGAGTGTGGAGTTTTTTGTAGTTATCAGTTTTTATGAAAAGAAAATCATATTCATAAACAGATAGTAGCAAAGATCCCCAACTGAAACACATCGTTGTCGACTTCTAGACAGGAGTAAGCACCTGTTCCTGAATAACTGGGTGCAACGCGGAGAAGCTTCCAGGTCCTGGGTTCAGGATTTCATGGTACCGCACGATTCCCTTCAGAAAGTTCTTTCCGATTCCCTTTGCCGTGTTGTACAACAGACCACCAGAGCAGGCGAATAGATTCGGCACCCCATTGGCATTGTCGTCAATAGGAGTCTCGTTTTGGTGCTGGTCGAGAGGGGAATTGATCAAAAGAGAATTGCTGACAGGATGTTGATGTCCTGGGGAATTGCTCATAGACGAATGGGTGTGGTTGCTTAGCAGATTAGCAGCATGATGAAGATGGTGCTCACTTGTTCCCAGATGTTGACCAAGGTGTTGTTCGGCTGGAGCAGTCTGTGCTCGGTGGTAAGCAGCTTGGCCTTGGTGATGCGCATTGAAAGAATGCTGCACGTTTGAGCCACGTAGTGCTGCGGCACCAGCCGATAGAGGAACGCGACCGGCAGAGGTTGTAATGTTGTCACTCATCAAGCTAATCATGTGAAACTGATGTTGATCATGCTGTTGATTCTGAGTGTTGCCCACAACCGCTCCCTTGTGCGACAGGCCTGCTTGGCCATGAACGCTTTGATCACCTCCACCATGCAGCAAGTTGTAGTTGTTATTGCTGTTGTACGCATCCGTGATATTGGATGTTTGGTTGCCATTTGTGATTCCCGTTCCACCAAGGCTGTCAGAGTTCGACGAAGGTACACCTTCGACCGAAGCACCGAGGACACGGTTAAGCAGATCACCATAAGCCAAATGCGCAGCCACAGGCACAGGCACAGGCTGAGAGGTGGAGGCGGGGGGTGACGACGCAAGCGTAGTCGTGTTGCTGTGAATTCGTCGACGGTTCAGGTTTACTAGACCAGCTAGAGGGGAACTGCTGGCATCGTTGTGGTAAGCAGCTGTTGTAGATGAAGGATTTGTTCTCGCAAAGTAGTTGTTGTAGTTTTTGCTACCACTCTGAGCAAGCTGATGTTTAGCGATCCTGCTGCTCGCAACATGATTAGCTCCACAAGCAGAAGCAGAGCCATGGTAAGAATGAGAAGTAGAGGTTGTGCGAAAACCTGGATTGGATCCCAAAGCCAAATCACTTGTAGTCGTCGTGCCGTTTCCATTTACTAATGGTCCTGCGACAGCGCCCGCGTGCAAGTTGTACAAATTATCGTCGCGATCCAGAGCGGCTGGGGCAGTTCCTGGTGTAGTGCGCGTGCGACGAGGAGGAGCTGCCGGAGCTGGCGAGGCGATCACGCCTGGTGGGATCGCCAAGCCAGGGGCTGGTCGATGCGGTGCTGCACATTGAGGTACCCAACATAAGAGGTTTTGATCGACAGCACCGCACGCAGTAGGCCCTTGAGGATGTTCTTCATTCTCACCCAACACGTCAGAATGCTCTCCCTGCCCACGAGTAGAAGTACGCTCGCTCTCACCGCAAGACTGATGTTGGAAAGGATGAAAGGGACAATGTTTGCGTAGAGTAGACTAGATTGATACAGACGATAGGCTGAAGACAATAATCAGCAAAACTCTCTACAACTGAGTTGTAACGAATTGATTGATTGATTGATTGATTGCCTGAGCGATGTGCCTGGCAAGAAGACGTCGAATTTTTATAAGATAAAGATAGTACATTGTCGCCACCCGCGCTCGTACTAGTTGCAGAGCTGAACAGGCTTGCCGCAGCAGCCTCAACCGGATGCATAGAGCGGAAATTGCGAGAAAAAGCGTCGCGTTCGCGCTGTAGCATATCCCGAAGATGCTTGTCTTCAGGAGAAGCGCTATAGCTCAGCTTCACGGGCTGCAGATCCGATCCCCAGCGGTAATCGTCGTGATGATTATCGGTGACGCCAAGACGAGGCTGAAATATTTATGAGTCGAATGCGGGTCAATAATATATAAGATTCAACATTTCAGTCTTCATCCAAAAACTTGCTCGTCAAGCTCCTCATCATCTTCGTCTAGTAGACTACCATCATTCAACTATTTAAGAATACCACAGGATTGTCAAACGCTGCTTCCGCCGCCATCTTCACCTCCTCGGCCAAGCTTGTGCCTGAAAGTCGGATACTCGACAAGTCGGATGCATCGCTCAGGCCCAAAAGCTCAGGCGCAATACTGCGAGCCATACTCTCAAACGTTTCGCGCGATGAACAACTACCATCTGTAGAAGACGCATGATTGGCAATATTCCCATAGGTATTCGGAGCTGAAGTAGCTGGAATAAACCGCAATCCTGGTCCTTGACCGTATCGACTGGAACCGTCCACGGTGGCAGCTCTGTTGAGGAGAAGTCACTAAATTTTTCAGAGAAATTGATACAGTACTCATGATGACAAGATTTTCACTAAATTGATACAAATCAGTAGCTTCTTCTACCGATTTTTCAGCTTTTTACAGGGAGGACCTTGAAAGTTTGTCCATCTTGGATGTAGATCGACGATGATCAGATCGACTTCGCATGTTGAAAAGTAGCCATGTTGTCAAGTCGTCACGAAATTTCATGGAAAAAAAGTACCGACGCACCGCTTCCGTATCTTCAGTCTTGCTGGCTTGAAGCAGAGTCCTAAGCCGATCATACTGCACAGAGCGAAACTCACATTCTTCGCGGCTCGTACTACCAACAAATCTATTATGTTGACCACTTTCCATTTCTTGACGCAACGAGGGGGCACCTGGGTGAAGACGGAGATGGCTGGAGTCAAGAACATGATGTGATGGTGTAATTATTCTTGGCGAACTAAAATGAAGGAGTAGAAGAAGATCATCACAAAAAAAAGACACAAGATTGAAGTAAGATTGCAGTTGGTGTTTTCCTTGCTTGCAACGTCAATAAAAGAATAACAACAAGTACCATTTTCATCTTTTTCCGACTGATCGACCGGATAGTGAACAACGCCGCTTTGATAATATTCATTCGCGACGTGCTGGGCCAAGTCGAGGTGTTCCTCTTCTCCTGCAAGCGCACGTGCTGCAGCGTCCCTTCGTTTCGTCTGCTGCTCCAATTTAGCTTGTTCCCGTCGCCAAAATTCAAAGGCAGTGCGCTCACCCTGTAGTATTTGTTCTTGTTGAGAGGGAGAGCAGTGTAGTATCATCTTTAAGACTAAGTATCATCTTTATGAAGAGTGCACTACTTGCACTAGTATCTATTTGTGTTAACAATACAACCCTCGGAAAAATCAACATGATTAGGATGGCCTTCATTTGGTCATCTTAATCAATGTTTATCTTTAATATGTTTCCCTACGTACAAATAGCTCTTAGTACCGCCAATTGCTGCATATGTTCCGCCTCGACGTCATCCGGTGGGAAGTTCCCAGACCCCAAAATCTGCTCAGCTGCATTAGCGATATGGTATTCGCCACCTCCACCTCCTGTGGCAGCCAGACCCACCTTGTCTGCAGATTCAACTGACTGGTATAATTCAGCATTTCCACCCTGATGTTGGTATTTTTGATGTTCAGAACCTTGGTTCTGTTGGTATTGATGTTCCGAACTACCTTGGTGCAGCTGTTGATCGTTGTTGTAGCTGCCGAGAAAATAGGAGTCATCGGGGAGAGCATAGGGCCACTCTGGAGGGGTAGTTGCGTCAATGTCAGACGGCGGAAACGATGGGGAAGTACCATCTGCGGTTGTTGATACCAGATCACTGGAGCTTTTGCTTGGGCGTTGGCGGTATTGAATTTCGTGCTCCGCCCCATACTCGCCACCATGCCCATGACTTTTAGTACTAGCGATATAAAGTTCGTTGTAGTCAACTTGATGTTGGTCTTCTTGGAAGTTGTACGATCCACCACTGGCATTTTTGTGATTCATAGCACTGTCCATGTTATGAATGTTCATGTAGTAGACCTGGTGCTCCTGCTGATGCTGATGCTGATGTTGACCAGCCCCTCCTCCGTGTTGTTGAGCAGCTAGAGCCGCTGCTCCATCATGTTCAACAGCAGCTGCGACCATCTTGTTTTGGTTATCAGCAAACCCAGGAGCTGGCCCCATTCGTTGGTATCCTGCGTTGTTGTAACCTCTGTCCGAGGATCCCAAACGATACTGCGCACTTCCTGTTGATGATAACATCCTCCCCTTGATCATGTAGTTCCTGGAACTTTCTCACGATGACGAATCAACTTGAGTTATGTATAATTGTTTTTGATGTTGGAGATCATATAATGTTCTTGAATTCACACAAGTAGTAGATCTCGATGCTCTTCCAGCCGGCAGTCGCGAAGGTGGCAACCTTCAACCTCGGCTGAGAGTGAACTCGAATGAAAGATGTAGTCCCTGGTCGTAAGTTCTATCCCACACAAGCAGGAAAATCGTGAACCACGGACGCCGACAGATCTTGTTTCGCTGAACAACAGTGGCAAAAGCAATGATAGTGAAGAAGAAGATATTGGCAAAGGCAGTGATAGTGTTAGTGATCGTGTTTCTTGTTGCTCTAATTGAAAACAAGTCTACGTAATGATAAATTGATTCTACCTGTATGCATACTAGTTTTCTGATGTGATCAAGATGCTAAAAAACTCTTTGAGAAATTCAACTCAACTTCTTCGAGACTTCGAGGGCGTTCGAGCTTCAGCGGTTCGAGACTGACACGAATATGATGCAGAAACTGTCGAGCTTACAAACAAGAAAATCTCATATACAACGAGTACAACAAGCGAAATCATATTTGCTACACAAAAAAAAACAAGAGCTCTTAAAGTAGTCGAGTCTCCTCCAAACGAAGCAAGTTGCAAAGTGCAAAAATTCGATCCTCTAAAACGAACAATCACACAGTTCGTTGATATAGGTCTTTGTTATAGTTCATGATTCATCCTTTCGTCTCATGGAAAATGAGATATTCTGGAAAGGATGAATCCCGATGATTGATGCTGGTTCGTGAAAACGACGAAGCCTAATTAGATGTTGAGAGAATGAATCAGTAAAAGTCTAGTAATTATGACACCGAATCAGTCGACTATCAACAAAAACCATGTACACCTTGGATATAAGACGATATGAAAAATAGCTTGTCAACATCATCCACACGACGGACATCCTTTTCCTTCAAGTCAAATTTGAAACATTCTTGGGATCAATTTTGAAATGCAAGATTCTCTCGATTGCGCATACCAGCTTTGTAGAAGAGTCCTGATCAACATCTCGTCCAAAATGTCTAGTTTACAAGAACTTCTGGCTATGACGTTAGTCTTAGTCGGGCACCATCTCAGGCACCATCTCAGGCGGTACGCATGCTCTCCTGCAGCAACAGAACACTGATTCCGCAAGCTGTCGAAACCCAAACGATTCCGTCTCGTCCACTGAGCACTGACATAACTACAAGGAACTGTGGTTCACTAAGCTTCCCTGCTTTCTTTTACTTTTTTCGATCTTCCTTCCATGAATTTTCTGGTTCTTGTTTCGCAAATAATAGCAGAGAGTCACTTCATAACCTAGGGGGTCGCACGAATACGAAGGCAAGTCAAAAATAGCTCTTCTTCTAGTAGTCGAGCAGTTTCTAGGACATAACTACAGGATATCTTCTAATGTATTATCGGAGGTACAACGTTTTCGTTCTGTAGCCAGGGCAATCCATTTCCATCGCCATTATCACTATCAGCAAATAATGAGATTTACCCAGGACTTTTCAAAGTCAGTATTTCTATGGAGTAAAGATGTAGTGTGGACTTCTATATTCTATAACAAGAATAGACTTTCTATTTCTTTGCTCCACCCCCGGATCCGCCAGCGCGACTAGAGGCCGTTAGTGCGATTGTGTCTTGCGCATAGTAATCTGCGACATAGCCACTCCATACTGGTATTCCACCATGGTACCCGTAGGCGAGGTAAGGAAGAGCTATCGCAACGCGCAACCTGCCAACGCCACTGGCCGTACTGCTCTCCTCCTCTCCAAAACCGACTCGGCAAGCGTCCTTTAGCGTGTGCTAGAATGCATCTCGGTCCCACCATCTTGATACGCGAGCCCCCTGGTATTTCATGGGAATGCAGGGGAACGGAAAGGGGGTCAAGATGCTGAGTGGGATGTTGAATAAAAGCCGACCATAAGTGATAATGCCGCCAACCCAGGCCTTTACTGGTACCGTCCACGCGGACGCCAGCTCCACGACCCATGAATAATCGCAGTCTGGTTTCACCCTCCGACTCTAAAACATTGCAGAAGACTGAGACCTTGAAGTCGAAATGTATGAGGTGGACAAAAGAATACAGATGTGTGATGACACCCTGAAGTCGAAGTGAAGTGGACACAAGAAGTTGTGCAGATGTATACTCATAGGTTCCTTCTAGAACGGCCATTGATTACCAGACCTGCGAAAAAAAACCAAATCTCAACAATCTCATGATGTACTAGTGGAGTAACTCTACCTGCGAAAAAAAACAATCCTCAACAATCCCATGTTGATCTAAAATAGAAGCAGGCACTTATAGATACCTGCGTAAAAAACGGTCCACGGTCATATGAGGTAAAGAGCGGAGTTCGATTCTGGCAAAGCAGCTTCAAAGATCCGTTGCCATCCGCGTCTTGGGTTATCCTTACGTCTAAAATGACACAACACACGTCAGCACCCGCAAAATAGGCTGGATCCTGGAGTAGACCACGGGATAATTGTTGTTGATTGTTGATTGAAGTACCTTGTTTTGGTCCGTTATGCTTATGAAAGAGAAAGCATCCAACTACTTCTATAAACTAGTACGAATTACCTTGCTCCACTTCTGGTCTGTTATGAATGCATCTAGCTGACCAAACGGCATCAGCGGCGAGTTAGCCAACTTGGCTGCATTCGAGAGGTCTATCACCTGAACGGAACACTTGACGTTGACACCAGCGGTATTGCCTGGATTGTCTTTTCGATAAATGTAGCCATGCCAATCCCCGCCGAAGCCACCTGAGTGTATGGAGAGGAAGGTGAGAGAAGGTGAAAGAGAAGGTGATAGTGGATGAGTAAGTTTTCACTTAGGTAGTCCGCTGGGCCTTTTCTTATAGATACTACGCTAAATGAATGTACAAAGAGCTTCAAATCCACTTCTAAAAACCTCAGATCATGATCTGTAGAATAGACATTCAGGGTGCTTGAGGTCAACTCTCCCTCTCACACTCGTATGGTCCAGGTCCAACGAATCCAGGCAAAAGAGGCTCGCGCGGAATCACTAAGTAAGAAGTTATTATATATAAGGCCTACTACGCTAACTAACAATCTTCGAAGCCAAAGAAAATACCTTCATCCCAATTCATTTCCGTCCCCCTCAGACCACGACACAACCCCTGGAATTTCTTGCTGTCTCTCAACAGGTTCGGAGCGAGTGGTAGACTCATGTAGTCGGGCTTGCTATTCAGCTTATTTCTCAACGAGAACATGTCCCGCTTGAAGACAGTAAGGTCCTCGGTCGTCTGCTCTCGTTCAGCTAGAATGGCCTCTGCATTCATGTCTATTTTCTCAGCCAATTGCTGTAAGCTGTCTGCACGTGCACAGGCATCGAGCTGAAAGATTTGACTTTGACTTTTTTCTGTTAACTGAGTACTTCTCTTGTTTAATGTTTGGTGCTTCTATAAACTTAGCTCATCACGATCGATCCTTATCATAATAACTACACACAGACTATAGTCTCTGTATTATCTATCATAAACTACAGAGACTATGATCTCACAGACAACTATCTATCTATGTATCTATATAAATTGCATTCTTGATACCCCATTCCGGACCGCTTCGCATTGTTCTCGCAATGCGTGCAATTCGTGTGTGTAAGCCCTGCTGCTCATCTCCTTCTCCAACATGCCTACACGCTGTCGCTGCATCGCCATCTCGGTTTTTTCAACTGCACTAGCCGCCTTCGCCATGCAGAATTGCAACTTGTCCGACAAAGTCTGCACCTCGTTACTGAACGCTTTGTTTGCACAGTCCTTGGCCAGAATATCCAAGCGCTGCTTGATCAAGCTCAGCTCGTCTGCGCCTCCTTTGTCCTGCATATCCGCCTCAAGACTCTCAAGTCGTTTCATGGCCAAAGCAAACTCCTTTCCACTGGCTTTCCAGTAGAGATCTAGCTCAACAGCGTTCACTCGGGAATGTAAGGATACGAAGGAGTCTTCTCCGGCTTTGGCAGCAATCGACGCAGCATTCTGCGTACCATGAATAGAGGATTCAGGCCGATAAGGGTCGTTGTCAGAGAAGTAGGAGAAGTCAACTACTAGGTAATTGGTGTATTTCTTGAGTCCTTAAGGAGAACTGAAGAAAGGTAGTGTGAAGAAAAGGACTTGCCACCAGTACCATACTGTGGACTTGCTTCTAGTAGACAAGCACAAGTACTCACAATAAGCAGCCACCAGTACCATACATACAGTACATGTTACATCCCCAGTAAAGTTCTATGTGCCAAGAGGAAACCATGACCTTTGTTGCAGAAGACATGCAACAGCAATGCAATCACTACTACATCCTTTTACGTAGTATGCTTTTACTTATTCGAAAAACTGAAATAAGCAAGTAACTGATCAGAATAAGCGAGATACTGACGAGAAGGAAGAGTAGCCTTGATGTTAAGCTACCTCCCTTATTTCAGTCAGTAACTCGGTTATTTTGAGTTTTCGAATAGTCAAAAATTCCAGCACCATACATTTCTGTGACAGGAGCTGCACTGCTTTGTCGCTCGCTTTTGCGTCTACTTCTTGCTGCAATGTTTTCACTGTATCGTTCAGGATCTCTGCTGCCTGACAAGAGAACTTCTCAGCCACTAGCTTTTCGCACGTCTCGGTCTTGTTCTTGATCCTTTCGAAACTCGATCTATCTGCACAATTCCTTATCGCTTCCTCTACCTTCTCGAACCTTGCAGCCGTGTCCACGTTGCTCGCTAGCGTGAAACCAAGCTTCTTCTGCACGTCTTGGAGCTTCTCATCCAGAGTTTGCTGTAGGTGGAGAACATGGTCACAACTGGCCTTCAGTTTTACATCCTCCCCGGTTTGTTGGAGTTCTTCGCTCAAGAGAGTAACAGCTTCCGACGACGCTTTGGCTCGTAGGTTCTGGCCAACCTCTAAAACTTGTTGTTCTAGATTTGAGAAAGCGGCTTCGCCAGCTTTTTCCAGCAGGCCTGCTTCGCAACTGCTCATTCTGGCCGTGGAGATTAGAAGACCCGATATGCGGGAAAATTGTTAAATACACTTAGCAACAGGAGGTGTCAACCTGCCTCGAAGAATGCCAACATTTTTCAACGCCGGTGCAGCTCTGAATATAAGGTTTTTTTGAATACATTAGCATTGTGAAGAGCAGTCTATCTTTCTTTGAAACTCGTACACGCACAACATCTTGTTCACGACCCTACTTAACAACGCGTCTACAGCATGCTGCGCTGCCTTCACCGCCACATCCTCGACTAGTCTCTCGATGTCCCGACCGTGGTCCTCCACGTCATCTGATAGCTCCTTGAACTTAGGGTTCTCTCCGCAATTCCCCTTTACAATGCCTCTTTCGCCTATTTTGCAGAGGGTAAAAAAGGGGCCAAAGATGCTTCGTAATCGTAAGATGGAATAATAAGCTTAAGAAAGATGTTGAACTACGGCATAGGTGGCCTTAATGAATTCCCGCTTCGTGACAGTTTTTTTCAATTCCCCATCATAGACACCCAATCTTGCGAGAACTGCTTCCATTTTGTCTTGCAGCTCCTTCACCTCGTCGGACAAGGTAACGACCATCATCTCCACACCCGTAGACTTCCCCATTGTGGATGGTTTTGATGTGTGGGTGAAGAAGATGAACAAGTGGAATGACGAGCACGCAGCGAACTACTTATGTCGTTGCAGATTCGGATGCAGTTTTCGGCTTAAACAGTGCGCTAGTCAAGAGCATGCGACCTCCACCTTCCTGCATCCGCCGAGCACTACTGTGGGTGTCAGAGAAGTTTGTTGGTCGGCACAGCGCGTAACCAGGCCATTGTGTTTGTGCTTGGTCTTATGATGATCAAGGTTAACTATTCGATGATCTCGAATAAATTGACATTGACTCGATCCTCTCAGCACCGATGGCGTTTTTCAAAATCAGCTGTGCTGGCATAACCTAGACTCCAAGTAGATGCCGGCTTCACTCTAGTCCGCTGTTGTAGCACCCTAGCCTAGCACGGTTTCACCCCGTGTGAAACTACCCGACCTTCATCTTGAAGATGCTCTGGTCTTCGTCTTCTTGTGACAATTGTATCAACTCATCTAATAGTACGCTGTCGCAATCCACCATCTAAGAATCACCAAAAGCAATGTCTAAACATTCGTCACAGGTCAATATCTTATGCGATGGTACACGTTTCTCATCTCCTTGTCCTTTAGAAGCGGCCATCAAATTGACCATCTTCTCCGCGCTCATGAGAATACTTCCACGTCCTTGAGCGGCTTCCCGTAGTTCAGGATCGTAGGTACCAGGAAATTTTTTGCGAAGACGCTCCACTACATCAGCATATTTTACTGCTCCAGAGTTAGAGCTCCCCCTAATTGAATTCTCTCGAGATGCATCCCACGGCCCAAATTTTCCCCTTGAACAGCCTTCATCTGTGGATGCTTCCGAAGATGATTCCTAGGGGAAGCCATAACAGGATTCACGAAATTGATGTTGCCGCTCGCACGTTGCTTGACCATGATGGGGATCCCCGGACATAGGTTTTCCAGGAAGGTGACAGAGACTGTTGATCTTAGGGAGGTGAAGACGACTGGGATAAAAATTGGGATAAAAACAAGCCTCAGGGGCGATTCCTTGCAACATATATATTCATGATTGATGTCTCTATTTTCATCAACAAAGTACTTTTTTTTAGCTACACGAACTACGTTAACAAGGATTTTTATCATAGACTCGTGCCTTAAAGCTGCATCCACTTTCGGAAATCCCTTCAATTTCGCAAGTAAGCTGGCTTTATTCTCGAAGTTTTTGTCTGTCATTGCTACTGGAAATTGCGTCCGCAGGTTCAATACGTCAGGATAGTATTGCAGCAGATCCTCCAGCATGCAACGTGCTTTCCGGTAGAAATGGACATTTTCTGTTTTATATGTAGCTGAAGATTTGTCTGCGGTTGCGGACGTGGGCGATTGTCTAGCCCCAACTCGGACACGAAAAGTCTTTCCACTCGCATCAGGTATGTCGCCATCGATATAATCTCTCGCTAGGATTTTGTCTCTATCTTCCTCGTAAAAATCGAGAGCAGCCGCGCGATCGGATGGGAGCGGCGGATAGACCATGCCACTTCCAGCATTTAGAGGGCGTGGTATGAAACTCTTCATTACAGTTCTTACAGCACGTAAAATAAGTCATATTCCATAAAATCAAGGTGCAGTGCAATCCAAGCACTCGGCATACACGTACCACATTTAGTTGGCCAAGGATATTGGCTTCGATCGTTTCTGTGGTATGCTCCAAACACCAATCGATATTTGGCGTGCCCTTGGACCCTGCAGCACAAATGACACCCAATTTCGGCGTATGCTCATCTCGGAGGAATCGTTCTAAGGACTCTGGTTGCTGTGGATTGGAAGGGATCGAGGAAGGGATCGTGGAATATATAGTCGGTGGACTAGTTCATTTCAAAGATTGTCTACTGTGGCCATAACAAGACGAAGTTTGCAGACGACAACGGAATAGTTCTGCTCCTCCAGAGCGGTCAAAATATGACCTCCAATAAAGCCAGAAGCACCAAGCAAAACGAAATCACAAGACGCAGACATGATGTTGTCTCATTTGTAACCGACTTGTTCTCAACTGTTTTTCTCACTCTAGAGTTTAGACTCTCTTCTATCGAATGTTCTCATCTTTTTCTGCCTTGCTGGCGTTTCTCGGAGTACCACAAGTGCATTCCCTAGCTCTACGTGCTTTTGCACACAGACTTCTCCAAGATCTAAAGATGGCATGGGCTTTTCGCGTCGTCGTAGACTTTGCTACGTGTAATTTGAGGATCGGCAGAGCCAAAAAGCGTCGTGAAGAATCTCTTGAACAGGTGGTGAAACAATAAGACGGCGTAGAAGTAGAAAAAAGGGCAATTCGTACTTCTTACACTGCTCAGTCAATTTTTCATCTTGCAACTCATTAGTATGAGTCAGTCCTGCTCACTAGGAATCAGCCCCCACCCCTTCCTCCCGGGCCGCACCTCCGCAACCGTTCTAGTAACAGCGAACGCATCTTTTGGGACACGAAGTAGCGTAGCACCTTTTCCACCTCAGCGTAGAGTCCACTGCCTTCACGCACGTTTCTCACTTCGCTGCTTTGCAGACACAAGTCAGCCAAGGACCATCTCTGCAGAGCCAAAATGGGGTGAAAAGCAGGGTATTTCTGAACATATTGGTCGACCAGGTAGCGGCAGTGCTCGATGGCCAGTGAATGTGCAATAGCTGTCCTTTGTCTCTCAATAACCGCGCTTGATGCGCCTGAACCAGTACAACCAGAGACGATGTCAATGAGAGAATCCAGTTCGCGGGAGATACACATCTGGAGACCAGAATGGTTGTATATTATCTTCGGAGAAGTAGTAGAGAGGTTCATGTTTAGTGCACGAACATGATGATCTCCTCCGTCTCCACTAACAGCGACAAAGGACTTCAGAAAAAATTCCAATGCCGACTGTGGCGTGGACAACACCCCTCGTGCGGCGAAAGCTATGAAGAACTCCCGAAAAGTAGTCCCTTCTGCCAGGTTTTTTGCTTCGTCAGTCAGCAGAGATACGCACATCTTTGAGGGTAGAACGGATACGAGAGTGTCTTCTAAGGAGCTTTCATCCACACACGAACCCTCTTCCACATGATCTCCAGTCGTGGTCGAAAGCAGGGCCCTCATCATATCATACACCGAATGGCCAGAAGAGTCCTCCTCTGAGCCTGATGTCCTTGTGGCAGTAGTTGTGCCACCTTGTTCCATAGATTCCAAAAACTCCCACGGCGAGGTCGGATCAACATTGGAAGACGAGGAAAGGGAAGGAGAAGCTAGTTCACTCTTCCACTTCCTCAAAAACATTTCTATCACTTCAGCAATTTTCTTTTCTTCGCCATTGCAAGCTTCGATCTGATCCTCCATCCCCTCAGCTTCCAGTCTCTCATGCAACTCCTGTAAGACAAGAAAGGCGTTGCCATTCTTAGCGATGCGCCCCGCTGAATCGACCAATGCCTCAATAGAGGGGTACCTTAAAGAAAGACAGCCATCTGAACAAGGCAAAGTAGATCCCGACACGAGGCCCGGAGAGGATGGGGAGCGCGACGGGACGATAGCACCATTGGCATGACCGCTGCCGACACCGCTAGGTTGGTCCAGCCGAACCGGAAAAGATGAACTACCGTTTCCTTTCCACCTATCCGTTTCTTTATTTCTGGGCGGCTTTTGTTGCTTATCCTCCCTATCCCTCTGACATCGCGCACAATCGCAGTCAAAGCCGTAGCGTTCGCTGAGCACCATCCGTCTATTCCCAGCATCTTGTCCTATATCCACATAGCTATGACAAATTTCATCTCCAACCTCGATATCTCGAATAGCGACCAGCGTACATAACACACGTGCGCGACGTGGACGCGAAGGAATATTGGTTTTTGTAGAGACTTTCGTCTTAGCTTTTTTTGAGGGATTCACATCATCTTCTTGGTCTTGTCCTTCTTCTCTTCGTTCCACATCGTCTCTTGCATCTTCCACCAAGTCGTATTTCAACACCACATTGGGCTCACAACTGTGGTTTAGCATGGCCACGAAGGGAAAGACTGCAGTCGCGATTGGGTTCGAAAATTGATCGCCAATCACTGCGAAATTGTTCCGGTCGAAACGCATTAGGAAATCCAACTCCTCTTCGTCAATTCCAGTCTTTTCAGAAGATGCAGGCAGTGGCTTCGCGGTATCCGCGTCATGATCATTCCCTTCCTCTAAATGAGCCTGGTTGTCTGCCTGTAGTGAGAAAAAGTGCTCCAATGTGGACTCGAATACTGTTAGCCCCAGCTTTAATCCATCGTGGCCCCCTGATCTCGACCCCTTTCCCCTTGATGTAATTCATCATGAGACTACAAGGCCGGAGGGGATCAAGATGCCGAAAAAGATGGATCAAAGCTGACCATAATACCGGAAAAGGGTAGTTAGCACTAGGGTTATTAGAGGTAGGTTTTTGGTGCTCGCTTACCCCGCTTTTTATGCCTTTCTCCCTTAGGAGAGCCATAAAAAGCGGTAAGAAAAGCACCTTTAACCTACCCTTAAGGTTACTAGCATGGTTACTAGCACTCGACGACGAAGGCGACGACAATTTAGTTTCCAACCAAAACAGCGTTGCATACTTCAAGGTTTTCTTGTCGTCGTCGTCTTTCTCTTCCCTAAACCTTGCACGTAGCCGGCACGCTAATCGTCTATTCGCCGTGTTTAAGGCATTGTCCTCATCCTGGGCCAAGACTTTAGATGAGGAGGAACTGCTATGTTGACCACCATTCGTGGAAGTAGTTCCACCCCCACAAAGAAGCCTGCACTCTTCTCGATGGCCACCATGATGAAAGGCGGCAGCTTGACACTCTTTCCCGCAATACCACGAGAGCTTGCAACGTGGACAGGGTCTCAGCTTTACCACTTGGTTAGAAGAGGTCGCTGGCGTTCGACTCGTAGTGGTATTGCTTGTCGAATTGTCGCCGCTTGCGAGTGCTATCCTTCCAGCACCATCGTCATTAGTTTCCACACGGTAGACAACACGTTGAGCATTGCCTCTAGAACAAGAGCTGCTGGAGCTACTAGGACCACCTGAAGAGGACGAAGACGATGTGAACCTACTCTGACATATCTGTATCGCAAACTCTGGCCTCGACCGCCAGCACCAGTCGCAGTAGGGCACTAGATTGGCATGGTCCAATGCCAGTTCTCCGAAGACTGAGTCTCCAGGCTTTAGCCGTTGTCCTGCACGTACATGCCTGCCTTTCGTCGCAGAAAAATCTAAACGCACACGACCATTTGTGCTTGTAAAAGAGGGCTCGAAGCGAAACCCCGAATCGGCTGGGGGTTGAGGAATGGTGGCCATGGTGGTCATGATGAAGACTTGTCCTTTTTATGGTCATGAAGATGATGGACTATCACTTGTAATTCTTTCAAACTAACACGCTTTATGGTCATGAAGATGGACTATGTGCTCTAGTCATTTATCCTGCCAAACTAACACTCTAGCGCAAATTTTTACCAAAATACAACATGACTGGTCAGAAACAGAAGGGTCAGGGGCTCGTCTATACAGCATTTCTAGCTTTCTTTATGACCAACGTCGCTATATTGAGATCCTATTTTTCACGTTTTCATGCCCGTATGATCGCCACTGTCTGCTGCCAGGACCGCACTTCTTCCGTGTTCTAAACTACTTAAGTGAGTGCTGCAACACTGAGACACACTTTTACATATCTTTAAGACCGATGTTGAGCAGAACCTTATAGCCACTCATTCTATGAGCCGCTGAACCACCCACAGCGCAACATGGTTAGACGCTGTTAGCATGTGCGCTAGCAGTCAACAAGATTCGATTCCGTTGTGTGTCAGATTCGAGTGCAGATCCAGTCTGTAAATCTTCTGTAAAATCATCTGTACAGCTCCGTCTTCGACAATACTTATAGTAGATCCCCCATCACTGCTGGGCGCTTTGGCTCCTGCGAGGAAATCTTCTGTGCTTGCTGATTTTCAATAACATATCGGATTCTATCTACCTTCTAACGATTATTGTAAAGATCCATGACATCTTCTCTTAGCGTTTTGTATACCCTTTCCATGGCCGCTATAAACCTTGTTTATAAGAAGCGCAAAAATATCTAATAGATACAGAAGATGAGGCAGCACGTACGGCTGACAAAAAATCGCAGATAGTAAAGGATGAATCTACAAGGAATAGATACAATGAACAGGACATCGACGGTTGTTCAGAATGAATATCGACGTTCTTTTATGAATAGCACTATCTGATATCAAAAGTATTCAGCGTGGTTCCTTCTAGGAAAAAAGTCCAAAGTTGTACGTACTTTACATAAGAATTTGTTTTCACGACAACTTGTTTCATAACATGTTACAACTTCTGCTCTCCTGAGCAAATACAAATTCAAATACTCGAAACGTAGTACAAATCCCAAAATAGTACAAATCCCCAATCTCGACCACTCTCAACCCGTGAGGACTGTGAAATTCGAACCTACCACGTCACCAGTATCCTAGCACCTCAAGCCGCCAATTTCGAAGCCGCAGTGATTGCAGCGAAGACACACACACCTCCTCCTAACAACGCAGCTGCGTATTGCGGACGCACTGCAAACCACGCCAACGCCACTGTTGTGCACCAGAAAATGCACCCCAAAATAAAGGCAGCTGCTGTCGCGATCAAGTTACCAAACAATTGAATCCAGGTGCCGACAAACGGGATAACGCGAAAGAGGGCAGGCACGACACTGAATGTCATCTGCAGGCCACCGAAAAGCATTCCGATTAGAAGACGAAGGGGATTGAGAGTCGGAGAGAGAAAGAAAGAAAAGGTCATGTTGGTTCTTTTGTTTGCTTTGTTTGACTCAAAAATACTCCACAACTTCAAGCAAAAACCATGTGCCTGTGCTATCAGTCTTCAGTGACATGTACGTCTTCGTCGTTTACCGACTAAAAAATCATCTTACCATCCTGATACACAGTTTGTCGTTTGAATAACGACTAGCTTCAACTACTTCTTCATAACAGAAACCCCACAATTTGCAACAGTGTGTGGATGCTGTTCTGCGCACCTTCCGCTTGCTCGAAGATAGCCTTGCAGCTTAAAGTTTCGTTGCTCACCTCGAACACACTGGTACCAAAATTGGAAACGAAGCCGGACACTGCACCACAGACACGACAAAAAATCGTCATGCAACCGGCATTTTGTCCGACGTCACTGGGTTCGATACCAATCTTCTGGACACCTGCGTCAGCGGATCCCTTAGGGATTAGATATGGGAGCTCCTGAGTACTACGAGAACAAACGTGGAACTCTAACTCAATTTCCTGAGTACTACGAGAACAAACGTGGAACTCTAACTCAATTTCCTGAGTACTACGAGAACAAACGTGGAACTCTAACTCAATTTCCTGAGTACTACGAGAACAAACATGGAACTCTAACTCAATTTCCTGAGTACTACGAGAACAAGCATGGATGCAAACATCGATGAACATGGATTTGGATGATATCAACCTCATAACTGCAACAATGGTTCCTCTAAAGGCGATCAAATTGCTTATATATAAATACCGCCCACGTGCCCCCGGCGTGTACACACGCCGGGGCAGGGCGGAAGGGTCTGGCAAATGCTACGAGTTACATAAAATCCATACGGCCTACCGGCGTGCTACGAATTACGTAAAGAGTGGCGGGCTATGGAATAAGCAAAGCAGCTCCGCGCTACAAGCTACTACGTGCTACATAAACCCCCGCCCTGGCAGCACCCGAAACGCCCAAAAGGAACTACTTCGAACGAATGAGGCAAACGGGTAACCAAATACATACGCCGAGAGTCAAATCCTTGAGCAGATCACTCCAGGCCTGCTGTTTTTGGTTCTCAGCGTAGTGGCTGGGCGAAGCACTGCAGTCGACTCCGCTCACCATGAGAACCTCGCGCGCCCCCTGGCCCGGGTTTTGGGCGTGGGTCCCCTACTCTTGGAGTGTGTTGCGTCTCCGGCTGGCATGGCAGTGCCACGAGGGGGGCCCCAGGCTTGTCGCTTTCGGTTCTCCGCATAGTGGGCGAAGCACTACGCCCGACGCCGCTCACCATGAGAACGTCTACCGTGGATCTTTTCCGTGGAGAGAACTAGGGGGCGGCCCCGTTCTACTCTCGGCCTGTTTGCGGGGTTTTACTCTTTGCGCCGTTTTAGGTTTTCCATCCAAATCACGCAGCTTTATGGTGTCGCGTTGCTGCCTACGCTTCAGCTGCTTCGCGTGTGCTCTCTGTGAGCCATTTACCCTCCCAAGCTTACGGCAAGTTGCGCTCTATCGCTTAGCTTCCCTATCTGCTTCTGGCTTTCTCGAGAGGTGTGGGCATGCGTCATCTCAAGGCTTTGATCTAAGTGAACAAGAACAACGCCACGCGAGCAGTGCTGTGCGGCTTTCATGTGCTTGGGCGATGCAATCTGTGAGCCGCTTGAGCTTTCTGACCAGAAAGCAGGCCCAAGCCTATGGGCTTGCTGGTTACTTATGGCGTACTCGAGAGGCCTTGTCCTTTGCGCCCATTCTTTTCTGATCCAAAAAGCGCAGCGCGATGAAGTTGCTGCGTACTTGTGAGCTGCTTAAGAGGTCCCACCCTTTGGCTCAGTTCAAGACCCTCATCCAAACGGCGCAACGCTGTGAAGCTGCTGGCCCTTTTGACTTGCTGGGAAGGTCTCACCCTCTGACCCAGCGCAGGCACCCTACCCAAAAGCCGCAGCTTTATGAAGTTGCTGCCTACTTTTGAGTGACCTGCTTGAAAGGTCTCGGCTTTTGACTCTGCTCAAACCTCCCACCCAAAAAGCGCAGCTGTATGATATTGCTCTCTACTTTTGACCTGCTTGAAAGGTCCCAGCCTTTCAATCAGCTCACTCAGAGGCCTTCCACAATCAAAGGGCGCAGCTCTATGAAATGGCTGCCCACTTTTGACCTGCTGGAACGGTCTCGCTCTTTGGCCCAGATCTGGCCAGCTTGGTTATTCAAAGCGCGCAGCTTTCTGGAATTGCTGCCCACTTTTGACCTGCTTGAAAGGTCCCACCTTGGCTTTTGACCAAGCTCGGGCACCCTATCCAAAAAGCGCAACGCCATGGGGCTGCTGTCTGCTTTTGGCTTGGCTTGCTTGAGAGGTCCCGCCTTTTGCCTTTCTTTGCTCAAGCTCCTTGCTCAAAAAGCGCAATCTACTTCATGACATGAAGCTGCTGCCTACTTTTGGCCTGCTCGTAACGTCCCACGCTTTCACTCAGTCAAGCCAGGCGCCTTACTCAAAGAGCGCAGCTCTAGGAAATTGCTGCCCACTTTTGACCTGCTTGAAACAAAGGTCGCACCTTTTGACCCAGCTCAGGCCACTCAGGCATCCTATCCGAAGCGCGCCGCTTTATGTGATTGCTGTCGTCTACTTTTGGCCTGCTTGAAGGGTCCCATCTTTTCACTCTGCTCCAGCCTCTTACGCAAAGCGCGTGGCTTTATGCGTTTCCTGTCTATTTTTGACCTGCTTGAAAGGTCCCACCCTTTGACCCAGCTCAGGCCCCTTATCCAAAGAGCGCAACGCCATGAAGTTGCTGCCTCCTTTTGAGCTGCTTGAAAGGTGTCGCCCTTTGACTTAGCTCAGACCTGTTATCCAAAGAGCGCAACTCTATACCGTTGCTGTCTGCTTTTGAGCTGCTTGAAAGGTCTCACCCTTTGACGTCGCTCAGACTCCTTATCCAAAAAGCACAACTTTATGAGATTTCTGTCTACTTTTGACCTGCTTGAAAGGTCTCACCCTTTGAGCCAGCTCAGACCTCTTATCCAAAAAGCTCAACTTTATGAGATTGCTGTCTACTTTTGATCTGCTTGAAAGGTCCCACCCTTTGAGCCCGCTCAGACTCCTTATCCTAAAGCGCAAACTTATGGGATTGCTGTCCACTTTCGAGGTGCTTAAAAGGTCCCAGCCTTTTAGTTTGAGCCAGCTCAGACTTCTTATCCAAAAGGCGCAGCTTTATGAAGTTGCTGTCTACTTTTGACGTGCTTGAGCGGCCCCATCCTTTGAGTCAGCTCGAAATCCTTACCCAAAGCGCGCAGCTTTATGAGGTCGCTGTCTACTTTTGACCTGCTTGAAAGGTCTGACCCTTTGAGCCAGCTCAGGCGCCTGCTGATCCAAAAAGCGCGCAGGTGCTAACTTGCTCAGCGTGTAGCTGCTGGGTGCTTGCCTCTGTTTGCGTTTCTTTGTTTGCATGTGGGTCCTTTTTGTAGCACATACGCAGACGCAGCGGATTTTCTTCATGAGATGACTGGCCCCAGGCTGAGGCGCTTCGCTCTTCGTTTTTTGTCCATGCAGCGCAGTCCTTGGCTTGTGCTGTTGGTTCAGGGTTTTGAGGTACTGCCGAAAGCCTTAGCAGGAGCAGAATCGCGGGAAAGTTGTACGCAAAAACGCGGCATTTTTACGGCGCGAGATGTATACATCTAACCCGTACATCTTTCCCATGATTTCCGTACATCTCAAAAAAGTGGAATTTTGGAAACCTACTATGAATCACCCCGGTGTAAGTACATCTCAAGAGTACATCTTTCCCGTGGTTTACGTATAAGATATATATCTCGAGATATATATCTCAGACGTATACATCTCACCCGTACATCTTTGCCATGATTTGCGTACATCTCAAGCCGTAAACTCACTCCTGTTTAGCATTCAAAATAAGTTTTGGTTTATAATATAGATAATTATAGTATCATTGTTATCCTTTCGCTTTCTTGTTTGTTGCACCAGGCCCCAGAGGTTCGAAACAGGTCGCCCTTAAGGACATTCACGCTGCTTCGCTCTGACATGGATCTACTTATGCTTATCTTTCTACTTGAGTTGGATAAAAGAAATATGGAGTAATAAAAAAAAAGTCATAACTGCAACAAGGGTTCTTCCAAAGGCGGGACACTGCCTGGCGCAACACGTGTTTCGTCGCCTGCATCGGTCTTGAACCCAGCTTCTAGCGGAACGAAACTGTTCTGAGATTGCACACCCAACACAGTACATGGTCCGCACTCGGTCTTGGTATATCGCACACGAAGCGCACCGACTTGTGGTTCGGCAGAGGTGTCGGTGCACAGCCACTCTCCCTTCTCCGCTGAGTCTAAACTTGAGGTAGTATACCAAGTGCGACCAGCAGCTTTGCGAGCTGAAGTGGAGGTTGGAGGAAAGAAACAAAATGAAAAGAACTCGAAATGCCTTCCTAAGAGTGTGCAAGATCACCAGTCTATGCTGAAACTAGCGAGAGAGAAAGAGAAAGGTCATCTTCACAACTCAATTACTTAGACAACATTTGTAATTATTCCAAATCACATCCAAAAAATCCAAGTAGTAGACCTCCTTCTCCCGGCACAACTACCGGTTTGGACTTTGTCGCAGTTACGAGACGGGTCAATAATGGCTTTGGGACTCGGAAATCCTTCAGGCTGACCTTGGGAGCATACAGCACACCCGAATTGTCTTCATCGAAAGAACCCGAAAACTCAGATGGAAACTTCGGGTTCTCGTGACCGGCCTTTTCCTGGAAGGAACTGCTGTCGATTGCGCAGGACTTCCATACACAGCGATGGGGATTAGACATGATATTGTCGTCATAGACATGAGATTGTCGTCATAGACATGGAGATTAGACATGAGATTGTGGTTGAGATAGAGATAGAGAGAATCAACACTACACATTCATAGAAAAGAATAGAGCAAAGATGATGATACTAGTAGCAGTATAGTTGTACACCAACAGAGACAGATGCCCACGAAGCTATTCAAGGTGAAGAATCGAGAATGTAAGGATTGAGATCACTACTCTATTAATCCACAAACGCTGCTGCAGTTGTCATAAAATAATAAGTCGTGGTGGTATCCTTTCCACCGTAGTTGTCGTCTTGGCTCTTGCTCTCAGATTTCTCCTCCCACTGATACATCTCCACTTCGCGCGTCAAGGCCAAACATCCACCATTCAGAGTAATACCGAACCCTTCTTTATCCTTCAAAACGTCTTCAGGAGTGTTAGAAGAAGTAAGAGATGTAGGGTTCTTTATCCTTCAAAACGTCTTCAGGAGTGTTTGAAATCCTGATCGTTGATGCTTCTGCTGAGAAGTGTCCTAATTGCTGCGCGTATCTCAGATTTGCCTGTTGTGATGTATAGCTCCTATGGTTAGTAAATTATGGAGTCTGCACTATGCGGTTAGGTTAGGTTAGGTTAGGTTAGGTTATGGATGGCTATCAATCTACTATGAGGTAGTTAATAGGTGATCTTAATTTTCAAGAACGAAGGCAAACTGACGCATCCTCTTATTAATTTAGGTTCGATAAGATAAAGTTGCCTTAATACTAGTAACTCCAGGCACGTGAACCAAGCGGCGGTCGTTGTTATCATCGCATTTCGCTACATCAGACACCACGATCTTGCGAGCACGGCCAAAAAGACGCCACATTTTCGCCTGGCGAGACTCATTCCCCCAGAGGAGCGGAAATGCGAAGAGAAAGAGCAAAAACCCAGCACACGCGGAGCCGAAGGCACTCTTGATCTCATCGCTGACACCAGTATGCGTCGTGCGTGTTACCACATCGTTTCTCGGTTGAGCGCTTGTTCCAAAATGCTTCGAATTAGAAAAAGTCAATGCAGTTCTATTTCTATTGATGTTCATATTCAGGTGGCAAACTACGAAAGGATTATGGACCCTATGCAAACCTGATTATAGATTATCGTATCGATGCGCATGCGCAGGATCCATGTTCAGGTTATAGATTATGGATCCTGCGCATGCGCATCGAGCCCGTCTCAGATAACGAGCTCGACTCCCAGCGTGATTCACTCACAAAAAGAAGTCGAAAATTCTATCTTGCGTCAAAATGGATTCCTTTTCCCATCTTCCTAAATAGTAATAGATTTCTATCAATCTTCCCGCCCCTTTTTCATAAGTAAAACATGTCCTTCCGTCGCTTCAGCCGTGCCTTGAGTTGAACCCCTGGTTCCGGCAAAGTGCTTGTGTACTAGACCCTGAAAGCGTGCAGCTCCATGACCAAGGAGCTCCGTCTCATCTTGTTCCCCGATATCGAGTGGAGAATCGATTGCCAGCGAAACTTGTCGCACTTCGGAGTACACGCCAGGCAAAGAGGACACGCACGCAGCTGCCCCTAGGAACAGGGCATTACGACTGGAGAGAGACTGCAACATGTTGTTAGGTGTGATGGCTTCAATGAATAATTCTATTATGAGAAAAAACTACTTGATCTCAATCACAAGATTGCCGCAGTCATGAAAATTGACCACAATCAAGAAAAGGAAAGCCTAGTGGGTAATTCGTTACATAGATCTAGTTCCTTGAAAACTTCTGAATGATGAACAAATAAACATTGCGCATAGTGCATTTTACCTCTATAAAAAGCGCATATAAGAAAAACAAACAGCGTGTATTATATCTATATCCTATGAATAACGCATAAGTTGTCACAGCGTTCGCGTTGTTAATTCACGACTACACTCAGTTTCACTGGGAAACTTTTTGATGTTGCCCATTCATTTTCAGCTTCGGCTTTGAGGTTGCTGAAGTTCATTTGGGGAACTATCACCAAGTACCCTAAAGTATCCGGCTAACTGCTTGGAGTGGAGAAGCGGCACGGTTACGTCTGTTGTGAAAAGTTACAACTTAACACGAACTAGCCCTAAGCGAGAGTTTTAGACAACGAACCCCAACTATCACCGTTCAAACAGCTTCCCCTTTGAGGTTGCTGAAGTTCATTCCAGCACACGCTGAATTGCCCATTCATTTTCAGCTTCGGCTTTGAGGTTGCTGAAGTTCATTCCAGCACACGCTGAATACCAAAGGCTCCGTGTCTTTTCTCTCCTCACAGATAACTCAGCTGCTCATCCAGATCTTCCTGTTTCTAGTACCTCCTCAGCCAAATTAATAAGAATAAGCTTCTCCGCTCTTGCATCTCGTCCTCAAAGCATTCTCGTTACAAAAACACCGCAGAGAAACAAAACCAGGTTCTGTTTGCTCTTGAATCTGAGCATAGGCTTTTTCGATTTCATCGCTGTAACAAGCTCAACTTGAATTTTCAAGAAACGCTAAAAATCACAGTTTTTGTGCCAGTGCCGTAAGGAGGAGCAACTAGGCGTAGACAGCTGTATTCTCGAAAATGGTTACATTATCTTCTCGTTCTTACTTGTTACGTTGGTAGAAGAGGCAGGTGTTGTACGCGCTTAGAGGTTCTCCAATACATCATACTAGGTATACTCTATTGTTAACGAACACTTAGTTGCGGGGCGGTGGCACTAGATCCAGTGTCTCTAGCGCAGGTAACGAGGGCACTAGATCCTATGTCTCTAGCGCAGGTGGCGGGAGCACTACATCCTATGTCTCTAGCGCAGGTGGCGGGGGCACTAGATCCTATGTCTAGCGCAGGAGGAAGCCGATAAAGATTCTTCGAATGAACACGCGGCCAGCAAAAAGAGAGAATCAATGATCTAAGTAATGTATAGAGGTCATCCTGTAGGAGTACATACTTTTTCACACAGATGAAGAAACCTCGTCCTCATCAAATTCCTGAACTTCTAAAAGAAAGGTCATGCTTTCATCTTCATATGTTTATAGGACAGCCTTCTTCTCGTTCCTACTATCTTCCCATCCGAGCAAAGGCACAAGTCTCGACGCGATAGGTGAAGCGAGAAAAACCACCACAGTTGCGAGCCACTGAGCCGGGGCTAGGGAATGTCCAAACCAAAGGACCGAAAAAACCACGGAGATTAGATGATGTGCTGAAAACGACGTATATTCACTAAGATGCTTGTTGATAAATCAAGATAGAAGATCAGCTGCATCGACCACTATACGGAAAGCCATCTTTCCATTTAGATAGACGATCATTACCAGCGCAAACGATACATGGACTATACGGAAGGCCTTTCCTTCTTCGAATCAAGCCATAAAGAAATCAGTTTTCGCAGAGTCGTGGTCAGGGTTACGGTCAGAGCACCGAAGTTTTTCTGCAAGGTATACACGAATAACGAACCAATAGCCATTGTAGTGCCAAAGTATCCCAAATTCGGTAACACAGATGGATGCGCAACGACAAAAGCAATACCTTGGTTGGTCGTAGGTTCTGATTGGCTGCTTTCCAGCAAAAGGAAGACGGAGCAGATTGGTTCTTGACAAGAAACAGTAAGTAATTGTACGATTACATCAGCTATCCCAAGCTTTACATGGGGTTCTGATGAATAGCATATGGATCCTGGGTCAGTTCGATAACAAGTAGGTGTAAATCACCTTTCGGCAGTTCTCCCGTGACGGTTGCTAGGACGACTGCGAAAAAGAGTTCATACAAGTTCATGTTGAACATGAGTTGGTAGGGACTGGCGTTATGCTGCGCGACTATCCTGTTTTGGAATGGTCCGTAAATTCCATCACAAACCAGTGCTGCGAGCACAAATCCGAGACCGAGGAACAAGGTCGGAGTTAACTCGAAGTCACTCTTTCCCTTCTTGCTGCCACCAGCTAGGGTAAACGCTACCACACCAGCGGACATGAGATACACCTGTGATTCGTTGGTGATATCTTTATAACGAGTAAGAGTGATAAAAGGGACTTCTGTCTGTGCGTGCGCGAGGTTATATAGCCTCCAGGCCCCAGCATAAAAGCGCATAGACATACACAACAAAAGCCAGACCGGACGTCAATGAATGCGCGGCAAAAGGGCTACCCAATAACCGGCAACCCGACTAGCTTAATAGGCTGTATCGCTGGCGAGGTACTCTGTTACGACCCAACGACATACACAAAAGCACAGCTGCACCGGCGCCATTACTGAGCAGCACGCTGCTCAACAACTTGCGTCCACTTCATTTCACCGAAGGGCTGCGCCATGCCCGTCGAATCCATCGGTCACCATCATCCCCGCCGGCGGCCCGCGGGGAACCTAGTCCAACATGTCCCCCGGCTGCGTCTGTTGCGGCGAGCCGTCCCCCGACGCTGCTAGCCAGGCCATAGACATGCCGCCCCGTTTGCGACCCGCTTCCCGCCGTCAGTCCTGTTACGTCTGGAAGCTGAGGGGCTTGGCTAAGTAGGTCCTTCTAGCGTCCAACTGAGATGCCCAGCGCCATCAGGTAAAGCCTCAGCCTCGAATGCCTTCGAGGCATCTACAGGCAGCTTCACCTAGTGACAACAGAAAACGCGAGAGGGCTGCCCCTGGCCCTGCACAAGCCCGCGCATAAGTAACACGCTGCGTTTGGCCGTTTTTGGATGGTCAGCGAATGCCTACCACAGCGCGCCCGTTGTGCGTGGCTAGGTATCAAGCCAGCAGCCCCGGTTTTTGATAAGTTGAACCAGATACATAGAACTCACCGGGACGCCTGCCCTTCGCCATCGGATCGGGGGCGCCACTAACCTGCCCAACCCCCTCCAACATCGTCGGGGCTCGCCTCAGTATCTAACGAGTCGCTCCCAGTTAAGATCTACTGGCGTCACCTATAGTCCTCCACCAGACGTATACACACCGGCGCAACAGCCACAAAAGCGCGCACGCATCTCCCAGGCCGCTGGCATCACTTTACTCTGGAGACGTCTCGCAGTATTTTTTCACTCTCTCGCGTTGCACGCAGGCATTTCGGACGCCGCGGCCCACCACCCTCTTCGGCCTAATTTAAGCGACCCCAGCACCCTGCTGGTGACATCAAACAAGCGCGGAGCCCCCTCCGTTTGCTCAGCCACCTCTGGGGCCATGCGTTTGCTGCATGCCAGCACAATTCCCCGCCACGGTCTGGACGGGAAGGGGAAGCCCAGACCTGTGCGCCCTCCAGCGACTTGACTAGCCGAAACCGTCCGCAGCCTGCCACCAGCGTCATCTCAGGCGCAGCCACCTACATGCATCCGCGTACAACGTGCAAGAACCTAGGAAAAGTATGCCAAAACTGGAAGAGCGCCCGCGAACAAATCTGAGCTCTAACTAAAGGCATCAAGCCCCTGGATGAAGTGTGAGTCTTTTGGTATAGATGTATGCCACATGCTGGGACTAAAAAGGAACAATTGTAACAGAGAACAAGCCGCCCCTCTGCGCCGCTGAGCGAGGTGTGGCCATTCTTTGACGAATTTACTCAGCCAGGCTGTCACTGATGAGCACGAGATAAGCTCTGATAGCGAACATGACCGATATTTTATAGAGATAATAAAACTCAAGTAAACTACTCGTATTTATTCTTCGTAGGCATTGATTTCAGCTCACTACCTGCATCATTTTCTCCGGCGAGTGTTTTTTTCTTGCTAGAACTTTCTCTCCCAGCATAACTGGAACCGCCTTACAGCTCTTGCAAACCACTTGCAAAGGAAAGGGGATGTATTGTAGTGCAGAGAGTCCGAAGAAGTGGGCACCTAGATAGGCCCCACTCACGATGCTCCAGTCTTGCATGCCTGCACCGGCTGACCACTTCTTTTCTCCAGTGGCGGGAATTAGAATATATTTCTTATTATTACCGGAAGTCAACTGGATGTTGAAAAGCATCTACTTCCTTGAGGTGCTACAGTTATTTCCCTTTCAGCGAGAACACTTTCAAGCAAAAGATGCTTCAATCATGTTTGTTTATCTACGTACAGATTAGAATAGAAACCAGCCTTAAGATAAGAAGCACAGCTGCCACTAGACAATTGCAAAAGGATTGGACGCAGATGAGAAAAATCGGCAGTTTTAGTCGCTCGCCATCGTACTCGCCACGTGTCAACGCCTCTTGGGCATAGCCAAAGATTGTGAACGAGCCCAAAACACCACCAGCAAGCAAGACCAAAAACGCGTTTTGCCTTATCATGGCAGTGATACTGGTAGAAGCCGCGGAGACAGGGTCATCCTCTTTCCGACTAGGATCGCGAGAACCTAGAACGGCCGTCATCTTGATCTTGGTCTCTACTTCTACGGGACAACAGAGAAGAAGAGGACGAATTGAAAAAGTACCCACTCAAAACCAAATGAGCTACAAGAAAAATGTTCGAACCAACGAATAATGAGGAACTATTTCTTGAGTATCTTTAGAACTTCCTTGTACAGGATGAAGGGGGCAACCTGCTTCCACAAAAGAAGGATATCTTCGGATCATCAGCAACACTCGCATCAGCATTTCTTTGTTTTATCATGGTTATTGGGGTTGTAAAAACTATCAGTGTCGACCGTACTCCTCCAGTCAACGCTGGATAGATCCCCGAAGATTCTCGTATCACGAGGGATTCTTTTGTATAAAAACATGCACATGCACGCGAAAAGCATGAAGATCAGCTGTATTGCGAGTCATTTCGCAACAAATTCGTAAGCTTCCAATCCAAATTGCGATTCTCTTTTAGATAGTGGTCCATCTTCTGACGGAAGCTCTGCTCGACAACATCAAATTCTCTTTCTCGCGTATAATCTTAATCTCCTGTACTAATCTTCTTCTCATATTTCAAAAATGACAGTTCAACGACTCGTGGCACACGTGTAGCGAAAGAATGACACGCTTTTCTATCAAGGGATGAAAAACTCTAGATGTGAGTGTGACAACAATATACTTATCATAGTGGATGACTGGTGGTTGATGCTCAGTCTCCAATGGTGCTCGTTGAGTGATATATTGATTCTTGTTCTTCTTCGAAGGCTTCCCGTTTTCACGATGACACATGTAAGTTCGACATTGTTATGATCATAAGTACATTACCTGTGCATGCCTAAGCCTATACCAACTTCAGGGCGAATATTTGCTTCAAATGTAAGTTCGTGGTGTGCTTCATTTTCAAAAATAAAAGTTCAAAGTTCGATGACATTCTCGCGATTGAGAGTCTCGTAACGTTCGATTTAATTTCATTTCGCGATGCAGCATTTTATGATAATGGATTACTGAAAGAGGTATTAGGTTCCACAAGATGACAACGATCATTTTCACTCGTGATTTCAACTTGATCATCAAGAACGCTCAAATACTAGAAAGAACGAAGGTACTTATGCCTAGTCCTTTTTACTGCTCTCGCCCTTTTTCCCGCCGAATGTAACGCCTTGGCTTCGGTGTGAGTCGCTCTGCAGCTCGCGAAGACAATTCCGCATCGTCGTCAGAATTCTCCTCAGCTGCCTCGTCAGAATACTCTTCATCTGGGACAACGTCTTGGTTTTGTGGTTGCTCTACTCGGAGGTTCTGTTGTAGTTCTTGATCTTGTTCAAGAAGAGGGTCCTCTTGGTCTCGGTCAAGCAGAGTGTCTTGCTCTTGTTCTTCAAGTAGGGCAGTATTTTGATGTTCTTCTCGTTGTCCCGCATCATCTTCTGGTGAGTCAAGTTCCTGTTCTGCATCATCTTCATCCTCGTTAGCATCGTTCTTGAGTTCTTCTTCCATAGTCGACGAAGAAGCAGATTCTACTGACGTGGCAGCACTAGAACTAGTACTGCTCACTATTTTAGAAGGTCTTCCTCTTGTTGCCCCATCATGTTCATCACTTGCCTCGTCCTCACTAGTTGTATCTGTATCACTCCTTTCGGGTGAAGATTCTTCCTCTTCCTCGCCGTCGCTATCGCCATCCAGCACGTCAGGAACCGAAACTAGATCATTTTCTAAATCAATCTCACCTTCATTAAGGGCATGCGCGTCTTCTTCTTCTACTTCTTGTTCTGCTTGACCCTCTCCTGACTCGTGGTCGAGTAGCGCTTTACTATCTTTTTTAGGGCCATGCTCCTGCTTGTCCTGTCGCTGTTTGTCCTCTTGCATCTTGCCCTCTTGCATCTTGCCTTCTTGCTTTCTACCCTCTAACTTTGACCGTCTTCTTGACGACCTACTTCTCTCAACAATGTGGACATGATTCTTCGTTTTGTCCTTCTTTTGGTTTGTCCGAGCATAAATCTTCCTCTCCTTTTTTTCATCTGAAATCCGATTCTGTATGGAATCGACAGTGGACTCTTCATCTTCATCTTCCTGATCCTGCACGTCTTGTTTCACAGGATTACTCCCTGCGATGCTATTGGTATTCTGAGTGACAGCATGAGGATGACGTAGCATTCCATCAATTTGAGCACTCTGACTCATATGCCCACTAGCATAAGGCATGGCCTCAGCAGGTTGAAAGTCGGGCCGAGCGACACCCAGCGAAATCGTTGGGCCATGATGAGTGTTTTGACTCGAAGAAGATGAACCACGATGATGCTGTCCAGTCATCGAGGGTCCACCGCGATTGAAAACGATGGATTAGAACTTGGGAGAGGCGAAAATGGTAGACGCAAATGGTAGCGCAGAAGCAACTCTGCCATGGGAGTGCGCACAGTCTTCACATGATAGGAGTGTTACTTAAAGTACTTAAGTGGACAGAGAAGAACTACAAGACAAACGCAGGTTATAGAAACAACACAATCGATCACGATAGGAGTGTTACTTAAAGTACTTAAGTAGACAGAGAAGAACTACGAGTTCACATTGACAGCATGAAACTGTATCCATAAGAATAGAATCGTCGCATGAATGGCATGCCTGCGACGATGGCGCCGCCTGGGATAGACTCCTTGGGGATATCCAATGGAGTAAAGGCCAGAGAACAAATTAGTTCATGTGGTTCCGGATTCTTCTTTAAAGGTTGCAGAATTACATTCTTCAGAACATCCCTCACCTCTTTCCTACTGTAAAAAGAGCGAGGAATGGTTGTGGCAGATGTAATTGGTTAACCCTTAACTTCTGGTCTTTCGCACTGGGCGTCACAGCCGTGGCAATCATATAATCGTCGTGGGTCAATGTCAAAGGACGGACTTGGCCCTGACGAATTTTGAGGTATGGTTTCATGGATAAGAACGTGTTTGGCTATTCCAACTTGAAGCATTAGTTTTTTTGAGTAAAAAGAGAAAGAAAATACCTGAACATCCTTTAGCCAGAAAGTGAGGTTGCCGTATTGTGTGCTTTCAAACGCAACGTCGTCACAGGTCCTATCTGGCAATAGCTCTTTCAGTGTTTTATACACGTGCTTGGGGACTGTGAAGAGCGACGTGCCACTATCCACGATCAGGTTATTCACGGTCAACGGTATCGGATGAGCGTCCATCTTCTTCTTATCGCTTGATTTTTGATCGTCATCGTCTGATCTTCGCTTGACTAGAGGCTCCGCCCCCTCGGTCGTCGCGTTATTTCTAGTTGCAGAGCCTTGCTCCACCTCATTCTTGTTGTCCTCGTCATCACCAGAGCCTCTACCATCATTGTCGTCACTCTCCTCCTCTTCCTCATCGTCGTCAGTGAAATCAGGACGAGGACGAGCAAGTGCACCTCCTCTGTCCAGCAGCGCAACGCGTTTCAGAACTCGGCGAACGCGATTTGACACAATAGAAGACTGCTGCAACGCAGCACCAAGGAAATGGGCGACGCGCTTAGCACGCAATTGATTCAGATCATCCTTTGGTTCTGGATGAACTTGTTGAAGAACCGAGGATGAAGAACTTGTTGAAGAAGTGGTGCTTGCAGTACTACCTTGTTCCTCCACCTGCCCTACTAGATTCTCCTTCTTGTGCTGCACCTTACTGGCGATCTGGAGCAAAGAAGTCCTCGCCATTGCTGGCCAATGCGCCAGTGGAGCTTTCTTCACGTTTTCGGGTAGAAAATGACTCAACAGATAATGACGAACTAGATCAAGCATTTGTTCCTTTTTCTTGTCTTCTTGAGGGCTTTGGTCGTGGTCAGCACTGGAAGAAGTAGCTTGCTCATGCTCATCACCAGAATCTCCACTAATATCACCGGACAAAAGCACCTCTTCAACCAAAGCAGCCGCAACGTGTGCTAGTCTCTGCCTGCGACTGATTTTCTGTCGAGCATGAGGTAAAGCGTTCGAGTACTTGCTTGGTGTGGTCAAGACCGGCTCTGCATGATAGGTGAGTTCTGCTTCGCTTGCTTGGCCGGGACTAGAAGTAGTGAAGTGATGTCCTCTCCTATTTTTACTCCGATCACCTCTACTGTGCGTAAGTGCTGCAGCAATAGCATGTCCAAAAAAGTCGCCAAGCCACTCTTCCATACTCCATGGTCGCTGGACATCAATGGCGCTATTCGACGTATGTTCTTCAGACACGGAAGCAGAACTATGTTGATCATGATGATGAGAATGCTTGGTGGAGGACATTGAGCTGCCCCTATTGCCTTTGCGTCCATTCATCATGCCATTCAGAATTTCTTCGAAATATTTTGTTAGCGCGTCTTCCTCACTACTCTGGCCTGATCCTGAAGAAGTTGAATTGTTCCTTTCTCGTCCCCCATCTTGGCCTCCTCCACTCGAGCTAGAACCATCATCTCCTCTTCCTTGTCCTTCTTCCTCGTCACCACCTCCACCTAGACTGTCGAAGATGTCTGACAATGCTTTTCCGATAGAGTCAGCACCAGTGGAGGTCTCTTTCGGATGAAGGACCGTCATTCTGTAGAGCGACTTTTTCTCCCTACGAGGCGCAGCAAAAAGGACACTGCGAAGGCCGTCCTTCTCCAGGGGACTGTTCATCGCGATGGTGACGTCATCTAACCCTAATGCCCAATACCGCTGGTGCACAACTGGAAACGTATGAAGTGTGCCGCCTTCTGCCGCCTCGCGCATGATGCCTCCCATGGTAAAGATCGAATTCTGGCGTGGAGCGCGCGACAAGTAGAAGGAAAACTCGTTTGGAATCCTGTTCGACTGCATCACGTTGTCGAAAAAAGGTGTCGCGAGGTCGTTGACAAGCTCAAACTCGCGTCGAAGACGTTGTGACATCTTGTTTTGTTCCTTACTTGAAGATGAGGTGGAAATGGTCCTCTCATATTCAGAAGCTTTAGTCTCTTGTTCGACAGCATGCTTAGTCGTGGTCGTTGCTCCGTTGCCTTTGCTCGGAGATGAACCATGACGTTCATGATCCGACCTCTTCTTAGAAGTGGATGAAATCGTGCTGTTCTTACTACTCCCACCTAGAGCTTTAGCCGTAGAAGGCAGTGCTCGAGATGCAGTTCCACCTCCACTCCTTTGATTTTCTTGCTTGTTCTTATCGACCTTGAGTTTCTGCATTTTCTCACGAATCTTTTCGAGACGGCGTGCTACTGGCAACTCCCTTGGATCCAGGTCCTGCATTAAACTTCGTAAGTCTTTGCCAGGTACAACTGCAGTTGTACCAGGGTTGTAGCTTCCCATTCCCGAGGGAGAAGAAGAAGTACCACTACCACTGCTAATAGAAGATGACAGAAGGAGAGATGTTTCTCCTCTAAAATAGTCTCTTCCGCGTGTTAGAAGGACTTGCGCGCCATCCACCTCGGTCTCCACAGGTGTTGTTGCCACAAGGGACGGGAAACTGAGGCCGAAAAGTTAGAGTCTATATCAATCACAGTGATAGTCTAGTAGAACTATACGGATTAAATCATCTTTTCTTGAATGAGAATTCATCACCAATAAATTGAAGATTTCAACGAAACTAGGTGAATTCTAGGTGAATTCTCAAGCTCAAGAGCAAGAGAAAGATTCATCTCTCTGCAAAAGTAAATAGAAAAAAGCCTCCATAAAATATCTTCCCATCTAAATCAGTCTAGAAAAAAAGCCTCCATAAAATATCCCATCCAAATCGATTTCGTTGAAGATCTCCCCGTGATGCTTCTGGATCATGTTGAAGCCTTGCGCGAAGACGGTTATAGGACCGAGCTTTACATCATCAAATCCACGTGTTCCAGTTAAAATCCCACTTCCGAAAACACTCCCAATCTTGCAAATCTGCTCGATCTCGTCGTCTGTGAACTTGTTCATGATAGTATTGGGATTGAAGTCATCTGAAGTGGAAAAATTGGAGGTCCTAAAAGTAGAGGTTCGTGTGGTTGTATTTGAAGCATGCTGGGGGCTCTTCGCCGTGGGCTTTCTTCGAGCAGCCATGACAGATTCACCGCGGGTTTTAGCTCCGACGTGCTCGGTATTAGAAGAGGCTCTGCTAGTCCCAGCACGCTTCTCATGTTTTCTCAGCATTTTCTTAGTACTAGTTCTTGACAGCTTAGTTCTTCCACTTTTTCTGCTTCGCCGACCAGAAGTAGCGACTTGTAAAAAGCTGTCCGCGACATCATCCGCATCTTCTTCCGTGGTGTCTCCATCTTCAGAAGCTGCATCTTCAGAAGCTTCTCCATCGACTTGATCAGCCAATGCATCTTCTTCTTGGTGCTCTTCTCCTTGTTCATCATCATCGACGACAATAGAAGATGCTGCTACGTGTTCAACGTCCTCCTCTTTCTCTTCTAAATCCTGCTCAGCATCTTCATCTTCATCTTCGTTCAAAAACGCATGTTGCACTAGAGCAGAAGAATTGTTCGCATGGTCGTGAATTATTACTCTAGTATGTTTGCTCTTCCCGTCAGTGTCCCCGGCGGAACCCGAAAAAAACGTGGACGCCCTCAACATAGTAGCACAGTCACGGGCAGTAACAGAGAGCTCTGGTTCGTACACGCCTGCACCAGCACGACATTTCGGACCTTGTGCAGCACCACCAAAAAGAGCCTCAAAAGGGTTATCCTTCTTGTTTCTTCTGCTACTACTCGAAGATCTTCTACCGCTAAGAGACGCATGATGTTGATGCCTAGCACTACCTCTTCTTCTCTCAGCATTCGACGTCGAAACAGCTGTGTTAGTGTCTCCTGCTCCTGTGTCCTCACCATCTTCAGATGCAAAAGACCCATCCTCGTTACATTTCTCAGCATTGATCCAAATGTCGGAACTTCCAGTATCGAGGATGACTCGCATTTTTGCTTGTGGTAGTCGTAGACAGTCCTCGCAGTCGCCGGACGAGGCAAATCGGGTGCCCACCTCAACCTCAGCCATATATTGCATATCCGCGATGTTTTCAAGCAGCATCATGCCAGCAGAGCCCCTGTGAGGATTGTGTGGAGGAGTAGGTGAGTGATCTCAATGTGATTTCTGCGGGAAAGTGAAAGAATGAGAAAAAGATACGTACTATTTACCCTTACAACTGCAACAGGCTCTCTAATGTCAAAACACACGATCTGTATGTGAGCAAGTAAAAGTATCATCAAAAGCATATGTTGATGTTAAGGTAATTCAAGTACGTCGCTCCCCTCTGATGCGGCCGCGTGGTCCCTCTGCCGACTTTCATACTGTCGATTGCTTCTTGGGTCCGCACAATGCGGACTCCGGAATCCACCTCTTTGCCGAAATATTGCGCAGGATCAAAACCCGTTTCTTCCGCAGCTACGTCGTCCAAGTCGTCCCTGGATCGTCGCCGCGAACCTCCCTGATGTTCTTGATTCTTCCCATTCGTCTTGGATTTGGATGAAGAGGTAGCAGTATTCTTGGCACTAGTAGAAGATGAGTAATCTCTTGTCGTCTGGCTCTCGTGGTCGTGTTCGCGCTTCTTTACATCATTGTTCCCACTAGAAGTACTTGTTGTGGATTTTCTCCTAGAAGATGCAGCAAACTCTTTTGCTGGACGATGTTCTGAATCTTCAACAGGATCTTGTTCAATGTCTTCTTCATCAGCGGTCGTGTCCGAGTCCTCTTGTTCATCGCTCGTCTGCTCTAAAAGACTTAAACTTGATGTTGAAGAGGCACGACCCGGTGAAGACTTCTGCGGACTCCCATGATGCTCTCTCGAATGAGAATGCACCGCAAGAAAAGAGCTAGCACCAATGTAGTGGTATCGAGACTCACGCCTTTGGATCAAAGGAAGGACGGCCATCTTTCCATTTCCAGCATCTTCAGCAGTGGCGAAGTGACCAGAGGCCAAACAAGATGTTGACAAGGCCAAAATCGTTGTAGTCCTCAACATGACTTCGGATACTGTGCGAGAAGGCCGTGTTCTGTGGCGGCAAGTGGTAAAAGCCTCCGGTTGAGCACCGTACATCGCAGGAGCAACAGTGTCTTGCATCGTTCTAGTACTTGAAGGTATCTTCATAGTGAAGTTGACGTTCTTAGAACAACAAAAAAAGGTCAGTATCTTCTGGAAAAGACTGACTCTATGACATCACCAGTATCAAATATCTTCTGGAAGGTACTGGTGCTACAACGGAACAAGATCATCATCCCACTTGACAGTGTTTCAATTATCCGTGGTCTAACTTACTCATCAAAAATCGAGGAAAACGATACTCATCTAAAAAAGTCATCGAAAATCGAGGAAAACGATACGAAAGCGAGTGCGAGGGAAGAAAAAACGAACCTGGTCCACTGTCCTGGAAAAGATCATCATTGGCGAAGACGAAATCAATTATATTTTCCCTCGCTTTCGTATCGTTTTCCTCGAGACTGAAAGTCATCGAAAATCGAGGAAAACGATACGAAAGCGAGGGAAGAGAAAACGAACCTAGGTCCACTTGTACTTCAGGTGGCAGCCACTTCATCATAAAACGAGTCCGCGTGAATATGAAAGCGCCCTAAAAAAAAGACTTTGATGACTTTCCATCGAATTATGCGTTTGCTTTTCATGTTCTTGTCTGCATGTTCACATTCTTGACTTCCGTCTTACGACGCCGTCTTGCAGCGAGCGACAGCTAGGTGTCGCGTCCCTCCTCTTCGCGACAACCTGTTGTACCCTCTGCTCATTACGCGGCCTAGGCAACAGCAAGAACTGTATCTGGTGCAAAGTCTGCGGTCGTATCGTCCATATTAATTCTTGGAACGAGCGACGCCTCCATCCCCTGTCTTATTCTCTCTCCTTCGACTGCCAGAAATTCCTCGTACGCCTTCTCGCGATCGATGGAGCTGGACACGACAACTTAGAGCTTTTATTCCCGTTGTCCATGTCCCGAAATTGAAGATGTAGTTTTTACTTCCACTTCTACAGCGCTAAATATTACGAAATAATTAGTAGACCACCCATCTCTATGCTGATCGAGGAAGCCGTAAAAAGAGTTACTCCCTGGGTTATCTCTATGTTGAAACGCGTCCGCCGGACGGTAAGGGTTCACTTCCCCCAAATACTTCGCAGTTCCGGCATCAAAAACCCGATCTTGGCATCCCATGCATCCAGGTGCGCAGCCGTGACTTCGTGCGCACTTCACCGCGTGTTCCCTCTGTTCCAGAGGTGACCAGCTTTCCGGTAAGACACTAGCAGGGATTGGCAGACGAGCAATTTTCTGGCCTTCGCCATGGACTGGCAAGGCGCATTTCGTCTTGACACCGGACAAACCGTGATTAATGCACACTTTTCGCAACTTCTTATCCGTTTTCATCTCCGACAGTGTGTGACCTTCGTATCCGGGAGTCGTTTGGCCGAACTTTAGGAAGAAAGCTTGGTGCAAAGCACTCATCGCCGGACCCACAGGCCTCTCGGCGTCGTCATAACTGGTACCGGACACGGCGTTGTCTAACGACATGTTACGCATCCTGGAGTAAGCCAAACGCTGCATTTCGCTGGAAATTAGAGAGGTGGGATGAAGTGGCGAAGCCAGTGGCGCGGCTCTCTGAGCTTAGAGAGAGGTGGGATGAAGTGGCGAAGCCAGTGGCGCGGCTCTCTGAGCTTAGAGAGAGGTGGGATGAAGTGGCGAAGCCAGTGGCGCGGCTCTCTGAGCCAAAACCCAGTGGCGTGGCTCTCTGAGCCAAAACCCAGTGGCGTGGCTCTCTGAGCAATTGGACTTAGGAGGTTGCGGTAATGTCTTCAGAGTAGTAGTCTCTCGGTCAATATTGGGCTATTGCTTCGCAAAGGGCACACACAAATAGTGCGACCCCAGCGGGATTCGAACTCGCGGCTCCCCGATTGTGTCGGGACCGAAGGCGAGCGCAAGAGGTTGGGGGCTTTAACAACTGAGCTACGGAGTCGCTCCGGAGAAGCCTGAGTGAGAAGGTATCTACCTAGGAAAGAGTCCGGAAATATTTATTACGGAGGGAGGGGTAGAAACATTTGACCCCTTTCGGGCGATGCAGAGCGCTATACTCGGACTATGTATACGCTAAAACACTAGGAGACCAAACTCCGACGTTCTTTCCAATCGACGGTTGCAAATGAAATGAAAAGGTCTATGCTCTATCATCGGGTTCAGGCCTTAACAAAATCCTGCTATCAGATCGCATTTTCCGAGGCTCCCGGTTTTGAATTTCCCAAAAAGTTGGCATCTCAGACAAGTTTTCCTTCAATGCATTTCCCGCAGTTCTATGAAAATCCTTATAAAGTGTCAAGAAATCCGCAGCCAGCATGGTCATCGGACTAGCGACATTCGCAGTCACCCTTGCGGTGTCAACCGCAGCCCCAGCAGCTGCAATGCCGACATCACCCGCAACTTTGCCGACATCACCCGCAACTTTATTTCCTACGTCACCCGCCACTTTGCGTACGTCAGCCGCCACTTCACCTACGTCGCTACCGACATCAGCCACTACACCACCAGCATCCTTAGCAACCCCAAACGCATTCGAAACGAACTCCTTCATCGGTGACCACTGAATGACGAGGGAAGATTGAGGAAGTTGTGGAACTTATATGATAGTAGAGAAGATTCAAAATACAAGTAAATACTGACATACAGGAAAGCATTCGAGAATTCCGTAGACGTCGAAAAGTGGCATAATCATCATGTTCGTCAAGATCTGTTTCTTAGACAACATCATCAACTTTTTATAAAGAGCAAGCATCAACATCAATATCAAATAAGTCCTCACAACGTCATAATTAATATAGCATAAGTACAGTTTCCTCCGACGTCACCGTCTTCAAAATCGCTCCTACGTAGTCTCTCAATCGCATATCCGATTCCGATCCTGGAACTGGCAGATTCGGGATCAAAGACTTGAGTGCTGGATGGAGGACGGCAAGATCTGGCGTCGCGATCTTAGGTCCGTTGATGGACTCATTCACTTCAGCCACCTTGGATTCGATGCTGCGAATCATCATCGAAGTCGCGTCTGCGGTTTCATCATCCAAGGTCACGGTAGTGTTTTCGATTCCCAGATTGCGTTTTCCAATCAGCTTCATGATGTGCGGAAAAGCTAGATTCCACCTACTTTCTCGAGAACCATCGATATCCTTAGGCTTGTGTACGTGGTTCGTGAAGAAAAAGTCAGACGGTTCCACCTCAACCTCTGGAGGCTTTTCTACTTGGTTTTCTTCCTGTTCTCGTTCTTCGGAATGTTCTTCAGAATGACCTTCATCTTGATCTTTTCCTTCCTCCGCAAAAGAGCTAGCCGCATCCATGTAATTCTTCGTGTCTTTCTTGCCAAAAGAAGTACTGGAGCTGGAGGTAGTGGCGCTAAGAATATGATCACCCCCCTGCGAGTCGTGCTGGGCATCTTCCTCCTGGCCATCTTCGGAAGAGAATAGCATCTTCTTCACCCACTCACCAGCAGGCGAAAGTGTTGTTGTTGTTATCTTCTTCGTACCACCAGAGTGGTTGTTTCTTGATGACCCAGCATTTTTACTGGTGTCCCCTGATAAGCTTCCAGTTTTCTGCTGATACAGAACCAGATCAGAGGTTCCTAGCTTCCTCATCAAACTCTTGACATGCTGGTGACGACGTTGCGCTTCTTGGCTCCTCGCAAAACTCGCTGAGCGTCCTCTTCCTCTATCTTCCACAAATGATGCCGTCTTCATCGAAGTAGATACACCTGTACGTGAATCTTCAGAAGGATGAACACGAATATCCTTGTTGTTACCGATGCTGCTACCCTGCTGCTGCTTAGTGAAGAACACGAAAGGATCAAGCCACCTACTATTCGCAACCACGTTTCGTCGTTGACGCCTCGCCAAGCGCTGCGAAGAAGTCCCGGACTCCATAGGCAATCGGGTAAACGACAAGTGAGCATACTCCTCCATCGCAGTGTTTAGAAGACCTCACCGAAAACACCTTACTTCTACCGAAATCCATGATCCTGAGTAGAATAGGTATCGCAGCAGAGCTGGGTTTATTGGTGGTCTTTTCCTTGTTGTAAAAGAAAGACCCCTGCTGCTAAGTTAGGATGCTTCATCTCGAACAAATGGATTATGGGAAAAACGTTTATAATGCCTTAATCTTTGAACCTCGGTAACACGTTGCTGAGCCATTCTTTCAGCATGAAACAATTCCCGCGCTACGTCGTCTTGAACCTCGCGGAATAATTGCTGTCGTGTGAAGACTGTGCCAGCAGCACCTTCGACTTCGTTCTTTGCGTCTACAAAGTAGTCGATGCGTTTTCGCAACTTGTTCGCTACTTGCGTGACCATATCATCCGTAACCGAAGCTGCCTCTGCTAACCATTCGCGCGCCGTAGCCTTCAAATGCCTTTCGGTGCCGTCGGACGCTGGATACAATTCTCCTGACAAAGCGTTAGTCTCGAAAATCGATTTGATACGTGCCTTCTGTGACGTGCGAAATCGCACGACCTCCTCTGAAACCCAGGCCTTCAATAACTCCACTCCATTACCCTTGTCCGTTGGGATAGCACGAAACCACCGGCAATTGGAAGATCCCGGCACGACAGCCCCTCCTGGAGGTGTAGAAAAATGACCTCCATGTGACGAAGAAACTAGACCATCCGAACCATCTTCGCAACCTTCACGAGTCAGGGGAGGATCTATTTCTTCAGTGGCTCCTTCAGTGCTTCTTGGTACCTCGCTTCCTTCAGCTGTATGACAGTCTTAAAACGTTATTTTAGCAAAACGTTAAAAATTGATTTCTTAGGAATCTAGTCGGCTATTTTAAAAAATCAACTTTTAACGTTTTGCTAAAATAACGTTTTAAGGTTGCCATAAGCTGCACCATCTGGTGCTTGATCTACAACCTCTTTTGCTTGTTCAGCCGTATCTTGTTGCTGACTCCTGCGTACACGTCTGGTGTTACAAGGAGCATCGAGTCCCGCTCCATCCTTGTCAGCTTCTCTCATCAGCTCCGGATTCACCAGGAGGCATCGTCCACCTGGTCGCACAGCCGTTGGCGAATGCTCCTGATGAGGTAGGGGTGCTTCTACTTCTGCTGGATGTAATATAATTGATGCATCTTCGACGACTGCCTCTCCAGTGACAGTGTCTTGCACATCAGCTGACGAAGAAGCTGACGAAGCTCCTTGTTCTGCACCATCTTCGTTCAGATTCGCTCCATTTTCCCCCACATCGGCTCCTTCAGAGGTTGAAGTGTCCGCAAACATAGTAGTTGTAGCACCTCTACTAGAAGAGTGGTGAACATTTCGGGTTGTAGCACCTCTAGTTGTATTTGTCATGATATTATCGTTGTTGTAAGATGAAGATGAGCCTCCTGCTGATGTTTTTATCGTCGGATGCAACTCCAATGCACTACTACTGATTCCACCTCCGCTAAGCATGTTCTTGAAACCCTGAAGAGCAGTTGTAGCCGCGTCATCATTTTTAGGTACTAGTTTCTGCGCCCCATCCGTTAAGCCTTGTTTATTAACCCCACCAGCACCTAGAGCATCCGTGGAGTTTTCCACGCCGCTGGCAACGAATTCCATTCCTCGAGCCCTTGCATCCTTTACCCCGAGGAAGAGTTTTTCAGTCTCACGCCGCATGCGGTTCGTGTTTTGCAGCTGGATTTTGGCTTGCATTAGAGTCCGCTGGAACAAGCCATCTTGATCCTCCCACCTTAGTCCTTTTGTTCCCTTGTAGTTTTAATACTCTAGGGGATAAGGATAACTCAGTACCAAGATGATGCTCCTGACTCCTGAGGAGGGTGGCTAAAAGCTAGTCAACATAACTTCGTTCGCGCTTTCATGATTTCACTTCCTTTCTCGTCTGTTGTGACTTTCCACCAAATGCAGAGGCCGTCCGCCCGACAGCTCTCCTTCTGTGCGTCAAACTGCATACAATGCACGTCGTCCTTGACACTGTCTCCGATACACACATGCGTCGCCGGATTGGGCACGAAGTGACAGACGCCTCTTCTTAGCCGCGCTAGTTTTTCACTATCCCGAGTTGAGTGCGATGCCCTGCGGCTGCGTCCCCCTCGTCCTCCTCGAAATCACAAGGATTTGGCGCCACTCAGCATGCTGAGTCGGTCCACATGATGGGATAGTGAAATAAAACTAGCCTTAATTTTTCCTGTGTGCATGCTGAAGGATTCACCAAGTGTTCTGCTGCTTCGTCGGGAACAATTTTTGCTTCATCTACTTGTAGTTTAGGTTCATCTTTTAGATCTTGATTTTCTTTCCTAAGATGTTGAAGGTAGTGACTCTGGCACTTCTCATAGTCGCCCACCTCTTTTTTCGTGTAGCAAGCATTTTGCCGTTGCAGTGACGGCAGCTGGGACCATACACAAGACGCGTTGCCCTTCATCTGATCTACAACTTGATTTTCTTTCAAATTTTGCTTACGACATGACGCGGCAGAAGTGTACTGACGACAAACACTACTGGCATTTTCAGGATGTTCTCGGTCGACGCAGGCACTTGGAACTGGAGGTCGGGTCCAGATACAGGATCCCGGGTTTCGATTGTTGTCTTCTGACGTCGAAACAGTGTCCCCACCTGCATTTTGTCCTCCGGAATCGTTTTTCGTGTGATCGCCATCTTCTATCTTATTATGGTCGCCATCGGCATCTTCCCGTGAAGTCTTAGAAGACCTCAACGGCGCAGTGTCGCCTATTGTCATACACTCCGTTTGTGATTTGTGATCGTGACAGGCGAAAGCACGTGGCTGGCACTCGAATTCAGGCTTCGGATTCGAAAGCCATTCACAGTCATCCCCCTGCAAACACGATTTCTCAGACGTTTGTTGAGCACACGCCGGGTTCGGATACAACACAGATTTGCTACGACAAATCTTGCTGCGCTCTAGCTTCTCCGTCCAAGCACAAGAACGCTGTGCCGAGTTGTCTGCGCTTCCCTCAAGATTCGGCTCATTCAAATGATACAAACACGCCGCTTTCGTGTCGTAGTCGACGCACCTCGTTTTATTGATGCAATGTTTCGCTACGCTGGGTTTCACAATCCATTGGCAAAAATGATCACCCTCACAGTCTGTCTTTAGAGCTATCGCATTCGCATCTTCCCTGGTAGCAGCCAGCAACTTCCTTCGGGGGCCCTCATACATTCACATTCACTCCCTTAGAAAAATATAAGAGGCCAAGAAGGATGCTGCTGAGGAAGAGGATGCAAATCTGTAGAGCTGAACTATAGTCTACAGTAGCGTGCCTTAATGTCTCTGAAAAATGCAGTCCACTGCATATGGCTTGGGTCTCCGGTGTCTTGCCTGCGCAAACCATCGGCGCATACTCATTTGCTTCCCAATTGCAGAAGCTGTCCGCTGTACAACCAGTTTCAGTCGTTCTATCGTCGCACGTGCGCTTCGCGTGACAGCCAGGAGCAGAGACGGCGTCGAAGGATGACGCTACACCTAGACCGACTTGGTTGTTCAGGTAGTTTGTTGTTCTGGCTTCTTCATTGAAACCTGTCTTTTCCGGATTGTCTGGTGTTTGGCCCGCTGCAGTACGACCTCCACTAGTGCTAGCCTCTGCCTGCTCCTCAGTGGATGTTGCCGGCTGGTCATCTGTTTTAGCTTCTTCATCAACATTTGTTTCGCCCGCTGCAGTTGCCGGCTGGTCATCTGCTTTAGCTTCTTCATCAACATTTGTTTCGCCCGCTGCAGTTGCCGGCTGGTCATCTGCTTTAGCTTCTTCATCAACATCCGCAGTTGTCAAAGAATCTCCTTCTTTTGCCGGATGAAATTCACAGCCAGGATCCGCATTACAGCTATCTCGCTCCTCGTGTTTTTGACAGTCCTTTTCACTCGTAGGCGTAAAAATAACTGGATCACGCTTCTCTTCTTCTTGGGCAGCTGAACTATCCTCGAAATCAGTAGGAGTTGTAGATTTACCACCTTTAGTACTTCGGATACGTTAGAGCTTCCCCCAATTCATCCCTGTAGGGATCCCGCAACGATATGCCCTAGTACCGTCTCCCTTGTACTGGGATCCATACTGTTGAGGGATGTCTAGAGAGATGGATTAGGGGGAGCCCTAAATACGATGGACTTCTAACGCTGACGTCGCTCCTCCTGCCTGCGCCTCTGCTCCTTCAGTTGATCCAGCTTCTCCTGCATGCGCTTCAGTTGTTAGCTTAGCTCCTTCAGCTGATCCAGCTTCTTCAGTTGATCCAGCTTCTCCTTCATGTACTGCTGGAGGATGTACTGGTATCCAAGTCGCATCTTTGGCATACTTGGTCATTTCTACAACTTTGCATTCTCCACGACGCTGCAATTTTGGCGACACTCCAGGTGGAAACGGCGCGGTCTCTCCCCACCGACAGAGCTGTACATTTCTAGTTAGAGCTGCACGGCCTTTCTTCTAGTTGACAACCCTTTCTAAGTAGTTAGGAACATCGTTTCTTCGCTTATATTTTCACCACATAGAAAAGAAGGAACGGCTAAAAAAATGAAGATGTAGTTATCACAAAGTAGAAAACTACAACGGCTAAATATTATAAGCAACGAATGATAAAAAACCTAAAAAAAGGCTGAGGTTCGCGGTAGCCTTAATTTAGACTGACCAGCATAGACCGGATCTGCAATCTGGTGCACAGCCTCGCAGCGCTTTTGTTTGCAACTAGCATTACAATCTTTCGGAGAATACTGCAAAACTCCATCGCAAAACTTGGCGGCCTTCGCGGCTTCAGGGGTCCCGCTAGTTACTGCTTCCCAATTCACCACGCAATCCATCACCGGGCCAGGGTCTTGTCGCTCTTGATCTGCAGCTTCCATCTCAGCACGATCCAACCTATCTCGATTTCGCAAAATGATACTCGTACCACACTTTCCATTCCTGTCAAACTCCAATTTCCAGCCTAAAAACCGTCTCCAGCGAGCCTCCAAGGCTGCCGCATACATGGCACGCGCCAACTGCTCTTGCTTTTCATCTAAAATCTCAGAATTGTCCGTCTCTTCACTCGCATCATGTGCATCCTTGCGATCAGATTCAGCGCCACCTTCTGCAGCAGTGCCAGTGGGAGCTTCAACATCATGGGTCTCCGTATGAGCGGCTTCAACATTCTCTTGTGTCGTGGCGTCAGCAGTACGACTAGTATGATCGGCATCGGCATGATCTTCGGCTGCTCCCTCAGCCGATACCGCCGCAGCGTCCCCTTCCTCACCAGATGCAGCCTTCGCTGTAGCTTCTTGCCATTTGAGATATGCCTCTATTTCTTCCTGCTGAGTTTCTGTTAGAGAGCTCTAAAAAAATCTGGTTATGGAGCTCAAGATTCATCCTGGCCCACTTTTTCCCTTGAAACCCCCCTCCAGGATGCTTCGCGAGATGGATTAGGAGAAGCCTTAACTTTGCTCTCGCTTTTGCGGCGTGAACTGCAGCTGAAGTTTTATCATCAATCAGGTTGCCCTTAGCACTTTCTACAGGTACTTTTGCTCTGAACCAAGGCCCTGCTACCCACGATGGCACCCGATTATCATGCTCTCCATTATGATCAGCAGCAACTGCAGCAGCCCCACCTTCAGCGCCCACGATTCCCTCTTCTGTTTAGAACTTGCCGAAATCCTTCTTGGTGAGCATCTTGCTGCCCGATTTCCCTGCATCAAAACGGGATCAAGATGCTGCGGAAGATGGATTTCCTCAAGACTTAATCTTTGTGCATGATTCCACATTTTTCATCGGTGATTTCCTCATCATCTTCGATAGTCGGGAGATTCGTTGGAGCACGAGTGTTGTGCATCATCTGGTGGGCAACTCCTACTTTGCCAGTACTTTCGCTGTGCTGTATTTGTAGCCCTGCTAAAGCTCTCCTCTCTGGTGTTCTTTGCGATCGCATAACTGCTAGAGCCCGCGCACGCAGGGCTCGCCTGGCTTTTTCCTGCTTGACCAAACTAACGATGTCATCTGGCAACATGTTTTCGCGCACCTGGGCGATTTCCTGCATCAATTCGCCTGCCCTCATAGCTTCTCTCCTCCTTTCTGCCAGTTTTTCAAGGATCCTCACATTCCCCTCTTCTTGTTCATGTCCTAAAGCGAGCTGAACCCACGCTTTCTTATGCCGCAGCCGTTCTCGCAAACGCGCAAGATCAGCATGGAAATTAGAAGAAAAACAGTGTTGATACTTTTTTTACAGGCCTTATTTTCTACCTCTACCAGAGAGAGCGATATATTTTGTATCAAGTGTCGTGTGTATGAAAAACAATGTTGATTTCAACTGTGCTGAGATGAGATGAGTCCCAATGCAATCTATTATAAAGAAATAGAAATAGAAAATGTTGTGATGTTCAAAATGAAGGCCGTAAGATAAGACTCTTGTTCTCGATCCAACTTTTTTTCTTCTTCAAAATACCAGTTTTCCAATCTCTTCTGCAGTTCTATCCTCACCTTTCCAGCTGTTTCGTGCATTTGAGCTTCTAAACCGTCCCTCAGCTCGCGATCGGCTTCAAACTGTAATTAGAGCTCACCCGAATTATTCATCTCAAGATAGAGCTACTTTCTTTCCCCTTGAAAAGCTTTCGTATGGCTCTGAAAATGGATCATTACTAGGGTACTATTTAATGCCTTAATGTAGTTTACGTACTGCACAATCCAGAACTTTTCCCGGCTGACCGAGTGCGTCCACTAACTCTTCTGTCCAGCGCGCAACGACTTCGGACGTAGAGGCGTGAAGCGGCAGGGGGTGCGACTTGTCGAGTAAAGCGTTGCAACGCCAGCTGTCAGGGTCCGGAGGATAGTTCGTCCAGCGACAAGCTGTAATCCCGTCACCCGCCCTCGAAACTGCTTCACACGTGTCTTTGCGTAGGTGTGTAGCACATTCTTCGCTCAGTTGAAGAAGTTGTGTCTTGTTCTCCTTGTTGGTGGGTGAAACCAGGCTGTCAAGTACTGACTCTTTGGGGGTACAGACTCCATTTCCAACCGCAAGCAAGGGAAGTGAAGATGGGGCACTTTCCGGGGCAGATTCCGGTCTATTGATGCTTCCTCCGGTAACATCTGCCGAAGCATGATTGTCGTTACTCTCGTTCTCGTCTTCTAATAATTGTGCACTGGAATCTTCTGGGTTGTCTACTGCATCATTGTAGTTCTCATTTTCCCCTCCTTCATCTACTTGTTTCCCGTCCTCAGCAAAATTCGAAGGGGGAGTCCTCAAACGCCGTTTTTTGATCTCCAGCATACTTGACATAGAGACACGACCTCCAGATGAAGCATTACGACCATGACCTCCAGGAGCTTCGCCTTCGTGAGCATCAGGAGTCCCTCCTGCGGTTCCACTAGCTTGACCGTCTTCTAGGTCTACTTGTGCTATAAACTCGCAAATCTGTCCTCCTTTCACCGCAGGACCGCCTGCAGAAAAGGCTGTGCAGTCTTCTTCACTCGCCGACCGCAGAGCGCAATCAACTGCGTTTTCGATATTCCGCAAATCACGCGCCACGCACTTCGAAGATTTGCTTCTACTAGACGACGAAGTCATTGATGTCATACGACTTGCAGAAGAATCGACACCGCCACGACCATCAACGACACCCGCATGACGACCTTCATGTTGATCATTTCGCTCTCCTTGTTGTTCGCGTCCTTCATCTCCTTGTCGTCCTTGTACGAGGTTATCACTAATACTTTCTTGTGCAGCGTGTGCCTGTCTTTGCTCCGCCCTCCACCTCATCCTCTGCATCCAAGTTTCTACATCTGCAGACAGACTGGATCTATGGCCATGGGGACCGACACTGCCAGGATCCGACACAGGAATCCCTCCATCGTATTCTGCAAAGGTAACATCTGCGTTGACGGAAGACGGTCCAGACTGAGCTGCATTTGACGTAGCTGTGTTCGTACTCCTAGCAAGATCGTGTTGTACTCCTAGCAAGTTCTGGATACGCTCAAGTTGAGGTCTTAGTTTGACCAAAACCTCAGCACGGAAATTTTTCAGCCCTCCATCGGAAACCGCGTGGATATGCTCCAGCATCTTGGCCTGTCGCGCTTCCAAGTAGTCCTGGAGAGAACCGGAGATGATCACGTCTGCTTCATCCTCGTCATGTTGTTGTTGGTCTATATTACTCGCAGAGCCTTCTAGATTACTACCACGACCTTCTTCTCTTTCTGGCGCATCAGCATCTTGTGCATCTGCGAATGATGACTGATTTTCTCCATTGATATGCCCTTCTTTGTTCGACGAGACAACTTTGTGTATTCCTGCCGTGTCGTGCCTGACCCCCTTGTGGTCAACAGCAAAGTGAGAACTATGATGGTTTGATCCACTACGATGGCGTCTCCTCTTCTTCAACACTGGCTCAACAACGTTGTGCTCGTTTTCTTCAATAGACGCGAATACTGTGCTCGTCCTAGTACCAACATGCTGGTGGGGTGCGTCTCGCGCACATGGGACTCGGTAGAGCGGAGAAGTCGTCTTGAAAAGATAGCTGTTGGACCCCCGTACAGTCGGGGGTAGGGTGCCACCTACGCCCTGGTCGAACCACACTGCTGCGAGAGAACTCATCTTCTTTCAGGAATTACAGAATTACATCCATTTACGAAAAAAAAACCTTGACCTTTTGCGTCACTAAAACAATTTGGGCAAAAGAGTGTTGATATAACAGAGGCACAAGAAGCTGTGCTGACTCTTCAGCACCACTCTTCAGTTACGAGTAGTACACAGACACAACATAAGATATGCTCCACCGAAGAAGCGATCAACCGATGACGAAGCGCTATTCAGATTTTGTTCGGTTGCTAATCGACTGAAACCTTTAGGCACTCGACCGAAGCACACGACCGACACTTGAGTACTTAGGTAGCACTCTCAACCGAGAATGCATAGTCACACGTCCGAAGCCGAACAGTTTGGATAATTCAGATTCTGTAACACGAGCGAGACATAGGCAGCAGACTATACCAGATTGGCAACGACCGAGACATGAACCGACGATCGCATAAAGACGTACCTTTAGGTATCAACACTAAGAGCTCGCTATGCTTCTTTTTATAGATTTTTGTCAGAACCCAAGCTCCAAAGTTCGATAATGTTGATTCCTGCATGGAAGTAGCTGCACATGAAATGTTTCCCATAATGAATCCCGATCCCCATCCCCATGATCTGCGTACTTAGAGACCTTAGATCCGTGCATAGAGACCTTACCGGACAGAGACCTCTTACCGCACATAGTCCATCGCGCGAATGGTTCTCTTTCGATTGATAATCGTGTCTTTGATTCCCTGCTTCATGAACCTCTTCTGGTCCTCCCGTTTGATAGCCATCACCTGCCTTCCCTGTTTCTTCAGCTGTGAAATTCCGATCTGCATATGCTGGGCGCCGTTCTGCAATGCTAATCGTGCAAAGAAGCCCCCGCCGATGGCTTTTTGCGCTTTTGCGGCACTGGCACTGGCTGCTGAGCGAATGTGAAGACCGCGCTGTCTGTAGATGTACCGCAACGACCGGTGCGCGGCCTCGGAACCGTCAGGAAGTCGCAAGTTGCCTGTTGGAAGGATTTTCGCGACCTTGAGGTCTAGAGCCTTGCAAATTCTCTGAAACTCCTCTTCGTCGTCACACACGTGAACTTCATCTTCTTCAGCCAGCTCATATTCGGCTTCGAAACGGGCATAGATAGCTGAAATTGCAGAGAGAGAGCTGGTGTCATTTCGCGTCGAGTTGTTGCTAGTAGAAGACGATGAGCTGCTAGACGCGCCAGTGCCGCTGATAGTTGAAGCGGTGTTTGCCCTTGTGGTTCTTTGCTGTCTCTCGATCACAAGCTTAGCAACTGCATCGAGATCTAGGCCTTCTTTCTTGCTGTTCCCTGTCGTGTCAACATCGCCATCGTCGTCTTCTTGTTCTTGTTCCTGACTATTACGATCGGCAGTTGGGGTAGTGCTAGTGGAGCCTCCAGCTACGCCCTCGACTCCTGCTAGTGCATCATACTCCTCTCGAGTAAGCGGAGCTGCGGAAGCGTCGTCACCAGATACGAACTCGAAAAAGTCGACTGCTTCCTCGAAGTTCAAGAGGTCATCTTCGTCCTCATCGAAAAAGTCAAACATATCCGCAAGCTTCTCTGCGTCAGCTGTGATGTTTGGATCAGTCGAAATGAGAGTGTTTGTTAACATTGTTAAGGTCCAGCCTTTTGTTAGCTTCATAACGCTAAAGAATACTTACTATCATCATAATGTCGCGTTTGCATAAGAATCAGTATGATCAGTATCTAAATAATTTGTCCAAAAATCTAAAAGGGACGATAAAAGTCAAAGTGTAGAAGTTTTAGCACTCATTTCTGCTTCCTTTCGAGCCGCCTCCTTACGCGTCTCCATCGAGTCTGCTAGTGCTGCCATCAAGTTGTCCTTTTGCTTTCTTGACTTCAAGTTCAGCTCGGACCAACTACTCGAGTAGTCGTAGAATTCTTCCAACTGCGCTTTTAACTCGTTGGTGAGTTCTTCGCTATAATTCCCCGTTCGCGTACGGCCTTCTAAGCCAATTCGGGTGTGATTCTTGTCCAACATGTGCTGTCGGACATCAGCTTCGCTCTTGAAAGTGCGGTCGCAATAGATGCACTGGTGGCCCTCAGCAATCTTCTTGTGCAAAAAAGTTAGCAAACCCTCTTTGTCGACACAGTAGTCGCGATCGGGAAGGAAAAAGGAGTAGTGTCGCATCATGTACTGCAAATTGTCGTCGAGAGAAGTAAAAGTGCGGCGGTCGAACAAGCAACGCTGCGGAAGAGGCACCTTTGACGTGTTTAGTCTGGTGGATGAAGATCATGAACGAAAGGATAACGCTAACGGATTTATTCATATGTAACAAGAAAAATGTACTATGTTGTAGCTGGGAATCAAAAAAAAATCACTTTGTGCGTCTAGTAGATGAACAAATTCAAATTATACCTCCGAAGTAGATGCATCCGCATGGCCATTGATCGCAGCTTTTCCGCCACTCTTTACACTACCTGCGTCACTTTTATTAGCCTTCCTGTCATGCTTAAGATGATCAGTTTTTTTAGCTGTTTCTGCCTGGATTTCACGGAAACGTGCCAATTTGCGCTCCCACACATCTGCTGGAATTGGAGCTGCACCCTCTAGCTTTCGCTTCACGTTGTACCTATGTATAAGTAGTACAAGAAGATCCGTTATAGTAGTTCGGAGGACAAGTTGGAGATCCTAGAGTGTGAAGGGTATCACATAGTCAGACGTTATTTGAGCTCGCAAATATCACTGCCATTTTTCAAGTGTCTTCAATCAATCTTGAATCTTGTTCAGAGGACATCAAGAGTACTAGTTGTACGGACTTATAAGTACATATGTCTCTCGCATCGGTAGTGTTCGCGCTGGCATTCCGCAGGTACCTGCTCATTGCAGGAGGTACAGACTGTCACTGGTCCCGTCATGATTTTGTCCTTGTGGTGGCCTTACAACGAACAGACCGAAATAAGTAGTTGAAGTATTTGAGGTCAGTATGCTGTTGTAGAAATTAACTCAAAACAATTGATGCAATAGACTTCTAGAATCTAGTAGATATAGGAAAAATACAACATACACTAAAACAGACGAGGTGTCAATACAGTTTCGAAATTTTTGACAATAATTAGGATTTTCAGCAATAATGAAACAGTCTTTCTATTCCTTTTCAGAAATACACTCAGAGAGGGGAAGTACTAGATATGGGGGAAGTGTGTGCCGCCATTAGGGGTTACAACCTCTCTTTTACCGCCGCCTGTGTCGTTCGAATGAAGAAAGCCGTTCGTGAGGAAAATATATCCATGAGGAAATATAACTAGTGGTATAATCCGAGTCAAAACCTTGTCCCTTAATAGTGCCCCTCTCGTGCGATCCAGATCATTTATTTTATAGGCTTTGAAGCGGAGAACTCAGTGCTTTAGTCTGACTGTCCATTTGATAGTAGTTAGGAGGACAAGTAGAACAACCAGATCTCGTCGACTAAATTTTGTCCTTTTCCGAACGACCCACATCGTGTGACCAACATGTCTCATCTTGATCTCACATCTTCTATCTCCTCATCATCCATGCTAAGAACAATCATCGGACAATCACTATGTTAAGGGATCATGACTGTCACTGTCCTCGTCTTCAAAGGATCAGCATCAAATCATGAGGTAGCTCCTCACCCTTAGCAGCGAATTACACTAGAGAGATCCTTGTTTTTCTGAACGAAGATAACGATCCTTCATCGTGGAAGTAGAACAGGAACTCTGTTCTATTTTTTTTTGCTTGTTCTGTTCCAACACTTGTTCTGTTCCTCGGTTGATCACAACTGACCCTCGGATCCTCTCTGATCTTCATCCTTCCTTTCTCCCCTTCAATTCACTCATCTTCGTCTGATCCGTCGGTGTGAGTCGTAATTTCGTGTCAGTCTTTTCAGACCAGTGTACTCATAGATCTTTTTTGTGTGTTCTTGTTAGGATCCACCACTCCAAGGGCATGATCTTGCTTAGTGATGAATGTAATAACCACCATTTAGTAGAACGCGAGGCACTAGCCCACAAGCACAACACCAATCTCGCAGGTAACATTGACATGCTCATGAAATCGCTTGTAAAAATTTTAGATATAATAAGAGTAGTGGGATATTTCACGGAATGAGATTGAGAAAGATGTCCAAATTTTTCAGGAATGAGTCCACTTCTAAGTCTATCCTTCTTTCATTACGAAACTACGCTGCTGAATGAGTTGTAGTGGAAACAAAAGTCATATGCATTTTCATCATTTAAATTCATCCTTCGGACGATTATATAGAATTACGACCTATAGTCGTCCCCTGAGTGGCTGGCCATTGATTAGCTTACGCTTATTTTCCTCCTCTCAAGTTCGTATCATCCAAATGCCATGTTCGGTATGAAAATAAGCCTTGAAGCTGAGAGAACGAGCTGATAATAAATCACAAGACCTCAAGAACAATAAGATGCCTGACCGTCTATATACTAGAACTTTTACTCAGGAGGAACAACGTCCACAACTCTCATGGAGAAGTAGGAATGCGACAAAGTCTCGATATCTGTAAATCGTGGCGCAGTCTCAGTGTGTAACCTCTTTACAGCGGAGATCCAGAATTCAGCTGTCCTCGGGGAGGTCCCCGATGAGCATGAAACGTCTGCAGGCCGCCCCTTCCCAAGATCTGCATCTGCCTTGCAGTACAGCGTGCTCCACTCCTTCAAAAAAAACAACACGGTAATGCCCAGATGCTGAGAGAGATGCCCGCTCACTGGAGTCTTCGGACCGCCACTGCCAGTAGCCGAATAGCATGTTATCTGTGCACTTGTCGGAAGCGAGTCTTTAACGGCTTGCAACACGTTGAGCCAATAGGCTGCACCATTAAACTTCTCCGAAGAACTATCACCTTCCGCCTCATTCTGAAGGTTGTCCGAGGACGAAGAGGAGAGTCCACACTGCATCACGCGCTCGGCCAGACACATAGAAATGCTTGACTCTACGCCGGAAGATGCTAGCGCTGGCTCATACGCGATGCGTGCCATTCTGGCACTCGAGACGGTCTTCTCTATCATTCGCACCCAACGTTGATAGTTTCGGTCATCTTGCTCGCAGCTGCATTTCCAGGCGTGAAACATGAGAGACCGAATCAAGATCGGATCCAGTAGGACGCGCACATCTTTCGCAACAGCTGGATACTCCTTGAAAATAAGCTCGCAGAGGTCGAGGCTGGCTCCGGATTTGTCCTCTACAAAGTCCAACAGAAAAGGTCGGACTTCCGGAACAGTGAAGGCGTCATCACGCGGTGAAGAAAGGTATCCACACAAGTAGCGATCCGTTAGCCCCTGTACTTCGCGATCAGATCGTAACAACAAGAGCCGCAAAATATCCCACTTCTTTGCGGCAACGGCTGCGGTGAAAGTTGACGTACCCACATTGATAGCCTGATTACCATTCCAACTTTTTAGTGTCAGCATTCCGCGCAAGTCTGCTGGAAGTGCCCTCGTGATCGAGAACCGGGGCAGCGGCATCTTCGCGCCTGCGATGCTCTGCGCCAATTGATTCTTTGCAAACGAAGAGGCAGACGCGTCACCGTTGAAAATGCTATAGAATAAAACCAACGAGCCTTGATTTATATGGCGACGTCTAGCCCCCCAGGGGTCAAAAAAAGATATTCCTTCCTGAAATAGCAACCCACTTTCCGCCATGATGACACAAGCCTCCTCATCGCCCATTAGAGAGCTAACACACCACCAGCCATCCTTGGCGAAGCACTCCTCTCGAATTTCCTCGATTTTTGCTTTGATTTCGGCAGCATCGACGTCGAGCACAGCGTACGAAAGCTCCAACACCATGAAAAAACTCAGACGGAGAGAGGAGCAGCTACGGGTAAGTTTACTGGACAAATCTTCTACCACTTTGAACATAATTATATGGCCCAGGGAGCCACAAAATCTAAGAGCATAGTAAGTTCGATGCATCAACATGCTCGCTCCCTGGGTCCCTATTCACTGGATAGACGAGAACTTTGCCAACAGGAACTACGAGTGATAAAATTTATTGCTTACAACATGTTGATTACAACACGACGAGCATTCATTGATTATAGAAGAATGACAATATACTTCTATTTTCATTTTACTCGTTCACATTCTGTTTGTACATCCATAAAATCGACATTGTCACGCTTGTGGTGCGCGCCGTCCTCGAGATCCGTCTCGTCCTCCGTAGTACCTGGTTCCACAACAAAAACGCAGTCGCCATTTCTCAGCTCCTGCACTTCTTCCTCATTCTCAAGGTCGGTTTTTGGAGTTGCCGGAGACGTAGTTGTGGTGGTCGGAGTTTTTGAGCCGTCGGATGCTGGCGACGTGCTCAAACTCAAAGTAGAGTCTGTGCTTCAATTTAAAGGCTAGCAGTCCGTGGTCACTGATGCGGAACGGAAGAGACCACCTTGAAAGCCCCCCCTTTTCCCTTCATTTTCCCCCGTTCTCTCCACGGGTCCGCTCGTCGATCTCAGTGACCAACCTCAATGACCAGTGAAAGTTGAGCCTTAATGTATTTAGTCGATCTTCCTTCTCCTCGTATTTAGTCGATCTTCTTTCTCCTGTGCCTGTATTTAGTCCACCTTTCCAGCGTTTTCCGTATAGCTTCAGAAACGGCCACGGCGTGGCAATTGTTTTCGCCAATGCCTTTCTCACATCCAGAGCGGAAACCTGTTGGTGGTGTACTAATCTCAATCCTAGCCTACCTATTTGATAGTGTGTGTCCACTATTTTCATCATCGTCGTCATCATCACATGTCAAGTATTGTGTACAAGATGAGTATTGCTATTGAGTACGCGAAAAACTGAAATAAGCGAGTAACTACTTAGAATAACGGAGAATTCTGAAGGAGGGATAGCCTTAAGCTACCTGCCTTATTTCAGTCATTAACTCGGATATTTCAAGTTTTCGATTACTTCAGTACCTCATACGCTTGCACTTCCCTCTTCGTCGTGGCCTTCTCGACAGTTTTCTGCTTTTTGCGGAGAGGAACCTGCACAGAGGTCTCGTCACCTGTAAGATTCCTTAGAAGGAATGCTCGAGTTTGAGGCAACATCATTTTGTTCGTTACTAGTTTCTCAGAAGATCAACTTTATTAGGAACTGTTATTTCTGTTATTTCTGTTGTTTCTTAGTTTCTGGCTATCTCTTCTGTATCTGTTGGATGTTTACCAAAATTTTGCAAGTGGCGAAACAACAAGATTGATTGAGGAAGGCGATTACAATTGGCAGTAGAGTAAGAAAAATTTATGAGAATGATCGCTGTTGGTGTGAAAAAGCCGAGGAAAGATGAGTCATTCAATAGCTAGCGGGATATGTAAACATGGTACTGTTAGTCTCTACCATTGCCTGTGATGGGGTTGGGGTCGGGAGGATATTCAATTCACTCATTCAGGCGCGCGGATCGGGTCTCTTTTTTTGTTACCTGGGTCGACAATTCTCGCTATAATTTCATGACTGATATCATAATGAATTCGGGTAAGATGTTGATGTGCATTAGAAGATGGCACACGACAGGACGCTTTTAAATGGAGACTTTTTGTTGATGTTTTTCACAAAACTAATCTTCATCTGGTGATTGTTCAGGTTGGATCGTAGTCTCATATCTTCATGAGCCATTCCAAGGATTTCATCGTCTTTACGGACTTATTGAACAGGCATCTGGTATTGATACTGATATTGACGGGTCTCCCTGTATCATCTGGTTTTGGCAGAACATGAGGCACAACTAGGTAACCTCAAATAGAATTTCTTCACTTACGGCACTGGACTTCCAAGAACAGACAAAGTTGAAAATACAAAAGGATAAATGAGGTACATTATTTTCATGATTATACCTACTGGTTGTACAAGAACAGTTTATAATTTTCAAGGAGTAGCATGACCTGCATCACTCATTTGTTCAGCAATGGTTCCGATGATCACTTGATTAGTGATCGCTAGAATAACCAGGACAAATCAAGTTAAAATCCACATACTCGTCAACATGATTCACGAGATGTAGGTCCAGGAGTAATTATACTACGGACACAATGGTAACTCTGCTTTCTCAAAATGTTAGCGTTTAACAATCTATCGAACGTTGATGATCTTGCAATACGAAATTCTTACAATACAGCTCTAGAACAACTATCTCGATCATGGATCATGTTCGACATTGAAGACATCACTAATTTTGTTCATTTTGGCCTGCTTCTCTCTAGGACAACCCAAAAAGACAAAACGTTATGAAAGCCCCGCTCCGCTACATCAGAACGGAAGCTTGCTTGTAACCATGGTCGTCATCAAGCCTCAACGATCCCAACGCAACATTTTGGAACCACAAGGCAAAGAAGGGTAGGCATGGTGGAGCACAGAGAAGAAGGTCTACGTAGAAAACAAAGGCTATAATTAATAGCACTGGAGGGTGTGGCGAATCATGAATTTATAGCACAAATTTGAACTTTCTTATCATACCTGAGTGATATGCATAAAAAGAGCTCCAAGTTTAGTCCTTGCCTCCTGCGAACAAAGCTTTGACGCGGAGAGAACAGTGCTATGAAAAAAATTTCTAGAAAGGCAACATCTTATCTTCCTCACTGACTAGTTGTAAAAAATTTTCTGAGTTTTCAGTTAATAGTACTTACTACCACAGACCAATAGCGGTCTTCATCTAGTGCCTTGTGCTCAGAAGAACTACAGAAAAAGGTATGCCCCTGCTCCAGCAGTAGTGTGAACGTTATACAACTTCTATTGTTCCAGCAGTAGTGTGAACGTTATACAACTTCTATTGTTCCAGCAGTAGTGTGAACGTTATACAACTTCTATTGTTCCAGTAGTGTGAACGTTATACAGGACGCAAGAAACACCAAGGACGTAGCCAAAAATACCAATTCTGCATACGATTCATGCTGATAAAATCACCCTTGGACCTATCATATTATTCGTGCTCGTGCAATACAATTTAGAAGACAATTAACGTCGCACAGAATTCAGTGCACACTGCCGCACCAAAAAAAGGTCCCTAAAAAGAACAAGCGTCATCCCAAGAACAAGCCCCATCCTCATCGTCAACAAAAGCTACGCTATTATATGATTACTCATCCACCTCCAGGAAAGTACCACCTCACAGGTAGGAAGACTCATCGTCGAATGCTCTGACGACGGCGACTGTAAAGCGTTCGTCGACGCGGTCTAGTTTATCGAAGAAGGCACAAAGAACCTCCCGACAAGCATCCAGACAACCGCATAGTCGCGGAACGCAGCAAATGGGGATGTTCTCTTCTGCATCTTCAACGCTCGGGATTTCGTATTCGTCTATCATGGATGCGTTAGAACACGAGATGGCTCGCGTAATGGTAATCTTTGAGAAGAAGAAGAAGATCTTCAATTGTGTTAGTTTGAAAAGAAGACGAAGATCAATTATTTCGCTTGCATTACTTGTCACGAACGATTAAAATACTGGGAAGTCATGGTAAAAACTACAATCCACAGGACCAGGAGAGCTTCAACACAACTGCTGAACTACTCATGGACACAACGCATTATGCTGCCGTAACAAGTTCTCTGCTCGATGCATATCTACGACGCTCCCTTTCTTGTTCTTCAGCTTTCAAAATGTTTAGCATCTCCCTTGCGATACGTCTGCTTGTGGCAGGACTCGCTTCGAATTCACTACGACAACTATCTCCTCGTGCTTTATTAGATGTGGAGCGGCTAGGTCTACTAAAGTAAGTACTAGAGAGTCGCTCATTGTCATGTCATGGAACCTCGTTTGTAGCTGTGCATGTCTACCTATGAGGTCACCCAGTAAATCTGGTTACCTAAATAAATCAATCTAAGGACAACTAGCTAGTCGAACCTTTTTTTTGAGTCAGTGGTCTGAATCGTGTCTACTACTTCCTGTTCCTTGTACACCCCTAGAAGAAAAAGAAGGGCTTCCACTTGATGACGATGATGAATAGCTCCTGTGTCTTGTTGATCGGCCTTTTCGACTACTTCCTCCATGTTCTGCTCTACTTCTTGGCTCCTGTCCTCGTGGTTCACGACCTGCAAGACGATCATACTGTATGTCTAGAAGATCGCTTCTCATGTCTTCTTCAGCTAGAGGCGGATCCCTTAGGTCTTCCTTTCTCCAACGTTCAAATTCATCTTCTTCACCTAGGAGAGCCATAGTACTAGCAGAGCCCTGCTCTACTCTAGCTCTAGTGCGTCCAGACCACCGCAACTCTCTGCGTCCAGATGCTATTTCGCGAACGCGCTTCTGCAGGAACTCATATTCTCGCCACCGGTCGGCAGAGCCACATTCGCTACTTCTAAGGTTTTGTGGCAGAGATTAGCATTAGAGGAGGACAATATCTGATAAATATTGTGGACGATGTGCTCTCAAATACATACGGCTGTATAATTGGACAATAAGATTAAAGGGCTTAGAAAACAAATGCAAGTAGACTTAATTTATCTACCTAGTTCTTTCTCATGCTCATGGTCATGTCTTTCATGTCTACCCCTCCCTGACGACCAAGTTCTAGATTAAATTCCACCAATAGCGGCCATAAGAATCATCATCCGCATTACTCATTTTTTTCCACTGATTCGTGATTTCAGGAGGAAGAAACGTGTTCTGATCTCCATCTTCGTCTTCCACTGTGTCATCATATAGACGGGCAGGACAAGCGGAACAGGAGGAGAGAGGGAAAGACACTGTGGTCGGTGCTGTGATCGCTGTATCACACATTTCGATTTCCTGCGTTCTTAGCATTTCTGGTCTAGTAACATCAGAAGGCGTCGAGATAGCTTGTGCTGTGGGCGTACAAGACGACGAGAAAGGCGGTCCTGGCGGAGGCACCATTTCCTGACCTTGCATTGCTTTATGCACAACACCACCAACTCCCAATCCCACTCCACCTGTAGCACTACCTTGTCCAGAAACTCCCAATCCCACTCCACCTGTAGAGCTACCTTGCCCACAAACTTCAATTCCACCTTCATAAGCACTACTACTCATCCCTTTTCCACCATACAACTTTCCGACCTCCTTCACGAAGAAGGCATGATGATCAGCCTCACCAGGCTGCATATTACGCCCGCCCTGGTCGCCGCGATGTCGCCAAATGATAGGCCCCTGTACGTCGTCATTTTCTTTTTCTTGCTTCCTGATGGAGTCGTCATATTTTTTCCCTTGCTTCCAGATGATAGGTCCATGCTCATCGTCATTTCTTTTTTCTTGCTGTCTTCGATTTTCCTCATATCCTTTTCCTTTCTGTGTGGTTGAGATCCCATGCTGCTCCTCAGTGTTGCCTCTAGTACTACTACTACTACCTCTCCTAGCTGATCGTTCGCTTGTCATTCGACCAAAGTCCGCGCTCGGGACGTAAGCCGGATCACCAGGCCAAAGAATATTACTTTCACTTTTTACGATATGTGGATTGGCTTCCAAAGCTTCCTTGTCTGTGTAGCTAGCAGGAGTCGCCGTAATAATTGGATGATGGCGCTCGTCAGAAAAATGATGCGTCTGATCAGGAAGATGATACTTCTTCTCCTCTGTAGTTCTAGGGAAGTCCCACGTCTGCTCGGGGGACGTAGGATTAGGGCTGTCCAATATTCATCTTTGATGTGCATCCTTGAACCGTATCGCAATGGAAATACTCTCTCATACTTTTCAGGGATGCCCTCAAAGAAGATGAATTATCTCTAGCCTTAATAGGACTGTTAGTTGTCAGCTCAGACGCAGGACTTGATCTTGTCCTTTGGTAGAAACGCTCTACTTCCGTTCTAGGGACGAAGTCCCACCTTCGAAGTTCTTGGTTCCACACAGGACATCGGCTTGAGCATGAGCTTCTACCTGGTTCTTCCACGTCCTCCCGATCTGGGGAAAAGCAGAATGGGTCCTGTTCTTCATCATCTTCATCTTCAGAGCACGACGATGAGTATGAGGAGTACTCGCACTCCTGGAAAATTAAATCTTCTAAATCATCTGCTCCACGCATTGACGAGTGTCGAGAAATTGAACGAGGATTTTCGTGAGAAGAGGAGGACCCTGAAGCAGATGCTGTTATAGAAGATGCTGCTGAAGCAGAATCTGTTAAAGAAGAAGATGCTGTCCCTTGCGTTTGTGCTCTACGATCTTCCTCCGGTTTGAGCGACATCCATAACGCTCGCTGCAGCTGTAAATCTCCACGCCAGGGCGCTGCTTCAGACGTTGTACGACTGCGCTCTCTATTAAGCCTTATTTGCTTGTTAAGTCCTTCACGTTTTTCATCACGCTTGAAACTTTCAATTGCTTCCAGAGAAGGGAATTTCTTTTGAGGTGCTGCAGCTGCTTGTACACGCGATGTTTGAAGATCCTCATTTTTAACTGCTCTTTCTTCCGATCCGCAGCTTCTAATATTTCTCACCGCTCTTGAATATACCGAAGGACGTTGAGCGGACGAGCGCGTAGAAGAAGCAGAAGAAGATAAAATGAACGCTCTACTTCTTCTACTGGACGTTTTAGAAGAACCCTCTCTCGGCGTTTTAGAAGAGCCCTCTGCTCCAAGGGATCCCTCTCCAAGCATGCTAGTAGAGGCTGTGCTAGAGGCTGTGCTGCTTTTAGCAGGTTGTCTTGTGGAGACGGAAGATGAAAGTTGATGTCTTTGCAATAGACTTGTCTTCACATTTGGTGATGACGGATTTTTTGATGTACTATCTGGACGAACTGTTGGCACAGTCCTCGAGTACGCAACATCTCCTCCCTGTAGTTCTTCGGGTGCGACTAGATTATCTCCACTCCCTGGATCGAGCGATGAACGATCGAGCGAAGACCCAGCACTTGTACGCCCTATAATTCTTCGTGGACCCTCCAGTTGATGAAAATCTCTAGCACAGAAAGGGGTTGTGCCAAATAGCGACGCAACAAAGTCTCCCACAACCGCAAGAGAACCATCGTAAGCTGCACTGCTGAGCCGCACCTCCACTGCCGACAAGACGAGGACAAGAAGATGGCCAGAGAGGGACATTTTCATTTTCGATATTTCTTAATGATCGATGTTTATGTTTGATGACAAGGAAGAAGAAAACAGAACAAATACACGTATAGGATAGGATAGGATAGGATAGGATGCCTCGGCTTCGTCGCCAGACAAGGTGACAACACCACTCCGGCAGATCGCCCCAAGGAGGACGTTACAAAGGAAAGGGTTTTACCGCCCGTGTAAGACGTCGTTAAGTTATCCGAACAAAACGGAAATGCTTGGTCGGAGTAATGTACTTACATCAGAAGTATCTATGTACGCTATCAATTTTTTCGAACTACCACATTGAACAAATTGAAATTTATGTACTACTAAGATACAAAGAGCTACTTCTACCAGCACTAGGAAGTCAAGTCGAGATTCAAATTTTTCTTTGGTTCTTTAAAAAGAGCAACCTATAGTAGACAAAAGTCTTTTCTTTTCTACAGGCAGGAATGCAAGTACTATATTTCTACAGGCAGGATGAAAACAACATTCCTTAACTCACAGAAATACTGAACCTGCTCCTTCTGTTTTGTGGATTTAAAACAAATAGAAATCTTCAGATGGTCTCTGTTATTGGATACGGGTGGACAGCCAAGGCATTGAAAAGTTGCAACGCCCAGAACCCTATGATACAATGTCAGATGTTCTGCACTTTTCGGTATGCGCTGGATTGAAAGCACTATTGGTACATACAACAGACGAGCAAGTTGGATGACTTTTTTTTTATCTCTCCTTTGACTTTGTGACGTGATTTCCTTTTCGTCATACAAGTCAGCCTTGTTTCAGCTGTCTTCTTCCAAAACACAGCTAGTTCGTTAATACCGCAAGAAAGAACAAGAAGCAAAATATCACCACATGAAAGAACAACTTGATGTTGGTCCTCCCATTTTCATATTTTCCGCCCCTTTTTTTCTTCAATTTAACGAAATTTAGTTCCGATTTACTCGAAGAAAAAAAGTAGAACGTCCTGAGGGATGGTTTTTGGCAAGCTTCTGTAAGGTTAAACTCCGGTCTGTAGTAGGGTCGAGCCAAGAAAAACAAATATTTTTCTCCAACCCGCGGTTCATTTTTCTAATCTTTTGGGATTCAATTGGGATTCAATAAATTCCTTCGGGATTGGAAAGTTCAAGTTCAAGTTCAGGGCATCCCCGTCTCTCGCCCCAGACCTCGGTTTTTTTTTTCCTCGGTCTAGAGCAGCACTGAGGGATGTTAAAGATATCTACTCCTTCGAGTAGAGAAGCCCGGCCGACTTGGAAAAAAAATAGCCAAAGCGCCAACAATGATCATTTCTACAGGGGAAAGAGAGAGACATTGAAATGCGTACAGTTTTCTTGTAAGTATGGTTATTTTTGAAAATTCCTATTATGTTAATCTTGATCTTCGTTTCTTCACAGTCGTGGGTCATTAAAGTCTTTGCTTCAACATATGCTAGTCAATAAGTGTGGCGCGTGTATATGACAGTCTTTGCTTCATCAAAGTCATAGTGACTGATGGAAAACAACTTTGATTTTCCAGGTGCCATGTACTATGAAGACGGGAAATTCCGTTTTTAGATGAAGAAGAAGAAGAAGATACGAAGCAAGTTACAGGTTTTGAAGTCATGAAGATGCGAAGATATAGTGGAATTCCGAAGATATAAACTTCTATTATATGTGGTGCGTCATGATCATGATGAAGAGAGAAACGTCAACATGCCAAAGACCAAAACATTTGCTGCTATGTAGTCGATATTTGTTTGCGGCCAACAAGAACAATGGATACTATGTCGTGTTGATCTTCACGAGAAATACGACAGAAGAAAAAAATATGAAACACTAGTGCCCGGACACTAAAGACGAGCAACAACGACCTTTTCTGATTGCTAGTAACAAGCTCCATTTCATCTGATTATCATTACTTCCTCTCGACGTACAACATCAAGCATATCAGGCTTCCGCATAAAGTCGATCGATCAATGACTTATATTCTTGAGCGATGACAGGACGCTTGATTTTCATAGCCGCTGTCAGCAACCCATTTTCTGGTGTCCACGCTCCTTCGCATATGCCTACCTTCTTCGGAATTTCAAAAGCGACCAAACCCGCTTTCTTGCACTCGGCTACGATGGAGGCTAAGATAGTAGCTTCTTGCTGTTCCAGAGAGATTGTCGTGGCTTGTTGGGCCATTAAGTTCTTTTTATTCGGCACAACCATCAAAACCGGATATTGACCTCCCTGCAGACCGTAGCACATGCACATTTCGATCAGAGGTGACAACTTGCAAGCCGACTCGACCTTAGTCAAAGCAACGTATTCTCCCTGCGGTCCTTTCCACAGATCTTTCTTCCGGTCGATGATCTTGACGCAGCCAGACGGGGTGACGCAGCCGATATCACCCGTGTGGAACCAACGGAAGCCATCTTTGTCGAAAAATTCAGCGCGATTTTTTCCCACCATTTCCAAGTCAGCTTCCGTCAGACTCAAGCTAGTGGCCAATTCTGCGACTACTTTCTCAGCCAACTCCTCTGCTACTTTTTCTTCGTCTTCGTCATCCACCTTGGTCGGAGAACCAACCGTAGAGGATGCAGCAGTAGACGGAGCAGCTTCATTAGCCCCAACATTCTTCTTGTCGTCATTCTTGGACGAGCTGACAGCTTTGCGTTCTTCCTGTCTCAAACTTTCTGAGTCCAAACTACGACCGGGAACGAAGTATCCCTGGCAGACTTGGGGTCCTCCAATGAGGATTTCCCCTCGTGGCACAGCAATCTTCGGATCTCTGACATCGCTATTGCGATAATTTCCTTCCTCCCAATCCAAAAGGCGAACGACCTGTATGATGATGATGATGATATAGTTAACCCGGTCGTACTGCTTATTTTCATCAAAATTGGGTCCTCGTACTTCTACTAGAGTTACAACAAAGTGAGAAGATCTTCGAAGCTGAAAGTTTCTTTCTAAGAATAAAACAAGAACTAGAATGCATGCTGTTGTCCCTGTTATCACCGTTCATGGTGACCGTAGAGACGTGGTCTGACAGTATTTCTGTGATACTATAGATACCTGAACATTCCTATCATGAAGTAGGATAAAAGTAGATACCGTTTTCTTCGTCGGTGGCCCAACCATTCCTGGTGTGTTGTCACGCCAGTCCACGACACAGCTTGCTCCACAGGTCTCCGTCAACCCATAAGCCTGGCGCATCGGACACCCTAGGATAGTCTGGAAAAATTCTAGTTGTTCTTTGGAGACTGGCGCCGACGCAGCGACGGTAGCGCAAAGGCGGCCACCGAGTCGGGCTCGGATCTTCTTCATGAGTAGGGATTCATAGAAGCAGTTGGCGCCAACAAGGGGGTCGACGAGACCATCGCCAGCTTTGGTGGCGTAACTGCGGTGCAAACGCCGTTTACCACTCTTCAAGGCACCGAGGTAGAGATATTTGGCTGTGGTGATTTCGATCAGTTGTGCATATCATGGAGATGACATCCCAACGAGAAGTCTAACGACAGTCTTATTGGAGCGCAAAAGATTCTCCTGATGATCGATGATCACTTTAGAAAGTTACAAGAAAAAAGGCATAATTTCCGTGACACTAAAAGTATAACTGCATCACACTTGGACGAAATCGAAAACTGCTTCTAGATGTAACTAAACATGTAAGACTTCTATATCTTAGTATAAGTAGTGCTAAGTAGTATACCCATTCCTCCCCTTTGTTCGAAAATTGTGTTCAATCCTGCGTAAAGTTTGTCTAGAACGGCAGGCACGAAGAGCATGATGTGCGGACGCACAACCGAAAGGTCTCCTTTCGATTCTGGAACTTTTAGCTTCACTCCACTATCGTTAATCGTATGTGGACTGCCGTAGACGACCGACAAGCCGTTCACCAAAGCCGTCGTTTCGGTAGCTAGCTCCATCACGTGCGCCAGAGGCAAATACGCTAAATAAGTTCCGTCGGACGGTACGTTGGGCGCGGTTTTCAGGATAGGCTCCGTGGAATTCAGCAAAGCTGCCAAGTTGCCATGGGACAGAACGACACCTTTCGGAGCAGAGGTTGTACCACTGGTGTACATGATCACGGCTGGATCGGAGGCTTTGGTTGTAGAGACAATCCAAGAACTGTCTTGTAGAAAAGTATTGCTACCATCGTCATGATTGTATTTTGCGACCAAAGAATCGAGGAAGTGAACTCGAAATGTGCTTGAGGCCGGTTGTTGTTTTTCTCGTCCTTCGAAGAAGGCAAGCGTGTCTGCGTCCGCTTGAGCACGGGACCCAATGAAAATGACGTTTTGCAAGAAACTCACTTGGTCCCCAGATTTATCTTGCTCCATGAGAATCTTTTTCAGGATTTTGGCCAATTTGAGGTCCACAAGCGCGACGTTAGCTTGAGTCTGCTGCAAAGCGAATCCAGCACCGTCAGCACCGAGACTGGCGTACACAGTGACGATCGGGACGTTCTGCGACATTGCAGCTAAAGCCGAGCACAACCAGTCCGCTTGAGTTTCGGCATAGATCACGACCTTGTTGTCATGAGCAGAAAACATTTTTTCTTCCTTCAAGGCACAAGCGATTGCTCGGACGCGCATAAAGTGCTCCCGTGCGTTCCAGAAAGTGACTTCGTTTGCCAACTCCAGCTTCTCAAACTTCTTCGGACTCTCCGACGTGTCTTTCGGATCCGCTTCCATGTGGACTTTGAGCAGTTTACGAAACCCCACAGCGTTTCGATCTGGTGCGGCTTGGCATTGGCGACGCCACAATTGTACAATGGAACCGGTGGCCATGTCTTCGTCGCGGCTGCCGCGAAGGAGGGCACGAGGGTCAGGCTTACCTGTTTTGGGGTCGACTGCATTGCGGTTGTACAAGATGGGACCGAGCGGGCCACTCCCGGTACCCTCAGCTAGAACTCCGTAAGCGTACATTTTCTTGAAGCTCTCTAGGAGAAGTAGTTCTCGGTCCTTAGCAGCTTACGCTCCTTAGTACTAGTTCACAACTTGGTGTTGTAGTTCTTAGTGTTCTAGCAGTTCTTAGTTTACTTTTTTATATAAACTTTAGCTTTACTACCTTATGATCTCGTTGCTAGAAGAAGCAGAGGAGGCGGAGTGCTATGAACTATACTACTTACTGGGGACGATGGATTCTTTACAAATTTCAACTACAGATCTTCAAGTTCTTACTTCAAAAACTTCTTCTAGGTTGACTGGTGCGGTTGATGTTTTGCAGCACCATGTGGGGAGTAGAACGAGGCTTCAAATGACAGTATCCAAAACTGATCGACGCGAAAAGCTTCTAAGACTCAAGATCAACCTGCTGTGAAGATTGTTTCGACTAAGTTTGCTCAGCGCTTATATCCTGTGCGCAAAGCCGAACGAGATGCATTTTTAGGAATTTCACTAAGCCATAAGCAGCTGCAGCAGGTGTAAACAACGCGCTAAAACTAAACTTCTAAAAGTAGACATTGGAATTATTGTATACCAACATATTGATCGCAAGATCTTTCGTGACCACAGAAGCTTACATTTATATTTCTTCATGGATCTTTGATGTAACTCACTTGTAAGTAGCAGTCCAATTTCATAGATCTCTTCGATTTCAAAGATCTTTTTGATCTAGATCACGTCATCTGAGCAGATAGATCTTCTTGTGTACAACTTTTCAGTTCAGAACTTGCTAGAAGTAGTGGATCTTCTTGATCGTACCCTGGTGCTGGTCGGTTTCTGTCATCTTCATAGATGCCACAGTCACTAGGGTTCTCAGCAAAGACGACGATAGATCTGATCAAAAACAAACAATCTAAGTAAATCTTCACTGTCTGGGAAAAAACAAAGTGCGTCAAGTGCTAGGGGCTCTTCCTTCATACTGACAATTGTCAAGGTGGTTTCATAAAGTGTGCTACAACATACACGGGTTATAGCTAAACATTCTTGGTACTAGAAGCAGAGATGATGCACGTGATAAATGAGACGTCGGCCTACTGAAGAACTAGCACTTGCTGCGTAACTACAAGTAACAAGCAAACGTTGCCATGCAGTGCCGTCCACCTATACCATTTCAATGTAACAAATCAGAATGACTAGCATAGAAACGACATTCAGCCTATCATCTTGCTTCAGCCTAAAAGAAGCTATACACAGAAACCCAAATATATCAGCCTTTAGCGTTCAAGCCTGTAAGATTTGAGTACAAGCCGGATTCAATCAAAGTAGAGCCAGAGTCAAGTTTTCAAATCATGAGAGATTACCAAGAATAAAATTTGCAACAAAGTGAGCCCCTTTAAACTTTACCACCTCATGCTTGAAGAAAACGAGCAGCAGAGTATAAAATAATGATGTGGTTCGAGCTTCATTAGGACGATATATGAACAACTCAGGCAAAAATCAGTTTTAGACCAAGGGCCTCGATTTTGATTATGTTCGGAAACGGAGATGTAACCACTTTCATGTCAACCTCACCATTCCCAGGTTGAGGAAAAGGGTAGGAGACACGTCGTTCCGATACCTTTCCATATGGTACCAAACACCTTGCGAAAGGACTCGTTCCCTAGTCTCCTGAGCAACAGATCCAGCGACGTGGTGGTTCTTGACGACGTTCTTTCTCCTTGTCCTTCATCATCCTCTACTTTCTCTACAGGAGTTGTTGTTGTTGCTCCTGCAGTACTACTGCTGAGCAAAGAAGTAGTAGCAGCTCTTGTTGTAACATCAGCAGGAGATATAATAGTAGTGCTTCTCAGCGTATCAAGAAGATAGACGAGAAAGCGTTGGGCGAATTCAGACACACCGCGATCAGGACCGTCCTCTTCGTTGAGCGAAAGGTTTAGCCTTGCACTATGTTCATCCGATATTAGACAGCTCAAAAGAGTAATTCTTCATTTCTTCAGACTTTCATTTCTTCGGATTCCCAAGAAAGAAAAAGAAGAAAGTGAAACTTGGGAACGAGCTTTGAAGCAGAGAGGGCAGTGCAAAAGAAGGTACTCCTACTCTATCAAGTTTGTTTAGAGGTAAAAAAATGAGTTCTGTTTTAAGCCTTAAACAAAAGAGCTCTAAGCCCGATTCGGTGATTGTCACCTGCCACCGTCTCAAGGACCCAAGGAAGTCATTTGCACCACAGTTTTGAGCGCATGCATTTGCATTCCTAGCCTCCGAAGATGCACAACTCTGAGAGAGGCTACTATTTGTTCGGCAATCATCCGCTGCACATGCAGCAGAAGGGTCTGATGCGTGTGCGCAATCACGAGCTATACATGTTGCAGGAGCAGTCGGATTCGACGCGCAGCCATTCCTAGGGTCTGACGCCGAAATAGGACTCGCAAATGCGGATGGTGATTCGAAATATCCTGAAGCTGACGCTGCTGTACCTGGAGAAGAATCATGTTGACCTCCTGATGAACTCGAAGAAGAAGCTGCTGTACCTGGAGATGACCCAGCTGGAGAAGATGAGCTCCTCGGCGAACAAGTGGGGCTACCTGGAGAACAAGTCGAGCCACCTGCAGAGGTGGCGCTAGCCGGAGAACAAGTGCTGCACCTACCGCTGGAACCTGGGGAATTCAAACCCCCAAAAAAGGATCCGCCTAACGTACGACCATCCATCCTGAACGTGCTAGACATCGTATTTGGGACAACGACGCTGCCTTGGGTGGAGGACGATGTAGATGAGGAAGAGGGAGACGATGCTGAGGGAGCAAGAAGGAAGTGTTGGTCCTCTAATAGACCTAGGAGAACCCACTGTAAGGGAGTTCGTCCTCGTGACGCAACCCGTGATCTTCGTGTGGTGGACGTGGACAGCCAAGGAATTGTACCTGTAGGAGATACGTTCTTCTCCGAGCCTTCTTGTGCATGCATCGCATTCTTGGCAGGGTGCTGTTGTGCAGAGTGCTGTAGTTCTTCGGGCGACGATGCTATTTGATCTGAAGCATCGCGCAAGTTAATCAAAAATTCTTCAGGAAGGAACGGGGAAACCGTTGAGAATTCTTCTTCATGCGAATATTGGACTGCTCGTCCAGAGGCTGTTGACGGTGACATATTTTCACGGTTCGCTCTTCCAGTTCCACCTTGATGTTGATGTCGTTCTTCTTGTTGAGAAGTAGTACTAGAGTGCACTACTTTACTATTCTCAAGATATTAGAAGAGTGTGTCGCAAGCTATCGCGGCGTGATTATGATCGTTCAACCCGCCTATGGAAACCTGCCTCTTCTCTACGGATGACAAAATGAGTCCTACTAAATCCAACGGACATGAAGAATTGAAGATCAAGATAGCCTTCTTGGTACCTTCCATAATTTCTCTTGTACCTATTGATTCTTTTAAGCCGAAAGGAACATCAGTCAGCAATAGCAAAAAGGTATCACATTAAAGCAGACATAATGCATACTGAGAGAGATGGCTAAAAGTAGAACCTTTGAGCCTGACAGACCATGCTGCTCATAATTTTGAATCCTTGCCATCACCTGTCGTTTGCTAAGTTCGTTTTCGTTCGTCGACACCGGAAAAAATCGATCGAATGCAGAGCAATATCTGAGGTCCCATCGTTCCATAATTAGAGCCACCAGAAATTTTTTGAGCCTCTTGAAACGGATCCTACAGCCTCTTCTTTAAAACGGTTTCAGGATGCCTGTGAAGATGGATTTGCGGTAGCCTTAACATAGGAGAATGTAATACTACAGAATTTGCGGTATCCTGCCAGTCATGTGCTTCGTAAGCTGCCATTTGATCCAGCTGATATCGAGATTCTAGAAACGTTTTGCCCAGAATCATTGTTGTTAGACCTTCCATAAATGTAAATCCATCGTGAGATGCATCTTCCTGGGTCCTTTTCCCCCTGAGCAAGGGTCTCAGGATGGTGCTTGCGAAGATGGATTTGCGGAAGCCTTAATGTTGTCAGAAGTGACAAATGCGAAACCTCGTAGCTATCATTGGTGAAACGAAGTTCCACAGATCGATGCTTCTTCTCATTCTTACCGGCAGTTGCAAGCGCCTGTAGCATCTCTATCACATTCGTTAGATAAAGCTCCACTCTTTTTGTTGCAGGTCTCCGGGAAGTGGTAAAACTTGGCGAAGGTGGAATGTCCTTCTCTGTTCGACTCGCACCAGCTGTCGTGGCCATTTCAATATCCTCGTCTTGTTCACCATCATGATAAGAAACGGCCTTGTCGTGTGTCCCATCATGACAAGAAGCGGGGGCAGCCGTGTAGTTATAACGTGTGCTGTCATAGGATTTTGAATTTGATCTTGCTCTTTTTCGTTGCTGTCGCTCCTGTTCATCATCGACTGCATCAACGTCGTCCCTTGCTTCTTCCTGCATGTGCATTCTTTTTCTTTTGCTTCCCCCTTGGGAAGGGGAACCTCTGATGTCGACGACTTGAGCGCCCTCGTCCTCGACTTCCATTTCGTCCACATCATCGACAACATAATCCCGGTAAAAGACCACTTCTGGCAACCCACGCCGCTGATCGAGGATATTAGCAAGGGTTTCGTGATCAAAACTTTGCAGTAGGTGCGCGCCTTCCTTTCTCGTCGGAGACAGGAAGTTAAAAAGACCGCTTTCAAAATCCGGAAACTTCGGAACCCCTGAAGTTAAGGTGCGCATTTTCCGAAATAAAGCCTTGTCAAAATGTCGTAGTTCTTTGGTCCCTGAAGCTTGGGTCAACATGCTTTCTCCCTTCAATTTTGCATCTTGGAACAAGCCATCTGGCTTTTCACTAGAAGAAAGACTTCTTCCTTTGAAAAAAGGCTTCCCATGCTCGGGACTGTACCACACATCATCGTCGCTTAGAGCTCAAAGAAATTCGTTTCTTGCCTTCATTTCTTCAGAATCCTACGAGGGGAGCTGAAGAAAATCACCCTTGGAAATGAATTGTATCCTCGAGCCATAAGTTGAGTAAGCTCCGAAGACGGTACTTGTGCTTGTGGCGTGGTCGTGGCCTTTTGTTAGAGCGTGCTATTCAAAAAATTTTAATACATTTTCACTCCAGAAAAACACTCAGAACCCGAAGGAATGCTCTTAGTAGAAGTCTATGTCTATTGTCCATCCTTCGTCATTAATCTTAACACTACTCCCGGTCGTTCTCGCATCTTCCACGACTCGTATGCTCGTGTCTTCCACAACTCGAATATCGTACTTTTTGCATTGGGCTAACTTGAGATCAACATCAATAGTGATGTCCAACTTCCTACGGTCGACCGGATGCCGCTTCTTTTCCACTTGGAACGCAACACCACAGTCGGCATTGTCGAACCAAGGTTGGCCATTTATCAGCGATATGAAGTACACTTTCTTTCGATTATCCCAGGAAGTGCGATGGTAATTCGGTGTGATTGATGGCTCCTGTATCTTCTCCGTATTTTTCGCTTTATTTTTGCTCGCAGCTTTACTTTTTGCCTTCTGCTTTGCTTCATTTGATTCTCGACCAGGAATAGAGGGAGCGGAGCTCGCTTCGATGACTGTGATAGGTTCCCCATCTTCGTAGATCCTTGGAGGTCCCGACCATAACTGTTCACCAGCAGAAGGAGATGAAATTGGCGTGGTCGTAGACGCGTACACTATAGGAGGAGACTGATTGGGTCGCAAGCCCTTGAACGTGTAATATATCGATTCATTTTCCACAAAGGAGGCCAAACCCACATTACCGTTGCCGTCTCCTCTTCCTGAATTAATAACGTCTGCTCCACTGCGGTAGGAGAATGAAATAGCACTTTCCACGCCTTGAATCAGTTTTTCTAGCACATTCTGGGCTGTGGACAGCTGGTTCTCAAGGCCATCTTTCGCTTTGGAAGTTCCTCCAGGCTGAGAGGAGGCTTTCGCGGCAGGTTTGGAGGACGAGGCTTTCGCGGCAGACTTGGACGAGGTTCTACTTGGAGTACCACCATCATTTTCGGATGGCTTAGCGCTAGCGTCTAACCTTGCTGCTTTATCGCTGTCGGATGATACCAACCTTTCATCGATCATAGGTCCTCCAAATCGATTGTCGAGTCGACTCATCATTTGTTGGCGGGCCAGACGCTCCCGCCGGTCATATGGGTGTGGTCGTCGTGCGAAAACAGAAAGCGGTCCTAACAACAAGCTGAACGCGAACGTCCTGAGTATCTTCCTTTGTTTCAGCGGCTTCATCTTGTTCTGGTTGATGATGTGGTTCGACACGACTACTTTGTTACAACGGGAGGTTTGGGAGTTTCAAGAAATTCTAAATTGTGTTGTAGAAAGTATCAGTGTTTAAATTTTGATGGATGATCTGCTTCACCAGTGTTCCTGCTTAGAAATTCAAAAATCGGATTGTGAAATACTTAAGATAGAGTTGACTTGGCACAATAGTACAGCGCTGAAGATTTCTTCACTTGTTGATATATTTTATTCTTGAGAAACGTTTTTGTGCCGACAAAGAAGGAGAGTGGTTGACTGAAGAAGACTTGCTTGACACACAGAAAGAGACCTTGACAGACATTGACTGCTCACTTACTAGCACATCGTCCAGCTCGATCTTCTTCATTATAGAAGAGTAGAACGGCAGCATTCTAATCGTGATTGTACTATCATCACAGAGGCAAACGCTTCGACGTAAGGTGTGATGCCGAGAACCGCGCTTATACTAGGACATCATGCTCGTGACCTCTTACTTTGCCCTGGGTTGGCGTCGATGGCTTTGATTCGATTGCACTTATCTTCATGTAAAGCCAATTATAAGCGACTTGAAAGAGCTTTTGCTAAAGCACAACAAAGTAGAAGTACCATGTAGTTGGTCGGGATCGAATGGGGATATTCAAAAAGAATCTCCGTGTAGACAAGGAAGTGCGAGGACATTGAGGATGAGTTGAGAATAAGAGATTTAATTATGTTGAGCGCTAATTTAAAAGAACTAGAGGCTATGATGTATAGGTTCTTTGAGATTAAGACAGGCAAGTCCTCGGGTAAGAACGTAAGCACAGGTTAGTCATATTACAGGTGCTCGTGCTGATGTGATGTACATAGAAACTGTATGAAAAATTTTCGCGCGGCAGTGCGAGGACGCAGAGGACCTACCAATAATCAGAAAGATCTAGATCCAGGAGAGAGGCGCCCACTGGTGGAGGCTCACCGACGGGGCCGTTCGTCTTTGCCGCGAAGCAAAGAGCTTTGAATTTCCGCCGTTGATCTTCAGTAGATGATTCCGCATCACTAGCATCTACAACCTGATCTGCTTCAGTGGTCGACTTACAACAACTCTCCCGTTCTCTTTCTGCTCTTCTGTGTTCATCTTCCATGCACCTACTTTGCGTCTCGTGTACTAGTTCGGTTCTCGAGGCTCGCGCATCAGCATGCAGGAACATTCCGGCGGCATCAGCGTCGATAAAAAGCGCTATGTTTTTGTTCTCTCCCGTCATCAGCAAAGCGTTCTCCTCTGCTGTGCCACACTTTGCGACCTCGTCTTGCGCTTCTGCAAGAAGGCGGTCAGCACAAGTGGAGGTGTTCTTGTCCTGGCTTAACCTTTCGTTCGTTGTTCCTTGGCAGGTATTTACTTCATTTGGCGGGTATTGCATTTTTAGTCGCGTAGCACGGCTCGGCCCAAGCTTACTGGCCCATGGCATGGTCGAGATCCTCGGCAACGCTTCCGACCTCATCTCTTTGGCTGACAGCCGCGTGGTCCCTGAGGACGTCGACACGCTTCCAGGAGAACAAGTGCCCTGGTTCTGACTTCTAGTAGTCGCAACACGCTGAGCATCAATGCCGTAGAGCCTTCTGGCATTTTCGGTGCAAGCGCGCACGACTTCTTCGACGCTCAGATTTTTGATTCCCGCTATGCTAGCAGCCACCTCCAGAACGTCTGCTGGACCTCCCGAAAAGACCGTGAAATGAGGGGAATCCGTTTCCAACAGTATGCGATCCAACGGCAGCCGTCGCACCATCTCAACCAAGTCTACCGTTTCGTTTTCTACAGGTTTTTTCGAGGTCGTTGAGTCTTCTAGTAGAGGTTTACAAGTAGTTGAGTCTCGAGAATCGTCGTCAAGTTGCTCTATTCCGCTAGCAGGTCCAGGAGACGAGGAGACTGCTGAATGACAATCTTCATCTAGAACTAATACATCATGCTCTGCTGCATCACTCTGCAAAGCAGAAAATGAAATTGTCGCAACATTCTCACAGCTGCTTGTTCCGCTACTGCTAGTATTGCCACTACTTTCATAATGTTCATCAGAAGAACTATTTGAAGACGCGGTCGTGCTCAGAGTGCTACAGGTACTCCGTGGTGAGGCCGTTGGAGAGTCCACTGGGTCCGTACTCGTGATAGGTTTTTTTGAGCTGTGCTCCATTTGGTTCAGCAAGGACCAGGACCTGGCATCGCCGAACGCAATGTAGCCGCCAATACCGAAATAGGCATTGGGAAAGAGAGAAAGAACTCGTTCCAAGGCGGCGGGCGACGCGATCGCCGCGTGCCAGTGGAAAGGATGTAAGCGAGGCATGTACTCTATCAGGCAGTCGAGGAAATCCTGTTCGCAATCCCGCGAGTGCAGTTGCATAGGCAGCTTTAGTTCGTCCACTGCAATCTGGATATTTTCTCGGAAGATCCGCTTCTGCTCGGCAATTTCTGCTTGGTATTTCGACAGTGGTTCGTATCCGGCGAAGTCAAGGCCGCACTCGCCCCAGGCCACCACACTGTTGGGCGGGCAACGGGAGACTCCATCCAACAGCAGTTCCCGCATGTCTGAATCCCAGTCGCCAAGTGCCCTCTTAGGATGTGCGCCAAAGGCCGCAAAAACGTGGGGTGCCCCCAACTGCACCAGCCGCACTGTGGTCTCGATGCTGAACGCGTCGCAGCAGGAGGTAATCACAGCAAATGGCCCGTCCAGCGCGAGGTCAAAGAGCGAAGCAAGCACGGCGTCGTCAGGCAAATCAAAGCGATCATCCAATATGTACTCCAAATGCATATGCGTATCAACCAAGGGAAGATCATGCAGCTCGTCCGGAACTGAAAGACAAGAGGTCGTCGGTGGATATCCGTAGGATTCAATAATCATCAATGTTACTACTTCTGAGCAAAGAAATTGATCATAGAAACAAATTGAAATTGAGAACACTATAACTACTAACCCCTTATTGCATGAAGTCTAGATGTAGTCCAACAAATCAATATTTACTGTAAAAAAAACGAAATTCAAATTAAGGAGTACTGGTGCAACTGGTGCAAAACCACGTGGAAAGAAAACGAAATTCAAATTAAGGAGTACTGGTGCAACTGGTGCAAAACCACGTGGAGCCCCACCATTCGCCTACTGCAGCTGCTCTACGAGGTGCCGCACAGCATTCGCACGATGCTAAAAGATCACGATCCTCGCGGTCCTGCCTCAAGTACAGCTTTGCTCCATGAAAGATCAAGCCGCTCGCAAGTTTGATTGCTCGGTCCGCATCTTCGACCGAGTCAAATTCCAGCGAAGCCCAATTCTTTCCCACTCCTTCGAAAATCTTCACGAAGGTAGGGCCGCCTCGACCAGCCAAAGCCAGATTGAGCCAGTTCTTCAAATGCTCCCAGTCAACATAAGGGTCCACGATATTCAGCGCGCAAAGCCTCTTCGTCTTCGCGGTCGTCAGCCCCCTGGCCTCTGGGCCATCAATCACGTTCTCCTCTCTTCCCATCAACCGCTGCATCTTGAATATTGCCTATTCCACAGCAGCACTGTCTCCCAGGTATCACTAGAACGCCCCCCTCAAGGTCCGTGGCCTAGCGCGACCTCCCCAGCACGATGACCATTCTGGCCCAATGCCCACGCAGAAGCAGGCAGAGAATCAAGACTCAGCTGGACGACGTGCCATTATTTCCACCACGACATTCAGTTTTCTTATGTTCTTTTGCCTCCTGCTAGACCCACATGATAAGTACTTCAGGCATCATGGAAGTCGTCTAGAATGGGAGCGCATCCTCATCATGAGTAAGGACCTGCTAGGAGCTGTGTCTTCAAACAAAGTTCTTAATGATATGTTCGTGTCTTATTTGTTACATCCGTCTCAGGTCGACTACTTGAATTGATTCGAATAGCAGATCTTTCGTCCAAGAACTTGTGGTTTTAACAAGAATCAGCATGAATGCATTCCCGATCTATTGCATTGACATCACTTTTTGATTTGATCTCACTGCGAGGTTGCTACATGAACAAAGAACAAGACCACATCAGTTGGTCAGATCTCCATAAAATGAACCTCTATGCTGTTCGAAAGAGGACATTCATCTTCGTATGTACTGTATTTGTAGGGTCCGTCTTGTAATTCTGGCATGGCATGCGTATAGCGTGGTCGTGCATATACTAACGTGGAGTTGCAATTCGCAAACAACAGAATGACAATGAGTAAAAATGTGGTGTAGTACTATGGGCAGTAAAAACCTTTTCCTGTGAATATTGCAGACTCGTTTTGTGTTTTCTTATGCACCATGGAGCAGCCGTCGTGGCTATCAGTACAACGACACGTTACAACAACATCTTACATGAAGTATGGATATCGACGACTGGATTTTTCTTTTCAAGTATTCATCATATTGTCAATGGTGCTAGAAATCTTGTCAGCAGCACGAGATGATCTAACTACTTAGTACTAAAAGGGCCTCAACGCCGTGTGCCCGCAGGGCTCTGGCTAACTGCCCTTGACGTCTCATCTATCACAAAATGGCTATTGCTCGTCGTCATCGCAGCAGATGCACAGGGGTACTAAGACTGCGGTCAACCATCCGCATACGCAGAGCACTGTCACGCTGAGCCCAAGAAAGAAGTAGTGCTGCATGTGCATGATCGATCGCGCGCAGATAACCTTGATTAGAGGAGGGTAGGGACTCCGATCACGCAATAGGGGTAGCTTCCTTCTCAGAGTAGAAGAGAGAACAGTACAACTAATGGTACGTGATGTATTGTAGGCAGGGAACCAACATGGTAGGGTGTACTAGGGAAAGACATTGACTGAATGACGCAACCACTTACTCTGCTTGAGAATTACGAGTATATATTTATAAGTATGTTTCTATCCCATCATAAGTAGAAAGTGCTGAGTGGTAGAACGGAGAGGGCAAAGAGTAACGTTCGGGCGAAAAACGTAAAGATCTGCTCATCCTCGGACAACGTCAAGCCATCATACAGCTGTAGAACGGTCTTGTTCTCACTCGGGTTCACCAGAAACTGCGTTGATATTAGAACAAACATAAATCCATCTGCAAGACAGAGCATCTTGGTGTCCGTTTCCCCTTGAGAAACGGAATAATCAATATGCTTGGGAAGATGCATTTCTTGTAGTCTTAATGATAACGCACTGACGACGAGTGAAACGAGGAGCAACGCGTTCTGCCAGCTAAGAGGAAATTCGTTTTCTAATTCGCAATGTTCCGGTTCGAAGAGGCACAATTGACAACGCATCCCGTTCTCCGCATACCAAGCGTGGAAATAGAGTCCTTTTCGTTAGAAGGAGAGCAAAACGAACACGAGGGAGGTAGGAGGGGAATTCTACCGATAAGTACGTATTTTTGACAAAGAGCCATAAAGAGCATACTGCTGTGGGAAATTCTGGAGAAGAAACTTCCCCACTGCAGATGAAGCTTCAGCTAAACAAGCGGTAGACTATGATACAGCTAGTATATCTTGATTATCTCCCCAGCCCAATACACACATCCACCGACACTCATGACCGTTCTTCTATAATCTTACCCTCTTACTTATACTTTTGCCCCAAACAGTTACAGTACTACGTTGGAAACAGTCAGTTCATAAAAAAAGAACTGCTGAGGGAAATCCTGGAGACAAAACTTTCCCACTGCTAGACGTGTGAAGAGTCGGCTGCCATCAGCAAAGCGTAGAAACCTCCACATGATCAGTAGCAGCATGATCGTCTGCGACACCAGAAAAAACTGCACCAGGTAGTAAAAGCCATCCAAGTAATGGAATAGATTTTCTGCGCGGTGATTAGAGATGTAGCCTACATTTCTTTGACAATGAAATAGATTTTCTGCGCAGTGATTAGAGTAGATGTAACACACGTCGTCGTCCTTTGTTTCATTCTCGAATACAAAGAAGGCTATATGCGACTGTTGGTCATCATGAAGATCCTGGAGGAAGAATAGGAACATAGTATGCGATCCATCGAAAATAGCAGATGGACGAACATGGTTGCAGAATACAAAGAGGGCTACGCGTAACAGCAGACTACGCCAAAAACACAACATAGTTTACGCGTAACAGCAGCCAGGTTCTCTTCTTCTAGTGCTGCATCTACAACTACTACATGTTCGTGTTGCAACACATCACCTTCCCCATCCATGTTTACATGTACAAGTAGTACGTGTGCTACAGCTCTTTATTGCTCACTCCAGCGGTCCTCTTCCTAGTTCTTCTGACTTCTCTAGGAGGAAGAAGAAGAAGAAGAAGAAGAAGAGGAAGAGAGGTGTGTAGTCATAGCCATCTATTATACGTAGAAAGAGAGGATCCATCATAAGTCGATTCGAAAAATTCTCCCACGTACTCGGAAAATCGCACTTCTGCTGTCGATGAACCGTTCCAAGATGGGCGATTTGACTGTCCACAACGTAAACACGGAAGAGATTATTCGACGATGAGTCACGTCTGCTTTCTTGTTCGCTGCTAGCCCTCATATTAGAAGCCTGAGTGAATGTCAAAGAACGAGGTATATTAGAATCTTGTTCCCAGTTCTTCTTGCTACCTATTTGAATATCAACCTTCCTTGTTTCTTGGCGAGGACAGCTTTATCATTAGAATCCGAGGAAGTAGAAGCTCATGCCTTATCATTAGACTGGGCTTCATCGGGAACCGGAACCAATTCCAGTCGACCTTGGAACTGTACACGGCCTCCTGCCCAAGGACCTGCGTTGGCTACAAAAACACCAGTTTCTAGACCTTTAGACACCCGTTCAATATTCAGCTTTGGCGTTCGCATCCAGTAGATAGGCGCACCGGAGGGATGAGTCTGAGTTGGTACATATTTGCTTGGGACAGATGCAGTAGATATGACACATGCAGTAGATATCATCGATGCTCCTCGTTGCTGGCGTATTTTCAAGCCGGATTCGTATCTTACCACGACTTCCAGTTTCTTTGTAGGTGGAAATATAGTTGTCTAGGTCTAAAAATATTACCACGACTTCCCATTTGTTGTTGTAGTAACTCAGTCTACGTCTAAAAATGTTAAGTACCACGACTTCCCATTTTTAGTAACTCGACGCAACATGCAGACGTATAGGTGTAGGTAACATACCACTTCCAACATGTAGACCACGTCTAGGTAAAACCAAAAAAATGTTACCACTTCCAACTTGTATCTTGCATCCGCGTTAGGGCTTTGCGGCTCGACGCCAACAAGAAAAGTCGGTTTGCGATCGTCTGCGGAGACCGAAAACGAAAAAACCTTATCCGGCATGATCACCAAACTATCTCCTGGCTGCAATGGTTAGAAGAGAAGCAGGTAATACTTTACCTGGTATAGTAGGTACTCGTTCTCCTATCGTAAGTACGCCTGCATGAGTTACCTCCTTTCGCTCATCTGCGTATTTTCTTAGTCTACAGTATGAGTTACCTTTCGTTCATCTCCATATTTTTTCGTTTTCGGTAATTGTGAGTAGACCTGGAATCTTGCAGACGACTCTGAGAATGACAAACTGTACAGTTATAAAGGAATCTTGCACACTCTGAGATAGGATAGGAGTGGGCTCACCTAGGAGGCGGTGAGCGTTCCAGGCCATTGAAGAGCCAGAAAAGATGAAGTATGACCACATGGATGAGGTCTGTATTAACGAGACAGTTAAGAGGACGTAACATCCATTGCCGCCTGTCGTAGTCGTTTTTCCACTCAGAGATATTATCTGGTCGTATACTATGCCCCAACTAGGACCCAGGCAAACGCCGTTCACGACATGCTCTGGACCGCAGCTATTAGCGGGAATACCTTCGCAGAAGCGATTGAGATGCCTAAGTCACTAAATCTATGCTCTACTCGCATGAGATTGCTAGTGATCATGCCTCAGTCGCTCTCTATGCTACGTTCGCATGATAATGCTGGTACTATACCAAATCAAAAAACGGATGAAAAGCTAAAAAACAAAAAATTGGCCACCAAACTACGCATAAAATTAGCCGCCACCGTCCGCTGATAGCGTTCTGCATGCGAGCCAACTTCGGATACGAAGTGCGACTGTGCAAGCAACGCTAATAGCTGGAAAAAACACCAAGCGAACGCCACTGGAGCTAGGATTTTGTGATACCTGAATCCCTCGCAGATGCCCGCTTTATTGCACCACTTCAATGGGTCAAAAGCATCACTGTTCTCAATAAATCTGCTCATCTCATGCGCGCCGCGATCTAAACTCGAGTACAAGGAAGAATCTTCCACAATAATTAGAACGGTTTTGGTGTTTCTGTTTCCCGTTTGTTCTTATGCTTTTCTCGTTCCTCAGCAGACAGTGGCAAAACAAACGGCAACAGGAACCTCGAACTTATAAGTCTTATCCTTAAAATAAAGCTGTACTGATTTCCTTGTCTATGATGCTTACTTCCGAAGAACGATCCACCTCCTCCAGCTGAGTTGTAGCAAGCGCGATGAGTCTTCAGACTAGATGCTAATGGTCTTGGCGGTTTGGAACTTTCAGCTGAAAAATCCGTTAAGTGGACTGCTTGACTCCCCATCATCGGAGGTAGAGAGGACGATGAGGAGCGCATCTTCGTGCTAATTCAAAAGAAATTTATTCTTAGACGCTTTGTATTCTTTGAATCACTCCTTTGTGTACCAAATCAAATCTTCAATTTGAGTGCTCCTTTGATTTTAGGTTTAGCAAGTGGCTGGCTCCGCGTCGCTCCTTAGTCTGTCAAAACAACATGTTTTCGGATGAAAACTACCATTCCAAGGGTCTTTCTCTCCACATCTCTATTTTGACACAGCTCTCGTCAGACCCAGGTCCAGTATCATATTGTTCTAGCTCACTCACACTCAGTATTTTCTTCCACCTTCACACATAGGCCAAAGTGCCACCTACTAGCTGGCTCAGATAGAGTAGCATGATACTATCTAGTATGAAGCGAAAATCTGTTATCACTATCAAGGTTCTGAAGTAGAAAAGTATGATAATGATAACAGATTTTGGCTTTATATCTAGGTTGCATAGGATAGTACCACTCATCTCTCATCTCTGCGTGCCATTGGAAAGCGAGCTGCTGCAACGGCTATCTTCAATCATCAGGCAGGATCATGCGGTATGCACCATCTGAAAACTTTAGGAGAGAAATATCGATCCATCATTCGAAAAAATCGATCGAAAAAAGCCACAGTCATCACTGAAGTCTCAGAACTTGGACTTCGTGTACTACTGGGTTCATCTGTCCGTTGATGTCGTCACAACTTCATCTACTACTACTAGTAGCTTCACTGTAATCGTAATAAGTAGCTTCACTGTAATGCGTCGCAGCTAAATTTCGAAGTGTAAGCATCTTCATCATGAGCAGAGTAAGTAAGAGTACAAATAAATCGTAGAGCGAAAGCAGTATAAGTACACCGGAAAGAGCTTTGCATGCTGAAGGAGCATCGATCTTCTCTACACACACTCGCATCATGACTGTCAATTTCAATGAAATACTTCTAGTTCTAGCTGCAAAGTAATATGTGCTCTTCTATACACCTCCGCTGATCTCCCCTCTTCTCCATGCGACCAGACACGACACTGGTATTCGTCTCCAGTCTTTAGCCCTATCATACTTGCAGCCTCACGCATCAAACTCGTCGTCTTGCATAGTCCCTTCTAAAAAGGCCTGTAGGCGGTCCCTTGGTCTTAGAGTTGGATGCCTGAAAGGTTGGGCTATGTCAAGGGCAGAAGGTTAGGAGTGGTAAAATAAGACCCAGCTAATAACACCCTCAAAGGTACTTATGGTTGTAGATCTGAAGCCTTAAAATGAGATCACAGCCTTCGGGCACGCTCTGCAAGGGCGTTCGCCTTGTGTTATCCTCGACGTCGATCGCAATCCCCTGCTGTTGGAGGAGTAGTTCAACCACTGAAAGTGCTTCACTTAGAGGTTCCAACATTATTGCTTCCAAACAATTTCCCTGACTATTTTCTTAGTGGGAGAGGAGTCACGGATGTTAGTGCAGGATGCAATGTGGAAACCCTTAATTGACTGCGACAAGCGTAGTGCAGGGGTGTGGTTCCACCTCCACTTGTTGCGTTCACATCCGCTTTTTGGGCTCCTGTTAGAAGGTCACGCAAGGATCAAGGGTCCGAGCTGTACAATTATGGAAAGGTCTTCCTAAATGCAAGGCACTACCTCCACAGAGAGGCAAGAAGCATGTAGACCTTAGAAATTCAAGAAATATTGTGGGACTACAGAGATGAAAGAAGTCTTTTGAGGATAATAAGTGAGAAAAAAGCTCTGAAGCGGTGCTCAACGTACAAATTAGCTAAACTACTGCCAGGAGGAGACGCAAATTAAAGGTAAACTACTACCAGGAAGAGCAAGAGATGCAAATTAGCTAAACTACTGCCAGGAGGAGATGCAAGTTAGATAAACTACTACCAACAAGATCAAGCCCTTGTATAAAGAAACTCAAACTCACTCACAATAATCCAAGACCAACTCCAACCCCTCGTATAAAAAAACCAAAACCCAGTCATAATATCAATTCCTCGCAGACTAAGCGTTGGCCCCGTTCACACGCTAGGTGTAACGCTGTCCTCTGAAGCGCGTTTCTGGCGTCCACTGTACACCCAGTCTCCTGCAGTACCACTTTCAGAGATTAGACATACGATGCTGGGTTTCTTGTAGTTCCTCGCAGACAACTTTTGCTCTTTTTATTATAAGGGTCCATAAGTAGGGTCTCCTACCTCCCTCTCGTACAGCTAGATTCGTGGATTGGCGATAAGGCTCTTTCTAGTCATGCGATAAATAGCGATTTCTAAAAATCCTTGTCAAGTCAACATGGTGCCTCTTGCATAGCGTTTCGCATCTATGTATGCGGCCGGAATGGTGGATGCACAACAACTACATCTAAAACATACACGACCAGTCATTTTTTCATCTACATCAGTAAGTTCAGCCTAAGAGCCTCAAAGCACAACATCACCCACACCACTTGAGCCTTGATGATGCGACTCTATTCGGCAGATTGCCTTAAAACAGATCGATGCAATTGAGCCATTCAATAGACTTCCAATTGACCGTTTATACACCATCACCACCACCCGTTCAGCCTCAAAATAAGCTTTGAAGCAGTGAGAGCTACATTGCAATAGATCCCTGAATAGATCCTTAGAATAGATCCTTAAAATAGATCCTTAAAATAGATCCTTAAAATAGATCCTTAAAATAGATCCTTAAAATAGATCGATGCAGCCCAAATATGCAAAGCGATGCAGAGACGTGTTTCCTGTTTCCGCATCGTGGAAGAATAGCGACACTTCTCCGGGATATTGGGCTAGTAAACGTCGTATCTTCCCCAAATTGGGTTCCTCGCGCCATACTTCTATCGCCACAGCACGTTGGAGTTCCGGAGGAACCGTTTTCTTAGGGAATTAGAAAAGAAAGGACGCGGACAAGTACTGGGGAATGTAATTATAATGGTTGCGTCGAGAGAAGAAGAGTTGTAAGTGAGAGGGAAAAATACCATGGAGGAAGGGGAAAAATACATAGAAGGGGAAAATACATAGAAGGGGAAAATACATAGAAGGCGAAAAATACATAGAAGGGGAAAAATACATAGAAGGGGGAAATACATAGAAGGGGAAAATACATAGAAGGGGAAAAATACATAGAAGGGGAAAATACATAGAAGGGGAAAAATACCATGGAAGGGGAAAAATACATAGAAGGGGAAGTGAGAGAAAGGAAATAAAACCATGGAAGGAGAAAATCGATATCATAGAATGAACTAGTTCAAGTATATTTTGAGTGAAAAAAACCATGGAAGGGGAAAATCTATATCATAGAATTGAATGAAGTTCAAGTTTTTCAGTGAAAAAATACTAGTGCGGTGCGTGCTGGGAGCATAGAGGCTACAATTATGGAGAAGAATGCCTCAAGTTGTCCTATCTTTAGGGGGATCTACATTACTACATCTACATTTTATTATCATCTACGAAGTGATGCGACTTGTACACGCTCTAAATTACTATCATCTACGACCCGCTCATAATTTGTTGCCCCAACTCCAGGTAAATCCTTGTTTTCACGTTCACCCGCAGGCCTCGAACCTCCACCGGGACTCTGATTAAAGGTCAGCAGTCAGTGGTCACTGATGCTGAAGGGGCAAGACGTCCTGCACTGCACCCACCTCTTCCCCTGCTTTCCCTTTTTCCCTCAGGAGGTCTCCTCTTCGGTGTCAGTGACCCTAAAAATTTATAAGTGATCACCAATGAAGTTCGAGCCTTAATCTCAGGAACAATATCCCTTGATGGACTTTTGGGACTGGTTCCTAGCAAGTCGGGTGGCGGTGGCGCACCTAGCTGCTGGACCATAGTAGGTGAGGTCATCGTGACGTGTGGATGGAGGACCGTGTGGATGGAGGACGAGTTCTTCCACGACGATGTAGAAGGAGTAGTCGTCGTTAGTAGTCTACTCCACACCGAGCTGTTCCACGAAAATGTAGTAGTTGTAGGAATAGTAGTAGTGGTAGTCTACTCCACGAGCCATCTTCATCCTTTAAACGTAAATGATCGCCCATCTACTCAGAATAAAGTAAATGATGAGGAGTTATCCTTTTCCTTTGTTTATGAGTATAAAGTAGATAATCAGGTAGACCTTAGACAAAAAAAGAATTTGGCTTCTCTAGAACAACAGTGGATCAAGCTTCTTTTTATAAAGAGTGCTTTGTGTAGCCTTTTGCTTGTTTTTTCCGAAATTATAGTACGGTCTCTCGCTTCTTACTTTTAGCGAGTTTCATCAATCTCTCATTTCTCTCCACCAATGCAACAGGATCCGCCCTCTCCTATACTGGCTGAGAAACGGAAGCATCAGCGTCATCGTCACGCGTCTCTGGTCGTGTCTTCTACCACTGGCGATACAAGATCATAATTCCGATATCATAATTCCTATATCTGGCGATGAGCTCATCATGGATCCTGCATGGAGAATAAGAACATAATCATGATGCTCATGAAAAAAGAACTCAACACTTTATTGGACTTCATTCATTCATGTAGTACCTAGCATGAGGTTATATCTTTTGCTACCTGGGTCTACAATTCCCGCTTTACACTGAAGTAGTGTGCAAAGGGGAAAGTTGCAGGGGGGGGACTACAATAATACAAGTTAAATAAACTACTAACCCCTAGTTCTTGAAGTCATACGGAGGACTCATATAGGATAGGATAGAAAGGACAAAAAAAAAAATATGAGTCATAGAGAATTCATGAAGAAGATGAATCAGTATTATCTTTCTTCAAAAGAAGATGCTGAATCACTTGTATCTTTCAAAGAGTAATTGTCTCCGTCTTCCACCTTCTTCACCATTATCCGTATTATCCGAGTCCCCAGAATGTTCACCGTCACTGCTATCATCTTTTCCACCCTCCCCGAACGCGTCTCGTGCTTTCAGCAGTCGTTCTAGCTTCCTCGTGGTCATACTAGGATCGCACAGGATCCCTCTCGAAATCCTACATATGACTTAGCGGTAACGTTTTGGCGTTTCTGTTTCCCGTTTGTTCTGCCTTTCTCCCTTAGGAGGAGCAACACAAACGGTAAGAACAGGAACACCTACTTTAACCAAGAAACCTTAAATGACTTCTCCGTGACGCAACACGAAAAGAAGAGGCAAGCCACCATCTGGAATGTCGGAGATTAGCGCAAGAGAAGTTTAGTTCATCAACTTGTTTTTGTAGAGTAAACACTTTCGAAAACGGAGCACTAGCACTGATCATACATTATACATTATACTAAAACTAACAGTACACACTCACTCTCACAAGCCTTCACACAACAAGAAAAACTCACGGAGTTCACGGAATCAGTGATGGTACTATTTTGAACTATGAACTGTACTATTTTGAACTATTTTAACTAACTTTGAGCACAAGCATTAACTACAAGAATACGTCCCTTTATGTGCCCTGTTGGGCCCCGGTGACTATTCTAATTCATTTCTCAGCCTCATTCTTTCAATATTATAGGAAGAAAACAGTATAAAGATTGACACGTATACACGATGATAATTTTACCTATTCTACTAGAGGAGGTGGCTGATGTTGTATTAGGATTAGCCTCAAAAGCGCTACACTACACACATACCTACTTAATTGTACACATACTTGAGCCGTAACAGCATTTGTAGAAGAAAGTAGGCTTTTGTTTCAGCCAGCTGGAAGATGCCTGTTTCTAGATGCTTTGGGGCCAACTCCCGCAGATAAGAGGAAACAGCGCTATACTTAGAGGACGAGAGCTACAACCATGTCGCATCCTCCTCTTTGAGAATCATAATATCCTTGGATAGTTCTTATTTCTCCCCTTGAGAAAGAAGCCAAGGATGACGCGGAGGATGCGTCAGCGGTGGCCCTAACTGGTCTCCCCGTGTCGTGGATGAGAACCACAGAACGCTCATGGGGCTTTACCTGAGATAGTAAACGGTACACGTTCACGCTGAAGGATCACATTCACAAGAACACTAAACGAGCCTAGTGGTCCTACCATGTATAATGAAATCAAATGTGTGACAACCTTACTAACCCTGTTCTCGAATTTTGAAAATTCGTCTCCAGAATTAGAGTTGGTCTACCTCCGTGAAAAAATCCCTTTCGCTTGCGATGTCTCGTAGACTGCCATGTCCAAGCTTCTTCCAGTGTTGGGCCATCTGTGCCTCTCGTCGCATTTGTGCCTTTCTTTTTTCCCATGAGTTAGAAGATGCTTCTCTCTTGAGTCGACAGAAGAGCAGCCGGAACCTATACAGTACCCGGATAGGCGTAACCTATAGAGCATCTTCATCAGACACCTTCTTCGCTACCGGAAAAAGCTTGTAGCAAGTTGGAGATGTTGTAGCTAGTAGTGTAAGTGAGTAGTTAATTATGCTGAGCGTAGTCCTACAGGACGTATCCTATAGCTACAGTATCTTCGTCAGGCCTACTTCTAGATCTAGTCTGTTCTAAGTATTTCCCAGAAGACTCTAACCACAGAAAGAAAACGAAGTCTTCTAGAGGAGTGAAAAAATCTACCGACAATGCGGGGGCTCATACATGACCCCATTGCAATTATCTCGAGATGTATGAGTCTATCTAGTAGATATATAGTTTCCAAAAAATCATAATCAATAGTGTCAGTTCGTCTACGTCAGCGGCGTCTGCTGCGTTACTAGCATACGCACTATTCAAAGAGTTTGTTGCGGCCGTGCCTCCAGTCATCTTGACCCGAGTTAGAACAAGGCAGTGCAAAACACGAAGATCTTTCATCTTCTCGAAAAAATCTATCCCGATTAGTAGAAATTGCTCCATGCGACCCTCCTTTTTGTCCCTTCAAAATGAAACGGGGCACCAAAGATATTACTTATCTGGGAAGAAGCAAGATGGGTTTCCATTTCCTGAAGGAGCCTTAAGCGAGAGTTCTGCAGTAAAAGGTCGTCTGCATCCAGGTTTGCTTTTTCTCGCAGTGCTTCCTCCTCTTTCACGGCACGTTGTCGAGCTGCGAGTCGCGAAAAATCACTCTCCTTCGAAAACGAACCAGCATTAGAAGAGCCGTGCACTGGGTAATGGTGATGAATCTAGGTCACATTCCTTCCTGAACACCTTTACCTTAGGAGGTGGTCGGGGCTTCATCTACTTCTTGAAAAAGACTATATTCATAGTGGTGGAGCCAACCTAACTAGGAAAAAACCAAAAAAAACAGAAAGTGAAGGTACAAAATCATACAAGGGTAAAAATTTCTTCTAGTGGCCATATAGTTTGAAAAAGACTATATGCATATATCTACATAGAGGATAGATTCATCTTGAAAAAGGAAGAAATTGCCAAGCCTTAACATCGCGTCCAGTGAGACACATGAACTGCTCGCCGCCCCTCCCCGCCGCCTCGGCCAGTTGCTCCTTCTGCGAGGCATCGAATTTGTGCGCTTCACATTAGACAGGGATCAAGTAGAACACGACTCAGATCAGGGTCCCACGTGTACTCTAACTTATAATATAATATAGTATTAAAGTTGTAACCCAGTTGTACTCTAACTTACCAACAAGATGATAGTAGTCGTATTCTATTGATATTCTGTGCATCCCAAATAGGCATATAGCACCTACCGGCAGGATGAATCGATGTGACAAGCTCCACAAAAAAGTAGAACCTGTAAACCAACGAGAGCCTGTAGTCGTAGTTTCCTAAGTAATAACTTACCAACAAGATAGTAGTCGTAGTTTACCAAGTACTAAACTACCAACAAGATGAACTCTGTGTCATGGCCCTTCGTGACCGCGGTCGAGACAAAATGGCAGCAGAGATGAAATCTGTGAAATAGAAGAACAAAGGGCAGCTGTTTGGTGATGTAAATCTATTCGGCAGGCTGCCTAAGATGTCCCTGGGAAACTAATATCCAAACCATCTCCACCATAATTGGATACTAGGTCTTCGAATTTTCCAGATCGAAGATGGTCTGCGATCTCTTCTTGTTTATCGGTAATCTCCAACGCCTCATCTGTGGGACCGCATGTGCCATCGCGTAGCAATGAAGTGAGATCGGCCATTTTTTGAAGGTATGAGTAGAGTCAAGTTTTTTATTGAAGATTATTGTACAACTTTTTAGTGAATAGTTACTACACTAGTACCTCCTACAACAGGTTGATTGGGATTACGCAGCTTTTACAGGTTCATCATTTTGGAAGATTTTATATTATTTTACCCAGTGTTGTAACAGGTAGTTGTACTAGTGTGTAGTTCAAAAAGTGCTCTATCTGTACATGATCGCACTGAGTGGACAGAGAAGAAGCACATCTATAGTATAAGTACCGACGACGACCTGGACAAAAAAGACGACATTTGATCTTACTCATTCATCCATGCATTCATCATGGCCACCACTACTGCACCTTACGGCACTGCCCGAGAGAATTACTGTCCAAGAGAATATCTAGACGGTGGGTGGTCACAGGCTTAGCAATTCCGGGTGTCCCGCTTTTTTTTTTGCATTCCAAGACGCCGCAGTCACGCGCATAGTGCGCGAAATTGAGGAGAATTACATTAGACAGTTCTGTAGCACGCCAAGTCTTCACAAAAAAACTCTCATCAGAATCGTCCCCAATTTTTCAATCATTCTCAAGCTAACAAGCATCACATCTGCAGCAGTCTGCTGTGCAAACCAATCAATCGATCGCTTCCCGAAGCCAAATATCCAGACACGTGGTATTAGGTGTGCACAATTGCTAGTATATTCTTTAGATGACATGATGCACAGTTACTGTGGTTCCTTAATGACCACACTGCCATTACGGACGAGCCACAGCTAGTAGTACTAGGCCTCTATAATTCCAGTTGACAACGAAGACGAGGTCGAGAGATCTACATATATTCTTTAGATGTTAAACAAAAGCCATCATTATCCTCCTGGTCATGCACTTCATGTGAACTCTCTAGAAGTGCAAAACATGACATGGAGCATGACGTTTCTCTAGATTTTTAACAAGCAGCGGACTTTTACGACTACTCTAGCCAGAACAACTACGTTATTAGAACTTCACATAGCTTAGTGGAACCTCAAATAGCATAGTGGAACCTCAAATAGCTTAGTGGAACCTCAAATAGTCTAGTGGAGCTTCGTCCGAAGACCATGTCCTGCCTAGATGTAAACTTTCTCATCCAAGAGCGACAAGTGTTGTACGGCTCAATACACTAGATTATTTTTGTCTAATCTCTTCACTAGATACGTTGTGGCCTCACTTCACCTTAGTTTAGCTATAGAGTAGGCTCTAGTTGGAACGAAGATCAGATGAGTCTAATCCCTCTAGACCTCAGCCGATTCCGTTTCCTCTTCGTCCGATGTTTCTTCCCAGGCAGCAATGTTCAGCATTTGTTAGAATCAAAGGTGGGAACTCCACTCAGCATGGTTCACATGACATAGCATTGGTTGGTGGAGCAGACCTAACTAGAAAAATCAGTCAGGGCCCGGCTCCCTCTGGTATTTGGCTCAGGGTCATGACCGTCACTAAAAGTTCACATGGGATAGTAATAAAAACTGTAGCCCTAAATTTGTATTTGCCTTGGTGCTGCTGCTTCAGCCACTTTGTGGAGTGACGCCTCGCAGCATAAAGTAGCGCCCATAGTGCACAAAAGAGCACAAGCCAACCGCTCGCACCCCACTGCCGAGAGAACATAACGGGCAGAATTCGCTAATGGACTCCTATTTTTAAAGGTTGAAACATTTTCATTTCACTTTTAAGTAGCAATCATCTCAAGTAAAAAAGGCTTGTAAAAATGAAATGCTTCAACCCTTAATACTAGAAGCACCTCCTCCTCCTCCTCCTCCCACAAGAGCTCCTGCGGCTGTACGAAGTCGTTGATCATTGAAGCAGCAACAAGCTGACACCGTTTCCTCCGACAGAGGACGGATTGAACTGGAGAACGATGGGGCACTCGAAGAAAGCAACATCCTGGACGCAGGCATCGACGCGGAGTCGGCACGTGGAGGACAACAGCCTGCATGGCCGGAACCACAGAGCGGGTTGTCCAAGTAACCCGTGTCTAGGAGGTATGACAGGAAAAAGTGTTCAAGAAAGGAGGCTCTGTCCTACCAAGAACCTGCCTAAGTATGAGTATACTTCTTCTTGAGTATGAGTATACGTCTTCTTGATTTCCTAATTAGAACCTGCCTAATTTCTCGAGTATGAGAATACTTTTCCTTGAGTATGAGTATACTTTTTCCTTTCATAGCATTTGCCTAGGTATAGAAGAATTATCGCCAGCCCAGATGTCAGGTCCCGGACACGTGGTTCCTAGTAGACAGCAAGAAACGGAAGATGCCACTGCACTGTTGAGGCAACAGCACCACAAACGCGCAAAACGATCTGCACTGCAGCAGATAAAATTGGAGGCACCAAGAGCCCATCTTTTTGAGCATCTTTTAGCTTTTTTCAAGTAGCAAACTGGTGCTAACAGATGCTGTAAAAGATGGATTGGCGGTGCCCGTAATAAAAGGGTTGTCAACATGATCCCCCGCGACCGAATCATTTAGTCGCAGCTCCTGTGGCCCATAGTTCAGTGATCCTGCCTGTTGTTCAAAGGGCCTCGTCAAGTCGCGAAAATCCGTGTGAGGCTCTTCCCGTGCAACATAAGGCACATGATCTCTGCGCAAAGCCGAGTACATTGGAGTTCCGCGAAGATGAACTCCATCCATGTGCTCTTCTTCTTGCCTGGGAATTCCATTCGTAGTCGCTGGGCGACTGGAAGACGAGGGTGTACCGAACGAAGTTAGAAGATGGTTAGGCTAGGGTATGGATCCTTCACAACGAGCCCCACAAGCACCCGTTGCTCGCCTCCGAGGATGATGGGTGACTACGAAAGTCACCGACGATACCCGAGGCGGTGACTACTAAGATATTGATATAGATTGTTATACAGGGTTACATTCTGTGATTATGTGAGAATGGAAGATGAAGACGTAGAACCAAAGACGTAGTACGAGAGACGTAGCACCAGAACTAGAACTAGAACTAGATGGCAGTGGCATCCTTAAAAGTAAGCTCTTCAGAAAGCCTGCAAACGCTTTCTTTTCCCAGGGGCCGCAGAGCTGCAGATTCTGTCCCAATCTGCCACAACAACAGAGGCAGTTCATCCACAGGTGCCAGCGGGGGCGACGGCGATGCGCTCTACTAAAGTCGCGGAATTCCTCACAGAAAAGTAAACTTAAAGGTTGCCGGGCTGCATTCTTGAGAACATCCTTGGCCTGTTCTATTTTCCCCTTGAAAAGGGGCCAAGGATGGTGGTGAGGGATGTAATTCGGAAACACGTAAAAGACGCTCCATAGCCCAGGAAAGCGATGGGATTCGCCAGTGAGAGCAGTCAACTGTGAGGCAGCTGGCATTGTGTTAGAGAAGGATAAAATATGATCTCGATTTCCATAGTTTTAGAGAGCTGGCTTCATAATTGTTAATCTCTACTAGACGTAGAGGGGTTACCTTTGAACTCTAAGGATTGCCATTGGGTAGTCCATGGTGGAGGACAACGAAGAAACAGTCACGTGCTGATGTTGTAAAACCGTGAACGGGAAGAGCTTTGTATATAACCTTGTCAAACAACCTTAGAAATCATGATCATTTAGGTTAGGTTAGGTTATGGATCCTTCACATTTAGGCTAGGTTAGGTTATGGACCCCGCACATCGAACACCTGCTCGACTCCGAGGATGATGCGTAAAAACTTGATGAAAACACTTAATAAAAAACTCAATAAAAAAACTTAAAAACTTAACAATCTTTATCTTCTCACTTCTGCCGCTCTTAGCAGTAGCAGAGGTCGCGCATGGTGCGTCGATAGTTGCAACGTAGCCACAGCCCAGACCGAAGAGAGTCTTCGGGGACACACCCGCGTTCGCACCATGCTCCGAAGAATTCACATAGTTTGTGAGTCCACTCAAGGCAATTGGGATTGCCACCATTTCTGTTCCTACGCGAACCACAGCACCATAATTAGATAGAACTAAGATTCATCCTAGATCTAGATGCTTCCTAGAGGTGCTTCCTAGGCCGGAAACCACAGCGCAATCAGTTATGTGTTCGCTCCGTGTTAGCTAAAAAACAGCACCATTAGTACATCAAGCAAAATCATACATCTAAGCGTACCTTTTGAACTGAGCAGAGGTAACTGAGCAGAGGTGTCTTCGAATGAGTAATGGGTAGCAGCTTAATTTTTGACAAGTACAGAGACTCCAAGTACAGGTATAATAGACCCTGACCCATCTTCTAAGTCTACTATTTGGTCCTCCATCGAGCTTAAAAGCAAGCCTTAACATACCAACCCCGTATCCCAGCTGCACTTTGAGGCGTCTAATTGAACGCTGAAACAATTCATATTTGTCTTACATATTTGACACATTTCGCCAAGTCTTCTAAGTGTGTCCAATATAGCGTACAAGAAATATGAAATGTCTCAACTCTTAACCTAAGACTCGACGACAGGAACAAGGGCATTCGCCTCTTCGCAGTGCCTGTCGGAATGTCCGTCGTATATCCCGGACGCATTTCCGCAAGATCTTGGCACAGCGTTCCAACGAGCAACGTCGCGCACAACGACGTCGAGTCCGGCGTCTGTGTCGTCTCTTAGAACTCAAAAGAATTCTAAAAATTCTAAAAATTTACACAATCAACCTTCTCTACCACCGGAGCGGTTTCATTTTCTCAGAATCAATTGCAAGAAGCAAGTGACTTGTTGTGGAAACGAATAGCGATAAGTTTGTATTCTTGAGCCCTAAGTCTACAGGCTTTTTGGAACCTCATCCCCTTCTTCCGGACCACCGCAAGAGCCGTCTGACAACACGGTAGTCGTGCTTTGAGGAAAGACTTCGAATTCGATAAAAGCTCGCTGCAACAGTCTCCTTTACAACAGGACGACTTGGAAAACAAGCAACACGTCTGCAGCTCTGACGTTCTTTTACTACGAGTTGTACTAGCTGTAATGCCACTCCTGTCGCTGTCGTCCTCGTTCTCTGAGGTATTAGAGCGACCCCTATGCGCAGTATCTCTGTGAAGCATGTCCTCTGTGGTTTTTCCCTTGTATAGTACTTTTGAGGGGTCCTCATGCTCATGATATTGCTTTCACGTGCGGATTAGACCTGTAGAGAAGTGCACTGTGGAGAAGAACCTCATAGGGATGGATTAGAGGGAGCCTTAAAAGTAGCGGCAACGGCTAAAAGGCCTCGAGCTCTATTCATTCTCGCTCCTTCGTCGCCGTTCCCTGTACTTCGGTTCCGGGTGCGACGAGTTGGCGTGCCCAGGACTCCCCGTGAGGTCCTCACATGATCTCTACCTAATATCAAAGGTGCTCTCCGAAGAAAGCCACCGCTTGTACGAGAGGCGCTGTCGTATTCTTGCCAGTCGGGTGACGGGTTAGCAGACGCAGCCAAATGAGCACTCAAATGGACGGGAGTACTCGGAGTCTCCTGACCTTGTGTTGCCACGCCGTTCAGAGCTTGCCCACCTTGTGTTCCAGTGTTATTAGAAAAAGGCGGTAAGTATAGAGAATGAATACTGAGACCACGCATTTTTTGTTTTTGAGGTTATTTTTTTACGCTATACGAAGAGGACCTAACAAGAAAAATAAGACCTGCAAAGTTAATACACCAAATGATTGGTTGATGCAAAACCACTTCAAATGTGGCCCGCTTTTGGAAGATGTACATACGAAGACAGTTCATAACACCAGGCGATTTATGACAGAAATCACATGACTCTTGGAAACCTACTCAATTCCAGCGAAAAAACTTGAGTAGAGCTCTTCGTTCTTAGAAGCTTCCTCGTCTTCGTTACTGCTGCCCTCCTCACTGCTGCTCGAGGCGACAACTGAGGGACAAAGAGCCGCAATCTGCGTACAGCATTCTGCTTTTTCTAGTAGAGGTTGAATCTGCCCAGTAAAAACGCAACGACATGTCGGACACACTATGTCGAAAGGGCAAGCTTCTAAACGAGCCTCTGCAGTGCGGCTGCTGCGACGTCCTCTAGTGCTTCTACTTGACGGGCGTGCACTACGTTGATCTCTACTAGTACTTGCGAGAGGGCGTGTACGACGCTGATTAACATCTATTCCACCTAGAGGACCTGATGCCCTTGCTTGCACCTCCGGCTCCGCTGCTCTATCTAACTCCTCTCTAGATGTTGTAGTAGTATCGACTGCTGATGCTACGGCTCCTTCAGGAAAAGCTGTGCCGATTCTCGGAGATTGCCCACCTATCGGAAACGCCGAATCTAATGACATAACGAAGCGTGCTCTTGCTGCGTCATCCAGGCGAGGCCCTCCCCTATTTAGAGCGCACCTTAATCCATCTCAAGACGCATCCTGTGCGCATTTTCCAGACCTTGGAAACCCTCCTGCGGATAGAAGATGCATTAGAGAAAGCCTTAATCTAATATCTGTCGGAGGCTGACGCAGGCTGCTCCCTCGAGTGGTCTGGCCCATCTGTACTATAGCGCGAGCTGGTGACACAGCAGCAACACTTTTCTATTAGAAAGGGAATAAAAAGTGTTGAGGAATAAAGTTAGTAGCCGATTGCTCTAATCACTTATTTAGTGATTGTTGCCTCTCGTGGTTGTAGTGATTGTTGCCTCTAGTGGTTGTAGTGATTGTTGCCTCTAGTGGTTGTAGTGATTTTTGCTTAGTGATTGCGATGACCAAAGATGGCACCAACTAAGGCTAGGTTAGGTTATGGATACTGCACAATGAGCCTCACCTACTTCCTCCACTAACTTAGTTGTAGTTGAGACAGCGTCTTGACTTGTCATGCTATGGTACCTCTTTCGTAGCTATTCCTATTTATGTCTACATATGACACTCAAGCAACCCTTCCTAATCAACATATCGTTTGAAGCAGTCCGCATGCATAGGATGGCGCACGCAAGGCAGATGTCTGACCCCCCGCGCACGCAGCGTTCTTGTCAAGCCATCTTCCTTTTTCTTGTTATTCCTCTCTCTTCTAGAAGTAGAACGATTTATTTCGTGCTCTGCAGGGTTCGTGCTGCCTCTTTTTAGAGGAGGAGCTCACCATGCAAGGATGAAATTCACATAATTAATACATGATAAGTGAACAACGCCTACATTTTGGGACTTGTTCTCTCCGTTCCTTATACTGAACTTCCTCAGTCCGAGATGAACTCTCTCTATCAGTCTAAGATGTATCAATGTAAATATTTACACAGCACGAGCACCTTAGCTGAAATGCCATGTCATGATACCAGATACCTCATGGCCTGTTATAACTCGGATATTTGAGTTAGTTACTCGCTTATTTCAAGGTTTCGAGTACTTACGCAGCACGACCACCTTAGCCGAAATGCTTTTCATCAGTCTTAACAAGAACAGCTCTACATCTTCTGACGTTTCTGAGGATGTCGTCTCCAAAGTGCTGACACTATCTTCACTGGGGGACGACTCCTCTGCAGATCTCCGCTCCCTGTGCAATTTTCCGGACTTCTCGTCAGTCGTCAGAATCCCAGTCCGACGATGCAAATCATTAGAGCTCAAAACAATACATTTTTGTTCTTGGCTTCATTTTCTCAGAATTTCGGGAAGAAAACAGAAGAAAACGACTCGCTTGTAGAAATGAGTTGTATTCAGCCCTAAAATGAACCACGACTGGTCGCACTTTTGGCAGTTGGCCTCTGTTTCGCTCTTGCTGGTTGACGGTAACGTAGTTGGTACTCCCATCATAGATCGAAGGGGTAGTACTCCAATCCTCGATCGAAGCACGGTTGGTAGCAGTTCTACTTCCGTCAACGCTCCGATCAGTCGTAGAAGACGGTAGGTCACCAGCACGATCCTGATTGGTCGTTTCCCGGCTAGAGATACCTCCACGGGTCGGAGACGGAACTACCGGAGGTGGGTTCATACCACGCCCATGCTGATTACTGGCCAGTAGTCGAGAGCCAGCACTAGCGTCAGAGGTATTCTTAGAGGTCGTCTTAAGGATCTCCCAGCAGAGCTCCTACCAGGAAAATACGTCTACGCATATAGTTCCGCAACAGCACTGCTCAGCTCTATCTAGAATTATCAAGCACTTCTGTTCTCCCATCTAAAACTATCTTCAAGACGGACCAAAACAAATACCAAGTGCACTTTTTAGCTTAACGATTCGGTCACGCGTAGCAGTTGCACCAGCAAGAATAGTGGTGGTGTCATTGTTCGCGGCCCTTCGTGTGATAGGCGAATGTTGTCTCCCTTCATCTCTTAGATCGCTGTTTCCTGAATTGTGTGTCCGCTCATCTTCTTCTAGTTCTTAGACCCCTTCAGCATCATCATCTTTCAGCTGCAGAGTATTCCTTGAAGACAACAACGAACAACCAAAATCGAACTCCATAAATCTTCATCTAAAAAAAAAAGTATAGCTTTAGTTCTAGTTCAGGGATCTCGAGTTCTACTTCTAGCACGAGAATACTCATTCATACTCTACTTCAAGGATACGGCAAAAGATCCACTCGAATACTCATTCACACTCTACTTCAAGAATACCCATTCATACTCTTCTTCAAGGATACGGCAAGAGATCAATTTGGAGTATCTTAAGGTCCTTCATCATCACTCCGACGGCCGCTGGGGAAGAAATGACTGTCGTAGTAGGCCACTCTCTCCATGCAGATGGGGCATTTTGGACATTCTTCGCTGAAGGCCTCGGCAGAAGAACTGGAATCGCTCGTCTCGTCCTCTGCTGGGTGAAAGTCCTCTTCCCGTTGAAGGTCCTCTTCCCGCTGAAGGCCCTCTTCCCGTTGAAGGTCCTCTTCCAGCTGAAGGCCCTCTTCCCGCTGAAGGTCCTCTTCATCCCGCTGTAAGCATGAAGAGCCAGGGATAAGTGTTGCAGAAACGAGCGGCAACCCAGGAGACGAACCAGCAGAAACGAGAATCTTTGTAAGCAAAAAAACTGACATGATCATTCATAGAGAAGGAAGATCGCTCTTCATTCGAAGTCAAAATATATAATGTAAGTTTCACTCTTCACGACTCTTCACGATCTGTATCCCACAGTTACAAGAACGCAACCTACAGTTACAAGAACGCATCCTACAGTTACAAGAACGCATCCTACAGTTACAAGAACGCAACCTACAGTTACAAGAACGCATCCTACAGTTACAAGAACGCATCCTACAGTTACAATATTTCAGCCTATTTTTCCTATACAACTGCAATTCCTATACAGGTTATAAGAAGATCATAACTACTCACCAGAACCTCACAAATGATGACAAATTAATAGACCTCCACGCCTGCTCAGGAATGTCCCACTCCTGCAAGAACAACATTATCTACGCGTTTTGTTTATAGACACTGACTGTCTTTGAAGTGTGCGGACACCGTCGAGTTTGATGTGTGTGGGCGCATCAATAATTGTGCTGCTACACCCACTGCGGTGCTACACTGAGTGTCCTTGAAGCGTGTGTGGAGACACGTCAATGAATTCTATGTCCTTCGAGTGCTATGGCGATTTTTTGGAGACGCATCAATTCTTCATGTGCGGAAATGTCGACAATTTGTATGCGAATAGAAAAATTGTCTGTTTCTTTCGTCCCTACCCCAAAGTTTTCGAACATCCAATATATACCGGATATGCCGGATCATCATCGTGGTGTCCCATTTGGTACTACTAGCCTGATGGCTACTTCAGTGCCCCAGAGAGCCTAGCAAACAGAACAGGCAGAAGGCTCGCCTATTCACTATATGCCGGATAAGACTCGCCTATTCTCTTAGACTATCGAAGAAAGAGAGCAGAGCATCAACATCCTGTACTTTCGCATCCTGTGCCTTTACATCCTGTACTTTCGCATCCTGTGCCTTCACATCCTGTGCTTTCGCATTTTGTGCTTTCGGTCCATCCAATCGATCTCGCCCTCCAAGCTGGCGGCTCTCTTCTTGCTCTATCGTTTCATCAGATCGCGCGAGGCCGTCTTCGTTCCTCGCTTTCGCCCTCATCGGCTGAGCGTTAGAGCAACCCACCTGACAGACAGCAACACTTTTTCCTCCATGCATAAGTACTGTCGATTTCCTGTCCGCCCATTGGCAAGCCGACAGCGCAAGAAAAGGAGAGCCTCCTACATCAAATGGATTTAGTCTAAATCAACAGTTCGTCGGAGGACCTCCTATTCGTGGAAAGATGCTCCTGTAAATAATGGAAGATCGAAAGCAGCTCCTCCTAAATATTGGTGGATCAACTGAAGTCTGTAGGGAGATCATCGCATCCTCCTAAATGTAAGTCATAAAAAACTTGGAGGCAAAGGCGAAGATCATGAAGTGAGCGCTCAACTACAACTCTTTCTTGCTTCTATTAATCAGGTAGACCTTAGACAAAAAAAGAGTTTAAATTCTCTAGAACAACAGAAGATATTAAATGCAAAGCCATAACAGCTGCGCTTGGCTTCCTTGTTTCTTGACCAGGAAATGGGCTTCCTCCCTTTCTCGTTTCCTCACTACGATTGTTGGATACGGAGTGTCCTCCGCCAGCATTGTTGGATACGGAGTGTCCTCCGCCAGCATTGTTGGATAAGGACACGTGTCCTCCACTACGATCGCCAACTTGTCCTCTTCTATCACGGTCGTCAACTTGTTCTCCACGACATGTATCGATTTGTCCTCTATTCCTAAACATTTCAGCTAAAGACATACCGCTTTCGTGTCGCAATTCGTGTAGCTTCCGCAAACCCCGCTTTTGCAGTAGTTCGAGGTTGGCAGTTGGGGGTCATCAGCTGGCAGTTGTAGGGATAAGCCCTAACAGCTTCTCTTCAGGTTTCAACTTCTAAACTCGTTGGAACGACTATACCCTTGTACACCAAATTACAAATGCAGGAAGCACATAAAAAACTAATACATAAATATGAATCTGTCTCCGTAAGAACCTATGCCACTGCTTCTAACCTAGAGATAAGAACCAAGCTAATTCATACATCTGTCCTCTCCTTTCTTAAAGTAATTGCTGCCACGTCAAGCGGGGTCGCACATTTGCACAATGAGCATAGAATGTTAGCAGCAAAAATTCGAGGTCCGCTTCAGACCCACACACCACGTTCCAGACACAGATGCGACGACTCGGCGTGCTTGTGGTCAAGGGCATGAAAGGAGATGAGTAAAAACTACCAACCTAACAAGTGCAGAGATTAGATCTCGGGAAAAATTGAGAGTTTTTTCATTTTTTCATGCATCTGCATGCTCCTTCTGGTGCTGTAAGAATCCTACCCCTGAAGGAACTATCGTGGAAGCCACATCTTTGCATACTTAGATGAAGATTTGTGGAAATTTGTGAGACAGCTCGTAAACATCACATCTACAATATTTAGTGTGAAGTCTGCCATACGTTCACTTGACGAGAACTGCAGTTTAAGGCGCTTGCCGAGAGAACTTCTGCGAATCAGACTGCCAAGTCCGGAGGAAAGACGCGCTGACCGGGTTAACTTAGTGCGTACAGCTCACATTAAATGCTCATCTTGAAAAGTAAGAGTAGTAAGCAAAAGCATCTACTTGAAAAAGTTGACAATAAATAGTGATCTTGAAAGGTTTGGCGTGTTTTGCCTTAATTAGCGTTTTTGTCTTCTCGTGGAAGGCGACGACCGTAATCACCCACGTTTTTTGAGAATCGTATATTAGAAGAAATGGAAAAATATCATAAGAAATCTTGAGTGATGGAGTCACTTCTATACTCGACTTCCATTCCATGAAGTCTATCACTGGCTAGCATGCCAGCACCTAGACTATGCGATGCTCTGCGCCCGCATAAGTGCTCTCTTTTCAAAGAACAGTCGTCTAAGTGTCGTCAAATTATTTATTGTCATGTGTATCAAATAAATTGCACCTACAGCCGTAAACTGCCACTATTTTCGTCTTGTACAACGGCAACACTCTTCAGACCAAAATCGACGCTCAGGACGTCAGCGAGACGGAACAGCGGTTCATCATTGAGACACGCAACACCTATCCGGTTTCGCGTGGTATTAGATGAAGCTTTAGCAGTGAGAATTCCTATTTCAAATAGGACTTCTCACGACTACCACTTACTGGTGATTCCCTCATCAAACATAATCCATCTACTAATCACTCAGCCCCTTTCCTGAGAAGTGCCAACGGTTCTACTAGTCGTAGGAGCAGTAATAGTCCCGGTAGAGGAGCTCTAACTAGGAAAAAACTGAAAAAGTACCTACGACAAACGTAAAAAAATACTAACAAAACCAAAAATGGACATTATGTCGTAGGAGTAGTGATAGTTGTGGTGGAGCCAGCCTAACTTGCAGGACAAAACCATAGATGCGAATGAGATAGAGAAGTAATGGTAGTGCTATAATAGTAGCACTATCAAGGCATTAACCATAAAAAAAGTTCCATCGGCATTCGCCGTTCTGTCGGACACGAAGCTCAGCAATCCAGATCGGGTATGTGCATCTTTATTTAGTTCCTTCTTTCTAGATGCAGCACGACGTAGCAAAGCTCGCAGACCCATCTTGCGCACAGAATTAGAGTAGCTTATATCCTTGTGGCATCATATGATTGCCGCACAGCATTAGAACAGCTTATCAAGGAGGCAAGATGCAAGCCCTTTTGTTCTTGCTTATTTTAGACAACTTACAGAGTACATTACTAACCACATCCAGAGCAGCCATCTTCTTGCTTTTGGACAACTACAACAGCGTGGACACAGTCCTATGTTCTATTGTTCAACAAGTACATACGCAGGACATTATCAACTAACAACTCCAGCATGAACAACATACGCAGTAGATTGCTTTCAGACAACATATCCAGGCTCTGCGAGCCGCCATAACAACTCCTACTTCGCCCTGATGTGGTCCCTGTTTTTCAGGAAGTGGAAGTTCCGATGACTCGTTACCCACTAATTCCACGACTACCTCGAGTTGAGGATTCCCTGTCACAGCGCGCCGCGTCGCAGCAAGAACGTGCTTTCTTAGAAGATGAGGATAGGGGTTAGGTTAGGTTCGGTTAGGTTAGGTTAGGTTAGGTCAGGTTAGGTTAGGTCATGGATCCCTCGCATCGACCTACACCGACACAGAGCAAAATAATGTTGCAAATGTAACAAATATAACAGGGAGGACTTCCCTGCTACGACTTGCGGTTAGGTTAGGTTTGGTTAGGTTTGGTTAGATTTGGCTAGGTTTGGTTTTCTGACGACACTTAAGATGCGATGCTGATGCTGGCGACAATGCACATTGTCCGGATCGAAATTGGAGGCTAGACGGACTCGATGCTGACTACGAATTCGTTCCCTCGTAGTCCTTATTTGCTGCTCAACAGAGGATAGGTCTTTGGCAGCCGAGAAGTCGCAAGCAGTAGACCTGTGTGGACCCTACGTCTTACAACTACTTGCGCCACAAGTGTAAAACGCCCTTAGGTGTTAGACCACGATCAAAAAATATTAGGTCTCATATCTCACAAGTACTAATCTCGTTTCCTCTACCTAGTACAACAACTCGTCGTGTAGTTATGAAAAAAGATTATAGAAGACGAATCATACTATTCTTTCATACAAAAGCTTAGAAGACACCTTGACACTCGTCTACAAGAGCTTTAGACACCACACTCTACAAGATTAGACAATATTACGGTCCTCGTATTGTGTCTTTAGTCGCAAGCTTTTGCAATTGTGCCGTCAACACCTCGATCTCCTTGACCTCACATGATATCTCGTTGCGGAGCTTGCCCAACTGCGACCCAAGGGTATTTGCCGCTCCATCAACTGCACCAACCAGTCTGGTAGTCAAAAAAACAAAAGGGAGGATACAAACGACGAGAGTCGGAGGATACAAACGAGAGTCGGAGGATACAAACGAGGGTCGGAGGATACAAACGAGGGTCGGAGGATACAAACGAAGGTCAGAGGATACAAACGAAGGTCAGAAAATAGAATGCATAGTAGTAATTGTTTCATCCTTCCTATGATAGGAAAACCACACTGATCCGAACCATTCCAAACTCCTGATCTGAGATTCCAAACTCCTGATTCCTTCCCTGGGTTCTACTTTCTAATATTATGTTATCGCTTCACGTCCTGGCGGTCCTTACTCGGTCGACTACCTACCTAGTTTCTAAGTAAGAATGCCTAACTAGTTTCTAAGCAGTCCTTACTCGAGTGCCTATTACATAGAAGTTCTAGCTAACTCGCTTCTGAGCAACGTATGAGTCTGAAAAAATACCTTTGAATTTGAAGTACTCCATGTATTCCGCGCCCTCTCTTTTGTACGCCTCAAGCTGCGTGTGCACCAAATCCAGCATGCTTCGTACTGAATCCACAAGAGCAGGCAAGTCTGCACGTGCCGGCAAATCCACAAGAGCGGGCAAACCTGCGTGTGCGGGAACATCTGCATTCTCACGCTGTTCTTGAAGACCCACAACTTGTTCGTGAATCTTCTCCGCAAGCAAGTCTGCATGTTTGCGCTCGACTTTGATGCCTTGAGCATACTGATCTTCGTAAGCATTAGGAGAGTACGCGTAGTGCATGTAAATCAAAAGTGTGTAGAGCATTGCCAGGTTGTCGTATTCCACTCAGTGTGAAAGTCCATACTAAAGGATGCAAAGGCATAGCCAAAAAGTCAAGAAAATGAAAAGTAAGCACGCGTGTATCTCTATTTTTTCCATTCATAATTTTTCGCTGCTTTGTTTCATCTCCATCCCCCTCCTGTCCGTCCCCCTCTTGTCCATGCCAGGTAAGATTCTCCAGATCCACACTCATTGCTTCGAAGTCGGTATCCACTTCTATCGCGTTATCAACCTTGTTCGCGGCCATACCCGAAGACGAGGAGAAAATCCCTGACCCTCTATCAGATGAACTTGAACTATTAGAAGCTTTTCTTGAGGTTTTTTTGAAGTGAGAACAGACGCATTGACACAGTGAAACGAGTAGGACGACCTGGCTTTTGAAGTTTCTATGTCAAAGAGACACTGAGTAGACGAGGGGTTGCACATTATAATATTTGGTTTTGGTAGACGAAAAATGGGTTGTATTATCACAATGGGTGTTTTGGTAGACGGAAATGATGGGTGTCTTTTTTGAGTCGGACAATCTCAGTTGTAACTTGTTTTAATATACGCACAATGAAGAGGACTTTGTCAACTATCTCAGTTGTAACACCGAGACATCGACTTCCTTGGAAAGAGAGGGACAGCTTTTTCATAAAGGAAGGATCGCCCCCATCGCCCAGCTTCTTCTTGAAATTCGCTATTGGATCCTTCGTGTGCGTCCCCTCTCCAAAGAACTTCTGAGATTCTGCTGCTGTCTAGCTTAGAACTATACTTGTCAACAACGTTCTTGAAAAATAGGATAGGATAGGATAAGATACGATAGGATACGATAGGATAGAATACGATAGGATAGGGTGCTTCGACTTCATGTCAACAACGGCTTTGAATCTTCCTTGTAAGGTAGTCTTATCACTAAAGGTCCCAGGAAAAAACATGAGAACAGGCATCGAGGATTATTCACATTATTAGCTAAAGCAATATTCTGGAGCAGTATTCTGGAGCAGAGATGAATATCGAACACACCAATCTGCTATCGAAGATAGGAGTCGAAAAATCCATCCCCTAACTGCTCTCCTGGCGGTCCACTTCCTTTCTCTACCACAGGTTCTTCGAGTACTCTTCCTTGTTCTACCACAGGTTCGATACCACCCAGCACAATTTTGCGACGTAGCTCCCACTGATCGCGTTGCTTGCTCAAATCATGAGTTTGCTTAGTCAGTTCCGCAATCCGCCGCTCAAGCGTCTTCACCTCTGAGCTGGCGCTGGTGGCGTTAGCGTGTTCATCTGGATCTGGATGCATGCTGTTGTCTTTGTTACCATATTCATCCAGATGAAATGAGGTCGCAAAAATATGCCTAGCCCTGAGTGAGTATTTGTTCTTTCCTACTTACTTGGGTTCACTTACACACTTTCTCAGAATCCTATTCCTCTTAAAGTGTTTAATCCACGACCTTTTCATGAAGACGGCTCTGATGAAGAGTAAGATAAACCATATAATTCGCGGGGAATGAGTGGAGTGAGGTAAAGACTAAGATTTTGTGCAGAAGTTCATAGTGACATAACTAACTCTTCTGCTTCCATTCGGAGGGTGGCTTCTCGCAACTCTTCATGACGTCGGCAGAGATCTTCTTCGCTGAGACCTGGCTTCCTAGCTTTCTTAGAAAACTGTTCTTTATATGCCTTAGACTATATCAGTGAAAGTAAAGATCTATACGTTCTCGCTGAAGTAAAAGTAATCTTTCTACTGCGTGCTATACAGAAAAAGTAGTCATTCTATATCAGTAAAAGAGACACCTCTTTCGATATACTGCCATACCTATTGCTGCTTCGGCTAGACCCGTTGCATGATCTATGCCCCAATGTGTTCCCGCCAAGGTTTTTTGCTGTGCCGCTATCTCCCTCACGTAGGCATCCAGCTGCATCTCCAACCAATCGGTCTTAGACACCACATAAGATTATAATGTTATTACCTCGGTGTACCCAATTATAATGAATTCAAGTGGAAATCTGGCATCCTATGGCTTGTAATCGTACAGAGTGTAGTCACTTGGAAGTGGAGAGTCGTTGTCGTGCCTGGACATCCTCATTGTTGTGCAGTAGCATTAGTGTACCCATTCGTGGGGCATTGAAGAGTTTTTAACTAGCACGTGGAAGTCTACAGTTACAATAAGATGAATTGGTGTACCACTGTACTAACCCAAACCCTGTCCTTGAAGTATAAGTGTAGTACATGTTGTGTTTCCGCGGCAAGAAGAAAACATATTATAGAGTACAAAAAGGAAACACGTCATAGAGTAATACTTCTAGTAGAAAAAATGGCCGTAGCAGTAACTTGCTCTTCCGGTGCGTCATTCAGGTGCTCCTCTGAGGTTCGTTCGTTCGTGTTGAGAATGTTTTCTAGAAGACGCGCTCGCCTACGAAAGGTAGACCGCTGACTGCGTAGCAGAGCCTGTTGACGCTGCATTAGACGGCTCAGTGGTTAACTGCCTAAACAAAAGGGGCTCTAAACCCTAAGGTTAAGTGTCTTCGAGGCAGTTGGTGCTAAGGTTCAGTAATTTAGGCGCTCCCCTGTTAACTTATCTCTCTCTGATAAGTGAACAGGCCAACGCCTAAACCACTAAGTTAACTGCGCAGTTGGCTTAGTAGTTTAGGCGTTCCCCTGTTCACTTATTTCTCTCCAATGTTTTCTAGAAGACGCGCTCGCCTACGAAAGGTAGACCGCTGACTGCGTAGCAGAGCCTGTTGACGCTGCATTAGACGCCTCAGTGGTTAACTGCCTAAACAAAAGGGGCTCTAAACCCTAAGGTTAAGTGTCTTCGAGGCAGTTGGTGCTAAGGTTCAGTAATTTAGGCGCTCCCCTGTTAACTTATCTCTCTCTGATAAGTGAACAGGCCAACGCCTAAACCACTAAGTTAACTGCGCAGTTGGCTTAGTAGTTTAGGCGTTCCCCTGTTCACTTATTTCTCTCCAATGTTTTCTAGAAGACGCGCTCGCCTACGAAAGGTAGACCGCTGACTGCGTAGCAGAGCCTGTTGACGCTGCATTAGACGCCTCAGTGGTTAACTGCCTAAACAAAAGGGGCTCTAAACCCTAAGGTTAAGTGTCTTCGAGGCAGTTGGTGCTAAGGTTCAGTAATTTAGGCGCTCCCCTGTTAACTTATCTCTCTCTGATAAGTGAACAGGCCAACGCCTAAACCACTAAGTTAACTGCGCAGTTGGCTTAGTCGTTTAGGCGTTCCCCTGTTCACTTATTTCTCTCCAATGTTTTCTAGAAGACGCGCTCGCCTACGAAAGGTAGACCGCTGACTGCGTAGCAGAGCCTGTTGACGCTGAATTAGTAAGAGCCTTAACTGAAAATAGTCCAGTTCCAACTCCAGGTCTGTCACGTCATCTCCCAGTGCTGTACTTCGTTTTTCGTCGTTTCTAAAGCGATCTTTTATTAGCGCGCAAAGGAATTCATTTCTTGCGTGCATTTCTTCCAATCCAACCATATTAAGGAAACCAACAGCAAAAAAAATCACTTGTAAAAATGTATTCTTGATGAGCCTTAATTTTAGTGTCTTCGATGTGAAGGAAGTGCTTTCTTGGAAAGTGTCGGCGTCGGTACGACGGCGGGTATGAAGACGGTCTTCATAGACGGCGATACGAAAATCATCATCATAGACGGCGTGGTCCGATGAATAAATGTCACGCCGCGGCCCTACCAATCGCGCGATCTCATCAGTTCCCTTTTCGCTTAAAAGACGCACCATTTTTGTTTCTTGTTTTCTAGTATTTCTATTTCATTCAATTTTGACTTTTTCAATGGCTGCTTTCTTCTCACTGGCTTTTTTCTGAAGAAATAAACCAGATTAGGTTCTTACGTTCTGGATTCTACACAAAAGTGAACCCCTCATTTTTTTAACAGAGATTGTCACACTTTCTTGGCAGTTGGCGCATTTTTTTGGCAAGAATTGTCGCACTATTTTGGCAATCGGTGGCAGTTGTCGCACTTTTTTAGGAATTAAAGCGAGATGGCGTCTTTCACTCTGGCCGGAAGATGAGGGGCATCAGCACATAAAAATCTCTTTCTCTGTGACGTATGGAGGTCTGTGCCAACTGATAAGGAGATATCCTAACTGACTACAGAGCCGAACACGGCTCCTTTTCGGCTTTCCCTTGAAATGTCCTCTCTGAGGCAAACAGGATAAGGGCTTTGGGTCCTTGTAGTTGTTGTTCTTCGCCATTGGTATAACCGTTCAGCTGTACTATCATCATGGCCATGTCGTCTATGGTGATTTCAAAGGAAAAAAAGCTTAACCTGTAAAGTTTCGTCGTCAAGCACCACGAACTTACAAAAATGAGCCGGACCCTTTTGGAAGCAAGTGAATGACGACGCGAATCTGCTCGGCGATATGCTCTAGCTTGTTGCTGGATTGTCAGTGGTCTCCCGACTGTTGTTCCTGTTGGCACTGATATAGAACGACGGGCAGGCTTCCGCTTTATTACTTATGTCCAGCGGCTTCTGTCTGGCGCGTGTTCTAGTTGTGCTTCTCTCGCTCTGAGGTCAGCAGCCACTCCCAGTCAGCTACAAGTGAATATGTGAATAAGTTGAAAGCAAGTGAATAAGTGATCATTACACAAATGAGTAGAAGCTTCGCACAATGACATTTCTGTCCCCATGTACATCCTGTCTGTTGAACGTCGCCAGCATCAACATCAGGTTTGATTTTTGCTGCTTGACCACTATGCAGCGTATTTCCATCTCGTTTGTCTCCCCGTTTTCGTTAGAGTTAGCCTTTAATAGAGTGTTCCTTTCTAGAGTTAGTATTTACTTGCACATATTTGAGTAGGTATCTTGTAGTGCCACCTTGTTTCCCCATGAAAATAAGAGTGGTCTCCATTTAGGATGCCTCACACGGGACATACATAAAGAAGTGCTCCCCATAACATTCGTCGTTAAGACAAAGTTCATCAAGTTCTTCGCGATATGCTTGAATACTTTCTGGAAATGCGTTTCATGCTCGAAACCGCAATCCTTTCTCAGATTCGTCGCTCTAGTCAATAGACCGTCCTTGGCGTCGGCGGTACGGCTAATGCTAATCTTGTAAACGGAAAAAGCAAGGGACCCACTAAGCTCAACAGACCCGCGCACACTGTTAGGATTAGGGCTACCGCATTCGCATCACAGTAAACATCCTTGGTGCTTTTCCCCCTAGGAAAAGACGCAAGGGCAAGCACGTTTAGGTTGCACTCTTAGTTGTCATAACACAATCTTCAAAATGAATCGGCGACCTAGCATCTAGTTCCGACTTCACTATCGTCTCCCATCGGGGGAACAGGCAGTTGTTTAGCACAAAGTCCTGTTTTCTGGCGGCTTTCAGGCTCTGCTGATGTGTCTTGTCCCCGTCGCCGTCGGAGTCCTCGTCGGGTGAAAAGACGTTCTCATATCTGAAACGGATAACATCCGCAAAACGTGGAAGTTGCCTCGCCATGGCAGCCTTTACGTGAATGCCAACCACGTGCTCGCCCTTAGCCATGAGGAGCTTACCTATACATAGATTGTGTTTGAGCTAGAGCACTGCAAAGAGGATTCATTGGTCTCATGGTTCACATCAATTCCCTGCTCAACTCTGGTGTTTTGTATTAAGAGCAACGTCATACTTGATCATAAAGACCAAAAATCTCGTATAGCAGTACCGCTTCCGGTGACGTAAGGCACAATTAGGCAACCTCCCTGACTACACAACTTCTTAGCTTTATCCGCTGTGTCTGGCCCTAATGAAGACGGGAGTTGGATGATATAGGGGACTGTTTTCCAGCTATTCGAGGTGAGAAAATTTCTGAAAAATGTCGAGTAGTATCCACTTGCGAACTACGTGTGCACTTCTTTGCTTTCAAGTTCTTCACAACATACAAATGGATATCAACGACATGCAATTCTCATATTTGACCTAAATACACGTCATCATCAACTACAGGGCGAAGGAATCACGGAGAATCAGATCAACAATTCACATTCGTTTATGATTCATTACCACTTTTTTCCGCTTTGGCCTCGGCCTCTGTTAGCTTCCTCGTTACCTCCACCAGTTCATCTTGAGCCTGCTTCAATCTATCGTCTTTTTTCGGCAAATTGTTCGTCTTCCCGCTTTGTTGTTAGAGATGATCAAAGCAGTAAGGCGTTCAGTGGGGTCCTGGGTAATGCAATTTTGTGACTGAAGTAGTGAGAGAATTCATGCAATACTTCGCCAGCGTCAACTATTGGGGATCATAATCCCCTTTCCCGACGGCGCCTTATGGAACGACACTCGAGAAAGCTCGACGCATTGTTTCCTTCTGGTTGGTCTCGGTAAAGGAACCCACCACAAGTCTCCCCTTATGCACCGCATCGTCTGCGGATGTGCGGTAAGAGGCACGCGCGCTCGCCTCAGCCCCGACAGCACCTTGTAGTAGAGCGGATGGGGTCAGTATTTGAAACCGGATTCCAAATACAGAGTAGAGAATGTCTTGATTTCGAAAAATCAACGTTTTTTCTCATGACCACAAGATATAATGTGCGATCGCTGGAAACGAGCACTAAATTGTAACAGTGATATTCATAATTCATTTTCAGGCACCTGCCAATCTGAAAAAGGTGGCAAGGAGAGAATAGGGAAGTAAAGTCGTACTCCGGAACGTATTACCTTCTTTCCCTTCCCGCGAGGGTTTGGAAACTGATGTAGACTTCGAAGAGCCCTCCGCAGTTTCATCCTCGCACCTTTCTCCTGGCGTACAGTTTTCATTGAGATTTCCGCGTCTGGCACGGCTTCCAAACACTACGTAATGCACTGAGGAAGCAAGTAACAAGCGACGCATCTTTATGAACTCAGACAGGCACAACGGAGCACGTGCCCCTAATTCAGACAAACCCCCACGTCTTCCCTTCTACCTACAAATTTCCCGTTTTCAGATAAATCGAAGTCAGCTTGTGTTCATCAATATTTGCCACCTAGGCTACTTTTGCTTTTCACCATTTCATTGCGGCCAACAATCAATCTTCCCTCTCCATTCTCTAGTCATCAGCATAGATCTACTTGTTTTGGAACTTTTATCCAAGTCCTAGACTCCTTTGGATGCAGATTGCGTAAACACTCTCTTGGATTTCATGTCTAGAGACTTGATGAGGGTTCATCAGATGCACCTGTCTCTTTTCAAGGTGGAAACCTAAGACACCGCTTAGGAACACAAGACTAGTTCTGTGCAGCAGCATCACATAGAAAGTGGGCTGCTTCGGTACCAATATTGGCGCGGCCATGCGCATCTCGTTTCTTACTTTAGACGCAAAAACTCATTGAGATTTTACCCTCCGAATCAAATCCGGATTTTTGTTCTGCGGTATTCTGCATTAATCTTCGAACACGTAGTTCAACAAAATTCTTAAAAAATAGATTGTATAGGACTTGTGACGTTGCTACCAGATCATTAGAAAGTCTAAACAGCGAAATATGAACCATCCATCGAAAAATGGCGAGGAATCTCAATGCCGTTTTGCGTCTGCTTCTGTACAATTAATGTAAGTAGTTCCAAATAGGGGTTACAAAGAGGGGTACGAAAATGAATAGAAGCTGCGTACTAGAACGGCCTCACGAAAACTCTCGTCCGATTTTTTTTTGTCCACTGTTACCACCATCAACATCAGCTTCTTGCCATGTTGTCTGTAGCGGAACAAGACACACTTGGTTATCAAGTCTTGATCTTGTCTCTCCTGCGGCATCGCTTCTTGAAAGGCGTTCCAAATCCCCTCAAAAACCGACTGTAGATGCTCCTCAGCTTCTAGATCGCATGCCTTTCTCAGCTCAACCGCAGCATCTGCAGGAGAACTGGGCCACGCCTCCCCATTAACCTCGATCGAAGACGAAATAAACCGAGAAATCTTTCCTCTGGAATCAGATCCTGATGCAAAATTCCTTGAGGAAGCAATACTTCCCTTCGCAGTCGACCAAATATCCAGTTGGACGCTTTCCCAAATATCCCAAAGATCCTTTTGCAGTTTCTCTTCTGTCGCCTGTTCTTTCTCATTTCCGTCTTCAAAATTGACTACACGCAAAAAACTTTGCGCATTCATCTCAATAACCTCCTTGACGTTGATTGAGATACCAAGACCACCGTTGTTGCCAGTGATAAGCTCACCTAAGTGTGTGATTGAGATAGATAATTGAAATACACAATTCCCTTAATGATTCAGGTTCACATCAATATCACTTCCGTGGTCAACTCTCGAATTTTGTCTACCCATCACACCATCAACGTCATATCTGGTCATTCATTGGATGAAAGTTTTAGGTCCTACAAAAAGGAAAATCTAAACTTTAAGGGAGCAATACCTCCCTCAACGACAATACGCGCAAATTCAAAATTGCTGCTCGCGTATGGACCTGTAGAGAAAAGTGGAAAAAAGATTTCTCGAAAAGTGTCATCGTATCAAGTTCCTTCGTTTTCAAGTTCTTCACAACAAATAGAAACGAGATCTCATTCTCACAGTCTACACCAATATAACTCATCTAATCGACTACTCGACTACGACAACGGAACAAAAAAATAAACTAACCATGGAAAAGAAAATCCATTGAAATCATTACTGCTGTCCGACGACGTCTCCTCTAGCGAGTTCACCTCGGCTTTTGCGTACTCTATCTGTGCCTCTACAAACATTATCTTCTCCTCCATTGCCTCATTCTTCTTCTTTGTTATCTCCAATTCTTCTGCTTCTTTTAATGCTGCTGCTTCTTCTTCTCCAGGAAATTAGAGCTGCTCAGTGTCGTCAAAAACAAGAATGGAAAAAATGCTGTGACAATGCTCTACCTCTACAACTGCGAAAAGGAAATATTATCTTTGAGAACCGTAATTTGTCGCCGCAGTGCTGTCTAGGCGATTTCCATCGCTGGAACCGGAATTGGATGAAAACCGAGGACCTCAAAGAAAGATATTGGGAATGATGGTGATGAGTAAAACAATGACATAGTGTCTAGCACGTCGCATGAGTTCTACTACAACAAACTGCAACTATCACAACTCATAGCTTCAATATCATATGCTAGCTTCAGCGGTTTCCTACTCCTATCCCTAGGTCGACTCATAAACACACTGACGAGGATATTTGATATTCGATACTAAACTTGTTCCAAAAGCTGTGTATCTTCGCTCCGATGGACAAAAAAGAGCTGCCTTCAGGCTCCTGCTCCTCGGACTTCGTCTCCGCCAATTCGGTTTCGTGTGCAGCTTGTAGTTAGAGGGTGCTCTAATTCATAGTGATGATCAGATACCCATAGCACCTAGTCAGATATTACGGCTCCCTTAGGTATACTCCAACAAGGCTCATCTGTGAAAATTTTACCTAGTAGAAGATCCTTGATGAATTGCTATCTAGTATGGGAATCTCATGCATATGTAAGCAAAAGAATCCGACCGTTCAAAAAGCTTATTTATAGTCTGTTAGAAAAAAACCATGGATGGCCTTAAGGCAATTTCTGCAGCGGCAGGGTATCTGTTTTCTCCGCCAACTCACCTTTTTCAGTTCCTAACTCAACGACTTTGACGGCTTTCGACACACCTAAAGATGATTCATTTTGATGTAAAAATAACTGACACGAAACAAAAAGTTTACATTCACCTTTCTGAAACATGGTATTCCCCTCCCTCAACATAAAAACGATAAGTCTCGACGAAATGTATTGCTACTGTTTTTGAGCAGGAATCATAGATATTTACGTTCATAACTTCTCCGTGAAAACGATGAATTCCGAACGTGTATCGTCTAGTAGGAATCGAAATTATAGTTGTTGCAGAGCCCTAGCTAAGAGAAGCACGAAAAAGGACGCTGTAAAGGTGAGAGCGCTGGACCACTCGAACACAGACTGCGAAGTCACGCGCAGTTTCTCGGTGAGAAACTCTGAACTTGATGCAAATTGAGCTCACAGCCTGAGACAAATGGTCTCTGGCTGGTTTGCTCCCTGATAGTGTTCATTGGGGTTGCAAGGAGGAAGTCTCAGCTTCTTCATTGGGATATCATGACGAGGAAAGCTCCACGGGCTTCATATGGGAACGCCTATGCTATCATCATTGATTTCGTACGTTCATCCTACACTGATGCTCGTCATTGATCAGAACTGACAAGACGTTACGAACTGATTACAGCTGCTCCCATTCGTTATTTCTGCTATCAGAATACGCCGGGGGTCCTTTGTCTGTTGATCACTGATTTCGGCACCATATGCATTTAGGCCTGCCGGTTTCCTCTGAGATCTTTCCGGTTGTGCTTTGTCCTTGACTGTGTTGGGAGGCTTGAGCCACAAACGAGAGAGAGAGGAGAAACCGCCGACACCCGCGCCAACTAAGGCCAACGCGTTGAAAGTGGTGCCGGTGGGCACCTTGTTCGCCTGGCGATCTTGGTCGTCCTTGTTCGCCTGGCGGTCCCTCTTGGTCATTTTGGTGATTTTCATCCGTCTGATCTTTGTGAATCTTTGTGACATTTCAAGGATTACGATCTTGACCAACGGAGAGGTAATACTAAAAAAGAAATTATAGTAATATAAATATTTACGCTTATAATGAATACCACTGCCCACTTGCGTAGTTTCTTCAGCATCCTTGGGTGTTTCTTGTGCATTCCTGACCTCGCCATCCCAGTCGATGACAACCTTCTGCTCTTGCCGCCGAGTGATTCCATAGCAAAGGTTAGAGACAGTTTTTTTAGGATTTTTGAGGGTCCTCACTTGTACTTACTAGTAGTAGTAGGTGGGTACTTACTGGTAGTAGCAGTAGGGTACTAGTAGTATCTATTAGTAGTTGTAGGGTACTAGTAATAGTAGGGTACTTCGTAGTCAGAGTAGTAGTAGTACCAGGAGGAAGAGTATGGACACCCTCCTTCATAAATGGGAGAAAGTGCGCCGATAGCAATCCGAAGCAGACACGCATCTTATTATCATCCGAACCACGTCGGCTACCGACTCAAAACCCCATCACACCCAGAGGATGGAAAGGACTCAAAACCCCATCACACCCAAAGGATGGAAAGGACTCAAAACCCCATCACACCCAAAGAGTGAGAAAGACTCAGGGCCTTAGCTCGACACCCCTAAGATGGAAGGCAAAATGCAATACAATGCAATACAATGCAATACAATACAATACAAGACAATACAACGCAATTCATTCATTCATCCATTCATTCAACGCAATAAATCTCGCACAAAGAAGATCTGAGGGACTGCCGCAGGAACGCATGTCTTCGACAATCTTCATTTTACTATCAAGTCATTAAATTTCGATGTTCGTGACAACGAAGGGCAAGATTTTCAGATTCTTAGAACGTCATGAAGCAGCACAGTCGTATTTTTGACATCATGTCGGGAAAGCAATGTAGACACGACATCAACGGAGTCATTTCCAATCGCCAAGTATATCACGTTTTTGGCATATGGGTACTGCAAAACCAGCTCCAAATCATCACCCCCTCCCGGGACTCTTGTTCTTCTCCATTTTGATAAGGATTTTTTGTAACTAGCTAGTCTGTCATCTTCATGTTACATCAGATACTCAGAACACAACTTCATGTTGCATTCATTCTTTCACCCATTCTGGTCTGCTCTTCACCACCTCCACCAGCTTCGTAATTTACACCTCCTCCTGAAGCAGGCGAGTATTAAATTCTTTCTTGTTTCAGTGTCTGTTCTTTTTTTTACGTCTCCTGCAATGTCTCCCAGAATGCTGCTTGAGGTGTTGATCCTTCTCTGTGTCTTCTACCATGTAGGTATAATCTAGTCAATGCTTACAATGTCACTGTCGCCGTGGTGATACAACGACATGCTAGATACATCACCTCAATGCTTTTCGTAAATCTGACTCTTCTTCCTACATGATAAGAACATCTGTGTAATTTCCAAGCAGCTAGCTATGAAAGTACCATGTGTTTTAACAGGCGATAGGTTTTTGACTAGGAGCCATAACAAGGATAATATGCACATGTGCTATTGTTCTATCTCCTTTCATGTGAATTATAGAAGACATGCTCATTTCTATTTGTTTTTCTTTCGCAGGCAGAATTTACTCAAATACGTGAAAGACCAGCTAGCTAACACCAGCCATTTATCAATTTGTTGAAGACAAAATTGCAATATCAAGTATTCTCGGATGAATATATGAGTGGTCCAACTGCAACAACTTTCGAAAAAACGATATGAGTAGTCAAACCAATATGAGCTAAATTCGCACTCATCTATTTCCACAGAGAAATGATTTTCTTAGAACGTCCAATCATCTATTCCATTAGACCGCTCAATAAAAAGCCCGGATATGAGTCGTCACTGATATTGTGTAAATTTCCTTTGTGGTTAGTTTCCGGAAAGTTTCTTTTCACCGTCTGGCTACCAGGCCATCTAGATGCAGCTAGACGAACAATTCATGATCTTGTATCTACGACCAGAAGAGTTCGATGATGGAACTTAGCGTGACTAGAAAATGGTTTGCGTCCAGACGTGTCTTATGTCTATCTTAACAGCAGTTATATGATGTATGATGAAGAGTCTGTTTCTAAAACTATGACCTCCTACCTGACGTTGTCACAATGGCCTCCTAATTGGCGCTCTCAGACCTCCTAAATGGGGTTCTCAGCAATCCCACACCTTCTGGATCCACAAAGTGCTGTCCGTCGACGATGCCGACGACTTGGCCCTCCTTTAGCTCAGGGTGCGGAACCACTTGTCCACTTGCACGGTCGAACGAGGGGTTAGAGGAGATCAAAAGCTGCATTTCTGGTCTAGGAGTAGGAAAAGATCAGCTTCGCACAGCTGCAGTTTCGGTCTAGTAAAGTGTAGTAAGGAAGAACGAAATTATATTAGTGTCATAAGCTCGTCTACTACAACTATAATTGGACGCTGCAAGTAAATAGAAAAAGTCAGCGCGTCAAGGAAAACTTACTTCATATTTGTCGATGGTCGTCTGATATTTAGGCTACGAACCTGACCCTCTTGATGTTTGTACTACACTTCAAAAGTAGTAATCTCCAATAACCGACATGCTCGCTCATAACCAAGCCCACAGGCAAAACCACTCTGCGGTCAATGCGTTCCTGAGGTGCTTCTAGGTGCGAGGAGGAAGACGAAGGCCTCACCATCTGGATAGATCCATCAGGATGCACACGCTGAGGACCAAGTATTAGAATAATGTAGTTGGTGAAGTTCTTTATAAGGCTTAGGTTAGGATAGGTTAGGTTAGGTTATGGATCCTTCACATCGAGCGGATGAAGTAGATATACGTAATAATCAAACTACCAACTCCTTGTGCTTGAAGTAAGCGGCTAACAACATGTTGCTGCAAAAACAGCCTCGGATGAGGCAGATGCATAGTCTCAGAGTAAATTGTACAAACAGGGAGGCAATATTGTCCGTCACGGATGGTTGACCTATCCTACGGTCCTTGAGACACAGTATGATTGTGGTCTAGGCATAAGAAGATATCCTGAGCCAGCGTCGCAAAGGCATCACTTCTCTGCACGTGAGGCAAGAACAACCTCTGCCAAGTCCGAAGAAACCCCCTGAGCCAGTCTTAGCGTCAACTTCTAAGGAAGGGGTATTTTGTACTCAAAGTTGTTTCCATTCACTTGTTCTAAGATCACAAATCACAGTGAGCTCTAAGATGTGTTCACTCACAGCTGAGATTTTCCTTTGCCCTTGGTAAATCTGAGTTTCCCATAGACTTTATAAGCAACTGTACTCATCAAACAGGATACTTCATGCAGGACCATCAAAACTAAGAAGTAAAAACTAGTATCGAGTGGCAATCAATAGGTAAAAACTAGTATGATCAAGTAACCTTTAGTTGAGGGAAAAACTATTATCATCGAGTGGCCTTAACATGGTTCGGGCACGAATTGCGAGAAGGACGCCAATAATATCGGTGATCCTCGGAGGGCAGCAAATGAATGGTATGGTGCTACAAACAAAATATACGAATCAAATTCTGTAGCTGGCATGCAAAATAGAGCAGCTTTGGCTGTCGTGTGGATGCAAGTGCAAGTTGTTAGTACTCCAATCTACGCGGATAAGTAGAAGTAATTCCAAATCATTTCTTCAAACATAAAACTTACTAGGTACAACTTGAACTTACTTTCTAAGTCGTGGGTACAGGCTACCTTCTGAGCAGCAGGCACAGCAGCCTTTCTAGGTTTTGATTGATTGGCATCCCTAGTGGTACTCCTAGACCACCGGCGGGACGATACAGTTTCACAAGTGTACCCCTAAAGCCTTTCTAGGTAGGTTAGGTTAGGTTGTGGATCCTTCTCAACGAGCCCCACGGGCACATGCTCGCCTACATACACATACAGTTTCACGAGTGATGTACCCATAGACATAAAGCCTACAGTTTCACAAGTGATGTACCCATAAACATACAGCATACTTTCTATAAGTAGAATTAGGTTAGGATCTCGAACAAGTTACTTCACATTCATAAATTGTTTCCCGCTCCACAACACTGGGCAAAAAATCCTTGCTCCAGAAAGGACCGGGTGTTGTTCGCCCTTAACTGCGACAGGAACGGTTCTAGATATGCAGTCTGGACAAAAGCCGGAGACTGATATCCTCGCGCAGCCTGTGTACTATTAGAACTGTACGTTACGTATAGGATAGTTCAAATTCACTATGCGGCTGTTATTCTCGCTCAAAGAAGGCTTACGGCTTGACCTTCTGCTGAAAGAATTCGAGCCTTCCTCCCGTAAAAGTTTGCAACAAGCAGGATCTTCTTCAATTATGAAAGACCTAGTTGCATACACCGTCTAAGAAAAGTGCTCAAAGAGGTCTACAGCTAGGATTCTTCCTCACAGCAAAACTCTAAATTTTAGAGTCTAAAAGTGAAGTATGACACTAAAGTAATAAGAGTGTGACTGGTAAAAAACACATCTTTCGTAATCGACGAAGACGATCCCGCGCCAGAGCAACAGGTAGCTGGTCCACCACTTGTTGCTCTAGTGCAGGATCTTCTTCAATTATGAAAGAGCTTGACCTCCTTCTAGTTGCATAAACCGTCTAAGAAAAGTGCTCAAAGTTGAGAGAAGGCTTCCGGCTTGACCTTCTGCTGAAAAAATTCGAAAAAAAGTTCAGTGAAAGTTTGCAAGCAAAACTCAAAATTTCATAATCGACGAAGACGATCCCGCGCCAGAGCAACAAGCTGGTCCACCACTTGGGCAACAGGATCCACTACCTCCGCCAAAGTCCTGTTCTGATCTTAGAAGTGTGATCGATGATAGATGGGAAGGATATCTTCTGTTGTCTTCATCGAAGACATTGAGTTATCAAACGTCTTCGTTGAAGAAGCTTCCGCTGTTCACAAAATTTCTCTGCCTGGAGTGGAAATTCCGAAACTAGCTGTTATCCATGATTGGGAAGGAAAAGCTTGCTGTGAGATCCCAAAAGCTAGTACCTAGCAACAACAAGAAGTAGACGTATGCAAAGGCAATGATCATGATCTAGTACTGCTGCAATCCTACTGATACTGAACTAGAAACTTCATCATAACAATCTGTCCCAGTCAATTCGGTAGTTGCTTTGGCAGTCTGCATCGTCTGGCGGAGGACAGAACAGAGCGCTACAGTCTCCGCCACATCTTGCTTCGCGCTTCATCTGTGCTCGAAGCCCAGGTTGCGCAGCACCGTTCCATGACTTGTCTCTACCCCTCGCCACATCCCGAATCGGAACTGCTTCAGGGTCGGCTTTGTATGAAAAGCAAAGGATGCAAGTAAATTACGCGATGAACATCATGAAGATGTTGAATCGTCATCTCAGAAGATTCTGCATCTTTTATTGCTCGGTATATGAAACGAGTCAGTTCATGAAGATGTTGAATCGTCATCTCAGAAGATTCTACATCGTATATTGCGTTAGACATTAAAAGCCAGATTCTTAATCCTGCGCCTCCAAATGTTCCACCGGAAAAATCGACGACGTTAGAGACGTCCCCATCGATATCGAAATTCGGAGGGAGGCCGAACTGAGGTGCCCTGCGGACCTCACGAGGCTGATTTTAGAGTTTGAAATTTTTTAGGGAGAATCGAATGCATCCGTCTCTTTCCAGAAACGATGGAAATCAAATGCATCTTTCCAGCCATGGCCAGCAAATGGTCTGTCTCCATAGGAGCGATGAGTACCGTTCTTCTTTTCTTCTCTACTCTTTCACTTTCAGATGATTCCAATCCAATTCTTGGAGATATGCAGGCATTATTGCTCAAGTCAATTCTTGGTGGAGATATCAAAATTAAAATTATTCCATTCCCACATACGACTCGTAATGTTTTCCGCAGCAAACCGCGATTCCTCCACGTCGACCCGCTGGCAACAAATAGTGCTGCGTGATGATGTTACGGCCGTCCAGTAAAATCTCCCCGATCACTGTTCCCAGCGCAAAAAAATCAATGCTAGGCCACGCAGCCGTCATTAGAGTCAGCCTCTATAATTCACTCATCTGGACCCCTTTCTTTATTTTACCCTTGTATCAATTCTCATAGAAATAATACAACGGAGATTTAAAGGGTATCTAGATGCGCAGATCTATGGAGTGGAAAATCATGGATTATCCGATAAATCCGATGAGAAAGAGGACAGTTTATCCGACAAAAGCTGACCGTAACATCAATTCGCGTTCTGTGCCTTCCTCTTTTTCCTTAGGCGCAAACCCAGGAGTCCAAGCGTCGGCTTCGCGGTTCGCAAATGCGATTGCGTGAGCGCCATAAGCTGCCGTTGCTTCCAGAGCGGTCGATGTTTGAGTACTCACTGCGACAATATCATCTCTATCAATTGCGATAGGGGCAGATGGACCCGTGAGTTAGAGAACTACATAATAGAGATCACCTTCTCTCAGATAGGCTCTGTTTCCTTCTGACAAGTGAAACTGAGAAGAAAATCACCCTGAACAATTCCTTCAATAGCCCACCATCTATCTTAAGTACTCATGAAGACCGTCTTATCTGTCTGCCTGTCTTAAGTGATCTGTTCATTTTCCTGTGCTGTTACATAGAAATTCCTCCAATAGCCCCATTTCGTAAGTGATCTGATTCCCCATTGCTGGTTGCATTCGCATTTCCATATTCGCAGAGGTCATACTCCCAAAGTCGATAAGGACCACCTTTTGAGCGACCTCGTCGAAAACCAGATTATCCGCCTTCAAGTCATGGTGAACTGCGCCTACGTCTTCTCGGAGAAGGTTAGAGGTTGGGGTGCTGGATCATCTCAGATAAATATTATTAGTGTTGGTTGTAATTCGTCCAGTGATGACCTTGTAGACATGTAGACAAATGCTAGTTCTACTCAAGTAATTCGACCATCAGCTAATTATTATGCGTTGAGAGTCATCACTACATGGGAGCGGTTAGAGGTGGATCTTACACGATACTGAACGAAGCCTTGCCTTAAGAAAAGCGACGATGCGAACGAGTTGTCGGAGAATCTTCACAACTAGTTGCCCACGCGGAGGCGAGGAGGGCGCACGTGGCTGTGAGTACAGTCTGCGCAAGAAGTCGAGCAACCGGGCCCCTTTATTAGCGCAGTTACTAACTGAACGTCGAGGTCCTTGGAAAAAACTACAGCCACAACAAGCTGTGCACGGCGAGACCTAAGCTAGCCTAACTACCGGTTCTTAACTTTGTATTCCAACACAAGGTAGAGGTCATCATCCACGTCTTTTGGAACTGGTGCCAGGTGGTGAATGCGAAAATCCCCTTTCTCACGCCAATCTGCTTCCACATCACCGAGCATGGACTTACCTTGAGGGTGCAGCTCGAAGTTTCCGATGTTAGTCTGCAAACAGTGCGGAAAATGCCCAGACATATCACTGCCGCCGGCTGGGTGGTGGGTATCAATTTAGTAAGTGTACTTAGTTGAGTGTGTGGTTTAAGCTTGAGTGTAGATGTAGAAATTCTAAGATTCTATCGTTTAGTACACAGTTTCCTTCGTTTTACTTGACTTGCTACTGCCTGTCTTGCTCTGTTTCGAAATAACCCAGAATAGGTCTTCAAAGCTTGAAGACCTGCACTTTCAAGTAGCACAAGACAGAACTACAAGGCAGGCTGTTCGTTGTTGTTGGATGTCGTGGATGAAAAAAGAACAAGAAGAAGAAGTCTACAAGAAACAATGGAGTCGATGTTTGTGACGTCAATCTGCTTGTTCAGTGATGTTTCAAAATTTCGAAGGTAATAGACCACTACGGACACTTAGTCCTACTCCCTGCTGTCTTTTTCTTTCCTACTTCTACTTGTCTTTTTTTTTCCTAGTACCTGCTGTCTTCCTTTTTGCAGCTTCTTGTAAGCGTTTGGCCCATTCGCATTCCTCACGCGCGTGATCAATAATCAATCTTTGATCGCCATGGGAAATTAGAAGGACAACATTTCTGAGAACCGAGAGCAACAAAATTATCATTATAGAGTAAGCAGGATTGCAAGGAAACGAAAGGGAATTTAGACGGACAGTCAGAAAACATTGCTATCCGGAAGACCTCCATTATCAGCATTTACAAGAAAAAAGATTTCCTCAAGCGCAGCTGGTCTCCTAGTTGATTATTCTCAACCAAGTATTTAACACTTAGTAGACGAAACTAAACATGGTCCAGCATTCTTTTAGTCGTAACAAATAGTCCCTCCATGTCGTGTACCGGCTATGGCTGCCGGCTTTGTCTTTCTGTCTCGCACGGAAAGCGGGACTATGCGGATAAGGAAATCGCTTCACGGCCACGATGTTGCTGCCTCCTCCGTTTGGATGGATGCTGCTTATCATGCTCGTCATCATCCCTTTCAGTCGCCCAGCGTGCACCTCTCTAAATTAGAGGGAGTTGTTGTGGTCCATTTACTTTTACTTCCATCGCTTGAGGGTAAGTACTACAAGAACTGTTATGAAGAATCAACTCAAAGCAGATCAGGCATATCACTTCATAAGCGAATGTCCCTTTTCCAATCATTTGGCCCGCTCCATCGGGTCCTGGTGTGAAGTCGACGACGCTTGTTAGCGGATTCGCACGTCCAACAGGCGCCGAACGGTGGTTGGACGCGACACGACGGGCAGCGTCCCTGGGCATGCGCGTGATCCACTGGGGTAACGCTCGTGCTCCGCTTCTTGGATTAGAGGGTGAGGGGATTTCATTTTTACTTGGGTAAGGCTCGTGGAGACGAGGTTCGTGTACTTATTAGCAGGGCGGATCCTCATGAGATGATATTCCTCGAAATAATCATCAATCAACAAAGTAGGAATAGTACCCACCTTGTTTCAGATGGAGAAATCCATAGCATCTATTTTTGAAAAAATACTACAACATTTCTGGTATATCATGGAAGATCATGCTAGTTCTACAGTCTTAACTCGTTGTTGTGCACCACCACCCGCACCTCCAGCACCGTTACCAGCACCTTGAAACATTCCACCCTGGGGCATTGGCCTTTGTTGAGCTTGAGCTGCTTGTTGCCAGATAATCTGGCGCTCTGGCTGATCAGGATCAACATTCGCATCCACAGAATCGCTAGACTTCGATACACAGAATGGCAGCACTATCATACCACTCACAGCACCAAGGTGCGCAACCAGAAGCAAGAACCTTCTCATCTTGTTTGTCGAACTAAGAGAAGGTGCCATGATGGGTTTTTAATTGTAGTTGTAGTAGTTCTTGTAGCTTTACTCCGAGACCGCTATCTCTATTTCCCTCGCTGTCTAACTCAATGTTTAAAAATCCTTCTTTTCTTCATTGTAAATAGTTCAATGAGAAAGTACAGTCTCCTCCCAACAAGCAGTGACTCCTCGACATGAAGTGACCGATTTTTGAACACGACTTGTTGTTCTCTACTCGCCTGTCTTGCAACACCGGCAACACCGTCTCTGGAGCCTGTGTATTCCGACATATTCTCTTCCCAAAAATTGAAGACTACATACTACCAGAACTTCGTTCATCTTCTTAACGACAATTTTGTGGGGAAGAATGATAGTTTCTCTTTTATCACACACGTGAGAAGGATTGACTCCTCGAGACCACACCAGGGTTACAAAAGTATGCAGGATTAGGAAAACGACTGCTCTGTTATAAAATAATATTTAATGCAGGTAGAAGAAGTTCACAACTTTTTGACAACTCTCTGTCCCCTTGCCGCGAATAAAGGAGATCGAGGTTGTGCTTCTCCCGAACGAAAGTTGGCGCGTCATTTTTTTTTTCAATTTCAAAGTCTTCGGCCAAAGGCCCAGCGCACCCAGCATACCTCCCACAAACCAATGAAAATATGAGAAGTCATTGTTGTCTAGGAGATTTTGAGAGTACAACAGGGAAAAATCTCACAGAACTCAAACCGTATGGAGATGTCATAGAACAAAATGAACAAAATGTTCAAGAGGTGGGACTGTGGGAGTGTCAAGATTCACTATGAGAGAGCATCTTCTATGACATGATTATTGGCTTCGCAGACAAACACTGGTGTAGAAAACTAGTATGGATAAGGCATGTTGAGAAAACATGGAAAAAGAAGGGCCAGTAAGTAGGGCGTACTCATCAATGTGGTGGAGCGATAATTGTCTTAGGTGTTACATGCAACTTGAAAAAGAAAAACTATAAAATTGACAGCAAGGGTCCAAGACTGTTGCCCTATCCTAGAACTATTTAGACTGATGCATCGGCCCTGTTCCTACTACACGTCTTGTCCTCTTGTCCTTACTAACATAGACTTCAGAATGACAAAACGTACCAACAAAGGTGAAACTGAAGAGTCTATTTATCAACGTCGTGATCAACCCTAACTCAACATGTGTGCAAGTTACACAGTCACAGTGTAACTTAGTTAACTACTATAAAATACACAGCTTCAGTTAGATCGAGACCGGGTAGAAAGGATTGTCTAATTGCTGTTAAATCATAGCCCTAACGATGCTCTAGGTCAGAAACTATATATAGGATAAGAGTCTTTTTTACACGAAAACTGCATATTTTCCTAGGACACTTGTTCTGACGCTTCATCTGTACAATGTCAGGAGTATGTCCTCCATTCCTTGGAAAAAAGAGGGAAAGATTGGATGCTGGAAATTGAAAGAATGATCTAGGTGTTTGCTATAAGCCCATTTTGCGACGGAAAGATCTATACTTTTCCATCATGATTCAGAAACCTAGCACGTCCAATGTCAATATGGAAAACCCACTGAAAAAGATGCAACTAATATTGCAAGACTAGCTGCACACCCACAAAATACTATAAAAGAGGCACAAGATTGGCACAAGATAATTCCTAGTTGCCTCGCATTTCTCATACACGGAAATACGACGACGCGTTATAACGCTTACTAGGCTCCTCGGCCTCGCCGTGGGTCAATTCTAACTGAAGGTTAATTTTATCGATGGAGAACAGCGTGTTATGACAGAAATACGAGTAAAATCGAATCACAAAAGGTCCTTGAAAAAGACAATCCTGCGAAGTTGTCTGAAAACTGCAGGGATCTTTTTCTCGTGTCTAGGTAGATCTAGGTGCGTGTCTGAAAACAAAGTTAAAAAGTAAGTCTAAGTTTAGTCCAAGTCTTTATATCACAACGAATGACGCCCGAGCAAAACGTCCTCCAAAGAGGACCCTACTTGTTACATATTCGCAGTCATCTTCGAACCTTTACACCTAGATTCGAATGTGTAGAAGTTCGCAAGAAAAGGCTACTTCTTACACATTCGGCGTCATTGAGCCACTAGCGCGACCGCGGCCATCAACATTCTCTGGTCGGTCCTCGATGTAAGCGATGTCGGAGAACGGATGGCGATACAATCCTTGGTTGTTCTTCTTCTGGTAGAGGTTAGAAGCAAGAGGAGGGTCTTTCCATAGAGGAACTGTGGTATTCCAGATTTTCTTCGACAGCATTCTCCAAAGGGAAGACACTAATGAGATGCCGGTGCTTCAGGAATACAACTTTCTCAGCACTAAATGAAAGAAGATAGTCAAAGATGAACAACTCCACTATGTATCACTAAGTGGGTTCCTTGTCCTTTAGTATAAATATCGCTAGGAAAAAGCAAAATGTTTCCTTCACCATAACAAGAACGTGCCCATATGTAAATATTCATCAAAATGTTTCCTTCACCATAACAAGAACGTGTCCGATGAGACCGATCGATCGGGACAGCACGAACAGACCATTCAAGCATCCAGCGTCCACCAGCTGTTCCGTCTCTTCGCGGGAGAAGGCTCCGCACCCACGCAGCATATCCACGAACGCTGCTGCAATGCATCCATCCACGTTCAGGATCAAATTGGCTTTCTTCGTGATTGTTACATCCTCGACACCGAGTGCGTAACTAGGAGATGGAGGTGATTCAGTCATTTGCGGTTTTTCAACGTAAGACGTCGGGGGCGTGGATCATTTTCCCGAACGTAAGTAGTGATTATAGGTCTTGATTATCTCACCAGCCCCATATACATTCCACCGATACTCCTGATCGTTCTTCTATCTCATCCTCTTACTTATTCTCTTACAACTATTACTTTTTTGACGTAAGAAGTAGTGATAGATAGCATGGGTAGTAGGGAAGATAGTAGTTCTAATTGAGGGCCATCATATAGATCAGAGGTACCCCAAAACGCTCTTGTCGGCATCCGCTGATGACCAATGGTTCATAGCGTACTCCTTCAAGATTTCGACGCGCTTGTCCGGGTTGTGCTTGCTCTTGATTCGGTGGCCGATACCCATGATCAACTCGTTGGGGATTAGAGGGGGGGAACAGCAGAGGCAGAGAGGAAAGCAATCACCTTACACGAGAGAATCATGTGATACGAAAGATGATTATGATGTTGAGATTGGAATATAATCAATCCAAATGTCCATCCTTACAACACTATCCTTCTATTATGGAGGGGAGATGATTATTGAAATTTTACACTAAGAATTCCTACTACATTATAGTTCTTTACCATAACTTCTTCTTCATATCCGCCACATATTCCCTTGGCGCCAAGCCTTGGTCGAAGGCCTTGGAGAAGCTCTTTGCCGCGGCGTCCAACGCCCCTCCAAACCTAGGTCCAATGGTGAGCAAGCCTGAGCACAGGGAGTCAACTACGTCCTTGCCTGCTCTGGAACAGACAATCGCTTGGTTAGAGCTCTGAAACTCAAAAAAAATTCAATTTCTTTGAAAGTCGTCTTTGACGTGTTTTCTCCTGTGAAAGAAACGGTCAAAGACTTGCGTCTTATTCAAGATGAACTCAGTGGCGGCACAAGCCTTAACATTGTGGGCTCCACTCACTGCTGGACCGTGATCGGCACAGACCATAAGGATCATTTCCAGAAATTTACAGCATTCACGAGGCAGGTTGCGCTTAAACCAGAGAAGACTGAGCACGGAACCTATGCCCTTGTCCATCTCGAGGATTAGAGAACGGAAGAAAACAGTTGTACTTTCTTATCCAGATGCACTTTAGATTGCAGATTTGAGCGGGTCTCGCTTCATTTCTTTTTGTTGTGAATATGACCTGTCTATGTGTAGTATTCTAGAATCTACAGGTATGATATTCTAGAATATCATGATGGCAACTTCTAATCTAGTAGAGTCATTTCCTTGTCCTGATAATGAAAAACGATCGACTACACTAAGACTACCAATTATCTATACCAATATCGTCAGCAGACATAACATGACACTGGACAGCTTCATGCCAGAGTAAGTCACCTCATCCCCACGATCATCGGAGATGCTGCAGACCATATTGGCAGGTTGTGGTCGTACTACACCTAGTTTCTGCAGAGTCTTGAAGTCTTTCGGCACTGTCGGCACTTCTGGTTCTGGGAAGCGCTTGATAACACCCTGTTGGACCAGCTTGTTGAAGACAGCCTGCACCTTCTCTCCGAGAGAGTCGAAGGACGATGGGACCGTGATCAATTCATGCTGACCCAATGCGTGGTTCTTGGCCTGGTGTGGGCGTTTGGTCAAAGTCTTTGTATGATTCACAGAGCAGGTATCATCTATTTAGACATATTTATCTTTTGTGAAGCTATGTCTAAGCGACATGCCAGTCAGCACCTTGCTGGTGAACAGAAATAGATCACAGGCGATTAGTAAGGCTAGTCAAATTACTAAGAACTTCTACGAATAGACTAAACACTCTCCTTAGATTTTCGAAACTCAACATTCCAATTTCTTATCGAAGCCCTAATTTTTCTGTACCATTCCAATTTTTATTTCTAAACCTCTCATTCTGCTGTACCGCAATTCTTATTCCTATAAACCTTTCTAGACGTTTCTAGACCTTTCTAAACCTCTCATTATGCTATTTCTAAACCTCCCTAATAACATCTCATTATGCTATTTCTAAACCTTTCTAGACCTTTCTAAACCTCGCTAATAACATCTCATTACCTAATCCTCTCAACATTATGCTATTCCTAAACCTTTCTAAACCTTTCTAAACCTCTCATTATGCTGTATAAACCTCCCTAATTATGGTGTATACCTTAGCCGTTTCCTTGTCGCTTCTGGACTGCGCACCAGCATGCCCGAACTGCATCTCTTCTCCGAAAGCGGCTGCGCAAGTTCCCACACACCAAGCCACAATCGGCTTTGTGACGCGACCATCCTTCACGGCATCCAACACCTCATATTCGTCCAGACCGCCGACTTCACCAAGTATTAGAGGTTACGGAAATATAATATTCCTCAGAAGAACAACATTCCTGACTCATTTCCTACTGAAAAAAGAGTCAGGGATGCTAGTGAAGGATGTAATGTGGGAACCCTTAAAAGTAGGACAATCATCTTGACGTTCGGGTTGCGCTGGTAGCGGAGAATATGGTCGAGGAATCTGGTACCCGGATAACGATCGCCGCCGACGGAGAGATTAGAGCGAACGTCGAGTGTGTGCTCCTCAAGAAGTAGTTCTACTTCTTAAATAATGGGTAGACTTAACTCTAGAGCGAAGGAGTGTGTGGGTGCTGGTCAGGTAGTTTTACTTTTTAAATGGGTAGATTTAACTCACTAGTAGTAAAAGTTGTAGTGCAAGATTTCTATGAGAAAGAATGTAGGTGAGAGTCACACGTCAGACCAATTTCACATTACTAAGCCGTCTTTGTTTAGCCGTCTTTGTTTGGACGTTTATTGTATATGTTTATGCTACAGTCGACATATCAGTTCAGCAGCATAACAACACCTTCAGCAACGCCATCTGTGTTACGGCAGATGATGTTGTTCAACTCGTTACTCATGCCGCCAGAGCGCGAGACGTAGGCGACGGATCCCGGACGATAGAGTTTCGACATGATGATGTTCTCAATGGCACCACCGGTGTTTCCGATACGGAAGCAGCCTGGCTTAATGCCGCCCACCGTAGCAGGTCCGATAATGGAGACGCATTTGGACTGGTAGAGGAGGATTTTGTGATATAAGGTGAAGGGTCATTTCTGGCCTTCAGTCAAAAGCATCCTGAGAGTGTAGTCGTATCATGTACTGAAGTTTGGGAGATGTCTAGTCGTGCAATTTGTGATTTGTTCAAAATGTATTTTACATTGAGATGAATGGACTATGTATTGAGAGAGGATGAACGACTACTGGTCCCTAAGTCTAAGGCATACCTCCGCCATCGAGATGATTTCCCTGGTTTGTCGTTCTGGCATACCCTCAGCGATGATGGCAATGGTTCTAAGCCGAGTCGGATACTGCAGGGCCTCCATGGTTGAGTCATACGCCGAACGAAACGACGCAAAGTTGATCATAAAGCTCACATCCTGGTTCTCGTCGAGTGCGGCACGGATTGTAGGATACACCGGGATAAAGATCTCCTCGACACCCCAGTACACCTTCATATTCTGGCGTCCGCCAAAGGGGAAAACGACGGCGCTGACGGAAGGCTTCTGGCGGCCACACATACCGTCGAAATCAAGCATGCGCTGGACAGCCGCCTGCTGCAGATTGTAGACGATGCCTGTGGTGGGGAATGTCTTGTTTGTGGAGAAAAGATTGCCTTCGGAGATGCTTTGCCTAGAACGATCCGGAAGTCTCCCTAGAAAGTACTTAACTAGTTCACTCAAAAGACTCCCTCTCGTTTCTTTGGGAACTCAAGCAAAACACAAGTCGGCCTTCCTACTATGTCCTAGACTAAACTAAAAGAATACATGTCGTTTCCGGACTGGTGTCTTGCGTCTCCAGGGTTCTAAGTGGATAATGCGTATGCGGATGCCTCTCCTCCAAAGGCTTGTTGCTTAGCGATTGCGACTGGGATGCGTCGGTCTGTTGTGAGATGACGGGATGTAGTGGATTTTCATCTTGTACTTGGATTGTCTGTCGTGAGATGACGGGATGTAGTGGATTTTCATCTTGTACTTGGATGAAATTGAAATAGAGTTTTTGCAGTTGTAGGTAGTACCTACAGATGAAATTCTAATTCATACGACACAGGTATACTTGTTTACCACTTTCAAGGAGCTATGGACGACAGGATAGAATACGTCTTCCGAAAACGCTCTTGCCGCACGATTGTGCTTGGACATATTTGAGGGTCTACCACCGGAAATTCGGAGGTATTCAGCGGCGTCGAGATCCGGCTCCTCCAGGGTGTCCATCAAGCCTAACGCCATTGGCACAACCGCAGTCATATGCGTCTCTGGACCGTAGACGCGGATGGGCAAGTTTAGTTCAACGACTGCTTCGGAGATTAGAGGGAAGCAGCGTGAGAATAGAGGAAGAATGCAGGTTCCAGGTTCGAGGATAGGAACCAACGGTGCGCTGGAGATGTCATCTGAGGATCAGGAGAACATGTTTCATGCAGTCAATTCTACTAACTTATGCTGTACCACTAGTACAACATCTACATCTGCATATTCGCTAAAAGTCTTAGTACGTTTGTGAATCTATCAGTCTTAACTTGATTTTCCTCAAGCCGTCTAGGAAGTTCAATCCTGCACGACGGACCCAGAAGCTGACGTTGTGGCGCTTCAATTCTGCCTCATGCGATCGGATTGCCTTGATCAAACCGCCGAATGTTGCTGAGACATCTGTAAAATTGGCAATGCCACCTCCGATGATAAAGACCTTGCCCTTGGGATGGGGCTTGCTCTTGAACATCAAGGAGAAGAGGGTTCGCGCATACTGGTAGGTCTCATCGGCCGTCGGCGCGCCAGAGTACTCACCATAGTTGGCCAACTCATTGCCGTAGCCGAAATCAACCACAGTGTCCGCGTACACGACACTGGCGCCACCCCCAGCAACCATGAGCCACACACGACCAGCAGGGTTCAACACCGTCAACTTCAAACTAGCGCCTGTCTTTTCGTCCATCTTGCGGATGAATTCTTCTTCCGGGTACTCATGCGATCCGAAACCGGTGGGGAAGTCGACTTCACCCCATTTTTTAACGCACAGAAAGTGTGCTGTTTCGTCAATCTTGGCAGCGAGATCGAGAGGTACGATCTTAGCCTCCGGAATGTTGGTCTTGGGGTTTACAATGTCCGTGACGACCAGAGGATTGATTTCCAAGTACGAATAATGGCAATCCACGTACAACTCGAACAACGCTCTGATGTAGTCCGAAAGGATCTTCTTGCGGGTTAAGGGGACCTGTGAAAGATGGTGGAATGATCCTTTTGAATGAAGGAGCGTGGTAGTATGGCAAGAAGTCTCCATTATCTTGCTCTCGCAGTGAGGTCTTTCTTAGATTTAGATTTAGGGGGGTTCTTTCGCATTCTCGTCCTGAAGTCGATGATGATGGTAGTCGGTTCGGATTGGGCCTACGACTTCCCTGAATCTCCTCTGTGTTCTCCGAATTTCTCTGATGTTGAAGTTGTGAGGAGGTTGATCTAACGTCCTGCAGTAGATAACTCTCTATCACCACAAATACACCCACAAACACGATCGAATTCGAATCATATAGTACTTCTTTTCAAATACCTGGCACAGCAAGTTGTTGACTTCATCTTCGGTGACGGTTTTTGCGCTTGTTTTGACTTTCAGGCGTTCTGCCTTCGCATCCACATCCCCGATATTGATACCGCCTTCGTGGAAGAAGAAGATTTCGTCGAAGTAACGGTGGCTCTGGATCGCGACGTAGTATTCGTCCTCTTGCTTATGGGGGAGGAAGGGCTCGATCAGAAAGTGGGTTAGCATACCCTTCACATTCTCGATCGTCACTTCTGCCGATTAGAGATCCGAGGAGGAGAGGGAGAGAGGAAGGGAATGGAAGAGGGATAGAGAAATGGATGGGCCGAGACGGGAGAGTATAATAAGAAGGGCATTTATAGTAAACGGGTGGAAGAGCCGAAACATATACGGAGAGAGGAAAATTAGAGGGAGAAAAAGAAAACCTAGTTTTCATATTAGAAAAGAAAAAAGTGATAGTGAAGGAAGAGCGAGGATGCAAGAAACTTCTTTGCTGAAGAAGGAGAAGATTCAATCATAATTATGCAGTCTCTCCATGATCCAATCTTTAGCCTCCTCAAAGGTACAGTTGATCTTGATCAACCCTGCTTTGCCACGTCGCTTGATCAGCTGATCGGGCTTGACGACCAGTTTTTCCGTCAACAGCCAAGGATGCTGGGCAGTGAGAGACTCCCAGGCGAAGTCTGTGGGTAAATGATTGGCATTGGATGGCGGTGAGAGTGATTAGATTAGATTAGATTAGATTATGGATTAGATTAGATTAGATTAGATTAGATTAGATTAGATTGGGCTCCTGCCCCAGCCCTGCGCCTCAAGCGCCGAAGAGGGTACTACTAGTCTAGTATGTATTAGGGAGAGTGTAAATGTAGATCACTTTTGTGGAAGGAAACGAAGCGAAAGTTATTACAGTACAGAGGGAAGAAGAAGAAGAAGAAGAAGAAGAAGAAGAAGAAGAAGAAGAAGAAGAAGAAGAAGAAGAAGGTGACAGTTCACTAGACTCGGAAGCCGAAAAGGAGTCTACAACATACAAGTACAAGCAGCCTATGTGGTCAGTACTAATATCATCCGCCTGCCAGACTTTCGGCGTGACGAGGACGCCCTGATAACCCTCATCCTTGTAGAGATGCCTATAAAGCATCTGCTTTCCGTGGAACTCACGGACCGCTTTCACCGACATCTTGTTCCTTTGTTAGACTGTAATTACACCAGAATCTCTTCGTTATGAGCACTTTCCAACGAAAAAAATTCTTGAACGAAAAAATAAGTGTCACCTACTATCAACTAGGAAAACGGCCTGTGAATGCTCAAATGGCCATTTGAACATAAATACCAAGAAACTCAATGCAAATCGTAACTTTGTGCTATCTTGAGTAAGTATGCGAAAAAAACTAGCAAGAATAGCCCTGCATCAAAACTTTTTATTTTTCTCCAAGGAAGTAAGACTCAAGTCTGAGAAGACAAGAAAGTGATCTTACCCTAGTATCTGGAAAACTTAGTTTTTGACTGCTTTAGTAAATATTACACTCAAAAATTGACAAGATGGGACAAGAATCCACAGTACAATCTTTAATGTCTAGACTAACTAAAACGAACCTTCTATCAGATTTTTTCGTTGGCAAAAAATCACAAGTCTCCCACGACACAGTGTTTTCTTTCTAATAATCACACGACACAGTGTTGCTCTGGTTCTTATTTGAAGAGATTTCTTACCTCATGAGGATAGAAGACAATCAGATGGTGATAGAACAATACCTTTGTTCTTTTTTTTTTTCAATAACATTTGTAGCTTTCATGATTTTGTTATTTTCCAAAGAGAACCTGTAAACCAGGTGATCTACTACATATCATTCACTATGGCAATTTTGGATGCACATATCTTTCTCGTGATGCATCAATTGATCGACACAGTTTGCTTTCACTTCTTTTCTTACCGTTTTCCTCTCTGTCTCTGGTGGAAGGTCTCCCTAGCCTCTCACCTCAGCTCTTCTCGGTGACACTGCCAGCCATCTCACACCTTCTTTGCGACACGGCGCTCAAGCTCTTTTTCGTTCTTATGCTGTAGTTTGTCTCGCAGAGAGAAAATGAACACCCGATGCGCACAGTGATGTTGCAGAATAGACGAGTTATAACTTCTTCGCGTCCCTCATAGTTAGACCTGCTTTACCTCTTGCGCGATCACTGTTGGTGACAAGTAAATTGACAGCCACTAACGCGTTGATTGGATTCAAAGATAAGATTCACCAAGGCTACCCTTCATCTCATATGATCTGGTCAAAAGAGTCAGGGAAATTTTAGCGAAAAGTATCATGGTAGCAGAAATCATTTCTTCATCGGTCTCAGCGATTCAGAATAGAAGTATTAGCGAACTCTTCCACGGGGTATCCATTTCCTAGGTCCTTGTATTCCTAGACCCATTTTTAGCAAGCATGTAAGATAGCCAGACAAAAATTGAAATCCTCATACGAAAAAAGGTTCACAAAGCTTCCTTCACTTCAACAGGACGGATCTTTCTTTTACTAGTACCCAATAGCCGCAGCTCTAGTTCTCATCAATGATCAACTGTTGCAGGCACTAGTGGCCAATAGCCGCAGCTGTACTTTTCCTAGACTGCTGCAATTTTTTCAGAGCGAAAGTTTCTTCTACAGAGATGCTCTGTATCCCATTCTCCACGTCTAACAGCGCATGCTGCATCCTCGGTCGCCTTTTCCCTTCATCGAACAACAAGGCTTGGGCATATTCTAGCAACATCGCTGCTCCAGGTTGGATTCGACGGACCTCGGCTGTCAAAACGAGGTGGGACAGAAGCTAGATGAAGTGCATGACGTGTTGTAATTTGTCATCGTGAGGCATGTTTTGGAAATGCTTAATCCAAGTTGACATTCTTAACTATGATGACGTTGGAAGCGAAACAAGGATCTATACCAACAGAGAGTGACTCCGCCAACGCTGCTGCAGCGTCGTAATTGCGATCTGTCAATAGGCCAAGGTGTAGGAAAACCAGTTCCATCCTCAGTGTCTTGGTTAAGACCAGGTCTTTTAAGGTCGCCCAAGCGACTCCGCTCGCCGAAGCTATTTGCGACCCTAGATGCTCGCGTGCTTGGGATGAAGAGAGGCAGGCTCATTTTCATGTTGATAATATGTGGTGCCGCATGTAACTAGAATACTAGAACAAACAAAACTAACCAGCACAAGGAAATCTATCAGGTTGGTAATCGTCGACAAAATTTCCAAAAAGAAAAATGGTGACAAATGACTACTAATCGGACTCACGGATATAATAGCCTCTAGCAGGAGCATAAGTGCAATGTGCCGCCTCTTGTGCGTGCCTCTGCCTCTCGCTGCCCCCGCGTCGCGAGTAAATCGAGAGCTGCATTTCCACTCGGGGTATATCCTTGCTGCTGCTTGTAAAAGCCTCCTGACATGGTTGCGCCAGCGTTTTTACCACGAAATCCGCAAGGAGATTTGTACGAAGGCTGCGCCGCTCCTCCTTGCTTCGCAGCCAGAGCACTGCTACCACTTTGTCTTGTTCTAGTAGTACAGCTATTCATCCCCTTGGCTGAAGAGGCTTCGGATGTCGTCGTTGAGGAAGCGACATCGGCGAGGGCTAGATTGTTGTTTCCATTAGAACAAATCTTGATCCATAGGGACATCATACAACAAGTGTCAACGAATATCAACATTGTGTTTGAGAAGGCACGTCATGTGTGAGACACCGTAGTCAACCTTGCAAAGGATAGGATAGGCTTTGATTCACCGTCCACAGTTTGACCTGCCTCCTCGGGTGAATATGTGCCGCCACAGAGGGACTACCAATTTTTATTTATCTTCAACTAATAGCTTCTGCGACTAAGTGACATTGTCCCCGTGGTAGCCTTAATCGTCGCTCTTTCCTTTGTGCTGCTCTTCGCCGTAGTTCCTCCAAATGACCCTGTACCTCCACCGGAGGCCAAAGACGGCACAAAGAAGGGACCAGAGGTCGTGGCACAGCCAATTCAATTTAGGGCTTGGAAATCATGGCTGATTTTTCTATTCTGAGGGCTTATGATTTTTACTTCACTCTTTCGAAAAAGTTAAAGTTTTTTATACTATGTTTCGAAAAAGTTAAAGTTGTATATACTAGAAAAAGTTAAAGTTTCGAAAAACGAAAAAATTATACACTAGATAACTCAACAATATGAAGCCATTCTTGCCATAACCGATGCAAAATTTCTGGTTTTATCACGTGACAATCCTTCAAAAAGCCGATGAGGACCACGACTTTTTCGACCAGAGCATGCGGTTGCCGCAGCGCCTGCAGGGCCTCCAAGTCCGCCTTGGTGAAATGCTGCAGTACTTCCTCGTTCAGGGTATTAGAAATGTTTCTCGGGGCTACGAGAGATAAATTTAAGAGCTATGATAGATAAAGTAAAGACGGCTGCAGGGATGAGATGGCATCCCGCCCCACCCGATCGGTGGGTTTACATCATCATCATCGTATTAGAATAGAAGACGGACGACCAAGTTAGTTCGAAACAACTGGGAGGCTGACGAGGACAGCTCTGCTACATCATGATCATTCTCGACACAGAAGTTGTAGAGTCACAAGTTGTATTCTTACAGTGCTTGTTGTTTAAATCATAACAATCATTTGATCCATGTCCGGTTTCTCGAAGAGGCGATCAAGGAAACTGTCTGGGTCATAGGCTTCTGCTCCTTCCATCGCATACTTGAAATGACTCTTCGAATATTTCGACCGTTTCGGTGCTTTCTCCACTTCGGGTAGAGCGTTCAAGTCGGAAATTAGATGAGGAAAGTATCATAGATATCCATCGGAAAACAAAAACTTTTTGTTGTACAGGCATAACAAGTGTTGTTGCGTTTTGCTAGTCGATCTCCCATCTCGCATTGACTCCTCCGCACCCTCGCTGTTCCGCCTCCGCCTGGAGCCTCTAGTAGAAGGATCTAGGGGTGCTAGTAATCCCGGTCTCGCTGCTACCCCTTGTTCTGTCTTACAACCGCCTAAGTGGTCGCGCCTTGTTCCAGAAACGTTGCTCTTACTCCTTGCTCTTGTTTGAGAGCTTGGGTGTGAGATTAGAGAAAGTGCAAGGAAGGGACAATCTTTAGATGTCATCACGACCGTGACGTCTACTTATCATTTCTCTTCATCTTTCGCTTCCCACAGACACTTCTTAGTACACAGGACTTTCAAACATGATGTGGATTCATAAAGGGATCTTCGCCTGTCTGAACTGCTTTCTCCGCAAGACGATGTCCTCTTTGCCTATGATATCGTCCAATAACTCTCGTACTTGCGCCAAGACATGGGGAATCACATTCGCAGGGACATCTGAGACTACCGTCTGCGAAAGATTAGAGTATTGTTTTCAAGAGATTTGGCGTACTCACAACGAAACCAGCACGAACGCTGGTTATCCAGCACGACCCAGGGATCTACCATTACTCAAAAGTGACATATCTATTCGAAGTACATACATGCCGAAACCATCCCATTGATTCCAAAACGACTCAAGTAGTTCCACAACCTCATTCCTAAACAAAGGTGGATACATGCCTATGCGTCGGACTGTTCCCAGAATTACAGCCGATTCGTACTCGCTTTTGTGCCTCATGATGTCTAGCAGCTTGCTTCCCACCGCATGACACGATCTGGCCTCGACGTCTGATGCGCGAAAGGCCCAGACAGTATGAACAGCATTAGCGAAACGTTGATCGCCGAAGATCAAGGGCATCAAAGCGGTCACCACCTCTACAGAACGCACACCACAAACATGCGCTTGAACCTCAACGCGGAGTTCGGGTATCTGATTGTAAAGTGTTTTAGTTTTTGTTTCCGTACGCATCCATGACAAAGGATTTTCATTGTGGTCTTTCCCGAAAAACATCATTTCGAAAGATTCCGGCATTGCTTCTCAAAGGGACAAGACAACTAACTCAGCATGAACAACTCTTTTTCAGTGAATCAATAGGGATCACATCATCTTCACCAAAGAATAGAAAGGTACCTTTTTTCTACTCCCAGAAACCAAACTGCATAGACTTTGTTCTACTTCTGCTCGCATTCGAGGTGTAAGGCATGGCTCTTGTTCATCCCACGAATTCTGGTACTGCTCACCCATTTTTGGTGAACGTGACACTACATCTTGTCCTTCTGCTGCTTCGATGGATGATAGGCCTATCATCTTTTCTAACTGATCATCCCCTGCTCTCAGCAGTGACCCCTTGTTGCGTTCCTGGACCTGAGAGCTGCTGATTGGTTCAAGCTGCTGATTGATGCCAGCAGATTCGTCTGAACCTTCTTCAGCTTGTGAATCCGCGGATGCGCTGGCATCGTAACCATCTTCCTCGTTGCAGGTTGCTGCTGTGGAGGCCTTGGAACTTATTTTCTGGAGTGCTGGAGGCCCACTATATTCTTGGAACTGATGTTGATTTTCAACCTTGTGCTTGCGAGCAAGTGCAAGTCCACTCTCTTTCGCAGCACGTTCAAACACAGCGTCTATCTCTTCACTCTCAGACGACAACGGGATCTGCTCATAGGAACTACCGTCTGTAAGTAGGTGTTGCACATCTGAGTGTTCCAGATCATGACTGAAATCTTCGACACACGTGGGTGCAGGTCGTGCAACCACTTCTGCAGTCGAAGTTGTTCCTCCTATTGTTGTGTCCCCTACCCGTACTACCCCTATTGAAGATGGTGTATCTCCTATGATCGTTTTTCCTCCCTGCTCTAGTGCGGCCGTAGTATCTCCTACAACGGTAGTTGTTTCCCCACCGCCTATTGTTGTCTCTGCTCCTGGAGGTATGACACCAGTGGTTGTTTCCCCACCGCCTAGTGTTGTCTCTACTCCTGGAGGTATGACACCAGTGGTCTTCCGAGACCGGCCTGTTGAGCTGTACACCGCAGACCGCTTGTAGTAGTGTGCACCTGCTGCACGTCTAGGCATGGGAGATTTTGTAGGAGACATCGTCGTGGGCGATGTAAAGTCATTCTGCGTCTCGTGTTCTGATCTAGGTTCTTCAGGTCTAGGTTGGTGAGATGAAGATTGAGTAGATATCATTTTAGCATCTATCACCGCTTTGCTAGGACTTCTGCTGCTTACATTCATCTGAGCACTGCTCTGGTTCTGTTGTTCTGCTGGGTCTCCATCTTTTCGTGGTTGGGGTTGTGGTGCTGTTGTCCGCATCGCTGCCTCTGCTGTCCCCATTCTTGCCTCCGCAGTCTCAATCCCCGCGTCTGTCGTCCCCATAATCCCCCCCTCTGCTGTCCCCGCCTCTGCCGCTAGCCGACTAAGACGATGGTGCACACGCTGAAGCCCCGAGCTCGGCCTGCGCTTGCTCCATGACGTTTTTTCACTGACCTGGCCTGGCACGCCAACATTTGCATCTTCTATGGGCGATAGTATTAAAGCTCAGCATTCATTGGTCACTGACTCTGAACGGAAGAGACCTCCTCCAAGGCTCTCCCCTTTCCCTTCATTTTCCCCTGTTCTCTCAGAGGGACCCTCTTCGATTTCAGTGACCAACCTCTATGACCAATGAAAGTTGAGCCTTAATAGTAGGGTCTTCGGCAGTGGTGGTGGTGGTGGTGGTGGTGGTGCCAGTGCAACATTGGTAGTGGATGCGACATTCGGTTGCTGTGCCAGACCATATGGATTGCTTGATGAAGAGGACCCTCCTGACTGGAATAATGGGCCTGCTCCGAATGGTGTGCTAGTAGTCGTAGCTGTCGTACTAAACAACATATCACTGTCCGATAACCCTTGTGGTTTGTTGAGCAAGGCAGTCCGTAGTGGCGGTAAGTGGATAGCACCGGTTACCAAAGGTGGCTCCTGTTGAGAGCTTCCATGTGGATCTTGTTGTTCTGATACAGAGGCACTCGTACTACCATGATGAATGTCCGACAAAACGCCAGAGCATGTACGCAAGCGGGGTCGGTGGCTTTTGTAATGCTGACTTTTGTAGTCACTCAGCGTTCGCGAGAGAGGCGCTCCTCTTTGCATCCGAGTGCCCGCACGATCTGTCATTTTCTGTCGATGCTGGAATGTTCCTCAAGTTTGTACTGGACGAAAAAAAAAAACTCAGCTAGGGTCAAAATCTTTACACGGTGCGACGATTTTACTCAGAATTTTAACTTCTTAGGTAAAGGTAAAGGAGCTTAAGATCGCGACACGCCACTCCCACTTTGAAAAACATCGCGGTGCCTGTGCCAAAAATCCCATAGCCTTTTGTATTCTTGCGAAACGAAAAAAAACATATCCGTTTTGCAATAGTATTTCGAATGCTTTTTAGTGTCAGTACCGGCTTCAGAGAACCATAATATCGAATACAACACGCTGTCCGCACGTGCGCCCGTTTGGTGGCGCACTTCTGGAAATCTCTACTTTGCTGGAACAATGTTTACAAAAGAAGAGCAAGTATTCATCATACATATCTTCAGAGTTCCTTTCTGACAGTTACAACACATGCATCATCCTTTCTTACAGTAACAATCTTCAGAGTTCTTTTTTCACCACCAGTGCATCATCATCTATGTATTCTATCAGGTCTCTTTCGCGGCTAAACTCCGCAAGGGCAGCTGCCTTATCCGCCAACCCTCCTGGACCGGTTCCGCCACCGTCTGCATTCTTTGCAGCATGCCCCTTTGGATTAGAACTACGGCGTCAGTCTTTGGTATGTTGTAGAGTAAAATTTTCTTTCAACAAAAACGTCATATATCACATAAAAAAAGTAACCCCACAGATAGCTAAATTCAAAAAACCTCGTCTACCAGCGCATAACTAAAGTAGCCCTCATGGATCCAAAGGCTTCTAGCTGTTGCTGCATGGTTTCGCTAGCGCGCTCTGCTAGAGTTTTGATGCGTGAAATCAGTCCCTCTGCCATCTCCACTTCGGGAATCGGATTCCGTAACGCAACGTCTCTAGATGGGGCACCGTAAGTGGGTATGGATTTAGTTGAAGAAGATGGATCTGCTGCAGAGCTAGAAGTTGACGTGGCATCGGAATGTGGTCCATGTTCAAAATTTCCACCTTGATGTGCCGACAGCAAACCCATTGGTTCGCCCACAGGCATCGTCCCTATAGAAGGCGTCACCTTGGGCCAGGATAACGCGACGTCACTGTGAATCGGTGCTTTCTCATCGAGACCACCAGCAATCTGCTTCGTCGCCTCATCCACGTGAGCCAGCACGTCTTTGAACGAACGTGGCAGACCACTGGCAACATCCTCCAAGAATGAAGTGGATTGTATTTGTTGTAACATATTGTCGAGAGTCAAGTATTCAGTAGTTTATCAATCATGCTTCTCTGCGCCATCGAGTCTCAGGGTTCTTGCCCGTCATCAATGAATTTTCACGAAGAAGAAGTGTTGCAAGTCTATTATCCTTTCAAAGGGTAATGGGGAAAAGCTGAGCAATATCTTTTTTGGAATCATAGACGCCTTTTTGTGAGACCTTAGAAAAAGTAAAGCGTCTTTTCAGAGGAACTCAGAGGAACCGAGGATTAATAGTTTCCACGACCGACGATGACCGAACCTCGACGACCGAGTAATCACTACCACAATACAACTAAATCATTGCGATATATCGGGATGAACGACACCGATTGAAATTCTTCTACTTACTCAAGATACAGAAATAGGAGGCTTGTTCAATCAGTCGGAACATCTCCAGAGCCTCGACTTCTGTAGAATACTGCGTTACTACCAGTCAGCTGGCAGTCTTTAGAGAGAGATGAATCAGTCTGTTTGATATGAACGGAGAGTACGTCTTCCCAACACAGGAGTAGCATCAGCAGCTTCTCAAGATGAGCATGAAGTAAGTTGCTTACACGAAGCTGCTACAGCGTGTCTATCTCATGTCTTCACGCCGCAACGACCTCCACCACGCCTCCAACTGCCTTGAATTTAGCTATCAAAGCGTCAACCTCGCCTGGTGGTACACCCTTTTTGAGTACCTGAAAAGAGTGTTTATTCGGTGCTTGTACACCCGTTTTGAGCACCTGAAAAGAGTGTTGAAGAACAATGTAAGTATGCCAATGCCTGCTGCTCACCAAAGAAAACTTCTGCCTTCGTCGTAAGGAGGGACCTATTGAAAGACCGACGACATGAAAACATGCTTTCTACTTAGGGATACAGTAATAGAAAAAATCGGAATTACTAGGGAATAAACAGTGTTCATGAAGCCATTGTGAATGCAAAATTGTGAATGGGAAAAAATCAAAGTAAGTACTTTCGGGCACTTCACAAAATTGTGAATGGGAAAAAATCAAAGTAAGTACTTTCGGGCACTGCTCCACTAGTTCTTTCGATTGCGCGAGACCTAAGGCAGTCAACCCCCTTACTTCCTTGATAACCGCAATTTTCTTTGCTGCTTCGAAAGATACGAGTTTAAGACTTACTGGACCAGCTGGCGCTTTCGGTTTCTCTGGTTCTGCGGCTTTCGCTGCTGGTTCTGCTGCTCCTGGTTCTGCTGCGGCAGGTTGTGGCGCTGCTGGCGCTGCTGCCGGTGCCATACCGGGATGAGCACCGGGTGGCATAGCTAGTGGTTTATGGAGAATGTGGTTTTGTAATGGTGCACCTAGAAGTAGGGTTGATATGCGGAGAGGATACACTAGCTCGACTAGGCTAATAAAGCAGACATTTTCTCAAACTCGAAGAAGATAACATTAGATACTTAGAAACGTTTCGCTCGCCTAATTCAAAGAGGTACCTTGCGGCATCATACTCCCAAACATGGCCATCGGGTGTGGAAATGGCATTCGGCCAGGTATAGGACTGCCATCGCCAGGCGTCAATCGCTCTTGGCACAAATCACACAGATCCGCAGCTTCAATGAGTGTCAAGGACATGATCTCATCCGCCAAATTCAGAACGCGATCGCGGATTAGAACAAGTTCAGGTTCTTATATTAAATAATTTCCGAGTGTAGTTCTTAGTCATCAAGTTGAAGAAGTTAAGGTTCATATATCAAATAATTTCCGAGTATAGTTTTTAGTCATCAAGTTGAGATTGTTGGTATCCTGATTCTGATACTAAGGGAAAGATTTAATGTAAGTTGTAGGCCAGTCCTGATAAGTAGATTCGACTCTCTATGGTCATTATCACAAATTACACGAAAATTTGCTGTTGGTGCGAGTTGTACATTCATTAGAGTACGAAGCCTTAGTGATGGTTTCCGTTTGAGGGCCTTGTTTTTTTCTTCGGCCTCTCCCCCACTGCTGTCTTTCAATTTTGCGAAGACGTCGAAAGACGAAGCAGCCGAAGCGAAGGCTCGCCGTGCACCGCCGCGAAGGCTGGCTGTACTGGATCTGTGAGATAATGCTGAAAAGTGCATTGGTCTCCGCCCTCTTCGTAAAACGCTCTGTGACGCCTCTGAGGGCAATCGAGTCGAACGCACTATGGAAACCGGATGCATTTTTTGAAACTACGAATGGTAGGAGTTGAAGACAATCCAGATAGACCTCCCAATACCCATTGAATTCCACTCTCGCTCACACACACTCTCTTGTACTGTAAGGATAACAACAACCTCAAATATTCGGATGCGGGTCTCGCAGTGGGTAGCTAATGGCAAATGTAACTAGTCTTCTCTCAGAAGCCGCGTCATCGGAAGGTACAAAATGAACCCATAATTAAAGATGCGTGAACCACCAGCATTCATGCCTGCAGAGGGCAGAAGACAGGTACTTCTGAATTTGACTTTAGTTGATGTTGTTTGGTCTTTATTTGTGTATTTGTTCAACTTGCGATTGAACGAAAACCGGTTTTCTAAGATCATCATGTCTAAGTAATTGTGGCATGAAGGGGTTTTCTAAGATCGTCATGTAAGTAATTGTGTGCATCCCTTCATGTAGTTCCCCATGGCTCTTTTGTTGTGCGATCTGTAATCTATGGAAGCAGATGTGGGACTGCCCCCTTTGCTCGTCGTCATGCCCAAGAAGAATCTATGCTGTATCGATGAAGAAAGAGAATCAAGACTCGAAGCGGATGCCTACAAATTGTAAATAACCCATGACACCCTGGACAGAATCAGTGTAAGATGTTGAATGTTGAATGATAATAAGCAAGCCAGAGCTCATGCTAGGAAGCTCGATTTAGGTAGATCGATGATGATTTTCAGTATTGAGAAGATGGATAAACAATTATTGAACGAAAATTTTTTTAATGAGACAGTGCTGTAATCTACTTGCGACTACTACAACCTGGGGTCTTGAACTGAACCGATCACTTCCTCGGTACTCTTCAAAATGCCAAAAACGGCTCAACAGTGGATAAAGTCCTCCACGAAAACTTCTTATAAGTACTATAGCCGCGTAGTTTAATCCATATGATAATGCGTAACGCCAACGGGCAGCTCCACCTCCGCACTTGTTCCGTCTCCCATATCATCTTTACTCCAAGACGAAGTAGACGCTTGATGAGGTCCAACTACATCAGCTGTCGTATCGTCGTTGTCGTCATCCGCATACCAATCTGCAAGCGATCGCTTCCCGCGAGAGGCGACGCTGCCCATGCTAAGGCTTAGAAAGGCCGCTTAAAATATTATACTGACTTCTGTATCAAGTGCTTCTTTCTCAGTATCTAGGAGAACAATTTCCAACTCAATCAAGTGCTTCTTTCTCAATATCTAGGAGAACAATTTTCTAGAGTGAGTTTTTTTTCCATTTCCTGCTCTGTTTCTATGAAGTCTATAAGAGCACGCGTCATCTATTTGCTCTGCCTTATCTGCGGCACTGTAAGCAACGCGCTAGCACCGTCCTCAGCAGATGTTGGATCCCCGTCATCTAATGCTATTGGCGTTACCGGAAAATTGTCTAGAGATTCACTACCACCTTCTGCAGTTTCGCCTTCTTTGTACCACATAGTAAGACCACTCTCACGCCGTACTATTGGTTTTACTAGCGCTGTATTCTTCTTATTCGCTGGTAGAGAACTCGAAGATGAAAGAGGACTTTTTGAGGCTGCCTTGCTCTTGGAAGTAATTTTTGATAAATAATTATCATCAGTTTTACAATTAGTGGCAGCCTCTACCTCTTCTCTTCCTTTGTGGCTGAGAGGTTCTGTAGCTGACCCCGCACTGGACCGACCCGCAGAAGTCGTGCTATTCCTGGTATTCCGAGGACTTTTGAGGCGCGTTCTGCTCTTGCGCAAAACAGCTAGATATTGAGCTCCTACAGAGGAAGTTGTTGAGGATGAAGACGTTGGAGCTGCGTTGGTTTTTGCAGCCGCAGACGTTGTACTGGTACCTGATGATCCCGCCAACTTAGGCGTTGCAGAACTCTTGCTTTCCTCTTTAACAGCTGGTCCCTGCAAAGCCTTGAAGGATTTCGTCTTCATGTATTTCGCACCTGTTGTAGAAGCCGTAGGTGGTTCAGAAGCAGTAGTCGATGTTTGAAGATCAAGATCTTTATTTTTATCATGGTCATCTTTCAATGGTGTTCCATCATTCGGTGTCCCGTCATCTCGCACCGTCTCCCGACCGCGCATATCGTCTTTTTGAATTTTACATCTCCTAGAGGAGGAACTTAATCTACTAGATTCCTCTTCCACCGCTTCGACATCAGCATTACTCGACAGCGTCGCACGACTAGCTGACGACCCTTCAACGTCACCAGCGTTGCTTGGCGATAGTGTTGCACGACTAGCGAAAGATCCTAGGGTTCTTTGTCGAAAAAAAGAGGAGTGCTTAGTGTCACTAAAAGCACTCAGTTTGGACGAAGAAGAAGCGGACACTGTTGAGGGAGCAACCGTACTACGTGAATCTATCACGTCGCTCTCCCTACTGCAACTTGTTTTGTACTTTTTAGTGTCACCTTCATTGTGCCTTGTGGTCGACAAGATCGAATCAGCGTTCTTGATGCCTTCTGCTTCGTGCTCAACTGCAGTCCCCTCTACCGAAGATGAAGGAGAGTCACCCTGCACCTCTTTTATTTCGTCAGAGGCCGACGCCCGACTGTTATTCGAACTGCAATAGCTTCGCGTTGTCCTTTTCCTAGGCACTTCTTGGAGATCATCCCTAGGGCGTACTGGCTTTAAGCGCGCTTTGTCGTACAGCGGATGTAATTCCTGTTTCCGCAATCTTCGTGGGGCACTACTACGGTAATACATTTGGTCAGACTCTTGCTGGTCGCCGCCAAGTCGCGGGCCACTATTAGAGGTAGGTTTTTGGTGTTCGTTTATCCCGCTTGTTATGGCTGTCCCCCTCAGGAGAGCCATAAGAAACGGTAACAAAAGCACCTTTAATGTACCCTTAACACTAGTTCTAGTACGTGAATCGCCCTGCAGCTCTTCTTCGCCACAGTTACCATCCTCAGAATCAGATGGTTCAGAAAAACTGCCTGAACGAGAAAGGCGCTCACTCGCACTAGAACGACTACTTTTTGTGCTGTTTCCTTTGTTGCGAAGAGTATTGCTCAATCCACTTCTAGTAGTACTCGCACTCTTCTTTGCTGCATCATGATTTGTAGCGCCCATTCTTCCTTCCTCGTTGATGCTCTTCGAAGCGGAAAACGATCTTCTTCTCATCCTCGAACCTGACGATTTCTCCTTTTTGATGCTACTCGTATCAGTTGTATTAGTTGTACTTGTGTTGTTTACAACGGTCGCCAGAGATGAGCGCCCATCCTCGAGCGATCGGACAATGACACCTCCAGATGATGACGCTGTTGACTCCCGTGCGCGTCTCAGGTGCGCCGAGTCTCTCTTCGTTGCGGCAGTGGGGATCGCGTTTCTCTTGTAGTATTTCCTAGTTTCGCCATCGCATTCTACTTCGACAATTTCCTCCCAGTCTTGTGGCGTTGAAGTAGCACAAGCACTTACACTATTCGTAGACGCCCCTGATGACCGGGAAGAAGCACCCATTTGTTCCTGACTCGCATCGTTAGGTGTAGGAGGATTTTCTGGCGTTGTGGAGTTGTTAATCTCCTTTATTGTTCTCTGTGGAGTTGAGAGGACGTTCCTGTTCTGTGGAGTTTTTACTTCGGTGTTCTCATGTGACTGCTTTGGAGTTAAGCTACTGTTTTCCACCTGCTGTGACGGGGATTGCGCTTCCCCGACATGGTCATGAAGTGGAGTCTGAGATTGAATCTTGCGCCTTGTATGATTCGGCGTTCTGCTCCCATTTTCTGATGTTGACTCTGTCTTTTGTACTTTCTTAGGCGAGGGCGTGTCCCCAAAGTATTCTCGTAAATGGGCAACCCTACTTTGATTTTCTACGAGTTCAGTTATAGAAGTAGTCTCCGGCAGCTCGACAAGAAGTTCAATCGCATGATGTCCTTCAGGAGAATTACCCTCTGTTTTGGCACGACAAGGATCAACATCTACTGCAACAGGAAAATTCCCATCTTTATTTCTTACATCGGCGTAGAGAGACCTCTTCTCTCCAACCACATACACTCGCCGAGGGGAGGGCGCCTCTATGTCCTTTACTGCTTGTTCAGACCTCTGCTCGGACCGTGCAGCGGATGGTGACGCCTGCAGCTCTTCGTGGTTGATGAGGATACTATTATAGTCTACTTTATGGCTATCCTTCGTAGGATCTCTGGCAGTTTCTTTTCCTCTGATATTACTCCGACAACTAGGCGATGATAATTCTCCCACAACCAATGCCGGACTACTTCTTGCATGGGGTAACTCCTGTAGTTCTTCTCGCTTCTCAGTAAAAGTCTGGGGTGAACCATTCAACGACCAAGTTCGTTGGGGGTGCGGAGAAGTTTGTTCGAGTTTGATACTAAGAGCAAGAGGAACCCCTGTAGAAGTAATTCTCTTTTCACTTGTTCCTGCTTTGAGAGGTCCTTTTTGGTCCAGCTTCTCTACAAAGTTGAGGTTTTCACTTGGTAAAGATCCTGCACTCGTCGCGCCTGATAGCACAGAATGAAAATCCGTCAGAGTGCTACACCGCGATGAACGCGCAGATGCGTGGGTACTAAAAAAATCCAGACTACCTCCACGACCATCTCGTATACTGAAGCTTTCGTGAAGATCCGGGTCTCCTGTGTTGCCACTTCGTAAAGCTTCTTCCACGTCTGAGAAATCGACCTCTATTGCCGGCACATCGGTCCTAGTATCCTCTTGATCCTGCCTTGGAAACTGTGGAAAGCTTTCTTCCTCCAGTGTGTTTCTTCGGAAACTTTCTTCAAACGTGTGGTTCCTTGTCCTCGTCCCCACATTCACATTTTCTTGATGAAAGCCGCGAGAACTCCTTTGGGCTGCATCATCATTGATATCCTTCTCCTGTTGATTCTTTTTATCACCAATTATAGTCTCTTGTTGCTGCAATATTCCGACTCCTTCGCCGCCTTTGCTGAGGATATTCGTATTTCTATGCTTCTTCTGTCCTTCCTCAAACACCTTCGATGTATTCCACATTACTCCAGTGTCATCAGAATTGTCTCCATCGCTGTCCCCCGATTCATCCAGTTCTCGCACTGGCTGAATCGTGTTCGTGGCACATCTAATCCGCTGCTCTGTAGTGCCTTCGCCTTCATCGTCGGAGAAAAGTCTGCAGACGGTCGAGTCGGAAGGGGACCCAGGAGAACTTGAGGTGGAGAGTACGGAGGTTAGAAGTACTTCTCAGCTACTGCTAGACAAACGGAGAGTACGGAAGATTGAGACTCCTGCTTCTAGATTAAATGGCCACTGCTGCTTCTAGATTAGAACGGAAAGTCCACTACTGCTTCTAGATTAAATGGCCATGTAGAACGTTCTAGAAGAAGATCAAAAGAACCACATCACAAAAGAGCATAGAAAGAACTACACAACCACCCTTAACTGTCCAATCCCGCAAACTCTGCTACAGCTTGACTTTACGCGAGTCCAGACGCGACCGACCAAGGATCGCTCAAGGCTGCGCTGCGCACTACGCTGAAAGATTCCAGGTGGAGAGCGCAACTCTACTCTGTCCCCGGAAAGCATTCTGTAGCATCAGCCTCTAGAAGCAGTTAGCATCCGCTCACTCCTCAGAAACGCATTTTTTTGGTATCCTTTGTATGAGGTTGTAATATGCAGCCTAGTTAAGTGACGATAAAGATAAGCTCTCAGAGGAACAATTTCGATCAGCGATTGGAGAACAAGTAGCAAACCACAAAAGTACCAATCAATCTGGTAAACCAACAATGCTATTGTTCTGCTTTCTCAAGATCTCAGATGAAGAGCGAACTACCATCATAATAACGTCGCGTCTACTGCTAGTTACGCAACCGAAGCCGCTGCAGACTTGTTTATCATCACCGCGATGAGAACAGAATGGTAGCACTGTCCTTTAAAAAACCTTCTCTGAAGAAAACTAGTCAGAGAAATCATCGGTATAGTAGTACAAGAAAACGCAAAATTCGAACCGGACCCAGAACTGCAATTCATTAATTACACGATAACTTTAATATCACATCTTCAGTGTTTCTGTAAACATTCTATTGGAATGCTCAGCAAGGGCGTGAAGACCAAGTCTGCTGTGCTAGACGTGCTGCTGCTGTCTTCATTACGCGTCTCCTGGCCAGCCTGAATGAGCCGTGTCTCAACCCAAGGCCGTTTCCTTCTCTCCAAGTCTTCCTGTTGCTCTTCAATTACCGTGGTCCTCAAATTATAGCTTCTGTCCAGAACGGCAGCGTTCAAAAACAAAGTACTGCCGTTTGCATTATACGACCACCCTGGATCCTCATGCACGTGTCCGAAAAGGTGCACCAAAGGCCTTACACGATTTTCCACCTCGGTTAACAAGTCGGCACAGCCTGAGTGAAAAAGTGCATGCTCTTTCGTCTCACCCAACAGCTCTACCCTGTCGTGACGCCCAAACGGCGGGCCGTGCGTGATTAAGATATCGGTCTCACGGGGAATCCGTGCCCAATTTTCAGCAATCTCCGATCCACGGTTACGACCAAAGGCCCACTCAATTCCATTCTTCGGTGTAGTAGTTTCAGCTTCGACAACATTTCCACATGATCCTCCAACCTCTTCTCCAAGCGTTTTTCGGGTCCACGGGTGAGGCTGTATGGGAGACCCGAAAACTCTAAGACGATAGTTGGCGTCAGAATCGATGCCCTTTACATCCAACTCCAGCATCTCTTCGTCCAAATAGGTACAGACGCTGCGCAGCTCTTTCTTCAAACGTGAGATTAGAAAGTGAAAAGAATGCGCGGTCTAAGAGAAGAATCTTAATCCTAAAAACAGAACGATTTATTCAATAATATAAATGGGCACAACTCACATCCACCTCAGCAAAATTCTTCTACTGGTTTGAGAAGGAGAACACCAAGTAGTAGTAGCAGTGTGCCCATTCGTGGGGTAAAGAAGAAATTAATCAGCAGGCTTTTCTTTTTTCCTCCTCCTTGTCAGTCCTCTTTTCTTCTTCCTCTGCATTTTTGAAGGTGTGATCTGTAGTAATCAGTATATTTTCATTCTCCGTACATCGTCACTCTCTAGGCAGTATCGAGATAAGCCTATTTCTGGGCATGACAAAGTAAATCTTATAAGCTGTGTTTGGTCCACAATCATAACAATGACAATTTCTTCGCGGCTTCCCGTGTCAAACCTTTCGCCACTTTCGCAACACTCTGGTTTGAATCTTTCGTTCTCGAGGACAAGTTGAGACTTTCTCTACCTCTATCTGAGGTCGTCGAGTCTGAGCATTTCTTCTGTTCGCAGAACGAACTAAAGAATTCTGTATCCAAGATCGCATCATGGTTTCCGGGTGTCACGATTTTGTGTGCGTGTGGAAGTTGGCGTAGGAATTGTATGAACTCCGCTATTTCGGACTCTGCGCCACGCATAGAAAAATCGCCACAATGGACGAAAATGTCTGCGTAGGGGATAACGACCTTTCTGGATTTTGAGGCACCACTTTCGCCCTCTGGCGTCTCGAACTTTCCCTCGGGACCACCGTCCACGTCCACGACCTTTTCAGACATTTTGCCACTCGAATCTTCGTCGACCAGCTTTCTAGGCAAAGGCTTCCCTTTGTGATCGTACCGCACAACAGGCTTTATCCTCGTGCCGTCAGCTGTCTCCTGGAACCACAGTCGTCCGGTTTTTCCGTGAGTGTCGGATATCACAGCCAGGGTCACAACCGACCCTGACACGTCCACCACACTTGCTGGAGAAAGCGACATCTTCCTGGAGAGGTAGGGCAAAACAACCAAATCCAAAGTTTGCGTGAAAGATAATGCGCGAAAACAACAGTCTAAGCCTTTCGGACTACCTGAATATTCGTACTTTTCCGTATCAAAAGTGATCTTTTTCAGCGGAACCATCTTGCTTTTCGACAAATCACTCAGCTGATAGACCCACCCAAGACAGATTGTACCAACCACTGGCAGACAAGCATCAAAATCAGAACCAGAATATGCTGAGCCAATCCTTGAGGCTTAGTTCATCAACCCTGCGCTTGACACAGAGTGACTACGGACGGCTACGGACGAAGACGAGCACAGACCCCTGAAGGAAACGTGATCTTCTCATCTGCCATAGTTTTATCGTGAGGAAAAAAAATTCTTACTGATAGATATATTTCTCAGCTTTTTCATGTGGTTTCATCTTGAGTAACACCCCTCCCGGAGATGACAGGTCAATGAAGTAGATGAAGTGTCGTACTTTGAGTGATTCATCAAAGTCACTCCTGAGACTAGCGGCAGCTCTGGCATATTTAGATGATCACGCGCAGCTTCAGGGTCGTCATCAATCGAGGTTATTCATTTGTTCACCCAGTTTCGGTATCGAGGCGTTTACTACGTAGCGCCAACTTTGCGTAGCGACACGATTTCCGTGAGACGTTTTCCTCCGCGGAAGGAGCTGCCATTGTGGAGCTCTCCTCTCATTGCCTTCTTTCGCACCATGAACTCAGGCCCAACTAGCCAGGAGCCGTCTCTCACGCTGTAGCCAGGAGCCACATCAGCATAAGCTGAATGATCTGATGCCTGTAATTGCTTCGGGTCCCACGGGAGTTCAGGTTTGTGTCCTTAAAAACATGAAGTGCAGGCTCTTGTCCACTTCTCCGCGAGGCTCGACATTTAGACCGCCTCGCAGGTGAAAACAGCAGACGTTTTTCTTAGAAGAAATCGCTCACTTCAGTGGCAGCATTTCCATGCCGGGCTTCTTCCTCTTCCCGGTCTTTTTCTTGCTTTTCATCCAGACACGACTCTGCTTTCTCCTGAAGCAGCTCTTGTTCCGCAACTTTTTGTCCGGCACCTTCGAAGTAGCCATGACCCGGCTGTATTTCGACACCACCGGAGGTAGTTCTCAACAGCGCACGGTCTCCCCACAAACTGCTACCCATCAAGAAAGTGCTACCCGCTAAGCCGACGGAACTCTTCGTCACGTTGCAACCCTGGTCTTCGAGATATTCTTTCACTTGCGGATCCACAAGAGCTTCGCGTGCCGTAGCATTACAGACAATATGCTTTACACCGGTTTTGCCACTACGGGTATTAGAGGAGCGCAATACCCTTCTCGTACAGCATTAAACTAGAAGAACTTTTTTCTAGTACAAGACCTTTCTTTTTGTGCGGCACATTTCTCTTACTACCTCTGGTTTGATCCATGAATGAAGAAGCGCAACACCTTCTACATCCACCTTGTGCTACTAGTATTCGAGGAATTGAAATGCAAGTTGAAAAGATAATCTGCCATCATAACTCCACTCAGCCATTCCGCTAGCTTGTGCACACAAATACACCAGTTGCCCTCTTCTTCGCCTTGCTGCCCGGTTTCACTCCAAAGTATGAACAAATGCAGACGAGGAGGAGAGAGGGAGGAAGAGGAGGAAAGAGGGAGGAAGAGGAGGAAAGAGGGAGGAAGAGGAGGAAAGAGGGAGGAAGAGGAGGAAGAGAGGGTTTAGGGTTAGGAGGAAACATGATAAGGTCCAGGCAATCAACATCTCGACCTAGCACGACCGCTCCACATTGGTGTGATTCTATAATCCGTCTATCTAATTAAGTTCCACAACAGTTTTTTTCCCCGAGCAAATTGAAACTAAGTTTTTTTGTAATCATCTTAATTGTAGCGCAGAGACAGACTATGTCGTAAAAAAATCTTTTGTGATTGTAGCGCAGATTTCGTGATGACCCGGGTCCTGCGGTGTACTGTTGCAGAAGTTGTTCCTCAGGTATCCTGTACCACCCTGGCCAGGCGCACGAACGCACTCCTGCAATGGCGTTCCCTCGACGTTCAGCCAAGTTAGAGTGCGACCACCTTGGTCCTTAAAGAATGGTCCGGCTTTACCTGGTTCTGGTGGATCGGGACGCGGACTCTCAAGGATTATCTTTTCATAATTCACCTGGTTCTGGTGGATCGGGACGCGGACTCTCAAATGAGGTGGCGATTTTTGGATGCGCAAGAGCGTCAGGAGTACTCGTAAGGCTTGCCTGTGCATGTCCGCCATCCGCAAGTTGTGCTGCAGTACTCATATTGCTCATCCCTGATTCTTGTTCTTGCGTAGTTATATTCATCTCCTGACGTGGTGCGCCGACCTCCGGTGGCGCGTTGGTTGTAGTATGATGAAAGTGATCATCGCCTCCAGGCACTTTGCTAAATGCTAGCCCTTGCTTCAGCGCTGCATGGATAGCGTCTTCATCACCACGCGGAGCATGCAGCAGGTTGTGAAACCATTCAGATTAGAAATCACTTGCAAGAAAACAAAGATTTCTATCTTCCAAACACCAGAAAATCTATTACCGTGATCAAAGTAGGTGCATCTAAGTTGCAAACATGTTGATGAAACTCAAACTCCTTCATTCGGTTACTAGTGACCTAACAGAACGCCGGATTAGAGTAGAAGAGGCACAAACTTGACCATCTTGAGAAGGCTCCTGCATTCGGTTGGTAGTAGTAGCCTATCAGCCTTAATGCGCAGGCAATGTGAAACCAGGTGGCGGCGTATACAGTGAAGGCATCGGGACTGAATGGAGCTGGGATAGTATATCGTCGTGGCTCGGGTTCCACAATCCGACAAGATCGTGAGGCGCAACAAGTGCGTGAATATGTTCGAACATTTTTTCCTCTCTTGGTGTTGTTCGAATGAGATCGTGGACAGTTATGACGAAAGTTTTGTTTCAGTGTTGCTTTGTTTGTGGACTAGATTATAGTTGATGACTAGATTAGGTAAAAATAAATCAGCTACAAGAAGACCTCTAAGTTTTTAAGTCGTCTCCTCTCCTGTGAAAACAGTTGTTACAAACACTTCTGACACTACTTTCTGGACCAGAAATGCTTTAACGATAGCAACGACGACAAGCAATTTTCTTTAGAGCAGTAAGAAACGGCAGCATTGAAAAACAGCAGTGTTGAAAAATCCGGCACAAGACATCTTTTTTGTCCGTGCCTTTCAAGAATTAACACGGGGAGGCACTGCTACAATCACAAGAATCGACAGGGATTGCTTGCCAGGATCAAGAGAGGGCGATGTCGCGACATGTGAGGATACAATGTTACAATGTTCGACTTCAACACTACCGCGACATTATCGATGAGGGAGACGCAGTGCTCGGCTTCAGCATTATCGTCGACGATGACTTCTTGTCGCCTAAGCTAAATGTGATGCTCGCAAAGTAGGTGGCTATAGCGTCTTTTGTTCCACCGACAATGAGTGATCTACATGAAGACGAAGCAGCTTAAGCTGGTTCACCGCATATAAAATTTCGCGCATATTAATCGAGATGCGTTCTTTTTGGTTCGAAACACTTTTTCGAAGCAAGACTTTTTTCAAAAGACCGCGTTTACTGCAAGACCCGTTTTAAGCGGGCCGAGACGGATCTGTCGAATCAGCTTCGTATTTGGTCAAATTCAAACTCTCGTTTCTCGAATCCTTGTTGGAATCAATGTAAATCCTTATCTACATTGTCTTGATAATGGTATACGAGAACATCGCAAAAAGTGTCTTGACAATGGAAATATTAAAAGTGTCATCAAAAATATAAGGCTTTGTGTCTATAATTATGCGTATTGAACGTACTAGTTTCTTGCTTTGTAAAGTTTGTTCCGAGTCGTGATCCGTTCGTGTTCCACGAGATATTTGAACTACCTTTCTTATCCTTGTTTGTGATCGAGACTATGCTGGTCCCGGTGTTGCTCCTGGGGTCTTCAAGAAGTACTATGCTGGTCCCGGTGTTGCTCCTGGGGTCTTCAAGAACTCATCATCGAGCATGTCTAAAAGACCACCAAGATCCGGATCTTCCTCTAGTATATCACCAATGGCTCCTCGGTCCGCCTTGTTCCCCTCGCTTCCATCAGCCGTTTTCCTCGCTTCCTTTTTCACTACAGGACGTGGCTGCTGTGAAGAAGCACGTTGTGGAGTCGGGACTGCGCCATCTTGTTCCAGTTTGGTGGTCTTAGTTCCACTTTTAACACCACCAGCACCGCCAACTCCTTGAGAATTAGAGCTTAGCCTAACCCATCTTGAGATTGGTCTTGTTGCTGCTCTCGTCTATTGAGACAGCTTCAAGATCCTTTAGAAGATGGATTAGGAAGCAGAGCCTTAAGCGAAGAAGAAAGTTGCACATTGCCAAGAGGCGTTTGTTGTTGGTCTCCCTGCTGTACTTGTTCATCTACTCCCGCCGCCTCGCCCCCCATGTCTAGATCATCTGCTAACTCATCTTCTATATTTGCATATGGGTTTTCCTCTTCTCCTCCTAACAGTTGTCCAGTACCCTCCAAGCCTAGTCCGTCCATCCATGAGTCGTCTTCATTTGCATTTGACAGGCGATTTTGTTGCGGATTCAGTATGTCTCTCAGGAAATCATCGTCCTCCTCTTCTGGGATACCAAGAAGATGATTCTGGTTCTGACCAAGATCATGATTCTGTTGTCGTTCAGACGATTCTGTTGCCGTATTATTCTGTACGTCTTGGGCTCCTCGTTGCTCCATAGTCTTGTAATCCACCGCATTCTTGTTCCCTCTCAGCGCGTCTTGTTCCGTAACCAAGTTTTTCCGCACACGCGGAGCGGGTGGACCATCTTGTAGTTGTTTCACCAAATCCATCGCATCGTGCAGAAAGATATCCACATTGCGAACCAGAGACTGGGCAGCTGGGAGATGCAAGTAACGACAACTCCTTTTCAGCGCACCCGATGTTAGAGAAAACAACGGAATTTTTTAGTACATTCTTCAGCAGATAGTTCCTGGCTTCTTTTCTACTTTGAAACTGTAAGTGAAAGGATGGTCTAGTTCTGCTGGGGAATGTAATTATTTGGTGGAAACGACCCTTAAAGTTGTTCCCGCTATGTTCCCGGTACCTGTAGTACCTGCTACACCAGCAGCAGCCCCAGTCGAGGAACTAGACAACGTTGAGGTTGCGGCAAACAAAGCCTGCGACTCAGCAAAGGCATCCTCGTTGTCGAAACTATAGGTCTCCAGTCGCTTCGGTGCGACGGAAGAACTGCTCTGACCTTGCATCGCAGACGAGGAGGACGAACTGGACGCGCCACCCAGGTGTACAGCCCCATTGGTAGTCTTGCCGGTTATACCTGACGAAGACGAAGTAGCAGCATCTTGCTTATTTGCAGCCTTTCCGCCAAGCACACTGCCACTCTCACCGACCGCTTCCGCTTGGAGCAAGACTCATGTTAGATGAGAGTCATCAAAACCATTTTGAAGATGTACTATCCCAAGAAAACCACATATGAAGGTAGAATAAAACCTGCAACTCTGTCAACACTACAACAAACAAAATAGGATCGCAGCCAATAAAGATACACCATCGTCATGAACGGCCATAAGGTCAAATGCTCGCTCATCGCTTTGATTTCGTCGTCATTTTCGATACCCTCTAAGGTGTCCCTATCGTCGATTTCGGCGTTCAAGTTTTCGATCTGCTCCGGATTCAAATCCAAAAGTTCGGCTCGTTCAGCTTCGATAATTAGAGACCCAGGTCATCTGTTCTACGAAACCAGTACTTAGAAGTACGGTCACACAGATACACTCATCGGGTTCTTCTTCAGCACAAAATCCTACTAGTAAACTACTCTTACTCAGTCCTTCTTTCTTCATAAAGTCAACTCCATGTTCTGCGCGTCCGCAAAGACGTCGTTATCCCCCATCTTCTCGGCCATTTCTGCTATACGTCTCTCGAAATCGTCATCGTCCAGCTCATCTAGTTCGGCTGCTGCTTGTTCTGTCCCTGGTGTAGCTGGTGGCAACATGGCTCCTTCCACTATATTTTTTTGCAGGTCAATTTCCTCCGCAACAAGAACTTGAGAAGTCTTTTTGTCACCAGTTCTTGTGCTTTTGACCTCTTTAATCGCCTCCTCATCTTCGAACGCCTCCCCGCCTAGGCCGTCCAATCCAAAGTCCTCACTGTCTCGACAAAATTCAGACAGAGTTTCGTTCGAATGCTCTGCGCAGAAAGCAGCTAAATCTTGACCTAGCACACCATCTAGGGTGAATTCCTCTTCGGCCATGAGCTTTCGCCGTTTTTTGGCAGGGCCTTGCTCAGTCTTGACACGTCGGGCGACTTTTGCGTCAGCGTGTTCGTTCATTAGAGAAGGAGACTGAGATGGGAATCTTAGGCGTGAGAAATTACAGTATGGAGTAAAAAGCATCTTTTTAGGTTCCTTCTGCTGCGTCTTGTTATTATCAAGAAAGACGACTGAATGCGTAAACCTCTTCATACTTACATCGCAATACCTCATTCAAAAGAACTACCAACTACGTATAACATAACTTCAACCCCGATTCCGACAATCGGAACAAGTCGTGTAGTTCCCTCCACATGCTTATGGCCGACGTTGGCACAAAGGGGATTTTGAACTGCAGCAAACTGGATTCCAGAGGACCATCTTCATCCAAACCGGCGTCTTCCTGTTCCAAACCCTTCTTTTTCTGCGGTGGAAGCACTCTTCGCACGTCGAGACATTTCAGGACCTGGCTGGGGTGTAGTTTGTGTTTAAGGTTAGAGGCAAGAACAAGCTGATTTTGATTAGTATGAGTAGTTGTATTAAAATGGGTCATCGAATGATATGCAAGAAGGTTGAAACTAGCTATAGAGAAGTAGGCTTACTACATATAGCTTCAACCATAGTACCTGTGCTTATTCATTAGCATTCCAGTATAGAAAAAAGTCATTACCTCTATGAAGTTGTATCACAATCATTACCTCTACGAAGTTGTTTCGAAAGCTTGCTTCCAAATTGGCGAAGTCGTATGAGAAAGTATAGTCCGCTCGCGCAGCCCTCACGGCGACCAATCCTCGATGTACTTTTTCCAGGAGCGCCCAAGCTCGCTCTCGATAGTTTGCGCCTGTTGTTGCTGCTAGAACTTAGAAGGGCGCGTGTTGTACTAGGTCTTATTGACAGAGGACATGTAGTTATCCTTTCTCTCAAAAAAAAACCTTAACCCTATCTGCTAGAAAAACATCTAACCATAAGAAAGCACAAACTTCGCCACTTTCTCTGCTAAGTCCTCTACGCCCAACTTCTTTGCCGCTGTTATCAACTTCAAGGCCACCATTCTCAAACGGACGTCTCTGCGGGAGATGGATTCGGAAAAGGTTGTCATATCTGCCGCAACACGTTTTACGAGGGCGTCCTGAGTTCCGCTTAGAGTTCCTTGTAGGGGAGTAGAAAAAACTGTTCTTGTACCAGGGCTGCAGGTAGACAAGCAGAAATCGAAGTAGAGCAGCATGTTGATGACAAGAGAAAAAAGGAGCAACCATTAGTTCTTTTGCTTATTTAGGAACTCAACTTGAACATTAAACTGTAGAGCAGACGACGGAAGTGATCAAGCGCAGAATTGTCTTCGTCCCTAAGTGATCAAGCGTAGAATTGTCTTCCATAACATATGAATATTCTTGCAGGATTCGAAAATTCGCTTCAATTCGGTGTCTTCATCTGCTGTCCATGGATGCTCTTGCCGCTTCTGGTTTCGAGCATCCTCAAACATCTCATTGTACTGCTTTCGGTTTTCTACCATATCCCTGAAATGCTTCTGGAAATGCGCAGTCTCGTAGTTCTCCAATATCCCAGCCCACGTCTCGATACTTCCGCTCAAGTCATCGCGAGCGGGTGCCACATTCAGTATCAACTCTGTGATGGCAAGCTTGTTGCCAGGCTTTCTGGTGGTTGTAGTAGTAGTGGTTGTAGCCGCAGCATTGGCGGCTGAGGGATTCTCCTCACCCTTCACCGCTTTTGATGCAGTACTACTAATTGCTTGTTTTCTAGCGTCCGCTCGGTCTCCACGTCCTCCAGAATCGCCTCCACGCCATACTTTGACGAACTCGCGAATGATCTGCTTGAAGAGTCGGTGCAAATCTGAAAACTTACCCGGATTCTGCTTCACAATATCGGACTTTACGATTTTGTCCATCCTCGCAAAAAACCGCAGATTCCAAAATAACGCAATATAGGCCGGGTGCGAATCGATTATCTAGTGCGGGTGAGGGAATTTTTTTTCACAACATGAAGATGAAGAACATCATCTGTTGTAGTAGTAGAGGTACTAGGGTAGGTCTTGCGAATCTAGATCAAGTATCGGTCTTAATGTAAGAGAAAGCATCAAATCCGTCGAGAGCAAGTCATCTAAGGAACCCACGGTAACAACAAGTAGTACCCTCCGAATCAATTTGCATGTGGAATAAAGCTGGTTCTCGTTCGTGTGATGGTAGCTCTCCAAGCAAGTGAGCAAGTTCTGGATTATCGCCCAGTCTGAGAGGCCTTTGGCTTAGAAGAGAAGGATGATGTTTCTCGTGTTAAAACTAAGTGTTCATGTCGTACGAAAACGAGAGGGGAGATAAAGTCTTGGTCTTGTTGAAAATTCTACCGAAGCAGCTCAAGCAGATGTTCACCAATCAAAAGCAGTAGGTTGTGTCATCCAAGAAGATGTTCACCAATCAAAAGCAGTAGGTTGTGTCATCCATAATTTATGTAAGTGCTTATCGTCACTATCGTGGAGACGTCTCGCATATTTTGCGTCGTAAAGCGCAAGACTGGGAATTCCCTATCGCCCTCCCCTGGTCGCGCAACTTCTTCCATCAGCAGCAGACAGTAATTTAGAGAATTGTATTATTTAGCTCGCGTCTTCCCTGGCTGACACCCTTGTTCCCTCTTTGAGGGAAAGGACCCCCAAGGATGGCGTTACAGATCCTTTAATGCCGGTGAGGATGCACCTCTCTTGGTAGACCCCTCTTATTCGTGGCCTTAAGAAATGCAAACACTCGATAGCATAGGATATCACTCGTGGGTCGTGAGTCTGCGGTTTGTACAGCTTACACACCTCCACGAGTCGCTGTCTGGTATTAGAACCACGTAAATGAAAATAAGCTATAACATGATTACAGCACTTCGACTGTGATCATCGATATTTTTACAGTCCGAACATTATACTCGATGTTATAGTTCGACTATATACTCCTTGTTACAGTCCCAATATTTTACTCCTCGTTACGGTTCGAATATTATACTCCTTATTGCAGAAGTTGTTCGATTACATACTCCTTGTACTTGGGACACGTACTTGTCACACTTCGACTAGAGTCATCATGAGTAAAACTTAGGTTAGGTTAGGTGTGGGTCCACTAGATAAACCAGCAGACTTCAGTGGCTACTGAAGAGCCAAAAAAAAAGCCGTAACAATATTCCTTCCCACTAGGTTTTCTACTAAGACGTATGCCAGCTGTTTGTTTTCTGGATCCTTGCTCCGACAGCAATCGCCCAACATCTTCATTGTCTCCACGCACGCACGTAGGATTAGATGATCCTCCAGGAGGAAGGGCCCAGGAGGAAGGCTTTGAGCCTGTTTGCTTGGTCGGTGTACGCGGGATATGTAGACGTGGAGGTGAATGATATACCTAGGTCCTGGAGGTGAATGATATACCTACTTGGGTAAGGAAATTGTAATTTATTGGATGGACTTCTATGAGTACTTCTCAGTACTAACTCGGCTTGATAAATACTTGCATACGCTCTCAAATGTATCAGGCGATGGACTCAAAGTAGTTATGTTTTTTTCTCAGTCATTCGCTGCTCACACCAGGCCATAGTAAAACGAGGATCAACCGATCCGGGTTGATGCTCACGTCTTTTCCCTGTTCTTTTACTTGGCCGACTAAATACCTTGTCGTATCCAAATCGACGAAACCCTGGATCACCTGGGGTGCTATCATTAGAGAGGAGAGGAGAGTGCTGGCGTCACAAAGAACAGATGATGACTTGGGTAAGTATTAACCAGCTGCAGTACAACTAGTAGTCCACTTCACTATAATCAATGACGATAAAAATTAAGGTACGGTCGTATCCGTGCTTTGATCGCCACGAAGTAAGATCCGCGTTGGTGAAGAGATCATTTTACTAAGTAGTATTAAGACCAGCTGTCGTAGTCTACTTCACTGTAATGACAGCTTTCGATTGCTCCTGGTCGTGGAACTCGAATATATGGATACGCCTCATGGAAGCACTAGAATATAGAGGAATACAACCAACAAGAAAGAAATCTTCGTGACATTAGAGTATAGAAATGCAACAACCAACAAGAGAGAAACTGAAACTTTCTAATTAGAGCATAGAGATACAACGAAAAAGAAAAAGATGAAACTTCCCAACCAGCAGAGACCATAACAACTGAAAATTTTTCCCTGGACTCTCTTTCTTCATCTGGCGCGCGTATAAGCGGTAAAACTCGAGGAAGAAAGTAATAAAATTGATGATGCGGTCTTTGGTGTGGTAGGTCACATACGGATTCGATCGATCCTGCTGGTCATAGTTGTCGCCCTCAGGAGTTATTTAGAGCAGGACGAGGCTTCCTACATGTCTAGGTGGTATCGGGAGTATCATGATAAAGGCGCGTCTTGAGTGAAAGGACAAGCTTTGTGGAACACAAGCTTTGCCTTATTTTCTTCTTGAAACAAAAACCAGATGACGGAACCAAGGATGATTATAAATGGGGAATGTTCCACCACAACTACTTACAATAAGAATATTGAAACAAAGTCAACATAATTCATCCTCTTTTCTTCTGCGACGCGGTCGTTTTCTGCTTTGACCTCTTGAATCACAAATTGACACAACACGCTCATCGGAAAATAATCCTCCTCCTCGACTGCTGATCCTTCCTGTGTAGTAATAATTTTTTAGGTTCTGGTTCAGGAAAGAAATTATAAGGCTACTACGAGGAAAAACTAACCTGCAGTATTGATTAGGTACTCGTGTTGGCACGTCATGGCCATGCACTTCAGGTCTAACTTTCTCGTGATGGCATTAAGTGTCTGCACATATCAAAGTTGAGAAGAACTACAAAGAGAACTTCTACAAGGAGACTCAAAAACTCCAAATAGAAGTGGTCCCGTAGTACCTTACAATCCAATAACTCGTAGAGCCAAGCTCGCATGATCGCAAGTGTACCCGCATCTAAACTTTCGGCTAAGGTTGTCCCTGGCTGCGCAAAAGGATTTAACTTCTTTTAGATGAGCTTGTCACAACAAGAGAAGTAGATGGCTCTCTGCGCAGACTGACAAAGACAAAAAGGACACTCATATGATTCATCCTAATCCTACTTCTCGATAGTGATAGATCGCCCAAAAGGAAAACAAAAAAAGGTCTTTGTCTTCTGTGAACTATAATCGAGCCTTAACTATTATGTTCTGCCGCAGATCCGGTAGCGGGTGCTAGGTCCTGAAAAAGTACATCGTCGGTAAGGTTATCTTTGTTCTGGTTCGTCCTTCTGTTACCGGATAATGAAAGGGCGATGAGCGGAACGTTGAAGGGAACTACTGCTATAATTATTCATCTGTTGATTTATAGTGTAGTATGATCTAATCGGAAAAATAGATGCAAAGACGAAAGAGATCAAGTTATCCCAGAAGATAGTATCGATTAGGTGCATGCGTGCTGCCCAGACGTCGGGTTGCCCAGAAGGGTCACTACATTATTATACTTGCCATAGGTATTGTTTTTTGAGAGGTATGCGCGCTTTCATGACGTTTTCCCTTTCCAGCTTCAAGGTTTTATCCCCCAAAAACTGGCGCGTGTGTGCACTCACTCCAAACTCTCCGTGTCTGGGCGCCGCCGTCCTGGCAGCTATCACCTTCTGCTGCCTGTCTTTTACTCTGGATTAGAGCGATCCCGGAGTATAATGTATTTCGTGTGTGTCCCTGAATGATTACAACAAGAGCAATACGAATGGAGGTTCCTTTGTTCGTTGTTTACAAAAAATTATAATTTGTATTTGGTTAGAATCTCGTACAATGCGAGACTGTCACGACTGGTATAGAAATACATTCACCTACTTATCTCAACGTTCCGAGCAGGAAAAAATAACAGTAGTTCATCATTGTCTTAAAAAAACGCTTTTAGCATGTCTTTGCTTGTGTCGGTTTCCACCACTTCTTGGCAGCTCAATTTGGTGATGCAGGAATAAACCACATCAAATAAAACCCAGCGCGCCTCCCGATCCCGTTCGGTCAATTCGGCATACGGCTTTACCACTATTAGGGGTTTCTACTTGACCACTATATATTTCGGACCTAAAAAGTATCTTTCCCATTTGAAAGGATCATAGATCCCGGGCCCCCCATCTTGGTATCTCTATGTAAGTATTCTTGTTTTCTATGGGAACAAGAGGACACCATGATATTGTGAGAGATGAATCAAAGCTGACCATAACACTGAGGTCTCCTCGTATGCCCACGTATTGATTACGTGCAGGATATCCAGCTTCGCGTACATCTTCACGAACTTCACACGCGGTTGAAGAGGGAAGAGACAGGTACGATAATATATCATTGTAGCAGGGAAGAAAGAGATTGGGTAGGTCGTAGGGTGGGACCTTAACGAGCGGAACAATAATATCACTACACTACTAATTAAATACTCCACGAGTTATTTAGACGAGTGGATATCATTTGTCTTCAAGCATAACTACAGCATGGTGTAAGTATGATGCACATCAAAGTCACCACATCTATCATGTCTACCGTGTCTATGCTTGTAGAAAACCAGCCATACTGAAGAAATTTCCGATTATCGGTGTAGCCAGCATCTCCAGGTCGTGGGTCCGGGATGGACAGTAAATTCCGGAACAAAAGTAACGCTTCCGATAATGTCCGGTTTCTAATCCTTTCCTCTTCTTCTGCTTGTGGGGAGGCCTGTTTGATTGATTAAGTATTTTAGTTGTTGACTTGGATTACTCTCCTCATTATTCTCTTTTTCCTTCTAGAACATAATTCAAATTAATAGCAGTATCGTTTCCGAAATCGCTCAAAAACAAACTAACTTCCTTTATGCATCATAGTACGGCTAAGGGGGCGTTTTGACATGAATCTCTGGCTTTTTCACATGAAATTTTGGGCTTTCTGGAAGAGGTATCTCATAAGTACCTTCTTAAAGTCGATCCCAGAGTCTACAGAGGCCATAAGGAGTTCGTAAACTCCTGACATAGTGGCCTCCCGCGAGCAATGCTCCTTGATCATCTGTAAATGCGCCAAATGCTCTCTCACGACCGCATCTCCGGTATTAGAGTATAAAGCAATTGTGGGTAGAGTTTGTATCAAGATGATATGTGGCATTATAGGTAGGTCTCAGAGGACAGGAGTGCTTTTTACAACCTTTGCAGAACCAGTGGTATTAGGTAGGTCTGAGAGGACAGGAGTGCTTTTTACAGGGTTGTAGAACCAGTAGTATTAGATAGGTCTGAGAGGACAGGAGTGCTTTCTACAGGGTTGTAGAACCACAGCTCAAACAGTAATTACGGCTAAGCATCTAAGCTTGTACGAAGTCAATAACCAAAACGCAGTCCTCAATTGCAGGTGAGCAGTGTGACTTTACTAGTTAGGTTAATAGAGTCTATAATAAAAAGACAGCACGTGTAGTATTAGAGTCGATGATGTAGTCCGCAGAAGCTTAACAAGAACTCGATGCTTGTTTGTTCTCAGAAAGCCATAACGATGTTCCACTCGCCGAGATTCTTCATCGCTGCATCTCCGGTAAAGCCACGCTTCAACAGTGGTTGAGTCAATACCACGAGAAGGGATATAACTCGACGCGCAGCGTCTGGGTCCTCAGTATGCCTCGTTTCTAGCAACGGAATAAACGCTTCGGGTATGAACTTCAGGTCACCTAGTCGGAGATAGTGGTGTGAAGGCCTCATCGGACTGAGATTCTGATAATCAGGAAGCTAGAGTACACTTAGACACATGAAATTGAAGAGTGAGTGCAAGCAGATGAGATTCAGTAAAGGTGTTGTGCGTACCACCACCACTGTACGTATCAAAAAGAAGAAGACAAGTCTTCTTAAGACGATACTTAATTGGCTGTAGGTGCATATCATGATCAGCAAAATATTTCTCCTTGCTCGGTGAAGGTGAGCATGGATCGGCATCAAAGTTGCCTGTCTTTAAGCATAATCAGTACATATGATCCGGAGTATTTCACGCTGCTTGGTCAGTCCGTACGTCGTGTAGAGAGTGTAAATCTTGTCTAGACCGTCGTAGACATAATTGGGGGCGTAGATATAACTTGTCTTCCCGTCAACTTCGTGCCAGTGTCCCAACTGTGATTAGATAGTACTTACTTTCATTACATATTCCATTAGTTCTTTGCTTATTTTGAACCATTAACTAGGTTATGCAGCACTTCGAGAACTGCGTTAGTGCCAAATTTTGACAACAAGGTCGGGAGAAAGTAAACACGCTCAATGAGGGGGAAAATGGTAATGGTGCGTGGCTATCCCCCATGGTCTGATATGCAGGCCTTAATCTCCCATGGTCTTCGTCAGGTCCTGTTCTATTTGGCGCAACGCCATCTTATCAAACCCTTCCTGTGGGTCCGCCATCTTGCTGAGATCGTCTTGGCAACTCTTTCACCTAAAAAATCGTTTTTTTGGATTCTGCGATCACGGGAGCAAGACCGTTCGGTGCCTACTGCACAACGCCGATCTCCTTCTGCGATCACGGGAGCAAGACCGTTCGGTGCCTACTTGCTTGCACTCTTGTACTGCTTCTAGATCAAGTTCAAGTTCAAGTTCAGGGTATCCCCGTCTCTCGCCCCAGACCTCGGTCTACGGCAGCACTGAGGGATGGTAAAGGTGTCTACTCCTTCGAGTAGAGAGGCCTGGCCGACTTTATCCGCCCAGCACGCGACTTACCCATAGATGCCATTTTTCACATTTTTCACAATTGAAAACGCTTGTCAAATAACTTCTTTTGTAAGTAGTAGTACAACAAGATTCATTCTTTTTGTAAGTAGCATTCATTCTTGCTCGCAAAAGATCTGCGTAGTTTTTTTTTCCATAGGACTACATGCTGCCTCCCATTCAACTACTTAAAAAACAAGGCAAATAACTTCTTTTGTAGTAGTACAAAAAGTGACTCAGTACACTACGCCTAGTGCAGTAGGGATAATTAGTTCAATCGGTTCTTCTTCTTTCACTACCGACAGCACATCCTCGCGTCCTTGGGATAGAGAAGAGATGGTCAGAAGAAAAAATATTGAAAGAGGAGTTGTCGTAAATGCATAGAAGGAAGTAGCAGGAGCTGCTGTAACTTCAGTATAGTGAAATTACTTTCTTGAGACAACATCCTTCTTGAGATATTACTTGAGCACTTTTTCACTTTCGTTTCATGTTTTCCGGTCCGAGGCCTACAAGCTAAAGAGACAAAGTGGAAAGAGAGAAACACAGAACACCAACTTGCTCGGCTTCCATGTGTCCACATTTGTTTGCGTGGAATTCAGGTTACCTCGGTATCGAGGCCATTCTTAAATTCCAATCGTGGGGAGGTCTTCCTTTTCATTAAAATCAACATGTTCCTCGTTGTTCTAAAATCAGCAATCGTTAGAAGAACTCAAATACTGGCAAAAGAATGAAATTGTATCGTTAAAGCCGAGAAGAACGGCTTAAAACTAAAAATAGTCCAATTCTATCGTTTTAAGCCGCGTCTTTGCTCCTTTCTTTAAATCAATATTGCGTCATTAATTATCATCGCCTTCAAACTACACAAAAAAAATTTACTTTCATCTTCATCAGGAGGGCTTAGAATTCAGGTCTTTCACAAGTCTATTTTCTCTTTCGCGACTTTGTAGCAATACTTGAGAGCACATGCTCCTCACTGCTCGACCAAGCTTCACACATGAGCCTGAGTAGTAAGTCCCCTCAACATTCAGCAATGCTTAACACATGAGACGCTTACTACGGACTCCAAGTCTTCGCTAAGTTTTAAGACCGCCGTTTGCTTGCCTTCCAAACGACCTGGTATCTGACAATCCAAGGACGCCACCACTGCTCTGCTCTCCACGTCAATGTCGCATACTCTGGTCACTTTGTAGTTCACATAGGGTTCCGCTTCGTCGTCGGTTATCTTGGGGTCTGGGTGCGCAGCCAACAGATTTTGTTCCAGGAAGGGCAATAAGCTGGCAAAAATGTTTTCTTTAGGGGCACCACTGTTTAGGGGGTCCATCATGATGCAACCGAAGGTGGCGTTGTCGGCGATAAGGGGCTTTGAATCTTCTCCTTTAAGCACCTCAAAATTCGCATAAACCACTGCATGCAGAAACACCAAGGAGGTTGCGAGGATACGATGTGCTTTAGCGGCGTTGGGGGAGGAGTACTTTGTCCTCCACTGGTCCAACGACGCGCGCATCAAAGGTTCTCTAGAAGCTTCCCACACTGTGACCAACTGCCCAACGTTGCGGTCTTTGAACAAAAAAACGGAGTGCGCACTCACAATCGACACGCTGCTCACGTGCTCATGCTCCTCCCGGTCTTCCACCCGAGTAGCGCAAACGTGAAGCAGCAAGTCGATCTCGCTTACGATTTCCCCCAACTTCCCGAAGGCAGAGAGTTCCACTTCTCTGCCTCGCTGCACCGTGCTCGGCAGAACCTGGTCCTGGACTTTGGTAACAGCCTTTTGGCTTGGCTCCGCTGTTTCGGATCCGGTAGGCGAACCCATAACCAAATCGTCACTTTCTTGCGCCATTGTGTTCGTTGCAACCTATACTTACTTAGTTAGTGGGACGAGCAATCTAGAAGATACACTTCTAGAGTCTACTTATTTTTAAATACAAAGATCTATTTCCAAGGTCTATTAGGATTCGGATGGATCTTGTGATTGTTTCTACAATGAAGATCAAGATCTTGCGACAATTAATGTGATGATGCGTGTCTCTAAAGTTCCGTTCGCGCAGGAGACTTATTCTGTTCAACTGAGGTCTTTAGAAAAACTGTACACGGAATTGATAGACATGAGAAAAAACTGATCAACATGCGAAAAAAGACGGACTGACCCCACAAGCTGAAAATCTGTAAATGCCTGATAATCGCGTACCCGAGTCAGGTAAACAAGAACTAGACCAATTTCTAGAATGTATGAAATTTTGCCAAGAAAAATATTCCAATCGTACACTCAACAAGGACAGAAGACAAGCGAGCACAGATGACTGGGCTAGAACAGCGTATTACTCAGACGGTCAATTCAACAGATCATCATACCATTGCTCAGACGTTGAACTTGAGACAGACCGGCACTCCACTCGCACGTTCATTAACAAGTCACCCTATTGAGACAGATGACAGATCAGACGCTCGACAGACCGCCGCGCACGTTTGCTATACATTTCATCTTACATAGGTTTGGTACTGCTGTGTTAGAAATATAATTTTTCAGCGACTTCTAACACAGCAGTAACTAGAAACCTATGTACTTACATAGGTTTGGTACTGCTGCGTTATAATCATAATTTTTCACACAGGTGCAACACCCCTTCTCCGGAACAGAATCTCATGTTGCCAGACAGGCCATCTTTCACTCAGAAGCCATGTAAGTGCACAGAATGTCAGAGATTCTGATGTCCCTCACTGTTCAATCGACCTGTGTTTCTGCTATATATACTAGGCCGAGATGACTTTTTGTCAGGCTTTGTCCCACCTCAGCGACTTCTTTAACGCTACTCACATGACAGACTAAAACAAACAATGCTTAAACATAAACAAGCAATGTTCCTCAAAATTCACACTGGTCGACGTAACGAACAATGCCCTTTCAAATTACCAGTGTTCAACTGCCACAAGTGCATATTCATACAACCACTGTGCCCGTCCTTTGATATTTTCCATTCCACGCACGGCGGAAGTGGACAAGGAGTTGCGAGAATGCAAGTCTGCCCGCGCGCAGCCTCGTTCCTTCAAAGCGCAAGCTCGTTTCCGGGCCGGATCGCTACGTTCCTTCAAGCGCAAGCTCGTTTCCGGGCCGGATCGCTACGTTCCTTCAAGGCAGAGGAGAGGCCGCCACTTTAGTCCGAGCGCAAGCGGGAAGGCCGCCATTTCTCTCCGCGTGCATATGGAGGCGGGGTCGGTGCTTCTCTCTGGTCGCATGTTGAGGCGGCGCGCTGTATCTCTCCGAGCGCGAGGGGCACGACCTATCTTCGAAAAGCCGATGGGCCGGAAGGAGTGGGAGAGCGAGGGGAAAACAGGGGCGACCCCGCTTTTTTGAAGTGGCGCTCGGGCAGTGTCGCAGATAACCGAGAGGGAGGGGGGCCGGCAGCAGTTTCGGTGGAGAATTTTGCGGCGCTTTCCCGGGGTTTTAAGAAAAGGAGAGGGAGCAACCCAGTTGCGCCGGGCTAAGTACCCGCGAGGACGTCGGAAGCGCGCTGCCGGTCTCGGGGAGGGTGGGTAGGCCTAGCAAGTGCCGGGGGAGTGCGCTAGGTGCTACATCGCCCCCCCGAGCGGCCTACGGGGGAAGAAGTCCAGCTTTTTCGCTTCTGATTGGAATTTGGCCGCACGGTATCGAAAGAAGAGTGGATACTCAAGGACTTCGTCAGAAGAACTCCAAGAAAGCCGCGGTGTGTTTGGCCGTTGCAGCGCTGCCGCAACCAGCGCCAAAACCGGTAAACTATGAGAATAGCGACCAGCGCCAGGGAAGCAAGTGCAGCGCTGTCACAGGCCGCAGAGCGGGGAAGAGAATGAAAGCGCCTCGGCCCTTCGGGCGCTAGCCGTCCAAACTCCGAGAAGGCCGAGGGCTTCCTTTATTCTGGCCGCGGAGAAGCCAGGCGACGGCGGTCCGCGCAGGCAGTCGACTGACCGCGGACGGGCTGCCACGCCTCTAGCACCCGACCAAACCCGAGGCCAAGCCCGTCCCGGAAAACTCGCCAGGGGCCCAGGCCTTGAGGGGGAGAAGCCAGGCGGCGGGGGTCCGCGCAGGTCGTCGACCCATCGCGGACCGGCTGCCAGGCTCGGAGCATCAGGCGCAAAGCCGAGGCCGCGGAATCTGTTGGGGATGCTGCGCGGCCCTGCGTAGCTCCCTGGATACCCTTTCGGGGGAGGGGGCCTCCTGGGTCGCCGGCGCGATCCCCTCTCGGCTCCTGGCTCCCTCACCGGAGGCGGGAGTCTAGTGGGGGCCCCCGGCCAACTTCGATGAGGCTCCAGCAAAGTTGCTAATCCCCCAAGGCTTTCCCGTAGGCCGCTCGGGGGGGGGTGGAAGCCTGCGAGCGCCGTATTTACCTGAGGAGCGTGACGCGCGCAGGAGTTTCAGCGCAACGCGCAGCGCGCGGAGGAGCGTGACGCGCGTGGGAGTATTAACGAGGCGCGTGAGGGTGTGGCGCGGGACGCGTGGCCTGGGGAGATTCGTGGCGCGGGACGTGGGACGCCGTGGCGCGCCACATAGTGCGTGACTGAGGACGTGGCGCCGCGAGGTGTGGCGGCGTCACCTGTGGGCGTTTGGTTCTGGTTCAGCTCGAGGCCGGTGGACGTTTGGCCTATGTTTGGCTTCAGTCCCCTCGAAACCGATACCCGCACGAAAGTCGAAACCACCAAGGGAGGACATTGCGCGAATTCGAAACGGCTGAGGGACTCACAAAACGGCCAACAACCTGGCAGGTTTTTTGCGAAAGCTTTCGCGGCTTTTTCGTTGTTATATGCTTTGGCTTTTTTCTTATTTGCGGAAAAAAAATGCCGCAGCGTGCCGCAAAGTGTGGCGCAAGGTTTTATCGAAACGCCGCCACGTGGAGACCGATGAGGCCTCCTGCTTGTGGCCAATCTTTTGGAAGAATATGACGAGGCGAAGCCGATAAGGAGAGCCGGGAAACGCTTGCGGCGATTTTTGTCGGAGACGTTGCGACGGTCTTTCTTTTTTTGGTTTTGTTAATATTTGAGAACACTCGAGCACTTTGCGAATATGCGAGAGCATTTGGGAACATTCGTCGAATATTTCACAGCAATTTTCTGAGTGCCAGAATAGTTTTCGCGTGAGTCTTTTGAAATAAGATAAAAAGCGGCGCATCCAGTTCGTACCATGCGGGAGCTGAACTCGATAAGAGGGGCCGGGCATGCTCATCGGGTTCCGCGATAAGTTCTTCTCGTGGGGCTATCTGGGCGAGCAGATGCGAGCACGCTTCTCACTTAAAAAAAGAAACACTTGAAAGAAGTTCCAAGGCCTTCTCTTTTAATGAGAAGCGTATCCACATCAGCTCGCCCAGATAGCCCCACGAGCAGAACTTATCGCGGAACTCGATGAGCATGTCTGGGCCCTCTTATCGGGTTCGATTCCCCTCGAACCCGATACCCGCATGAAAGTCGAAACCATTAAGGGACGACATTTCGCGAATTCGAAACGGTTAAGGGACTCGCAAAACGGTCAACAACCTGGCAGGTTTTTTGCGAAAGCTTTCGCGCCTTTTTCGTTGTTATATGCTTTGGCTTTTTTCTTACTTGCGACGAAAAACGTCGCGGCGTGCCGCAAGGCGTGGCGCAAGGTTTCATCGAAGCGCCGCCACGCGGAGACCGGTGCGGCCTCTTGTTTGTGGCCAATCTTTTGGAAGGTAGAATATGACGAGGCGAAACCGATAAGGAGATCCGGGAAACCCTTGCGGTGATTTTTGTCGGAGACGGTGCGACGGCCTTTCTCTTTTTTGTTTTGTTAATAATTGAGAAAGTTGCGACTTTTGTCGGAGACGATGCGCCGGCCTCTTTCTTTTTTGTTTTGTTAATATTTGAGGGCATTCGAATACTTCGCGAATATTTGAGAATATTCGGAGAATATTTTGGAATATTCGCCAAATATTTGAAAGCAATGCTTTAGGTGCTGGAATGGTTTTCGCGTGAATATTTTAGAATAAGACGCAAAGCCGCGCATCCAGTTCGTGCCATGCGGGAATCGAACTCGATGCGAGGGCTTGGGCATGCTCATCGAGTTCTGCGATAAGTTCTTCTCATGGGGCTATCTGGGCGACCATATGTCGACACGCTTCTCATTAAAAGTGAAAGCTTTGGAGTTTAGCGCTCTCTTTTTTCCGGATATCCTTATCGGTTTCCCGGATCTCCTTATCGGTTTCGCCTCGTCATATTCTACCTTCCAAAAGACTGGCCACCGACGGGAGGCCTCATCGGTCTCCACGTGGCGGCTTTTCGATAAAACCGCGCGCGCCTCCATCATCCATCTGCTTCCACTTCTTTCACTTCGCGAGATACGCGAGGGAGGTCGTCGCCGTCTTGTGTTCCCCTGGCTTGGCTCGTTTTTGTTCCAGTTTGGTCGGTCTGTGTTCTTCTGGCCTGGCTGCTCTTGTGTTCTACGTCTTCTCATGTGCTCTCCTCGTGTGCTCTTGCCGCGTGCCTAATCTCTGTGCCGTGGCGCGCCGTCTCTCTGGCGGCCGTACGCCGCCAGGGACGAGGGGGCAGAGGGTTGCCTTGCTGGGCTGTTCGCGCTGGATTATGCGGCGCACACCACGCGCCCACCAGCGCCCACCAGCGCAGCGTGGCGCGCCGTCCCTCTGGCGGCCGTAGGCCGCCAGAGGGACGAGGGGGCAGAGGGTTGCCTTGCTGGGCTGTTCGCGCTGGATTATGTGGCGCACCCCACGCGCCTATCAGCGCCCACCAGCGCAGCGTCTCTCTGGCGGCCGTAGGCCGCCAGGGACGAGGGGGCAACGCGTGAGCATCTCGCCCCCTGCCCCCCTTGTACAAGGTTAAATGTTTGCGCGACTGTGAATCCCTATAACGAGCCTGCGCCGAAGAGTGCGCCTCCGGACTGTGCCCAACCGTGTAACCCTGTACAAGGGGGGCGGGGGGCGGGGGAATGCTCCTGACAAGCGGCCGCGTAACTGAAGGACTAGCCCGCGCCCCATCGTCCCCGGCGGCCTTCGGCCGCCAGCGGAACGATGCGCCAGACAGTGCGTCTTACCAAGCTTCTGCGGCCTTCCCGGAAGGTGTTCGCGGTTGGAGTTATCTCCTTGGCCTTCTTCGTGTGCGTGTGCTACCTATACCGGGCGCACTTCTGAGAGCTGCAGGCGCACAGGCTTAGCCTTTCCCGCTAATGGTGTTCCAGA